CGAAAGGAGTACAACGAAAGGAGTACAACGAAAGGAGTACAACGAAAGGAGTACAACGAAAGGAGTACAACGAAAGGAGTACAACGAAAGGAGTAAAAGGAAGAACCTATTGTACATCATCTCTCGATTAACGTTGGATGATGTCTTGTGCTTCATGTGCCAAAGCGAGAATTGATGACGGCTCTTCTGATGTCCACTTGATTTTCAGTTTTTCGTCTGCCGTCAAAGGCGAATGTGTATTCAAGCCTTCCCAAGACATGTCATCAGCTGACCATAGAATTGTAGCAAGCTTGTAATGTCTTGCCAATAGTTCGTAGAAAAATATCCACATTGCCTCCAACACAGGGGTATAACCTCTGATCACGCCATAGTCGTGTTATTGGTATAGGGTCGTTAAGAGTTGCGTGATTGCCGAGACGATTAGCAAATCCTGTTCGGTAAGCAGGCTACCGACGTAGAACTTGTTTGGAAGTCGAGGTAGCTTCGCCACACCGTATGTAATGACTTTGAGGGAAACGACTAGATTCTTCCATTTCTGTGGTGTTTCAGAAACAAACCAAGCCATAGACCGGGTAAGTCCAATGATGGCTGGAGAATGCCGTTTCTATGGTTCGTATGGTTCGTATGGTCGGGAGGTTGGGCCTGTGAGCTTGATCTGCGAGAATGTCATGATGCGTACCATCCCCGTGCTTGCCTACAAACACTTCCCACTGACTGTCTGATCAACGAATTCTTCCTATGAGAGTCAATGTAGTCGTGAGAATCGTTCCATCTTGTTACCGTGGTGGAATAATGATTAGAAAGCTTCAATCTCGTAGCTGGACTGGCAGCCCATACGGTCGTATTCGTTGCCGGTGTTTGGGCGAAAACCTGAGTCCAATGTGATATATATATGTACGTATGTATATATGGCGGTTGATATGGCGACTGGAGCCGAAACAATCCGTCTTTTGTGTGAGGCAATGGACGTAGCCTGCTATGTTATGACTGTGCGTTTGATACCATGAAAGTCTCGAGTCACAGCCCCTGTATGGCTATGCTCTTTCAGCGCGCAGGAGGACCATCCTCTTCAGTAAGAGATCCGGATCATGGGTTAACGCGTGCCCAAGCATCAGACCCACCTAAGATGGCACTCAGCGTCCCGGCAATGCCGACAGGAACAGGATCGATAGGAATCCAACCGACAATCGAGCCTGGGATCAACAGGTCGCAACTATCGGCCACAATATTCTTCAAGATCGCTTGTCGCTTATGTGCGTTCTGGTTCTGCGGCGCGGGCGTGTGTTCAATTACCGTGGACGCCTCCTTGCCGCCGGTCCTGACTGTAACCTTAGCTTTCGTCTTCTCACTGACTGCTGGTGGCTCTGCGTGCGCCGCGCTCGAATCGAGCATGAACAGATCGTAGAGCCCGAGCACTATCGACACCGCAAGAGAGTAGAACCAGAACTTCAAAGACTCGAATTGAAGACCCGGTGCCCAGCTGTTGTGCGTGATGTGCATCGCGTCGGCCTGGAAGCAAGTCGTCATGTCAGTCATACTGCCCCCATAGCGTCGAAGTCGTCCTCCAGGGAGGACTTCAGCCAGAGAGTGTGGAGACATACAATGCAGAACATCTCCATGAACAAGAAGATTCCAAGCAGCGAAAACTTGGCTATCATCAAGGTGACTCTGATCGCATCTTGGTTGCTGTTGTTGTTGTTCTTTTGGGGCTTCTCATCTCCGGTGGACGCTGAAGGGGAGTTGTACGTTGTAAGCAGGTTGTACGCGGTTGTCCAACAGTCTATCCATTTGACTATTCGAAAATAACGACGTCCTGCACGTTTCGCTATCAGTCAAGACCCGAGTTCACATTGCCTCACCACGACGAAGAGCGATGCGCAGATTGGATGCTGGGGGGGGGAGGGAGCCTCAACAGTGTGGAAACCACAAATGCGGACCCCAATATGGATCTTTTCCCGTTTGCCGCGTGCCTGGAACTTACCGATATTTGCTTGCTCTTTAGCCATGGCCCAGCGTGCTAGTTCTTCGGGGGTCGACGCGAACATGACTTCGGCAACTTGAGAGAACGATTGCACGAACTTAAGAGCTTTCTCAATGCCGACTGAATGCGGTCAAAACGATGAGAAAATTAAGTTAGCGATCAGGTTGCCAGAAAGGTAGTCATGCGAAGCCTCAGAACGATGTTTCGCGCTTACCGGCATCATTCGTGTATCTCGCGACAGATTGTAACATTGTTCGTTGGAGCTTTTGTGTTGAGTGTATTTCTTCTCTGGACTTTGACTGATGATATGAAGACTTTGTGGGAGAATGTCCTGCAGATTCAGACCAGGCGAGAGAGAATGGGGGCGACGAAGTTATTTATGCCCGTGAGTCAAGTCCGGTCAAGTCCGATGTCTGAGATTTAACACTAACGATGCCGGGGGTTGTACATGGATGAAGTTGGTAATATCAAGCCGTGTCACTACCTCTACAGTCACAATGGGTGGACGAGTGAATCCTTCATATCACTTCCAAGCGGGCCTATGTCGTTTGCCATTCCGCAAGCCGATTCATGTGAACAGTCCCAAGTCTCATGGTCCGATCTGTATGAGCAAAAGTTGTATGTCAAATCCCAGATCGTGATATTGAATAATTGGGATTGGTGACCGTCGTTATCTAGTAAATAGGAATTTTGAAACACCAGTACTGTTGGCCAATTCGTTTGTAGCTCCGTCCACCCATGACGTGTCTCCTCGGCCATGCTCACACCAATTTTGCATCAACGGCGGCGTGAGCTCGCCCATGCGCACACCCATTATGTCGACGTTGGGGGTGTGAAGAACTGACTTGCCGATAAATCATGAAGCGGCCGAAGATTCCCAACGAGCCCGAATCATGAGTGACTACCATCATGTGTCAGGCTGAGCGGAAGTGTTCGAAAGGCTGGTAAAGCGGACGGACGAGGTAAACAAGGCCATCAAAGGGAGTCATAAAGCAGCAGCGGCAATCTGTCAAAAGCAGCGAGAGCGAGAAGTGAGAGTAATAGGTGGTTGACCACACTCCGACGATTAACCGGTTAATTGCGAACAGTTTGTACGGGGATACGCAGTCTGAAAGCCTACAGGTGCAACTTTCAGCATCACACAGCCAGCTCGTCCACCCATCATGTCTTTCTTCTCTCGCATCCTCGTCCTAGTCGGTCTCTTATCGCTCTTCCATGCGTACGTTAGACTACGTGTTTGCCAGACAGGCCCGCTAACTTGGAGGTAGAGCATACTCAGCACATGAATTCTCGACATTGTCAACCAGGTTTCACAAGCCTGCTCCTCTGCCACTCGATATAAAGCTGGAGACTCTAATCTCTGTGTTTCTGGCATGTTTCGGCCTCATCCTAGGCTCGGAACCTCTGAAGCCAGTCAGCTGGAGTGCGTGGGCCGGAAAGATTGAAAGAGAAGGCCAACCAAACCCTTTCCGAGGTCTGGAGGAACGAGTAGGGTTCATGGATATCAGAGCTCAGCGAAGTGAATTTTCAAAGTGGGCTCGGTCGCAAGGCACGGTCACCAAAAGCTGAAAGGATGAAATGAAGCAAAAATCATACGTGACGGTGTAATACCGCGCAACGAGATGCTAGACGACCCACGCAAAGACACACTGGGAGCGGGCGTCGCTTGGAGTGAGGGTGTGACTGGCGGGAGAGCTGTCGTCTGGTTGGAGTACAGCTGATCACCCCTTTCGAGTCGAGCTCTCCCCTCGAAGTCGTGTACCAGTTCGAGGACGCTGCAGTCGTTATTGGCGACATTTCTGAGTAAGCTCTTGTTCTCGCGGTGCTCAGGTGAACGGACTAGAGCATAAGGAGATCCTATGCAATGTTCATTGTGACAATGCCAGCCCACAAGTTGCATCACCAGACGGAAAATATGTAGATGAGTTCTTGAGGGAGCATTGTATCACAAAAATACCATCACAATTGACTGTCAGGAGCTCTTTATATGCATTACTTCAGCTTGGAAGACCACGGTGGTTGGTTGTACGGACCATGCCAAAGTCAACAACGGACACCGGAAAAGGAACAAGGCGAGAAAGGAAGCCAGGGACGTGTTTGTGGGTTGTTCGAGAGATGAATTTCAGTGCTCGGTCGATGGACACGTTCTGATAATATCCCTGTGAGGAGTACTTCCGTATTCTATCTATTACACTATTCCACGCCCTCACTTATCATATCGGAGCACTTCCACATATGACAAGGTTATCTTTACCCTTTCACATATCCGTACTCAACCTCGTAAACTCCATCGCTTTTCTGAAATTTCACTGCTGTCGTTCCGTTCCATTCATTTCCTCTGCGTCAAGGTCTAAGCCTTGTGATTCTGTGGGTATAAATAGTCCGTTTTCGACACCTCCAGATGCTCCCATTAAATTTTCCGAATACCCGACTCCCAGTCCGTGATTTTGCATTTTGTCATAGCGTGCATTCCAACTCATAAGACCGCACTGAGCACATAATGTTTTACAAGACCGCCAAAACAACTCTCCTTTGCCTTGCCTGGTTGGGCGAGCTTGATGGCGTTCACAGCAATGAGAATCCCAGGCCCATGATGACCAGCCCGATCCCAGCACCGGCGACCTTGTTGGACACCGCGCCGCCGGTGGCCGCTGCAAAAGTAGCCGACGCTGATGATGAACCGCCGGCACTGGTTGCCAGGGTGGTGGTCGTCGACAATGGTACTGAGCCCGTCAAGCCGGTGGTGCTTTGTCCCGCCGCCGATGTCGCCGTCTCGGTCTCGGTGCCGACGCTGCTCGTAGCGGCGGTGCTGTTGGCGTACACGTACCCCGAGTAGCTGGGCAGGGTGGGCGAGACGGGCTGGCTGGTCACCACGGACGGCTGGGATGTCACTACGGACGGCATGCCCGTGATGACGCCCAGAGAGTTGGTCTCTGTCGTGTAGACGGTGAAGGGGTTCTCGTAGGATGCCGTGGTAGTGGTGTTGGCTTCTGATCCTTGAGGAAGCGGTGCTGGACTGGCGGTGATGACGGCAGAGAGTGACGAGAGGATGGCGAAGGAGAATGACAGAGACACAAATGACCGCATTGTGAAGCGATGTGACTGATTGATTGTTGGATAGTAGATCGTGATGAGTGTGGACAGCGCCGTAGTAGTAGGTTAGCAAAGGGGGGAAAAGGGTCCCTTTCTTGCTGATACCGAGTACTCGTATAGCCTTGGCGAGGCGCTCTCTTGGTAGAGACTTCTCAAGACTCGACTGCGGTGAGGAACTCCGGGGAGGATCCTGGTGTCTTGATGGTGCCGATGCTACGCTACAAGTAAGTAGGCACTCGCCCTCTGTATTCGCGTTGTCTTAGATTTTTGTTGATGGTGGCAAAACCGAAAAAGGTTGTTTCTCGTCCAACGTTGTATTGTTCGGACTATCTCGTATTGGGAGTGAATCGACGGGAAGAGATGAATCGGATCACAAATTATGGGAAATGGGATGTGAACATTTAGCCCATCTCAAGGACTGAGGTACATATATAGAGAATACCAAACCCCCTTGACAAACCCCATGCGTCGCTCCCCAACCATCTCCGTCCACGCCAACCACTACATAAGGTACTCTGCAAATGCAGTATGGAGGAACAAGCCACCAACCCCTTCTTGTTGGTGGCGGCGAAGGAAAATATGCAGCCGCTTGGCTGTTGTTTCTGCGCTGGAAAAATTCCTGCATGGACGCGCGGAGCAACAACCTCACGGCGGCTTGTGAGTGGCTGGGGCGGCACATCAGTGGATCGATTTTACGAGGCTGGGCGTACAAGATTGACGAGTCGCCGGGGGTCTGTGCGGCTGCAAGGGCTCGTGTGCTGGGTGCTGGTGTCAGATCGCCAGGGGGCGAGGGAACCGACGATTCAAAAATATCCAGGACAGCGTCGACAGGGCGCCCTTGCATGAACTGGCACACGCCAACTGTTTGCCGAGGGTGACGACGTGTTCGCAAAGGGGAAAAAGAACAACAACACTCCTAACACATCCCCCCTCCATCAAACCCCCACCACAGATTATCTCTTCTCCCGTATGGAGTCCAACATGGGCCACCTACAAATACAGTATATCGCTTGTGCTTCTGTTATCGATAAAGAGTGCGTTGTCTGCATGTTTCCTCTCTAGGTCCATGTCTTGGCCAGCCACACCGCACGCGTACTCGTGCTGTCGATCGTAGGTATTTTCACACACACACACACACACACACACACACACACACAAATCCACATGCTGGGAAAATCATTACCATGGACACCGAGTTTCACAAGAGTGGATGTCCTTCCTGTCCACACCAACTCCATCCTCGTACTACTCGTACCACGAAATGCATCTTCCCACCATTGAGGCGCTGACGAGGTGCAGTGTTCCGGAGACCCATGGTTGATGGCAGTGACAACCACCCAGATTCACAAGAAGAGCGAGGAATGACTGCTGATAAATACAGATATCGGTGGCATAAATTATGTATTATTAATCTCGTTTGTTCCCTCAATACGGAGAAATTGTCGTAGCTCAACATATCCCGCGTGTCATCAATGTAAAAAAAAAAAGTCCCGTCTCATCCCTTCCAATCCCAAAGCAAGGCAACCAACCTTTCCATTCGTGTATATACCCAGCGTTGAAAACTCATGTCGTAGTGTCGAAAGAAGAAAATCCGGATCCAGGCTGCGATCTGAACACGATATCATCCGCTCAGATAATGATATCGAACTGAAACGCCTCTCAGCGCGTGGAAAACTTGGGAACGCTGAACGGGAATAAATGTCCACCGCTTGCGATAAAACCCTCTTGCTGTAAAATATGTCCGTGACAGGCTCTCACAATCTTCGTTCTTGGGTGCTGCATTCATGCATCCATCAATTCTTCCCCATGCGTCATAGTCGAGAACGGACTTGATCCTTGGGGGTCCATTCTACTGCTCGCGATGCCACTGCGATTCACGCGGCAGCACGCTTGGTTTGATAGGCCTCGTATTGGGCCGCAAAGCCCTCGAAGTAAGCCTCGCCGTAGCCTTTGAGGGCAGGGGTGGCAGCCGTCTTCTTCAGCTCCTTTTGCTTGTAGTACTCGGCAAGTGAGGTGGCTTGGCTCTCGAACCAGCTGTCACCGAAGTTGCGCATTTCCTCAATGGGGGTGCTGCAGATCGTGCTGACAGTCGCCACCGACGAACTCGTGGTGTTGCGGGTGACACTTGGTCGCGTGTGTGCAGGCGTGCCTTGGAATGCCATTGTTTGGATGTGAGAGGATTTTTCGGGGTGGAACGAGGGGGATTTTTTGGCTGCCGAGGTGTAGAGTGAGGTCTATTCTTTGGGCCGAAGTGAACCAGAGAGAGGGAGTTATCAATAAAGAATTCCCTTCAAGAATGTGCGGTCAGCGCGGTGATATTCTTATACCCAGCGCAGACCCAGTTTTCTGGAACCGAGTCGCGCTCGAGATGGGAGTCAACACCGAGGAGAAAATTATTGACATTGAGGGCACTATTGCAGACCTGCGAGCGAAATCGCTTCTATCGGCACGACAAACTCAAATTAGGCCGGCACGTCGGCCGTCGGTCTTTTTCGCTGAAGAATGCTTCCGCATTGCCTTTCCATGGTGGTCAGTGCTGATGTGCGCCTCCACGGGAAAATCTCCATTGCTTCTTGGAAGACCCCATCCTCAATGCAGAACTGGGATCCGGACCGCCTCGAACGGAGTCTTGTTGCATAGATCCAGTCAGATATTCCCCAGCGAAGCGGGTTCTCACCTCTCATCTTAATAATTCATATCAGATCGGCAAGCACGCAATCAAGGCGACGAACTCCGGCCCGGTTTTCAAGGTCACATGGCTGGTAGCAAAGTTTTCTCGCTGTCAGCTTCTCCTGATAACGGTCCCTTGGATTTGCGCCTTCACACCGCTCCTGTGTGCGTGGGCATTTCCGTGGACACAACCAAAGCCACTTGTATTGGGTATAAACTGGTACAAGAAACTCGCTAAATGCTTCGACTGAAAAGGAGGGCAAATTTCGGCAGGACCCGTCCAGAGATAGGGGTCCAGATGCTTATAATCTGCGAATACCCACCCGTGGAAGCCCTTTTTTTGTTCCCCCAATGTTCGAGACCTTCCGTAGTGTGGCACCTGTCGGGGGCACCGTTGCTTGATGCAGAGCTGCTCCTTTGGTGGCTTTGCCCGTCGAAACTCCGATATTCTCCTTATCTCCATCTTCATCGATACAATCCTCTTGCGTAGATAATGCACTCGAAATGTCTTGTGGAATTGGTACTCCTGGCCGTAGTAGACGAGGAGACTTCCTATTCGGCCCGGTCTGGGCCACTTCGTCGATCTGCATGCCATGCGTCTCCGACCCTTCGGTGCTTGACATTTCACATAAAGGACGTTTGGAGCTCGTGGAGATCTTCTTGTCGCGACTGTTCTGGTTTTCGTTTTCCTTGGTATTGTCCCCAAGCTTTTGATCGACTATGGCATGGCTATTGCTACTCGTACCCTTCAGAGTTTGTGTTGAGCCATCCTCATTCTCCTCTTCTCCTCTCCTCTTTGCATCCAAGACGGCTTTGGCAAGATGTCGGGGGATCGGTGCGTGGATGCTTGCCATCAATTTGGCTTGAGCCGCGAAAGCATCGTAGTTTTCCTGAATCAGGGCTCCAGCGGCTGCATTTAACGCTGAATCCGGGTTAGGCTGGATCAACAGACAGGAGATGGTGACAAGAATATCTTTGAATGTCAGACTACTCTTCCAATCTCTTTTCAGTGTCTCTAGACACACTGCGCCTGTAGATTCTTCGATGTTTGGGTGGTAGATCCGTGTTTTGAACGTCGCCTTAGGCGGGGATTTTGGGTAGTCGAGGGGAGCCCTGAGGTGTAGCAGCCATAGCCCTTGGGAGTAAGGAGTTCCCTCCGCCCCAGTGACGAGCACGTTCAATTGTGTCAGGTCATCAGGGAGCGACTGAGGGTCATCAGACTCGAGGAAGAGGTAGTTCGGAGGGAGAGCGGCTTGCAGCTGCGCATGGTCCTTTGCGAGACGTCGAAAGGAGGCGGCCTGAGATGTTTTAGTGGTTGGATTCGATGGCCACAAGGATGAAGTACTTACCATAATGAATGACTTTCTATTTTTCGAACATCGCTAACAGTCTGTCCTCGGAAAACTCTTGGTAGAGGAGAGGAGACGCGTATTGACCGCATCCATGGCTTTGCGCGTTTAGACCGTGACTCGTTTCCCCGCTCCCGGCCAAATTTGGACACACAGAGCAAGGCTGAGAGAGTGCTAGGGTCCAGGGGAAAATGCACACAACTTTCACTACAAGGATTGATAGAATGCACACAGCGTGCACCCATGGGCTAATCTGCGACGGAATCCAGCTCCTCTGCTTTCCAGGTCGTGTATACTCATAGTCAAGAGATTGAGACCAATGATACCTTAGATAGACAGAAGTAGTGGCCACCGAGGATGAGCGAGTCAAGCCCAATGCATGATACACGCGCATCTCCCTACATGAATCTGTCACGCTCTCACCTTGGCCAGGGTGTAAATATGAGGTCTCTCGTGCGTCCATGCGTGTCAGTGGGCTGTCCCCAGTGGATAGAGGCCTCGCTTTACGAGCTCATCTAGCTCTGAAAGCGACATGCGAAGCGCAATCTCGACCTCGGCATGTGTTCGTATAGACCTCGATCCCGAAACTCGTTGCGCCAGTGCGGCAAGACCAGTACCTGTACTTTGGACATCTGGTCTGGGACTCGGCGGATAAACTTCAAGGTCAAATCAAACCACCAAACTTAAGCGGTACGAGTACGAACAAGCCAATCAACCTCGGCCTCGGTGCGCAGGGAGCCGGCAGCTCCATTGGGTTTAGCGGCCTTTTTCAGCCGAAGCTGTCGAGTTCTGCACAGCCCATCTAACCATCTCCCAGCTTTTTCCAACCGCACAGCTGGTCCTTTTGTTCTCCTTTCGCCTCATACCGTATACGTCGACTTCGACCCAGATCGCCAAAAATCCTAAACGTCGGCCGCCACGCTGTCCGCCTACCATCAGCCTCTCTCGTCCCCCACTATCCAGCCCAATTTGTGTTTCAACACCTTCGGCGCTCGCGATCACTACTGACGGTCCCCGCCTAAATCTTTGGCACTCAAGCATGTCCCAGGCCTGAGCGTGGCCTATGACTGGACTCTCTCAGGGCTCTCAACGCTGATAATCACCCCCAGAGCTCAGCCTTTCGAGTAGCTGAAAGCTAGCCGAGCCTTGCAACACCCTCTGCTTGGTATGAGGCACTATTGACTCGACCAAAAAGCCTTCAGAAGTGCACCTTGACATTTACAGTTAATCTGCCTACTTCATTGGTATATACGTACAGTAATCGCCACTGACATTGGGCTCCTCGTAACAAGTTTTGCTTCACATCTTCCCACTGCAATCCGAGTCGGTTCCTGCATGAGCCTCCGACGCAACAATCGTCTGGCCTCCCACCGAGACCCGGCTATCACTGAAGCTATTTTTCCTTGACGCTTGGACGGATCCGGAACTGGCTTCGACCCAAGGATCTCCTCGTACTTTTGACGCAGCTCTTTCGCCACCTGTGTCGCTCCGATGGCCATGTGGCCGCAAGGTCAACCCTTCGCAGTGCCGATTCGTATAGCCGCTTCCGGTCCGCATTATTATCTGCATGATTCCATCGACTCTGCTCACAGCTCAATGCCGGGCGATATCACAAGCGCATCTAACGGTGGTTTTCCCTACCTTGAGACATCGTCTTCTACCTTGCCTGTCTTGGCACGTCGGAAGCGGGCTAGCAAACCAAAAGTACGGACTGGATGTAAAACTTGCAAGGTAAGTCCACTACGATCTGTCTCCACGCAGGATTTCCAGGCCTTGTTTCGCCACCGGTGACCAGACCCAGAATCTCGTCAAGGCTGTAGATGGCTGAAATGACCAACTGACCCGTCTGGTTTGTGCAGATACGGCGTGTGAAGTGCGACGAAACTAAGCCGAGCTGTAAGTTCGTCGTTAGACTGCTGTCAATGTCCCTGCTGATGTACGTATGATGCTCACGTGTCTCGCAGGTAAGCGATGTACCTCCACTGGTCGTAAGTGTGATGGGTACGAGTTCCCCAAAGAGACACCAGGAAGATCATCATCCTCGTCCACATCATCGCCACCGTCGCGTTCTTACCCAGTTGCTCAGTATCTATTTCAACCCGACTCCATCTCCAAACCGGTTCCAGGCAACACGCAGGAGCGTCGTATCTTCCATCGCTTCCAATACTGTACAGTGCCTCTCCTTACTGGTGGTTCTGAAGCCGGATTCTGGAGCAAACTCGTACTGAAGGTGGGCCTGGAGGAGACCGTTGTCCGCAACGCCATTATCGCACTGGGCACGCTACATGAGGATTATCAAGAGCGGAGTGGCAGGTACTCGCCCCAGCTGATCGAGGACAACAGCTACCGGCACGCCTTATCCCTCTACGGCGGTGCACTGAGGCAGCTCAACCAACGACTGAACGAGCCATCCAAACTCAACGCCAAGCTCGCCATCGTCGCCAGTATATTATTCGCCTGCTTCGAGGTACTCCGTCGCAATAACATGGCTGCAGTTATCCATTACCAGCAAGGCATGAGAGAATTGTTCCGCCAGATGAACCTCCCCGAGAGCGACGACACCTCTCTGGTGGCCTCCGATAAACAAGCAACCTTCCGAGAGATTCCAGAGAATGAAATCGACGAGTTGCTACGAGTCTTTGCGCGCTATGATATCCAGGCTTGCACCTTCTCGAAGGAACGCGCCGAACCTTTGTCTACCCACATCACACTACCTCGGGTGCTCCCCACTGATATGACTCTGAGCCAAGTTCGTTATCACCTGGATAACCTGCTGGTATCTGTATATCAGCTTATCAAGTCCGATGTTCGAATGTATCGGTATTGGGACGCAGACTCGGTGCCTTTAGAATGGCGGACACGGACCCAAGAAGCAATCACGACATTCGATACGTGGATGGCGGCATTAGAGGACTTCTTCACGTCTAATAGCCATCAATTGACGAATAGTGACATCAAGAGTCTGCTGGGGATGAGGCTACAGATCAAGACTGCAGTGATTATGCTCAAAGTCTGTATCGATTGCGGGCCTGAAAGTGTGTTCGACAACTTTACGGACGATTTCGAAGACATGGTGTCCAAGGTCGAACAGATGACTGCGGCTCTTGGCATACAAGAAGCCAAGCCATTGGAGATGGAATTGACACCATTTACCATGGAGCTTGGCATCGTGCATCCCCTGTTTTTCGTCGCGTGCAAATGCCGCGACTGGGATCTTCGGCGCAGAGCGATTATGCAGCTCAAGCGAGCTGGAAAAGAAGGCGTATGGGAGGGTCCCATCATGGCCGTGCTGGCATCCCGCATCATGGAACTTGAAGAGGAAGGTCTGTCGTTTGGAGAGGCAGTACCCGAAACACAGCGACTTCACGATATTAAGAAGAATGTCGACTACGACAACCGACAGATATTCATGGAAGCCACCAAGGCACTCGATACGACATGGAACAATTTTACCATTCTCCGAGAGGTGGTTACCTTTTGAAGCGATTCGAAGCGATTCACAGCGATTCAGAGCGACGATAAACGCGGAGTCTTGGACAATCCAACAATGGCAGGATGAGTGATGCATTTGTGTTTGGCGTTGAAACGAATCTGAGTTAGATACCATTGGGTCTATCAAGAATATAAGCGCCGTGCACGGGCACGAATGATGGCAGTGGAAAGCCCAGGCATAATACAGTATGATGGCAGATTGATGGCCATCACGGTGCAACGAAAACCACGTGAGACGGATCACGACGTCCATGTAGTAGAACACTATGAGGACAACACATGAGGTCATTTGCGATTTATTTTCTCTTCCCCTGTATGACTAGAGAGGGTGGTGTACGAGTAAGGAGAGGCACATAGGCACGTACCGTATGTTCTGGGTTTTCGGTACTCGCACAGATGCGAGTGCAGGGATCCGGTGTCGTGCCTCTCGTAGAAGGATCAAGGAAGGTGTGCACGAACCCTGAGGGGGCCGGAGAATTGATCGGTTCGGGCATAGTGGCCGCCGGGCGTCGATGGGCGCTGTTGGGCCTGCTTCTGCTTGGAGGGAGCACCCTGAATCGTGGGCCTGGTGGGCGGTAGTGGCCCCCCGAGGCCCCTGTCTTTTGTCTTCCCGGCGCCCGTGGCCTTTGGACGCACCGGGCCTAGTCAGTCTTTAACTTGGGCGCTCTAGTCCATCTCCAGTGTAGTCTCTGCACCTAATCACCCTTCTGGCCAACCACAGCCTCGGATACGTGTCGCGTACCAATCTTGATTTCCCTCCGCCAGGCCTCTGAATTTTGACACCTTCAGTCTTCCACCTCTCTACTCCGTATTCTGTAAACCGTCCACGCAGCTTCAATTCGATTCCGCTCTAGGTCAATGGCGCTGCTGCCAGAGCTCGAATTCTCGTGTGTCACAACCGCTTCCACGGCTCCGGACGTCGTCTCCAGCACTCCGGTCAAGTGACATCTCACAGCTCGTGTCTCTCACCGTTCATGAACCTCGACCAGATCGGACTGGACACTCTCCCTTCTCATATTCGTGGGCACACCATCATCGACACCCCAGAGTACGAAGAAGCTATCCTCCAATCCTTGAAGGGCCCGAGTCTTTCGTCCACTCCTTCCGAGAGTGACTGGGTCTCGCCCTTCACTCTACCTCCTTTGCCGACTTTGCATCGCGATCGTCATCTACGAGAACCTTCTCAGTCCCCTGAATTCCATCGCCAACGAGCTGAGAGTGGTGCATACTACGCCGCCGCCTGGGGCTCCCCATACGCTACGCCGAGTCCTCGACGAAGCCCACGTACCACAGATCGGTCGACTCGGCGGACCGACATCGAAGGCACCACTCCATCCGACTCTTCCGTCCGTGGCTCCAGTCCTCTGCCGACGCGAGTCTCTGCAGAGAGCCCGGTGGTCCGACCTCGACGTCTCGACTCGAGTGAAAAGAGACGGCAGGTGAAGAAGAAGTGGCTGAATCCGCTCTCTGAAAGACCCAATTGGCTGAGCGAGTCAGAGGACAGTGGTTCCGAAATAACTGCAAAAGAAGGGGAAAGAACACCAACCCGCCGCGCTTACCTAGGCCATTGGGGCATATCGCCTGACGCGGTCAGCCAACGCCTGCAACGACACCGGCGCAGTGAGAGTCTTGGGACTGTGACCCCGAGTGCTTCCTATGGTTCCCAACCCGAATTAGCAGCATCATCCTATTCGCGGAGATTGATAGCTCCTGCTGTGGGAGATAGAATGGCGGAACAAGAAGCAGAGAGTACCACAACTGCTGAAAAACCTCTTCCTGACCCGCCATCACAGTCTGTGGTGCATGCAGAAGAGCAGAAAGCGATGGCCAGCCCGAACTCGGAACCGCAGCGACCGCGAGTCGCATCCATGCAATCATACCAGCGACCCAAGAAAAAGGTTGCGTGGAAGGGTAAGACTTGCATCATCGCCTTGCCACTCACCGACCGAAAAGCTGCTGGTCTTCCGCCTCTACTCACCCCGCAAGACATCAAAGAGCGCGTTGAACGCTGGGCCAAAGCCGGCTATGGCGTGGATGGTTTCGAGCTCACCAATGTTGCGGACGGACTGCCGTCGAATGCTAGTGGGCAGAGCCGGCCGATGTACCCGGACCCAGCAGACATGCGAACCGAACGAACTCTGCGCAAGTACCAGGTCCGTATTCCGGACCAAGAGGAATGGAACGCCTTCGTCAACTACCTTAAGGAGGAGAAGCTTCGTGCGCTGGGTGTGAGTCCAAGTAATTCGGAAGTACCGCCATCAACAAAGTCACCCTTCTCGGCAGCTTTGAGTCGAGTTTCGTCTGGATACCCAGGGTTGGCGCCGTCGCCGCCGGTTGCCTCGTCCTCGTCAGCAAGCAATCCACTACGGGTGACAAGCAATCCCTTTTCTCCGTCCTTATTGTCTTCTACGGGTATCAGCCCACAGCCTGGATCTATGGCATCTTCTCAATATACTGGTGTGCCAAGATCTTTACAGGGACATGGGTACAAGCAATCTGTCGTTCATCAAGGTGCCTACGGACGAATTACATCACCATTTGACGGGTCTATATCCCAGTCAAGTTCGTTTGGACACGGCTCTCGACCTAATGTGCCACCACTATCTTCACGACAAAATAGCTTCTCGCCGAATCATCCCGTCTTGTTGCCTAATTTGGGCGAGGTTCTGTCCCCTCAAGTACAACAGCGTGGCACTGGTCAGAACGTCAACTTTGTGCCTGAGCCCAAACGTTATGGCCCGCTATCTCCAGACAGCAACATAAGCTATGGTCATCGCCATCAGCAGACACTTAGCCCAGCCCTACAATACCATACGGATACCCACGTCCGTACACCAGAAAATCGGGCCCCTTCGCCGCCTCCTATTGAGATTGCTCACCCAACACCGAAGAGCCATCGGCAGAACCTCAGCATGGCTCTACAACGAGGTGTTGACGAGGCGGAGGCCGCCTCTCGTGCGCATGTGGGTGCCGGTGCTGGCGAGGAGTCGGAAACCGTGCAGATTTCTTCCAGGAAGAATTCGATGATGGATGAGGAGCCCCCTATTCTAAGAAGGCCTGAGACAATGTCTGCTGCAGACGAAAGATCGGAAATCGAAACCAACCCCAGCATTGCGGCGACTCCGATGCTAATGGACGACAAGAATCCGTTCGTCAATTGGCAGGCATTGAGCGATGCGGCGAAAGCAGAATCCAAACCAATCGCGGAATCCATCCCCTCGGCGTCAAGGCTTAATGTGCAGGCGAAAGAATTTGATCCGCAGGCTGGCTTTTCAAGCTCCAACTTCGCATTTGGGGACAGTAGCGGGTTCAAACCATTTGGCTTTTCCCAGTCACCACATGCCCCAGTATCGCGAAAAGCTTCAGCTCAAAATCGCTTGTCGCTGAATGCCGATGCCCCGGCCTTTACACCCTCCTTCACATCCCAAAATCCCCCAAGAGAAACACAATTTAGGTTTACCTCGGCCACTTTCAACGTGACAGCACCGGTATTCGATCCAGCGAGCTCCCCAAGGACGAATTTCCGGGATGGGGAAGGCTCTGCTGCCGTCACAAGTCCTGACGCTACGAAGAGCATCTTTGGCAAGGTGGTCATTGATCCAGCATCAAAGGTGACAAGGAGGTCAAGCAAACCGATTCCAATTCAAGCCCCCAAATATGCGGAGACGCAAGATCACAGCCCATCAAGCAGTGAATATGAGGATGAGATCGATGACTCTGGCCGTCCAATGGCACCTAGCGATCGACAAAAGAGGGCCCGACGAAATGACAGAGACGGAGACAGGAGTCCGGTATACGCTGACTCGGCACCTTTCAACCACGAGAGAATTCTGTCAGAAATCGTTGATGATATCGATCAGAACGGACCACCCCCGGAGAGCCCGAAGAAGCCATCGGATGGTTGGTCCTACATTCCTGCTGACGAAAACCCGATGGAAAGCCCTACTGACGTACCGCCGGCTGAAGAAGATATGGATGTCACTCAAGACACCGATCAGGAGTTCACCATGGACACTCAAGAAAACGTGGCCAAATTCAATGAAGCTCGACCTGCTTTCGACGCGGAGCCTGTGAAGCCTGTGCATACCATTGAACAGCGGCTGAAAGATGCGGTGAAAGATGAATCAGTTACGCCTACGAATGTTGAAGAGTCAACAAGACCACCAGTCCGGAAGCCTAAATCATCCCTATCAGCACTTGCCAAACCATTTGAGTATAGACCGTTTTCGTCCAGCCCATATACATCGTCAGCCGCAAAGACTCCAGCGAAGCCAAAAGGATTGGAAGCTTCGAAATACGCAGTATCATCGAGCCCGCCTCAATCTTCAGCCGATCTGACTGCGAGCCTGTCTTCGCCTCCTGCGGATCTGTACCATTATGTTGAGAAGGACGACGATTCGCTGAGCGACAAAGAGGAAATTGTGGAAGTAATAGAAGAGCCATCGACTGAAGAGGAGATCGAGTCGCAGAAAGGAGATCGAAGCTCCGATCTGGACGCTGACGCCGCTAAAGCGGTGGAAATGACAGAAGAAAGATCCATTGAAACGCATGAGCAGCCATATCATGACGAGATAGAGCTTGACATGCCTCGATTGAGATTGCGTGATCATGATGATCCATTGCCTTCATTCGAGGAGATTGATGCCGTTATGAAGCAGTTCGAGGTATACCCAGAGCTTGGAATTGAGCGTAACGACACCCCTATTCAATCCACACCACTCGTTGACATGCGCCTGGGAGATAATTTCCGAAGTGATGCTCCTAGCCCCAGCCCACCACGCCGTCCGGCGCATTCCGCCGCTCACAATGATGCCTCACATGCGCCATCTATTGGCTTGGGCATTGGAGTTCACAAACTAAACACAGGCAGAGAAGACGTCAGTGACTGGGGCGATACAATGTCAGCTCCAGAAGCTGCGAAACTGCAACTGCGATCTCAGTTTTTTGATGGACATGTGAGTGAGTTAGTGGATGGCATTCTTGAAAATCGTCTTGGGCCACTTGAACGAACTCTACATACCATTCAACAATCCTTGACTTTGATGGGAGGAGGAGTAAGACCTAAGAGTAGTGGTCGTAGTGTTTCTACAGACATGAAGCACTCCGACGCTGATGACGAGGATGAATATGACGCTTTCGAGGGCTTTGCGGCCTACAGGTCGAGATCTCCTGTCGCGAGAAGGAACGAACGCAGGCAATCCCAGATTCGTGCCGCTGTTGCTGAAGCCCTTGCTGCGCACCAACCAACCCAGGCCCCCCAACCGTCAATCGAGATAGCCGAATTCAACACAGTCATCCAAGAGATGAGAGAGATGGCGCAGCAAGCAGGATCTCAAAACACACTGAGTCAGCTCAAAACTATTGTAGAGGAAGTCATTTCTCACCATCCTCGCCTACGCGGTTCACGTGTCCAGCAAGAGCACGACTCTGCGGAGCAGAAGTATAAACCTCAGATTGATGGACTTGAATCTATGCTGAAGATCTCGAGAGAGCATGCCGCTGAAGAGGTTCAGCTTCGTCGACAGGCCGAGGAGCAGGTTGCGGAGTTGAAAATCCGCTTGCGTATTGCAGAGGAAGAAGCCGCACAATACCGAGAATCATCAGAAGAAGCCCAACAGACGCTAGTGGCATTCGTCGAGGAAAAGAAGTCGTATGAAAAGGCCCAGGATGAGATCGAAGCGCTGAGCCTTAGGAACACCGCCCTCGAAAGCACTCTCGAAGAGTATCGTGTCTCAAGTGATCAATGGAGAGAAGACATCCGGTCCGAACGAGAAAAGAACAAGGAGCTCAAACGCGACTTCGACGTGTTGCAGCAGCACTTTGACGACCAGTCGCATTCTCGGCAATCTCTGAAAAGCAAGGTAGAACGACTGCAGTCACGTATGACTCAGGCTGTCCAAGACCTGCATGCGGAGCAGGCCGACTGGCGTCATAAGGAACATGAGCTTCTCGGGAGACTCGCTCAAGTCCAACACCAGGTTGATCTCGAACGTCGACATCGTGAAAAGACCGAAGAAGAGCTCCACGCTTTGGACAAGGAACATAGAGCCAATCTTCAAGTGAAGCCTCTTCTGGAACAAGCTCAATTGGATGTGAATAATTTGAACGGACTTGTCGCAACCCTCCGAGAAGAAAACAGGCTTCTTGATGTCAAAGCCTTCAACCTCGACCGGGAATTGACCAGCTCTATCAAGACCAAAGAGGCCGAACTCGCTACGGCAACAGTGAAGTTACAGGCTGAATTGGAGAGTGCGCTTGGACAACTCCAGAGTATCAAGACAGATTCCGAAGCTCAAATCACGCGACTGCAGAGTCGCCTTGACCATGCGGAACTAGATATCGAGGACCAGAAGGCCAAGCATGATGCCATCTTGTCGGAAACCATCGAAGCGCATAAAGAGGCAATTCGCGAGGCAAATGAAAAGAGAGAACTCGCTCTTGAGGAACAACACCAGGTTCACGAGAAGAAACTAAATGATCTTCGCGATCGCCACACTCGAGAGCTGCATAATTCCTTTGACAACAGAACAAGACTTGAACATCATCTGAACGAGAAACTCAGCTTGAGTGAAGACAAGGTGAAACACCTAGAAGGCAAGATTACCGATCTTGAGGAGAGATTGGAGATCACCAAATCTGCAGCTCGTGCCGCCGTCGAAGCCGCTACGGCCAAAGGTGTCAATCTGCCTACGCCGGCGTCTTCAGTGGTCGCGTCTCCACCACAGCGAGCTGCAAGTGCTTCAATCTCGTTTGTGAAAGGGACCGAGGTGCCCGAAAAGATCTCGCCACAAGCCCTGCGAGAGTCTATCATGGTTTTGCAGGATCAGTTGCAAAATCGTGAACAAAAGATTGAAAAACTAGAAGCTGAACTAGCAGCAACGGATAAAGATGCACCTAACAAGTTGAAAGAGCGGGAGACCGAGATAGGCTGGCTTCGAGAGCTGCTCAGTGTACGCATGGATGATCTAGAAGAGATTATCGGTTCGTTGTCCGAGCCAAATTTTGATCGAGAGACTGTTAAGGACGCTGCGATCAGGTTGAAGGCGAATCTGCAAATGGAACAACAGCTGAGAGAGCGCGCAACGGCAGGGCAGTCAAGTTCTTTCCCGTCGATATCAACCCTGACCAGCTATGCTCAGTCACCGCGAGCACTACCGATGGCCGCTGCAGCTGCGTGGGGCAACTGGCGTAGGGCACGCGATACCTCCATCGGAGCGTTGTCTGACCTGGCCACCAATCTAGGCACTCAGACACCCACGAGGTCGGCCAGCGGCAGTCCTAGCAGCTTTCTCTCGGGCATCATCACGCCTCCGGGCACTTCTCAGAAACCAACGGGGTCTACCGAGATGCCTCCTCCAGGCGCGAGACCACTTGCAGCCGCAGCCGCCGCCGCTCGAAAGACGAGCTCCGAAGCACGACCATTGAGAGGCTACAGCTCGCAACCCCGAGCACTCGCAAGTAGACAACCAGACAAACGGCCAGATAGTTCGCAATCTGAACCTCGACGTCTAAGACCGGAATCGCCACATACACCCACCCAATCGAAGCGGCCCAGTCTTGAGCTCACTGATGATGTGGATGACGACGCATCACCACTCGATGGCAAAGACATGACGGCGCGGCGCTTTCAGGAGCCTGAATCTGTAACTGCTGACTGAGAAACATTCTCCTAGTAATGTCTATGAACGAAATGGGCGGGTTAATCAATTCTGATGTGGATACCAAAGTTTATCAACCAAATTACACAAGTATGAACGATCAGTTGTCAGTGTGCGAGCAACTGTTGGAAGGAGCAAGACTCCAAGAACAAGGGAATGGAGAAGAGGAAAAAGAGTTGAATAGTGGAAAGAATTTGTGTTTGAATTTGCATGAGCATGGCCTGGCAAGCGTTGTCTTTCTGTTTCACCCAGTCTCTCTGGGTCTATCACTGTCTACTGGTCATATAATACCCCTTACTGTTTTGTTATTTGGTTGTCTTTCTGTTCTCTCTGATTTGGGGCGATTCCTTGACGGGTCATTTAACCCTGACCCTATTTTTCCCATTTTCTACGTTCTTTTTCCATACTTTTTTTCCATCTTAATGTCTCTCGAGTCTCGACTCATCTTTTTCAAATTTCTTCTCTCATATATATTCTCTTTTTTGTACAGACGAATTTCATTATATTATAACAGGAGTAGAGGGGGAAGCACCAGGTGCACAGGGCTGTCGTCAATCAGGCAACATGAGTTGGAAGTTGAGAGGCACTCAGGGAACACTTCTTTCTTTCTCGCAACACTTGGTCGTCCTCTCCAGGCTGTTTTGAGCACCCCGCGAATGCTCCAGGACACACTTGATCGTGCGCCGAAGTGCGCGCCGTACTCGAAGTCTACAGAGAACGCTGTAGCCTTGGTTGAAATCTGCTATCACTGCGCATCACCCTGTACACAACTCATGTACGCGCATGTTGACTACGCACACTTCTCTGTATGCACAATGTACTTGCTTGTTCTCGACCGATTCATTGCGTACCTGCTATTCTGGTGCGTATACCTGCCTATTCGTGTGCATGGCCATGTATATTCAAGGAAAAAAGAAAGAAAAGCACTTGCCTAGGCCCCTTGACCTAGTTGTCCATGTCTGCTTGGCCCAGGGCCCACTGTGCAGTGACCACCTCCCTGGAGAGGGGCACACACCTCCCGACTCACTACAATACATGTGTGTTCCAGAAAGAAAGCTCAAGATCAACATCAAGGCACATTAAGAGGTCAACAAAAAAGTAATTAGGCCTTCGTTAAAGACAGACTATGCGACTATCACGAATAAATATAAGAATTAAAGGTGAATATTTAAAGGCTGAGAATGTATTCTGTATATCTCTACTATAGAAACTAAAGCATTCTCTATAGCAATATAGATTTCTAGTAATCTGGTTCTCTCAAGACCGAAGACTCATTCTATACCGTTCAAAAACGAAGGAGACAAGAGACCAAACTATAACTTAGAAGCTAAGACTATCAATAGAGTGAATAATATAGATCAGGTTCCCGCTATTTTCATCAAGGCTCATTAAGTATTAAGATATTTTCGTTATCTCTGTATAGCGATATAGTAAGTAAACCTCTTTAGATAAACATGACGCTCGCCCTATTAATGTCTTTACGATATTTCTCCACTAAAACGTCGCTATAAGTTCAAAGTGTTTTTAATGGCCTTCTCTACTTCATGATTATTCTATTTATCTTATCACCCATCCTGAAACCCATAGAAGTCGGTGTTGTATGAAGCTATTTTCTCGAGATCGAGATGGCCATGATATACGCCTTCAAAGCTCTCCTAAGCCTCTAGAAACCTGCAAAAGCTTTATGTTATGTTAGCCCTTGAGAAGACATTGAACTTGAATGAGAAGAATTGGACACACACTCCCATTGAAGAAAGGGCGAGGCTTGAAAGTGAACTGGGGACTAGAGTTGCTTGTTGAGTATAAAGAGGTATACGCTAGATATCGATGTCAACCCTGTCGAGATTGGCAACGGAAGGACACAGACTAAGTTAGAGGCCAACTTGTACAGGACGTACACCTAGACCGGAAAGCACCCGGAGTCTAGACGTGAATATTGCGTTTAAGGAGCCATCCAGTGTCAGAACTGACTCTTGTCGACGGCGGCAATGACTCTAAACGAGTACTTGAGATAGGGAAGGGCGTTCGCTGAAGCGATCTCCAAGAGCTAAGAGAAATCTGAGGTTAGGATTGATACTTAATAACGATGACGGCAACCAAGACTCTAAATATGTGATGGAGGAAGTACTTGTCATACCATGGAAATGTTTATGACTCTACATCCAATCCTTGAACTTATTCGATCTATCCCACTCCTCACGGTAACCCAGCTTATATCCTGGTTTGTCAACGAAGCACCACCGAAATGGAAAGATCTATTCAACCTTCACAGTATACGACCAATCGATTCTCCATAACACACAATTTAAAGCCGTCTAGGAGAGCCCCTAGTCGACAGGGTGATTGACATATGAGAAGAATAAATCATCCACACTTAGATCGTCCCATGATGTCGAGGACAAGGCCCTGTCGTCCTGGACCCCTTGTCCATCGCCGCCAGAGTCAGGTGCTCCGTTCTCGGTGTTGGCGACCACCCCCGTATCACGCTGGGGATCATGAGGTTCCAAGACTCTGGTTTGCAATTCGGCTGGGTCGTTGTCAGATGAGTCCGTTCCCACGACGGTCTCCCTGGAGTCAGGCGGAATTGAGTGTTCGGCCAGAGTTTGGTCTTCGGCCGGAGTTGTTGATGATGGTCGGCCATCACGTCTGATTGCGGAACTCTCACGGAGCTCAGTCGAAGTCGTGCCATTTGCTAGTGGCCTTTGCGACCCTCTCGCTTCAAGATATCGCTCAAAGATGGCTTGTAAGCCGTTGGCCACTATGGTATCGTTGAAAGCTGTCATATCCGCCATATTGGAGACAAGCCCATTTTCAGCTAGCAGACCAGTAATGATTGCAGGTCCCTGGGCGGTGGCAAAATCTTGAAAACAGGAAAGCTCTTCAGAGAGTTCGCTGTCCACAAAGGGACTGTGTGGGCGGGGTACGCCTGGAAAAAGGATGTCGAAGACTATGTACCATTGATCTGTTTCCGACATTCCCGGTGGTACCCTTACCTGCAATTGTCTCTTCTGAGCCTCAGTCACGGCTTCCCACTGAATCATCGGCCGCCCCTCACATGAACGAGCTCCGAAGTGCAAGTCGCGTACCTCTTCACTGTCAAAGGTTGCCATGCAGTTCAAGCAGTAGATGGGGTAAGAATGATGCCTCGAAAGGTGCTGTTTGACGTAAGAGATCTTCGAGAGCCGATTTCTGTAGCAGGATCTATGCCGATGAGGATCCTTCTTGGAAAAAGGACATGCGAACCACAGTCGCCGTCTTTGTTCTGCTTTCGTGAGGCAGGCCTTTTTCTGAACAGCCTCGCCCGGTGATCTGACTAAGGAGTCTTGATCAGAGTTCCTGGCTCTTTTTTGCCCTGGTCCCCCGAATTCCTGCTGGGCAGACGACTTTCTCGCTGAGCTTGCAGTGTCGCTGTGGCTCAGACCAGATTTGGGTGAATGTGTCCGGTAATGATCATCAAATGCTGAGAGCAGACATGTGAGTAAAAAGCAGCCATGCAACTGTAGCAGTGGATGTTGCTCTTCGCATTTGGGCGTGGGTTCGGAATGATCTGAAATCCAGTAGTAATCGCTGCTGTCACAACTCATGTCCTCCTCGATTTCCGGCTCAGTCTCATGCTCATCTGGACCTAATGGCTTTTCAGATTCTGCCAACCAGTGGTTATCGAATTGAATGGAGTCTGCTACATCCCCCCGTACACCCCCAAGGGCCTCCATTGCCAGAGATGGCGAGTGTAAAGGAAATGGAACAGGCTTATTCGGTAATGTTTCGTGTTCTTGACAAGAAAGTGCATCGCCCAAAGAGTCGGCGTCTCTGGAGCTCAAGTCCGCCGTCAAAGAAGGAATGAGCTCGGACTTTCCGACTGATGGGCTCTTGGGAGGTTGGTATACCGGTTTAAAGCTGATGTTCAGATTCTTATGTATCAACTTCAGTTTACTGAACGGCTCCTGTTCCCAAGGTTGACTCATATAACCCTGGAGTGCTGGATTTTCGGTCTCGACAGGACCGATGTCTTGGGCTTTCAACGTGTTATAAATTGGTAGTGGGGTGTCCGCGAATTGTCCTCCGATTAGAACTAACGCTGAGTCCTCCGCAGGCTCTGGCTCAGATGGCTTTATCCCTTGAATGAAAAATTCTCTGGCATAGGCAATATCGTACGGGCTAAATTCCCCGTTGGATGCACTGTCCTGCGTGGTCGTGAATTGATGGGGAGGTTGGGGGGTGATTCCGGCCAGTGACCAAGAGTTGATGTCGTCAGTGTCGTCTGTAGATGACTGGGGTGCAATAGGTACAGCTGTAAAATGACCGTTTCCCACGAATACATATGCTATCTCGCTTCCACCACCTTTAGTAACAAGGTTTTCGATCCTGTAGACATCTTCAACAGTTCGCTCGGTTGTGGGAGAAGCGTGAAAGCTGATACGAGACTGAACACTGCTCCTCTTGCTGAGATTGTTGATGGATGACATAGTCATTCAAGGTGAAAGAGCCTTGATGTGTTGTGGTGAAGCGATGCTGTGAATAGCAACGGTTTAACCCCAAGGATTCAACGGACGAGACCCGGACTCAGATAGCATAGGTGGGTAGAACCATGGTTGTTCAAAGGAAGGAAAATGTGTGGTGGTGTTTTGACGACCGAATCCGTACCTTTGGCCGCCAGGGCACAACTGTGCTCTCGCTGATACTGTGCATATGAGGCGCATGTGGGCGGCTCTCATTCGCGGGAGGCGGTGACGGCGAGCATTTCGAGTTCTGGCCCCCACGGCTGAGCACATCTGCCTCGAAAACATCGAGAATGCAACAATCATCTGTGGGCACGGCTTCCCTTTGACACTGAAAGGAAACAGATCAGTAAAGCAGCCAAAGTCCACGAGGTGACCCTAGGCGAAGTACAATGCTGGATCGCACGTCCGTGGCCACAACCTTAGCATGAAAGGATACTGCAATGCACCTTTGATCGGGGAAGACTCACAACCAAATCGGTATCTTCAGAGATGGTGGCAGTCATTTATCTCACCTTGAGGTCCTTCGTCCTTTGAAACATCCTAGATCCGCAGCAAGCTTCGACAAGTCGGGGTATCTTGATTGAAATTTCCTCATGGACATCACCGGCAACGACATACAAAGCCTTCGCTCGACATTTGTATTGGAAGCCACAGGAGCACCATTCCGTCGGCTGGAATCCGAGAAGCTTGCGGAGGAAGATGTTTATCTGAACGATTTGGCGGAAATATTCGACGCGATTGAATTGTCAAGGTGAGGTTGCTCTACCATTGGCATTCCAAATCAGCTGAGCGTGCTTTCTTTGACTGACATTCTTCCCAGCCAGCCTGACCTTACCTTCTCATTACCACCTAGGCCTCTTTCAGAGCTAGACACGATCATCACGCCTCCGCGTTCGCCGATCGCCGCACAGAGGTCGCGGATCCAGCTCGAACAAGTCTTTGTGCTCCTGAACCTGATTATGTCCACAGTCCTTGGGGTATGTGTTGGCATTGTGACCTCAAGATTGGACACTGGATTTTCCGTCGGGACAGGGTCGTTGGCAGTGCTTACTCTGGCCCAAAGACTAGCATTCTCAAGCAATCGAAGGATAGATTAGATGAGAACGAGCGCCCGCGTCAGCGGGAAGCTTGATGAGGAATATATGTCGAACTGAAGCCAGTCAGTTAAGTCAGCCATACATGAAAAGAAGTTCCCAAGATGCCCCGTGCTTTTGTGTGCTTGTGCGACATCCTGTGTTTCCATCACGGCCCGTCAGAAAATGGCGCTGTGAGAGATCTGGCCAATCATCAACGTAGCCTCGTCAGAAATTAGTGGATGCGCTGTCTCGTTCGGACGAAGATTACAAAGCCTTCGGACGAACACTCGCGCTCTCTACCAACTGGCCTTAAACCTAGGATCCTAGCCTTTAGTACCTTGATCTGAACCATCTCGCTGGATCGTGCTGTCAGAAAGTAGCAATCAAGCCATTCTCACCGATTGACAGACGAGGATTGCCCATCTCCCTCGATAGCAATGCCATCCTCAGGGTCCCAAGAAGAGACCAGAGAATCCTGGTACGGAGTTCAGGACCCTAAGAAGAGAAAACAGATACAAGATCGCCTGGCACAAAGAGCACGACGTCCGACTGTCCCCTTCCTGCAAGACCGTGGCGCCTGTGCTAACCATCGTAACAGGCAAGAGACTGGCTGAAGCTAACAAGAGTAATGAACAGGCCATAGTCGTCAGCCCTCGGTCATCGAAGCATGTAGCGATAACACCGCAACGCCGGATGGAGAGCTGCTCTTCTAGCGATACTGATACACTGACCTCAGTTTCGAACTCCCACCAAACCTGTTCTCCGCCAAGTTCACCACATCTGCCAAATTGCCCTCAGACCTACAACATCTCGCCTCACACCGTTATCCCCTTTAAGCGGACGCCTCTCCCCGTGGACCATCTACTTCTCATCGGCCCCAGCAGAAGTGCGCTGGTGGCGTTTCAAGAAAACGGCCATCGCATGGGTATCGGATGCGCTTGTGTCGGCCTGGTCAAATCATGGCGCCATCCTGCAGATCTACCGGCTCATCTGCAGCCGACGCCGCTTCAACTGACGACGCCGCATTCGATATGGATTGATAGAATGCCGTTTCCACGAATGCGAGATAACATTATTCTGTTAGCTCACATGATTGATCTAGAAGATTTCTATCTCGATCTCCTCACGACGGAGTCCTTTGAATTCAGGAAGGGGATGCCTCCTCATGACCCTGCTGCCTATCGGATTGATCCTTCGTTCAGAGCGAAGTGGGGATATCTGTTCCATTGAGAGGCAATAGCCACTTCGCTGGAATTCTCACAACCACGTCATCTGCCACCCCTAGTACGGGATGAATGTACCATCGTATGAAGCGAATTTGCCTGAATGAGACTCTCTGGTCGACTCGTCGATCTGGGAGTGGCACACGGTCAAAATTAGCCCATGATCTCCCAGAAACATCGGCATGGAATAGATTCACTCACCAACTTCATCAAACCGGTTATGCTTCCCTCGATAGTAGTGGGCGCTTCGGTCAACCCGAACGACCGAGCCGACTCGTTACCCATCTCTGTCTGAACCCAACTGCGGTTGTCAAGTTAATAATTGGTCCACGTTTTCCTTCGGAGGGGTAGCCTACCCAGGATGCATGGGGAAAGCGACCAGAAATTCGTTTTCGAGATGGATTTTCTTGACAATGTAGTTCAAGGCCGCTTTCGACGTGCCGTACACTGCATTCGGAATGTTCACTTTCTCCTGGTCGGTGATGATGCCTGCCGAAGAACCCATGGGGATGAATTTGGGCGTTTTTTGAGACTTCTTGAGCAACGGGAGGACGGCTCTGAACAAGATGATAACGCCAATTACATTTACGTGGTAGTACTCCATTAGATCGGAAGTCTGCGCATCCTCAACCCGGACAAAGACTCGTCCGATGGCCGAATTCGGGATGACAACGTCGAGAGATTTGATGTTGTGGACGGTTTCGAGCTCCTTGACCGCATCGGCCGCGTCGGTTTCGGAGGTGTTGTTAATTTTGACGATAATCAGCGAGCTTGAGGGGCCTTTGGGAAGATCGTTCAAGGACTTGCTGGCGGGGTCATTGGGATCGCGTACTGCTGCGACCACGACGTTGTTGGGCTGTTTGAGATACGCCTCGACGAGGCCTCGTCCGATGCCTGAGTCGCGTTAGCCGAATAGGTCGTGCCGGTGTGATGTGTGATGCGCCATACCTCGATTGGCTCCGGTGATCAGGTATGTGGTGGTAGACATGATTGCTCAGGGCTGTGTTAGAGATGAAGGGATCCCTCGTAATGTTGGACTTTCTGCGTGTATTGTCTTCTTGAGTTCTTTGAGTAATGGGACGAGATACACTGCTTTATATTCCTGCGTTTCGGTGTCGACAGGGTTAATATCACCCCGTCGGCCATTATGAAGTCTGAATACCGGTCAGAAGTTAGAGAGGTCGGAACTACTTGTGCCAGAACTTGTGGCGAAGTCTTCCGGCGTCAGAAATTGAGGTGCCAATGATTGTCCATCCGCTTCGAGAAACTTGAAGCCTCGTGTCAGAAAATAGTCTGATACCCACCTAGGCCACTAGTTAGGTGCCTACAAATACTTCATGCCCTATACTCATCGGAGATCGATGACCAAGCATATCAACAAGTATTCTGTTCTCTTCCATACTCCGAGGACCTTCAAGGATTTGTGGCCTGTCGGTATGGAGCTTGGTGAGATCAGTTATGTCCGATTGCTGTCAATAGGAGACGAGCACTTCGTAGACAATCGGAGTGACGTATCACTACGCTTGTGGTTGAGCGGTCAAGTAATCCACTGATATTGGTTAGTATACTTAGTCACGACAATGACTAGACTTTTGAATCAAACGGAGAGAAAGTGTACAAAAGATGTTCCTTTGAGTTGATACATATGTACCTCGAACGTATGAAGGTTGAGAGAGCGAAACGAAGGGTGAAAGAATCTCTGTCCGTCTGCCTGGGTCCTAGGGGACATGATGACTATATAGGCGCTACCTGAAGTGGCTGGTAGGTGGTTGAGAACGCAAATGATGCTCTAGTTCGACAGAACGAGATGTCGCTCTATGGTCTTGGAGTAGCGACCGCATCAACATCAACCATAATCACCAATCACTTAAAGATCCCTCGTGAGGGACAATATGCCACAGCAGCTCAAAATTCCCATTGTTGAGAATGTTCTCTAGAGCGAGATATTCATACCAGTCATTAAAAAGGTCAAAGATGAGGTACTCAGGTCAGCTTGTAAAGGGCAGTCTGGGGTCAGCCCTGGAGAGGGTGCCATTGAAAACACTTTCTGGGCCGTGTAGCCGCTTGGTAAACTCCCATGGCACTACCGCTGCAGGCTTGAGGGTGACCCTGAGTGATAAAGGGTTGATGTCCGGCGAAAATTTGATCTGCTCAGTTGTATAAACCTAGGGAGATGCCTCCAGCTCCAAGTAGGGTTGCCCGCGAATAGAAAGGTCTTCATCAAATTAATACGTACATATGAAGAATTGTTTTAGGGGAGGTGCCATGACTGAAGCGTTTGCGATGTTCAATGAGTACACCAACCCAAACTGGACGATCTACAACGAACCCCTCATGATCTGTGCAAGTCCATATGAGACAGAAGTACCTCTGAACGACCCAGATCAGATACCTTAGAACCGGGGAGGGCACCGGCGAAGAGTACTTCCGTGCATTATATAGGCACTTCAACACCAATGTCAACGTGCCCTGGTAGTTTGTGCGGGTTCTTCAATGCGAGTTGGTGAGCTTTTTCACATTGCGAATGGAAACAGCCCATGATATTTGGCATCCAAATCGGACGGGATCCGCATGGGATCACGATCGTTGAAGCATCTCGTATCCAATGAATGTACGTTGTTGGCTACCTAGTATAGTGCATCGTGGTACCACCATTGTGCATATGCTCGCCACATTGAGAGTCTTAGCGAGCCCATCGTCGATTCGCTTCCATTTCCCCTTTTTGCTTCTTTGCGACTACTGCAGGAACAATATCCCTGCCACTAACTAACAGTCTCCCATGTCTATATCTATATACACGCTATGTGGGCCCTGTGTCTTAGTCGTCCAAAGCCGCATAATAGCTGTAATCCTGGTTCAACAACGGGAAAGCGTCAGGCTCCGGTTGACCGCTACCACCATGCCAGACTGGGCTGGGCAGGCTCTGGAGGCCACCGTTGGGCTGCATCGTGTCCGCGAAGACATGCTCAAATGTCTTGGCCCATTGAACACGGTTGTTGAGACCCTCGAGACCCCAGAGCTCCTGCAGGAAGTGGAGGACCGAGGTATGCGTGTATGCGGAGTTCTCGGCATACATAGTCCCGTCGTCGTGGATGAGCGTGTTGGCTGGGATCCAGGGTGAGATCAAGAATGCAGGCACACGGACACCAAGACGAGTGAAATCGTAGGTGACGTTGTGACCATCGGAAAGTCCAGAGAAGGCGATGCCGTCCTCAGGAGCAGGAATACCTGTCGGTGGAGGGACGTGGTCGGCGAAGCCACCGTGTTCGTCGAAGTTGATAATGAAGAGTCTAATGAATATATTATGCTGTGGTTAGCTGAAATTGCCCATACCGTACGATTTGGAGAAACAAAGCAAGAAAAACAAAGCAAACAAAAACAGAGTATATGCACGTACGTCTCTTCCCAGTACGGGGAGTTTCGAATGGCATCATAGATGTGTTTGACCAAAAGTTCTCCGGCGGCAATGTTGCTAGTAGGGTGCATGGAGTCAACAGTGCAGCATTCAGGATTGATGTAAGAGAATTGCGGTAGGTTTCCGGTCTTGAGGTCCTCGAAGAACTGATCGGCGTGGACGATTTTGTCCATAGAGTTGTCCTGGACCCACTTGTAGATGTACGAATCGATGATGTCGCTCTCATAGTAGTTTTTCCATGAGATGTTCTTGTTGTCAAGGGCTTCAAAGATAGAGGTGGCGCACGAAACGCCCGTCACATTGGCAAACCAGCCAGTTGCTTGAGTGTCCTTGTTGTCGACGTATCCACAACTTGATCCCGATGTGTGAAACATTCGGTTAGGGTTGGTAGGTCCCGGGTGCTCGGCGTGATAAGTATCGAAGAACGCATAGTTCTTTGCAAGCTCCATCAAGGTGCTCCCCTTTGCTGGGTCGTAGGCTTTGATGACAAAGGAGCTGTCGCCGGGTGTTGCATTGTATCTCTCTGACTGGCGCTCAATGAAACCAGACATATCAGGGGTGTCACTTGCTGTAGGCTGCCATTTGCGGTAGATTTCATAGCTGACTCCAGCAAAGTTGTGATCTGGGTCGTTCAGAGGTACTTCTGTCTCATATGGACTTGCACAGATCATGAGGGGTTCGTTGTAGATCGTCCAGTTTGGGTTGGTGTACTCGTTGCAGAATTCGATGTTTCTGAGGCCGTCAATGTCGTCTCTGTAGTCCCAGTATCCGGCTATATTGTCTAATGATCTGTTCTCTAACATTAGAACGACAACTCGACTGATCTTCGAGCTGAGTGCACTCCAGGTGGCGCTGCGAGGCTTGACGGGGGCAGCGACAGCGGATGAGATGAGGGCCAAGGCCACGGAAAACTTGAGAAGAGGGGCCATTTTGGGAAATATTTGGCGGGCAAGCTTCTGTTACTTCCTGCCTGACATCAAAAGACGTTTCGAAGACACATCGCGAGCACCTACCTTATATGCTTCGTTCGTTTGAGTCTTGCGTCGCGGGTTTTGTGCCGGCGCTCCGAGCGACTACCGCGAACATGAATACGCCGATTCTCGGAGAGAGTCTCCGGACAGCAATTCATGAACTTCCAAACCAATCCTTCGCATGACTTTTGACACGTTGTGAGCTGGATTCTAGATAAAACAAGCATGGCATGAAAGATCAGCTTGTTCACCTTCTGTTCGTGGCACTAGAGGTGAACCGGCGGTCACCGGAAGGAGAATCATACCATGGTTCATCCAGGCTCTCGTGGGTCTGGTGGTCTCCTCCACCCATATGGAAGCGAGAGCATTCTTCCAGAAGCCGACATTTGGTGTTGGTGATTGCTGTGGTAGCTTGGTAATGGGAGCTTGCAACAGTTCATGTGGGTCTGATACATGATTTAGAGGGACGGCTGCACTAGTACGGCACTAGTCAACGCTAATATACTAAGGCGGAGCTAATCATGCTAAGCTTGGTGTGGAGACCGCCATCCGAAAATCTTACCTTGTGGATGCTTATCCATTGCTTGTTCAGGGTCCTCGAAGAAGTACAACATCGTCCAATGAAGTCCTATACAATCTCTCTTACTCACACACGTGCGCTCACTATGCAAGTCGCCTGCATGCATTCTATGGGGCATCTAGAAGGATCGTCACATTGCATACCTTCCTCCTTCCTCTTTTCGTTTTTTCCACACTAACGTCCCCAGCCAGCTTTTTTTCCTCGACATGTTTTTAGGGTATAGCGAAGCGCACGTTGCAGCACGACAGAAGCTGATTGAGTGTTGAACGGTTGCATTTGCGACAGTATTCACCCACCAGGCCCTTGGGCCTTCACCAGCGGAGAAACTTTGCAACCGGGATGATGGGTTGCATGTCGTGTGCATCAATAGCTTAGGGTCCATGGCCATTCGAGCTTGGTGTCCTCACCTTGGAAGCAAGCTATCGATTCACCAACTCCAGACATCATGACACGGATAACTCGGCTGAAGAATTTCTTCACAAGCATACGTTGGTGGATTAGCTTGCGGATTTACTTGGGAAAGCCGACGTCTCTTTCCCTCCCCCCTCCTCATTCCATTTTTCTCAAGTTCCGTCAACTTCCACATGAGTGAACTCTTCTCAGACATTGAGCACCTGAGTACTTCCAACCTTAGGGTATCAAAGAAAGTCCGCTTCTGCACGAACAACAACATAATGTTCAGTGAAAGCTACGAGGACGCCAACGCGATGGCTTACATGGTCAACTTCTTCAGACCATCAAAGTACACATCACTACCACGAGATGCAGAAAAGGCAGCAGAGAGAAAATCACTCCCGGCAATCTCAGAAGACTCGGCTTTGGAAACAAGCAGCGAGACATCTGCAGAGACCATTTGCGACTCTGGTCTGCCACCAGCAGAATCCGACTCAAAATCCACGAGAGCTCGAATCATTTCGGACGCCATCATTGGTCTCTCAGACGGCCTGACAGTACCGTTCGCATTGACCGCGGGCCTGTCTGCACTGGGTGATACCAAGGTTGTTGTCTTTGGCGGCCTCGCGGAGCTCATTGCTGGTGCCATTTCTATGGGCCTAGGTGGCTACCTTGGAGCCAAGAGTGAAGAAGACTCCTACAAGGCCACTTTGCGCTCTACTCAGTCTAGAATGCGGGACTCAAACAACGACATTTCATCAGAAATCACTTCCGTGTTTGCGCCTTACCATCTTCCTCCGTCCACGCTAAAGGACTTCACACATCAGCTGATCACCTCCAACAGCCCTGACACAGTGGTTGATTTCTTGATGCGCTTTCAGCAAGGCACGCCTGAGCCCGCTGCCAGCAGAGCGGTCGTCTGCGCTTTGACCATTGCCACGGGCTACTTTATCGGCGGCTTCGTGCCTCTGGTTCCATATTTCTTTGCCTCGAACGTCACGGAAGGGCTCATCTGGAGCATCAGTGTCATGATTTTGGCGCTGTTCATATTTGGCTATGTCAAGACGGGGATGACAGATGGGTTTAGAGGTCGAAGGAATGTTCTCAAGAGCCTCAAAGGCGGCGGACAGATGGTGATTGTGGGAGGGGCGGCTGCCGGATGTGCAATGGCCGTTGTCAGACTATTTAACTCTATCGAATTTTGATGGAGCAGAGGGTAACTGAAGCATGCAGCTGGAACAAGTACTTGAGGTATCGAGAATGATTAGTAAGGGCCGGAGTCACGTGGACTGGGTTAGCATAAGGTGTGTTTTCATAGGAATGAATACAACCTAAAAGGGTCTTTCAACGGGTACAATCTGCGCTTTTGGCGGTGAAAGTATACTTTCACTGACTTCAGTATTCAAGGACCAGCCAAGCCCAGGGTCTGATGTGCGTCATTCTTGCTTTCCGTAAGAGAAACTCTACATCAACTCCATCAAAAAGTTTGTTTCGAGGAATGTTTGTAGTGCTTAACAAGCCAACTGCAAGTACTGCTATTTGACATGTCGCGATTTACTGGTCAGCGAACCCAAGTAAAACTGCTCCAGTACGAGGAAGGAAGTGTGTCTCTGCGTCAGGAGGAATACGTTGCGCTCACCGACCTTCCCTCGCTCAACGAGTCGAAGCACTCGTAGGTTCTGGGGTACGCCTTCAGGCTAAGCATTAAGCATAGAATGCGACCGTTGTAGATCAAATTATATTACGTGAGGTCTGACCGTCTGAACTACCTGTAGAACTTAGATACGCTAACCCTTTTCGGCTCCACTTCGACTTCCACCTCCCTCCTTCATCTAAGCCGGGGGACCCTGGATGTAGTCGTTGCCAGTCAAAGCATCGTAAGGATATGGGTTGGTGTAGTTGAAAGTAGGGGCTCTCCCATTGATCTGCTGGACAACAGCGGGCAAGACACCCTTTCCATTTGCACAGGTCGAGGCATTGGTTGGTACTGGCCAAGCGTCGACGTACTGGGTGTCAGAAAACGGACCAGGGTACGACTCGTTGAAGTATAACCCAAGGTCGTTGATGTTGACCACAGCATTCTTGTAGCCCGTCTTGCTGGCCACAATGTCATAGACGTTGGCGTGGCAGTCCCATCTTCCCAACGACGGGAGGCCCCAGTTTTGAGAGACCGACGCAATGCTCGAGTAGTGGTTGTAAAAGGTGCTGTCAGTGGTTCCCTTTAAGTTGTCCGGAATTGCTCCGCCAATGAGAACCGAGAATACTTTGTTGGAGATTTCGTAAGAGTCGTTTTCGTCAAAGGTCAACAAAAACACCGTGTTGTTCATCACATACTCATTTTTCAGCAACGGCTCCATCCAGGTACGTAGCCAGCTCCCAGCAAACGTTATATTGGTATCGTGGGCATCGTTGGTCATGTTTGGAGTGATGAAGGCCCACTGCGGAAGCACCTGGTTCTTGATATCGTTCTGAAAATCGTCGAAACCCTTGATTTGGCGGGCCCGAGTATCATTCTTGGCAATCGAGTCGTAGAGAATCAGAGGATTGTGCTTTCTGACGTAATCGTTCTTGAAGGTCTCTTGGTTTGAGTAGTTGAAACCCTGGAAGCCGGCATAAGGGATGTGTTCCTGGTACTCGCCCCAGGAAATCTGCTTGGTGTCGAGCAAATCAACGATGTGAGCAACATCGGCAGGAACAGAGTTGAAGTCGTCATTCTGCATGCCGAAGGTGTCTCCTCCAGCAGCGGCACAGTAGTTTGGCTCTGACGGGTGCGTGACAGCGTAGTAGTTGGTCAAGGTGATGCCCTGGGAGGCGAGCCACTCCCAGTTTTCGTCACCCGCGGTCGCTTGATAATCAGTGTTCTCAAGCCAGACCTGGTAGAAACGATCGAAAGCAAGACCCTTGACATTGCTCGTTGGCGACAGCGGCTTAACAGCGGCTGCTGCAGATTGGATTGCCGCGACGGAGGGCTCCACGGTCGCCTCTGCAGGGCGAGAAGCATATGACGAGGAGGAGGTTGGGGCAGCAGAGACCAAATAGCCTGCTGCAAGCAGCAGCGCAGCAGAAGAGAGCATCTTGGATCGAGGGCACAAGAAGAGATGAGTGTGGAGGAATGCAAGTCCCCAGGTCCTGGCTCAGACGGTGCTCTTCTTATATGTGACGTGTTCGGCACATTGACCCGGCCTGAACAAGCTTAAGTTTTCAGCTGTCATGCTCGGAAAGAGTTTCCTTTTCCCTCAACAGGCAACACTCTCGAGCAGATGCTACTTATTCCTTGAGTGTGAACTGATAACACTGACGAAGCTGAACTAAAGAAAATAGTTAGGCGCTCCAGACAAAGTTCGAGCGCAATAACGTGCTAGTGCGGCACGGCTTGCATATGCATGCTTAGTGAGTTTAGCCGCTCTTAGCGCCACTTAAGTCGTTAGCGTCATTAGCCTGCGGGGTACCAAGCTTCCACCACTAAATGCTTAGTTTGGGGCACGTGTGTCGATTTCGACTTCGACCTTCGACATTTTCAACCGCACTGGATCCCAGCCATTTTTGTCCTCGACCTCTGCCGCACACGGTTGCGACAAGGGCCCTGCATAGTATCGCGGTCCCTGTACACGTGGTGCCGCAGGCATGGAACCTCTCCGGAACCTCGCCGAAGAGATGCTCGCACCTGTCCTCGGAACAAGCGGCACTGCTTCGTTACGCAACTGAGAAAAGCTTCTTGCATACAGGTACCATCCATCATCGGCGGAGCCTTACGGACTACATGCCGACTTCATGCAGCGTTGCAGCCGCATCAATAAGTCCACCTCGCTTGTCACACGAATCAACTAGGGCCAAAAACAATCTGCATGTTGCCATAGGGTCCTCATTCCGTTCCAGCATGTCCCTCAGACGGCTGGAAGAGGAGCAAGCACGTGTACAATGGTACGACGATAATCTTCTTTACAACAGGCCCCTATCCACCGTCAGAAATGGGGTCACCGGCTTTTGTAGCCTGCGGAACTCCATTCGCAGCGCCCTCATGGGAAAAAGTCGTCGGAGGAGAGCGCGCGACCGGAGCGACGAATTTTTGACTGCTTCATCAGCGTCGAACATGACATTGAATGGCTCTCAGGCCCGCCTCGGCGTACTTGCTACGATGTATTCAGCACCTACCTGGTGTCGTCGTCAGCAATTATCGATTCTGACATTTCATTGCTCTTGGCCTGAGGGGCCGCCGCGGCGCAGGTCCTCCCGCATCTCAAGAACTCGTTTGGTGCCGTCGTTACCACCAGCAAGCATCGAGATTCACACTGGATGTCTCTGATGCCAGCCTAAGCGTTCTCCCTGCTCACTCTTCAGTGCATTTGGCGTCGTTGCCGTCAACAATTATCGATTCTAACGCAGAACGGCTCTCAGGATCGCCTCAGTGCACTCACTCCCCCATCTCCATCACACATTTAGAGTCGTGGCTGCCGTCATCAAATCATGTAAGGATACTCTCTTCCAATCTTCTCGCTAGCAGTTCTCCGTTCGATCTGAGCAAGCCTAAATGTCCATACGACGAACCCCTACCTCTACAGCAAGCAAGAAAACAAAACCGAATCAAATTTCTCCCATAGTCCTGCCAATCAAGACGGAGAGTGAGGCGCCAAGAATGCCATCATCTCGCTCGGAGAAAAAGCCGAGGGAAGTAAGCAGCGAGGCCTAGATTAACCGCAACTGTGCCCGACCCTGCGCCCGCCTCCACTCCGATTACTGGCAGAAAGAACCCAAGAAACAGAATGACGCGATTAAGCTCACGAGAAAATTAGATTTTGCCAAGTACATTGGCCTCTCTGATGTCACAACATACAATGAATGGCGGGAATCAGATTGCTTCAGACCGATATTCGATGATTACTTTTCAACGTTAATCTACCAGAGCGAGAGAAGGCGAAAACGAGGGAAAATCACGCCCACGATTAATGAATCTCGCGTCCATCGAAGCAACAATACTCGAAGGAGAGGCACAAGGTCGACGGAAGTACTCTGCTCGTCGCCTAAAACAAGACTAGCTGGTCGGTTTTGGATCGCGCCGCCTGGACGCTATTCGAACTTGTAGACGTCAACAGTAATGACCACAAGGGACTCTTTTACACTCGTAATCGTATGGAGACAAAAGAGAACTGAGCATGGCCATGAAGGATCTTTAGGAATGGGAGACCACATGTACATTATCTCTCGATCAATGTTAGCTGGCGGATTGTGCTTCATGTGTCAAAGCGATCCCATGGGCATTTAACACAGGCAGGCATTGGATACCGGGTCACCAGCATTGTGACTGAGGCTATTTAATATTCTGTGTCTCGATGATCTAGTGAGATTCAAAGTCGAGCTATATAATAAGCGTCGAGCGAACACATCGCAGAAATGAGAACGGTGTGCCCCAGCGACATAATCGTCGCCATCGAACCACAAATTCGAGATTTCCAGCTCAGGAGGCCATCCTCAGCTTTTCAGGAGTCCAGCTCAGAAGACCATCTCGAGCCTTCAAGACTCCAACTCGGGAGCCTCTCTTAGCTATCCTTCTCAGAAACAACCCTCAGGGAACTCGATCGTACTACGTAAAAGGACATCTTCCACTAGCCTAATTTAATACCATAACATGTTAACGGAAGAGATCTCTTCACTTCTGGGTCGATAGTGATAGGTTTCTTTGTAGGGGCTGTCATGTAGGTTCTTATAGTATTTCTAGATGATGAAAGGCAAAACTTGGTGGTTGGAAGGGCGTTGTGGTTTATAGCATGCTAGCGGTGAATGATGAGGGCGTGCAAGGATTTGATCAACGAGGGACGCCAGTCCACCGACCAGGTGCGGTCGAAGCATTTATATGACAATGTCTCCGGTCGCAATCTTGTCGAAGCACACTCTCCAAGCCTAGCCACCTCAGCCCTGAAATCACTGCCCTTGCTGTAAAAACGGCTGATCCTCCTGGCCTTGTTTCCAGAAATATTTCGATCCCGGGTGCGTGTCTGCGAGCCTCCTCTGACCCAACTGCCCTGTGTAGTTCTCACGGATAGTGCCTCCTGGCACGGCATAGTCCTCCCAGAATAGTCCTCTCTTCCACAATTCTGGAAGCAGGAATTCAATGATATCGTCCAGCGTTCCGGGTATCGTCGCGCTGGAAAGGTTGAATCCATCGACATCGGCCTCCCGCACCCATTCCTCAAGCCCATCTGCCACCCTTTGTGTGCTTCCGATGATTCGAGTGCCCGACCCACCGACGAGGAGATAGTCTGCAATCGCGTCTTTGGTCCACTTCTGATCACCACCACCAGGCACCGTTGCAGCCCACCGGTTTGCCAGATTTCGGACGCCATTGTGTTCGGCAACTCGAAAATCCTCATCGTCAGGGAACTTGGAGATGTCGATGCCAGTCCAGCCGCCGAAGAGAGCCAGAGCGCCCTCCCGGTCCCCATAACTTCTCAACTTCTCGTACTTAGCCGACGCAGCTTCGTCGCTCTCCGCCACGATCACGAGTATCCCCAAGATAATCTTGATATCTCTGGGGTCCCGTCCGGCCTGTTTGGCCTGCTCTCGGATACTATCCACCGTTTTGCGCACTAATGCTGGAGTCTGACCGGAGACGAAAATTGCCTCCGCATGTGATGCGGCAAACTTGGTGCCCGCCGGGGAACTGCCAGCTTGGAAGAGGAGGGGAGTTCTCTGCGGCGAAGGCTCACAGAGATGAGGTCCCGGAACCGTAAAGTACTTGCCCTTGTGGTGGATTTGGCGGACTGCATCGGGTCGCGCATAAATGTCCCCCTGTCCGACCACGGCGTCGTCCCTCCAGGACCCTTCCCAGAGCTTGTAGACCACATTCAGATATTCATCTGCAATGCAATACCGCTCATCGTGCTCGACCTGCGTGTCAAGACCGAAGTTTCGAGCAGCAGAGTCTAGGTATGAGGTTACGATATTCCAAGCAACTCTCCCGTTGCTCAGGTGGTCGACAGTAGAAAATCTACGCGCCAGAGAATAAGGCGGCTCATACGTGGTCGAGGCCGTAACCCCGAAGCCAATGCTTTCTGTCGCCGCAGCCATGGCAGGCACGGTATACAGCGGATCCAACAACGGTATCTGACTTGCTGCCGGCAACGCAGGCGCAATGTTGGTAGGCCCTTTGTAGACATCGTAGCCTCCCAACACATCGGCAAAAAATATGGCGTGGAATTTGGCCTTTTCTAGCTTCTGCGCAAGCTCGACCCAGTGGTGGATGTTGTTGTACTCACGCCCCTTGTCTCCCGGGGCGCGGAAGGATCCAGCACTCAGATGGCTGGGGGTCTGCATGACGAATGCATTGAGTATAAGCTTTTTCTTGAGGTCGGACATTTTGGCTGATGGTAATCCGTCCACACGAAGATGGAGAAAGATGGAAGATGTAAGATCTTTGAGCACGGAAGCAATCATGCGTCCAAAAAATCAAATTCATGGTGCCGGGTTCTGGTCCCACGAGATGTCGTGATATCGGCATGAAAGGTGCAATACTTCTCCAAAACACCTCCAATACTAGCCAAAATGCTAGGTACAGGAGTTTATATTGCCTGGTTCGGTTATTCTGGGCTTGCAAGACTTCCGCAGGGGAAGAGCGGTACAGATTGCGTAGATTGACCTGCTATCCTCGCAGCTCTCGTCAATTCCCTGCTGATAAGAGAGCCGCGTCCAATAGAGTCTCGATGGCAGGATTGCGGTGTGCCTTGGTTGCTAGAGTAAGTGACGGAGTTGTCGGCCAATCTCAACAGCAGCAGCCTCATCGTGAGGCGCGATTACTCATATTGTACAATAGACGATGAGATAGGCGAAGTGGGACATGCTCCTGATCTGTGGCGGTTGACATGTGAATCGAGACAACTGCTTCGGGCAGTGTAGAGAGATCGCGCACTATCGACACTAAATTTGCTCCTTGAAACAGATGTGCACCAGACAAAGGTGTATAGAGTGGATGAAGAAAAGGTGATAGGCGCTCAGCGTTGAAGATATACAGTTTTCATCAGTTCTGCCTCACTTTCACTTCACTTTCGTCGCATCCTTACCGCACTGGTCATTCACATTTCTCTAATTAACCGCAAACTCTTGAGGCCGACGCCTTCTTTCTGTCCTTGACAGTTCTTTATATCAAGGTCCCGTTTTGTACTAAACAATACAACTTTCGTAGTTAGGTATGGGGAGACACACACTTTCAAAAGGCCTTTTTGATCTGGTGTCCTCTCTAGAAGGAAAATAAACTTACTGGCGTCCTCCAGGAGGAAAGTAAACTCAGAGAAGCGATTATCTTCCCAGATGTAATGGCCCAGTGTCGCACGCCTAGTACCATGTAGGTCTGTACTAGGTAACTAAGACAACGAGCATGCTTAGATGGCTCTGCTCGATAATAGATAGGGTAGGAGATTTGATAGAGAACGTTTTACTCATACACAACGATAGTTCTGTACATTTACGTATACAGCGCTGTCGCTCTCGGGAGGTGCCTTTTACTTTCTTCTACACAAACCTAGCATTCTCAGCTCGTTTGTGAAAAGGCAACTTCTCCCTCCGTCCTGTCACGAGCGTGTGACACCGCTTCCCTGCCGTCTTGATCCATCCGAACAACAGGTTACGCTTGTGCGGTTTCCCTCCCACGGCGCCGACTTTGCCGCCCCATTTCTTCATGCGGAACGTGTAATACAGCACGGGGATCATGAAGAGGTCGAACGCAATGTACGCCCAGATGAGGCCGAAGTTGCGCCAGCGCAGCGACCACGAGATGCCGCGGGGGCTGAGGTACTGGTCGGCCACGGTCAGCTGGCAGTACGCGCAGTCGCTCGTGGCCGAAGGGTTGGAAAGCGTGCCGGGGGCCAGCTGCAGGTAGGGCTGGAGGTACTCGCCGCACGTCATGTTGGGAGGGGGGTTGAAGATGCTCATTTCGTTCTTGGCGCACACGACTCTGCGGCCGTGCATCGCCGTGCCGACGATGCCGTCGATGATGTAGGTGAAGGGGCTGACGCGGTACATGAACTTCCAGAACCCCGGGAGGGCGTTTGGCGGTTGGAGGACGCCGTTGAAGATGACGCACATTGCGAACATCAGCGTGGCGATGATGCCGGCGGTCTCGGCGTCCGGGAGCGCTGCGATGACCATTTGGGAAAAGGAGCTCGCGTAGACGAAAAATTGGACACAGAATAGCATGACTAGACCTTGTCGTTGGGATGATTGGATGCTATATTTCGCAATAGGGGTGAACGAAGCCCCATTAGTTAGCGGATTGTTCACCAGGTGCGGTGTATACATATTGGCAGATTTTTGACAATGTGCATCTGGAGAATACAAACTCACCCAAAGACTGAATAAAAGTATGAGGCATAGGCCATAATGCCGAGAAGAGCCTGGTACGGGATCTCGACTAGAATATTGGCCAGGAGGAAAGCGACAAATGAATACGTCTTGGATGGACGTTCGCGCACCTCGTAGAGAGATCGTTGAATGACGAAACGAGGAATGATCTGCTGTATTAAAGCAGTAAATATGGCTGTAAGCATGAAGACGCTAAACAAGACATTCTGCAAGCCTTGTTGCGAGCTGTCGGACTGCCAGAATGAGAATCCGATGAATCTAGGAAGACGAGTTAGCCGCGACGATGACTATGGTACACTGAGAAACACATATCACTTACAGGGCAGACGTAATGCCTAATGCCAATTTGTGCCAGATATAACCTGGTGTTCTCCAGTACTGTTGGAACGCCCGGACTGTGTTGTAATAGGTTTGGGTAGCGACCGGCATGGCGAATTGGCTGTTGTCTTCTTTGCTCAAAGTTTGGTTGGCAGTGGCTTGGCTCCTCTCGGCATTGATTCGCTCTAGTTCTTCGAGTATGGCCTTATTCTCGTCGCTAGATCTCCATATGTCGACCCAGTCAAGGTTTCCTTGAGCAGCAGCGGCTTCGGGACCCACGACCTCCAGGATATACTCGGCCACATTTTCAGATTCAGTGCAATGTCTGGCTCCGTGCTTTTCAAAGTAGTTGACCAGAGTCTCTGAGTTGGAGCCGATTTCGCCAAAGTATACGGGCCGGCCGCCGGTGGTGAGAAAAAGCAGTCGATCAAATTCCTGGAACAGCATTGCACTAGGTTGATGGATCGTTGACAGTACTGCTTGCCCATGGTCTGCCAGTTTGCGTAGGAAGCGAAGGATCGACCAGCTTGATTGAGAATCGAGGCCGCTCGTAGGCTCATCCAAAAAGAACAGCAGCGAAGGCTTCGCAGCGAGCTCAACCCCAATCGTCAGGAGTTTTCGCTGTTCGACGTTCAGGCCTTCACCCAACACACCTACAACTGCCTCGGCAAAGTCTTCCATGTTGAGCATCTTTGAAATATCAGTACGAGGGTAGTGTCAAACACGAGTGGCACAGGTTTACCTTGATCACTTCTTCAACGTAGTTGTACTTCTCCTTTCGAGAGACCGACTGTGGCTGGCGAAGAACGGCACTGAACCGTAAGGCCTCCCGAACCGTCGAAGTTTCCAAGTGAAGGTCTTGCTGTTGTACGTAACCTGTGGATGATGGTAAGTCTGCTGATTTATACCAAAGGAGTCCCCTCGTTCCCAAAAACTCACCTGTTTTCCTTTGAAAACTTGCATCCAATGCCTTGCCGTCAACAAATATGTCGCCAGTAATAACTCCAATAGATGTACGCTGAGCCAAAACATCAAGGAGGGTTGTTTTGCCCGCACCGGAGACGCCCATCAGCGCAGTCAGTGTCCCCGGTTTGACCCAGCCGGAAACCTGGTCAAGTAACCTCCGGGTGCCTTCCTTGACCGGAATATCGTAATTGACATTGCGCCACGTGAAGACGGCCGTCTGCGGCTGAATTGCTTGCACCTCTCTTTCTTCCATAGTGTCCTTTTCCAATACTGGAATCCCAGCACCGGATGACTCCTTGTCTGATTTCCTGAGGCCTTCCTCGATATATGCAGGTACATGACCGCGACGGAAGAGTAAGACTTCTCCCTTGCTAGTAGGCTTCGAGTTGATTTCGGTAACTCCCAGGTAGGTAAACATGAAGAATCCAAGGAATCCAACCAGTATCCCGAGATTTCGCCATATATGGTCGTAGCTGTATTTAAAGGAGGACTCTAAGTAGGCGTCTCCAGACACAAAAGATTGGCCAACAACAGACCCTGGAACGGAGCAGATGAACGTGTCTCCGACGCGTTGCGCGTACGCCGGGATATAGCTGTATCATTAGTACAAGTACACACTCTCGGGACTTCACTTAGTTGCTCACCTGCCACAGGGAAATTGTCTGCCATGGAACTCATTGACCAGCATACCTTCAAATGAAAAAGCCACGGGGTTGATCCAGGAGCACCATTTTAACCACGGGTGCATGTTTGGTCGAGGAATGGTGAAACCTGTATATATCACGATCGCGAGCATCAACACTGCGGCTATCGCTAGAGCTTGAGAGATTGTTTTGGTCGCTGCGCCAATGGACCTGAAGAGGCCCGTCATGGATAGTCTGGTCAAGAATGCGAAAAGGAAGAAAATGAAGAATTGGGCGGCTTCCCTCCTGAGACCGCCCAGGAAGTAGAGAGTAATGTTGAAGATTACCGCGGTCAGTATTTGGACTGGGAGATCTGCTATCACCGTTGCTATCGCCTCTGCAAATGGGTGATAAAAGCTTTCAAAGTTAGCAGGGAAGACAACCAAGGGCCATAAGAAAGTACTCACGCATAGGAGACTTGTTTTTCAACAATCGGCCTTTGATCGTACAACCGATTGATTTCCGTAATGGCAACCAAGGCATTAAGTAGAACCGCATTGAAGATGATTGAGCTTTTGGCGAAAAAGCTGTTTGTGTCTTGTACCATACCGTAAAATGCAGAGCCAATGATCAGTGCTATGCTGCCTTGCCCTATGATCAGAGTGAGTCGGATCACCTTTTCATTCCAAAGACGCTGGAAGCCACGCTTGGTACAGATACTGATCTGTGACAGGATTGACACCGTGTAAGGAGAGCTCGGTGGAACACGGTGGGATTGCACTGCTCGACGAGCGACCTTGAATTCATGAACAGCATCAGTATCTAGAACCTTGTCTTCGTGGGTTGCGATTTCTTGTAGAAGCATCTTGCGGAGTTCGGACTTCTGCCAGTAACTTTCGAATTCCGCCGCTGTCCGCGGGACCTTTTCTTCGTATCCCGGGCGCGCTTTTCTCTCTTGTGGATTGCTGACCGAGGTTAGGAAATCTGGTGTCGTTTGCCGAGAGGGACAAAGATAGCCCATGTTCACAAAGTACTCCTTTGCAGCATTGACAGGACCAAAAAAGATTTCCCTGCCCTCGTACAAGACTACGACTTTATCGAATGTGTCGTACATAGATTGAGAAGCTTGGTAGGCAGCAACCGCATGAGCAGATCCTGCCAAATCAGCAGAAAGCCGGAGAGTTCGCACAAAGGAGAGCGCGGACGAAGAATCGAGTCCCCGGGTGCTATTGTCCCAGCATCCAACAGGGGAGAAAGCCAGTATCATCTCGGCAATGCTAACTCGCTGTTTCATGAATTAGCGCGGCCCTTCATAAGTAAATAGTAAGAAGGTCGCTACCTTTCTTTCTCCTCCTGATGCCCCTCGAACATATTCATTACCAACTCTAGTATTCTGAGCGTGGGTCAAACCACAGACTGCCATTGCGACCGCCGCCATACGCTTGACGTGCTCCGCCCGGGACTCCCCTAGCACTGGATTCGGGGGTGTACGCATGGCCGCGGAAAACTCTAGCGTCTGCTTGACAGTCAGGTGTGGAAAGTGTCTTTCGATCTCTGCGTTATACGCTATTTCCCCTCGAAAATTTTTGATCATCTCACGTTGAGGAATTCCTGTGCACATGTTAGAGTGACGACAAAAAGGTCATTGAAGGATGTACCGCTATAATGTATGTCAGAGCCTTCTCCCACCTTCAACCCATAAAGTTCTCCGGCCAATGTCTTCAGAAGCGTTGAGCAACCGCTTCCAGGTCGACCCAGAACCAACAGCATTTCTCCTGGGTTTACATGGCCGTCAAAACCCTTGAGAATATTTCGTTGGGGTTTCTTTGCCAGCCGAATCCATTCTCGAAGGCGCAATGGAGCCAGGAGATATGATGCGACGGTCGGTTGGAGGTTCATGGCGATACCAGAACCAGAAACGCTCAAGTTCTTGAAAGTGATCGAGGCACGTCGGAACTTGACGTTGGCTCCTTCGGCGGCGCGGAGGACCATTCTCGCCCATCTGTACACGTCGAAAGCTGGATCAAAAGGATCTAATGTTGGATCATGGATATCCCCTCGCTGTAGCAGACAACCATCAGCTGTGACTAATTGGTAGTGTGGCGCTGTTGTTGGTGCTATACCTTCACTTCACTTGCAACCCGTGTGAGCTCAGCACGATCGGCTGCCACAATGGCCTCGTAGTCCCCAGCACTTGAAAAGGATCTGGTGGAACGAGCATTGGGGTCAGAGTGCAGCTCATAGTCGCTATTCGAGTCGTTGGAAGAGTCTTCGAGCTTCGTGTCAGAATGGTCTGGCTTTGAGCCACTGTGTACCTCATTGTCGGACTGCATAGCGATTGAGGTCTTCTATTTTGACTTGTTCTTGCACATCATGAAACGTGACTTGCCATATATAATGAGTTGATATTGAGAGTATGCCTAGGCTCGTAGGTATTAAATGTACTTCCGCCAAATGCCGCAGCCTGCAGCATGGCCTGGCCAGAAGCCAAACTCCCCACAGCGAAGCCATGAGATTCCCAGGTCCGAGTAACTTACCATGATGCACGGGCGTCATGTCTTCTGATTTCGGGGTATTTTTTGTGGCACGGCTGTTCCGTGTGGGTGAAATTTCAGTCAGTAATAAGGCATCTTACCTTTGGAGTCGTATGATATCTTCACGTTAGCGCCAGATTTGGTCGGACATGGACCATTGAGATTGCCGACAGTGGCCTCCTCACGCGTACCTCGTATTTTTATCACTCAACCACTGGAGTCGCCATCATCACCAAACTGTGCTCAACGGACCGCGAAAGACGTCGGTAAGTGCAGATGATCTTGAGGTGGACCTCGGCCGGATATTTGCGTGTGTGTGGATGATCTCGACGGTGACCTCGGCCGCATGTTTTTCATGTGCAACCACGTACTCGTCTTTAACCTGAGGTCGGCCTCGGAACACTTTTGGAGCCCTCTACGGGCCATCGACCATTGCACACCACATAGACACGATGTGTATGGGGAAAAGAGGCTTTCTGATTCCGGTGAGCAAAGAGCACCAAGTGTCACATATTATACAATATTATACATCTCGCACATCCTGTGCATATGTATCAGCCCATCTCAAGCTTGCTATCACGAGACCGACGTCTTTGACGTATGGCAGTAAAGTCTATCTCCCTAGTGCTACTCCTCCAGCACGACGAATCTTTCCATCCTTTGTAGCTCGAGTCTTGTGTCCTGGTGCGGCGAATTTGGAGTAGGTGCGCAACCGCTTCGACTTCCCACCCTGAAACTGAACAGCTGAAAGCTCCTTTTCCCATTGTTCTAGAGTCTCCCATTCATCATCACTGAGATCGTCATCTTCGATAGCCTTTGGTCTATCTTCCGAGCTTTCGCTCGACAGCACCTTTGACGGCACCCTGCTTTGAGGAGGCCGAACATGATTCATACCACCATCATTTATGTCGTCGAAAGAGAATGTCTCAACAGACCCGGAAGAGGAGGGTTTGCTCTTGCGCGACTTCGTTGTGCGAGCAATTGGCATCTCGACATCTTCAATAAGATCGTCCTCGAAAACGCTGGCAAATTCCTCCTCTTCTTCCCTCTCCGTCATCTTCTCCTGTTCCATCTTTTCCATCAGCTCCTCTGCTTGATCTTTCAGGCGCTGATTACGATTGCGAGCACGTTTCGCTTCTTTAGTATCTGGGCCGCCGAGCCGCAGACTCCTCGAAATGCGTGTCTTTGCTCCCAATGCCCACAAATCGCCCCAACGGGACTTTCGTGCGTCACGATATGCTTGTTTCCCAAACGATCGCGGTACAGTCCATCTCTCAATCTGACCAGCAGGTGTGCAAACATCCATGATGATATGGCCGCGTCTCTTCATCGGAGGAAACACGAGACGGGGGAGATTCCAAGTAGCAGGAAGCGATGATCGCTCTTTGCCATCGGGAAATGGGTTCGAATGCGTCAATGCCGTGTTAGGATTGATATCCTCAAAGCCCGATTGACATAGCTGCATCCACGTTTGGTAATCCTCTCCCATAGTCTTGGGGTCAGGATGACGCGGTGCCGAAAGTCCATCCTCGATACCCAGCCAGGATTCGATCTGTCGTCGGCGAAGATCATCGCCTCTCATGACGGAAATATACGAGAAATCCACATCGTCATGATTTCGATCTCGTGCCCCAAGCACGCGTTGTAAATAGTTTGGCCGAATATATCTCTGCTGAAAACTGCAAAAGTCTTTTCGTCCCTGAGAAATTCCTGGGACGCGGTACATGGGGCATTTTTCGTGGTTCGTGCAAGGCGCAACAATCATGCCCGGCTCCCGAATATGCGTTTCATCACTTCCATGTTCATCGCTGTATGCCGTCTTCTTACCTTCAGGAACAGCAATATGTCGTTCCAAAAGAAGTTCTCGAGCACCGGCAATGGCTTCGAAACCCCGAGGAACGCCCTTCTCAATCAAGATGAGCACCCCACCCTCACGGTTGGTCATCGACCACAGATTCTCAACATGCTGCTTTTTCATGTAGTCTTCCTGTAATCCAAATAGCGAATGCGTAGCAATGACTACATCGAACTGTTTTCGTTGTTGTGCTGGACGGTCGTCTTCCAAAGTAGGTATGTCCCGGGTATGGACGTAGTTCGGCAGTCGAGGTACAAACGTCGTGTTTTCCAACAAAGCCGCAGCTCTGTGTCGAAGGGAATCGGAACCAGTCAGCACGACCGATTTAGATGCCGGAGGAGGGGGCGGGTTGCGGTCAGAATCGTGCATCGCATCCCAATGGGCCTGCACCAGCTCCCGCCAAGCAATGATGCCTGCACCTCCGGCACCAGCGTCGAGAATCCGAGGACCTCCCTCTTTGGCGAGTAGATTGTTGAGCCAGGTCGACCCTAATCGCTTGCGAGTCTCAACCAGAACTGACATGACGGCGGCGTATGTAGGAGGCATGACGGTGGTTACGAAAGCGTTTGCCTCCATCTCACCCATGCTCTGCTGAGAAGCATCAATTGGGATGGAAATCTGTGCCCTCGCCCGGCCTGATCGTGGAGTTAATGGTGAGTCTGGCAGGCCTGGGCCTCCAAAAGTCTTCTCACATATCTCCTTCAGATGTTTGTTGGAGAAATTGCTCATTAGTCTGTTCACCGGACGGACAAATTCTCCCTGGGGGAGTTGAACGTTGCCATTACTGGTAGAGAATTTGCCCAGGCGTGTGAAAGGATGCATTCTAGCCGAGTCATCGTCAAAAAATTCTTCTTCGACAATCTCATCGACCACATTGGCATTCAGTGATCGAGCAACCTCCATCGCCCTCTCAGCAGGAGATGTTAAAAGGCTCGACGTCATAGCGCCCTCATCGTCGAAGGCAAGGTCTTCCTGAGCAGGCCGAGGCGGTCTTGAAGATCTGATTCCATGCATAGCTTCGCTGGTCATAGGGTCGTTCGTGGAGGTTTGGTACTCAATCACCTCGCCCTCTTGATCATATAACCACGTTTCTGGGCCTCCATCCACCTCAACGGCATCGTCTTCATTTAACAACTCTTCGTGCGACATGGAGACAGGATCGCCGTAGAGTCTTTTGTAGATTTTGAGCTCTCCACCGTTCAAAGCAGTCTCAGGTAATGTGTCACCATACTTCTTTCTTGCTTCCCGGACCACCTCTTCCAGTGTAGCACCGTCGTTTCTTAACTCGGCCAATACATCTCTTGTACCAAGCACAACTCTTTCTGAAGCATTTTCTCCGATTGGGCTCGTAAGGAGTGATAGGTCTCTGTAGTCTTGGGCCAATGCATCTTCGTCCCCGATGGATTGGTCTACTGGGTTCCCCAGCCGGTTCAAAGTATCGGTCGGAGCTCGAGAGAGATCATCATCAACAAAACGGTCGCCGACGTTTCTCAAGGTCTCGTGAGAACCGGCCATGCTCCGGTGCAGAATCTTGGAGGCCTCAGAAAAGTATCTCAGCTGTAATCGAGGTTTGGGTATTTGCCGCCATGAAAGCGGCACATGTCGATTTCCGAGGGCGACCGGTGGACCACAGAAGCCTCTTTCAAGCAGCAGTTGCAGGTCCTGCCGACAGGGATGACACAGACCTGTCGGCCTCGATCGAGACAACATTTTGAGGTGGTTTGCTGAAAAGCCTGCAACCTCTGATGCGTCAAGGAAACTTCTACACATGGGGGATGGACGAACGATAAAATGTTGTACACGATTCCGCCCAATCAACGCATGTAGAATTCGGCTTTGCGTCTGCGCGAGGGCGTTCTTACGCTAATTCTTACGCTAACCATTTATGGTTAGTCCACTACATAGTAACACGCCTCGAGATCAACTACAACATCAAGATGATCAATCTAATGCGATGGGCATGAGTTAGACTGTCCTTGTACTCCTCGCTGTCGGTTAGGCAGTTAAACCTCACTTGATTCCCTTTCGCACGATCGGAATATGGTTGATTTTGCCTTCAACTACCCCCTTGTCTGACTACCTTACGCAACATGCATGTAACATATCTGCAGAGTAATACATATGGCCATTGATCTTCTTTGCCAACGGCAGCCACCTTCTACATCAGAATTGTTGCAGTTATATCGCAGCTTGGCTGGCGTACAGGGCACCCACTACTGTGACAGCCATTATTGGTGAGGCGGCATACGAAAGCTGGGATGGAGTCAGCAGACAGCCTTGAACTGAAATAGGAGGACTTGCAGTCAAGATTTTGGATATTGTCATCTTTTCATCGTCGTCTACTCCACTTACATCGGCCATCGCAACGAGTTTCATAGCCGGAGGCCCAGCTGGCATCTGTGCATCATTAGAGGGTCGTTTCGACATGGGATGAAGACTGTCAAGAACTTACGATCATCATCGTAAACCAGAGGATTGGATCGTCGGACAAAATTGCGGTCTTGGTGGAGAGCCCCCAGATAACGGCGGTGGACACGAGAGGCCACATTACCAATCTGACAAGCAGTATGAAAGCCGTTGGCGCCCAAGGAAGCGCCTTCTGCTCGCCCCGTTTCATTTTTCTCAGGGACGAAGACAGCGCAACGCCAACGACCACAACTTGCAACGTGACGAACAGCTGGCCAATCTTCTTCAGCGACTCAGTGATCCAGGCATTGAAAATACCTCCCTTCATGCTCTCGTTGAAAAATGCTCTGTGCAAAGGAGGCGTCAATCCAATGATGGCGCCAATGACTGCTCCAATGAGGGGCGCGTTGAAAAAGTCGGACACAAAGCTCAACGTGTCTTGTGTGCGAGGAGACAGTTTATCCCAGTGCTTCTTGCCGATGCGATACGCCGCCTTGTGTACCGCATCCTCTCCACTTCGAACACGATGGGGTAAGAGGGAGGTCAACTCGTCCTGATCAGCACCTCCCTGTTCGACGTCACTATTGTTGTCCTGATGATCTTCATGATCCTCCCCTCCATCGTCTCTATCGCCTTCTGGCTCGTCAGGTGCATTCTCGGCATCGACCAAGCGTGGGCCAATAGCAAAGGTCAGACAATTTGACACAATAGCACAGACAAGAAAGTACGATTCTGCCCTGCCAACGGCCGAGGAGATATCGTCATCATCCACAATCAGCTGGTCGAGAATTCCGGTTGATTGTAAAGACTGGATGAGTAGGAGAGGAAGGCTTGTAGTGTTGTTGAATGCAAGAGCTGGCGTGACCCAAGAAGGAAACTTGAGGAATTTGACAGCCAACACGCCAATTCCCATTGACACGAGTATATATGCGAGAGCCCAAACTAGTCGATCAGCCCCGGAAAGCTTTTGCAAGCGAGTGATAGAACATACCCAGGATTGGAAGATATTTTGTTCCCGTCTCAATATGTAATTCACTGCCAACTTTGGTAATTAGGAGCGCAGGGAGAAACATGCGCACACAGACCTTTGAGATCCTTTGTGACGAAGGGCCGTCGAGCAACTTGAATTGGCTCGCAAGCACACCGTAGAATATGACCAGCAGGATTGACAGACATGCTTGCAATGCACCCAAGAAAGACTGAAAGATACCTGACTGCATGATTGCCTCTATCGGTAGTCGAATGTGCCCAACGGTAAACCCTATTACGCACCCAAGGCTTCCTATTACGCACACATCCCAATTGGGTTAGCGCATCTCGGGTAACCTTCCTTGTCAGGAATAATTTTCCCTTGCATCCCCCCCAGGCGCGCCTATTCACAGCGTTCTAGGCTCGAGTTCTAGGCGGTGTTTCAGGCGCCCTAGGCTCGCACAATATCATGATGCTAGGAACGATGCAAGGAATGATGCAAGGATCGATGCAAGTGATGCTGTCCCAGTGCTAGTTAGAGGCGGCTCTCACCTATTTTCTATGGGAGTTCCTTTCGCCGCGCATTGCGCTCCACACCTAGTCTAGTCGAAAGGTCATGGTTCCTGGGATATGAGTTGACTGTCCTCGGCCTCGTCCTCTTCCTCCGCGGCCTGTTCCTGCGCCTGTTCCTGCGCCTCCGCGGCCTCTTCTTGCGCCTGTTCCTGCGCCTCCACGACCGCTGTTTGACTCATTCAGACGTCTCCTTGCCTCCTGATTGGCCTGTTCTATTGCGGCGTCAGTCCGCTCAGGCTCAGTCAACATCCGCCTGTCATTCACATCATATCGATACCGCGGGATAACATCTGGTGGTTGCGCAACCTCAGCATAGTTGAATGTGATCTCTCGGCATCGATCTAGACGCCAGTGAACGTCGAAATCCTCAACCTGTAGAGGCTCCATTAATTCAATGCGTGCTCGGATGATATGAGGACATGGAAGGCCCCATCGACGCTCGAACGAGCCTGTGCAAGGTCTCCATGTTGTTGGAGGAGCCCGCAAGGTTGCAGGTGTTGCATTTATATGAATATTGTGAGGCTTACATACCTCTTCCACCTTGAGAAGTGCGTAGATTGATATATGAGTGATCACAAAGGCCCATAGTTGACTAGTGAACTGAGGCCTTCTCGATTGGCTGTTGTTAGCAAGTTTTGCCATGATCTCAATAGCCATATCTCTGTGAATATATTCAAACTGTCGAACGATAGTTGAGATATCGCTTTGAGTGCTAGATAAATGACTCTTTAGCACTCGATGCATTCCTTCTAGACGTGAGGTTGTGACATTGCCAAAATGACGATAATTGTCGGTGAAACAGCGCCAAATTCCTTGCTGTCTCATGAACCAGGTATGGAAGAGATAGTCATAGATTTGAGGCTCGAATCGATAGTCTTGTCTTAGTCTATTCCAGGCTTCATTAGCGAGATCCTCAGTAGATACATTAACACATTTCCACCAACTATTCATGAGACACTTTAGTTGGACTTGAATCTTTGTGGCGTCCTTATCGATATCCTCCTGTGTTGCAAATCCAAGATCTCGCTGAGTGAGTGGTCTCCATATTTTTTTAGCCTTGCTCATGATTGCCTTGTTGATATGCCAGAGACAGAGTAAATGTGAGGCAAGTGGAAAGACAACCTTGATAGCATTAGCAAGAGAATAAGCGGCGTCTGTGATAAAAACTCGCGGAGGTGAAATCTGACAGTGTTTAAGGAGTTCAAGGAGACTTCTTAACACCCACTGATAAGTGATTTCATCCTCCCATCTAATGAATGTCGATCCAAGGAAAAACGATTCATTGTTTGCCGTCACACCAACCATATTGACCAGTGGCATATTGAAACGATTAGTTTTGTATGTAGTATCCACCAACAGAACATCAGGATAAAGTCGAAAGAGATCAAGACCTTGGTGGTGAAAAAATGCGAGGCCCTCAAGTTTCAAAGTCTTAGTGTTGTACAGAGTTCGATGCTGCCATTTCTCTGTGATTGCTAGAAGGAGTGCCTGAATAGGTGTTCTACCATTCAAGTCAATCTTTTCATGCTTTTTGCGCTCGTTCTCGACATCCTTCTGTGTGATTGGAACATTGTATAGTGAGCGAATTCGAGAGACAGTTGGTTGCGCTCCAAGGCCTTCATGAAGTTGCTCCTTAATGAAGTGAGAGATCTCACCTTGACGTCTACGTCGACGTAGACTAGGATGTGTTGAAGGGCCCCATGAAGGCTCATGAGAGTGCTCAGAATGAGTATAAATAAGTCGCCATAATGAGCCTTCCATAGAGCGCTTCAGCACCATTCGAAAGTGACAATTCCGAGTCAAGGTGCCCTTATATCGAACATGATTAGCGCTTCTTTTTTTGTTCCGCGGGTCGGCGCGATCACAGACTAGGTAGATTGAATTGATTTCGCCGCCGATATTGGGACGACCTTGCCGATGAATGCGAAGGCCATATCCGCGAGGCCCTGTCCACTCATCAAGGAACTCCCAGGCCTCCTCAAGTGAGTGAAACCTAGTGTCACTAGGCGGGAGCGCAAATGGAATCACAGGGCCCTGTTCCTGCGCCTCCGCGGCCTCTTCACTAGGTTGCGCGTCGTCGAGAGCCTCCGGGGCATCTTCCTGCGCCGCCGCGCCCTCCGCGTCGGAGTTGCACTCATAGAACTCATCATTTGAGGATGTTTCATAGGCCAACAGGGCCTCCATTTCCGCGGCTAGTTGAGCGGGGGTCGACATGGCTAGACGGCGCAATGATAGACGCAATGATAGGCGTAATGATAGGTTGTTGCGAGCAAGGAACATGTTGTTGGGAGGGTTGTGAGCGAGGAGTAGGCAGGGATAGCATGGAAAGGGGTTTACCTCAGTTGTGCCAAGACCAACGCTAACCCAATTAGGTTGCGCTAACCCAATTGGGATGTGTGCGTAATAGGAAGCCTTGGGTGCGTAATAGGGTTTACCGTGCCCAACACAATCTCCGGAATGGTACCAGGCGTGATGCTCTCAGTGCTGACGCATCGGGAAAGAAGTCGCATGGTGATGAAATCCAAGAAAGGCATACGGCAAATAAATATTCGGTCCCTACCTAAGCTTTTGCGCGCGCACCGGTGTGTGAATGTCAGTGAGAAGACTTCCAGCCATGGACGTCATGTATGAAACATGCAAGAATTGTCAAATGGGTCACTGATGGCAGATCCGTCGATACGCTCAAGGGTGGATTTTTGCGGAGATGGATCTCAAGGCCGATGACGGTAATTGGCATTACGCCCACTCACTCTGTATTACGCACAACGCCAAGGCTATCGATAAGTTGTTCTCCTTACCTACGAGTAGGAGCAACCTTTTATAGATGTTCCTCTAGGCGTTCTCCTCAACTAGAGTAGTATTTTATAAGCGTTTCTCTAGGCGTTCTCCTTAACTAAAATAACCTTTCAAAAGCGTTCCTCTAAACGTTCTCTTACCCAAAGGTAAATCTTTTACAGGCATTCCCCTTGGCGCTCTCCTTAACTAGAAGTACATAATCTTTTACAGACGTTCGAACCACTTAACAAGAAGTCGAGAGGGCAGTGTTGATGATTAGCGTCCAACGAACATGTCGAGAGCCTTGCGCAATTAGTCGATTAGGTGCTGTGCGTAATACAGAGGTGGGTGGGCGTAATACCAGTTACCGCCGATGACGAGTTCCCTGAACATGCAGTCTGTCGGAGGCCCGTCGAGTGCCGGGGTAAAGATGTTCCGGGCACTGTGAGCCCGCGACGTTAAGCCAGCACCATCCGGAGTAAACTAGCTGGGTGCTTAACTCAGGTACAAGGCAAGGCAACTTACCTGTCTGTTAGTTTATGAATTAATTAATAGGCTCTGAGTACCTAAAGGCTGGGTCTAAGCTCTCTCTACTATGATCGAGATCGCTTGCAAAAACATCCACCTAACGGGGTATGTATCTCATCCAGTTCGAGACCTTCCCTGAAACGCCACAATACCTGATAGTACAGTTCCAAGCCACAGACACCTTGCTCCTCGATGTACTCGTATCTGACACGACATGGCTGACTGTCTGTTTGCTGCAGTACGTACATATACTAGTTAGTTCATGCTCAGCCAAGCACTGGCCACATGAGTTCGAGCTTCCTTTCAAATGTCAAAGATGGCACAGACATTCTACACTAATGATCTACTGCCCATAACTCTCCCCGACTAACAATCTGCCACATCATATCTTCTTCAGTCTTCGACATCAAGAAACTGATCCTGAGAAGCCGCTGTTTGTTCATACTCTGACGCTCCCGTTGTTCCTCGTCACATCAGCGAGTCCAAATGGACCCTCCACCCATGGACCCAGAGGTTCCAACCTCCAGATCTCGCATTGCTATCTTGGGTGCTGGTAGTGTCGGCAGCGCTATAGCCCTATGCCTCATCCTTAACCCTGTGGCCAGTGAAGTCCTACTTGTTGACCCGAACACTGCGCAACGAGATGCTCAAGTCAAAGACCTCGAAGACGCCACAACTTACCATGGTGCTGTCGGGTATACTTATCACTCTGGTTTTTACGCATAGGCTGACCACTTCACAGCGGCGGAGGCGTTCGGATCCGTGCGGGAACTCACAAGGAGGCTGGTCAATGTGATATTGTGGTCATCAGTGCCGGTGCGAAACAGAGACATGGTAAGCCTTATATCGTTCCAGAGAAACGTGATCTTGACAACTCAAGGTGAGACAAGAACGGCCCTTCTGGGTCGTAACCTTGCAATTCTGAAATCCGCTACGAATGACATGAAACCGTTTTCAAAGCACACAGTCGTTCTACTTGTGGCCAATCCAGTCGACGTCTTGACCTATTTCTGTCAAAAGTTTTCTGGTCTCCCTCAGCAACAAGTTATCGGGAGTGGTACTTTTCTCGACACCGCACGACTACGAGGGATCCTTGCAGTAAAGTTGGGTGTGGATGCGAGCAGTGTGCATGCATACGTGCTTGGGGAGCATGGCGAGAGTCAAATGGTAAGGTATACCAATACAAGCGAGACCTATATTGTTAACAGTAGCGATAGGTAGCTTGGTCCTGCGCCACCGTGGGTGCCATGCCATTAGACCAATGCCTTCCGCCGGGTACCGACCTCGACCGCAAAGCAATTGCTTTGGAGGCAAAGGACAAAGCCGCTAAAATCATTGAAGCCAAAGGAGCAACCGCCTATGGAATTGGCGCGCTGAGTGCGGCCATCTGCAAGTCAATATTGTTCGATCAGCGCATCGTGAGACCTATCTCCCACTGGATTGAGGATCTTGGATGTTGCTTGAGTCTTCCAGTCGTTCTGGGCCGAAAGGGTATTGTTCGTTCCCTCAGTATACCACTGAACAAGGAGGAGCAAGACCTCTTGATCAGGAGTGCCGACACTTTGAAGCAGCTGATAGCCGAGGCCGAGGACTCTCAACAGCGGGACTAAACCCGCTCGAGGAGGTGCTCCTTTGTTATATTCTGAGAAATGTCATGACTAAGCGCCGTATATGCTCAAACCGGGCGCTCTCACTGGGCACGAAGTTGAAGCTTCCTCACCTCAGCAGAGCTAGTAATCAGGGTTCCTAGCATTGAGTGGAAAGTCATTCTAGAAGAGGCAACCGTGGGCGACAGGTAAGCAAAAGCTGTCGAGGAGCCCGTGTAGCCTCGCCATTGAAGCGGGCAGAGGTTGCTGCACAGAAAGTCCCCAATATTCTGGTTACTTGTTAAGCCACCAAGACGATACCGGCTCAATTCGTAGGGCGCCGAAGTATATCAAGCAGGTATGTTGGTAGAAGTTCCGATATCGTAAATAACGTTATTGAAATCTTTAGATGTCGTTAGTAAATTTTTGGCTATGGATAAATAACGTTATGCCGCGTGTGAAACAAATAGAGCGAATATATCTTGTGTTCAGGAGACCAACCATCGATGCTTCTGCATAGCTCATCCTCCCCAGTTACAGTACCACGTCTCTACCAACATGGCTTTCCCGGCTGTCAAGGCTCAAGCTGTCACCCGCGCGATAGCAGGGACTGCCATAATCATTGCACCTTCACATGTTGCAACGCTTCTCGGGATCGATCTTCTTCCTGGAACGCTTCTCCTCGCAAGAATATATGGCGCTCGGGAGCTGGTCCTGGGCACCATCCTTTGGCCTCATCGATATCCTATGAAAGTCCGCAGCGCGAAAAACCGACTGCGTACAGATGCTTCTACGCCAACTGTGCCAGACGGCTTTTCCGCTATCGAACCCAGTCAGCCAAACATCCAGTCGTGGTCGACTTTAACGGCTCTTCGATCGATGATTCTGACAGATTGTCTCGACATTTTGTTCTGCATCTATGGATACTTGGGCAATCAGGCGACGGCGTGGACATGCCTTTCTGTTGGTGCAGTTGGGATTGCCGGCATTGGGTTGTCAGTTCTTGGTCTGAGAGAAGTAGCCGCATACCATATGGTGAAGACCGGCAGCGCAGAGGAAACAGATTCACTTGTCTCATAGAAAGACGTTGTCTCGTCTTGTCACTGTCGGAGTCACAGCAGTTGGCTTATCATGCATATCGTCCATATGGTCCATGTATTTGCTTGAGCCAAATAGTTGCATCATTGTTAACTACATGTACGGAGTACATAATGTACTTATTAGTGCTGCCAAGCCCGCGCAAGGCTGGTCACTGGTCTGGCTCCTCGTCGGCCAACATGCGCCGAGTCTGTGAAGCATTTCAAGCACGAGTTCTCCGTAACCTCGACATTGTATTTGCGGCCGGGGAGGGATTTACTGCAGGTGTCCTTGTCTGTAGAGTATTTCGCTTCGTTCTGAGCCTTCTCCCCGCCTTTCGTTTGCTTTTTGGCCCGACTTAGCACAGAGCACACCTGCGCAACTTTTCTTGCGACCAAGCCATCTCGACTGGCCGCACTCATCCAATATGGCGCAAGCTCAACCTGTGCTGAGCAATAAAGACAATGCGTTGTTCAGACAGCTCGTCCGTCACTTTGAAAACAAGCAATACAAGAAAGGTAGAGCCGCTGCCACCCCTGGTTGGGAAACGCTGACATCCTCCGCCAGGCCTAAAAGCTGCCGAGCAGATCCTCCGAAAAGCTCCCAACCATGCTGATACGCAAGCGATGAAGGCGCTGATACTGGGTTCTCAAGGGCACATTGAGGAAGCTTTTGCCCTCGCCAAAATCGCCCTGAACAACAACATGAAGTCCCACGTATGCTGGCATGTCTACGGTCTGTTGTACCGGCAAGAGAAGAACTTTGACGAAGCCATCAAAGCATACAAGTTCGCCTTGAGACTAGACCCTGACTCGGCACCCATACAAAGAGATTTAGCTCATCTTCAGATACAGATGCGGGATTTTGAAGGGTATATTCAGAGCCGGAAAAACATGCTTCAACAAAAGCCAGGTTTTAGGCAAAACTGGACCGCTCTAGCAATCGCGCATCATCTCGCCGGAAACTACGAAGACGCCGAAAATGTCCTCACTACCTACGAAGAAACCTTGAAAACAAAGCCCACCCGGGCCGACTTGGAACACTGGGAGGCTGTACTATACAAGAATTACATCATTGCAGAGTCTGGGGAGGTGGAAAAGGCGCTTGATCACTTGGAGGCTGTTGGAAAGAAAAGTCCCGATGTGCTGGGAGTGATGGAAATGCGAGCGAATTACCTGGGCCGTTTAGGGCGAAAGAGCGAAGCCGAGGCAGCCTACGCTGCTTTATTGGACCGAAACCCAGACGACTCAAATTACTACGATGGCTGGATAGAAGCCAAAGGGCTGAAAGATGGTTCTGCTTCTGACATCAAGAAGGCCTACGACGAACTAGCAACGAAATACCCCCGAGCAGATCTCCCTCTCCGAAGACCACTGGATGTTCTCTCTGGCGACGATTTCAGACAGGCGGCAGACTCATACTTGCAGAGAATGCTGAAGAGAGGGATACCATCAACTTTCGCCAACATTAAGCACTTGTACACTGACACTTCGAAACGAGACATCGTTGAAGAATTGGTCGAAGGTTATGCTGCAGGGAAGGTAGACGCGCAAACCAATGGTGCCACAAACGGTGACAGTAAAGACCAGTCACGATTTCAATCTTCGGTACTATACTTCCTGGCGCAACATTATAATTACAAGCTCAGTCGGAATCTGGACAAGGCTCTTGATTATGCGGACAAATGCATCGAGCTGGACCCAAAATCAGTTGATTTCCATTCCGTCAAAGCCCGAAGCTACAAGCACAAGGGCGATCTCGCCAAAGCAGCCGAAATCATGGACCAAGCACGAGCGCTGGACGAGAAGGATCGAGCCATCAACACAAAGTCGGCTAAATACTATCTACGGGCAGACCAGAATGACAAAGCACTGGAAATCGCCAGTAAATTCACCCAGAACAGGACTGGCGGACCGTTAGGCGACCTCATCGACATGCAAGCTGTGTGGTATTTGACGGAAGATGGCAAGTCCTATCTACGGCAACGAAAACTCGGCCTCGCTCTCAAACGATTCCATCAGATTCTCGCGATATTCGATGTCTGGCAAGATGACCAGTTTGATTTTCACAACTTCTCGCTCAGGAAGGGAATGATCCGGGCGTACGTGGACATGTTGCGCTGGGAAGACCAACTGCGCGAGCATCCGTTCTACTCAAACATGGCCATCAGCGCAGTCAAAGCATATCTCCTGCTGTTCGACAATCCGGACCTCGTTCACGGTCCCATCATGGATGTTAACGGCACTGGCAAGAGCGAAATGAGTGCCGCGGATCGTAAGAAGGCACTTAAGAAGGCCAAGCGTGAACAGGAGAAGATGGAAAAGGCCGAGGCGGAGAAGAAGGCTGCCCTGAAGGCGTCCAAGCCGTTACCGAAGAGTGAGGAGCCTGATCCCAAGAAGGAGGATGTGGACCCCTTTGGGAAGACGCTGCTCGAGACCAAGGAGCCCCTGAAGGACGCGATGAAGTTCCTCGCTCCCTTGCTCGAATACTCTCCGCAACTTGTTGAGGCCCAGTGTGTGGGCTTCGAGGTGTACCTGAGGCGGAAGAAGTACCTCCTCGCAACGAAGTGTCTGTTAAGCATCAACAAGCTCAAACCTGGCTCGGACCAAGTCTCCGAGTATAAGGCTCAGCTGAAGAAGGTGCTGTCCGAGAAGCCAGAAGGACTGTCTGGCAAGGTGGCTGAAATCATCCAGTCCGAGGCTGGTGAGCTTTTGAAGTGATCACGAGCAAATGAGTCCTCTACGCTGGATTCACAACCTGCCACGCACACCGGCCCAAACTTCAGAGACGGCGAGAGTGGTGTCTATTTAGTCGATGGCCAAGTGGATATGGATCGTCTACCTACCATCGGTCGATAGCTCGACAGCTCCGAAAAGAAAAGCAAGCAATGCGATATTTCAGGTTCGGATCATCACATCCTGCACGTTGTTTGAGAGGTATCTATCTATCTGCGGGCATTCTTACAGCGAGGTGAAAAGCAGCTATGTGTGCTTGTGTGAGATCTCAAGACAGCTTCCTTTTTATTTATGTCCACCTATACGGAGTAGGTAGCTAGCTCATCAGGGGCCAGTGGACATGTCAGTCAGTCAGCGCCCATGATTGTTGGTCTTTTCTTTTCTCAACAACAGTAGCAAGAACGGCCGTTGCACATGACAATAAAAGTTTATAGAGGTAGCAGCATATTCAGTACTTGGATTCTATCCATATGTCGAGGCATATCATATCACTCGCCACTTGGACCTTGGACGCTCCAGGAGCCACTCTGAAGTATGTAGGTATCTGAGGAGAGTCCGAGACTAACCATCACGCTGCCTTCTACGGCTCCGAGTAGAGGTATTCGTACAGAAAGTATAACAGGATGTTCAGAAACGCCATGACCAGCCAGAACGATATGGTCCAGATGATGGAGCGCGGAACGTCTCTGAAGGCCGACAGGCCTGCCGACGGCGATGCTGACGTGGGAGTCGCTGGCCCGGCCGACGATGCCTGTCGCGAGGGTTGCGTCCTGCTGTACGGAACGGTGGACGGGGTGAAGTCGACCCCGTCTGAAGTGGCGGACACAGGGAAGGTGGTCGTGACGGACGGGAAGTAGCCAGCGTTCGTGTACCAGAGGCCGTACTCGGTCGTGTCGCACCGGTAGGACAGGCCGATTTGCGACGTCTTGTACACATAGCTGGCGGTGGCGCCCGTGCTTACCGTCTCGATGTACGTCGACGGCGCGTAGACCGAGGCGCAGAACGGGAAGTTGGTGTTTGTGCACAGAAGGGCGCCGCCGGTCGTGCAGGAGTCGGACCCCGTGCAGCTCGCGGTGTCGTTGTAGTTGTAGCACGTCGTGATCTGCGAGCCGCACGACACGCCGTATGTCGACGTCAACGGCGTGAGGTCACTGTCTGTAGAGATGGTTGTCGACGTGCCGCCGACGTCCCGGCCTGTGGAGACCAAGGTGTAGACCCACTGCGTCGTCGTCGTGCTCGCGGCGGTGCTCGAGCAGCATTGCAGAAATCGGCCATCTGTGAAGCAAAAGAGCCCTTCGTCACAGTATAGCGGAGCGTCTGGGACAACTCAAGGTTAGCATGGCTACTGAATCTGCGACACGAGGCTATTTATTGGGTCTGTGGAGGAGAATCGAGAAGCAAGCATCGAGAAGATGATGAGATTCGCCCCTTCTTCTGATCGTGTGGACGGAGGACTTACGGACGTCTTGTGTTACGTAGCCGCACAACGACCCGAGTGATGACAGCCCTTGATAGTCGCCAGGGACGGTGCTGACTTGCACGTTGGAATCTTGTCGTCGTCGCAACTCTTGCGGTGGTGGTGTGATTTGTGCTGTGAACGAGTCGGATTGATATGTGGGTGAGCCAGGTAATGGAGCGGCGCCTTGGGATTGGAACCCTGTGTATCCGTAGTCACCGCCGACCCAGAACGCGAATAGGTCGTCGAAGTGTGCGTGACTGGGCTCAGCTGCCGCCATGCAGGCGAGCAGGAAGTTCTTCCACGAAATCGCCATCTCAAGTGGTGTGTCTGTTCTGTGCAAGGCTTCACTAGGGGCCTCACGTATTTGATGTCGGCGAGCCTCGGGTTGATGCGGTGATCAGGGCCTGGCTGTGGCTCCTTTGAGCCAGTGGCTATAGGAGAGAAGCGTACAACTTGTGACGATCAGGCCTGGTGAGTCCCGGACTGCCCAGCGAACCCCCCTGATATCGATCAGACCTCAACCGAGGCGTACGAAGAGCGTGTATGAAATACAGAATATACACTAGACAGAGCGGTTGTGCACAGAGATACTCGATACCTACTTACCAAGCTCCCCGTCAGGATTACCTTACTTTGTCCTTGGTGGCAGAAGGGGGCCTAACAATGACGGGCCTGAGCGGTTAGACGACTTACTTGCACTCCGTAGGCAAGGTGGGTTGGGCCATGCCGTGGCTAATCATGGATTCGTGTTTCGCGTGAAACATACAGACTCCCACCTTCGTAACAAATAGAGAACGCCAAAAGACAGTACTCCGTAGGCACCGAATAATCAGATGATGTCCAGTCACTTTTGGTACGGCGAGGTGCAGCTTGTGAATGGGGATTGCTGGCCTCCACTGCGACCCACCTATCGATCTGCATTTCTCCTTTCGGGTACGGATATTCTCCTACAATTCGCCATTGTCCACTGCGTCTAGCATCACTGTGCTACCGCATTTCCAGACTATTGTCGCTGAAGGTTCGAATGGCCGTGTCCAAGCGAAATAACACATCTGATGGTATTGTGTCGAAATGTCTGGGGCCAAAACACGAGATGTTTCAGGCCGCCCACCCCTAGCTCTAGCCGCAGCCAGCAGATCAGATTTAGTACTGGGTGGGTTTTTTGCAGCTAGTTGATGAACACTGCTCGGTTAGATATTGAGGGAGGCCTCATCTCGTTGCCCATGGTGGCCTTTTTGAATTCGTTTCCTGGCAACTGCGAATCCGACACTCTTTGGCCAAACCCACTATGAGGTAAGAGCTAAGTGCTACCGGTTGAACACAACGGTTATGTCGTCTTGACGCTCCAGCCTGAGGGGTTTCTGAAGGTACTTCTGTCAGGAGGACATTGACCTTATGTGGACGCCCTGGAAACAACTCACAGCCACCCTCGTTTAAGATCAAGCAACTCGGATTTGGGCTGGTAAAAGCCTCAACGAAAGTCGACCGTTGGCACTTTCTTTGTCTCGATCGATTGATATACTCAATCGCTGTAATCCATTGTTCTCTCGCGACATCAACCGCATATGGCTCTCAAGGGGGTGACACGCACTTTCTACTCGGCCGTTGGCTCCACGCAGACATTGTGGCAACCAAGTTCTTCCTACTATCCGTTAAGTGGATTTGGCGCTTTGCTACTCTCATCAGCCGGAGTAATCGTCTCAGCAATCATTTTGCTGGTATCGAACGGGGACGACATCAACAGCTGGAGATTCCAACCTACCGTCTATCTCTCCATAGCGTCTACCGTAACCAATATCACTGTGGTGTACGCCTTGTTCGAGGGACTTACTATTACATGGTGGCACCAGGCGTTGAAGGATGGCACAACCATCGGCGACCTCCATCGCATCTGGGCGTTCGGCAACAGCATCCTGGCAGCAGTCTTCTCCGGACGTAACATCAACATGGTGGCAATAGCAAGCATGTTCGTTGCCCTATGCCCCATCAACGGCCCTCTTCTCCAGCGTGCCTCAACATTGGGCAATGCGACAATCCCAAGTCAACAGCCACTCAACATCCCCGTGAAGCAACTCGTACCTAGAGGATACACAGGTATCATTAGCGGGCGGGGCGATCAGGTCAGCATGTTGACGAGCAATTTTTCAACCACCGCGAGGGCATACTATGCGAGATCCCCAATCACTTACGACACTGACTGCAAAGGCAGCTGTAGGACGAAGGTGCTAGGGGCAGGATTTCATGTTAGTTGCTCGTCATCCGAGTATCCGTATAATGTGTCTGGTAACTTGGCCAGCAGCCCGACAATATTTGGCGCTTGGGTTGATTTTGATGTAAGCGACAACCCGGTTTCATTCAACCTGAATGTTCAGACAAAACCCGAGGCTGGCTGTACTGGAAATCTGGCTGTGACCAACTGTACCCTCACTGCCGGAACGGTGGATTATCCGATAGCGATAGATGGGGACGCTGGTACGGTCAGCCTGGAACCCGGTACTACAATCTGGGACGACACGGTGGTGGGAGATCTGGATGCCCTGAGCGCCGAAACGCATCAAACTGCTGTCAGCACGTATGGAGGGATCTTCCTCGCCCTTTCCAACCAATACTCCACAGACTTACAACTTCATTTTGGAGGGGCGATTGGGTGGGAGTTTTATGGCGCACAGAGCGAGTCATCCGTCGCCTACGCTCGTGGTGTAGGAGATTATCCAAGCTGCGATGTACATGTAAGTCTTCCAGTTCTCCTTAAAGCCATGAACATGCTCGTGGGGTCGTTCCACTGCCTATATTTGCGAGGAGTTACATCCCTATGTTCCATCATCTATGGTACTCTTTTTGCGCATGTACCCCGAGCTGCCTGAACAGGTTACTAATCTCAGTCTTGTGCTATAGTTCACAGATCCTCTTCCCGATTTCCTACAAGGAAGTCGTGAGCTGATGTTCCGAACGGCAATCGCCGCAGCGAACAGCAGCGACATGCAATCTGTCGTCGCCGATGCGTCCGGATTTCACACAGTGTACCAAACCAGCTATCTATTCCTAGCCCTAGCAACTCTAGCATCCGCCCTGGCAATCCTTTCAGTGCTGCTAACCTTCAACGGCTTTTGGAGAATAGGGAGAAAGGTATCGCTGAGTCCAATTGAAACGGGGAAGGCATTCAATGCATCGATGTTGAGAGAGGGTGATTCCAGCGCGCCAGCAAAAATACTGCTAGCACAAGTTGGCGGGAAGGCCGTCAAGTACGGCCTCGTCAAAGACCCTGAAGGGATTGAGTCTGTGCCTGCAGCGACTAAAGGTCACCATGAAAACTCTCACGGGAATACAAGTTCGAACAACGTCCTGACGACCTCTTCCAGCTTTCGTGATATGCCTAGTAGCGATATAGAGCTGACAAACATTGGTGGTTATCATACGAATACTGTTGCGCATCTGGAGCTCGCCGACCCCAAGCGTGTTGTCCCATTGTAGGAGGGAGGCCCACGCGCTTCAATTGACGTCGAGCGTGAAATCGATTGAGACAACGACAGATGGGCCGTTCTTATGTTCAAAAATCAAATGCAACGAATACATATAAAGTTACCTAATAAGATCATTCGAACAGCAGTGCCAAAGGGTCCTTCTGAAGACTAAGTAGTTGGTCTCCTGCCGCTTTACTCGAAGCCCTCCCTCCGTTCGCAGTCCTCTGCTAGGAACGAGAGTATCGAAAACTGCCTTACTTAGGTATGGTCGAATTCATCCACGGTCGATGCCCAAGCGGAACTCTTTTAGTCTCGAGTGACTCCTGTGGGCAGATGTTAGATAGCGGATTCTGTGGCTCGATCGGTGCTTCAGCGCGTTTCTCACACCCTCACATAAACCCAATGACGCATTGCTGTACTGTGAGACAGGTCAAATAATAGTGAAGGTCAAGAAGTTTAGACAGACGATCATCAATTCTTCTTGTTTTATCAGACAAGGCTCGCGGATTTAGGATTATCCGAAGATGCGCCGGAGGTTGTCGGGCCTCTTGCTCCCTCTGGGTCACACAACGCTAACCACGGACATTTTGTCCCTGATGTCGGCCCTTTCTTGATGCCAGATCATGATCGGGACAGGAGCGAAGCAAGCGGCTGGGAAGGAGAGGCCGCGGAGCTATCAGACATGACGCCGGGCCACGATGATACGGAAATGAATGCGCCTCTCATCGACCGGCGCGACGGCACAGACGACGTACCGCATGTGTCTGCGGCGACGATAGAGCACTCCGGCAATGCCTTCATATGGGCACTGACGGTCGCTGCTTGTGTGTCTGGGTTGTTATTTGGATACGACACAGGAGTGATCTCGAGCACGCTCGTCTCGATCGGTACCGACCTCTCGTCGCGGCCCCTCACGAATCTCGACAAAGGTGTCATCACCTCGTGTACCAGCTTCTTCGCCCTCGTTGCTAGCCCAGTCGCTGGATTGCTCGCAGACAAAATTGGAAGGAAAAACATTATTTTAGTTGCAGACGCGCTCTTCACTCTCGGGGCCCTGTGGCAGGCATTCACGACTTCAGTCTGGGGCATGATTTTGGGCCGTTCGATCGTGGGTCTGGCAATAGGCGGAGCGAGTCTGATTGTGCCTCTGTATATTTCTGAGCTGTCGCCGAGTCACTTGCGAGGCAGGCTGGTGACTACAACCCTGTTGTTCATCACTGGGGGCCAAGTCATCGCATACCTGGTCGGTTGGGCTTTCTCGACCACGCCCGGAGGCTGGCGCTGGATGGTCGGATTGGGCTCAGCACCCGCTGTTGCCCAAATGGCCATGCTGTTGTTCATGCCTGAGACTCCACGGTTCCTGGCGAAGGCGCAAAAGGAGGGAGCGGCGCGCGCAGTGCTCACCGAGGTGTACCGCGGGATGACATCGGATGAGGACCAGCTCGTCGACGACATCATCCTGGCCATCAAGAAGGAGATGATCGAAGAGGAGGAGGCACACCTTCAGATCAAGAGCGGCAGTACCGACTCCAGATCATGCGTGCCGCCGACGTTACACTCCCTCCTCCTGCATCCGCCTCACGCGAGAGCACTCACCATAACGTGCACGCTACAAGGACTACAGCAGCTCTGCGGATTCAACAGTCTCATGTACTTTTCCGCCACCATCTTTCAGCGGCTCGGGTTCTCGTCCCCGACACTGACGTCGCTGAGCGTCGCGGGGACGAATTTTGTCTTCACAATCGCCGCGTTCAATCTGATCGACAGGATCGGGAGGCGGCGGATTCTGCTGACTACGATTCCTGTCATGATCCTGTCCCTCTTACTCTGCGCCGGCGCCTTCTCCTTTTTATCCTCCTCGGGGGTGGGACAGGACGAAGTCAAGCCCGCCTCTGAGACGAGTCCCAAGGACGGTGGACCCTTGCCGGCGATCGGCATCCTGGTCGCCATGCTTCTTTACGTGTCGACTTACGCCATGGGCCTTGGCCCGATTCCGTGGCAGCAATCGGAGCTCTTCCCGCTAAGTGTGCGCTCGTTGGGATCGAGCCTGGCAACCGCGACTAACTGGGGATGCAATACCGTCGTGGGCTTGACCTTCTTGCCAATGATGGACCTTCTCACTCCGCAGTGGACCTTTGTAACTTATGCTCTCATATGCGCGTTGGGATATATCGCTATTTGGCACATATACCCTGAGACTATGGGCCTGAGTCTAGAACAAGTTGGAGATCTGCTTAAACACGGCTGGGGCGTCCAGGAAAGCACGGCTCGGTTGAGAGCTCAAAGGTCAAGAGAAAGCCCAGGATAGACTCGACCTCAAGGGGATAGACAGGCAGAGTAAATGAGAGTAACGTCTTTTTGATATGTCAGTACACTAAGGGTTCCGTGGTCGTTAATATAACGTAGTGAAGCAAACACCGTCACAGCGGCATGGTATCTGAAAAGTAAGACGCAGTGTATCAGCTCATGTGCCTCCTATTTCGGTTCACAGCCGGTTCAATTGTCACCGGTAGAAGGCTCACGTTCCTCTTGAGTGGTCTTCATTTCAGCGTCTTCGTCGAGTGCTCTCTTCCTGGCCATGCGTCGTTGGTGCTTTGCCTCTCTTCGCTCCTTCTCTTTCAGTTCCCTCTCAGCGACCACGATTTCATGGAACTTGCCGCTCAACTCTGTGTTCCTCCTCATTTGTTCCGCGAGCCGCTTTTCCAGGTGCGCATCCGCGTCGCGGATACTCTGCACCCACTTCCCCTCTTCAGCCTCCTCGACGCCCTTCTTCACGCCGTGCCGAGTCTGCACGATGTCGTCCCACTCGTCCTCGCACTCGGCCAGGTGCCTCTGGTCCTCCAACTGCTTGTGCTGGTTGAACGTTTTGATCCCCCATTTGATCTTGTTCTTGACGACACGGTTGATCAGCACCGGTTGCGGGCCGGGATACTTGAGCACCGGGATCCCCTGGGTGACGATCAGGTTGGGGACCTTGCGCACGCCCGACTTGATCGAGGACAGGGGCGCCGGGTGGTGGAAGATCCGCGGGTCGGAAGGGTCGTGGGCGTAGTTGGCTGGGTTCTTCACCTTTTTCAAGTGTTCCAGTCGACGGCGGTGGTGCGGAGGAGGTGGTCTCCAGAGGGAAGCAAACTTGGCTCGTCGGGTCGCCGTGTCCTGGGCCTGGATGCTCATGGACTCGAGCGTCTGCGTGAAGCGGGCGAGAGACTGCGAAGAGCCTGCATTGCAGGATCGGAGAAGGTCCAAAAAGCAATAACCGGCTGTGATGCCGTTGGCCACTTGTGGAGGGGAGAGGATGTCGCGGTCTTTATCGAAGCGGTATCTCACGATTGATCGCAGTGTGCCTTTGGTCCCATGGGCTGCCTTCTGGCCCAAGGCTGTAGACAGCCTTCCGCACTCTCTAAGGAGTGCCCTGTACAATGACAAGCATCCTAAACGATGCACTCCTGACCGTTTCGGTGCAAATTGACGCGGCATCCGCACATTTCTGGTCTGTTGGCATGAAACGCCGTCGAAGAGTGAAACGCCGTCGTTCGCAATACTTTCTACGCCCCGGTCAGTAGGAACGGGGAACTTAGCCGAAGCCCTACGAAATAGATCACGTGCTTCCCACTGGCCAGAGCCTCTACGAGGTGTTAGCAACGAGTATACACACAAGAGGAGGAAGAAGAAATGGACGGTAGAAAGGAAAGAATTTCATGGTCTGTTTCAGGCCTGTATGCAGTGCCGAGTATTCCATGTCTTCGTTTGCGAACTACCATCAAGAATCGAGCGCCGGACCATGCATTCGTGAAGCATCACTCAATCATCGCTTGTCTGCAAAAGCAAAACTCCGCAATCATGCCGCAAAATCATTCTCTAGAAAGTGCTTCCCTCGGGTGGCTGTGGGAGCTTTTTGTGCTGTGGAAGAGCCATATATCTGGAGGCGTACTCAGCTGTAGTCTGACCTCATCTGCACGCGACGTACCTTCTTAATTCGATGAGGATAGTTTCCATCGTATAGTCTCGCTTCCAGTTCGCCAGACATGGTAGCTTTGAGGGATCGACCTGGTTTTGAGTCCCTGGAGTTAGTCGTGGTGACACTCTCATCTCGTCTCTTTCCTTGCCCGCACCTTTCCGGTCTTCTGGTCCACGCAGGGTAAGTTTACCCTCGAGACGAATTGGATCGTGGGAGGCACATCTGGGTACTGCTCTCCACAATGGATGTTGACACTGTAGATTCGATTCTCATGGGCACTCTTCACAGTCCCTCGTCAGTTTCGAGCACGAGGAGAAGTAGAGGCATTGATGTTGCGTACGTGAGGAGGTCCGAGGATTGTGCCATTCCAGTTTGACATCATCAGATCGTCGCCGTCGGCAAGACCGTACGAGCATGCCTCTATCATCCCAGTCAGTGCTCGGTGTCGTCCTCGGCTGCGGGCGGCTGAGCGAGGACTCACCTGCGCCGAGGCCTTTCTCGCCCTTCTCCAGTTCTTCTAGCAGTCGGAAGTTGCGTGGTACTTTGGCGCCCATTGCGTAAGATCGTGTCAGTCAATGCTGTAAGAAAGAATGGCCGGCCGAAGCACAAGAGTCGGCTAATGTTGGAACGGTGGACGGGGTATAGAATAGCGATGTTGGAGAAGGAACTGGACAGTGGAGGGGCAGTAACTGCGTGACAATATGAGGAAGTGGGCAAAGCCGCAGCCTCGCGAGTCGTGGCTGACTACCTGAGTTAGACGGCAGCCTTGGCAAGCCAGTGCCTCGTCAGGACACTATTGTCCTTTACAAGCTGGAACTCTTCGCCCACGCACTCCCAGGCACCGCGATCCTTACCTTTCCTCACTCATACGCTCACTGACCAATGTCTCATACCATCTGATACAGTCGTTGTGGTGCTGGTGTCACCAACATGAAGTGGAGTGGCAGGGATGACGCATGCATTTCTATTGTCGGAACTGACCAACTTGATATCGGATTCCAAGCGCAGAAGCAATGATGTGCGTACTGCCGCCGAGCAGTCGCTGGCCGACCTCAAGGCCATCACTTTCACCTCAGAAACGCAGCTGGCCGGCGACCTCCTACGTCGAGTGCACTTTGTCGACCCGTTTGTCCTGGCATGCAAGACCAAGAACTCCAAACTAGCAACTATTGGGACAGTTTGTCTACAAAGGTTGACAGCAAGCAGGGCTGTTCCTCGGTCTAGGCTACCCGACGTTCTTGATGCCTTCCATGACGGAGTCAATTCTGGCTATGACCCGCAGCTCAAGATACTGCAGACGCTGCCTTCACTCCTCCAACTATACGGGGACGACTTGAGAGGAGACTTGCTGGCTCGTACGTTGGAAATTTGCGCCGCTCTGCAGTCCAGCAAGACTGCCATTGTAAGCTATACAGCAGCTGCAACGTTCCAACAACTCACCACAACTGTATTTGAGCAAGCCTGCCGGAGGAATGAAGCCATTACACGTGACAATGGAACTGAGGAAGTCTCTGCATCAGGCCGAGAATCATCTGATGCTAGCTCGAGTGATGCAGTCCACTTGTTCCGCGACCTCTGCCTCTTGCTTGACCAAGAGCAGCCGCAATTTCTGAAAATCGAGAGCCTACCTTCTACTTTTCTCCTCGACACACTCAACACTGTATTCTCAGTACACAGCGCATTTTTAACCTTGTTCTCGGGTCAATTACAGGACTGCTGGAGCCATCTAGTTAACGGTCTCTCCCGAATCATAGGACGGAAAGATGCGTTTGGTCAGGTTGTCCAAGCATTATCGCTCATTCTACTTATTTTGCAAAGTTTTGCCGAGAACATGCAATCGCATCTGACACCTCTCTTTCCGACTCTTCTTAATGCCCTCGAGAAAGAAGGCAACCCAGTCTGGAAGCGAGCATTGTGTCTCGAGTTCTTCCGCAGCATCTGCTCTGATTTTGCACTTTTCAGAAATACCTTCAATGTTTTCGACAACGATGATAAACAAGAAAAGTTAGTGGGGCCGTTCATGTCAGCCTTGGTTCGGATTGCAGCCGAAGATCCTTCATTGATTGGACTTGGTCGTCAATCGACCATACCCGTACAACAGACCAATGACGCCGAAAGCGAAGAGGCAGCGTCTATCGAAGCTCAGGGCCTGGGCGGTGCCATCACGTCCGTCTCTACAGGAGACTCAAGCGCAGTTGGAATCAGCATGAATTGGAGTGTACTAAGTGTCCCACTTTTGCATCAGCCTGACAAACAGAGCCCTCCTGCGGTTCCTAGCACTTACATCTATGCTCTTGTGCTGGGTTGCATTGCGTCTCTATGTGATGGCTTGTCAAAGTTTGTGATGCCACTCAGTGTTCCGAGTCGATCTACACGGCGAGACTCTACAGAAGATATATCACGGGATAGCGCTGTTCGGGACGGCGTGGAAGACGGAAGCCCGCGCAGACAGAGCCGCCCTGCGCCTGCTGCTGGCAGGTACCAGCGACTTATCAACCCCTTGAGTCTATCTCAACAGCCACAATTGTCCGCAATTCAAACATGTGCTTCGATTATTGAGACATGCTGGCCCGCTGCGCTTGCCACTTGCTCGACCTTTTTGAACTCGGCTTTGGATTCCGAGTTCTACCATGTCTTGATCAGATCTGTCCAAAAACTTGCTCAGGTGTCGGGCGTGCTTGAGCTCTCGACACCGAGAGATGCACTGCTCACTACCTTGGCCAAATCCTCGATTCCGGCAAACTCAACAAGCCTAATCTCAAATGCTCAGTACACTAGGCCATCAACCCGGGGGGGACCGTCTGATCAGGATGTTACCAACAGTGACTCCAGATCTCTGGCTGAATTATCCCCCACGCCTACTTTGCAGAACCAAGCTCAACCTCTCAATGTTCGTCATCTACTATGCCTTCGAGCCCTGTTGAATCTCGGGATAGCCCTCGGACCAACACTTGAACAACCTGCTTGGAATATTGTGATCGAGACCATGCAGACAGTTGAATCATTGATTGCAATACCGTCTGCAGTGTCGACAGCCTCACAATTTGGCAGTCCGCAAATCGGCGCTTCAGGTAGCGATGGTCAAGCTACCCTGACAGGCGAAATTGCTTCTGTACAAGCTGCAACCAAAAGAATGATAGACAGCACCAAGAGCTACACGCAAGAGTCATTCTCCATTCTCGTGAAGTCATTCCTTCGTCTTCTTGGTCAAAGTGACATGGACGGCGAGACACCCCTAATTGAAGAGAAGGCCATGCCCTCTCCTCCGTCGACCCCAACGAGGCTTACACCTGGTCGTCTCTCGCGGAAAGCCTCCGCCCTGTGGACAAAGTCGAGCACCCTAGATCGAGAGATTGGCTTCGTGCTCAACAAGATTAGCGAGATATCGAGGGTGAATCTTCACCGCTTCTCAACCAGATCTGAAGAGTCCTGCTCATGGGATTTGATAGGAAAACGACTTTTAAGAGTTATTCGGGCAACTGACCTTTCGGATAGTCACCGACTTCAGGCGGCTGGCATACTGGATCTAATTGCTATGGAGACTATGAAACTTCTGGACAACCCTCATCTGCATGCCGAGGACGCCAACACCACTAGACTAAGATGCTTGCAAACTTTGCTTGACCAGCTTGAATCATTTGGGTCTGATGCCTCTGACGATGCCCAGAATGAGATCCATAAAAGGCTCCTTGAAGCGCTGGAAAGCATGTTAAGCCATAATGGTGACTCATTTGACAACGGATGGCCCATAGCGTTTAAAGTCCTATCTATAACATTTTCCAGGACGAGCCGTCGTCGTCTGGCGATCAGCGCAGCACTGCTCGAGGAGGAAGAAAGTGACGAGCAAATTGCCCAAATCCTTCGGACATCATTCAGGTCGATTCAACTGATTACGTCTGACTTTTTGAATGTGCTCTCAGCGAGTTCGATGTCAACTCTATCTCATTTACTCCGCAAATACGGCTCACAGTTTGACGACCTGAATGTCGCCCTAACAAGCACAACATTACTCTGGAGCCTTGCACTGCATATCATGACGAACATTGACACCATCGAACTTGAGACCATGACAGCAATGGATGCCACTCTTGAGGAAAGCGAAGATCCCAGTACAACGTCGGCGGCTCTCTGGAGTCTTACCTTACTTCAGCTAGTTGAGCTATCCAAGGACCCACGGTCAGATGTTCGTAATGCAGCAATCAGAGTGCTATTGAAGATGATAGATGCCTCCGCCGAAAGACTCACCCCAGGGGCGTGGTCAATTGCTCTTGTGCATGGCCCTTTGAAAGCTATGCACGCCTGCATAGAAGAATATACGTCTGATGTCCAAGCCCAACCCGAATGGCTAAGTTCGACCTCCCAATTGACGGATGGTAGCGTCCAGCTCATATGCGACAACCTGACAGTCATCATGCAACATTCCAGCTTTGATGCTACCTGGCTTCGAGTGATAGAAGTTCTCGAAGCTACTTTGAGCCTGCAGTCGCTACAGGCTGCTTCGCTGGTATTTTCGAATCTCTCCAGGTTACTGAGTACTCTTCGATCTCTCCAGAAAGTTGAGGAGAAATCGGTCCTGCCTGCCCTGAAATTATGGGCGATGCACTCTCCCGTGCAAATCCAGAGTAATGAGGTCCCAAATCAATCAGCGTTATCTGCTCATATGCATACATTTGTCGAAGCCCACAAAGCTAGCCATGCTGCTGTAACAAAGTTCGAGTTTAATCAGAATGACACCACAGCTCTGGCAATGGACGCGATAGAGAAGGCCGTCTTGATGTGCACTCACCCACCATACACGAATGACGTTAAGAGTCTAGAACCAGAGCAAAAGGAGGCGTTGGAGGCGCTGAGCATTTTGAAGGAGCTTCTACAAGATGATGTCGGACGTTATTCGCGATATTTACTTCGCCTCGTGCGGCTCAGCCTGAAGATTGATGCCGGCAAAGTAGCCGTTCAGCACAAAAGGTCGGCCATTCACAAGGCTGTACAAAAGCCCACTTTCATCGCATTTGCATCTGCTTGCTTGGAAGCATTCAACATGCTGACACTCGAACATGCCAAGGACGAAAACCTGATCCACACCTTGGCCCTGGAAGAAGCTTTTCAGATATTCTCTGCGCTGATCAAGACCAAATACACGGAGCTAGCCACGAATAACCAGGCTCCACTCTGGCGAAGGGCGACCGTCACTGCCGTCGTGTTGATGGAGGCCCTCCAGAAGCACCTGAGGCAAGGATCAAGGCAAAGGTTTATTCCACAGGCGAAGTGCTTAGTTGATGCGACATCTTCCACCGCTGCGAGCATACTGGGTCCTGGAGGATTGGGCGGTTCCCCTCCGAAGCAGAAGGAAGAGGCGCTCCTCGAGGACGAAAAATTCGACGTCGAACATTTCCAGCTCTTCCATAAAGCACTGATGTTAGTCTTGAAGCACGACGACATTCCGGAAGACGCATGTCGAGGATATGCGATCGCTCTGTTTCAGGCGTCACTTCTGGTGAAACCATGGTTCCGCGATTTCCCCGATGATCTCGTCGCGGAACCTCTGAAGGATCTGCTCGTCATCCGTCCAGGGAGTCTGCATCAGCCTGTATTCGTCGTGCGACGACAGACCTGCTATACCGCGATGGCCGCTCTCTTTGATCTTGTGCAGCGTCCTGGCCACGATGATGGTAACGATGTCGATGGCGATGGCGAAGATGAAGATGACAATAATGTTCGGGACGACTCCAGCAAGCTCTCGCGCGCGGCGTGTCCGTACCTGCTTCTCCGCGTGGTGCATCCGCTGAAAACGTTCCTGGCTGACCAGCGACTAAGAGGCCTCACGCCGCCGCCTCTGGCCCAGCAAGCCGAGCTGGAGATCGTGCTTGCCAATTTCGTGGAGCTGCGCAGTCACAATGCAGTGGTGCGAGAAGTCGCTGGGAGAGGGGGACGAGCTCAGCCGGACAGTAGCAGCAGCAGCAGCAGCGTCCCTGAACCAGGAGACGGAAAGGAGCACATGCGCCTGCTATACTCATTCATGTTGCGTGTGTACCGTTTCTGGCGTGCGCTGCCGAGGCTCAAAGGGCAGGAAGGCGCCTGGCAGACTGATGAACCCGGGCAGGGGATTGAGCGGGCCCTGGACCAGTGGGAGAGAAGCGTGGCCACGGGATGGGGGTTCCAGTAAGTAGAGCATGGTATTTGTTGACTCACAGATAGAGAGCGATGGTTTCTTCTTCATCATGACCTTCTTCTTCTTCTTCTTCTTCTTCTTCTTCTTCTTCTTCTTCTTCTTCTTCTTCTTCTTCTTCTTCTTCGAGAAGTTATCGCAATATACCACGCACAGAAGTATAGAAAGAAGTTATATGGTAATATGGATAGCCTTAGGTAGACTGACTGAGAATTCATTCGTTCGCATTACCCCCCCTCCCTTTCCGAGCTGCGCTTCATTACGTTATGGAGGTTCCTGTTATCGTTTTGAACTATGAAAATTCCGCTCACAGTAGTGCCAGCTAGGTCTGCTGTGAGCGGAAACCTTGACCTCCGTACATCTTTGCTGGAACGCTTAGGTTCAAGCTTGTCCCTGGATTAACGACGGTAAGAGAGGTTCCAGCTAGCTTAAGTATCTACAGCTTTGACTGCCTGATACGAAGTTATCGGGGCCAGTAGTGAATGGTGGCCCGCTTGGTATCTCAGTCCACGCGAACACGTGCTGGCGCACAGGAACTCAACGATTCCATGCCAGGACGCAAGTAAGTGCCATGCCAGGTAACTTGCCCCTCCAGCTTCCAGGACTGGAAATGTTGACTTGAGGGTGAGAAAAGAGACAAAGTTTCCATCTTGGAACAAATCAAGCAGGTACCGGCGGCGCTGGGTCGGGTAGTTTCCCACCAATGGTTGGGTTGTCCAGGGCTAACTGGGGAGCGAGCTCGGGTGCCTGTCTATAAAGCACAATTTCGGATTGCTTAAAGTATCGTCGTGCATCTGTACGACAAGTAGTCAGTACCAAGTCTCTTCGCAGCGCAAGGGAGACTGTGGCCTCGTGGAGTGGCGGGTGGCGGATGCAAAAGCCGAAGGGCGGCAGTTCAATAGCCGATCCAATTCCGACTCCAAGGGCGCGTGGGGGCTTCTGCTTTGGATTCCCATGCAGCTACTTATTCCCAAGATGGCACGGCGATAGCAACACATGCAGGTCGACCGGACCAAGGTTTGATGCCCAACAGTCAGGTGAGGTGGGACGTACCTTCATCAATCAAAACCAGGCTCAAGTAATATCTGGTGGAGAACTTCTTGTTGACGTCTCGAAACGTTGGCGTAAGATCGAAACCACCTAGGAACAAGCGGATTGGTATCGTTTCTCCTGTGCGCCTTGTCAGTATCACAAGCTGACATTGAATCAGGTTGAGCGGCATCCTCAGCCCGTAGAAAGCACTGCGCCTGGTAAGATGCAGTTGTCTGCGTACCTCGTGATGGAGACCCATCCATAATCTTCTTCCTGTCAGCATTCATGGACTCTTACAACATTGAAGGCGGCCTACATACCTCAAATCGTACCAACGTCTCGCTTTCGTTGTACTGGTTTGGAGCAACTCCCGTCGTCTCTCTTCGAATGATGGACAACTCCATGTGCTTGATCTTCAATCTGACCAGCAAGAAGTATATTCTGCCGACGATGACGTCTTTTAGGTGGTATTTGCTCTTGGAATACTCAAACTCAATGTGCAGGCAATCCTCGATGCCGACATCCATCTTGATCGAGCTGTTCGTCTCGGGGGGTATTCGGTATGTGTATACCCAAATGTCTTTCTCTCGTATCACATCCGCCATTCTTCTGGAAACAGTCACGCGGATAAAGTAGCGAAGCTTGACGTTGATACCATTGTATGATTCATATTGCTTCTCGACGTTCTTGAAGTTGAAGGGGAAAGTCTGGGGATGTTGCAGTTCGCCCGGAGCTGCGAGCTCCTGGCCTAAAGAGAGGAACTCGTAGTGGTTTCCGCGATCGAAGAACATCTCTGTGCACCGCAAATTAGGCCTGGGCGCTCTCTAACCAGCGTTGTAGCTGTTGCGATCACTCAAAGCAGGCATACCTATTAGACCCACGAACTGGACTTTGATGCCTGTATGCTCTAACCGCTTCCCATCCTTGGGTCTGATTGTCACCGCACCCTTGACCGACTCGCCATCGAGATATAGGGGCGCCTTTTCTCGTCGGTTCTTGTCGAGCTTGACATCGACTGTCTGGCGGTCATCGGCATTGTCAAGGACGATGTCAATGTCGACTGGCGTGGAGAAGAAGAAGGAGGACATGGCAGATAGCGGGCGAGGGAAGGGAGGAATTCAGTCAAGAAGAACAACTGTCATGCAGCCCCGAGTACAACGCCGCGGTGAATGTAAAACTTTGTAATGATCCCAAGGGAGTCTCTACAGTATGGTGGTGGTGGTGTCTTCCGCAGTCACCTCCATAACGGCCAGGCGCAGGTGGTGATATTGAAGCTAGAAACTTGCCGCTTTAAAGGCTGGCGAGGCCGTCTACGCAGGTGCCTAGAGAGAATTATTAGGCACCAGATCAGCTTAAAGCCCCCTAAGAGGTGCCTATAACTGCCCCTATGGAGAATGGTGAGGGCTTCATGATATATTGGTTATTGTGATGTGCGGGTGCAACCACTTCTATCACTTTGATCCCAGCTCTATCACCGACTCCGCCTGGTTTCAGCTGGCTACGAGGGACGTTACTTCTCGGGTTATTGATCACACCGAGGGCTCACCAGGCCCGTCTGCGAGATTCCGGGGTCCGTCGGCTATTGCTGAGCCTCCATAAACAGTATTGGCTTAGGCGTCCTTTGTGCCTCCCCCGCGGGTTGAGGCGCCTCATCCACCGCTCTGGGATCTGGACATGACGCCTGTGCTTCATCCATTCACCGTCCTCGTAGATTCAGCAGTCTTGTGCCGTCGCTGTGCCTGGCTACAGTGACTGGAGGTGATTGGCGCGTCCGCCTCCGCCCGTGTCCCCGTCCGTGTCCCCGTGTCCTGTGCCTTTACTGGGACCGAACAGCCCATCGCACAATTACCCGGTGGTGACGGCTGTGGGGTTTGCAGGGCAACAGTCGCCCTGCCCTGGATCGAGAAATTCACAGCGCGGCGTTGATGCTGCCGTTGACCATGATTCTATTCTTCCCTGCTGGTCGACCGTCAAATCTTCGGCAAGCCCAGCTGCAGGTCTACCAGAACTCGTATCTGGGGCGCCTCTATCGGTGAGAAGGGCCCATATGTATGTGCATCTTATATATACCACGCTCGTGGCCCCCTCCGCTCCAGCTACCGCTACCTCGAGCACTTCGCCTTTCGACTCTACACACTCCCTTTGTCTTCAGCCTGATAGAACCCACGCCTGTCATCTTCGCCCCTTTGTGTAGCCTTTGCACTTCGGCCTGGTCTTATATGACAAGTGACATCATTGGTCAAGCCCCATACCGCCACTAACGTCGCCAGCATGTTGTCCGCAGAACGAATTCCGAGACATCAACCCTTCCGATACCAGACCAGCACGACCAAAGCCGCCCTAGACGTCTCTGTCCGCGAAATGGCGGCCGAAGGCGACGAGCACATCGAGCATATTTGGATCATCACCGGCCCTGCTGGTTGCGGGAAGACCACCGTCGCCCAACATCTGGCTCAGGAATTGTCCCTGCCCTACGTAGAGGGCGATGATGTATGCTAGGACTCTGTCATAGTCAGTGGCGTCGCTAACATGTCCTCACAGTTTCATCCCGTAGCCAACAAGCAGAAAATGGCCTCCGGCATCCCCCTGACAGACGCCGATCGATGGGACTGGTTGATAACACTTAGAAACGAGGCTATCAAGCAATTGCAGCATTCCAACGGCGTGATTGTCACCTGCTCTGCCCTCAAGCACAAGTACCGGGATGTGATCAGAGTGGCCAACTACGAGCACCCTTCCGTGCAGGTCCATTTCGTATACCTCAAAGTCGACGAGACGACGTTGCAAAAGAGAGTGGCTGCTCGAGTCGGCCACTACATGAAGGAGGGGATGGTCCACAGTCAAATGGCGACCTTGGAGGAGCCCGAGTTGGACGAGGAGTGGGATGTACTCCCAGTGGATGTAAGAGATGACAAGGAGACAGTCAAGAAGCATGCTCTGGAGGTGGTACAAAGAAAACTGAAGGAATATGAAAGTTTACCTAAACGTCCCAACTAAGGTCGATCGTGGCGTATACCAGGGTGGTGGGCATTGAGTTCAGCGAAGGCGCCAGGCGTTTGGCCTTGGAGGAGAGCTTCGATAGATGCATCGGCGTCCGACTCCCCAGGCTTCGTTATTATCGGGATGGCCGTACCAGTCGCGAGGACTCCTCGACAATGGTGCAACGGATTTATCACATGTGTCCTGAGATCAGACACCCATCGGGTTTCCTTTGGCCGTAGCGACTAGCATTTCGCAATGGCACAGAGGAACCATCTTAGCTCCAGCTTAGAAGTGATTCCAGCGAGAAATCAAATTATGCTTGATGCGAAGGCAAACAGTCGACGTGAATGAGGTTTTGTCCAGGTGATCATCGTCGGCTATGTATTAATACGCCGTGGGGAATGAAACAGCGGGCAAAATGGCTCGAGCCCTGAACGAGTCGCTATAGTTAGCGGTGGCTTAGTTATCTCTCAGGACTCACACATGACAGCCGGCACTGCCCAAGATTCCAGTTGATCAATTGTACGACAATAAGATCGATTGTTGTTCTGTTCGCGGTCTGACTTAGCGAAAAACGGCCTCCACCGAACCAAGTCGAACTAAAGTGCCGCTTGCCTCGCTTCGCTAAAAGCGTCCAGAACAAACTCCCCTTCTCCTGCCGCAGGAAACGGCCAGTTTCTTCTGTATTCAACGAGCGCCCTCATTCTCCCTCAATCATGGTGATGTTCTTGGTGGAAATGACTACTTGCGTTTAATAATGCCTTTCGTCTTCGATGCTGCGTTGTTCGAATAGATAGATCCAGGCAGTGCTCCCAGCATCATCGCCAAAGTCACAGTTGCAGCGCAGTCAACATACCTCCGCAGCAGAATGCAAGCATCGGCGCCAGCAACGAATGCTCCCTATGCCGGAGGGTCCCATGTGCGCTCTTCCTCTGGCTCCGGTCGGGCGCAACGTAGTGCCAATGTGTGTTGAACCTCAAACCATCAATGTTTTCTTTAACTGACTCCCCAGCCCGACAAGCAGATCTCCCAGATCGAGAAGAGTGTCACCCATCTCCTCGTCGCCACGAAACAACTCCTCGAGACTCTAACACAATGGTCCCGTGGCCAAGCACAGGAAGAGGAGGTCTCAGATGTCTATGTGCGATTGGGATACGAGTTCAACTTGGCATGCCGTGCTTTCAACTCGATAGGCGTCGAGACCTCCGACCTAGGTCCTGTTCCCGATCTCCTGCGAAGTATACTTGAGGACACTTTGAGCCAGCCAGCGTCACCTCAAGCCCTCGACAACTATCTCCCCCGGATACGGGATATCATCATCAACTTGCTGCATGGCCTCAAGAGAAAGCAAAGCAGGTTACGGGGAAGGGCCACCAAGGACAACGCAGCTGCACCCCAACCACGGCCTCCAGGCGGTCAGGTACGGCAAGCTAGCGTATCGACGACAGGAAGCAATGAAACTGGATTAACGCATATGCTGGACGATGTCTCCAGTGCCACTTCCAGCATGCGGGGGCCAGCTTCGCAACAGGACCCGAATGCTTCGCCTGAACACGCCTGGAGTACCAAATCTCCCAACAACAGACAGCCAATCCGCCGTGATGTCCAGTCGCAAATTCCGCAATCCGACACCACTTCCACCATGTCCTCGACCACGGCGCAGAACTTACCGGTGACGGCCCCCTATCAGGAGGTGGAACAAACTAGCCCAGCTCCTCACATAAACTTCCCTCATCCCCCGCCACCGCCTCCAAAGCAGGCGGATGCTCTGACCAGGCTACAACGTGGTGGAGATCTGGAAAGACGAGCCTCAAGGAGATTCTCGGCTTACCAAATCCAAAAGCACCTGGGGGCATCTCCCAATGGAGTGCCCGTCATACCTACGGCTCAAAACTCACCAATCCCAAACCGAGGGAAAGAAGCTCGAGAGTCATTGACGGCAGTTCGCTCCCGAAGCTCTTACCAGCAATCGAGGTCGCGGTCTGTCCGTCAAGGAGATGTTTCGCCTAGTAGGAGTGGCACGGTCAGGGCACCACAACGTATATCGGAAGAGCGAGAAGAGGCCCCAGTTCTCTCGTTGGACTCAGTCCCTCAGATGAAAGCGCCTGAAGAGCAGCCCAGCTTTGACAGCCCAACCGTCAAGACTCCGGATGAATATCATAAGCCTCCGCCGGCTCGACAAGACACCGCAAGTTCTCTATCACTTGGTGCCACTGTCAACGGGCCTTTGGAACCTGCGCCGGAAGAACTTCAAGACACCGCCTCTATCGATTCCCAGCCTGCGCCACCTCCACTACCAGAGCACAGGTCATCTTTCGAGGAAGGTCCGGTGAGTAGTGCGGAAACGGTACAGCAGGATCCACCAGCCGAAATCACTCCAACGCAAGCACAACAGGCACCTTTCGAGGCCTCCTCTCCCCAGAGCAAGGAATTGACGCTGTTCCTTCAGTACAGGAGCAAGATCAAGAAGTTTGTACTGGTGGATGGTTATGAAGAGCTTACAATTCCACGACTACAACTTGCATTCATCGAGAAATTTGCTTGGAATACGCAACACGATGGTTCGGAACTTCCGGAAATCTACGTGCAAGATCCAGTATCCGGTGTGAGACATGAACTGGAGGATCTCACAGATGTCAAAGACCGAAGTGTACTTGTCTTGAACGTAGAGCAGCTCGACGAGGTTAAGAAACATATCGATGAAGGGCTTGGAGGACTTCAAAAAAGCCTTGACGGCGTACGGTCCTTATTGGAGGGTCAGGGCACCCTGATGCAGCGATTTTCAGACCGACAATTGGAGACTTCGAAGGAAATGGCTCGAATGTCTGCTGTACCGACCTCTACATCGCGGACTCCAGTCTTGACCCCTGGCTCTTTTCCCCCGCCACCGGGAGCATCGGCCTCTACGATCCAGGAAATTCAGAACCTACGAAGGGAAATTGCTGTGCTTCGACAGACATACTCGACCATGTCATCGGATTTTACTGCGGCCATGAATGACATCAAGTCAAAAGCTGCCAATGTCAAGTCAGCGGCGGCCGAAGCGGCGAATTCTTCCTACAAAGGGGATGCCGGACGAGCTCACATCAACCAAGGGAAGAAGACATTATCCGATGACTCGGAGGCTCTCGTCAACCGTGTTGATGACTTGTCCGATCTTGTAGAAGAACTTCGTAAGGACGTGGTGACGAGAGGAGTCCGACCTCTACCACGTCAACTTGAAGATATTAGCAAGGAGATCAGCGCTGCTGCCAAACAATTAACCAAGGTCAAGGATTTTGTGAAACGAGAGAAGCCTATCTGGACCAAGATATGGGAACAAGAGTTGCAGGTGGTGATGACAGAGAGAGACGATCTCACTCAGCAAGACGAGTTGATGAATGACCTTGACGGCGATCTTGAAGATATTACGAATGTATTCAAACTTGTGGAGGAAGCTACCAAGCAACAGAATCTCCAGAACACGGCTGCACCTGGCCGCCAGCCATCAAGAAATCTGGCTTTTGATACAGATATTGATCCGCACGAGGCGAAGAACGGCATGCTGGATGAAGTTCGAGCCCTTCAGCCTAATCATGAAAGTCGACTTGAAGCAATCGAACGTGCTGAAAAGGTCCGACAGCGTGAGCTTGAGAGCCGCAAAGTCGGTGAATTCCAGCGCGAGGTTGAGAAGTTCGTGGAAGAAGGAAAGCTGAAAAAGACCGGCGGTATGGACGAAGTTGAGAGAAGGAGGAAGTTGAAAGATGAGCTCGCTCGTAGGGAGAACTGGGAACGTCAACAAGCAAGAGCAGCGGAACTCGAGAAGAAGAGAGCCGAGGCAGCGGCGGCGATGGCGGTGGCTGCCGCTGTTGCCGAAACAAATGCCACCACCGTCCAAGAATCGGAAAATGACACCTCCCAAGAGGGCGAAGCAGCGTTTCAGGATGCCAAGGAAGAAAGCGTACTTTCGCCCGGGGGCGGAACATCACCTGTTGTACCACCGGTCGTTCCCGCCAAGGATGGGACTGAGAGCAGTGAAGGTCCGGCACCACAATTACCTGAAGTCGGGAGCGACGGTGACAAGGGATTAGGTATGTGATTCTCTCCATACAGATTTAATATAATGCATTTCTCAACGACAAAACCATGCGAATGTTTTGCTTTGGAGTTGCCACTGATCAATATTGTTGCGAAAGCATAGATTCCAGCCAAGCAGTGCCGGAGCCTGTTTCTTCCGATGCCAACAACAACGACGACAACATCAATAACGAAGAAGGTGCAAGTGGAAAGGACGCGGACGCAGAGACCCCGAAGGTCAAGGGAGACGACAAGAAGGCTCACCGGGGCAGTTGGTGGCAGCCTGCGATATTCTCGACTTAGCGAATCGAGTGGTGATGGCAGCAATGTGTCAAGTTTGTTCCGGGCATGGTCCAGCACCTTCTCCTTGTTATGGTGGATGCATTTTCCAAGTCAGGCACGGCACTCTACGAAAAGGGGTGGAATGGACCGTGTTCCACAGCATGTTCAGGCATTTTCGCATGGGTCTTGTCGAGTTCGAGCGTTGTATTCTGGAAGACGCAATTGGCCTTCCTTCTGGCAGAGCTACAGTACAGGTACATTTTGCCTGGTTGGAATTGATGGGTGTTGATACTGAGCCGAAGCGTTGACAGCATGTCGTCGAGATGTTACCATTTCAGCCGGAATTATGGATACATCGTCTGTATATTTGGTGTTTATGTTTTTGTTTTTCATTTCAGCCAACTTTTTCTGCAGCCAAGAAGGAGCAAGCGATGGGCATGTGTATGTGTATGTGTTGCTATTTTACTGTTCTTAATTATGTATGACGTATTTTTTCATGATCCCATGAGGCTGATTTACATATATATACGGATTGTACACCTGGACTGCCTAGATAGTAGGCGGGTATGTTCCGTCTTGGTGCTGTCAGGAAGGGGGGCCGCGCTCTGCATCTGCATTATAGAAACTTGGTACCTGGCAGAAAGGAGAATAGAGAAGACACATGGTTTCTTGCGTCCTTGTTCATCGCCAGATTGGTCGTGAACTCACGGTGTTCGGTGTTGACATCGTCATAATGGTACATATGTAGGGAGTAAGTACTCACAGTAGCATTCTAATCGAAGGAATTTTATACATGTATGATAAAAAGAATGTGGTTGGTTTGAAAATAAAGTGTGTAAAGTTGTTAGATTGATGTATTATTTCTTATCCCGTTTCATCCTATTATGCGAATACGATCTAGTAGAGAGTATAGTATTCACGTCGAGCAGATGGGTAGTGATGGCGACAGTGATAATGGTACTGGTAGACCTGGTAGTGAGTGGTGGTTGGTTTGTGGTCTCTTCTCCTTTTTCGTTCTCTTTCTTCTTTGGCACATTCAACGTTCAAATCAACACAGTCCGTTACCGACCAAAAACTGGCTAATGTACTGATACGTCGTCTCGTGGCTGTAATCCAGGTTCAGACCGTGCCCGGCGCCGGGGACGACAAAGGCGTCAAAGGGCTTCGCGCCGGGGAAGGCGCCTTGGACCTCGGCGATCAGGTTCACAGTCCCGTTGCCGCTGCTCGTCGGCGGGAGACAGTTGCCTCCGCAGAACACCAGGTCGCGCTCGCCGCTGATCACCAGCACCGGACCGGCGAAGGAGTTGACCCCCGCCGACGCCGAGCCGACGGTGAGCAGTTCCCCGACCGACACGGGCTGGCCGGTCGCGAAGGCGAAGTCGAGAATCTCGGGGTCGAACTGCCCCGGCGCGAGGAAGTTGGTGTGCACCCCGGACGCGTCGCCGGGGACGAGGTAGCCCGCTCCGTAGGTGGTGGCGAAGCTGGGCACGTCGGCCGCCGAGATGAGGTTGCCCCCGAGCAGGAAGTAAGGGATGTACGCGCCCGTCGCGGAGAAGCCGGTCAGCACGATGCCGGAGCTGAGCTCGGGCTCGTCGCGCGCGAGCGCGTACGTCTGGATCGAGCCGAACGAGTGGCCCACGTGGACGATCTTGTCGAATTTCGTCGAGACGCCCGGCACCGAACCCGACCACGCGAGTCTCGTCAGCGCCTTGAGCGCCGCGATCTCCAGGGGAGCCTGCACCACCGACAGCGGGTCGCCGTGCGAGCTGGCCCCGATCCCCAGTCGGTCCCACGACAGCGTCGAGTACCCGTACTGGTCCACTGCCGTCTCGACGTAGCTGTAGTTGTAGTCGTTGAACGGCAGGTCCCAGTAGCTGCGGTCGAAACCGATGCCGTGCGTCAGGATCTGGAGTGTCTTCGACCCACTCTCCGGGACCGAGTCTGGAACGCAGTATGTCGCTGCCAGCTCGTACGTGCCTGACACGGTCGCGTAGGACGTTAGTGCTTCCTGCGTGGCGTTGACGCCCGGCATGGCGCCGCCGAGCAAGAAGTTGGTCACGTCGATGTTGGTCTGCGGGATCGGGATGCCGAAGACGCCATTGCGTGCGGACACTTCCACTTCCACCGTGAAGTTCTGGCACTTGCGTGCCGATGCGAGCCCGATGGCCAAAGCTAGTGAGGAGACGGTGACGAAGTGCATGGTTGGACACAAGGTGAAGTTATATATATGGGAACGAGCAAGAAGGGGATGATGGTCGGTATTGAAGTAGGATTGAAGAGCATGTCTTCTCGTAGGAGAGTAACTCACCGAACCTTTATATACACAGTCTTGATGGATGAGATGTTTGCGAGGCCTATACCTCATCTCGCAGGCACGCTCTTTTTGTCATTGTGTCGATATCCACCATGATGCAGAGTCGGAGACGTGTTAGCCACATCGTGTTAGCCAGAGTTGCGTGCGTAGAATGTCAATGAGACTCGAAGTATGTTAGAATGCAGACTTTCATCTAACGCAAAAAGGGAATCCCGCTTCTCATCCATGATTAGACGTCGTGAAGCTGGTCGGCGGCGTCTCGGCCTTATGAGTGGGGCCCAGGAGGCCGTGGCTTTTGTCTCTCCCACAACAACGCCAGGTTGGGAAGAGAACGATTGTGCAGAAACTACAGTAGACTTCGGGATTGAAGTTAGCTAAAAAGTCCCATTTGGAATACATGTCGCCTGGGTCATTTTTGTCAGCATACATGCAATGAATTATTGCCGGCTGTCGCCTGCTCAGAGTCCACCCTCTTCGGAGAGAGAGCGATGGCATTTTGGTCAGCGCAAGGTTTGGCACTAGGTGAGTGAGTAATCCATCAATCTCGACTTCTTGACCGAACTTCCCAGCGAGCAACGAGTCACAGTATTCGCTCGCCCGCAGTATTTCAGTTTTATTCGGATTATGGCCTGGTGATGTTCGGCTGTACTCCACCGTCTGGTCTAAGCGCGTCGCTACCACGTTTACCCAGGCACAACTCCGGTGACCGGGATTTTGGTTAAACGCTTCTTTCTCCCCCAGTAAACAGGGCCCCATCTGAGTCTTAGACTGGTCCCTACGTCACCTGCTCCCAATACCCCCAACGAGTGCTTTCAGCCTCAAAGGCTACGACTAGCATAGCATGTTTTTCCCGGTCACCATCTTCCGGTCGTACGTGGCGCGATCACGCCAGTTTCAGCCAGCTCCAACCCAGCTTCTCGAAGGTTGTCAGTTCGAACCATGTCTCCTTCTACCTTGGTGAAGCGTCTTTGTTAATACCGAGCCATGGGCTTGCTCGGGACAACCCATGTTCAAAGTGGTTTTCCCGCAGAGGCGAAACGACTCTGGATTCCCGCGAAAAGATGCATTTTAGTCAGTAGGCCTACAATACGACTCGTTGTGCTGCTGGGATTTTGTTGATTCTGTACGGGGTTGCTGCCGTCAATGCACCAGGACTGATCATGGCCAACGGTTTCACCTATGAATGTGCTTGGAAGTCCAGCTCTCAACTCCTGCTGCAGCCTTTGTATCTTGTGAAAGCCCACGATCAGGCGGAGATTTGCTGTGCTCAGGATCCGCGCATGTATGGTCTGACTTGAACTTCCAATGATATTCACTACCAACGCGACCTGCTCCTTTTTCGTCACTGGAATGGTTTCTGTGATGATGGCCAGTTGCAGTTTTTGCAATCTAGTCCACCTGTATAAGTCTCTAGCATGAACCACGATCCAGTGCTCCAAGGAGGAGTCGGGTGTGAAGAAGAGCTCATCGATTGCTTGACTTTCTGTCTCCGTGTTGGCAATGCTGTGAAGTTTGAAGCCAGGGAAAGTTACTTCTAACCCGTCAGATGTCAACTTGCCCTGTTGCTGCTTTTTGGCAAGGGTGCTGAACTTGACGTCGGAGACTGTGAGCCATGAGGCAGGGGCCCAAGATAAACCTTTCTCCGTGAGCTTTGGGCAAGGCGCAAAGATCAAGCCCGCAGGGATCTTGTAATAGGAAGTTGCAGCTATCATCTTCAGGAGACTGCTCATTTGTCGCCCCATGAGCAAGTCCAACTCGATTGATTCTCTGGAAGGATTGAAGTCAACGTCTTCAAAGAGCTCAGTATCTAGACCCAGCATGGTCGCAATTGCCAGCGGTTCGTGCCGTGCAACACTCGCAGTCCTTCGCTTCAAAGCATTCCATAAAGCGGTGAGGAATTGTGAACTCGGTCGTAGTTCGACACTTTCTTGTATTGCTCTTCTTTCTGGTCCGAGTAGTGCATTGTAATAGCATCGTGCGACTGTCGGAATTGGATTCGCAAGCTCGTCCGGGAAAGTGCCCTCAAGAGTGTCCATGTCTACTAGGGCGTCGTTAAACACAAAGAGCAGACGCCGACTCAAATATCCTTCTTGCAACGTCCAAAGTCTAGTCATCCAATAGCTTGTGGCGATCTTCATGGCGGTCTCGGAGTACGAATTCCCGCGAGCTTGAACCATGAGTCCTGCATCGAAGACAATAGTGCACGATGCATTCCTATACATGAGATGCATATTTCTGACCGCTTTTTGGCGTATCCGCTGGTTCGACCGTCCCAGTGGTATTGCTAAAGCATCAACCCAAAAATACGATGGTGTATGTAACGCGGTTGAACCATGCGCAAAAGACAGCGCCCGGTCAAGGGCTGCCAACCTCCCAAATACCTCGACGAATCTTCTCAGGTGACAAGATCGGAGTGCATTAGTAAAGCCATTCGCGAATCCATCAGCAAAAACGTGAGATATAATGGCATAGCTCATCCCCGGCTTATACTCCACAACGCTGACGCTCTGATTTTGTTGATCATATTTCAAGATAGGTGTACTTCCTCGCTCAAGGACGCCGATCAGTCCTGCCATATCAACGCCAACAAGTGCACAATTGCAGACACCGTCAGTGTTCCAGTGTTTCTGGCGATATGCACGACTCTCTCGCGCTCCACAATAATAAGACGAACAGTCTGTGTGATCAAGCCCCAGATCTCTTGGGTGCGATATGTGTTTCGCATAGAGTTGTCCGCAAGTACTTTGCTGAAGATCCCCTAGCAAGACTTGCAACGAATACAAACACCAGCCATCATTCCTCATCGACCTCAGCAGGGAGTCGCTGTAACCCCACCCGAGACTCATACTCTCGAAAAAGCCTCTTATTGTAATCTTCGCAGACAGAACGACTTTGCGCATGGCGTGGCATAGCGTTTCTCCCAGTATCATGAAAGAGAGGGCGAGACGCGAATTTATACTCCAAGTTGGTTTTGCAGAGCCATCCTTTGATGCGCAGTATTTTGAGACCAAGGAATAGGTCTTGTCTAGTGCCAGGTGAGCCTTCAGTAACGGCTTGATGTGTTCGGATGGCTGAAGAGTGATTGGGGCAGCCCAAGACGAGAGATACTGAGGTAGCTTCTCCGTCGTAACATACCAGTCTCCATGGCTGCTCTGATACATGAAATCTTCAATGGTGATGCTACCAACAACTTCGGTAAGAAGACCAAAAAAGAGCCAGGATTGAAGAAATGCCTCGAGGGAGCTTTGATCGTTGGGGCCCCCAGCGACTTCTGCAGCTCCGATCCGGCTCCAGAGGCCATCTTCGCCCAATGCCCATCCCTCTCGTTCGGGGAAGGAATGGTAGTCATCCCCACAATATGGCGCCTGTACAAGGTACGGCACTGATAGATTTATATCGTTGACGATGTGGTCCATATTTTTGCGGTCCGCAAACGGGCATCGAAAGCGGAGGAAGTTACGGCCCGAGCAGTGACACTGACACTGACACTAACACTAACAGCCCCGCGGCCAAGCAAACCAAACCCCGCAGTTGATATCTGACATTGGATATCAAACACCTTAAATTGTCCAAGAATAAAGATGACACCGGCAGAATGCAGCCTTGTTGACGTTTCGGGGCGATGTGCGAGAATCTAGAACGGAAATACCACTTTGTGCAAGGCGATGACTTCCAACGCCAAAAAGTCGACTGAATTCGATGTGACTGGGGACGGCCAAGATTGCCTCAGTGAGAGCGACAAACAAAAGGCAGCAGAAGAGATATACCGACGATGGTCAAACCGCGAGGTGGGAATTGGCGGAAAAGACGAGCTGCCATTGTTTGAAAAGCTGAATAGCCTTGCAAACCTCTATGTGTATCAGGGCCGGCAGGCAGAAGCAGGAGAGATATATCATCGACTCCTTAGTGCGGCGAAGGAAGCCCTGGGATCTGAACATCAACTGACCCTTGATACACTGAACAACCTCGGAAACCTCTACACTTATCAAGGGAGATTCATAGAGGCGGGGAAGATGTATGAGCAGGCGCTTTCTGGCTATAGACATACCCTACAGCCCGAACATCCGTCCGTACTCGATACGATGAACAACATGGCAAACCTCTATGCTAGCGAAGGGAGGCTTTTGACGGCAGAAAAACTGTACTATGAAGTATTTGCAAAGAAAAAGAAGGTCTTAGGGCCCAGTCATCTATCAACCATCGATACAATGAATAATCTCGGAAATCTGTACGTTCACCGAGGACTGTATTACAAAGGGGAGAAGATGCACATCGAAACTATTTCTGCCTACACAAAAATCCTGGGCCTTGAACATCCATCCACACTAGACACAATGAACAACCTAGCGAATCTATATCTTGAGCAAGAGAAATTTGCCGAAGCGGAAGAGATGTTCAATCGATCACTCGCGGGAAAAGAAAAATCTCTTGGACGGGATCATCCGTCTACGCTCGAGACACTCAACAATCTTGGAAACCTCTGCTTTAGGAGAGAAGACCTGGAACAAGCCCAAGGCATCTATACTAGAGTACTTACCGCCAGAGAGCTAAGCGCTGGAAAAGAGCACATATCGACTCTCAATGTCGTTTCAAATCTAGGATGTGTATACCGCCACCAGGGATACCTGGACCAGGCCGAGGAATTATTCTTGCGAGCCTTGGAAGGAAGAGAGAGTACTCAAGGTCTAGACGACATATCAACCATTCGGACGGTCGAGAATCTTGCTCTGTTGTATACTGACCAAGGCAGAACAAATCAAGCAGTGCACATGTACCTGCGCTCACTGATTGGGAAGGCGAAGCTGCTGGGGCCGGAAGACCCGATGACTCTCGCCACTCTCAGTGACCTCGAAAATCTAATTTTCAATCTTGAAGGAATACACGTCACAGAGAAAGTCTATGTAGCCGCCTTACACGACTTCCAGAAGTCCATTGGAACTGATAATCCTTTTTCTGAGAGGGCCAGAAGGATCATATTATCACTTAGGTTTCGAGACGACCATTCCGGAATTTCTCCCACGGGGTCGCTAGATCATTTACCTCTCATCATGCAACCTTCATACCCGCCTATCGAAATTGAATACATCGACGATATTGCGCCGCCCGTTGTTATATATGATAACAAAGGTTTCGCTAATTTCCCTTTGAGAGCAGGTTGGGAGATAGAAACACTATTGGATTTCGAGATTGACCGGGCTTCAAACAAGAGCGAAAGGTCCGTGGCGGCTTTCATCCAGCAGTGGCTTTTTTTTGGTTTGCTCTCGGCTGCCACAGGCCACAAATATACTATGGACAACCTCTTGGCCGTCTTTACGAGGGTCTCTCCCAGCTTGAAACGGAGAATTATTACTACTAGACACCTCGAGAAATACCTAGTGCAATGGAGGGATAGTATACCCACAAAGGAGCTCCAGAATGATTCTGAGACCTTGAAAGGCCTCGAAGCCATCCTAGACGAAGCACGACGCGCACTAGGTAAAATGAGCGACAGTGTGCAGGGAGGTTACAACCACCTTTTGGCAAATTATTCTACCATCTCCCTCTCTATCTTGGTGCTCGGGGTTGTTTTTACAGAAGCAAAATGCCGTATCTGGCCAGGAAGCAGAACAATCCGGTGGCCACAGAGTGTACTGATATTATCGAAAATGAAGGAGCATGGATGGTGTCCAAGTGACATTCACATGTTGCAGGAATCTTTGACACCAGTTGGCATGTATTTTGCCAGTCTTTGTCAACCGCGAATGGCCCAGCACGACCATACACGATCCAAGTGCGACAGAAATGTTTGTTACTGCATGAATATAAACGACACAGCAGATAATGCCTTTGTGCCGACACACACGGCGGATTGCGACGGTCAGTGTGCCCTCGAGGATACTCATCACTCTCTGCTCAAAGCTCTGACCGGAGAGGACACGCTACCTGTGGTTAGCTTGGAAGAAAACACGGACGGAAAATTCAGCCTTGTTATGTCGGCCTTGAAGCTCGGTCAAGATCAAAATTACATTGCAATTTCACATGTATGGATGGAGGGTTTGGGCAATCCACGCCAAAATGCACTGCCCACATGTCAATTGAGGCGCATCCAGGATTTCGTTACGGCCGCATCTCATGGTCAGACCAAGTACTTCTGGATCGATACTCTGTGCGTTCCACAGGACAGTTTCAACCCGAAATCGCAACCGTCACGAATCCGTGCAATGTGTGATATGGAAGTGGTATATCGTTCTTCGCTAGCAGTTTTGGTACTTGATCCCCAACTCCTATCTATAAGCCAGGGGGCGGCGCCAGAAGAACAGCTTGTCCGAATTGTGTGCTGCAGTTGGATGAGGAGACTCTGGACGCTGCAGGAAGCTGTGACCGGGTCGAAGATTCTGCTGCAATTTTCTGACGGAGTCTTCGATATGATAGAAGGATTTAAGGATTTCAAGACGTCAACGAAGCTTTCTGCGATGTCGGAAATAACTGCCCTGACTGGACTGATTTCTTCCAGCATCCGTCAAGTAGAGGACCTAAAACGCTTCAGACGAGATCGGAAAAGTGGACACCTTTTCCCAGCAGTATGGAACGCTTGCCGGACCCGTACCAACAGCAAGGCCCAGGATGAAGCATTTTGTCTTGCAGTGATGCTTGGGCTTGATACTCTTCCAATCTTGGCGGCCCCCAACAATGAAAAGTGGAAGAGGCTTCTACTCCTTCAAAAATACTTTCCCATAGACCTACTGTTCTCTCCGGTTCCCAGATTATCTGAACCGGGCTATCGGTGGGCGCCATTACCATTCAGCTGGTATAAAGGAACAAAAGTCTATCTCAAGCGGAATTCTACAGCACTGGGAGAAGCGAGCGATAAAGGTCTTTCATTCACTGCACCAGGCATGGTCCTCGCCCCTCTGCAGACCCCTCTGCGCACCGAACCTATCACTAGCTCGATGATCTTGATGCTTCGTGGAGATAAACAATCTCAGACCTGGTACAGGATTAAACACAGAACTGAACCAAACTACGATCAGGCGCAATGGGAGGACTTTAGAAATACTCTGCATCGCGATGCTAAGCTAGGTCTCATATTCGATCAGGACATTGACGAAATTTCATTTAATTCTGCTCATGGGGTCCTAGTAGCCCTTGAACAAGATACTCTCGGGGACGGTAATGACCTCTTTCAAGGGGCCTTTCTTGCCTGTGTCAGAGTGTACCCGGAGCCCCGATTCAATTCGACCTTGCTCGATCGATGGCTGCAGGAGGGGACCTTAGAAGAAGAGACCCATTATCGGACTGCCGTGGGTACTAGACTGCTGTCATCGCAGAAGTGGTGTGTCAGATAACAGGCCGAGCTTCAGAATCAATACAGCACACCGCAGGTTCTTTTAGGGAAATGTCCTGCCGAGTTTGTAGGTTTTTTTCCACTGACACCAGCAAATGACATTTGGTCCACTAGACGACGATGACGATGATGTAAGATTATTGATCTACAAGAAAATGCCAGTCTGACTTATTTGAGAACGCCGCACGATGTGCCTTTGATTCGAAGTTATCGTATCGTGAGCCGCTATGAAATCTTCACGACTCCCCCAGAATGGGTAGTCGAACTCCATTGCGGCCAATTCCCTCATAGTACAGCAGCAGGAGGAGATGAAGAAGCGCTGTGTGCACAGGGGTGTAGTCAACCGTGTGCTGAGAACTGAGATTTGTGTGCTAGACCAGTTCTTGCAGCGCTTCGTGATTGATTTTCTTCCACGGTTGTCTCTTCTTGCTGTCGGTCCAGCGTTCAGCGCGGAGTGGGTCCTCAGGGGTAGCAAAGCTTGTGTGAGCGCCTCACCTCCCTCACAGACCTAACGATGATGCATTCATCACGCATGCTGTGATTATAGAAACCACACTTCTGTTCAGGGCTCGCAACGCTAGGATCACTCTAGACTTGTCAAACGTGTAGAAAACTGATCTCATCAAGACTTGTACTGACTTGTCTGTGTGCATCGTGTCTACTCTCCATTCCTGCATGTCATCCTTATCGAAAAAGGCAAGATGGATAGCCCCCTTGCTCAAGATTGACCCTGTCCCGATCTTGGCTACCTAACCTGTACTCGTAGAGGCGTAGACACTTTCTTTAGGAGCGCTGCGCTCATCCCGTGACCATCATCTTTTGCTACCACGGTGAGGATGCCTGAATTGGTAGAGATGAAAAAGTGCGGGTCTTGTCAACCGATGCCGTCGCAAATACTGTCTGGTTCCTCCTTCCAGAACTCAACTGGGTTCGATACCTCTCGGAACGTGACAAGATAACGACGGCCGCAGGAATGAGAACAGTTTCGAACTGGCGGCTTGAACCACTGCTATTGAGAGGGGTCTGGGTTTCCGGGCACCACTTTACCGTACAACATTATCGTATCCCTGTCTTAACATATCAAAACCCTCAGGCGTAACCCAAATCAAAGATGAATGTTTTCGTCGTAGAATTTCTATAAAGCGGTGTCGACGTCTCCTTCGACTCTTTCTTCTACTATCACGTCTTTCTTTGACCGCCAGCCGAACCGACGATCTCGGCGATAAAATTCCGATTTGTCCTGCGCTTCAAAGTCAAATGTATCTTCCATTGTCACAAACCACTCTGGGTCACGATCACCCCGGCCTGTGGCGATGTCAATAGTGAGTTCCAGCGCTTGAATTCCCACAGATATCCCACTAGAGTTGTCGCCTCGAAGAGCGTAATATGGCCTCAATTCTCCTCCAACCTCTGTATATCCGGATGACACATCAATACCATGCGATGCAACATCCTTCTCGATCCATTCGTTTGAGTCGAGTGTGCTGCTTTCGAGAGCACGCCCTTGCTGATCTACCCAGCTATTCCTCGAAAGGTGATCATGCGTCCAGATCATACAGACGGGATTGAATTCAAAATCGAAGCCGAACTTGACCAGACGTATCTTGCCAGGTGGTTTTTCGGTTTTGGCGAAGTCAAACCACGCTACCGTACCGTGCTGACCAGGAAGTAACTTGACCTTCCATGCAGGCTTATCCTGTAGTGAAGTCTGATACGGTTCAGGAGGGTTCCTACTGCCAATTTCAACGCCTGGTAGCCCCTTTGGACCGATGTCAATTAGATGGCTGGACATACTGGACAGGAAGACAAAGCCATACGCGGGCTGTCCGTAGACGAAATCGCTGTCAGGGAAAGCTGGTACTCGTGGTGAGAGAATTAGTACCTGTTGCATCCTTATTATCTGAGAAACAGCCCTCCGCTTGACAGTACATATCTCTTGACCTGAGAGAGCTACACGGATGAGCAGTCTTGGGTTTTTCGTCCGCTGGAGGAATATCGCTGAACAATACCCATCGGCTCTTGCCCGCACTCCCCTTTGATGATTACATCCGAGGATCGCAAGATAAGTATTCATGTTCCATGGTAGCATCGGAAGGGTTATCGACAAGCCGGCATTTGTCATTAGATATTGTTCTGAACCGCTATATCTTGGCGAGACATAGCGGCGATCGGCAAAGTCGGCTGGTGATCCGGCAAGCATATCCAGAGGTCCATCATTGCCTGTACACTTCCATATAAATATGGAATGATCTTGGCTGATTTTCAGTATCTCTTCCTGCAATCTCCGAAATGCTTTCTTGCCCTCACCGTACAGTAAAGGCATATTGACATCGAATAGCCCCATGAGGGAATATGCTTGATCTTCCGGGCGGGTAGTGACGCGTTTAGACGCCCAACTCATCCTTTGAGCAATAGGACAGCCACTGGGAGGTCGATCGCCCCATAAGACATCACGAGGAACGCCCGTAATGCCGGAGAGTCGTGATGAAAGTAGGTGTTTTGAACCAATGAATTCCCACCGTCGATTGTAAAACTCTACAGCATGCGGTGCCTGGATAGCCATAGTTAGTCGATAAGTATATTGGTTGGGGTTGAGAAGTGTTGACCAGAAGCTCTTGTAAAGTCCAACCCCGAGTGAACCAAAGACTGCCCGCAAGATCATCGACAGACCCGACATCGGATAGATACGCATAGCACCTGGTTGCATGGCGGTACCATCTATACATTGAGTTGACAGCCTCACTCAGCTCGGCGCTGCTTGTCTTATCAATGCAACAGGTGTCGATCCAGGCATAGCGGACGCCGTTTCTGGCGGCTTCCGCACAACAAGCCCGTATTTTCAGGTAGCCTTGCTTGCGACTTCGAGTACCAAGCGAGGGAAGTTGCTGCAGGGATACTTCATCTTGTTCCCACCGATGGGACAATATGATGTATTCTACTTCATTTTCGTCTGCAAACTCCTTCAGTTGCAATGTTGTTGTGTCAAGGAGACGCATTTCCTCCGTCACAGCGCGAGGCTGAAAGGCTTACAGCACGCCGAGCACAGTGATTTCGGTCGATGAGGCACTGAGGCACGCGAACAATACCATCGGATTCTTGGGGGAAAGAAGTATTATCCTAGAATTCACACAAGCTAGAAAGCAGCCTCACTTGCAAATATCGAAAACTGTTGCGTTAGGACGAAGGAACGTATGAAAGCTGGGTTTAAGATGGCAGCAGATGGCTACGACTCAGCCTCACTACAGGTAGGCAGCTCTCGCCGCAACTTGGCGCCGCGGACAGAATCCCCCCACTCCGCTACGCGACCACTGGGCTAGCGTGGTATTTTGGTCTTCAGGGGTAGTGGTGTCGGGGATATCGACAGGCTGGTCACCGTCCAGCATGCCCGGGTAGTCTAGTGGTCTAGTTAGAGTTCTGGATCATTGTTGCGTGGAGATAAAGATCCTTGGACAGTGATAAATAATGATGAAAAACTTTTTGGTATTGCCAGGCTGATCGCCGGGTCCGCCGGACAGATTATTTATCTACCGGTCTCTGCTCCATCATGCAAATGCCACCACTCGTGTTCTTCGGACGGAAACCTTGACCGTGTATTGAATCAGTGAGTTTCTCCAAATCGAAACCCATGCGGAATGGGAATGGGGACGGGACCATAGACGAGAAGAGGAGAGAAAATAGATGTGCCCCAGCCAGACAAGGTGTCGCGACATCTCTTGGCTGAACCGAACCGAACCGCACCGAAGGACCTTGCCGTAGTGTATACAGATAACGGTGTCGGGAGGGCGCCAAAATCCATGCAATTCCAATCCTCTCGGTCGGCAGAGGTTGAGGTACAGAATACGTGTCAGGTCAAGTATATGATGATTCCAGTGTATTCCGCCTGTCGACTGCTGCCGCTATTGATTGACTGGTATGATGTAGTTCAGGGAACGACTTGAGCATGCTGTAGCGAAATTCAACCACTCTGTCAATTTCCTGAATAATTGGACAAGCAAGGCTAGCCCGTCGACGAGATGGATTTTCAGGTTTGATGAAATGAGTTTCCATGGAGACAGATTCCACACTTGGCTGCCACATTTCATTGTCACACTCGACTGCCATTCCGGTCGATCGCTGAGACAGCGTCTCCCCTTCTGTGGATGACGTCCAGATTCTCAAAGAAGCCATGCAGCTGAGCTCGATCGTGGTGATCCGGTATTGCTGAAACCTGACATCTGAGGCCTAGGATCTGCGTTTATCGTATCGACTTTTTGTGACGGAGCCTACATGCAGTTCGACATTCTCCGCGACGAATGCCCTTCTCAAGACGAGAACAATTCTTGCGATCGCTTCATTGCATCCTTGGCTCTCAACTTGACACCCTTACTGATGGCTTCCTTGCTGAGACTCTCCACAGGTGCCATGAAGCTCTTGGCGGCGTTAACTAGTGCCGTCTTCACACCTGCGTCTTCCGTTTCGCCGGACTCGTCTATGCTCTTCTGCACGGCATTGACCTGGCCCGACAACTCGTCAACCCATATGTCGAGCACATGCAGCCTTAATCCGTCTGGGACTTTTCGTTCCCGAGGACTCAGCGGCCACGCCTGGAGGATATGCGTCTGGGAAGTGATGATCGACTTGGATCTACCGGCCTCTTCGTCGTCAACTGTCGTCGTCAACGAGAGGTTGAATGTCTCCCTCACGACAAATCGCACTAGCATCAGGATTTTATTCATTCGCCATTGATCGATCGAGGCCCATTCGCGGCATATCGTCTCCCAGAACGCAAGTGTCCAGCTCGCTAACCACGAGTCTGAGTTGGCACTCTCACTCTGTAGTTCAAGGTGCTTCGACGCCACAGTCCGCACGGTTCTCGCAAGCTCCGCGGCGAGGTTCTGTACGGACACGGCGTTTTTGCTATCGTGCATGTAAAGCGCAACATACAACCCCTTCCACAGCTGGAGACATTGCGTCGGTGTCAGCGGATTTGTCGGCGAGCGCTCGTCCAGATGTGTCGTTATCGTTTGCAAACACGCTCGTCGGATTGATGATTCTGTGAAGTAAAGACACCTTAGTTAGCAGACACTCCTCCCTTTGAAAATCGTTCACTTCAAAACTCGTCTTGACAACACATTGAAATATTTCTTCTTGGCTTACCAGAACTAGCGAGGTCTTTGACCGAAGGGATCGGCTCGGTTTCGGATTCCACAGGCATCGCGTCGAGGATTTTCCCAGTCCGTGTGACTCTGACGAAGTATATTGGCGAGAAGCTATGCTCGAATTTGTAGCAACTCCAGGTTGAAATGCTCAAACTCGGAATGAAATTGGTGTAGCGACAATTGAGTTCAAAAACTTGATGATCGCCGGAAAGAAAATGTTCTTCCGACGAGGCAGCCAATGACCGGGGCTGCATCTGCTTGGCGGCAAAACCCGACGAGGCTGAGCAGCGACAAGGCTGCGTTGGGGTCGAAGCAGAACGTAACAACACCATCATCGACCTGGTTACCTACTCTTACATGGAAAACAAGGTAGTCTGGACGTGGAGATATATCTTGCTTGGAAAGGACGAATCTCTGAGCACGTACGATTCTGCGAGTTCACGTAAAAAAGCACTCCACGGTGTCAACCATATAAATACCATGATTCTTTTCCTGCTCGCTAGAGAAAACATAACTAGTCAACGCTATATGGGGTACGAGCGCATTCTTCGTCTTCTTCGTCTTCATCGCCCTGTTCATCCTTCTCCGCAATGTCATGATACTCGTGGTACATGGACGAGAGCATACCGCTAGACATCACCAGATTGTAATCGGACGACGGCCTGCTTCCTGGGTGTCGGATGTAATCCATGTAGTGCTTGCCGTGCGATTTGCCTCCATCATGTCCACTGGTTCCAGGCCGCGACTGTGTCGGGGTAAACTCTAGAAACCCTGGGCGCTGTGGCCGTCTGGGGGTATCATCGTCCTCCGAAGAATAGTGAGAGTGCTTTGGCACTTCTTGGAATCCGCTGTCGGTCGGGGAATGAGGCTGTGACACTGGAGAGTCTAATTTATCCGCGGCCGGTAACGACCGCAGCAGTGCATTGTCGACCTCTGACATGTTCAGGGTAGAAGGCTTTGGTTCATTTCTAGGCTGAATGGCAACCTGTTGGGGTTGATGAGCTTCCGTCTCGGGAGAAGAGACCGGGATAGGAGCAAATTCCGGTTCAGGTCGGCCGCCTTCAACAGCAATACAGTTTTTGATCTTGACGGTTTCAACGTCGGCGACATTTTGCTCGTTTTCGGGTCGGGGTGGAGTCACAACCTCAACATGCTCCATAGCCGTATTGTTTGCTGCTTGAAGCTCATCGTCATCAATCCTAAGTTTCTGATACGGGACCTGAATAGGTTGTTGCTGTTGTGGCTGCTGCTGCTGCTGTTGTTGTTGTTGTTGTTGCTGTACGGAGGTGGTCCCATTTGTTTCCTCAACTAACCTCTTCGGCTTTATCGGCATGTCTTCAATCTGCTGGACCCTTCGCCGGGACCTTTGGGGTAATATCTGCTGCACATTGTCAGGCATATCTCGTGTCTGAATATCCAACATCTCCAGCCGATTCGTGGTAAGTGGTTGTATGGTAGTCGTGCTCCCTCTCACACCATTATCCTTTAGGTCTTTCGGTATCCTGGTCCTTTCGACAACAACAATCATCCAGACACCAACTTTACCATCGCTCCCAATTAATGGTGTCGCAGAGATCCATGAGACTCGATGGTGGCCTAGATTCCCTGGCTTGGATCCGACAGGTACAGTGATGCCATCACGGCGTTCACCAGCCGTGACCATAAAGTTGACCTTGGCTGAAACAGGAGTGCCAGTTCCGAAGCTGTCCCTGAGCCCTGCCAAAGTAGCAGGTGATGCCCCAATGTGTGCCAGGAAAGGATGCTGGACGATATTCCCGAATCGTCGGCGTAGTCTGGGAGAGACAAACACTATTCGGAGTGATGGTGCTGCTCTGATGAGCATGTAGCTGTCATAGACCCCCGGAAGTTTTCCAGACAAGCCAGATCGACCGGACTCTGCCAACTTCCATGTCGTATCTTCATCGTCGCCTGATTCCTCGTCGCGATCTTCTGAAGAGGAGTAATCTCCATAGATGCGTCGGGTTCTGCTGACCATGCTCTGCTCGTCATCGTCAGTGGACCTTGGCGAGGATCTACCGTGCGATTTCACGGCAGCTGACTCCTCAAGATCAAACATTTCACTCAGCTCTCTCAGCTTCCCCAATGCATGTGCCTTCTTGGGCGCTTGCTCAACCACATGAGAGGCGTTGCCGTCAACCTTGTGTGCTGGGCGTCCCAGTCCTCGATTAATCAGCAAGGACCCAAAGCTCTCTAATCCCTTTCCCCGTTCAATCAATCCAGTTACATCAACTTGAGCGCCAATGTTGTATTTAACATTGCCTTGATCATCATGTAAAGGCGCTGTCATTAGTAAATTTACAAACGCCCGGCCATCCCTGCGGTAGTTGAGCAGTGTTTCGCAGGTTTCTTCTCCTCTCTCGACGTGACCTCGAAGTCGTGAAACTGATGCCCTATTGGTTTTGACGCCTTGTAAGAATCGACAGTTATGTCCTATAACGTCGTCCACGCCGTACCCGGTAAGCCGGAAAAACTCTTCACTCGCATAGATTATAGGGTTATCCTGCTGACTAGGGTCTGTCAAGCAAAATACCTCCGATAAGCCCCCTATCAGGTCTCTCGTCAGCGGCGTTTGTCGACCCGTGATCTCGTTGATGAGGCATTCTGTCACCACATTGACCAAATTGTATGTGATGTACATTGGAAGTGCCGTGTCGATCAATGTGTGGAAACAAGACTTGTTCCATTCCTCGAAAACTTTGTCTAATGACGCCGCCTGCATCGGCTGAATCGCTGTGGTGGCTTCGGAAGAAATGCTTTGCGCAACGGCGTTTGCGTACTCGACTGCCTTTATAGCCTTTTGCGATTCGAGATACCCGAGGAGGACGTCGTGATATTGAGGGCGGTAACGTTGTATGAAGGCAGTGAAAGCGGCTAGGTACTGAGGCTTGTAGACGAGGACATTGAGATGGCGTGCCGAAAACAACAACTCGCTCAAGGACTCGACAGACGGTGGCTTGAGCCTGGGGGGAGGAGGCCTCAGGTCAAAATCAAGCACATCCGATGAATCACTGCCCAAGCCAGTTTTCGTGTCACTGTCCGACAGTGTCCGCCTGATGGGTTGTCCCTTAGAGGGAGGGCCTCGTTGCGGCTTTTCAATACCTGATCGTCCATATCGAGGCAAATGCTCCGGGAGTGTTAGCTTGATACTGGAGCCTGTTGTAGCGTGTGGGAGTCCTGGTCTAGGCTTCGAGATGTTTGCTGATTCAACAGCAGGAAGGGGGTTGAAAACGCCCCGAGCGCGAGACGGCATTTCCACCTTGGAAGGAGGAGATGCTTGCTTGCTGGAGACTCGCGGCGATTGAACAGTGTCATTAGCTTTCATCACAGGTTGCTCGGCCTTGGAAGCCTCTGCTGGGGCGACAGAAGTCCTTTCTGCTGCACCTTTTCGTGGCTTCTTTGCCCTCCCTGCCCGGATGCGTAGATTCTGCTTGATCCTCTCCAGGTCCATCCTCGCTCGGCAGTTCGGCGCAGAGCGCGGCCACAATACTCGTACAATTAGTGATGCTTGAGAATACAATAGGAGCTCAATGAAAACAAGAAGAAGAGGGGGAAAACAAAGAGTGGGCGCTTCATGTCAACATTGTGCTAATCAGTCTTTGACCCGGATCTGGCCGAAGGACTGATGATATGTGATGATCGAGTGGTCTGATGGATGAGGTGAGTTTTGGGAGGATCCAGCGTATGCAAGGACGGAAACAGTGCAATGCATCATGAGCACAAATTAAGTTCCAGTGCCCGTCGCTACGTCAGTGCCAGGTTGGCTGCAATAATGCTGCCGTTGGTGTTGTCATGACTTTTGACGAGTTTCGTGTGATTGGGAACTAAGAATAGTTTTTATTTGCGAAGACAAGAAGAGGCTGTGGTGAGTATTAATATTGTGAAGACCGAACTAATCAGACTCGCCTGTGGAAGGTGATTTCGGTGCCCAACTCAGTGCAGTGTGCCTCGTTTTCCTCCAGTGCCCAAGACAACTCATTAGGCGGCGATTCGCGCCTGGAACGTGGGCTGTTTAGGTGCCACAGTGGCGCTCTTTGGCCTGGCGTCTTAGGCTCGGCCGTCCCCATGCCGAGCCCATCACCTTTCTCGACTCAACTGCTCCAGACACGGGATTTGTACAATCAAACGGTCACGGCATTCTGGGTATATCGGGGTGGCTTTAACTAGCACCGCCCTTCGGCTTGAACTCAGCATCGGTGCAAGATCCCCTTGATGAGCTGGCAATGAGCGTGCAGAACCAACATACATTTTGAAGTTGCATCGCCGCTATTGAGCGCTGACGCGAGCATCAAAGACTTCCGCACATAAACTGGACAGTTTATCTAATGTTGAGGGCAACTCTTTCATCTGACTTTGAATACACAGCAGCCATTGGAGATCTGCATCATCGGTGTGTAGTTCGTGACTTTCAGCAGTCACTGGTATCTTTGGCTATCCAGTTGGATGAGGTTCCTCCCTCACCTCAGAGCATACCTCCGACTCGCTTGAGCGACCTCGCTGTCCTTAGCTTGACCGTTCCCGATATTTTTTGTCTTTTTCTTCTGGGAAGCCCAACCAGGCGTAGTTGAAAAAGGGAGAAACTTCCCAACCCTCTGCTGATAGATTTTGTACTCCGGGTATCTCTGTGCAGAGAGCAGTTCTGTAAGCCAGGTACTGGCCTGGAAGAGGGATAGATATGACAATGCACCAATGCCGGTCCAATTGTACCATGTCCTCGTCACCAGACAGGACCATACGTAGAGGCCGACCCATACAGTCTGTTCTGCCGCGAAATTCGGGTGTCGCGAGTAAGCAAAAAGGCCTTTGGTGAGGAAACCGCGATCCAGTTCTTCTTGTGTGTAACCAGGAGGAATTTTGGCATTGGTTCGATAGTTCGACTTGGATGTCTGGAAGTTCCACTGTTGTTGGTCGGCAACAAACGACACAAGAATTGCGCTCAGCATGATACTAGATGCGACAAAATCTTCGAGGCCGAAACCTGATGCTTGCGAATTATATGTGGCGTATCTCGAGGCGAGAAGCAGCACGTAGCTGGGTGTGGTAATGCTGGTCAACAGCAGGGATTGTCCCAACGAGATGAAAACGATGTTAAAAAGAAAAAAGAGTTCAGGTCCAACCTGCCTTTTTACGATGGCCCACCGGTAGTCCTCGCTGCCAATTGCGTAGCCACCTTTGCGATAGTAGTTGTATGTCAATCTCATCTAGAGAGTGTAAGTGAGGGTCGTGTGCATAATATGAATACTTACGCTCCATATTGTGCTGATTCCTGCAACAAGGCCTATTCTAGTGGCGTCCAGTCCAGCCAGGGAGGCGTAGAGGGCATAGTGGAGGTTATAAAAGGTCGGAAGGATAGACCAGACTCGGTCAACTTGCGAATAATTCTTATTGAGTTCCGAAACTACCAGAAAGACAGGTGAGATAGCCACCGAGAAAGCAACGGCTGAGACGAGAGGGTTTGTGTCGAGATACAATTGTTTTAGCGCAGGAACATTGGTCCAGGACTGAACAAACACCTCGGGTAAGGAATGAAGTTGGAAGACATAAGGAGCGACGGTGTTGTTGTACACTGCGCATTCGGCTAGACTTCGCACTACAGGTAATGCCATCTGGGGAGTGAATGAGAGAACTCAATTGAGGAGAGTAGAAGCAAGGAAACAAATCACCCGAGGTCAATGAACACTCAAGGAATGACGGAGGATGTGTTTGATGAAGCCCAAGGTCGCGAAACATCAACACACAGGGGCTCGGGCTGAGGTCAGTAATATAAGTACCTGATCCAAAGTACGTACCTGGAGAGAGGGTACTCGCGTCTCATCTCGGTGTCTCATCTCGAGTCATGACGCCACCATCGATCTGGCAGGCAACTGCCAAGGTGGCTTAAAACAGCGATTAGAAATTCCCCTTACGTTGGCAGAATCGCCGAAAGCGGATTCTCCAGCACGCCGCTTCAAAAACAGTCACGTGGCTGATCCGAAGCGAGGCCTCGCGCGTCGCTCACCCTGTCCTCACCTACAGTACCTCAACCCCGGGCGTGGGACAACTCCTGCCTAGCGCGATTGTGCTGAGAAATCGGATTGAAGTGCCTGTCTCACGCTGGACTGATCAATACAGTCTTTAAACGAGCTAGAATAGACATTGGTGGATACATAGAATACGGTGGAGATTCGCCAAGATGCCTTGACCACCACGTTCTCCGGGCCTACCCACGGATGACCGGTGTATCTTGTTTCGGCTTGACGAAATTTGGGCGCTGTAAGTCTAGGTGCGGTAAATGGAGCATTGCCATATTCAACCTGGAGGAACGAACCATCCGATGATACTTGGTGTAGGGGTCGAGGCCCCCTTGTGCCACGCCAGGGTGAAACGGCAAGGTTTGGTGATGGATTATGGGTGTGCCAAAAGACATATGCCATCCTCCTGGAATATGGGAACGGTGGTTCAGGTTGGGCGGCTTTGACCTGTGATACATCATGCCAGGCTTCTGGTTGAAGGTTGATTCATATGCGTCCGCAATCATAGATAGCAGATGATCGTAAATCCGTCCGCATACAGCACATGTCAAGGCCGCGGTCTGAAGGTACGGCCAGTCCAGATGCAAGAGATAGCCTCCGGCACTGCGCAAGGATGAACATGTCATAAAGTTGCACGTACAGGCTGGGAAATTCGTAGTAGAATTGGTGGCTCATGGCCAATATGAAGTGAGCGATGAAGAGCGATCGAGGAATGTCATGCTGGATCGTCGGCGGGTTGCACTTGCCTTGGCATTGGAGGGCTTGATAGGGCTGCATAAAGCATCAGGGTAGAGAAGGTACCTGTAGATAGGTAGCCAGGTTGGCATGCACTATTGTAGGTGGTTGGATAGTCGCCGATTGGCCAACTGTCGCCAAAGCCACCCGAGGTAAACTATGCATGCCAGCTGTTAAAAAGGATTCAGCCTCATCAGCCTCAGCAGTCTTCAACTCGCTTCAACCTCAGGCTGGACTCTGCTCCTTGAATGTTGCCTGGCAAATGCGCTGTTCATCATCACAAGAAGTCTATCGCCAATCAAAGCAAGATGTCTTCCTATCAGTGCACTTTATACGACGCTTCAGCCCCCCTCTTGAGCCAAACTTTCCGTCCAAGCGCCGCCTCATTCCCCCAGTCAGGCAGCATATCATGGGTCAATCTCATCGACAGCGGCGTCAGAGGCGCCATCAGTGTCCTCTCACGGTACTCAGCGGGAGGCGTTGACCAATATACGGTCGTGGTAGGGCAACTGCTATGCGCTCATTTCAGACTCAACTCTCGAGCAATGGTACGCTTGAAGGACGCAATTATGAACTTGAAAGCCGTGACAACGATAGGCAACATGCTGCATTTCGGTTTCGGCGTTGACAGTATAGTCCGCAACCTGGCAGCAACGGTCGAGGGCGGTACTCTTGTTGCTTTGTGTGCCGCCGCTACCGAAACATTCCACTCAGATCAAGCTGCGAATATCCTGTGGGAACTCGTTCGCAGCTTTGACCCGCCAGAACGACGGACTCCCTCGCCGATGCAGTGGAAAGCGCTATTGACTGCATGCGCAGGGACGCTGTCCGAGACGAGCTTTCCAAGACTCGTGGAACATTTCATGCAATTGCACTCGGAAAGCAATCGCCTCAATCTCGGTCGACCGACCAGAGACACGAGTCCAGAACTCCGCGGAGTATCCAGCCCTGACAGCGTTGCGGAAGCGCTTCTTGCTATAGGGAAAGTCTCGACCGGAGATCTGGTTTGTGTGTCTGTCTTTGGCGGTCCAGATGCAGGTTGGCTCGCGGCAGTGGCTCAATGGATATTCGATCTGAGGGTGGCAATCTTTGACGTTGATGGCGCACAAGTCCATGCCACTTCGATGCACCAGCACGCTCAAGTCCAAATCCATTTCACAGAGCCCTCGAGTGATCCAGACACCACGACACTGTCGGTCAGCGGCCAGGTCTGCCGGCTTCGAGATATCACTGAGCTATTTCACTTTGACGATAACGAGTTTGGAACGGCACTGGTTTGCAGCCGTGTACCCTGGGCCAATGCGCTGGCCCTCACTTTCGGAGCCGATTTCAAGCGCCTCATGGACTTACCGAGAGCTGTTGCATCTGCTCTGAGCGCCGCTGGTCGCATTTTTGCAGGCGTCGCCAAATCACACAAGCCAGTCGTCTTGGACGAGCGCAGGCATTGTAAGACTTATTATGAGGACGTTGTTGGTCGTGGGTTTTCAAGGTTTGCTACAAGTCTCTTCCCAGAACTTGCAGCTCTGACGAACCTAATCAATGACATCACAATCAACTCTCTGAAGGAAGCCTTGGATCAGTATGAATCTAGTTGGGCTTTGATCAAAAGGGGGTGCGAATGTGACATTTGCAAGTTAGGTGCCGAAGAAGGAATGTTTGAGGAGAAGTTCTGCTTGGTTCTCCTGCTCGAGACCATTATTTTCATTGCTCATTGCATGTCCGGCGTGTCTGCCCCTGAGAATCTGTTGCCCATGCGGAGCGGCATCGAGGCACAGTACCGACGCCAGCTCAAACTGCATGTCTCCGAGAAGCTGCAGCCTCGGATCAGTACTTATGGTGCTGCTGGCGCGATTCTGGAGTTCAGCCCGGGTGAATGCGAAGAGTGGAACATCGAGGAGTCGGTGGCAATTCCAAAGCTGATACATACCATTCGGTTGTACACGGGCCGGGACATTCGGAGTAGTGACCACGAACAAGTTGCAATCAGCGTCGCGGGTATTGTTGTGTTTCTCAACTCCTTGGTGGAGGGATGCTTGCCAATAGACCCCGAATCGGCCGGACGCTGCACCGTCATGCCGGGCCATGTTGAGATGTATGGCAGACTGTACCACAGCCTCGAAGATCTCAGCGACTTCGATCTGCACGGGATGGACTACCGGCGCCGGCGGAGGGGGGGTCAACCATTTGACCCACTAATCGATGCAGCTGGAGTCACCGAACTGACGAACAATTTTGACAGCGTGACAATGATAGCTCAGGAGCGACCGAATGCAGTCAAAGTCGGCCTGTCCGTCCACGAACGCCATGCGGATCCCTCTGTCGCACGATCAGTCATCCTCGGTCCCGCATCACTGAATGAACGCGTGCTCGAAGCAACCGGCATTGTCGAATGTGATGGGAGATCTTGCGAGAGGAAATACACAGTATCGAGTCTTCTTGCGGGCGATGAATGCGTCAAGTTGATCGATGGCGTCGGAGATTGCAAGGTGTGGCTATTCTGTGGAAACGATCTGAGTCGCCTGGTTGCGCTGACGCGGATGTCGGACATTCAGCCCATGTTTTACAGCATCATGCAGTTTGGTGAGTGTCTAGATTGCTGTGTGAAGGCGGCACAGCTGTCACAGTACGAAAACGCTATCATTATCGCCAGGACTCGACGTATGCTGGGAAAGCGCATACGGGCTGAAGCGGACGAGGCGAAAATAGGGGCCTCTGGAAAATAGGCAACAATCGCCGGACATGCAGGGTGTCACGACTACAATATGCGTTTTGATTGATAAACTTCTGTACGGAGTACAAAGGACTAGACTAAGGTGTAAGCTGCGAGGCGGTGATGAGGTTTGCTGTGGGCGCAATCATACGCTAAGCCTAAACAGGACTAGAGTCACTGAACGCGGCGCTAGTCACGTGCTCAGGGCTAGATGTGGTTGTGGCGGCGTGAAGAAATTGATTGACTAACTAAAAGTGAGAGAGTGACCTGCCGCTATATATACGTAAGAGCATGTAAGCCAATGTAGCAACCGGGAATAAGTAGTACCGAGCCCGGCGCTAAAATCACATAGAGTCCTGACACAGGGCTCGAAACTGGAACACTGAGCATACGAAAGCCAATTCCCGGAAGTGCTTGATCTGGAAAGGGCCGGCGTCTTGGGTCCTTTCGCTGGCATTCCGGGCATCTTTCAGGAACGCTCAGGAATGCTCGTGACGTGGTCAGGGCTTGCTGGGAAGGCACTACGGCACATTCCCTCCTTGACCCTACGAGAGCGAGTCGCTTCTTCCATGATATGATGGACTCAAGGCGTATGCCTGTGTCCGTGACTTGAGAGGGTTCCCAGAACTAGCGCCATACCCCTTCTAACATCTCAATGGCTTTCTGCTCTCTTTGGTGTTTGGCTGCCATCTAGTACGTCATACGCATCCTTAGAGCTACTACACCATATCGGTGTCTAAGGCATCACAAATCCAGCGGAGGGTGTAGTTAGGGGATCTTCAGATGAGTGGATGTGATGCCTGGGCAATACATCGGTTAACTTGCGAACGCGCGGGTCACAACCACCTCGACCTGTGCATGCTGTTTGCGTGGGGAGGGCGATGGTGAGGCTGAGTATGGCTTTCCGAAAGAGATTTTTGTTCCTTCATCGACGCGAGATCCTCAGGCTCTCGTAAGGGCCGTGGTCGTTTTCTCGCCTTCGGTCGGTTCTTCGAGGACGAACATGAGTGATGAAGAGAGAAAGAGTTGAGGGTAAAAGTGTGAGGAGGTGACCTCTGAGGAGGACACGAGATTGTGCAGCAGGTTAGGCACGGCTGAATGGTGAGAGAGTTGTGGCTAGTTATCGATGCAGCACTTCGGATCCAGTCAAATGTATTGGTCGTATATCTGCGTTGGATGGAGGCTGAACATGGCTTCAAGCCTCCGTCGCTAAGGAATGGTTCATTGGACCAGACCGTAGAGCTAATGCTGCGTGGCTGTTGGGGGCACCCAGGGGGGTTGATGCAGAGTAAATTACTTGTAAAGTTGTAGGCCAAAAATTGAGCTTAAGAACCCAGCCTCTCTCTCCCTTCGTCGATGTAATGATGCGCCTGTTATTTATCTACTCATAAGGCCTTAAATTTGCGGGTACGGGTCTTTCATCCGCCGCCCGGGAGTGGTCTGTTACATGACAACTGTTTACGACCATGGGGTACTTTCGGATTAACTGCTCCTTCGCGTATCAATCACAAGACATTGACCTGAATGATTGGCTCTCTATTTTCACCCTTTGCCTTTCACCACTCATCGCGCATCTCATCGGCGGAGTGCCCACCGCGACTTATCTATGCGAATCTCGGCCACACTGGCATGACCGTATCACGCATTATAACCCTACTTCAATCGTATGGCGCTACTTTGCCATCGCAGACCGGAGACTGCGCACAAAATTGTGGACATCTTCTGACCTAGCCGCCACCGGCGCTCTGTTTTGGACCGCGAGGGGTTGGGAGGGCGGCGAAGACATGGTTCAACGAAGCCGCACACACAAGATCCCAGGGTCCAACCGCACTCACGTCGATATTCTGTCATCAAGCACATTTAAAACTACTGTGGTGACATTACAGGGTATCCAGGCGATCTACGTGCTCATAGGGAGTGGGGAATTCGGAACGTTTGAGAACTATCTGGCTCTGAACAGGATCTTTTTCCCTCTCGCCATATTTGGTCTTTTAAGACTTCCCGACGCTCTGTGGTTGTCGGATGAGGTATTCTACCGCAGCAACGACCCAGCGTCCGAAATTGCCAAGCATCCTCTCAGGCCGCCGATACTCAACCTCGCGCATACCGAATCCGAGCCGCTGGACTTGTCGGACGAGACGATTTTCAAACGCTACCATGCACCGCACTCCTGGCGCGGAATACTCATACGTGCCTTCTGGATGATGATAATCGCAGCCCTTGTAGCCGCTGCTGTTTTACAGATATATCCACATCCGAGCGACTTGAATTTCACCTTAACATCATTCAGTGTCGTGCTATTTTATCTACTGTTCTTAACCATAACGTTTGTCATCATAACCACGTACAATCTTCGCGGATCAACGAGCACAACAATACCATGCATTAATCAGGGATGGTATAAACAGTACACCTTCATCCTGTTCCTCTGGATGCTTGTTATGACCATCATCGCAGCCCTGGGAACAAGGAAAATGCGATGCGGTTATTGGACGTCGTGGCCGCCGGAGTATGATGATTTGTTATGTCCATATTCCGTCCCTGTTTCTGCAACACCAGCGAACGATACTTTTTCTGGATTGTTGGGAACGACACGCAGCGGTACCACTGTCGTGGGGATGTTCGATGGATGGTGTCAAGGCAAGTCGAGCTGGGGCGTAGTCAATCTCACGAGCAGCGGCATTCTCCAGTAGTGTGGATGGTTGGATTGAACAGTCGTTTGTTGATCTGTACGCTCATGACTAGTGGAGTCGCGGTCCTAAACAATAGATCATCATGATCGGAGTACAGTGAACAGCTTGCTTGTTAGATAGCACTAAAATATTTCTGACGAGCATAGCTCTCTGCCTTCCAGGCGCTGATCGAACATCTCGTTGACATAGCATTTAAATATGATCGAGTCTTGGCATCTGACACTGATATCTTGTACTTTGTGCTCAGCTCACGGCGTAATGGCAGACACATACGCCTACGATTACGACTAAGAGAGTCTGGACGGAGAAGGTATTTTGGAGCCATGTATCGGGCTCTCACCTTGGCAGCAGTGTTCAAGCATGATTATCAGTGAAGTCAATTCCATGGCGACGACCGTGGACTTGGTTTTCGGTGCCTGTGTGACACAACCCCTCCCGATCGTCGTTAACACAGCTGATCGATGCACAGCGAATGCAGTGACGATCATTCTCTGGGGGCGGAATGAAGGCAGCGCTAGTCGAATCGACGTTGTCGACGTCAGTTGCAGCGGCAGGATGCCGTCGCGCGGACGAACGGCTGTTCATTGGTCACCGTTGAATAGAGTTTGACACTGGTAGGTGTTATCTCGACACTTTAGATCGGTGTTACAGCTTCTATCCTGTCGCCCTGCGCTCGAGAGATAGCAAAGTCTCAATTCGTAATTGGTAGATGCATGGGGCGACGTGCAAATCCAGATGAAGCTTGGTCGCAAGCAGCCTGATCAGAAGGGCCTGTGTCAGTGCCTGAGAGGAGCGTACGCGGAATGAGATTGAGCTCAAAGTGGTGTACACACATTGGCAGATCACGAGTTATATATCTAGGTAGGGGACCACGGTCCTCAAGTAACCATCTGCTTCCAGGCAATGCATAACGACAACAAAGCACCACCAAAGCTCCATGTACTTAACAACGGTGTACAATGCCCTGCGTAGGAAACGCGGGTGTCAATCGAGTGGGAGGAACTTCCAACGCTAAATGATAACAGGGTTGACATACGGGATGCACGTTACACGCGTGTCCAAAGGCTCGTCTTCGAAGAAACTGTACTGTAGATCACCACCCAGGACGTGGTTGACGTGTGCATGGGAAGACCAAAGCGTTTCTCCTTATCATCTGCAATGAAGCTAGCTGACTTCTCTAGCACAATTGAAACAATTTAAACTTTTGGAATGTTGGGGTTGGCCCTTGGCTATTACTTCCGGCGCCGCGACCCCCTCCACACTTTGCCCAATGATAAGGGTCTCGATGATAAGGCTTCGGCTCAAGTTGGCACCGCACAGCATGATAAAGACCAGACCCCCCTCTCCCCGATGAGGAACTGAGCGTTGCCCGCCTGTCTCGCGCTCTGATTTCGTGCATAGCTCAAAGATGGCGACCGCAACAGTCAAAAACCGCGAAGAGTCTTACCATGCCGACCAGGTCGGTACCGGCGACGCCCCCGCAGTTTCTGCTCGACGTCTGAAGAAGCGGGAAGTCGACCGACGATGCCAGCGTGAAGCACGGGAGCGGAGACGGTCCCGCATCGCTGATCTCGAAAACCTGGTGGTAGAGTTGAGACAAAAAGATGCAAGCGGGCAGGTCGCAGCCTTGTTGGAGCAGATGAGAAAGGTCGAGCAGGAACGCGACACAATGGCAAAAGCGTTGAAAGATATTCAAAGCGTCCTCGCTCTCAGGCTATCAAAGCCGGGCGAGGACCGAGCACAAGGAGCTGGTATTGCAGCAGCCCAGGTAGCCGTGGAAGATGCAAACAACAAAAGTCAATCCATTGGGAGTACGGATACTTCAGAGAAGCTTCCATGGGAAATGATCGATGTTACCGCCCCTTTGCTCGAGGAACCCGAGGCTGTATCAGCAAACTTTTCTGAGCTGGCTGGTTCTATTGCCACACCGGACAGCGGGCTGGCCCAAAGCACCTCCCTCGTCAGTCCAGAGGTGATACAACGGCGTATCTCCCACTCAATACCCCATCCAGGCACGCAATCGTGGAGCGCAAATCGACAGCACTCCCATCGATCGCCTGAGATATACGAACCGATTAGCCCTCCAGGCTCCTGCTGCAGTGTTGCTCACGTGGACCGTCAGCCGGGCCAGCGCGCTGTCTGGCAAGGTAATTATTGGAAATATCTCAGTGAAGTCATGGGAGAGCGCTTCGACTGGACACAAGACATCCGGCCCGCAGATGATGTCGAGTCGGATGACATCCCGATCCGCGCAATGGTTGAAGGCTGGGAGGCTGTGGAACGACGCGGCCCCTTGCATCCTTCCTGGAACATGCTGCGCCGCATCGATGAGGCTCTGTTCCCACGAATAGCCAAGACCGAGAGGCTGGCTATGTTGAGGGCCATGCATCTGCTTCTACAATATCACACCGATTCTACCTCGGCACGGTACAAGCGCCTTCCGCCGTGGTATATCTATCGACCTGGGCACGATGTCCCCCACACTTACGCCATCGAGTACTGGGCCTGGCCTCCGTTCCGCCAACGGTACATCTCAAACGAGCATGCCTACTGTGGAAATGATTTCTGGTACATGTACGAGACGCAACTGCGACTTCTGTGGCCATTCGACTTTCGCGATTGCTATACCCATGACCTGGAAACCGGTCTCTACAAACCCAGTCACTTGTTCAATGAAAGGTTGAACGACATCAAATGCTGGACAATGGGCCCTGACTTCTTCCAGCGGTATCCTGAGCTATCCAGCTCCATACCGATTTCTGCAAACCATATTCCCAAACACGTACCATTCGCGGCAAGACCCGTGAGAAGACGATCGGTTTTACCCGCTTCCGCGGCATCGGCCAAAGGAGCGCAATCGGGCTGCATGGCAGTGGTGTGCTCGAGAGAGCGACAGGGACAGAGACATGAACAAGGACGTGAAAAGGACCATGAACAGGAAACGGGGCGAGATCAGGCTGCATGGCCTAGCTTTGGGGTAGCCTCGGATCAAACTGTGCCGCTCCATACAGTGCAACCTCAACAGCAATGTGGACAAACGCACAATGAGCAAGCGTACCTCTTATCCTTGCCCGTCCATGGCTACAGCTTTCCACAACCATCGTGGGAACCCTCTTGTTCTCCTGCTTTTCCTGGTTGGTACAATGTTGCGGACTTCGACTTTGATCTGTCTCAAATGGGAAGCACGGACACCAGCCTGTCTGCGTTTCCGTTCATGCCCGGAGCAGCTACCGGCATGGAGTACCATCCTGGCCGAATCGAAACGGGGTCGATAGAATTGTCTGAAGTTTGATGGGCGTCCTCTACAGGAGGTACTGATCATTCATCGCACTTTTTCGATGTAGTTCTTTGTAATCTTATTCTCGTGCATAGGCAGAAATGAACCTTGGTACCCTTCAAAGCGTCCCGGGGACGTCAGACGATAGATCTAGATCTCTGTTAGCGCTCACAGCCTCTCTGGGGGCATCGCGAGCTGGAACTATCACGTGCCCAGGCGTATCGCGACGAGTCCCCTCGACGCGGTCTTTAGTCTTTACACGTCTTGGCGCGTATAATGGCACTTTCCCTAAATAGGCAACTAGTCTTTGTCTTCAGGCCGACGCGCTTCCTGTCTCCCCCAAAGCGCCACCATTGCCATGAGCCCCAACAACGGACACATAGGCAGTCACAGTCACAGCTCGCTGGGAATCCGCGATTCCAAAATAACCTAGCACAGATGGCATCATATCTGAGCAACTGATCATGACATTTATTGCCTGCAAAATGAATCATGCCTGGTCAAAAAATTCTTTGCGTTGCAGAGAAACCTGCGATAGCCAAGGCAGTTGCACAGCATCTTGCTGGCGGCAGAATCACCACGGTAGGCAGTTCTCGCGATGTCCCAGGTGTGTCCAGCTCTCATTTTCCGCATAGCATCCTATCAGAGGGAACCAATATGTCAAGAATTACGAGTTTGACTTCAACTTTCGCCAATGGGGCAATTGTTCGGTAACCATGACCAGCGTGCTCGGTCACTTGACAGGCCTGGATTTTGATTCAAAATACAAAAGCTGGAAGTCCTGTCAGCCTGGCCAGCTCTTTGATGCAGAAACTGTCACCACCATTGCCAGTGATAAAAAGGCAGTCGCGGAGAACATTAAGCAGCAGGCCCGTTATGCCAGAATCCTCTTCATCTGGACCGATTGCGACCGCGAGGGCGAGCACATCGGAGGTGAAGTACGCGATCAGGCGAAGAAAGGAAACCCCAACATCACCGTCAAACGTGCAAAGTTCAGCAACACCGAAAGAGCGTAAGTACCCAGCCCGCGACCATTACCCTGGAGGTTGGAGACTGACTTCAAACAGGCATGTTATTCAGGCTGCAAACTCTCCTATTGATATGGATGAGCGTCTTGTCAATGCCGTAACAGCGAGAATCGAACTCGACTTGCGAATCGGAGCATCCTTCACTAGACTCCAGACCTTGCAGCTTCAATCCCTGAGCGAGAGTCTAAGTCAACCACTAAGCTACGGGTCATGTCAGTTTCCTACTCTTGGCTTCGTTGTCGACCGCTATCATCGTGTTAGAAATTTCAAACCGGAGACGTTTTGGTCGATCAAATTGACACACGTTCGTGATAAGATCAAGGTAACCTTCAACTGGGGAAGGGGCCATCTGTTCGACCGAGCTGCCGCCACCATTATATTTGAGTCATGCTTGGATGAAAAAAGAGCGACCGTTACCAAGGTTCAGAAGAAGCCAACTTCAAAATGGCGTCCTCTTCCCCTGACCACCGTAGAGCTGCAGAAGCAAGGCAGTCGCTTTCTCCGCATGACGAGTCAGCAAGTTATGTCAGCAGCGGAAAAGCTCTACCAGAAAGGCTTCATCAGCTATCCCCGTACCGAAACCGATCAGTTCCCTCGAGACTTCGGTTTCGATCCCATCATCCAGCGCCAGGTTCAGGACAATAATTGGGGACAATTTGCACAAGCTCTGCTCGACGGAGGATTTCGAACACCTCGCTCAGGAAGTCACAATGATCAGGCACATCCTCCGATCCACCCTGTCAATTACGTGGCACCTTCCGCCCTTGACCAAGATCAAAAGAAGGTATACGAGTTTGTTGTGCGACGGTTTCTAGCTTGTTGCGCGGAAGATGCCAAAGGTGAAGCCACAGACATTGAGGTCCAGTGGGGTTCAGAGTTTTTTCATACTCATGGACTTCTTGTCCTTCAGCGCAATTATCTTGATGTTTACGTCTACGACAAGTGGGAAAGTAGTCAGCAGTTACCTGTCTATACCGTGGGCGAGACCTTTGAACCGACCGAGGCAACTCTGGCAGACGGCAGAACGACCGCTCCAGGATATTTGACTGAACCGGAGCTTATTGCATTGATGGACGCCAATGGAATCGGCACCGATGCCACGATGGCCGAGCATATTGCCAAAATCCAAGAACGTCTATATGTCGATACACGTCCACGCTCTGGAGGTGGGCGCAATACTGTGCAAGAATTCATTCCAACTACACTTGGCGTTGCCCTGATCGAAGGATATGACAATATAGGTCTCGACGTCAGCGTCAGCAAACCCTTTCTTCGAAAAGAAATGGAACTCAAAATGAAGGCAATCTGCGAGGGTCAGCGGACTCGCTCTGATGTCGTGCAAGAGAGCTTGGACCAATATCGCGAAGTGTTTTTTAAGACTAGCCAGCAAATTGCTGTATTGAAGGATGCAGTGACGAAGTATGTCGTGAACAATGGCGGCCGAGCGTGAAAAGTATTTGCATGCAAGACGGGAAGTGAAGAGTTGGTTTGAAACGCACAGATCGCCCCACAGCACCTGGAAGGTGTTTTCATCATTACGAGTTACGGCAGTTCTCGTGCCATTGCTTTGCTATGGCGTGCTACGAAGACAAGAACACTTATGTTGGAACTGAGAATCCTGAACCCGATGCATCTACATAGCAACAGCGATTTTTGACGACGTCAGCCAACTCTCCCCAGATTTCGACCAACCATGATGGATGCGATCGACGGATAATGACCTTTGGTGCCACAGTCCACTTCCAAGAAATCCGACAAACTGGGGAAAGGATGACGCATTGATGACGCCCTAAGAAAGGGGCGTGTGGCTGGTGTCTTTGAAGGAAGCCAATTGCATCCCTTCAGCCACAACCACCTTGCCGTCTTCCGCCTTGTGGACTTGAAGATCAGCCTTCTCTATGCCTCGATATCGAGGTATGACCCTGATTACCACCATTGACCACGACAGGAGGTTTGACTCCCACCCGTCTGGGCACTCCATCTCAGCTCCACATCTGATGCAATCGGACGATGGAGGGGGAGTAAATGTCCACGGCGGACACCAGGATGGCGTACCTCTGGCACTTCAAAGACGTATATAAGCATGGGGTCAGTCCATGGTTGGAGAGTCCACAAGACATCATCTTCTGGAACTATTTTCAAGCCTACGACTAAATCTTTGAAGCACAATAAATCTATCCGAACTACTTTCATCATGTCGGGTCTCATCAACAAGGCAAAGGAAGCCCTGGCCGGGAATCATCATGATGACCCGAGATCATCTAATGCCGGACCGTAAGTATAGTAGCCAGAGACTTGTCTCTCATCCGCTCACATGCCGTTCAGACACAGCAGCAATGTTGCCAACAAAGTGGATCCCAGAGTTGACTCGGACTTCGACCACAGAAATGACCCTACAAGCAATGTAGGCGGTCGAGGACACACTCAGACAACAGGCTATGGTGCTGGTGCTGGCGCTGGCGCCAGCGCTGGTTATGGTGGTGCCAACACCGGCTACAACACTGCACCAACAACGACTGCCGGGAACAACATACACTCAAGCCACCTAGCGAACAAGGCTGATCCCAGGGTCGACAGTGACTTCGACCATCGTGCCAACCCTACAAGCAGTGTGGGAGGTTACGGAACCTCTCAGACCTCCGCTGGGTATGGAGGTCAGCATGGCCATGGTACTACAGGGGCTGCCGGAGCGACAGGCACCGGTGGTACTGTACACTCAAGCAATCTCGCCAACAAACTGGATCCCAGGGTCGACAGCGATCGCGATCATCGTGCCAATCCTACAAGCAGCGTTGGAGGTTACGGTAATTCACAGACAACTTCCGGTTATGGTCACTCGAACCACAACGGCGCTGGAGGCTACGGAGCCGCACCTACGTCTGGATACGGTCAACAAGGTCATGGTGCCGGCGTCCACGACACAGTGACCACTGGGGGTGCAGGATACGGAGGCCATAACACCGGAGTCCCAGCGAACTCTGGCTATACGGGAACATCGTCGACCGCCGCCGGTCATTCTGGGGCTTCGACACACCCACCGCACAGCTCAGACTTGCTGAACAAAGTTGATCCGCGAGTCAAGGTGGACAAGGAAGGTCGACCTTTGTGAAACCAATGATGACTGCAATGCGGACAGGGATCAGCGCCAGATATATCATGAAGCATTAGTGTGATACGCTGTCGGAGTATGGTGCAAATAATGATGATTTCAAATGCAACAGCATCCAAAACCGTGTCTGATGCGCCTCAGTTACGTCGCTTTTAACTGTTACACTGCTTCGGGGTCCTCGTGATATTAACATCTCTTAAATCATGAAGATATGGATACAATTTAATTCGCATGATCGCTGGATCAAAATCTTTTGCCTTCAACAAGTTTTGCCCCCTTGAGACCACGCATAAGTTCCGCGAAACACACCAGAGCCTTTATGGAAAGCGTACTACCGTACTCGTACTCCACAGCCCGCGTTGATAAGGCCAGGGGAGTGAAGGAGCACGCCAGTGCGAAACAGCCAAGGCGCCCTTTTGTACCTGGAGGGGTTGATGAGTAAGTCGACTGTCATCCACCTATAACCCGAAAAGGCTCACGGAGGCCCTTAGTAAGCAATTGGGAGGAACCGCGAGGGCCTGTCAGTTGGGCGTCGACGAACGAGGAGACGCTCATCTCAGCAGATCACACATGCAGTTGATGGAGTGACAGGGTGGAGGCCAGCCCCAGATCTGAGCAATTGGCGGCGATAGGGACCGCCACGTCACTAGTTAGGCCCCGGAGCGCGCCCTTGGATTGGGCCACCGGGCGAGGAGCATGCCCGTGTTAGGCACTAGGCCTGCCCACTAGCGAAGGCCGCACAGGCGCCTAGTGGCCATTAAATTCAGCCCCCGGGAACACCTAATCCCGATCCCTGCAGGCGGATCCTCAGCGCCCCGTTGTGTCCTCGAATCCCACCTACGCATACACCGTACACAAAGGTATTTGTGCAACTATGGCCCGATATATTGTACCCTGCGGTCTTTTTCTCGCTCTTCGTCCATACACTCTCGACACTGTGTTCGATGATGCGAGGAGATTCCTTTCCGTTTTCCGCCTGTTGAACTTGTCTCCGTTCCTGTACTCGTGAAAGCGACTTCCTCACCCCCCCCCCCTGAGCACTGGGCAATCCCCATTTGCACGTGCAAATCACCGAGCCGAACATGGCCAACAGGACGACGGACACAGAAGCGTTCCCTGCGCTCGAGGAAGGGACGGAGGTGTCTTTCGACAGGTCTCGGGACGCCGCGACGCCAGATATTTCGCGGCGCAGAAGTTCCATCACTTCGCGGTTGTCGGCGCAGACTCGCACACGCACGAGTTCTCTCCTCCAGTCTTTCATTGAGAGCAACCCTCCGCTTGGAATGTGGCAGGCCACGGGCGAAGTCGGTTCCAAGATTCCCACGTTGCCGGAGATCAGGAACGGAGCCTTCGATGCTGAAGGGTGGAATCACGAAGGGCAGATGGAGCATCGAGGGACCAATCCTCACGACATTCACAGACAGAGGCTGGCGAGGACCAGTTCTGCTAGCACCAGGACGAGGAAGAGTTCACGGTCCGTGGGTGCGCCTGCTGCGATACTGGAGGAGAGACACGAGTACTTTCCCAAGAGAACCCCGACATTTATGCAGGAACCGCTCCAGGAAGAAGCCACAGCTACTCACACACTGGCCGAAGAAATCCAACCCGCGCAGAGGTATGTCTCTTCGCAGCGCGCAGTCTTATTATTCTCCCCCCTTCACCAGCCAATCACTAACTCTATATATCTAGTCCTCGAGAGAAGCAACTATCCGAGGCCCGAGAGAAAGACGCCTCGATGGCCTCGTCGCAACAAGACGAAGCCCAGGTTGTCCCCATCCAAGGTGGTCCTGACGAGACAGGCACCTACCCCAACGGTTATCGATTTCCGAAAAAGCATACCTGGACTCAGTCTACTATGATCGGCCTGCGAGCACTCTGGAAATTCTTCCTCACGCCTTTTGGGTTCCTCGTCGTGGTATACGGCCTCAATGTCATTGGCTGGGGAGCCATGATCTTCTTCGTCCTCTTAAATGCTGCACCTGCAATGTGCCATCCAAGCTGCAATGCAGACGACAGCCCTCGCAAGAAGTGGATCGAGATTGACTCGCAGATACTCAACGGCCTGTTCTGCGTCACCGCCTTTGGTCTATTTCCCTGGCGAGCGCGGGACTTTTACTACATCACGCGGTGGCGAGTTGGAGGAAATCACAAATACCATCGCAAGCTTGCGGGCATTTACAGAGGCTGGTATCGTTTGCCAGGCTCGGATCAGCTGCCAATCGATATCGGCCCACCGCCAGTGTACAGCAAGAAAAATCCGCCCACTCCCGAATCACCTCCTCCGTATTCGGAAGAAGACTTTGCCAGGTTGGAAGCAAACCCAGCAATCCCGTTACCTGTAACATCCATGCCAGAGCCTCCCTTGACAGGCATCCGCGCTCGACCTACGAAGTCCTGGACGCTCGACTTTGTAGTTCAGATGTACATGGCCAACACTGTCTTTCAAATTTTGCTCTGCTATTGGATGTGGCATTGGAACAGATTCGACCGGCCCTCGTGGGGAACTGGTGTTTGGATTACGTTCGGATGTCTTTCCGGTATCTTCGCTGGTATCTGCGTCTTCGTCGAGGGCAACAAAGTGAAGCGCGCTGAAGGAATTCCCGTGCAAGAGTATGATGTCCTAGAATCGATGGAAGACTACCAGGAGCGCAAAGCCAAAGAGGACCAGAAGGAGGCTAAGAAATTGGCACGCCACGAACATCACCGTCACTTCAGGCATGGCGAACATGGCACGCACAAGGTGGTCCGGTCTGAAAAATTGAAGGGACACCAGTGGTTCACCCGGCATTGAAATTGCAAACTGCCAACACTCGAAGGTACTTGACGATCGCCAACAGATTGCATTTTGTGTGGTATAGTGAAAGCTTTTGGAAGCGTTGGTGTAGGTTTTGTTTTGGTTTCTCTGATGAGCTTTCAGTGGTCCAAAAAATAGCCTGGGCATGGGTGTGGCTTTCGATATCTAACCTCAGCCCTAATTCATAATCATTTTGAGAAAGTTAAGACTCGGTCAACATTGATATGTCTCTGTCTCGGTGTGGGCGTGCGTATTATGTGGTGTGGGAAGGTGTAGTGTAGACTTGAGCATTAACATATGGTGCCGAGTGTGCGTGTCATGTTTTGAGTGTCCAGACACAATCATCCGTTCTGTCGAGGCTTCACCTCGCCTTCCTGCATGATATAATATACAATTGTGCCATCGCCGCCCACGCCCGTCTTGGCCCTCATGCCCAGCAAGACACGTTTCTGGTCTCGGTGTTCGTACGCCGTCGTCGTTGACCTGCCAGTCGTTCGTGGGACGGTGCCGTTGGCGGTCGTAGTGCCTGTCCCACTCCGTCCTGACTGCGGCGGCTGCGGCTGCGGTGGCCTTGCATTTCCGTCGTGGCTGGATGGTGGAACGGCATTGAAATCAGCGGCAACGACCACGGGGTCGCGGTCCGGTAGGTGGTCGAACACGCCGCAGAACCGGCTCAGCGTCCACGTCTCGTTGAGAGACAAGGGGAGAACGAATTCGCGCTGGACGGGCAGTGACGAGTCCTCGATCTTGTTCTTGACGAGGTAGTTCTGAAGATCGGGGTGCACGTAGCTGTGTCGAGGCGGGAGACCGGATATTAGAGTGATGTTAATGGTTGTGGTGGTGGTGGTTGTGGCTGCTGTGGGTGCGGTTGCGGTGATGGGTTTTTTGGTTCGTGAGGGCGTTGAAGACGAGGGCGAGACTGAGGCTGAGGGAGTTGATGAAGACGTAGATGAAGGGACGATGTTGACGATACCTAGTCCCTGACTGATGGTCATGTCGGTGTCGGAGAGGCTGTCATTGTCGGTGTCGTTGTCGTTGTCTTTGGCCGTGACGTTGGCATTGTCGGTGACATTGACTTTGATTTTTACAGGATGTAGTTTGAGGTCAGTCCAGTTGTGTTGATGTTGGAGATTATGTAGGATCTCTAGAGGGAGTGAGTCCGTTGCCGATCTGGCGCCGGCCGAGGATATGAGGGTTGATAACGCAGATGGTGAAGGTGGTTGGGTTTGGGTTTGGGTTTGGGTTTTGGTGGTCGCCATTCCACCGAGACAGAAGAGTGAATATTCGACCCGGGCTGGAATAGAAGCCGATTCAGTCCAGTCCAGTCCAGTCCAGATATGTCGTCGAGGTCGAAACAGAGTTGTACAAAGGAGGGGATCAGGTAGGTGGCTATTGTCTATCGTCGGATCCTGTGTTGTCGGATCCTCAACTGTCCACGGATAATTCTAGTCGCTGCCCCTTATTTTGTCGAGAAGAGTGACGAGTTTAGCAAGGGACCGACTCCCTATGTATGTTGTAACACTTGATATCAAGTACATGTATGTAATACCACTGGTGTTGAAACGATGGTGAAGCCGACGACAGGTCTGAGAAAATGAACAAGGTACCTGTAGATACTCGTACCTGCTGAGGTTTCTATGTCTTGGCGGCGACAACGTCCAACTCGAATAAATATTCTGCCATTTCGCTTTTCTCCATCCACCGGCAACTCGTTCTTATGCACGTCCCCGGCAAATCAGCGAACACCTTACAACATCCCACCCGGTCACCGGTGAATTCCTTCGAATCACGCCTGCATACATGACCCTTTTGCCCTAACAGGCATGTATTGATTGCCAATCACAACCCGTACTCCGCTCACCGTGAGATGGCTGCAAACTCCCAAATGGGACGACCAATGCTCCCGGAAAGCAAGGGGGAGGATTTCCGGCCAGGCGCCCTTGACCCTTGAGTCTTTCCTCAGCCGTCGTATCTCGCGCAGCTCCCATTCATCTGTTGTGATTATTATTCACTAATCTCCACGACCGCCATCGTGTGATCTGCACCTTTGCCTTCGATCGCGCATACCTGTACTTTTGCCTGTGATCGAAAGATGATGGCTTGGCTCGCTGGTTAGATGCATCGCCATGCAGAGAACGCTCCAGACCACACGCGCGTTTGACGACGCCAAAGACATGGGTAACGACCGGTTCCTGTTCCTGGTGTCTACCTCTCCCGGCTTGGGCGGAAAGGAACAGGATGAGAAGGACATGCGAGCACGAGCACACGCTGCGCGTAGATCTCACGCCACTCGCCGAGCAGAACCATTGACACCCACTGGTGCGGTGGATTTGAAAGGTGACATACCAAATCCGCATTCAGTCTCTGCTTTCGCCTCTGCCAATTCGCACCAGTCGAGCATAGCAAAGCAACAGCGACAATTCAGAGTCAGTGCTGCCCCCAGGCGTTCCCCCTGGCAAGCCAACCGCCCAGTTAGGCTGTGGACCAGGACCGCGGTGGATAATGGAAATGACGAGCCCTTCAACCAAATGTCCGTCCCTGATGTACCGCGATACGTTATATCGGTGCTTCACGAAGGTGAGTGCATTCCGGCACCTCGCTTGACCGCTCAGCATACGGCGTGACCTAGCCGCTGACCCCGAGGGGGATATGTAGCGTCCCGGTTGAAGTGGACAAGGATAAGGCCTGGCGCTCTTGTAACAGCTGTCAATCCTGTGGCTCGGGCATGGATGGAAGCTGCATTGGAATCACCCATAGCCCTCCACGGTCTTGTCTATGCCATGCTCCGTACCATGCTCATCACGCGCCACAATTCTGGGCCAGAAACCATACTGGCATTGGAGCACTATGCTCAATGTCTTGCCCAGCTCAAGGATGAAATGAAACGGATCCAGGAAGGCGTCACTGAAGCCAGCGACAATGTCATCATTGCGATAGCTGCTCTCGCTGCTCACGGTGAATCGCATATGGGAATGGAAAAGTCTTCGCTCGAGACAATGCCTCTAGTGCCACTGTCCCCGTTAAGCGAATCGCAAAACCTCCACGTGTACGGAACTGGAGCCTTGCAACCCGCACATGTCCATGCTGTTTACTCACTGGTTTCTCGCAAAGGAGGACTTCAGAATATCTCGCTGGAGGGCTTGCCCGATGTACTAGAAGTGTAAGCTCGAGGATATTGAGAGCAAGACGTATCTGATGGCTAACATCTGCAGGGTTGATTTGTGCTTTGCAACCAGAGAGGGTACCAGACCGCAATTCGGTTGGCGCCACTCGACATCACGCTCAGATCTGGCGCTCGACTTGAAGATTGATAATACCGCCGAGGCATTGTTCCAGAAGTTGGGAACCGGTTTTCCCCGTATTGATGCATTGAAACCCATACATCAGTTGGTATGGTGTACGCGTGTTGCAATAGTGATGCTCGACCAGCACTTTAGAAACGGCGATCCTCCGGGCAGCAAACCAGAACTCCTCAACGCCAGAAATACAGTTCAGTACCATTTGCTCTGTCTACCAGTCGCAAATCTGACGGTTAGCGCTGGCTATGAAACCCTGTTGTACGAGGTTTGCCGTCTGGGTCTGCTGATCATCTCAAACATGATATTGTTCCCCCTACCACCCGAATCCGGCGTGGCCCACAGGCTCGCAAAGCAACTTCGGAATTGTCTTATCGTTGCAGACCACGCTTCAGATGGAAACATCATCTTCTCAAAATACCATGACTTGCTTGTCTGGGCAGTGGTGCTTGGGGCGATGAGCTCTACATCTCTCTCTGACCGCACATGGTTCGTCAACCGCCTCACCGTAATGTTGGTACCGTTGGTCGATCACCACTGGGAAGAAATTGAAGAGAAGATTCTCTACAAGTACCTGTGGTGGCAGTATGTCTGCAGTCAGCCCGGGCAAAGAATCTGGGAAGAAAGCTTGCTTATTCACTGTGACGAAATCTCCGATGTTGTGTAAGGCAGGTTTAGCGTTGGCCTTTTGTGATAAGGCGCCGTGGTTGCACTGGCCGCTTATCCCGCTATGCTTGAACTCTATGTCGCTTTTACCGCATTCCAGTGATTTGGCTTTCGGCGTCATTGTGTCAACAGTCCCCATACCAGCTTGGTCGATCAGTTACTGGACCAGATCTTGACGATCATTCACTCTTTGAGAGAACAGTGATGTTTGATCTGCATTGGAAATAGCACGTTCTTCGTGCTTTGTGCATCGAGCAACGAAAAAAAAGTTACATGGCTACGACGAACTCAGCCGTGAGCATCAGCGTGCCCGGTCTTTCCACCATATCATGCCACAACACAACCCAATACCGCGGGATCGAAGGCGCGATGACGCGGTCAAAACTATGTTTCACGCACGTCCTGGATATGATACGAATATAATGGTGTGGCCAGGAAGTTCCGGGGGCAGACAGATCTAACGACGCCACACTCCGAGAATCAGTCGACGACGTTGTTTTGTCCAACGCCGGTGATGACGATTCATAGAGAAAGGACTGCATCCGTTGTGGTTGGTGCAAGGCACTCATCGAACTCGGATACGTGCCCGATGCATCTAGGGCTTTTGAGACTTGTTCGGTGTAGCCACCCTTCAATCCACCCGACGACAACCGTCAAGAGGTTGCGACGAGGCACAGGTATTGTTGTACGAGTAACAAGTATCGGCAGTAACACAAGGGACCCGACACCTTTGCGCCGACGCTCACACGTTACGGAGCAATGCGTTTCTTCGACAGGTCCCGACATCCGTTACCCGTCCCTGCCGATGGGAAGGGGGCTAATCAATCAGATTAGATAAAAAATTTTCACGTCAGGGTGGATAACAATGAGACAAGGAAAAGAAACCACGCCCCGGCCCTTGATTTATCTTGGCCCTGCCGTGGCATCCGTTGAAAAATAACCTACTGTATGGAGCAAAGCCAGGCGAGGTGTGGCCGGTGTCGGTGGTGGTGCTAGTCGTGGTGCGTGGAGTGGGGGATTTCACAGAGGGTGTGCTGATCTGATCTAATCTTATCGAGGCCTAGGTTGATAAGCCTTTTCCTTGGGCTCCCTTGGCCCTCCCCCTTGGCATATCTACATTATCTCCCTTGGCCTCAGGGAGGAGGGGGCGAGGAGGGGGCTCGGGTGAAAAGTCCTGGACAGTATTGCTCATTATTTCCCTCTCCCACGCGCTCGCCCACCATCGGTGTTGTTCAGTGTGGTTCAGCCGGCCGTTTGAAGATCGTATCGAGAGTAAGACGTCTCTGCGACTTGGCTTTGAACGGTCCCCACGACACGGCATGGATCGCCGTCAGAACAAGAAAAAACAAACAATGGTTCACGCCCGGTCCTCCGCCACGTGGAAAAATCCACTCGAGAGAAAATCACGCACCGTGTAGACGAGGGAGTGTAGGTGGTGGGTTTTGCACAACGGGGGTGAAAACCTAAAGGCTCGCCCGTGAGGAAACGTGGCTCGGGAGCATTGTATGTATGTGTTGGCCATGTAATCCCGGTCCTGATGCGCCGGTGTCTGTCCGATGATGCGCCGGCTACAAGTCTACCTACCTAGGTGAAGTCGAGACTGGCGCGCCTGTTACAGCTGTGTCTGGTGCAGCCTTTGTGTTTTGGTTCCTCTTCCGATTATGCAGAACATGGCAATGTATCTAACCCTAACGGTATTTGGCTGGAACAATATGGATGTTGTAGGACTATTGCCACAGGGGGGCCACATTATGCGCTAAACAATTCATATTATGAATGTCAAGTTCGGTCAGCATGGTAACCTAGTAGTTTTCACTTGTTGTCATGACTGGGGTGCTGCCGCCTTGTATTGCTGGCTCCTATCACATTACATGACATACATGAGTGTCCTCATCGAATCGTTCAGAAGACATTACCCTTTGTCTGCTTGATCTTGCTGACATTGATGTTCCTCATCATGAACACTCCAACGAATGCTAAAACCATGAAACCAGTCCCAGCGGCGAGCATGCGGGTCTGAGCATACGCATAAGCCCTTTGAATTCCGTGACGGGTGGGACTGCCCCTGGGGTAGCTAAGTTGGGTGTCAAAGTCGCCGTAGATGGTGTCCAGATCCGGGAGAGCATCCGCGGGCAGGTACATCTTCAGCGCCTTTTCGAACGTGTTGGTCCAGATGGTCCCGGAGATGGTGTAGCCGATCGAGCCACCCGTGGTCCCTGTCACGTTGAGCATGGCGAGCGCTGCGGCGACGTGCTGATGATCCACCGCAGCCAGAACGGCCAGTTGGCAGCAGATGATAAAAACGGCTCCACCGACAGAAATGAAGACCTGCGTCATGACAAGGTATCCGACGTACGGATCGGGGTTTCGGAAGTATATCATCAGACCCTGGGCCAAGATGTACATAGGAACCGCGATCCACAGAAGCCACTTGAAGTATCCGGTCTTGCGAATTCCAAAGCCCACGCCGAAGAGAAGAAAGCCGGAGACGACATTGAAAGTGTTGTTGACATAACCTGCCTCTGCCACAGTGAGGTAATTGACCACCTGGAGAAACGAGGTGAAGTAGCTGGCCCAGCAGTAATAGGAGATCTGGTAGGCGAGTTGTAAAACACACGCTCCCATCAGAGTTCGGTCGGATAAGAATTTAAACTTCATAAAAGGGACTGGTGAGAAGAAAACCTCGTACAAACCAAACGCTACCAGCAAGAAAAATCCCAGGATGATCATGGCAATGATGTAGCCTGTAGCCCAGCCGTCGGGGGCAGTTGTCGCAATGTTGAACGGGAGGAGGAATATGACCAGACCAGAAGCAAAGAGAAAGATTCCAAGGACTAAAACCAGCCATGAGCTAACGAACTACTGTAAGGGGGCCCGAACTGGTGTCGGTTAAAAAACTTACCGTCGAATTCAAGGGTGTAGTACCACACAGACTGCGCCAGAGTTCGGCCACTCGCCGCTCTTTCCTTCAGTAGGCCCTGTCTCTTGGCCTTGTTGAGATTGTATCGCAGCAGAAAGTACAGAGGAGCGCAGATGACGGGGGTAATGAAGGCGTAAGTGGCGTATCCCCACGACCAGCCAATGTCGGCAAGCATTTTGTCAGAAGCATACGACCCAGCAAATGCCGAGATCATATAAGGGGACGACGTGAAGGCATATGCGAGTGCTCGGTTCTTCAGCGCGGTCGCGTCGGCAGTGACCACGTCGATGCTGTAGATGAGGCCTGTGAAACCAACGCTGTAAAAGACCTAGTGTAATTCAGTCAGTCAGCGCGGCCATTTCGGGCTTGTGTTGTACATACGTTGGCCGCGCAGTAGGTGGCCAGGTTGTGGCTCACAGCCATGAGGATCAAGCCGAGCTCGCAGAAGACGACCATGGTGAGGTAGCCCTCGGCACGACCCCAGACATCGAGGGCTTTGGCCAAGGGGATGAAGACAGCTGCGGTCATTGAACTCGAGACAACGCCAATGACGGTGAGCAGCGAGTGCGAGTCCCAATCGCTGGTGACATAAGGTGCGAAGTTGCCAATAGTAGAACTCTGAAAGGCATTCAACAAATATACTGTCCATATACATATGAAGACAGCAATCAAAGATCTCTTGGTCCACACCATAGAGGTGGCTTCCATGGCCTGAACACCAGCTTGTGCATCTTCGGCCGGAGCCTCTTCCTGAGGTTTCTGCACGGAGCTTGTTTCTACGTCGCCCTTGGGCTGTTCTGTGATTTCGTGACGGTCGACGTCCGCCATGTTGACATCGGCATTGGAGGGGTCATGGCTGAGCTCGCCAGCTTTGCCCAGCCGATTTTTGAGACTGTCGGTGATGCGCATGGCTGAGGAAACATGCAAGATCGATGTAGCAATGAGGGTAGAGAGCAACGAACATGGCAGGCCATCGCTTATACCTTTGCACCATTCGCATCGGTCGTGGGTCCCCTGCAGCTCCAGCGGGATCAGATAAGATGAAAATTCTGATCGACCCCGTTTTCGTTACCACAATACGGCAATCAATGCTGCTATGGATACTGCTCCGAAGTCGGGCTGGGTTCAGAGTGGTCAGAAAGACGCGCCGGCATTCCTCATTGCAATAGACCAAGCGAATCAATAGCCCTGGCACCAGAGGAGAAGACCATGGTTTGCAGGGATGGATCCATCTAATCTAATCCGATCAGACCCGATTGACAAGATAAAGCGACAGGTCAGACCTATGACAGGGACTCTTGTGGCGTGAGGGTTGGGCTGATGACCACGAGATGGATTGACGAATCCTGTCCAGGCCATGAGAAGTTAGAACTCGGTCGCATGCTTTGAACTTCTCTGTTTCGTCTCTTGGCTAATACGCGCACTCCTGGGAGCCGATGGCTCTTTAGAAGAATGAGTTGAGCCAGGTTGTCATGTATGGTATTATTGTAAGTAAGACAAACTGTCAGACCGCGCAGGACAGGTCTGCGTTAGCACGCTAATGCCGGATGTGGAAAAGACGCCAAGAGGCTCCATATTAGGAAAGTGCGCCGATGGCTCGATAGTGCTGGCTAGCGAGCCCAAGGTACAATTACCGAGTATGCTAGTGTGCTCCATATCTGTATCCAAGCCTGTATTCTGCGGTATCAGATGGTACTTCAGTAACAATGCGGCACGACGGCAGTGAGTTCGTGGCGCTGGGTAGACTGGGAGAGTTTTCAGATGTACGACAAACCCAAAAGCCATCCTTGTAGGGCTGCAGTGATAGCGGCAATTCTGGTTCAGTATCATAAGTGTATTCGATATTATCAATATGAAATATGGGCATGCGACTAAATTAAAAAGCTCATAAGCTCATAAAGTGAAATTCCAATGGGTATCGCAGGACCCGGCAGGACTCAGCATAGCACAACGACCAAGATCCCTCTAAAAGCACGTTTCACCCTCCATCTCCCAGACATCTATCGAGGAACCCTTTCCCCCCAGCTGTTCCGCCTCATCATTAGGTATTCATTGTGCAACGCGTCTGGGTTTAGGCTCAATCTAGACAATCTCTCGTAGGGAGAGAGGTCTGTAAGCACCACCAAAAAGGAACCTTTAATCGTGAAACTCCGGACCATGAAAATGGTTGGGGAATAGTACCTCGATACTGGGCATTGCAATAAAGGGACGACATGGTGACCAAAGAATACCCATGCGTTGCTGATTGCTGGTGTTTTGAAGGCCATTGTGTGTTGAATCAGCGACTGAGGATTCAAGTTGCAAAGCGGCCCACGACCAATGCCTGAATGACATGACCTTCTTTCCAGCCTTGTTCGGAAAGTGTACGTCTGTCATCGAGGATTTTGCCAAGATAGGCAATCCTGATGCGCGCTTGATCATGCATCTGTTTTGGCAATTAGCACCACCGTCAAATCTCGTCCACGAGGTAATATCACCTACATCAGTTTCGTCTCTGATTCTCTGGGCTAGTAATCCAACTCGCTGTGTCCTACCTAGCTGAACGACAACGTCCGGTCCACCACGATCGCTCAGTCGACATCGCACATTCATGGCGTCCTTGTCTACTGCAGCCTTGCCCTTCGCTTCCTTGGTCTTCTCGGCATCGGTCTGGGCCTGACCAACCCCCATATTTGCATCCTCGGCGGCCTCAAGTTTCATAGCTAAAGTATCCGAGTCAGCTGGTCCAGAGACGGTCTGACTGTCCATGTCGGCAATATCCTCGATCACGTCTGTGGGATCAGAGATTACGGCTTGTGGGATTTTGTACAGGCTTCCTTGTGCGTCGTACGCTCCCTCTTCCAGACGACCGGTCGGGAGGGTAACTTCGAGGGCGTCGATGATTCCTTGTGCGTCTGGCAAATCCCCTTCTCGAAGACACTCAATGGCTTGTTTGAGACCCTCCCAGATCTCGGGTCTTCCGGTCACTCGAGTCTCAAAAAACTCGTACCTTTCTCGCTGTAGTCGTGTCCGTGTCCATGTCCTGTCTTTACTCGTCCACGTTTTCGGAATTTGCAGAGGTAGGTTATAGTGTTCTGCCAGCGAACCCGACCGGGGCGGGCGAGATCCATGGTTCTGAACCGAGTGTCTGGGCGTGGAAAGGGCAGAGTGAGATGTATCACTCTGTGGGATTGATAGACCCGATGGAGGTGCAAGTGAAGGGGCATGGTGGTCTTGCGTCGAGGAGTTAATTGCAGTCTGCGAGGTGATGACTTGAGGAGAGTGCCGGACGGGAGGAGGCGCCGTAGCACGCCCATGTTGAGGGCTTTCAGAGTTGTCCGGTCGCGATGAACAACAACCCTGCCAGCAAAGAGATCAGCGAAGGTCGCGATTGTGGGAGTCAGGTGGTCATTGGGACCTGGAAGGGTCGTCGCCAACGGGCCACACGTACCATGATTTCAGATCATGTTGTATAATGTACTGGTCTGGTCTGTGCAAAGATGTTGGACAAGTGTCAATATCAACAATTCATTGTCGCCGCAACGCTGGACAGGTGAGTGAGTGAATGGTTGTTTGATATCGGACTACGGGCAATCAACGGCTCTGGTTCACAAAACGAGACTCTGGACCAGCAGATAAACAAGCACCGACTAGGACGCAACAAGTACCAACAAGTGTCAATTTATGTTCGTCGACAGCATCGAAAGCGCAGCAGTGGTGTCGCTTGTGTGTAGGGATTATGGCAGGAAAGAGAGTGAGCCAGGTCGCTGCTGAGAGTCTGTAATCGTCGGTGCAGAATCGGTTGTCTGTACGTAGCCCACTCACCTTCCCCATACAATGCCTGGTACCTGCGGGCTGGGTACGAAAGATTCATCATCATCATCATCCACCTTGCAAGGGTCTAGACTCGAGGTCAAGCAGATCGCAAACCGTCTACCGAGGCTCCCCTGGTCTCAGTGACATGCTGTTCTCACAGCAAATACTCGGCCCTCCTCCTGTCCACAGGCACCTCGTACGAGGACAATCATCCCTTCTGTGCGCCGCCGCGGCCATTCTCTAGGGACGCTTTATCCCTCATCAGGCTCACCGGGCGCCTACAGAGCCAACCTGGGAGATGATGCCGAGGATTAGGGTCTCTCTCTAGAAGAACTTAACTCCTCCTCTGTCCGCGACACATGTTTTGCCTGACCTCACATTGTGGCTCGCTAACTCTTCTGAGATTACGAATCCTGGCCCCAGATACGGTGTATAGCTCTAAGCCCTCGCCACCCTGTTGAGCGTACTCGTATCAGGTGGCGGAAATCGATGATCCCGCTGCGTAACACGACCATGTGTGAACAACCTCGACCCGTTGGAAATATATCCATTATCGACCCCTCGAGATGGAATCGTCCAAGCAGTAATATGAGTGTAGATCTCGCCACGCCAGTTCCACCCGTGTCATGTACAAGACTATACAGTAGAAACAACAATGTCCAGTCGTCATCATCAACATCATCCTCGTCTTCATCGAAACTCGATTGATGGACACACGCCTTTTCCCCAAACGCCTTGCTTGCCTTCGTGCTTTAACTCAAGCTGTTGATACCTGGTTGTTGCGAGTTAGCCATAATGCGCCACGAGCCCAAGACTGAGCAGTACTCACTTCTCGCTCTTCGAGTGGAAATATATTCCACTAACCCTCCCCTCGACTTGATTGAAACAAATGTAATAAAACCCTTCAAAGCTGGCTCCTTGGATGCTTTTCAGCTTGTAGTCCGGTACAAGAAAGTGTTCCTTCCACCGCATAAAAATGTACTCTTGCTGCCACCAATTCTCGTTGTTCAGTGGATACACAAAATTGATGTTCCGCTTGGCCTGAAGACTGAGCGGTCTCCAAGCTGGAAACCTCGCCCAGTGAGTGAGATCTGTCTTATCCGTGGCGCCCCATGCCGGGTCTCGCGTTCTGAAGCTGTACTTCTGTTCAGGCCCGCCAATGATTTCTCCCGTGAAGAAAGTCGTGAGTGTCGGATGGTCTGGTGTCAGTCCGCAGATCTGTAAATACCCAGACATAGTCGATTGCTCAACATCAACGGTCAGAATGGTCACTTCGACGTTGTAGATCTGCCGATCTGACTGCTGGGTCCCAGTGAATTTCGAATATGGTTGAAAAGTCGACGACGGGTACTGAGGCCGCAATCGCCTCCTTGAGAACTCCCATGCCTTCGAAGTATCTGACCAGTCAAGTTGCTGGTCAATGGAGGAGACTCCTGCTTTATCATGGGCGAGATCCCGCCATTGTGCTTCCAGGGAGGACTCGCACGGGGATGGTATCATGCCCGCAGAGTCGCCCTGTACGGCCGCACCGAGGTTGGCGGCCGCTTCGCTTGTTGAGACCGGTGTTGTGTCGACACTTCTTTCTAGATCAATCACAGGTCCGCTATCATGGCCATCGGTCAATGACTCGTCGGCCGTTTTAACGTCTTGGTCATCGCGTATCGCAGTAGTGCTCCCGCTGTCAACGCTAGAATTCCCTTCTTGGGCAGACGGAGGCATTTTCTCTTCGTATGCTTCTGCAAAATTGTACATGCTTTCCTCTTGCATCAGTGACATGCCTGCAGCAGTGTTGTCTCTTTCGGCTCTCCGCGTGATTCCATGGCTGCTCGCCGGCCTTTGATGGTGTCCTGGTCCGTCTAACTCTTGGTCTGCATTGACTTCGGAGGCTGGAGTCAGTGGTGCAGGGCATGCGACATTGGGCTGATGAACGTCGAGGTGATGACGGGCGATGGACCTATCCGGTGCATGAGACGGCATTGAATGGGAAAAAGGTGCTGAAATATCATTAGGTATGGACCGCGTGACAGAGTAAGCAAGGCGCAGTGAACGGGGGACGGAGCTATTGCGACCTTTGACAGGCGAAGCAGTCGAGAAAATTCAACTTGTTGCCATGGTATGCGAAATGGCACGAATGAACAGGATGATGTGATGATAGATTGGCTTGTGAGAGAGATACTGCTAATCGGTGGAAACGGACGGGTCGAGTGACTGACATAACCAACTTCGACGCCCGAGGCCGGCTCACTAAGCCCGGAATCAATCTGCGCCTAGTGAGCCTTTGCGGGGTAACATTGCCGACCCAAATCTCTTCCAGCCCATTGCACGAGTCCCTCGTTAGCATGGGATGAGGCCTCCGTAACTCGTACCACCAGGAGCACTTTTGGACGCGTTCAGCATCGTGATCTTTGTGCATCCACCCACCCCTGCGATGGTCTTTTGCATCTCCCCACAACCTCCATGTTCAACCACAGTAGATGTGCCATGCGCCGTCCACGATGTAGGCGCCGTGCTTGAAACAGCAACGGCGCGCACGGCTGTCCTCGTTGCATTGCAATCACCAGATACGACCTTCCCAAACACCATTGCTCTACAGCGTGGAGAACACGGCAACGAAGGTGAGGACGCTCATGGGTGGTGGGATCACGACACTGTCAAAAATTGTTAACATCATGATGCGCATTCGGCATGATAGGTTTAGATTGGCTTGATCTGATGAGCAGTATTAGTCCTGACCCCGTTGAAGTTGAGAGTGCCGACATACCTTGAAGTGCAGAGATATCAACGAAAACACTAGAGCCTTTAGGTCCTGCACCAGGTAATAGAACACTCTTAATCCTTCTGGATCTGCGGAGTCCGTAACATCTCCCAGTGATCCAATCTTTGCTGTCTGAATAGAGCAATCAGTATCACATTCCACTCTCTTTGTAACTGTGAAGATACCTCAAACTGGATGTGGTCACTGCCGAGTCGGATTTCCAGCTCCTGTCTTCCATCTTTGTTCTTTTGCGGCCACCGCGAATCGTCTTCTTTCATGATCTCGCTGTCTTTGATGATGCGTTTGATTTCGGAAATGAGCAGCGCGCTGACCGACACTGTGCCACCTGGTGAGAAGGAGATTTGTTTCGGGAACAAGGGCATCATACTCTCTTTGCGAATAAGGGAATCGTTGCGGTAGTTGGAGTTATTGGCGTATCTCGCTACTGCGCTTCTTCCATCGCCAATAACCCGAAAATCGAACTCTGTTTCAGGAATTAGCAGTCCTCCAAATTTCTCAGGCTGTGTTACAGATCAATACCTAAGAATTCATGACCAAAGCGGCCAGAATGCCCAGAACTGCGCCATGTCAGCGTTGTTTCTCTCGGTGTCGAAGGGTTACATACTAGTAGCGCACATAGAACGGCTCACTCGTGTCCACTTTAGACATGGTTACCGTCGTGCTAATTCGCGGCAAGTATAGGTCGTCTGGAGGGAATCTAAATGCTTTCTGGCGTGTCGACTTTGTCGAGGGAACTTCGCTAGAATGGGATGCGGCATGAGACGGTCCACGTGACGTGCCGCCAAGGCGTGTTGATATTGTGGACACCGAGTCCCCTGGACATCGGGAACATGAATTCTGGCATCACTGTCCTGTCCGCAGATCAAGCACCCTCACACTCATTTCACAATCGAACAACCAAAACCGATCTGTTGGACAGGTCTTGAATTGGATGATGCGTTGAGAAGCCGTTGCCTCCTCCCAGCCGTCCAATCTACTCGCCTCTCTTGATTGCTTTTCCCTCGCGCCGCGCGGTCGACATCCTCCGAACTCCTCGTCCAAGGTTAGTAGGGCGACATTGTTGCAACCATGGCTACTTTTCTCGACAGCTCCTACAGTCTGGTCCATTTGGACAACACTGCAGACCAGCCCAGCCAACAGGACCTGAAGACGCAACTGGAAAAGGGCACGGATGAGACTAAGCTGGACACAATGCGGAGGATCCTCACTACGATGCTGAACGGAGACCCTATGCCCAATCTCCTAATGCATATCATTCGCTTTGTAATGCCTTCCAAGAGCAAGCCCCTCAAGAAACTCCTATACTTCTATTACGAGATATGCCCGAAACACGACGCCAATGGAAAGCTTAAGCAGGAAATGATTCTAGTTTGGTATGCCAATCGCGCTTGACACACCTAGCAGAGCTAATTGTGAGCAGTAATGGCATTCGAAACGACCTTCAGCATCCGAACGAGTTCGTTCGGGGAAATACCTTGCGATTCCTCTCTAAACTCCGTGAACCCGAACTCATCGAACCTCTCCTCTCAGCCGCACAAACTTGTCTCGATCACAGACATGCCTATGTGAGAAAGAATGCAGTCTGGGCCCTAGCGTCTGTCTATCAACATGCGCAACATCTCATCCCAGATGCTCCGGAAATGCTCCATACCTTCCTGACTGGGGAGAGTGATACCACATGCAAGCGGAATGCTTTTGCTGCTCTTATGAGCATAAGTCACGAGAAGGCACTAGACTATCTGACTGGAGTCCTGGATGGGGTCCCAAATGCAGACGAACTGCTGCAATTGGTGGAGCTCGAGTTTATCAGGAAGGATGCTGTACAGAACCAGACGAACAAGTCGCGATACCTGAGGTTGATTTTCGACCTGCTGGAAGCAAACACTAGTACTGTCATCTATGAAGCTGCAACTTCCCTTACAGCCCTCACCAGCAACCCTGTGGCGGTCAAGGCAGCAGCCGGGAAACTCATTGAGCTGAGCATTAAAGAGGCGGACAACAATGTCAAACTTATTGTTCTCGACAGGGTTGAACAGCTCCGAAGAAGAAATGAGGGTGTTCTTGATGATCTGGCAATGGAAATCCTGCGGGTGCTATCAAGTCCAGATCTGGATGTCCGACGAAAAGCGCTGGGCATTGCACTGGAGATGGTCTCGAGCAAGAATGTCCAGGAAGTGGTCATGCTTCTCAAGAAAGAGTTGAGCAAGACTGTGGTGGAACAGTACGAGAAGAATTCCGAGTATCGGCAACTCCTGATACAGTCGATACATCAATGTGCGATCAAATTCTCAGAAATTGCAGCAAGTGTGGTGGATGTGTTGATGGACTTTATTGCAGACTTCAACAACAGTTCAGCGGTGGATGTGATATCTTTCGTCAAAGAAGTGGTCGAAAAGTTCCCCAACCTCAGATCGTCAATTGTGGAGAGGCTGGTTTCGACACTCGGTGAGGTTCGCGCTGGCAAGGTCTATCGCGGTTCTCTATGGGTTATTGGCGAGTACTCACTCCAAGAGAACGACATTAAAGAAGCATGGAAGCGGATTCGGGCAAGCTTGGGAGAGATCCCCATCCTGGCTTCCGAGCAGCGACTTCTCGATGAGCAATCTCATGATGACAATGATGAGCCGCCGAAAGACCAAGTCAATGGGCATGCAACCAAGGCACCTGCAAGCGGGTCTCGGAAAGTTCTCGCTGACGGCACATATGCTACTGAGTCGGCTCTGACCAGTGATTCTGCGGCCAAAGCCAGACTAGAAGCAGTCAAGGCGGCTCAAAAGCCGCCGTTACGACAGCTGATACTGGATGGCGACTATTATCTTGGTACTGTGCTTTCATCCACCCTCACGAAACTGGTTATGCGACACTCTGAAATCTCCTCCGACCAGGCGCGCACCAATGCACTTCGCGCCGAGGCTATGCTGATCATGATTTCGATTGTTCGTGTTGGACAATCGCAGTTTGTCAAAGCGCCCATCGACGAGGACTCAATGGACCGCATCATGTCATGCGTCAGAGCTCTCGCGGAATTCACAGAACGCAAAGAGCTCGAGACCTCCTTTCTGGACGACACCCGCAAAGCGTTTCGAGCCATGGTGCAGGTCGAGGAGAAGAAACGTGCTGCCAAGGAAGCCGTCGAGAAGGCAAAGACTGCAGTCCAGGTTGACGATGTCTTCTCAATACGACAACTTACTAAGAAGAGTTCGAGTGACGGTACAGATGACATGGAACTTGATCTGGAGAAAGCGACCGGCGGTGATGCTACATTCGAAGACATATCATCTAAGCTCAACAGAGTTGTCCAACTCACTGGCTTTTCGGATCCCGTCTACGCCGAAGCCTATGTCAAGGTGCATCAATTTGATATCATACTGGACGTGCTTCTTGTCAACCAGACGAGAGAAACGCTGCAGAATCTATCCGTGGAGTTTGCAACCTTGGGTGATTTGAAGGTGGTGGAAAGACCAACAACTCACAATCTCGGACCACAGGACTTCCTCAACGTTCAGTCAACAATCAAAGTGTCGAGCACCGATACCGGTGTTATCTTCGGTAACATCGTCTATGACTCGCCCTCGGGAACAGATACCCACGTTGTGATTTTGAACGATATACACGCCGATATTATGGACTACATACAGCCAGCGACCTGCTCTGAATCAGCATTCAGAACGATGTGGACCGAATTTGAATGGGAAAATAAGGTCAACATCAATAGCAAAGCGACAACCAAGACGCTCAGAGAGTTCCTGGACCAATTAATGAAGAGCACAAATATGACGTGCTTAACTCCCGACGCTGGATTGAAGGGCGACTGTCAATTCCTCAGCGCCAACCTCTACGCTCGGAGCGTGTTTGGTAAGTAGTGGACGCTATCTTGGACTGGTTGAATATTTACTGACTTGTGTACAGGTGAGGACGCATTGGCAAATTTGAGCATTGAGAAGACTGCGGATAACTCTATTATTGGCTTCATTCGAATCCGATCGCGTTCTCAAGGTCTGGCACTGAGTCTGGGTTCTTTGAAAGGACTGAAGGCTGGCACATATTAGGCGGTGATGCAGCTTCACAGATGGAACGGAGCACCAATGTGGGAGTAAGTGAAAAGATATATGATCGGACGAAAATGAATGGTAGCTCAGAGCAGTGTCATTGTCGCACGCAAGCTGGAATAGATTGTTGAACTGTTCGAATGCATATTACATGGTGTTCGCCAACTATCATGCCTTCTTAGGGAGAGGGATTAAAATAGATGAGTTGTACAGAGATCCAGCCGGTTGGGCTGGTGAGGCGTGTCAAATGCGGACGAAGTATCTTACCCACTCCAATCCACCTTTCGAACTACTGTACCCGGAGCAAGGCTCCCTCGACTTGCTTGACCTACTACGTACACTTGTCTCCCAGCCATCGCATTCTACCAACAAATTCGTCTCACAAGGTGACCAAGATGCGCAGTCCCAAATTTCCAACCTGAGGTCTTCTGACAGTGAGTGGTGCTTCACTTAAACCTTCTCGTCTTCTGTAGTTCTGCAAGACTCTCCTCCCTTGCCATGCTGTTCCTCGCACCCTAATCCCGCAGACTTCCTTGTGTCCACCTCGATCAACGACCACCGCCGACGATTGCGTTGATGGCACCGTGGTTCCGCCTAGGCATTCTTCCATCTTCCCTCCTTCTCTACATCACCAGCTCGGCTGTACCGGCGGTCGCGCAGCAACTGAGATGGCCCTACAACCTCCCACCGGAAGTGAAATACTATCCTGAAGATGAATTCCTTCTCAAGCGGGACATCGATGTCCAACAGAAGATGCAAGAGCAACCGGTGACAGGAGTTCGCAAGATGAGCCATGATCCAGGAGAGAAATTCTACCTTGATTATTGGGGGTTTGACGAGGAACACAAGCATATGAGCTATGTGACATCCATAAATGGGACATTCTGTACCACATTAGATCGACCACTTCGTCTGCACTCACAACCCAGCAATCAGACGCTCCTCGCCCGCCTTCCAGGCTGGAATCTCTTCTCCAAACGGGGGTTTCAATGTCCCTCTGGGACGTCGGCATGCACCTCGATTGATCGCCCCAACAGCTGCTGCGCCTCAGGTTCGACATGTCAGATCGTTGAGGACACAGGTCTCGGCGACGTGGGATGCTGCCCCAGCGGTGAAACATGTGCTGATACGCTGTCGAATTGTGAAGCAGGATATACAAGCTGCCCCAACAACCCAGGCGGAGGTTGCTGCATTCCTGGCTATGGCTGCTACGACGTAGGTTGTGTGCAGACGTCTTATGCAACAATCACGTCATCGTCGGCGCCAACACCGTCAACTACAACAGTGACTTCCTACACGACCATCACGCCGTCAGCAAGTAGCCAGCCTACATCGACGAGTCAGACCTCGATTTCGACAAGTTCCCGGTCTACCAGTCTCGAGCCGGAAATATCGACTGTGACTAGAACCGTTACCGTGACGTCGACGCCGACCGTTCTGACCTGCTCCTCGGGTTATCGCTCCTGTCCTGCCAGCCTTGGGGGTGGTTGTTGTCCCACTGATAGATCTTGCGGCTCCGCCAGTTGTCCTGCGAGTACTTCGTCTCCAACACCCGCTCCCCCAGTTCGGCCAACTACTTTGACAACCACCGTAGAGACGACGACGGTGACGCCCAGCTCACGATCAACAGCAAGTTCGACCTCGAGTGGGACTATGACAGGCTGTCCAACAGGGTTCTATGCTTGTTCAGCATATTACCAAGGAGGATGCTGCCAGATCGGTCGAGACTGTGACACAACTTCTTGCCCGGCGACTGCTTCAACAACCCTTGTGTCAGGCAGCACAATCACAATTGCCGCTCCGACAGGCAGCGGAATTACAGCACCCGGCACAGTCCTGACCGGTAACTGCGCGCACGGCTGGATGACATGCTCGGCTGATGTAGGAGGTGGGTGCTGTCCCAGTGGGTATCAATGCGGCGTGGCCAGCTGCGCAGCGCTGGCAACGGGAGGTGCCGGAGTGGGCAAGATGGCACCAAATGGAGCACGGAGAAGGACTGTGAGTATGGGCATGTCTTTCGCAGTTATGATGATGAGCATGGGGGCAATGTGGTTGTGATGTGCACATAGAGACCCTGAACTAACATAGATTCCGAACCCTTCTTGAACATATGACATTGGCGTGACTCGGGATAATGATATCTCCAATTATGCATTCCCTCTAGATCTCTTCAAGATGAACAAGCAACGAAAGGGAGAAATGAGCACATGTTCCCAGGGAGAACACCATAGAGGCCCACGTACCGTACTTCCAAAGGCCACAAAGTATGCTCATTTGCTGCAAGATCACGCCACGGATCAATGACGTTCACCTCTCTGGATATTCACCAGCAGGCCTTCTGAACACGTCTTTCCGACATCGCAGGAAGAAATCTCGAGTTGGAACGGTCTAGTGGAACCGGTCGAGGGTGCCGAGGTAGATTGCATGCATGAAGGTCACGGCGAGTAAGGTTTATATGCAGCCCGCAAACAAGGGGATCCCATGGGCAGAAAACACCACATGATGGTCCCTGACAGGGGCGCCAGTGGCCAGCTGGCGGAGAAATGGTGGCGTTTCCAGGAGTGCGATGGCTAGAACATGGCTATTGACGGCAGGGTGCGTTGCCTGAAGCGAGAAGATGCGAGCGTCCGAGATTCGCGTTACCGACACTTACGCGCGTAGAGATCAGATGCCAATTGACACGAGGCCGGATGCGGTATTTGCCTCGGCAGTTTGCAGCCTCTCACCAAAACCCCGTCAGCATCATCAGGAAAGCCATCCAACGTTTAGTCAATCTTACCTAGGCAAACTATACAATACTTATTCCCCCGGACGGAGTACAGCTGTCGTCTTCCTTCTCAATCTTCAAAAGCACTCAACCCCAGCCCTTCTCCTTGACACGAACCCGCCATTGTGGTCTTCTACCTCGTCCTTGCGCAGACCTTAACTACCCTTCTTCTGCCCGTCGAGATCCCCACGATGCCTACCAATCCGGCATGGGTCAAGGCCCTGAAGCCTTCTGGTCCACAGGGAAGCGAGCTTCTACAGCAAGAGAGGGCAAAGTCAAACCTCAATGTCGATCAGCTCGCCGAGTTCATGTTCACCAAAGAAATCCTCGAACGCAACGAGCGAATCCTCAACATTCTCGCCGCGGACCCCGTCTTCGACAAATCACAGAACTACTTCAGAGGGAGAACAGAGAGGATAGAAGCAGCATTAGCGAGAGGGAAGCGGCTGCAACAACTCCAAGTCAAGCATAAGTGGAGCAGAGATGAGTTCCAGGTTGCCAATGAGCTGATCAGCGAGCCTACTCCGTACGGTCTCCATTCAACTATGTTCCTCGTCACCCTCAGGGAACAGGGGACGCCCGAGCAGCACAAACTGTTCCTCGAAAAGGCAGAGGCGTACAAGATCATTGGTTGCTACGCTCAGACCGAGCTTGGCCATGGATCAAACGTGCGAGGACTGGAAACAATCGCGACATGGAATCCAGAAGACAAGACCTTTACACTACACTCGCCTCACCTCACGGCTTCCAAATGGTGGATTGGATCACTCGGAAAAGTCGCCAATCATGCTGTCGTTATGGCGCAACTGTACATCGGCGGGAAGAATTATGGCCCGCACCCATTCGTCGTCCAGATCAGAGATCTCAAGACCCATGAGCCTCTACCCAATATTCATGTCGGAGATATTGGTCCCAAGTTCGGCTACAACACCATGGACAACGGTTTCCTCTTGTTCAAAGAGGTCAAGATTCCTCACATCAATATGTTGGCTCGATTCTCTCGTATTGATCCCGACACCAACAAATATATCCGACCGTCCAATCCGTCTCTCATCTATGGCACCTTGACATGGGTTCGAAGCAACATCGTCCTCCAGTCTGGTTCTACGCTGGCTCGGGGTGTCACGATCGCCACCAGATACTGTGCAGTTAGACGGCAATTCCAGGACCGAGATGCACCCGCGAACGAGCCAGGTGAGAATCAAGTCCTCAACTATACCATGGTTCAAGTTCGGCTTCTTCCACTCCTGGCCGCCACTTACGCTCTACACTTCACCGGCAAAGGCATGATCAGCCTCTACGAGGAGAACCAAAAGCGTATGAACGGCAATGTCGGCAAGCCGTCCGACGCCAACCGTGCCCCTGGTCCCGAAGAGCTCAACCCAGGTACTGACCTACTTGCGGACCTTCACGCCACCAGCTGTGCTCTCAAAGCGCTCGCATCCACCACCGCAGCCGAAGGTCTTGAAGTCTGCCGTCGCGCATGCGGTGGACACGGCTACAGTTCCTTCTCTGGCATCGGCAGCTGGTATGCCGACTATCTCCCAACGGTCACGTGGGAGGGCGACAATTACATGCTCACCCAGCAAGTCTCGCGCTATCTCCTCAAGTCAGCGCGATCCGTGCTCAAAGGCAAGGCCGCTGGTAACGACACGACACGTTTCCTCACGGAATTCGTTCGTCGACGTGACATTGGTGCGGCATTTGATGTCATTGGCAATGATCAGGACTTGGTTGACGCCTTCTCTTGGCGCGTGGCATTCTTGACCTTTGAAGCTCTCCGCCACCGCGACGAGGACAAGCAATCCTGGAACTCCCTGCTGGTGGACTTCTGGCGACTCTCGACTGCTCACGCACAATACATCATTGTAAAGAATTTCCACGAAGCCTTGAATGACAGCAAGACCACCGCGCAATTGGACCCCGATACGGTCAGCCTCTTGCACAAGCTCTTCCGCCTATATGCCTTGCACACCCTCGAGCGGGAAGCAAGCGAATTCTACTCAAGCGCCGCGGTCACCGTGCGCCAGATCACGCTGGCCCGCACAAAGGCAGTGATGAAACTCCTCGAAGAAGTCCGGCCCCATGCTGTGCGTCTAGTCGATGCCTGGAAGTTCCCAGATTGGCAGCTCGACAGCTCACTTGGTCGGTACGATGGCAACGTGTATGAAGATATGTTCCACCGAGCGAGTGAAGTCAATCCCTTGAACAGTATCGTGTTCGACCCCTATCCGGACTCGAAGGTCCTGTTCAAGAAAGACGAAAGAGAAAACCTGAGAAGTAAATTGTGATCGGCACGAAGCTGTGCACAGGAGCGACTGGGATGAAGCTCACATATTTGTATATATGTTTTCACAATACTCCATAGAGATTTGATGTATCAGGACCCGACCTTTTTAGATCCTTCTGGATGGGATCTAGTTGATTACGGAGGTTGGTTCTGCCCTGAGAACCAGCTTCGAAAAATAGAGATAGAAGTTTGGAAAGTGATTACAGTCCATTTATAATCACCGTGCAGTACTACCGACTCTATTGAACATCTATGTTTCATCCTCATGCGAGCACCTTTGGCAGCGGATGTCGGGAGAAAGTCCTTCGTGGACGACGGTGGGATCAGTCAGTGGCGAGTGACACGTGAGAACACGGGCATGCAGAGTAATTTACTGTGTATCCCTTGCAGGACGGATGAGGCCACGAATGACTACGAGTAGCCACAAACATAACTAAGATGATTTTGTGGGAGCGAGATTCTCCTCTCTGGTGGTTAGTTAGTGCGTTGAGGGCGAACTTACCGAGTACCTTGGTTGCAGGTCGTTCGACTCTGTCCTTGTCCTGGAGTTTTCCTTTCATTCATTGGAACGAAAAAACAACAATGGCCGAGAAGACACTGGATTCAGAGCGTGAAGAAGGTACGGTTGGTATTGGCGTCACCTGGCCGATCGCGACACCGATACCACTTCTCGAGAGTGTTTGGCGGCCTTTCCTATCGGCGTCATCGTCGTCGCCCGGATCATACCAGATATACAAGACTGTGGCCATGGTGCTGATAATTGCTGTCCTGCTTCACAGAGTGGTTCTCAGGAAACAGACCAAGAAATACCACCTCTTCCCAGGCTGGGCGGCACTGGAGATCGCCGTGGTCAGCCACCTCACCACCCGTGGCGGTCTCGGGAGACGTATATAGTGAGTACCAGTTACTGCTACCGACGTACGGCACCGGGCCTCGTCATGGCGACGCTCGCAGACTGGATGACCCCGAGACGTACGCTCAGCACGCCTCAATTCTTCTACCCTTCCTCGGCGACGTTCAAGCTGAAATCAACCCCCGAGACTAATTTGCCGAGTGCTGCAGTACCGCAATTCGACGGCGTGGTGGCGGTTCGCTCTACGGGCTGACTTGGACGCATCAGGTCCTCGTCAATCTCCCAGACGCCGACGTGGACCGCATCATGGCGCAGTCCCACCACACTCTCAGCGCCGAACCAGTCCAGTATACATTGTTCACGCGCGTGTTTGGCGCGACCGACTCGCCCGTGTTGAAAGCGAAACTCGAAGATTCCTGGAGAGACCTTCTCGGTCCCGTCGAGAGGATGTTCCTCGATGACGCTGCTGCGACGGCGGCACTGGAGAAGGGCGGCGGCGTTTTCCAAAAAGCCGCTGGATTCGTCTCCTTCTCTTCGAACCCGAAGCGGATGAGGCGTTGGGAACTGTCTGCCGACGTTCGAGTCGTCAAGCCCGATTCGCCTGGTAGGCCGGGAGCCGTCGAAGCCAACCTCCAGAGCCTGGCGCGGGACTTCGGAGCGTGTATTGCCATTCCCCTGCTCTACGGACAGGACTTTTTGGCCCGGTACCCTGGCCTTCTGGACGGTTTTTGGAACTTCGACAATGACCTGTTTCCGTTACTGGCGGTGGGCGTTCCGACCTGGCTCCCGATCAAGGTCGTGAGGGACGGGCTGGCGGCGAGATCTCGCCTGCTCAAGGAGACGGAGGCGCTCTATCGACGCATCGACCAGTATCAGCAAGGACAGCAAGTGGACTTTGGCGCCGACCTGACTGACATCAGCAGGGTGGCGTTGGATCGCAACCGCGTCTACAATTCGAGGAATTGGTCGTTTGAAGAGCGTGCAGCGGGGGACTTGGCCATCCTCTAGGGTCAGAATGCCAACACACAGTCACTGCTCTTTTGGTTGCTGGTGTACGTCTATTCCACGCCTGGCCTCTGCGCCAGGATCCGAGAGGAGATGGAACCGTATGTTGATATTGCCGTCACCGCCAGCACAGGGGACGGAAACAGATCAGAAATCACATCGGTCGATGCGTCCGGGTTATGTCGTGATTGTGTCTTGTTGAAGGCGTGCGTTTTCGAGACTTGCCGTATGGCCAACGAGGCGACGTCGATCCGATACGTCGCACGCCCCTTTACCATCAACGAGACCGACGGTGCAGTTACAACAACAGCGAGTGCTACTCGTGCACACAAGCTCGAGCGGGGCATGTTCGTCTCGGTGCCGCACTCCCTCGGACAGCGTGATCCGTCCGTGTACGTGGACCCAGACAAGTTCAACCCAGACAGGTTTCTAGAGGTCGATCAACGAGACTCCAATGGCACGTTGGTCGCGCGATACGGCAGGCTTAAACCGTGGGGTTCGGGAGCCGCCATGTGTAAAGGACGCACGTTTGCCGAAAAGCAAATCATGCTCGCGGCCGCAGCTATTATTGGGCTCTGGGATATTTCACCTGCAGGTGACGGTGGTGATTGGGAGGTGCCAGATATGATGCCGGGCACTGGCGTGAAGAAACCAAAGAATGATGTTCGAGTTGTCATTACTCCGAGACATTCTGGGCCTCGGTTACACTGTCTCTAACTTCAGGTCCACCAGACGAGCTTTCTCAAGAATTCAATTAGCATCTCGTGATGCTCTTGCAGCCTTTTTCAACATACTACTGAACTTGTTGATCAGCAGCGTGAGGCGTTTGACTATGTCTCTGCAAGGACGTCACAAGGACGACGGATAGGCGCTCTTAGACGCCGCTATGGACGACCAGCATCAATACACCTTCCCACCTTCCGAGGCCTAAACGACAACTCAGCAAATATGAAGGCAAGAAAATTCTCATACAGACAGAAGAGTCATCAGCCCGAGTTCTTCTGGCCGCTTGTGCGACTATTAAACTAAATACGGCTTTGTTTGGAAATGGCGCTTCGTGCATCCAAGCAAGTGTTTCATCTTCGACCCTCGACCTCTAGATGGCTGCGAAACGTGCCAATCGAACAACAATCTGCGGCTTTGCACTGTGTCTTTCTGTAACGATCTCCAAGTGTCCAGTGGTTGGCGTCTAGCATACGCCTGCGCAAGGCGCTTAAATTGCCGACAATGCTGCTTTGACCCTTATGCAGTGCTGTCCCCCCGAGACAAGGCCAGCGCCCGACCAACGAGGCTTACACACCACGCGTCCTTAAGATCCCATGTCCTTCCTCTTGGGAGGGCGAGATGTGGAAAGCCATCTATGGTTGTCTCCTTGCTTGTGTTGCCGCAGGTTAGCCATTCGCCACAGCCATTAACGAGGAAAACGGAGAAGTAACAGTATATGTTCGACTATGATCAGCCAGAAAGCTTCGTCCTCCCCGTCCAGTTCCACTTGGGTCGATCAAGCTCTCCCTATACCGGGGCTGCTGTTGACGTCCACCGTCGCCTTTACTCTGCTCGGCTTGAAAGTAAACGAGTGGAGAGGCTCAGAGCGGTTTGCCGAATTCATCACCAATGATCGGACGACAGTTGCAATCGCCATCCAGATCGTTTCTCACGTTCTCGGTCTGATTCAAGTGCAAGTTCTATGTAAGCAAGACCCCCAAGCAATCCTGATATTCCCAGGTAGTTTTCAAGAGGATATACATACTCACCGAAACCGCTTGATAGGCACGGTGATAAAGTCTTCCTTTACAGCATCCACCGCTTCTCGTACATTTTCTCTCAATGCATTCCAATTTGTCCACGCAGCCTCTATACCCAGAGTGTCATTCTCATTGCCGTGGTCTTTGTCCATGCCACTCATCACCCTTGTTTTGCTATCTTTCTTCCCCTCCGCGCTATGGTCTGGCGCCATAACACCAATACTCTCTGAAAAAGTGACCTCGCAACCTTCCATGATCCCGAGTTTCCAAACTACCAATCTGTCCGCGTTGTGGGAAGGCAACAGCTCAACATCGACGTCAGGATCTGGCAGCCTCGGTCAATGGCTGACAGCCGACGGCCTCTTCTCCTATGATCCCAGCGCCCTACGCAATCTGATCCTCAATTCAGCAAGTGATGCTTCGACGACCAATTCATCAGGCCACTTGCATCAGAAGCTCGACAAGACGGGATTTCTCTACCTCAATCGAAGTTACGGTGTTGGTGCTGCCACCGGACTCATCGACGTGGCAGGCACAAGCTCCCCACAATGGGTGTCGTACTTTGAACCCGGCTTCTACTCCAACGTCTCATGCATATACAACGCCTCGAGCGCCTACCGTATCGATAAACTCGACACGCCCTCCGGCTGGACGCTCAACGTGTATCAAGCCGCCGGCTCGTACCCGACAGGCGACTCCACCGGAGGTTGGGTGTACGTCGGCTATTCAGCGATGGACATTTTCTCTTGGGGCGTCATATACAAGAACAAGACACGCAGGTCGTACGTCTCGCTGACGACTGCAGCCAATGAATCCCAAGACGCATGGTCGTTCAGCGGATTCAACAACATCCAATGTCAGATCGACTTCGAGGCAAGAAATTACTCGGTTCAGGTCAATCACACAAACAGCGTCATCTCTGTCACGCCCAAGGAAGGATTGCAGTGGCCCAGCTACGCGGACGCTGTGATCGACGAGGTCACAACATGGCTCTGGGTCTTCTCGTACGTCGACAGCTCCTTCGGCGGCTCGTACCTCGGCCGCACACTCCGTCTCAACGTCAACCAGCTTCAAAACGCCACGGGCGACTTCAGCTCCGACACGACCCTCCGCGGCGTCTCGGACTATCTCTCTTCTTGCGTCGACAACATCCTTGTCGCCCTGTCCTCGGCACGCCTGGTTGCCGCCAACGCGACACTCCCGGTCGAGGCAAGCGTCGGGGTTCCGGCGGTGACCTTTGGCGAAACGGAGTATATCGGCAGCATCCTCGCTTTGAACATATTTGTCTGTCTGCTCTACGCTGCCGAAGCACTACGCACGCGTTTCTGGAGGAATATGCCGCAATTGGACTTGATGGACCTCACCAGTGTTGTCCTGGCTGCGTGGAAAGGCGGGATTGGGCTCGTGAGTGGAGGTACAGAGGATGATGTATTCGGCGTGGACACGGCTGCAAAGGATATCAGAGTTACCCTAGATGGGTCGAAGGGTGGTATCCCGTGTATGGTGCCCCTTTCGGCTTCTCAGATAATAGTCAATGGCAAAGAGAGCGTACTGGCCAAGAGCCAGCGGTGACGGTCTAGCAGGTACCAATCAATAGTGGAAGATCCTTTTCAAGCACATCTCTGTGAGCGTCAACCGATCTATCGACCCTCGAGTATGTAAGCCGGGATTGTTGTTTTCCCTTTCGCCGTCAAAGCCGAAGCATTCAAGCCAGACTGGCTTAGCTCCCTAGCGCAGGCTCAGCAGTGCTGCTGGATCGGCAAAGGGTTCAAACCACCCTGACTGATGCTACTCTCACGAGGATACATGTTCACTCGCCCGATGGTTTGACTGGTCTCAAGTACATAAGATCTCCGTCATTAGTGGCTGATCCTGTGACGGGCTCTTAAACTCTCTTTACTTTTGGTGTTATTACCCATCTACATTTCATTTTCTTCGTTCAAGCAAAAACTCTATGCGAAAGGCGTCAAGCTTGTAAATACTGGTCGTTCTTTCGGACGCTGGAAGGACTTTGCACCAGCATTCTCGTGCAAGCCCTTTCCGGCGTCGTCAAATGGTGTGAGGGCGGTGTTTTTCACCAGCCAGGGTTACGGGTTCTCAATATTGGGAAGGCTGCCTTCTCAACCTGAGATGGTAAAGCAACCACGAACCCATGTCCGGGCACATACTCATGCATAGGGTAGAGTTTGCAGACACAGATGAGGTCGCCGCAATCCTCTGACGGGTGAGTGGGTTTAAGCTTTCCAGATAAGTCGGGACGGGAATTCGGCGGCTACCTGGCTAGGTGGATGCATGGAGAAGAGCGCTGTCATTAGTGGTAGCAAAAGCAATCGACTCGAGGAGATGGCTGACTCGTCCTTCGCCATTTCTCCCTTCAATGTACAGTATCAAGCTCTCGAAAATTCGCCAATAACCACCGTCGACTTTACAGAATGGCATTTCCACATCCACAGCCCATGACCTCCTACTGGCTCTCTGCGGCTGCGGATCTGGCCAACCATCGAACGACTGAATCTCTACCCACAGAAGCAGACGTTGTAATTATTGGGTCTGGATATTCAGGCTCAGCAGCGGCCTATTTTCTGGCGACAGGGAGCAGAGACGGTAACACCAAACGCCCGTCAACCGTGATTCTGGAAGCTCGCCAAGTCTGCTCTGGCGCCACTGGACGAAACGGGGGACATTTGAAACCAGACACCTATTACTCTGCGGCAGAGGCTTATCAGAAATACGGCGCCAAAGTTGCTGACGAGCTGATCAAGTTTGAGAGACAACAGGTGTTCGACGTCAAGCGGCTTGTGGAAGAGGAGAAGATTGATTGCGACTTCGAACTGACGAGGGCAATCGACATTTTCACAGACCAGCAGACAGCGGACTCGGTAATGAAAACACATAACGAAATGAAGTCCAACGGATTCTCCTTCCCCGACGACCTGCACGTCATAGATGACCCCAAGCGGGCAGAACAGATTTCTGGCGTTCGCGGGGCAAAAGCTGCTTTCTCGTTCACTGCAGGATCTGTGTGGCCATATAAGCTTGTAACCCATCTTCTCCGCCGCAGCATAGAAATGGGTGCCAACCTGCAGACGAACACTCTTGTGCAGCAGATTTCAGCGGATCAAGCAGACGGCAGATGGACGGTGAAGACGAATAGAGGAGAAATTTTGGCCCGTAAAATCATTGTGGCCTCCAATGCATATACCGCCTCATTGCTTCCCGAGTTCAAGGAAAAGATCGTTCCTGTGAGAGGAGTAGTGTGCCGAATTGCCGTACCCGAGGAAACAGGAAAAAGAGCACCGCATCTGAACAACACTTATGCCCTTCGGTTCAATCCCGAGCACTTCGATTATCTCATCTCCAGAAGTGATGGTAGCATCGTGGTCGGCGGTGCAGACCGATGTGCTGTGGAGAAGCAGGCGTACTGGTATGAAAATACCGATGATTCTCAGCTGATTCCCGAGACCGAGCAATACTTTACCGGGTATATGCAAAGGATGTTTAATGGCTGGGAAGACTCCAAAGCACACATCACAGATATATGGTCCGGCATCATGGGCTGGTCGAACGATTCCATGCCGTTTGTTGGGAGACTACCAGGAAAGCCCGGGATATACGTAACTGCAGGCTTCACCGGTCACGGCATGCCTCGCATCTTGGGTTGTTCAAAGGCTCTGGTGGAGCTGGTGCAATCGGATGGCGAAACAATTGACATGAACACCAAGAATGGGATTCCGATTCCATACTTGTTAACGGACGCGAGGCTCGAGGACAAGACCAGCGACATTTTCTCGTATGCTCAAAAAGATGAGTCCGATTTGAAGTCGAGGCTGTGAGCTGGGCACGTGTTAGAAAGAGAGGATGTGTGGCATTGTCAACAGGGGGCCAACGTCGGTGCTGCACCTGCGATCGGTGAAATAGTGCACAAAGCTATTGTGCTGGACAATTGTAATAAGACATCTTCCCCGTTTAAGCCAGCCAACTACCGGGACATCCGTACAAGGCAGACGAAATCAAAGGTGGCCTCGGTGGTGGGTGTACATCAAGTCAGGAGGACAGACCAAACCGAGGGGCGTCAAGCCTTTTTGGGGCCAACCTCCGACAGATTGGTGTGCCAGAACAAGGATGGGCGGCTTTCGCAACAGCGGAGAGCACGCCGCTGTCGGGGCGGGTGACATTGTGACACCAACGACAGTCGACATAGCTGCCATCATTATGTCCGAACTCGAGAGACTGGAGCAGGGCAGTCTATTGTGAGTCTAGGAATGGGGGTTCAGATGAGGAAAGCGTGAGAGAGAATGAGGATGAGGGATGGAAATGCGTCTCAGCGCAGAAAAAGTCGCCCGTAGGGGGTGGGTGGGACAATCAAGCTCAACACTAGTCCTATAACAGAATAGCGTATATCAACTAGATCACATCTCTGACGCCTCTGATTCGCTCCCACGATCCCCGCAACTCATTTCACTTCGCGCCCGCTGCTATCGATGCATCGTTTTGCCGTTTTTTGCTCTTCGTTCTCTGCAGATCCGAGGCGCGTCTTCGTCGAACTCGTGGAAACGCTTGACTCAAAACACTGTCTCATGTCTACACATGCTCTGCCCGTTGGCCGAGGCAACACCTGTCAGGCACGGAAGATCGCTGCGGCGCATATACTCCATTTGTCTCTGGCCTCCAGTAGTCAACAGGACTATTTGTGATTGTTGAAATTGCCCTTTGTCCGGAGTGGCTGCATCTAGACAGGATCAAACGCTTCATACTACTTTGTCCCGTCGAGCCTCGGGGGAAGATGAGTCTATCGGTACTGTCCTGCCATGTGCAGGATGGAGGGTCACGGCACGGTACAGTTGAGGAGGGCGCGTGGTGGATGCTTGACGCTTGATGCTTGATATATTTCATCAACCGCCTGGTCCTCATCGCCCTGCGAGTCTCTCACACTCTTGGTCTCATCCTCGTGAGTGAACCAGGATTTTTGGACGTCGACATTCGCCTTCCTCTTTCAAAGACACGCACGCATTCGCTTCTTCTTCGTCTGTCCTATTCATTCATATACGTCCTTGTTCAAAATGCCACTCCTTCTTAGCATTCTGACTTGTACCTCCTTTCTGCTCGGCCTTGTGCGCTCACTTCCTCTGGAACTTGACAAAAGAGGTAAGCAAGTACATATCGCGGATTGACGACGGAGAACAAGCAGACTGATACCGTGGGTGCTCTCAGCAATCTCGCAAGATCTGCTCAACCAATTGTCCTTTTTCGAACAGTACTCAGCCGCTGCATATTGTCCAGCGAACAACCAGCCCGGTTCGAGCACAGCTATAGTCTGTGACGCTGGAAACTGTCCACTGGTCCAGAGCGCTGACGCCCAGTCAATCGTTGAATTTGAAAAGTAACAAAGCCCTTCCTTCCTGTGACGGTCCTTCCAGTTCCATGCCTGTGTTTGCAACTGACCAAGACACCCCACTAAAACAGTGTCGGAGCCGGCGATACCCAGGGATACGTGGCGCTCGACCATACCAACGCACTGATCGTCATTGCTTTCCGTGGTAGTGAATCGATCCAGAATTGGATATCCAACTTGGACTTTGTCATGGAACCGTGGGGCATCTGCTCTGACTGCTACGCACATTCGGGGTTTCTCGACTCCTGGAACAGCGCAAAATCCATCGTGCAAGGAGCGGTTGACGGCGCGAAACAGGCGAACCCGTCTTACAGCATCGTATCGACGGGCCACAGCCTGGGCGGTGCTCTAGCCACGCTCGCCGCTGCAGATTTGAGAAATTCTGGACACAACATTGCATTGGTATGAGAAACATTCGATTCCACCCCACGCGGGCCCGAACCTCTTTGGTCGGCTAACGAATTGCTCATAGTATACTTACGGCTCTCCCATGGTCGGTAACGTGGCGTTAGCGACGTTCATCACGGGTCAAGGAGGAGGCAACTACCGTGTGACACATGCGAACGACATCGTGCCCAAATTGCCCGGGTACCCTCTGGGCTTTGCACATGTCTCGCCTGAATATTGGATCACCAGCGCTACGTCTACCACCGTCACGGCGAACGACGTCCAAGTCAGTAGCGGCGTCGTCGACCTACAAGGTAACCAAGGCCAGCTTGGTGGGACGGTGTCCGATCATTTGTGGTATTTTAACGCCATTGCAGCCTGCAGTTGAGACTGTGACGGCACGAGACGACAACGACGGGAAGCGGGATAACCAACAGTTGCACTAACAGTAATCTTTTATCATGCATTAGTATAATAATACACATTGTCCTTGGTAACGTAGATCAGATCAGATCTCGACCTCGAACGTCTCCACAGCCAACGGTGGTGAAACCTTCAACCTCGCCAGGTCTTTCAAGCAGTTGAAAGCCGACTCGAACGAGTCGACATTACCTAACCATCTCATCTCCCTGGCTTTGCGCATGCTGAAGATCGGTGTCCGAGTCCTGAACGGATCGAGCATAAGGCCGTGTTCTTCGTGAAACCTCGCTCCATGCATGAACTGCAACCATTCCAGCAGCGAGAATGTCGAGCGCGTCGTGCCCGGTGCGGTGAGGCTAGTGGGCTAGTAAGCAGAGCAGTTATCATTATCATATTGACCATTTTCCGTCACAATTTTTGAGGATCACATTTTCGTAGGGGCCCACCGTCTTGAATTCTGAGCGTGTTGTGACACTTAATCTGTACTTACTCTCGTCCCTCTCCGGAGGCGTGAAGGTCGTACCGTACCATTTGGCCAGATAGGGTCAGAACAAATCCCACGCCAGGGGTCCCGGAGACGGGGCAGGGGCCCAAAGGGGCCGGTGGGAAGGGATCTTACGGTTGACTTCGGCGAGAGCCATCCTCGATTCAGGCTGGTCAGATTATGTTGGCGACCCATGATATAACCTTCGAGGTTACGACTTGCTTGATCTCGGCCATAGCTGAAGTCGCAGTGAGTATCGATGGTGGTACAAGATACGGGATAGCCCTTTCATGTTGATAGAACGAAAATCGACAGCACTCACGGAGCGTTGATTGCGAGAAGCGACGCCCAAGACCGCACAGGACATGGTCTTGCCGCCTCATGGCCTGCTGGAACCTCTTTCAAGCATGGCTTCCCTTTCGACGAGCTTGCCTTATTCCACGTGACTCCTCCGAGCATGAGGTTGAGTGCGGTTGTGAATGCTGAAGATTGAAGTGCCCCAGGTCTGTGCATCATCATTTCTCACTGGCGTACACTGTTCGATCTCCATAATATTCAAAAAAAAAACATCATTTTTCTCACGCAGCAAAACTCTAACCTCAAGGCCAATCACACGCTGGGTGATTGACGTTGAGGTCGAGGGAAACCCCTGCCAACACAGGGATTTTTCTCGAGAATCGTCAGGTTACTCCATCAGCTAGGTCATTCACGCGCAGAAGCCATGTTCGCTGGGAACACCTCGCCCTAATGCTGGGGTCCTTAGTGTCAGGGTGTCGCCTCTAGGATTCACGGCTAGCCCAAGTAAACTGCCTCATGTCTGGTGAAATCCCCTCACGCCATCTGTCCGCGGTGGATCAGGTGACACGGGTAGCCACGAGGAATTGTTGGAGGGAATTCAACCTTTCAAAACTATAACCACTAATTATTCAAGCCTCGACAAGCCTTGATGCCTGGAGGGGCCCGTGGGGTGGCCACGGGAGGTAGTGGAAACGGGAATTGTGCTGTTGCAGTCTGCTTGGTAGTTGTCGATCTTGCAAAGCCACAAGGGCTACTAGGTCTGTTTAGAAGAAGCTCTGGGTGAGACGTATATGGGGTAGTAAGACAATCTCGGGTACTGCAGGGAGTCTTCCTTATATAGGTAGAGTACATGCATGACGACGTTACAAGGCTATCGGCCAGCCTTGTCACGTAATCACGTGCTTCGGCGATCGGCTTTAAAATATTCCAGCAAAGAGTCTCATGAGACTTGCTACGACGAGTGTTGTGTTCAATCATCTCTATCGTCCGTCTTGTAGCTGCGTCGCCGTTGAAGCCAAGGCGATTGTCGCTCGCAAACGGCAATGAGCAATGCTGGAACGATAGCGTTGCGCCTAACCAGAAGAGGCCTCCAACAGTCGACATGCATACGACCTAGAGGGGACACCGTTGGATTGCGCAGCCTTCAGCCTGCTTTGTTCGATAGCGCTACGTATCCGCGAGGTTCTGTCCTGGCATGTGTGCGCCCCCGGTGTCATCAATACAGCCAGGGAAGACAATTCGGCCACTCTGCACAATCCAACTTCCGCCCTTCATTGGCCGCGCAGATCCTTAAACCATATGGTTCCGGGAAAAAGCCAGAGCAAGGACTCCGGTTCCAGGATGGGGAACTCGATTCCCAGGAACTCATTGGCATATTCGGGCGCCGCGGGCCTCCCCCTGCGATAGCCAACTACCTCCTGCGAATCCTGCACGGCCGTCGGTACGATGGAACTCTTGATCTCCCGCTCCCAGAAGATTTAGAGCGGGCATTGTCGAAATACCCAACGGCATTCGAAGATGGTCTGAACTGGCTTAGACAAGCATACCCGATAGACGAAGATGAAGCCATCCTCGCTCGACTCGAGCGGGAAGAGCATCCCCTTGAACGGGACAATCCGTCAGAATTGTTACAGAGAGGACAAAATCTCCGATTCTACAGAGGTCCACAGAGCGGCCACTACCAGGCAAAACTGTCTGAAAAGGAAGGCGACGTATATGGGGTCAGTGAACTGGAGAGGATTCGAGCTGAGAATGAAGCCAAGTTCCAAAGGGAAGAGGAGGAATTACAGTCCCAGATTGATGAGCGCATGTCCAAATTCCACGAAGAGCAGACAAGAGCCGTTGCCCAACGTCCTGAACAGGGGCTAGAGTCAGCAAAGGAAGTACGACCGCCAAACTCGTTCGAGAAGTGGGTTTTGAAGGCCCAGAATCGAGCGCAATCCAAGTTGACGCTTGAATCGCCTGAAGTGGCACAGCAGTCTGCAGGACGGCGACTGTTCCCATCGCTGATCCTGACCTCTCTCGTCGCTGGGGGCTGCTTCCTCTATACACAGTACTGGCACCGACCTAAGCAATCCGAGCGGTTCTTCCCCGACTTGTCACTTTCCGTCGCAACGATCGGTGGGCTGTTGGCTGTCAATGTTGCCGTATTCCTCGCCTGGAGAATGCCCCCATTCTGGGCCGCTCTGAACAAGTTCTTTATTATTGTTCCGGCATATCCTTACGCCTTCAGTATGTTGGGAAGTCTTGTGAGCCACCAAAAGCTTGGTCACCTCTTGGCCAACATGATCCCTCTAGTTATCTTCGGGCTTCCTCTGCATGAAGAAGTCGGACGAGCTACATTCTTGGCCATGTTCTTGTCTTCCGGTATCCTCGGGAGCTTTGGGAGTCTGGCCCGACACACCTTTCAAAAGGTGTTCGTCACCACAACGCTAGGAGCCAGTGGGTGTGTCTATGGTGTCGTCTCTGCCTACTTGTGGCTTCACCAAGAGTAAGTTTGGATCACACAAAGCTGGTCAAAGGAGCAACACTGACAGATGTCTACAGCGACCGGTTTTCCATCATGTTCCTTCCCAAAGACCTCGCAGAGCAGCTTTCGTTCGATGGTAGAAGCTTGTTGATAGCCCTCGGTGCATTGCAAGTCTTTGGCAGCCTGCGGCCGGTCAAGAAAATTGACTATTTTGACCATCTTATAGGCATGGCTGTAGGGGTGGTATCAGCATGGTGGTGGCAGAACAATAAGGAAAAGAATGGAGGTTTCACGAAGAAGTTCCAGAACTGGTGGAAGGTGACCTTTTCAGGATCGAAATAGGACATACCTGACAGGGTTCTGTTTTTGACGAGCCTCCTACACTCGTATATCTCAATGTATCACCAACAACTCATGCTAGACGACATGTCCCGTTCCTTGAGGTTCTGTTCGTGGCGTCCCCTGCTGATGCATCACGCGTTATCCAGTGCGTCTACTGTCCATTGCGACTGTCGACCTTGTAGTGAAATGTCTTATTCGTAGACTCGCGCTCCCTCATGCTCTCTGGTAATGCGTATCCTTCTATTGGGCTTCGCAAAAAATCGATCTTCTGCCCCGCCGACGTCACTTTGCCCAATTTGTCATTTGCGAGAATCTTTAGAAAAAGTCCCTTCGACACAGCGGCAGCGTTAAACTACTTCACCTTTCAGCTTCATATACTCGGATCATGATATTGCTGTAACGCCGAGAGTAACTGCGCTTGACTCTGCAGTCTCTTTGACTCCCTGACTAGCCGCCGTCGTCGGCCACCTCAAGCAGCGACCCCGCGGCCACCGCAAGTTGCTCTCTTCCGCTGCAAAGCTCAACCGCTCTCTCCATAGCGACTGCAACGAGGTTCAGTCGCAATGACCGAGTCGTCTCCTCCTGAATTATCCCTCCTCAAGACGCTGAAGCACCCATCGACCGGGCCTTCTCGATCATGGCAATCTCTCGCTCACCCTGATCCCTCCACGCCTCTCCTCGCAACGGCTTCCGCTGATAAAACTGTGAACATCTGGAACCTGCGAGACTACTCTCTGATCTCGACGATAAGCGGCGGTCACAAACGCAGCGTTCGGGCTGTTTCTTGGAAGGACTACGGAAGCCATGCAGGCAAGAATAAGAAACCCGTGGTCCTGGGCACGGGGAGCTTCGACGCCAACGTCGGAATATGGATATGGAACGACGACAGGCGATGGTCCAGGTTCCGTGACAATAATGGCGATAGCAATAACAATACCAACAACCACGAGCCATCTTCAAGGGGCGGGGGTCAAGAAGCTGCCATGACCGAGGAAAGTGGGAACGAAATGGACCTTACACGCGACGACGGCGACGACGAAGAGGATGAAGAATGGCACTTTTCTACACTCTTGACAGGACCAGACTCGGAGATCAAATCCATTGAATTTTCCCCTCCTCACTATGCGGCAAACCTTTTGGCCACGTGCTCGCGTGACAAGTCAGTATGGATATGGGAAGAAGTCGAGCCGGAGGAGTGGGAGACGATTGCCGTACTCAGCGAGCACACGGGCGACGTCAAGTGCGTGAGCTGGTGCGCCGGCGCGTCAAGAGGCAACGGGCGGAAGACCAAGAGACGGAAACTAGAGAACCCCAGTGACGGCGACGTTGAGATGGGTAACGGGAGTGGCCACGTGAACGGGGTTCTGGCGGCCCATGACAATGACAATGAGAATGAGAATAACGTAATCGGATCGAGAGATATCCTGGCAAGCGGCTCTTACGATGATACGATCAGGCTGTGGCGCGATGTCGAGGAGGAAGGAGACTGGATATGTGTAGGTGTGATTGAAGGCCATAGAGGGACGGTATGGGACGTCAAGTGGGAGCCGTTCATCAACTACGATACACTGGACCTAGTGGGGATATCGGGTCAAGATCGAGATACCGCCGTCGCTGAGTTCGAAGCGGATTGGCAGCCGAGAATAGTGTCGTGTTCGGACGATCTGAGTGTGCGGATCTGGCGGCGCGAGCTGAGCGAGGCTGAAAAGGCCAAGAGGGCGGACAGGAGGAAAACAACCTCGGCGCCTACGGGATTTGCGAGTTCGAGATTACCCAGCGTCATTCGCCCGATGAGCAGTATGGAGAAGTGGGTTGAGGATACGATTCTGCCAGAGGTCCATGTTCGCAGCGTCTATGCCGTCGACTGGTCGAGGCGGACAGGACTGGTGGTGAGCTGTGGTGGAGACGGGGCCATCGTGGTGTATAAAGAGGTTGTCGATACGGAAGCCAGTGCGACCGGCACAGCGGCGGATGTGGTGATGAACGGCACGACTGCCCCTGCCGGCTCCTCGGGAGAGACGGCGCCTCAACCGTACGTGGTGCGCAAGACGAAGTGGATTGTCGTTGCGGTCATCGAGGCGGCTCACGACGAGTTTGAGATCAATCATGTCTGTTGGGCCGAGAGACGAGACAGAGACAAACGCGCCGACGGGGAGGAGGTCATCATATCGACTGGTGATGAGGGAGATGTCAGAGTCTGGACGCTGCCTGATGCTCTTGTACAGAAGGATTCGTCATGAGGAGTGAGAGTGGGCGTCTTTGTCTGTGTTCAGCACATGGAACCAGTGGCCATGAGTCATTCAGGTTGCTGATCGCGTTTTTGAATATCATGTTCGGGGTTGAGAACGTTACTTATCTGCCTACTTAGGTACCTAAGGTAGCTATGCAGCGCCTTGCAAGTAAAGTTCATGTATCTATCTGACCTCCTTGGGGCGTAAATAGCTTGTTCGTCAAGAATCCGGAATCACGAACGACTACGAGAACTATATATACCATGCAGTCGTAGGACGAATGATGTACTGTTTTACTTTTATAAGAAGAAAAAAACCCAAACCCAGAAACGATATTATTTATCCTGCCCGTGCGATTGACGAGATGTATGCAGACAGGTAAAAGCCCGCACTACTGCCACGTTATATCATTTCGAGGTCAACCGACCCAATAATGCAGGTCGACCTTGCGAGGAACACGTCCGCGGTGACAGAAATTCAGCGTGTGTGTATGAGTACGTGAAGGTGTGATGTTCCACCCGACTTGCTTGGGTTGGATGATGGCGCTGTTAGCTACTTTCTGTAGTGCATCCAAGTGGATGTCCGGTTCCGGCTGGCAAAATGCAGAACCAACTGACTAACTAGGTAGTTATCTACCTACTGTGTGAGTACCTACCAAAGTATCTAAGGGATGTGGTGTGATTTGATGTGCGGAATCTAACTACCTCAACCTACCTAGGGTATCCAAAGGTACCCAGCTACCCGAGCTATGCGATGTGAATTGAGACGTCTTTGTCTTTCTTGCCCTGCCTTGCCTTGGCCATTTGCCTTGGTACCCGTGGGGGGTTGACCGGGTACCTCTGTCAGTATTATTGAGCAGGAGACATGTCCTTCGGAATCCAGCCCTGCCTGGCGCCCCACTTCTCCCTCCAGCCGGGGAAGTACGGGCTGTCGTCGAGCGTGTGGACGGGCCAGTCCTTCTCGACGAGGCCGTTGGCCATTTGCTCGGCCTCGTACTCCTCCAGGGCCGGGAGGACCTTGTGCTCGACGTGCCAGGTGTTCTTGTACTTCATGAGGTTCTCCTTGCCCTCGCGGAGCACCTTGAGCACGAGGCTCGGCACGTAGGCCTCGTCGCGGAACTCGGTCAGCGGGGTGAAGAGCGCCTTGAAGTTGAACACGATGCCGCCGCTCAGCGGCAGCCGGCGGAGCGTCTGCCAGTCGACCCGGAGGTGGATGCGCTCGAGGTCCAGGTCGGGCATCTGGAAGTCGCGGTACTTTTCGTGGGGGTCGCCCGGAGGCATGTACAGCGGCTGGTCGACTTCGAGACCCCAGGACCCACGTTGGATGGGTTTGTTGGCGGGCATTTTGGTAAAGAATCTAAATTCATGCCACAAAACAAAAGCACAGACTTGTCAGTCCCATGATCATAGAAAGACGGGGAAGAAAAATATAAAAAGGCAGGCGGAGAGAAAGAGAGAGACAGAAAAAAGTCAAAGCCAAAACAACATACCTATCCATACTAAATTGCATCTTCTCCTTGTAGTCCGGAATGGGAGCGTGGATCTGGGCGAGTTGCATTCCTATCTTGGTGCCGACGTTCCAGCCCAGGGCGCTGCAGATCATGCCGGCGCGGAAGTGGTAGTACCCCGTCTCTGGGTTTCGGAGCGTGATCGCAAAATCCTCGGGCACGTTGTCCAGCAACACCAACAGCGGGTGCTTGGCCTTGACGTCCTGTGTCGTCTTGAGGATCTTGTTCTCAAAGGTGCGCTTGTCTTCGTGCAATGTGAAGTACTGCGGGTACCTGGCGCAGAGGAACTGTAGGCACATTTCCATGAGCTCTTTGCACGCCAGCTCCGAGCCAGGGAGCCATTGCAAGACGGCCTCGCCGTGTTCGGCGTACAGTTTCTTGCGCTGGGCGATACGTGTGCGGTATGTGTTTTCGAGTTCGAGCCACCAATTTGGTTCTAGTTTGGTCAAGGCTAAACATAGAAAGAGGTGTGAGTAATCTGATTCGCATGGGTCATTGCAAAAAAAGACGATGATGGCAATGCCCAACAGCAAGAGTGGGATGAAAGGCAGCACACCAAAAACAAAAGAGAAATGATAAACGTACACATGGTTTGATGATACGCCCATCGGAATGGACGGTAGGGCCGGGGGAGAGCCTTGTCGATGTCGTGTTCCAGATATGGCTCAGGCAACGGTACACCGCTCAGAGTCGAGTAGTCTGGAAAATCACCCAGCGCACGGATTTCCTGGATCTTCACCCCGGTGAACACATACTTGCTCGGGTCGGCGGTGCGGAAGTCCTCGTCGAAACCCAAGATGGACTTGTGCCAGGTTTTCTCGTCAAAAAATAGATCCCCCATGGCTTCGCGCTGGGCTGGTGGTAATTTTGCCGTGGCTTCTTCGAGGCCCTCTCGTATTGAGGGTGGAAACGTGTTGACATACTCGGTGGACTTGGGTGGCGCGTTGGACGGATCCTTCTTATCGGGAGAAAGTGATCGGGGTGGCGTGCTCGCGCTGGACGCTCGACGACCTCTGAGTTGTAGTCGTTGGATGATTACGTCTCGCTGGCGCTGGTTGAGGCTCAAAAATGTGACGACACTGGCGCATAGGGCTAGGCCTATCCAGAGGAGAGCATGTTCACCCACAACCGAAGACATGGTGATTGGCCTTGTTGTCGCAGAGGGCTCTGTCGTGAATATCGTGGTGGGTTGGGAGGGCGTTGGTTATATTGACAAGGGCCGATCAATGTGTCACTTTGCAACCTCGATTGTGTTGATCGATATGCGCGGAAGACTGGCGGGTACTTAAAGCCTTTGCAGTAGTGGCGCCAATGGCTATTCACAGACCAAGCGACCGATGAATAAAAGTCAACCGCAGCATGCAATGATGATGATGGTCAACCTCGGGAAATAAAGCGAAATGGATCAGAGTGTACGTGGCCGTACAATAACTGAATATTTATTGTCTGTCGATCTAGTGAGATCTCCGGGACTGAAACAGAAGAGACAAAGGCAAGACCAGGTCAAGTTCGAACCACTCGAGGCTCAAGGACTGCCGAGACAGGGAAGTCCGAAGAGTGCGGCCGGGGTTTGTGAAACCTGGGATCGTTGGAGAGTAAATAAACGTCTATAAGAAGACAGGGTCGGCAAAGTGGCGAGACAGGTCAGGCCATGCTAGATTGTCAGATGGATCCGAAGGACTTTGGGCCGCGAGTATGGAGCATGAATAGAATGGGAGAGACGTGCTCGAAGAGGTTGTAGAATCTCGAGAGAAAGGGAAAAGCGTCATCGGCTCGCGCCCTTGAAGAACTCCACGGTCCATTGGAGGTAAAAACATACCAGTCAGGCCATTGGCCGAGCTGCCAGGTGTACTCGTACGGGTACCTGTTGTGCCTGAAGCCAATGACAAGAGGAGTTGGTTCGATACGTGATCGAGAAAGTTGGCCAAACAGAAGCGGCCAGGCCTATCAACCGTGTCTGCTCGAGTCAATCGCTAACGACGGTTCCCGAAAAGGACAACCACGATGCGAACAACCTTGTACCACTCGACGGAAGGAATGGAGAAGGTGAATGGAGAGAGGCACTCGCCCGTACGGACACAGGCGGACCACGGGCGGTTGAGGTTCAAACATGGCAGGAGAGAGAGAGCAACATGCAGAACGAGGGTGAGTCGGCTGGCGGCAGGGACAGCCTTGCCCCAAGCAGTTTAGAGGCAGAAAGAGAAGAGATACTGATTGATGGCGATGACAACTGATACCGCAGATAAGGGCAACCCATGGGCCATCGGGCAAAAACCAATAAAACAGAGGAATACGAGGTCGAGAAACTCTGGGGCGAGGACGAGATTGTGGTGCTGGTTCCGGCCCACTTTTCAGTCTCGACATGATTCGTCCGGGCTCAACCTCATCAATCTTTCCTTCTTCGGGCAAATCTATCCTGGTGTCTGCCTCCCACGCGGTCACCCAGCCAGCCGACCCTCGCTCTCCCCTCTGTGCTGCCCGCCTAGTGAGGACTGTGCCTCTCCAGCCGTCATGCGCGCAAGCAGTGCTCGTACCAGCAGCCAGCGGCGTGTAGCGGAGACCTCTTGCAAGGTACGACGTCCTTTCGCGTGCTGCCTTGTGAATTTAACAATCACTGTAGCGGGGAGAATGTCGCAACAGGGTCCTTTGTGCTACCTTGGAATTGGGACTTGTATAACGGGCGTGTCGCCCTTCTCGAAGCGAGGCTTGTTCCACAGCGGTTGTTTGAACACCTGCCCACCCACCAACTTCTTCAAATGGAGCCCCCGTTTTGCACGTGGCCGATGGCCTCTTCTTGCGAGGACGAGTCCGTTTGTTAAGGCCGGTTTAGAATATTTCCAGGGTCATCGAGGTTGTGCCAGCGACCAAGGCCGAACACTGGAGCTCATTGTATTCTGGACCGTGTGATACCTGTTCCCCTGCTCCTCATGTCATGCACTACGGCGCTCACTGTCCGAGGTTGGCCGTCCGGGTTACGCTAATGCCCCAAAGTACATTTACTAGTTCTTGGAGACACTCTATCTAAACTTCCTCGAATAGCCGTAGCTCTGATCTTCTTCGGTTACGCTCTTCACTCCCGCACAAGACAGAAATACGTCTCAACGTGATGCTGACACTGCACACAGAGTGGCGTTGGCCAAGCACGTTCGTCCTTCATCATACATACGTCTGACCTTTTGTTGAAAGCGGCCATGGATATCAGGTTGCACTTTCGAGAAGCACGGCAGTCCCAACCACTTGGAAAAGGGGCAACTGGCAATTAGACGCAGGAAAACAGCCTGAATTATAATACAACATCGTACCAAAATACCACGAACCTGGGAAAAGACCTGGTATCTGCCGAGGCAACAGTGGACGATAAATGCCTCATAGTCAGTCCTACCCAGATTGGCAGTACGATACTGATCAATCATCTGGAGTGTGGAAAACGGCATTGTCCCCTGGCTCTCTGCTGGCAGAATTGAAGTTGAAGGGCACCAATGTAACTAGCACTGCGTCAAGCTCTGCGAAAGGCTTCAAGCCTGTAATGATTGCCAGAACATGGGAAGAGAAACCCCCGGTATGTGAGGATAAGGGCAGGATGCAGGACATCTGCATATTGATCGTCATGATATGGGATACTACGATATAAGAGGTCGGCAAGGCACCCTTCATCGCAGACTTGACGGATACAAGTGCCGGAGGCTGGAAATCCGTCGAAATGGTCGCTATCACTGAATCAGCGCATAGGAGAAGATGCCTCTTGGAAGGGTCAGGTAGTAAGACGCACAGTAAGATACCTGCGACATGGAGTTGCTTTGGAGGTGTCGTCAGGATGCTGGTCAGTGATTCCTGCAAGGAATCCTGCTGAGCAGAAGCAACTATACTTCGCCGTATGGTCAGTACGGCGGGGTATACTCGTACCAAGTGCAGCTGCGGCGTTTCGACTTCAGTTTCGAGAAATGCATTTTTGGCAGATCAGTGACCAAGGGCTCTCGTGGATCAATGTCGTATTGTATTGACCACCGTTGAGATGGCTTCTTGCAGACAGTCTATCAAGTTCCTCCCCCACTTCGACAATGGAGGCTTTTGTCCCTCGACAGGTCTATCCTCACCTGTCCTCCATTCCGAGATCGTACTATCTAGGCCACCATGCGGCTGGACTCTCTAAGATGAAATCCCTGGTCTCTCAGATCGATCTGGTCATCGAATGCCGCGATTACCGCACCCCCATCGTGTCTCGAAACCCGCTGTTCGAAGCGAACCTTGGAGAACGACCACGGTTGATTGTCTATACCAAACAAGACCTCGGGAGCAACTCGACAAGCGCAGACAGGAAAAGAGAAAACATAATCAGAAAATGGGATGCTCCCTCCACGTCGTTGTTCACCGATATCAAGTCTCGGTCGACAATAAGTAAAGTCCTAGACTTTGCACGAGCTCATGCCAACCACTCCACCTCGCTCTTTGGGACTCGTTTGATGGTCGTTGGCATGCCCAACGTCGGCAAGTCTTCGCTTCTGAATGCGCTTCGAAATGTCAGTCTCGGCAAGAAGAAGGCCGCCAGGACAGGGGATCAGCCCGGAGTCACGAGAAAGATCGGTACGAGCGTCAAGATTATTGAAGGCGACGAAGGCAGAGAAGGCGTTTACGTTCTCGACACGCCTGGAGTTTTTGTCCCTTACGTACCTGATGCTGAGAGTATGCTCAAGTTGGCACTCTGCGGCAGTGTCAAGGATACCATAATTCCACCGACGACCATCGCAGACTACCTCCTCTTCCACCTCAATCTGAATGATCCGACTCTGTATGGTATGTTCGCTGCCCCGACCAACGACATATTCGTGGTCCTTGAAGCACTTGCTCGCAAACAAGGTCGCCTGAAAAAGGGCGGCCTCCCTGATTTTGAGTCTTCCGCGTTGCAATTTGTCCAACGCTGGAGAAGTGGTCAGATGGGTCGATTCATCCTGGACACCGTAACCGAGGATGCTCTGACCAAACGATTAGACATGCTCACCTCGTATGGTGGCAGTCTACACCAGGCTCGCAAGGCGGCCAAGCAACTCAGAAAAGAAGCTTACCTTGGAGGCGGTTGAGCGATCACATCAACGGACCTTGCCAGTATGAGTTGGTATCACCTCTGATTTCCGCCTCATGTCGTAGCATGCGGGCCACCCCAAGACTCAGGCAGTTGGACAGCGCTTCGACGAAAAGTTGTTGATTTCAAAGTCGTCTCAAGTTCGACAACAGATCGCGGGGTTTGTCGTCCCTCGGCATTCAGACAAGGAAGATGATCCAAATCATCATGGAAACGTCTCTCCATGTCTATGTGCCTCGTACATCTCAATCTATCCACAAGGAATCTAGTCGGGATAGAAGCTCTTCGGTCTTCTGCCTGCGTGTCTGCCCATCGCTCAACCTTGGCAAGTTGAAACTGGCGAGAGATTCAGTCCCCGACAACGAGAGGAATGTCCAAGGGACATCTGGTTCACCCTAACTGGACCGGAGTCACCATGGATTCTGTCACATCATGTCGTCGCACATGATTGTGCCTGCTAGTCCTTAAGGATTAGTTATGTTGATAAACTAGGGAACATACATCCTGGTCTCTCTCAACTCTCAATGTTATATTAATGTATATACTCGTACATATAGATGTGTATGTATTATGGCTATGGTTGGACTCGAACTCGTACTTGTCCTCTACGGATGCGTTTACTATCGTTAGTGCCTCATCAAAAAACATCCCAACCCGGGAACTCTCGAAACAATCCTCTCCACCAATGTCTATTCTGTGGCCACGGATCGACAATTCGCAATGCAGGGTCCGGTTCGCCGGTACGAGTGAGTGCTCGTACGCTGGAGATCACGACAGAGCCCCCTGCCAAAGGGTGGTGGAATGGGGTGATGAGAAACGTCATGCGGCCCAAATACACTCTTCGGACATGTGATAGATAAGACCTACATGCACGTCGAAAACGTCGAGGACTCAGTGCTATCTTCATGTTATGTTTTGAATTCTATATCACTACAATTCATTGTACAATTGCCTGAAGCACCAAAGACGTCGGTTTGTTGAGGGTTCCGTTTTTGACGGAGTGTATGGAACAAACAACACTGTGTTATCATGGACAGTATTCTCGAACTACCCTCCTCTCATGGCATCGAGATCGACGATATCATCCGCTTCGGTGAAGGGGCCAAAGTCGATTCAGCTGTCGCAGCAAATGAACCATCATACACAGAGAGCCCTGGTGTCCTCCTCGTGGCGAAAGTATGTGAAGCACTGGTCAAGTTAGGCTACGATGACACCGACATCTCCAACGTCGGCAGGTTGGTATCGGAAAACCTGATGACTAGCGAGACCTCAGACCTACAACGGACAGGTGAAGGCGAGAACGATGTGACGACCAGCAAGACCGAGGTAGACACACCGGCGACTCGGGTCGGAAAGACACTGGGGAACCTCCTCGACAAAGATGTCCTGCGATCACGCACTGTCCACATCAACTCAAATGAACCCGTCGTGTTGATCAACCATGCACCGCGAATGAGTCCAGATTTCCTCGGCCAAGTCACCAACGAGACCGTCACTCAGTTGCAGAATAAATGGAACATTTGGCCGGTGCGTGTCTATGCTGGCCCATTCGTGATGGTGTCCGCTGATGGGTTTTCAATCACTTTACTGAACGTGGTCAATACCAACCTGGGCGGGCCGAATATGGTGGAGCTTCTCGACATGCCATGTGATGCAGTCGAGTGGTCTCGGTGGAGGAGGAAGGACCTCTGGAGAGATCGCCAATTCTTGTACAGCGAAACGCAAGACGGGCCTCCTCTGCCGCCTGAGTTCAGAGATGATGGGTCTGAACAATCCATCACAAGTGATGGCGATAGCGAGGAGTCGCTAAGCTGGGATTCGTCTGTGGTACATTCGCCACAACAAACACCATTGCCTCAGGGGGAGGAGGCTACAGGTCGTGGTGAGCAAGACGCTATACTTGCTCTACCTCCGAGACCCCGACTTGAGGATATGCAAGAAGATGTTGCAACTGTGCAGCTTGCAGAGGGGTTGATGCCCGAAGACAATGATCTGCTCGAGGCGCCGGAGCCCCATATTGAACATCCAACATGGAGTCGACAAGATGACAGCATATCGCTGCTGGATTTAATCAGGTCCCAAGCAGCAACGCTTTCACCATTTGGTAAGGATACTCAAGGGCCCGGATCACTAGAAGATGGAGGCGATGTCGGTGGAGACCATCCTGCTGTCGACAAGTCATCCAGTGACGGAAGCGACGATTTCGTTGTTGTATAGTTCCCCTGGTGATGTTCTCGATTTGTTTGGAGTTTTTGCAAGCAAACACATCAATGACCTCTCATTCGCTTTCTGAGCCACTTCGACTTCTACTCGGGTCTCTGCTTCTGTCGTCGCTAGCTGGACTACCACCGTTTTCGCTCCTTGTGCCGTTTCGGTCAGCGTCTTCCATAATCTCATCGTCCTCTTCCATGGCATCCAACTCCGCCTGGAGTGGACTAATTCTTTCTTCCAGTTGGTCAAGGTCTTCAAGCAGCTGTCTCGCGGGTAACTTCCACAGACTTGTTCCGCAAACACGGTCTTTTGTCAAGAGGTTGTCCACAAACTCATCCATGTGGACAAGCACATATGCCTCTTTTCTTCTTTGTCTCAGCTTTCTCGAGTCCTCCAGCAACGGCTCCAGCGTTGTGTAAATCTCGGCGGGATCAAATGTCAAGCGCACATAGAACGCAGCCAGAGCCCGCAGATATTTCCATTCCTCCCCTCCATAGTTCAAGTATTCCAGTATGATCTCTTTGTCGGGCACAAGCGTCAATAGTTTGAAGGCCAGGCAGATGAATGGAGTAGGTTTCATTGCGACTCCGTATGTGCCACCAATATACGTGAGTTCAACTGCTCGATCGCACAGTGTGGCAGCATTGAGACCAAAACATTGTTCTTTCCAGTATAGAGAGTCGGTGATTCGATCGCGCATGGCAGTTTCAAGTAGTAGGGCAGGATTCTGGCCGCGGATGAGTGGGCCAGTGTAGCCACGGTTGTCGAGCGTGTTGGAGGCATCGGCGCGGTGAGACATGGTGGCGCGGGGAGTCGGGTATCAGGAGGTTTTGAAAAATAACCAGAGTCGGCCTCCAGAGACCTTTTTGAGTGTTGATGAGGCCGCAGGGAATTTGTGGTCGTTGTTCAGGCCGGTCTCGAGAAATTTCGCGTAAAGTGATGCGCCTGAATGATCAGCGGGGAAGTTCACCCAGTTGCCTCGCAACGGGCAACGTAAACAGAACTCGACTTTCTTTCTGGCCGCAGATGGTTCTTCACAATTCAGGGAAATCAGCAAAATCGGTCTGGAAATCAAGATTGAAACTGACTCAAATTCACTATTTGAAACTCGACGGAAAACCACAGCGTTCTAAAAGATCAAAGATCTGTCTGTGCTCAGGAAAAAGTGCGAATTCCTAGGTACCTGGACCGGGGCTTGGTCCTTGCACCGCGATGGTGCTCCTTACATCCTCCGCCGTGTCTGTGGCTCTATCGAGCGGAGTGGTCTGCCTTTTCACATTTCTGCTCTTCATGTGCGGATATGTATTGCAACAACAGACAGTTCGGTCCATACAAGAAGCCTTGAAAAGGCCTCCAGAGCCTAAACCGATGCCGACACTGCCGCCTTCATTTCAGAACTCAGACAATGAAAGTATTACAGGGGCCCTCGAGCAGCCTGTAAATTCAGATTCTGTTAGACTGGGTTATTCCGGGGCAGAAGAAGTAGAAGAAGCAGCAGAGAATGTGGTTGCCGTTCAGGTGCCGGTTGAGGCGCAGGCTAAGGATCAAAACCGGCTTCAAATGCCTCAAGACTCTTCCACGACGAGCTCAAAAAGTCAGCAAGCACCTGAACAACCAGCACTTGACCATCTCGCCTACATGTTCATTCTTCTAGAGCCCGAAGACCTCTGCTCAACGCTGTTGTTCGCGAAGGAGCACCGGGCTTCTTCACGCCTCGTTCAGGAGCCATCTATCGTGCTCATTTACCCTGCCACATGGGAAATCGAGTCGTCTCCCGCATACAAGTCTGCATTGAGCTTTATGCGAGAGGTTCAAGAAATATACGGCTTGATATACCATCCTGTGCAAATCAACAATGCTTGGGGGACAAAAGCACAGCTCTTGGGAGAATTGCAATGGCACCGCTGGGGCTATGATCAGGCCCTGTATCTCCAATCACCTGGGATGGTCCTCGACAACAAGGCTCTTGACGCTGCGTTGTCTTCTCCAGTGTCACGGAAGACGTGGGCTGCAGTGGACACTTCCACTGGTAACAATCCAGATATCCTCCTGGTCACGCCGAAAGGTCTGCAGAGTCCTAGGAGGGAAATGAGGAATCTTGTGGTTCCTGCAAGACCTGGACAATCTTTCCAGCCATCAGATGCCGCGTATGCCTGGTTCGATCATTCGAACTCCGGGCAGACAAGTCATGACAATGTATGGTATGATGAACTGATACGGAAATTTGAGCGAGGAGAGAGATCGGTTTGTGCTGGCAGCGGATTGTTGTAGCGATGTAATAGTTGTCCTTGTCTCCGTGTTAGCAAACACCAATTGTACAAAAGATGATGTAGACGAAATAGACGACCTTCTGGTATCTGGGTATATGGCGATTAAAGCCCAGGGAGATACTCCGTATGAGGGTGAAAGATGTGTGACTCTCGTATTTCCACCCTTTCATGTTTCTATTATTGCTTCCAAATACCGCGATACGATGACAGATAGAAATACGGCCGAACGCTTTTCCAAATCAGCCTCCAGAGTTTCCCATACTCCGTCCCGCCCGTGGCGTCTTTAGCCTGCCACGCGAGCCGGCCAAGCGCTGCGAAGACTGTAGCTGGCTACCTGGGAGCAGCTTAGTCAACCTTACAAACGCTCCTCATGCAAACTAAGCAAGTCTGATGAGTAAGAGGGTATCCCAAGTAATAATGCAAGGGATAATGCAGCCATCAGTGGCAGATTTCTCGCAAGCCACGTCCGTAGCCGTGTCAGGACTCGTTTGGTTAGTACCTCCCTAGAAGTCTTGGGGGCTTAGGGCGGGCTCCGGCGCCTGTGGCCCCTACAGTCCGGAGCTCCCGGGCAGCCGTAGCGCCTGGGAGATGCCGAGGTTTTAGGTGCCTCTAGGGGAGTGGCCCCCCTAAGTACGTATTGTACCTCAGTTTTAGCTTCGCTCGAATTCGCTTCAATTCGCTTCTGCATGTGCATTTGGAATGAATGACGTTGATCATCGATCTCTCACCTCGCCAGAGCGTTTTTCCTCCAATGCAGCCACCATGAAACCTGGATACGAAGGTAAGCGATAGTCTACAGACACCATGGACCAAGCTCATTTCGCTCTCGAAGTCTATATATAATGAAACCGTGAACCACTTTCGTTTCGTTTCTCCTCTCATCGACTTTCTCGACTAATCTGCACAGAACACTTTGTTCGTCGCCAACCTCCTTCCCACGATCAACTTCAAAACACCACTCGCGACTCTCACCATGGCGTCGAAACTCTTCCCCGGTGACCCCGAAAAGGTCCTGGTCATTCGAGACATCCCCAACACTCCCATCACCACACTCAGCGTGCCGTTTCTACGCTTTGGGCGCATCAAGTTCGGCGGCCGTGCCACTCTAGTCAAGCTACAAACCGGGGACGTGGCCGTCTTCTCCCCCGTCGCCCTGACCTCGGCAGTCAAGGCCAAAGTCAACGCGCTGGGACCGATCAAATACATCATCGCACCAGACGTAGAACACCACCTGCTGGTCGAGACGTGGGCGAAAGAATACCCCGAAGCTGAACTGTTCGGACCCGAAGGTCTTCCCGAGAAACATCCAGGACTCAAGTTCTCGCACGTCTACACTGCCAAAGTCAGGACCGACATGCCCACGACAGCCGAGTTCGACAAGGAGTTTTCGTCCGAGTATTTCCCCATGCACCCTAACAAGGAGCTTGTGTTTTGTGAGTGATAAATCTCCAGCTCTCAGGCAACGCAGAATGTGAACAGGCACTAACTAGCATGCTCCTAGATCACAGACCCACCCGGACCATGATCGAGGCAGATCTTCTCTTCAATCTACCTGCCACGGAACAGTTCTCCAAATCTGGCGTCGACCCAAAATCCGGCCTCCTGACGAAACTGTTCGGCGGCATCATGAACACGAGAGGCGACATGGTCTGGCAGAAGCGCTTTCTGTGGTATGCGGCCAGCAAAGGGGACCGTGCGGGATTCGCTGAATCGGTCAAGAAGATCAAGTCCTCATGGGACGTGGAGCGCATCATCCCGTGTCACGGTGATGTGATCGAGACGGGTGGCAAAGCCATCTTCGATAAGGCCATGGCTTGGTTTTATCAAAAGTACTAGTTGGGTAATGTGGCTAATCTGATTTGGATACCCCCGGGGCATTTGGCGAGATTGAGCGGCGTTGGTGTGTTGTGAGACGAAGCGAGGCGGAGCGATGTGTTTTGACTCAAATTCATACGATTGCTGTATTTTGGAGAGTTCTGTTACCAAGGGAGATACCACTGTACAATTTTGAGAACCACTGGTTTACACCTCGATCATGTCTTTCCTGACGCGCAACCTCTTAAAACCAGCATTTTTCTGATATTTCCATGTTGCTTAGAAGGTGGTACGGATGATGTTCGCGCTACGATCGCCGTACCTGAACACGCACATGGAACGAGATGCCGACCCTAGAGAACCGAAGGGTGTTTATCTCTATCTTGCCTCAGACGCCAGCACGTACACCACTGGCGCGGACCTTGTTGTTGATGGTGGTTAAATATACGGCTATATAGATCCATGGGGAGAAGTGCACTAAAAGTACCTGCACACAGAGAATAAACGCTTCGCTGGAGCTGGAGGGGAAACGGCGAAACACAAGACGCGTCATACGCAATTTGCGACGCGTCTCACACCGCATATAGTGGTTTTGCGGTGTAGCTGGTCGTATTTCGTCACTATGCACACGGCCCAACTACTCGAGCTCGTACTCCGTACTCCATATCTACCTGGCCCTCCAACATTGACCCATCAGCATCGCCCAGCATGAATCCAACTCCTGAGGAACGGTTCGAGGAGGCGTCCAAGCACGCTCGCCTCATCAACGCCCTTCTCTCCCACCCAGCATGCCGCTTGATGCCAGACGGCAGGCCGCACAAGACTCAAACTCCCCTGACACTCTACTGGGTCATCGACTTCGAACTCAACACCTGGAACAACTACGTCTTGCCTCTCCTCCCTCACAACGCGGCAAAGAATAGTCGCGCTCTAGCAATCCTTCCTGGCTCGGACTTTACCGAGAGACCCCACCTCCTGGCAGATGATTTGTACCCCCGTATGAGCGTTGGAGGACTCAACGAGAAGTGGTCAGACTCCGTCGGACGAAGTGTAATGATCACCAGCATTATCTTAACACCAGGCCAACAGATGATGTTTGGCGGCCTGTTTCCGTTTGGCCCCGAAGTTGAGGCCGCGGCGAGAGAATTTGGCAAGGACTAGACGATCATTCACGGTGCAATTATGACGATCAATGCCCGAGAAAGCTCTGCACTGTTGGACCTGTTCAGGTGACGCTGATGCCAAACCTGGACCGATGAGATGGGACATGGACATCTGAGAATGGCATATTATATTGTGTCGTCGAAGAGAGTGGGTACTTTCTTGAATAGGGACACGGATGTGTGGAGGACACAGCTGTTGCTCACGTATCGGAAGCTGAAAAACATGCAAGCTACGCGGCATTCAATTCGGATGCTGGTTCGGATGCTGGTTCGGACGGTCTTGCAGGAGCAGGCTCAAGCATGATGGTCGTGGCTTCAGGGATTCTGTTGCAGCTTAAGACGAATGTGTTTGCAAGAGTAACATATACTTCTGTAAACCAAGTACTATCTACCTCCCATTTTGAGGCGTGGCATGAAGACGCAGAAGCCACCGGAACGTGCTGCCTGATGCCCGTTCGCAGAAGCCAATTCGGGCTCAGCGGTCACGATGGAAGCCTCGGCTATAGTTGTCCGGCTGTAACTCCTGATTTGTTTCAGCTAAGCCTGGGATAGGAAAAACAAAGAGGTCGACAGGAATCATGTATTAAACCACTACACTATCAACGCACGCACATAATTATTATTCTGAGGCAAACATCGCTCAGGTGCGCAGTTACTAACACCAATCCTAACCCCACCCCCAAGCCGAGCTGTCCAATGATCATGCTTCGATTAGCACCCACCCACTACGCGAGCCTCCTCTTTTATAAGTATGAGTTCCACACCACCATCTGCGCATTGTTTTTGTCGAGGCGCACCTCTGACGTGGCCACCGAGAAACCACAAGTTCTCATACTACCTACGCACAGTTTAGTCCCACGGAACATTATGAAAATCGAATGCGAGGAATGCCTTAAAAGTCAAGATATCGCTCAGCGCCATCTCAGAAAAACCATGTGCTTACTTAGCTGAATTGATTTCAACTGTCAAAGCCTTCTTGAATACGTTCGACACCGCCAATTTATACATCTTCGCCCGCAAACCTCGACTGTCTTCTGAAATGACTCTCAACTATACTTCCCTCGACGCTAGCCGCAAAGAAATTCGCCTCCTAACAATTGAGCCCGAGGAAGACTACGATAGCCAACTACGAGGATCCTTTCATGTTGTATCTTTACTTGGCTCTTCGAAACTGGACTACAAGGCTCTTTCGTACGTCTGGGGAAACAGCCAAGAGCGACAAGAAATTGTTGTCGAGGGATGCGTGATATCTGTGACGTCGAACCTTGCATCGTGCCTACGCGGAATGCGTCAAGCTTTGCCAAAGGAGAGATACGTGGTGTGGTGTGACTTTATCTGCATAAATCAGACAGATCCTGATGAGAAGCATCACCAGATAATGCTCATGGGGGAAGTTTATCGGTGCGCAGAATATGTGGTTGCGTGGCTGGGTAGCTTGACGCCGGACATAAGTGCAGCAATCAGGGCATTTGCACGAAAGGAAGAGAAACACATCAGTACTGGGCCATCATGGCTTTCCGATGAAAAGACGTTAAGCGCCTCTAAAGTCACTCTTACTCATGCGCAAAAAGATGAACTCTCGAAGATTCACGCCTGGGGTGGCACAGTCGAAATCGTGAACTCGCCATACTGGTCGCGAGTGTGGACCTTTCAGGAGTGGTTCTTGCCAAAGAAGCGGCCAGTCTGTCTTTGTGGTCATATTTTATTTGACCTTTGGGAAGTACGTCCGCCCTTGCAAGAATTTTTCGATCTCATGCTGCAGGATGGAGATGACGACGAAGCTAAGGACACATACTCAGCCTATTTGGACGACCTCCTGGATCGTATTTCTCAAAATATGAAAGCGAACTATCCACTAGACCTCATAATGGCAGATGATGAAACTCGTATCCCGTTAACCAAAGGCGAATTCGACGTGGCCACTGTTTTGAGCATGACTGCAAGTCGGGTCTGCAGCGAGCCTTTGGACAGGATCTATGCCTTGTATGCAACAACGCCCTCGCTCTCGCACAAGTATCCTCCCAATTATACGAAATCTCTCTATCAAGTCTTCTGGGAAACCACAGCTTTTTCCCTGAGCTCGGAACTAGGAACCGATATATTCGCGGACTTTGGGCTCCTGAGAAACCCCGCGAGTCCGTCATGGACCCTCGACTTTTCAGTCTCCAGCGAAGCATACTCGACAGCTTGTGGGCATATGAACCTGAAATATGGAATTGATGAATCTCTTTGGTTAGGGGGGATGGCCGAGTTACCGCAATTTGATGATAGATTACGCGCTCTCCGTTTGCATGCCAGAACATTTGGCTTCGTTTCGTTGTTTGGTCCGATAATCCCAGAGTATGGTATAAAGGGCCTTCGGGAGCAGAGTCGCGAGATTACAGAGGAACACGGAGGGACAAACTCATCAAAACTGGTTAGATACTTCTTGGACGTCATTTACGACCTCTACGACGCAGCTTGTTTCTCCGATGTCTCTATTGATCGAAGTGAGTTCGGTGTTATGATTGAGTATACAGATCTTTCTTCCTCCGTAGGGGATGGTTTCAATTCCGTGGTCAAAGAAGCGCTGAGCAAGGGAGGTACGAAAGACAAATCATTGTTCTTTCTGAAGGACCGAGACCAACACGTCAGTATTGGGTTGGCGAGTGGAGCAATTCGAGATGGTGACATGGTGGTTTCTGCATACGGAATTGATCAGCTCTTTGTGGTAAGGCAAGATTCTCAGGACTCAGCTACGGATGAAGCCCCTTTCAAAATTATTGATTTGGCATTTATTGCGGGGTTTGAAAAGCACAAGAGTTCCAAGGCTCCAAGGCGCTCTTTGGTTAGGACTTTCAAGGATGTTGCGTGGAAAAAGATAGTCGTCTATTAACTAGGTAAAGATCTCTCCACAACTTTGAGAACGAGTCTGCCTCTGAGACACGCACACTTGGAATGTACAACGTTGCTATGCAATCAATGCATCATCTACCTTTGCTTGTAACTGTCGTCGCGTTGCCCGCAGCCTCCGACAATCCACCACGACGTGCACCACCGTCTCGATGGCTCCACATGCGTAATGATCATCATCCTTGAATTCCTTTGGCTTGAGTGGCCAGCCAGGTGTGCACCGTCCGCAATTGAGCGAGGAGGTACGTCTGATGTCGAGTGAGTGTTCCGTATACTCGCAGGTTCCGTTTGGTTAGAGGGCCACCGTCAATTTGCCTTGAGTACTTGCATGGCTGCGAACTGTACCATTCTGGTTGCCCACTCTTCCCGAATCTTCTTATGGAGCATTCTTTTACACGTCGACACCGTGCGACCAAAGTTGTATTATACAACGTCATTGACGGCCTGCTTTTACCAGCCGATCAGCCTCTTTGTTGCCTACGTTGCCGCTATCACAAGGGATCCAGTACAAGCGCACTTTCACCCCTTGTCTTCGGAGGGTCTGTACTCGGTCCAGGATCCGGTGTACAATAAACGGACCAGGTCTGTCCCGCGGATTTGCAGTCGCACGCATGGCTGAATGACTGTCGCTGACGACCGTGAAGGTGTTCTCTATAGAGGTTGTCGTCTCCATTGCTAAAACACCCTAACGGACGACTGTTCGGGGATGATACATATGCATATATCACCTCGTTATGACACTGCTCTCCCTACTTTTCAAATCCACCTTGAAGGTCATGTCTGTATTGACTGTCGACAAATTCATTCCCATATCTCCATCTTACAGTCCGTCCTACTCTAACCGGTCTACCCAGCTTGTATTCCTCCTCAGTCTAATGCAACCCCGATATACACGAACGCATACACGCACGCGCTCCTCTCCTCCAGACCTAGTGCTCCATGGACACGCAACTAGGAAGCATATAGAAGTCGCTGTTCCGACCCACTCCGTCGTCTCCTGTATGTGAGGTGTTCGAGACTTTTTAGATCTTCGCGGCCCCTGCGCGGCGCCTCGTGCTCGGCGACTTGCCATCCTTGAGCGAAATGAACACGGAAACGCCCTCGGTGAGCACCGTGCCCTCGCCGTCCTCGACGACAGCTTTAGCATACGTCTTCCTGCCGTCCACCCTCTCCACCCACGTCCTCACGAGCAGCGCTTCGCCGGTCGGCACGGGCCGCTTGTACCTGATGGTCAGCTCCCCCGTCATGACGGCAGTCATGGTATCCGACGAGGTCAAGGGCACCCTCACCGTTGCCTTGGCCGCCTTAGGCCCAGGCTCAGGACCAGGAGGAGGAGCGACCTCGGTCGTCGACGCCAGCAGGTGCGCCTTGATCAGGTAGCCCATCGTCTCGTCGATGACGGCGGCGACGAACCCGCCGTGTGCGACCCCGGGGAACCCATTGACGCCCGACGCGGTGGCGAAAAAGGCCCGGATCTCCTCGACGTTGGACACCCGCTCGGGGTCCGCTGACTCGTCCACCCGGCGCTCCTGGTACAGACACGCCACGATGGTGTTGTCCGTCGCGAGGGTGCGCGTGAAAAAGTCCCCCCGCGTGTCCGGGGACGGCTGTCCGAATCGCGAAGGGACAGTCGTGTATCGCTTGTCGGCGAGGAGCGCCGCGCACCACGGCACCGAGTTGAAGTAGGCGTACTGTCGATCCGATAGGTCCGGCACCGTGTCCGGCGGTTCCACCATTGATCCCATTGTTGGTTCGAGATTCTGTTCAGAATATCTCTGAGGTTCTGTGTATGTGTATGTGTATGTGTGTGTGTTTTCCCCCAAGGATGTTTCGTAAGGGGGCCTGATGTAGCACGTACACCAGGGATTTTTGTATTGGAGCCTCCCCCCTTCACGAACGATACGCCGAGCTGTGGAAAAACGAAGACTAATGGTTCAAGGAATGACGGATATGATGGACGCGCGCTGCGTTATATCTATGAGGTCGGTAAATATGTCGGAAAGGAGAAATATAGATATGCACATAAAAAAATCTTATCAAGTTGGTGCCTCGTCAGGCCGTGGCGCTCAGATGTGCTTTCGTTGGTCAAAGGTTCGAGATGTGTACTGAACGCGAATTCTCCAACTTCCAGGTCTGAATCTGACCTGTGCCAGAAAGTATCAAACTTGACAAAGGGCTCACAACAATCCAGAGAACGAGGTACGGCACATCCACGGATACGAGGTGGATCGATCGTGTCCGGATGGGGGAGAAGTGCCGAGGTCCAAATCTACAGCTCTGTCAAACGTAGATAGAATGCGACAAAAATACTCTTGGAACTAGGCCTTACGGGATACACGGCACATTGCGCACGAGGCAACCTTCGTCGAAAGGGCCGCGGCTCGTAACTACGTGCACGGTTCTGTCGGGTCAACCCGTGCATCAGAACCCTCATCTCATCCGCAGGACGGACATTAGGCAGCGAGTGTGTGTTTCACAAGGGGCGAATGCATGAGATAATCAGTAAATGCGCTGTACAGAAGAACACAGAGTGTCAAATACTACCGAGTTACGTTTTCACTACTCCCCAGGGCTCTCCAGGAGCTCAGTGCTTGCTCAGTGCTTCACGTGGGAATACGGGGCCGCGCGGAGCACCCGACCAACTTGATTGCGGCGAGAAGCACGACCACGCACGACACAAGCGCGAGCAAAAAACCCAGAAGGACGGACACAAAATGAACGAAACTCAATACAGAGTACGACTATGTGGGAAAAAAAAGGGGACAGATGCCCACCCTAAAATTAAAAAAAAAGAGGCTTCTCACCGAACATGGTGAGGTTGTGGACCAGAACACATATCAAACAGGGAGAACCGATGAACCAACAAAAATGAAACAGGGCCGTTCGTCGCCAACAAACGGACGACGACAAACTGGGGAAGTCCTTGCTTGTCCGGATCAAGAACCCGTGTCCCCCCCCCACGAACCCTCCTTCCTCCCTGCCCCTTTACAAAAAGTGGGAAAATCGCTTCAACGCCAAAGGCTCCATGCAAGACTTCCTTTCCCTGTACATAAAAACAAGGTCCATACTGAAAGGGGTATGTATGCGGATTCCATGACTTCATGCTTCGATCACACGGCTCAAGACCGCACCGCGACCGGAAGCGGGCTGCTTGATGTTTTCGTCGTCTCCCTTGAGGCTGCCTCCGCCGATGACGGCGGCGGCGTGTGCACGCTCGGCGTCCTCGTCTTCCACGATCTTTGTCCTGTCCAGACCTCGGGTATGCTGGTTCAGACTCTCGCGAGCCGTGTAGTTTGTAGGCGCCGTGCTGGCCATGCTCAAGGCGGTGCTGGATCGCTGGTGCACTAGGTCTGGCGTAGGAGGAATTGAGCTGCGCTCACTCTGGGGCGTCAAATGGCCAGTTCCCGTGCGCGAGTCGGTGGCGAGCTGCTCGACCGGTGACAGATTGCCACTGTCCTCGCGAGAGTGGCTTACGGAAGGAGAAATGCCAGATTCAGAATGTTCACCCTGATCCTGGTCTTCCTCTTCGCCTTCGACCTCGGCGGCCTCATTGGCAAGTTGTAGACCTTCCACGGCAGCGGCACATTGCTCACTGATGTTGCGGATGATGTCGGCAATGGCGTCGGTCTTGTCGCGGAGATGGCGATCGGCGACGTCGGACATGCTGAGTCCAGAGAATCGTTTGCTGAGGCGCTTGCTGGATGCGAGGAGCTTGTTCTCCATTTGAGGAGTGACGTCCTGGCCATCGGCAGATACCACACGAGAAGCACGCTTCGAAGAACGGCTGGTGACATTTCGGAGCTTGTCACTGAGCTCTTCAACTGTGTCCTCTGCTTCGTTCTCCTCGTAGTCTTCCTCTTCGTCCTCGTATCCCTCATGGATGTAGTCGGCCAGTTCGGAAGCAGAACCGATCGATCGAACAATGTGTTCCATGTGATGAGTTTGACCGGTGATGAGGGAGCGGAGATGGAGGACCACTCGTTGAGCTTCGTCTCGTTGTCTCTGGAGAGTCTGGTTGGTATGCTGGAGGGCGGCGATCTCTTTCCGGTTGCGAGAACGCTCCTTTTCTAGATCCTCCGCAATACCTTGTTGAAGGACAAGAGCCTCGAGCGCATTGTCACGCTGTCGCTCGGTGCCAGATAACCGGAGAGTCAGACGAGCAGCATCGTCTTTCTGTTGGTCAATAAGGCCGGTGAGTCTGCGGTTCTCACGCTTGTGGGATTCGATCTTGACGCGCAGCTCAGCCAACTCCTTGTTGAGGGACTCGACGAACGCTTGGAACTTTTGGAATTGAAGTTTCCAAGTCTCAACCTCTTGTTCGAGATAGTTGTTCCGTTTGGCAACCTTTGCAAGCTCGGTATCCATGCGTCCTTTCAGATTGATAAAGTCTTGCCAAGCCTCCAGGGCGTCGCGGGAGTATTGGTTACGTTCGCGCACAATTTCGTTCATGTGTCTCATCGAGATCTTCGTCATAAGTGGCTTTTTCATCGAGCCATTGAACAACGCCTTGACACCAGTGTTGCGGCCCAACTTCTCACAGACGTGATCCATGACCGCCATGATGGCATCTTGATTCCACCACGAAGGATCTTGGACGCTTTCAACTTCACCACGAAGGACAATGATCTGACCAGCAGGAATGAGCTTGCCGCCTCCATAGGCAGATTTAAGGTGCTGTGGTACACCGGTGATTTCCACATCGCTGTTCAAGGCTTGGGTCAGTCGATTGATGAACTTGGTACGCTGACCGGCGGTGAGAACATTCGGTGGGTGGTCCGTAATGACTAGATTGCGGTCAAGGTCGACTAGTAGAGCATCCTTGGGTGGCTGGAACAGTGATCGGCATTCTGTCGTGATACCCAGGATATACGGACCAGGTTCTTGCACCATTTCGCTGACATTCCTGGCATGAACGACTGGCACGTAGAGTCCGCTCCATTCATACACTCGAACACAAAATCTGATGGTTTCTGCAGCAATGGTAAGCATCGCAGGGTGATGACTGGTTAGGATGATCCGTCGAGTAGGAGACACAGCGGCCTCGATAAGACCGACAACGTTGGGGATTGTCAAGCAGCTGAAGAGAGGCCACATGGCGAAGTTTTGGAAACCCGTGGGTGAAGAGGGGAACTGATAACAGAGGGCATAGTCCTTCATGTCAATCCGAACGAGATCGTTGAGTCGTGGTGCTGGGAAGCTGAGAATGCGGGAGACCTCCTCAGCATGGAACAAGTTGGTGGCCTTGTTCCAATGAATCCACATTCCTCGCAGGTAGTCACCCAGGAGGTTGTACAATGGGTACCTGGACAAGAAGCTCAAGCAGTACGGGATCCAGTAGGTCTCGTCAGCTACATCTCTGAAGTCTGGTTCGGTCTTCCGCCGGAGGTCGCGAATAGTCTCGGCGCGCTTTTCATCTGCTCGAGACCAGACTCGGAGAGCGATGCCATAGAGGGTATGCTGTGAATCTTGCTGTAAAACAAAAGAATGGTGGACACAGTGTGGCTGGCTGCGTCCAGTACAGATTTCAACATCGTGGGGGAAACATGCCTGCGATCAATTAGCATTGCAAAGGCTGTAGAACCAGTATAACCTTACCCTCATTGCGCTGTGCAGAGCTCTAGCGATCTCGTTGTCGCTCTCTAGGCGTGGACTGCTCCCCAAAATTTCGGGAAGCCAAAATTGGCCGACTGCTCCCTTCATGTGTTGTATCTTCCCAAAAGACGGGGCAGGCGCTTTGACCCATTGCGATGGTTCTCGTCCCACACCACACACCATGTACGCATGTGTCAGTGTTTTGGGGGTAGGCCTATTATTCGACTTGGCCAGCGTCGACGGCAGAGGCTGTGTAATCCGTGAGTGCAGAGAAGAGGTTCTGCTTGGAACCATGGTGTTGTCGACGATTTGCTCTCTTGTAACCGGACGGTTCGTCTCGCGAGTCTGTGGTCGCGCCATAGAAGTCATGGAGGTGTGACCTCTAAGAGAGGGACCCATTGGTTGCCAACGTCGAGGTTGCTTTCAAGGGTTCGGGCCGCGAACGAGAATGTCTGTGCCCGGGTCTGTGCCCAGGGCTTAGGTAGTGAAGCTCCTACACTTTTCAATAGACAGTGTTCTTGACGTATTGACGTTCTTTCAAACCTTTTGACGGGTATAGAAAGGACGGGGAGAGGTAGAGGGCGGCGAGGCAGAGGAGGAGAGGAGCTAGGTTATCACCAAAAACAGCCCAAGCAAGGTCTGAAGCAATCAAATGCAAGCTACCGAGATGGTCAAGATTCAGGAGGCGTCCTGATACTCGAAGCGAGAGGGTGCATGCGTAGCAAGTTGGGCCCGTTGTGTCAGGCCAATCCCGGCCAGGGCGGAGAAACAGGCCTAGGAAGATGAGGCTTGCAGGGGTCTCCAAGACTCGTCTTTCCGCATGGAGTTGCTTTTCGACTTTGCGGTCTCCCACTCTCGCGACACGTCGACGGCTTGGGGGACGGTACAATGAATGGCTGTCCGTGCAGAGTAATGACCGTCCGGGGCGTTTCTTTGCGCTTTGAGCCTTCCGATGCCTTTCTGAAACTTTGACAGCCGCGCCACACGTTGATGATCCAAGGTGCATGGATGATGGACGCCATGAGCCAGCCCAATGGGGCCAGCGGGCATGAAAATCAGCGTAAATCCAACACCAGAAACCGCAAGCTAGGGTGCTGCTAATGGCTTCTTACAGCCTAGCCAGGAGGAGCACCGATGTTAAGCTCATCCAGCGCAGCAGCTTGCCGAAGCACCGCTGCTCTGCCCCTGCATTGGGGTAGGCTAATGCGGCTAGAGGCTCAATGGTGTCACCTTTGGCCTCCGTCGCCCCCCTGTATTGTACCTTTGAGTGACTCTGGCCAGCGTCCCAGCGGAACAGATTGGAGCTCAATCTGATGGCCACAAGGGTTCTGTTCCACTCCCTCTGTGATAACTAGGGTGTTGGTTCGACAGCTTGCGGGTGAGGCCTCGGACCTAGTCCATGCAATTTACGGCGACTCGACCATCAACGGCTTTGGCGGTGCTGTACCTCCCATTCCCTAATGGTCGTTAGTCAACGAGGCCAACGACTCTGGATGCCATGGGGAGAAGTTAGAACCGGTGGCTTGCCAGGTGCTCATGTTTGCAAGCCATCAGGGGATTTTCGACGCCCACAAAGTATATGCAAGAACGGGACACACATCCACACGTGTGTGTGACATTACGTGAAAAAGTCAGATCTGGCACCACATCCTTTTCTCACGTCTGTCGCGTGTTCCCGTCTTATCCTGCCAACGGACTTCCCTTGTTGACGGCCATACCTACACTACAACACGTAGATTTGAAAAGGCGGGTCCCTACTGCCGATGAGCATCGTGATAGCTGTCCCACACGTCGGACGTACTCCGATCGAATGAATTCAACCTAGCACTTGAATGCGTTCCTGGAAGAACTACAGTACGCGTCTTTTTCGCTCGGGCAAGCCTGCCAGGTAAGGTGCCCGATGCCCGATCAATCGGACTTGAATATGATCGAACATGGTGTACGGAAACTCTATCGCCGTTGACATCAAGATGTGCAGTACTGTGCGGGTCATCCACTGCGTCTTTCGCCATGCATCCACTTCGCACCGCTTTGTGATCTTTTGGCCACCGCGGCGAGAATACTCCATCGGGAATTGCAGGGAAAGACGAATGCCACCGCTCGCTGGTGAGTACAGGCCGGACACGAGAGTTCCTCAAGAGGACGTCGCGTCGCTTAGAATATCCGAGAGGACGCTGGATGGTCATTATTCACGACCCCAGTGATGCCGTATACGAGTAGAGAATGACCCTCGGTCCTCCTGTGGATCGTGCCTCGGACTCGGGGGACCCTACGAGTAACTTGAGATCAGATCTGCCCTTCCCGAGGGACATCATCCGGAGACAGCCCGTCACAGCCCACCCCAGTTTCTTTCGATGCAACAGATGCGTGGTCAGAGCCGTAAATTATAGCAAGTCAGATCGGCTTAGAGTTGTGTCATAAGGCAAGTAACACAATGAGAGGATAATGTCGTTCGTGTCAGCAGCTGTCGTTCCATCCGGGCGGTTCTCTCAGTGCAGACGCGGAATTGCGAGGCCGCGTCCTGTCGTGTTGCGGGTGAAGATAGGCGGCACTGACAGCTTTAACGGAGTTGTGGTGCCCAGGTTTGGAGTTTCCAGGCTGTCCATACGCAAGCCAACGGCCCAAAAAGGACAGAAGGCCCCGAAGAAGCGAGAAGGGCAGAGGAGGCGTCGTCGAGCTGTGGTTCTTGGGTGGTTCTCTCGGTAGTTTATCCAGCGGGCTGCAGACGGATATGCACGACTGCAGGATCCAACTGCACAAGCAATAAAATGTCCATGGATCAAGGTCTCACCAGGTGCCTGGAGGTGCCCTTGGTGGCGTTTACGGGTGCGCAAAAGGCCTCTAGAAGATCCTTGTTCTGCCCCTCTTTGCTCTAACTCAACCGCCTCCCCCGCAGCGACTCATTATTTTTTTTTCCTTCTCAGCCGCGCCTCCGCATGCCTATGGTGGTGAAAACCGCGCGCGCCATTTGGTCTGGACCCCATATCGAATTCGCGCTCGCGGCAGCTCGAGTTGCAGACTGACTCTCATTTGGAATTCCATAATGCAGGCAGACGGAAGCAATGCCGTCCTCACCGACCTTTGTGCTATCTGGTATGTTTGATCCACCGCTACCCGCCAGGCTGTGTTCGCTACTGACTCGGTCACCAGCCATACAAACCCGATCAAGTACACTTGCCCTCGGTGTGGAATACACACCTGCTCACTCCCCTGCGTTAAGCGCCACAAGGCTTGGGCTCAATGTTCGGGCATACGAAATCCTGCGGCATACCGGAAGAGGGCAGAACTCGCCACCCCTTCGTCCATCGACCAGGATTTCAACTTCATCACCTCTGTCGAAAGGTCTCTACAACGGGCAGATGAAACAGCCCACGACAAAGGCATAGACTTGGCTCCCAGCGGCGTCGGACGGAATGGCCCCGATATCAAACGGAAGTTCGATGCTGAGGTAGAAGAAAGAGGGATTCGTTTGATTCGGGCCCCTGCAGGACTTTCCCGAAACAAACAGAACAAGTCACACTGGGCGGGCGGACAGAACAAGTGTATTCTATGGACGACGGAATGGCTGTTCCATGATGGCCAGAAGAAGATCAACAACGTCAGAGAGACAAGGACAGTCGCACAAGCCTTTCTCGAAGTATTTGGCCGAAGAACGCTCGGCAGGAAGAGAAAGCGGGACGTTGCTGAAACGAACGGCGCTCCAGCTTCCCAGTGTGAAACGGCTGCCACACAACAAAACCTTGAAGCTGAGGATTCTGCCAAGGTGGAACCTGAGGACACTACTACCACGATCACACCAGGACTGCCTGGTGCCATGGGAGATCTTGGACACTATGAGTCTGCTGATGATGACGGCACAATATACGGGGATGAAGAGCACCCTGCTAACGCTTCCGGAAGTCTAGAAGTGAACATGCCCCAAAGTCAGGTTATACTCACAGAGCCAGGCAATGATCCTTCCCGTGCCCAGGGACACCCTGCTTTGAAAGAGTCGCTTGATACCAAGGCTATACTGACAGACAACACTGGATGTCAGCCAGCCACCGTAGAGAAGTTGTCGCCTGCAGGGGGAGACTCGCTGACCCAAAATTGTTATCTCGAGCTTCCATCTACTTCCACCGGACCCAACGACAATATCTCACAGCTCCTAAGCCACCTTCATTTCTACCTCTTGAGGCCAAACACAGCCAAATTCAAATGCTTGATCCCCATCGCCCAAACGTCAACCCTGAAAGATGTCCTCCGCGACAGAACCCTCCTCGAGTTTCCGACATTCTACGTCCGAGAAGAGCCACCCGAATCCTTACCCGAACCATTCATAAGCGAGGAAAAGTATACCCAGCTCTACGGGTCACAGATGGACGTCAGCTTGCCAGCGTACTCAGCCCCTGGCAATGACGACTCTCACCCCCAGCCACTAACGGACATTGACGAGCAGAAAGTTCTGGAAGTCTTACAGCAAGATCTCACGGGGTAGGGTCGAATCCGTGCTGTTGCATGTGACTGCAGTTCATGAACTACTTCGGCACTCATACTCGCACTCGTACCTATGCCAACTTTCCCGGCACAAAGGGGTGTCCTGCACTGAGACCACCACAGACGGCCCAAGCCTGCCCGTTGACATAACTAGCCTCATCACTTCCCAGGAACAGAGCGACGCGTGCCACCTCGTCTGCCACGGCACCACGCTGCAATGGATTCAGCTGTCCGATCTTCCTTTCGGTGCCCCTGCTCCTCGCCTGATCATACATGGGCTTTGTCATTCCCGTCTCAATCACACCGGGACACAAGGCATTGACCCGCACGCCGGTGCCAGCCAGTTGATAGGACATTGTCTGGGCAATCGACACCACGGCTGCCTTGCTGGCCGAGTAGTCTGTGCCGCCGGCGTTGGACCTCAAGCCAGCGACGCTCGCCGTGCCAATGATACTCCCGCCGGGATACTTTTTGTCTTCGCCGGTTTTCTGCATGGCAAGCGCCGCGTACTTTGCGCACAGGAAGACGCCGAGAGTGTTGACGCGCAGTGTGTTCATGAAGGCGTCGGCGCTGACGTGCTCGTACGTGTTCGGGACGCCGCTCACGCCGGCATTGGCAAACATTACATCTAGTCGTCCGTAGCTCTGAACGGCTTGGTCCACTACCGACTTGACCTGTTCCTCGTCCCCCACGTCCATCTTGACCGCGTGCACCGCGCACTCCGGGTACAGCTGTGCCATCTCGCGCTTGTGCGTTTCCAGATGGTCGGTCGCGTAGTCGCATATGTAGACGGCACGGGCGCCGTTGGCGGCGTATTGGTGGGCCGACGCTCGACCGATCCCGATGGGTGAGTTACAGCCTACATTGCACGATAACAGAATTTGTCTTAGCAAGTGGTCTGTACCTCTCTTCGGACGGTATTGTGGTTGTAGTGATGTGAAGCGAGCGTCGAAGCTCTCCGTCGTCTCACTTCTACTTACCTGTGACAATGACGACCTTTCCTTTCACCCTCTCCCCCGTCGACGGCCCTGCCACATGGCGGACGCGGGGGATGTTCTCGAACGTGCCTTCGGACGGCACACCTTCGACGAGCTGCTGCGACAGCGCGGCCAGACGTCGTTTTGGCACTGCGGTCATTTTCGGTGGGCCGTGTTTTGTGTCGGTAGTTCTTTACAAACTCGAGGTGTCCTGTTATATCCTCCTGTACGCTATGACCGGTACAGAGGGGTCGGAAGGGGTCGAGTGTGATTCCAGCGGCACGGTGGTTGGATGCTGAAGGTCGATTCTCCGACCGGACAGGAAATCAATGATGAGGTGGTGTCGGTAGTGGTGGTGGTGGTGGTGGTGGTGATAATGCGTGGACGCAACAAGGTTGGGTGAGTGTGTTGATTAGGACCTGTCAGGACTGGACCTGGGTATGTTGGTAGGAGTCCTGGACGACAGAGAGAGAAAGCTGTGTGTGTATTCTAGGTGCGTGCAGTGTGAAGTGAAGTGTAGGGACCTTTTTTATTTTGCAAACGTTGGAATCCTCGGGAGGTTCAGGTCGAGTTTGCCGTCAGGTCATTTTGTTTTTTTCGGATTCTCGACCTGGGGTTTTGGTCCATCGGGCTTGAAAAAGTTCAACCGAGGCTGAAGCACCGATTTGGAGAAGGAGATGGACACGGGAACAACAACAAATCATAATAATAATCTGGGGAAGAGGACAATGACCGCGGGACGACGGAGTATTCCAAGGGGGAAAAAACAGCTTACAGGTTCACAAGTACCGTACCTAAAGTTTACCTACAAGCCCTCACAGTACAATCTTCGTACCTAAGGCTACAACTCCCCACGGGTTCTGTGTCAGTTACAGTAAGTACCTCAGGTTGGTTCAGGTGGGTGTCGCTCGCTATATACCTATGTACCTATTGTAGGTACAGTACCTACGCTCGTCTACCGATCTACTGTACCTACAAGGTGGCTAACTAGTTAGTTAACTAGTACCAACACACCTGCGAGGGCTCACCAACCAACTAAGTTAGTTAGGCTGGGTCGGCTATCGCACGGGTATCGGTGAACTCTATATGTAGGTAGGTACTGTACAGGTAACTCTCTCTCTCTGTGTCTACATGGGTACACACACCCATACTTACCCACGATCTCACGCTTCGTCTTCACCCCTCACAGTCTCATGCTTGGATATCATACAGTAAAGTAGTACGTAGACCTTGGAAACACAAGGCGCCTTGCCATACAGTCACTGCAGTAGCACCCGTTTTGCAATTGACGTCTGTACTGGACTCTGGAGCGTTCTCTGAACAAAGCCTCGAATTTCCTCCTTTTCTGGCACCTTTCGGTGCCTGGGTAGGTAGGCATCCAGGCCAGGGTTCACCGTGCAGCATCGCACGAACAGTAGTTGGCGACCATACACCATACCTATACCGTTCTGATCTATCTCCCTCGCGTCATGTACGAGAAGTAGGGTACCTCATCTAGCTTTGTTTCTCACCGGTCAAGTCCTCCTGCACTCTCACAATCCTTCTCAGCGCTTCGTCGCGACCCCTGATCTCCTCGGGCCCCAGGGTCCCGTACGCTTCGTCCGTCTGCCGGACCACGGTCTTCTTCCACCCTTCCTCGCCCATCGTGATGGCCCCGGCGTCGTTCCACACCCCGTCGATCGCCTCGCCTATGTTGTCCAGGAACCCAGCCATGCCCCTCTTGCCGCCGCCGAACGCGTACATCTTGAACGGGCCCGCGACGGCCCAGCGTGGGCCCAGACTCGCGCGCACGATCTCGTCGACCTCCTCCGCGCTCGCCACGCCCTCGCTGACCAGGTGGCACGCCTCCCGAAACAGGATGAAGGCCAGACGATTCGCGACGAACCCGGCGCTCTCCTTGTGGATCGTGATCGGCCTGTGTCCCGACCCCAGCGAGGCGAAGTAGTCGCGGGCAAACCCCAGTTCCCGCTCCGCTGTGTCGGGGGAAGGGACCAGTTCCAGCAGCGGCATGATGTGAGGAGGGTTGAACGGGTGGACGACCAGGAGCTTGCGCTTGGCGGCGTCCCCGGCCGCGAGGTGAGACAGCTGCTGGCTCGCGGGGATGCCGGACGTCGAGGACCACAGATGCGCCGTGGGCGGCGCGTGCTTGATGACTTCGGACCACGTCGACTGTTTGAACGGGAGGTGTTCGGGTCCCTGTTCCTGGATGATGGTGGCCTCTTGCACGGCCGACGCGAGGCTGGAGTGCATGACCAGCCTCTTGCTGGAGAGCAGCTCGGACACGACGGATGCCGTCGTCGTCGTCGTCGTCGTCGTCATCGTAGAACCAATAGTGGAAGGCGACCACGAGGACGGCAGGTACAGCGGCAATACTGACTCGAGATGTTCCTGGAGATCCGGCCGAGGGTCATACACCGACACTCGCGCAGATGTGTATGTCAGGTGCAGGGCGAGGAAGGACATCCCTATCGCCCCGAGGCCGATGAGGCATATATGCTTGTCGCCGTGGGGGAGAGCGCCGGGTGTTTCTAGATCAGATGTCGACATGATGTCCGAGCAGCTCTACCTAGGATATGGTTCACCCGTGTCTCTCTTCTGTTTAAACAACTGACTGACTGGCTGGCTGGCTGGCTGAGGTCTTCCGGAGTGGTTTTGGCCCTTTTGTATTGGCGTGATCTCTGGGTGGAGCGGGCCAATATGTCAATGTACTTTTTCAACGAGCGTATGGGCCCTGTGTCTTATCTCCTGAAAGCAGAGTCATTAAAAAGGACCCGAGAGCCCGAAGGTCGTACCTGGTAAGCGTTCGCAACAGACAAGGCCCTGGGTCAACTTGTCGATGAAGACGACGGAGAATAAAATAAGAGGAAGCTCCGATCGCGGAGAGTGTCGATCTCACGCACCCCTGGATCTGAACTCCGGACTCTGCGAGTCGTCCCGAGGCCTTTCGATAGAGCCGGGTAGACATCAAAGCCAGGGACTGCTTACTCCTGATTAACCAACCCGCTGCTGATCATGAGGATTACTTCCATTGCAGTGGTCTTCTTCCACGGCACTGCTATTTCATACCCACCCAGCTTCACCATCAAGATTTACTACGTCGGAAGTACACAAACTGTCTCTATTTGACCTTATGAATAAAAGTGCTCAGATCTCATCGTAAAAGTCAATCTCATGTTATTTTCCTATCTTTGTAATGTGCAAGGGGGTATCATTCTAGAAACAGTCATTTTTGGGGGTCATAATGAACGAAACAACAAATGCAGAAACCAAGACAAATGGAAAACAAGCAGGTCTTTCGCCATATCTGCGCATGACCACTTGGGCGCGGCGAACTCGAACCAAGCCAGGCGAGGCCAGGTACGAGAAGCACCATTCATATGCCGTCTTCCGCATGCAGACCAATCTGCAGCAAATGCCCAATCCCACCAGAGTCTATCCAGCTGGTCGGCATGGTACCTATCAACATCAAGCACCAAGTTCTTTAATAGCCGCTTTCCTGCGTTCAAGCACTTCGTTCCTCTTCACCTTCACTCGGAGGCCTTCACTAGCTTGAATCAACGCATCGATACTTATCGCATGGTTCGTCATGTTGTGATTGATATACGTATACACTTGAGCCGCAGAGTCAAGTGCAAGGATGGAATTCTCGTTTAGTTTCAGTAGCGCCAGCGCCAGTTGAAACAGAAAGGGAGAACTAGTCCCGTCGTGTTCGTTATCCGCATTCGACTCAGGCATGGCCGGTGTCACCGGGGTAGACGGCTGGCTGCGCCCGAGACCAGGGACTTCAACCGTCAGGTTCTTCGGTTGATCAAATCCATAGGGCAAGGCGTCAGAGCTGTTTAAGCAAAGGCTGCACTCGTCGTTAGACGAATTTCTGGGACAAAATTGTAAGAGACTCACATAACGTCCCATACACGATACAAGGCCTCACCACCGGTGAGGACCCCTGTGTAGAGGGACAAGAACCAGTGAAATGTAAGCGCCTCGAGATCGACGTCGAGTTCTTCCAGTTTAGCACTGAGCCTCGGTAGTATCTCGGTAACATATTGACGGAGAACGATTTGATCTGCTCGTGCAACTAGCAACGTCGAACTGAAGTATTGACTGGGCAGAATGACATCAATGATGGCGACGAGGAGCCAGAAACAATCTTCGGCCGTAGCGCAGATGAGTAGAAGAGACGCCGTGATAAGGTTCATGCCTGAAGTCCTAAGGTCAGTAACGTTTACCATGCATATGCACGGGTGAGCGATATACCTTGGCAGTAACCAATACGGGGATTGTGAAGTGAATATGCTCTCAGCAATTCTTCGAGTCGTTGAACTCCAGGACCGTGACGGAAGAATACATTGTCAGTCAGTGTACGCCTAACATCCGCCTTAATCTGACTAGCGATGTCCGGGTCTACGTCAGTGCCGTCTTGGGAACGGGCAACCAGATCCTCGTAGTAGCCGGGATTTCGCAGCGCGGTTGCACCAGAACACTCAGCCCATATCTTTGGTCGAAGTGACACCGGAATGCCAGCAAGAACCAGCGATTTGAAGTGCAAGTATTTGTTTCTGGTCTGCTTTGAGCGCCCCAGAGTTGCGATCCCAATAAGTTCGCCATTGAGGAGCTCTGCTTCGGGGGGGTTGTTGGCTCCACGATCGGTATTACTGGCTCTTTCAGCTCTTACTCGACGAAGAAAATCGTTCCATCGTGCACTTCTTTCCGTTTGCAAGGCATCGTGAAGATCTCTCAGTTGATCTAGTAGAATTTTAGTTGGGCCAGAGTCGTTGTAGGTGTCATTCTCGGAATCAGCCGTCAAGTCTGACGATGTGGCCGTGATGGCAGAATGTTGTGGTTCGACCACGACGCTGGTGGTCGGCATGGCTTTTTGTGTGGATAAATTGACCGAGATAGACGCCTCTCTACTTCTATGTGGTGGCGTAGTAGGAGTAACTCCATCGGCAGTGCTGACAGTAACAACAGCGCCAGCGGACGGAGTATGTGACAGCAACTCCTTGGGTCTGCCAGACGATAATGCACCCGGCACTTTGAGATAGTCAGACCACGCTTTCTTGGGTGTTTCGTCATCAACTGAGGCAGGAGTAGAGGGCCTGTCTGAGAATACGTCTTCGGATCCCGGACTTCCAGCCCTGAGATTAGCCAAGGTCTCGGTGTTGCTCATCTTGTTCTTTTTATGGACCCGAACCTGCAGATTTTCTCGTTTTCGACGGTATTGGTCGAAGATAAACCCGTACCTGTCCGTCAATAGCCCATGTTTGTCATCATATTGGCTCGTCATGGTCGGTGGAAGTTGTGAGCTTTCAATCATAGAGTCCAGCTCCACAGTAGGAGGGAGGTTGCTTGCATTCGACTCTTTTCGGACGTGATTTGGACTAGTATTGAGTCTGTTTGGGGTTGGGGCACGCCTAGGTGGAGGGCGCATTTTGGCATTGTCCGAGGCAGGTAGGGACGCTGACGATTTTCCAGCGACCTGGGTTTTGATTTTCGATAAGCTTGAAAGCGACGCTTCTGCATCAGTAGGCAGCGCTGCATTACCATTGGCATCTTGTCCTAGTGATGAAGCCCTGGATCGGCCCGGCTGTGTCTTCCCACTGAATATCTGTGTCCAGGAAGTAAAAGAACGAGCTGACTGGTTTGAGCGTACACTAATCTCATCACCAAGCTTAGGTTTTCTCAACGACTTCCCTCCTATGAAATAGCTGGTGGTTTGTGAAGGTGGCTGGAAGATACTCTGGAGTCCTGATAGCTTCGTTGGATTGATGCCACTGACTTTTGGCCGGAGGGTGGCGTCCATATCTTGACTGTTTTCACTGATTGAGCTGTTCGCTCGGCTTGGAGTTCTGCTGCCTTTGAGCTGCGTGGACGCCGTGGACGTAGCTCTACTACGACCGCCCTGATTATTGTCGACTTGCGAGAAATTTGGATCCGGCCCATCTCGGGTCAGATCCGCTGAGAAGGGCTCATCGACAGGGCTGTTGACGAGGATACCCTCCTCCATGGCTTCGCTCATCATCCCATCCAAAGTGATCACGGATGTTATGTGGTCAGATGAGCCAGAGAGGCTTTGATTTTCTGGACCAGGAAACCCCTGCTCCAGTCGCAATAATCTCTTCTCGACCTCAGGTGTTGAGACACTAGCTTCTCGTAGTAATCGCTTCAACTCTCGCTCCCTGTTGTCTGCGCGGATCCGCAGCGCCGAGATTTCGGCATCCCTCTGAGCCAGATCTGAGGCATACTGCCGGATCAGCTTGACTGCCCCAGTTTTGCTGATTAGCCGTTCAATATGTCCATCACTAGCCAGATGCAGAGAGCCCGGAATATCGAGTGAAGAGCGTGGAGAGTCATCAAAGAGAGCATTCTGTTTGTTGAATGATGGCGATGCGTTCGTCAAACCGGCCAAAGTAGCCTTTCTATCCCGCGCCCTTTGTGATACCGTCCTTAGCGGTTGGGATACCACCTCTTGGATAACGCTTGAAGATTTCTGTTCCGGCTCAGGGGAGAATGATGGGAAGGAAGTCAAGGCCGGATCATCATCTTCGAATGACCTGGCGGAGGCCTTGGAGCCATGTCTTTTCGGTAGCCCGCGCAATGTCTTTGGCTTTTTGTGCTCGGCAGTTGCAGAAGAGTGTGAGGTCTGGGAGGAGGACCGTCTGGACAAATTGCTGCCGTTGTCAGACATGTTGAAGCTGTGTCGCTGGACTCAGGCATCAACATGAATCAGCGCTTTCTATTCGTACCGAAACAAACACCCGCATCTTCGAGTCCGACTCTATAGTATTGCTTCTCGTCAATGGATTCCTCGAGTTGCACCTCATACAATTCGGGGTTGGACCATCGTATCAGATAAAAATGGAGCGTGATTCGGTTGGAAGGGTTTGATTGCAAGGGATGGTAGGGAGTATTTGCAATGCTGAACGTGTCTGCAAACAGGGTGCGGCCACTAGATGAGCCAAACAATCTGACTGTGCTGGAATTGAATGAGTACACGTCTGGGGGTTAGGCATGCTCGCGACAACAGTGCTCGTGTGATATGACGACAAGTCATCCACGGCGCCTTGGTCCGCTGCATGCGTTCTGACCGGGATTGATGGTGGCACCGCGTTTCGTGTCAGGGGGTCGAATCGTGGAACGGAACGGAGAGTCACTTGGGATCCGGAGGCATAAGTGGCTGATGGGCGCATTAGCCACCTGCAGGAAAATAAAACGAGTCTGACGCCGTCTTTCCCTAGCACTCGTAGAACTCGCCGCGGAACAAGCTCCCTTCCGCATAGTACCTATGCACAGTACACTAGCTAGGCCTTGCGCAGTGAACGTAGCCAACTAATGCGGCCTCTGAAGGAGCCGATGCATGAGCATTTTGGTAGCAGAGAGTAAGAGTCTCTTTTTCTTCACCGCAACGGTTGAGCAAAAGTAACCAACGCAAGCACTGTCCAATGGACGCCTGACCAGTGTCACAGGAGAGAGCGCTGTCAGACGGGCCGTATTTCCTGTAGTCTACGGCGAAGCGTTATGCCCGCTGCCGCGTATCTCTCACATCTCGTCTTCGGAGCCTGTCATGACATTGTCTATCGCGCAAGTATAGAACACTGTGGAAGAGAACTCTCCGACAGCGACCCTGGACACTCAATCGATTGATAATCTCTTGTTGTTTCCCCCGGTCATCCCACTACATCGAAAGAGAAGTTGCGACGGATTTGGCCTATCCCAGAACACACAGGCAAACGACCATGGAAACGAGAACAACACTGCATCTCGGCTTTTGAGTCCAACAATGACCTTCCGATGATGCTCACTTCACCTCATTAGTTCCTGTTACAATTTCCTACGCACCGCCGAACCTCACAGGAAGGGTCAACATGGGTCAAGGATACTCGATGACCACGCTCTCGGCCGCGTCTGCTACCATTGACGTACCTGAACTGGCGGATCTCATCCATGAAAAGACACTGGCATCCGCTCGATTCATGAAGAGTGTTCGAGCCCGCAGTCCGCAAGGCTTCGTGTTTGTCAAGGCCGTTATGAAACCCTACTCATCGTTTCAGGTACAAGAATATGTCCGGCAGATCACCGAGGAGAGAAACGTCTTATCCGACATCCCCAATGCCCTGGGCTACCAGAGAATTGTCGAGGTGGGCAGTGGTGGTTTTCTTGTTCGCCAGTATATGTTCAGCTCAGTCTATGATCGCATCAGCACCCGGCCTTTCTTGGAAGACATTGAAAAGAAATGGCTGGCTTTTCAACTATTGTGTGGTGTACGCGACTGTCATGCGAGAAACATCTACCACGGAGACATCAAAACTGAGAATTTACTCGTCACGTCCTGGAACTGGCTCTACCTAACCGACTTCTCGTCATCTTTCAAGCCCACGTACCTACCAGAAGACAACCCGGCCGACTTCTCTTTCTACTTCGACACCTCTAGTCGTCGAACCTGTTATATCGCTCCCGAAAGATTCACGACTTCGGAATCAGACGATACGCAAGGTGATTTGACCTGGGCCATGGATATATTCAGCGTTGGTTGTGCAATTGCAGAAATGTTTCTAGAAGGGCCCATATTTTCCCTCAGTCAAATCTTCAAATATCGTGCCGGCGAGTACAGTCCAGAACATACCCATTTGAACAAAATCGAAGACCCAGAGGTCAAAGCTATGATACTAAACATGATCGAGCTGGACCCAGAAAAACGTTACAGCGCTGAACAGATCCTCTCATTCTACAGAGGCAAGATCTTCCCGGAATACTTCTACAGTTTCCTGCACCAGTATATGTGGGATCTTACCAGATCTGCAACGGCCACAAGGCCTGTAGGCCTTGATACTGCGAGTCTCGCCGAATGCGATGAGAAGATCAACCGAGTTTACTTCGACTTTGACAAGATATCATTCTTTCTAGGATATGGCCCAAGTCCCGCCAAAAAATCCTCAAGGGCACCGCTCACCCTGAGATCAAGCAATAGAGCCAAGGCAGCAGACACCGACCCTTCACTATACGACGGAAGTCTCATTTTTCTTACGCTGGTAGTCTCGAGCATGAGAAATACTGCCAAAGCCTCAGCAAGGCTTAAGGCGTGTGATCTGCTTGTCGCTTTCGCAGAACGGCTTCCCGACGAGGCAAAGCTTGACCGTATTTTGCCTTACATTATCGGGTTACTTTCAGACTCTTCGGACGTTGTGGTGGCAGCAGGAATCTATGCCATGACTTCGATATTTGAGATGATCGAAGTTGTCTCCCCAATCAATGCTTACGTCTTCCCGGAGTACATCTTCCCCAGGATGCGTCACTTCATTCTAAATCCGACCACTCAACCAAGCGTGTTGATTCGATCCGCATATGCTTCGTGCCTAGCATCCTTAGCCCTGTCCTCTCTGCGAATATTGGACATGGTTCATGCCATTCGTGCTGACGGCCGACTTCCCGCTTTACGAGAGGACGATCTCGCGCCGGAGTCGTCCTATCACGGCTTGTACGACATAGCAAGAGCAGAGCTAATACCACATTTTGAAGAAGCAACCATCGCGCTACTTACGGATCCAGAGCCACCCGTTCGCAGAGCTTTACTGGGTTCAATCACTCGCCTATGTGTCTTTTTCGGAAGCTCCCGAGCAGGCGACGTGGTTCTACCTCATCTCAATACTTATTTGAATGATAAAGATTGGATTCTTCGATGCTCTTTCTTCGAAGCCCTTGTTGGTGTTGCATCATATGTTGGCACGTCTAGTCTGGAGAAATTCATTCTCCCAATCATGGTGGGTTCCCTTACCGACATTGAGAATTTTGTCGTTGAAAAAGTCTTTCGATCTCTCGCGCGAATGGCAGCATTGGGTCTCCTACAGAAATCCACGACATGGGAACTCATCGGCATTGCGGCGCGATTCCTCGTGCACCCTAGTATTTGGGTCCGAGAGAGTGCTGTGCAATTCCTTGTGCTGTCAGCTAGGTACATCTCGGCCGCAGACCAGTACTGTATCGTGGTTCCGATGATACAACCCTTCTTGAGAACCAAACCGCATGTCTTGTCAGAGGATCGTATCCTCGATAACTTGAAAAGACCGCTTCCGAAGGCCGTCTTTGATGCCGCCGTGCAGTGGGCAACGAGAAAAGGGAATAGTCTATTCTGGACCGCTGCAAGTCGTGATGGTGCCTTGAGCCTGTCAGACCCGGCAATGCCACAGAATCCATCCAACTTGACAAAGAGGCTCTTGACACGAATCCCGCCGTCACAAAAAGACAAGGATGACCAGGCATCCTTTGAAACTCTAAAAAACCTTGGTATGACCGCAGATGACGAGATTAAGTTGCTTGCATTGCGTGAATACATCTTCAAAATATCGAAACACAAACCCCCGGACGATCCCAATGAGAAGCACGCCTTCCTGAACAATATCGTATCCCTCAACCAAATCAACGTGACGCCTCAGAACGTATTCTTCGACCAGCGCGAAGCTTTACGAGAAATCAAAAGCCGAGTAAGTCTCGTAAAGGGGACGAGTCGAAAAGATGAGCGGCATAGTCTGGCAGATGCGTTGCTGGATGCCTCTACCAGCATAGATGAACGTCGGCGGAACTCACCCTCCGATAATGGAAGTGGCAGACAGACCCCAACAACGAGACCGATTGATATCCGATCTCGTATGAACGAGATCAAAAGCTCTGGTCCAGTGGTAAACGTCGAAACCGCAAGTAGTCCATCGAGGCCCAGTGTCTCAAACGGCACTGGGTCGCCCTTGGACCGATTGTCGTTACGTCGTAAGCCCCTCGAATTGAGGCACCGGAACAGCGGACTCAATTTGATGAACCGAAGGGACTCCACAAAAGCAGATGCTGAGATTTCGACGAGCTCAGAGAACGCTTTTGGAAGAGTCGACGGCCCTCCACCTCGCAAGGGCGCCGCAGGGCCTTCGGCTTTGACCGTTGCAGCAAGCAGAGCGGCCAAGTCGAGGTCTGTATCTCCCAGAAGTGGAGGCAGTGGAGGTTCTCGCACACCGCTCTACGAACCGAACCATTCGTACACAGGTAACGACCCAAATGTGCTAAGATTACTCGATAATCATTTTATGGAGAACTTCCCCGTTGACCAGATGGACTTTGGCCCCAATCGACCTCCTGCGGATAGCAAAACAGCCATAAGAAGAGCAACGGACGTCTTCCAGCAAAACACCGGCCGAGTCGCCCAACAGGAACTTTCATTCCGTGCAGACCCCTGGCGCCCTTCGGGTCAACTCGTCACACAATTCTCCGAGCACACTGCTGCCATAAATCGAGTTTGCGCCGCTCCCGACCATGCCTTTTTCGTGACGGCTTCCGACGACGGCACGTGCAAGATCTGGGATACCATTCGTTTGGAGAAGAACGTCACACCGCGATCAAGACACACTCACCGCCACGCGGAAGGGACAAAAGTCAAGAGTCTCTGCTTCGTAAGTGGCAGCCACACTTTCTTGAGCGGAGCAGACGATGGAAGCATCCATGCCATCCGGGTAGATTACAAGAGCGTCGATGGTGGCGAGAGCTCCAGATACGGTAAACCCATCCTTGTCAGAGACTATCAGATTCCGTCGAAGTCGGCGACGCAGAACCTCGACTTGGTCACAGAGGCTGCTGCTGTAAATGTCAAACCAGAACATGCCGTCTGGATGTACCATTACCGAACTCAGACTTCACAGTCTGTCCTTCTCGTCGCCACGAACGAATGTCGGATCCTTGCCGTTGACCTCAAAAACATGGAAGTCATTCACTGTATGGAAAACCCCGCTCACCACGGAACTCCGACCACGTTCTGCGTCGATAAAAAGCACCACTGGCTGCTGCTGGGGACGAGTCACGGGATTCTGGATCTCTGGGACCTCAGATTCAGGTTGAGGCTGCGCAGCTTCGGCATCCAGACCGATGCACGAATCGACCGAGTCATAATCCATCCAGCAAAGGGCCACGGAAGGTGGGTGATGGCCAGCGCCGGCGGCGAGATCAGTGTGTGGGACGTTGAGAAGTTGGTATGCCGCGAACTGTGGCGCCCCAGCACATTCATCCCACCGACTAGACCACGACCCTACGAAGTCTGGTCGCCTGACGAAGAAAGCAGCGAACGAATCTTGTCACGCTTCGCTCGGTCGTCAGCGGAAGACGGCGTAGTGCCTGCTGCAGCCCCTCAGGTTCATCCTGCGCTCTCCAATGGATCCCCCGTCAAGGCGAGACTGGCCGGTACTGGGGAAACGGCGGACTTGCCAAAGCAGCCTTCTTGGTCCGCGCCATCCATTCCAGCAGTGTACATTCTCCATGACTACTTGGCCAACCCGTCTCAGCCGGACAACCCTCACAAGTACCCGCTCCTCTTCACGGGCGGTGCAGACCGCGACTTGAGGTACTGGGACGTTCAGCGCCCTGAGAACAGTTTCATCATCTCCGGTCCAGACCTCTACAGTGACGACGCGGCCGTCAAAGCGACGTACGAAGTCACGTACCCGTTGGCGTTGAACGCCGGTGCTCAGATCGCGCTAGTGCAGGAGAAGTTGGGCGAGGATGCCGCGAGCGGTGGTGGTGGAAGCAGCAGCAGCACTCGCGGCACGCCTAAGAAGCAGCCGCCCTCACGCTCCATCAAGGATCACGATGCTGCGATAAGATCCGGTAGCCCGGTGTCCCAAGCAGCTGCCTCGCCTTCCAAGGCGTCTTCGTCTGGATTGTCGTCGTCAGCGTCGGCAAAATTGCCTCGCAGCACCATTATCAGCACTGCGCAGCAACACATTCTTCGCACACACATGGACGGTATCACGGACGTGGTGGTGCTGAGAAAACCTTACGGCTGTGTGGTTAGTGTTGATCAAGCTGGAACAGTCTTCGTCTTTCACTGAGACTTTGACTTTGCCTGGAGTGGCACTACCACTGTCTCAAAGAAGGATGTAGCCATAATAATATTATTTTAGTTGTGACCTAGAGCCTGTCGCTTTGGACCCTCGTTTCCCGCAAAAACAGCTTGAGTCCGAGCCCGACGCAAATCGGGAAATAGATACTCGCTGCACAGCTCCTCGTCGTCGAGTAGTAGAGTTTGTCTTCTTCAGATCATCTGTCCCTTTCCAAAACTCCAGCTCAAGTGGCACCTCATTGCCGTTGATCACCGTTGGTGTGTGGCTGTGGCTGCACGCTGATAAGTTTGTTCCTATCACGGCATCCTCCCTGCATCTCGTGTTTTTAAGTTGACGTTCAAAGTCTCCTCCGTCACCGTCTCGACGTCTAGCTCCAAAGCCCTCATGTCACCATCATTCGTGATTGTCGATTAGCAGAATAGCTCTGAATATTTCCAAATTTCATGTCAAATTCTCGTTTCAGCTCCAGCGTCATAATTCTGTCGGTGGGAGGATTGAGGCCCGAGGGACGAGATTTAGAATGGTCGAGGTGGCAATCGTTTGGTCACGTCGGTGCCATCGTCGTCATCGTCTTCCTCTTCATCCTCCACAAGAATGAACTCGTTCTGTCCTTCACCCTCTTTCACGCTGCCAAACAGCTCCAACAGTTGATGCACAGTCGCGCGCTTGCTGAGACTGTCCGGGCCAATCGCCCCGCTGACTTCGATGTCCTTGCGTTCCTGCATGTTGACGAGATCTTCATCGATCGAGTTCTTGACCACAAAGCGGAGGACCTCAACTTTGTTTTGCTGTCCGATGCGAAAAGCGCGACAATACGCCTGTGCCTCGACGGAGCTGTTGAACCAGAGGTCAAGAATGATAACCTTGGACGCCATGGTCAGGTTGAGACCTATGCCGCCAGCCCTGAGCGAGCAAATCATGATGCAAATTTCAGGCTTATCCCGGAAGTTCTCAATGGCCTTCTCTCGTGCGTCCAAGGTCATTTTGCCGTTAAAGTTCACGTATCCCCATTCTTCAGTCTCGCATATGCGTGCAAGGATGCGACACAAACCGAGAAATTGGGTGTAGATGATGATCTTTTCTGACTTATTCTTTTCTCGCCAGTTGAGGATGGCGGCTTTCGTGGCCGTGAGCTTGGCTGACGGAAGGACTTGGCCAAATTCAATCCAGTCGCTAGGTTCTTTGCCCTGATCATCCTCATCTGGACTATTGCGGCCGCGACTTGTACTTCTGCGACCCTTTGCTGCTGTCTGGCGCTTTCCCTTGAGCCTCTCGGCTCTCTCTGCGACAGGAGCCAAGTTGAACCCAAGTTCCTTCAAGCCAGAACATGGGGATGTCTCTTCAAACAGAGTGCCGCACTCCAGACAAGCAACTTTGGGCCCTTCTCCTTTTTCCAACCTCAGTTGTGCAAGGCACTCTTGACAGTATACATGGAAGCACGATGTACACATTGGCTCGTCGGGAAGAGATTGGCATTTGGCGCACTTAGACCGGGCATGAAGCTCGACCCAGGTGTTACTCTCACTCAGTTCACGGAGGAAGCGCCGAAACTTGAAAGTGAGCCCGAAAGAGGCGCCAGTACTGATGGCTGATTCCGCATTCTCGATCTCCAAGGCATCTGTCGAAGTAGATACGTCGTCATGGCGTGTCTGGCATGTTGTTATCGTCTTGTCCTTTTGCTGGAGCATCTTCCGGAGTGCAATGATGGTCTCCGAGGTTCGATGGGTGCCCTGGTCGACCGTCTCGACTTCTTTCTGCGTCAGCTGCCAGAGGTTTTCAATGTCTGCGGCGACAAACATTTCCTTTAGGGTGTCCTGACAGAGGAAGATATGGGAACAAAGCATTCTGAGACGCAAAATCATGCTCAAGATGTTGCTGTAATTTGCCGTGAGATTTCCAGAAGAGGAGAATGTGTTGATTTGTTGTGCGTAGCGGCGCTTGACCATCGAGTAGATAGCGCGCTCTACGGAGTTAAACTCGACTTCATGAGTTGTATGTGAGATTCCGGGCAATTTGACGATCGGCGCATCGAACAGGCTGTCGACATGCGTACGCCGTAGCATTATGGAGCGGAGGATATTGTGAATGCGTGCCATGTTGACTGGTTCGCGATTGGAACGATTGTTGCAGTAGTTATGACAAAAAGTAGTGTAGTCGCCCGTATGGGGAACTCGAAGGAAGGAGAAGTATGGAAACAACTCCTCAATATAGTTGAGGATAGGTGTTCCTGTAATGGCCCACCGGAAGTTTCCAGTCAGACCTCGGACGGCGATTGAGGTCTTGGAATTGTGGTTCTTGATGGCGTGAGCTTCATCGAGAACAATGCGATGGAACTTCATCTTGTGTAGAGGTCCACAGTTATTGACATAGAAATCTCTCCACCACTCGTTCTTCTTGGCCTCCGAGGAGAGATGCTTCGGCGGATCGATCATAGGGTAACTTTTTTGGACTTCTGAATAGGTCGTGAGAACAATATCGTACGATGACAGGTCGGCCACGACGTCGTTGCTCATCAGACGAGAGCCGTTGTGGTAACGGAGAATCCGTCCAAGCGCTCTGGGTTTGACATGCTTATCCATCTCGACCATCCATTGGTTGATGAGAGCAGGTGGTGCCACGATCAATGTTGTCTTCACAGCGCTGCCTTCCTCTGGCTTACCATCGAGAATGTTTGCACTATTTGGGTTAGCGGAGTAAGATCATCTAGCTCTTGACTTACATCATCTGAATGGTCTTGCCGAATCCCATCTCGTCGCATACCAAACCACCATGTGGTCTGGTCTTACTGCGTTCGCGATCACGCAGGAAAGCAGCACCAAGGAGCTGGTGATGGTAGAGAGAAGACTCCATACCGCGGAGCTTCCAGCCACCTTGCCCATCTGATCGGATGGCACCGTGACCGTTGAATTTCTTGGATGCTTCGAGAATCGCATTTTTCTCTGAAGAGTGTAAACGCTGTTCCGAGTTTGGAATGCTTGCAATCAGTTCTTTCAGAGCCTTGCTTTTGTCCTTTGAGGAAAAGGTTGGCATGTCCGGTCGTTCCGCATTAGCCTGAGCAGGACCTATGATGTTGGTTGATCCCAAGCTTTGAAGATTGCTCAAGGCTGGTCTTCGTCGCTTCGGAGTGGACTTGGTTCGCTGCCTCTTTCGCGGTTCCTGGCCCTTGTCCTGAGTCTTCTTCCTCTTAGGCTTGCCAGTCCCCAAACGAGTCAACCCGGCAGAAATCGCCTCATCTTTGTCTTTGGCAGTGAGACGATTTTTTGGCTTTGGAGTTGCTTTCTTGCTGTTTTGAGGCGGCTCAGGGCGCTCGGGAACCTCTGGAATGAAGAGCGAATTCTCATCTTCTTCTGAAGGCTGATCTGGTACTTTCACCGGTTCTTCTATTTCTATCTGGCTCCGTTCAAAGTCCTTGATACGCTGTTCTTCTGCACTCTTGGCGGTGGCATATAGAATTTCGTCTTCTTCTGTCGTAATGCCCTGAGCTTGCCGACTTTCAAACTCTTCTTGGAGACGTGCAAACGTGGCCTTGCGAGTCTCATTCTCCTTGATAGCGGTTTTGGAATCCTCAACAAGCTCGGCATCCCAATTCACGCTCTCAACGTTGACAGGTTTGAGGTTGACAGGTTTAGAATCAGAACTGGGATGGTTCGCCCTGAAAGCCGCCAATGCCGCAACATCGCCGGCGGCCATATCATCACCAATGTCCTCAGACGCCATTGTAAAAAGACTGCGACGCGGCGCTGGGGCGACAAACGGTACGATGGATCATGAAGTTGAGTGATAGAATGAAGGAGAATGACAGAGAGATGGATGAGGAGGAGTGGTGTGAGTGGAAGGATTGGTGAGGAGAATGGTGAGAGGCATGATAGATCGGGGTGAAAGGAGAGGCATATATAGAATAGACAACATGCTGTGTTGGTCACGGCGGCTACCTGGCGTAGAAGGAGGCCCTTGTGCATAGGAACTCACCCGGCTGGCACCTCCTGGCATCGAGCGTCTTGATGCTGGTGGGAGCCTCGGACAGACAATAGCTGTGTATGTGTAGCCCAAATCCAGTACCTACCAAGCTCATATGTTCGGGCATCACTGGCCTGCATGTCGGTCACAGTAGCAAACGCAGCAGGCTCGGGCAAGCGTCGTGTAGAGGGTCGACTGGGCAATGCAGGCGAGGGAGTGGGATTAATGTGTGGAAGATGCTGGCCAAGGCTGCGGTGAACATCACATACTGTAAAGGGATTAGTCGCCGCTTTCTACACCGTAATTTGTTCGCTGCCGCAGGCACTGACTAATAGACTATTAAATACCTCGATGCTAGACCCAACATCTTCACCGTCACCGACTAACAGCTTCTGCTGCTTCTGCTCCATATCTATATTCTGTGCCCTGCGAGCGCAATGTATCCTACTTCTCTGAATCTACGGCACAGCCGATCCCAAATTGCCGCCGTCACTCTTTCGCACGCACTGACCCTGTTCACCGGTTCCTCGCGTCCCAGCCACGAACCTCGATCCTGAAGTGATGCCTGTGGCCGGTTGCTTAGCACACTTACACCGCCGTGATAGTATCTTGCAGAGATGCTAGGAAGATTGATACAGGGATACTCGAGAGGTGGGCAACTCGAGAGTGCGACCGAGGAGACTCACACTCGTACGCTTCTCTGGCCGGAGGTCACCCCCGACGGACGCTATGGCTCCCTCTCACCTCCTGCGACTCCCTTCGGCTCCCCGAGCCTTCGTGCTTCTCCCTTTGACGACCGAGCTGGGTTGGACCTGAACGAAACGAAAGATATCCGAATCGTCATCGCCCAAGATGCCTTCGGCACACATGATCGCCCCATGCTGCTATATGACACCCAGAATGCGGAAACGGCCTCGGGCGTTGCTTCGCCCACAGGGTATAACGCCTCCCCCTTTGGCAGTGGTAGCACGCCCAAAGAACCCTATAGCCCAATCACTGGACACATGAGGAATAGGAGCTCTACGATGTCTGGGTCCCCGGCCTCGTGGGCACGCCCAAATAAAGAGTCAGAGCCCACAGATCATATCAGCAATGTGTTGGACTGTATGTTTGGAGTGAGCAGCGCCACAAAGTCCGGCGCAAGCACCAAAATACATGTCTTGCCGGGACAGCGTCCAGCTGCAACTGGTCCAGCTGGTCGAACATCGTCCTCGAATGTCCAGAGTCCAACTCCACTGCGTGCACCTTTAGTGAGAGCAAAAACTTCTGGCAATCCCACCGCGGCCCCTCGGCAGACTGGGTCGCCCAAAGAGGCGGAAGTGGAAACTCGAGACTCAATCTTGATCACTAGGATCTTTCCTGTGACCCTACCCGAGAGCAAGGATGACTTGAGACAACACCGAAGCTCTTCCACGGGACAAAGTGATGCTGCAAGTCCTTCCACTCCCGGACGGGAGCTGCACGAGCAGGGTTTGCACGGAAAGAAGCCTAAACTTGTTGAGAAGAAGACTCCAGTCTATGCAATCGGGTTGCTGTTCTATCTGCCACGTTATAACGATATTCGCTCAGGTACCTCCACCACGCGACCAGCTTCAAGGGCCTCTTACAACAGCATCTCTACCCCTGCTTCTTACGGATCTGATACTTCGTGGATTTTCTTGAATGCAATTCCCGATCATCTATTTCCCCAGGAAACAACTAGTCAATCTACCGACCGGAGTATGGACATCATTGTTCAGAACTGGGATGTTATTCTCAGAAGCCTTTCTGTTGTCGAACAGGTTGCTCGTGCTGAGATTGGCGATCTGTTACAGCAAGTGAATCTGGCTATGATCTCCTCAGCAGCAAAAGCACCGAAAGGTCCCTCGGAGCAGCGCACCAATCAACGCAACGTATATCTGAGAGCGCCCAATTTACTGGCAGAGGCTAGCTATTTACGCCCGCTGATGAGACATGCTCTGGGACGGATGTCGTACGCTCTTAGAATCCCGCGTGTATTGACTGGGTTCGGCTTGGATAATGGAGGCCATTGGCTGGACGAAGCACGGTATCTCGTTCGTATATGCGGGAACAAGCAGCAGAACTTCTTCCTCTTCAACTTGTTGACTGCCTTTCTCGGGAATCATACCGAGTGGCTGGAGCGTGTGAGCCCGGACTGGTACAGGAAACAAGTGAAAGCATTGAACAAGACTCGGACTTCCTCTAGCAGCCTTGCTTCTCGCACTGTCATCATTTGCGATAACCGTTCAATGGCTCGCAGGCTCATCTTCCTGTTGGCCACTTTCCTGCCGCGCTCGGTAGGAGCAACGGCATTGGCGAAGGTTGGCGGAGATTATATATCTCCATTAATGACACCTGATGTCGAGTTTTCATCTCCAGCAAGGAGGGCGCTACGGGGCGGTTCAATGAGACTTCATGCTCACACCAAATCCCGAGAAGGTTCATTGGCCTTCCCCACTCGTGAGACTCCATACTTGTCAACCAGCGTATCATCGACAGACAGCGTTGGTGGCCTGGGTAAAGCTTTGCAAAGCAGTTCGCGTTCAATCTTGTCGCGAAACGAGAATGACTTGCTGGCAACCAAGCAAGCGTCGGTGTTCACGCCAGATGGGAATGGCGCGATTCAGAAGACGGACGCCACGAGCTCAACTGCCAGCCCTGGTGGGAGCACACCTGTCCCTTACTTTTCCGCCAAGGCCGACAGCTATTTTCCCCATGGAGCTGTTGCAGATGCAGAGGAAGGCAGCGCTAGTGCAGATCTGGCCCGAATTCTTCGAAGAGACAGCAGCAGTCAGCCTCAGAGTGGCCAATCAAGCATCAATTGGGGTTCGTTGATCAGCAATGTCAGTGGTTTATGGGGTAAAAGGGGGAGTTCATCCTCGTCCGCTGCTGAAGCATCGACCTCATCTGCTGCAGGAAGTCTGCGGGATCGCAGGAAGAATGCGCCCCCAACTGTGTCCATACATGCAAGGAAAACTAGCCAACTGGAAAGGATGGTAAACGAGGCGAACAGCTTGCGCAAAGTGGACACGGAACATGAAGGTAGCCGTGCCGCTATACCGATCCAACGACCTCCAACATCTGGCAAAGAAGCTCAACCGCCCCGGCTCACCGTAGACGATAAGGACGGTGTGGTTGATGTTGACATCAGTCTTCCAGGATTCGTTGGCTGGACAGAGGGGAAATGTGCTTCCCCAGCTTCGTCTTTCAGACTTCGGTCGCCTTCGGTCACTAGTACGGACGATGCAGGCTCTTTTCTCAGTCGCCATTCCAAGCGCATTGATGGTGCTGGCTCGAAGCCTTTGAACGTTGCCGGTTTCTTGAGGCGTTATCATGAAGATTTCATCCTTCAGGGTGTGAAGCCTTACCCAGATCTTAAAGAGGAAGTTCGGCAAAGCATGACGAGGGAACTCACTCCGCCTGAAGATGTGCGAAGCTCGTGCCTAGAAGAACAGGACGGGGAGAGATGGGTTAACGTTTGCACTACTCTCCTCGCGGACTGTCGCACCTTCACCATCCAGCGTCTCACGTTACAGCGCCGACTAGAACATGAGGCATCGACTGCAAAGAAAGATGTATACTCCCCTATAACGAAGCCGGAGAGTGGCTCTTCCGGCCAACGATCTTACCGCGCTCCCGTATTCCAGGACGAAGACACAGAGCGCTTTACCAGTGAAACGGTCATGGACTTTGACACTACTCTCACCGATGCAATTGAACGAGTACTTGATGAAACAGAGCAGTCAGGTCTCAAAACAGTAACTCCATCAAGAACCCACTCGAGAGTTTTGTCTACTGCGTCATCCGCCAGATCCGAACCTTTGGACATCTCTGGTGCAAGTAAGACTAGATCTGGCTCCCGTGCCCTGATGCCATCTCAGACCGAATGCCGCCAAGCTGTGGTCGGGGCTTTGGAGGAGGTGGTAAAGAGTGTCAACGATGATCTAGCAAAGCACCCGCGCTCGAAATATTCTGACGGCAGTCTTAATGTGGACCGCAAAGCCCTAGAACAAGAGATGAAACAAGACAATATCCTACGTGAAGGTGTGAAGAAATGGTTACTCAAAGTAGAGGCGAGGAGTGTGTGGTAGCTTTCTACCATGACCTGTATATATGACGACTGATGATTTTCGAGGATTGATGCATTTCCAATCCTCCCGCTCACGAAGATACCCGTTGAGCAGATGTACCAATAGTGACGCTTGAAGACAGATGTACGATGACGAGACGGAGCATAGAGAATCAATGCCATTTACTTCATTGTGCGCTTCCCCAGCGGTGTAAGAGGAGTTGAGGACCTGCAGGTAGCCACGGAGTTCCTGGCAGCCAACCTGGTCGTTGAATTGCTGTAGGCTGCACATAAAGCGGCGACTTTATGTTTCCCAAACAGGACAAGCCAAGATGCTGCCGCTCTTGGCTTCATCAACTTACAATGCTCTTGATCTGCCATTGCCGCTGTGAACATACAAGAACATCCTCGATGGTGGGACTCCAACAATGCCACGGTGGCTGTCTCCGAAGATAGGAATTGGACATAAATCTACCTGTATGGTCTGTCTCGAATCACCGTGATCTCTATGCCTCGAACATGTCGCCTTGTTCTTACCGAATATGCAACCATCACAACACTGGCGTGAGGTAAGCACCAAGGTCGGCGCCGTCTGAGCACCCTCAACGTCAAATGAAAGGCTCCAGCATTCATCGCCGCACCAGCAGCGGGTCTACAGTCAAAGCTGCCGGAAGAACTCATTCGGCTTTGAGCAATGGCGGTACGGCCCCTCGCACAAAACCGACTGTCCGTGCTACCCTTTGGATCCACGACGATAACTTCTCGACTGAGGATGTTCTTGTGAATGAAGCCTTTCTGGAAGGCACAGACATTCGCGAAGGCAGTCTAATCGAGATTTTCCGGACGAAGGAGACTTCTGATGTTCGCGACTTTCAATCTCCAGTCACCGAAACAGAGGACGCGGCTTTCAATGTCTCAGGAAGACCATATGCGGAACGCGATGCCGATGCTGCGACACGGTACCTCTGTGTCGCTAAATATGCTCCATTAGATCTCACTGCAAGGCAGGCCGGTCTCCAGGTTTCTGTGAAAACCAATATAGCCAATGCTTTCGGCCTTCGACCACGGTCCCAAGTGTGGATAGTTCCTGCTTCCTTTGAAGAACGAACGGCGTCTCATGTTGAGTTCAACTTCAGAGATGCCTACCTGGCAAGATCCGATATGTGGAGGCTTGTTGGTCAAGAATTAACTGGAAGAACAATCTATACCGGGCAAAAGATCACCTTCCTGGGCACAATCAAGCTGACTGTGAAGTCAATTCATGTCCAGAGTCACAAAGTGGCAGCTGGATACTTTTCAGGGACCACGATCCCAATCTTCCGAAGCGAAGCCGCTCGTTATGTACTTTTCATCCAGATGTCCAGTGAGATGTGGGACTTCGACTCCGAAGGCAATGGCGAGATTATGTTCAATCGCGTCATCAACGGCTTCCTCCCCGACCTCTTCAAGAGATGGACTGACCTGGATGTTCGTCATCTCGTCAGCATTGTCATGTTTGGTCGTCTTGAATACGATCGTTTCGACCTTGCTAGGAATAAAGACAGGAGAATGGAGACTACATCCGCAACGGGGGCCCCAAACATGACCGCGAGACAATACCAAGACTTCTACCGGGTTGTTGTCACGGACATGGCAAGCGCACAGTGGACAACAATATTGAATGAGCTCAAGAGGGATTTTCGTGTCTTCCTCAGGGATATCTCTCTGCACACATCAGTCAACAACGAGATAGCGGTCAAGGATGCCAAGGCAAATGGCACACGCATCGCCGGGAGACCAAGTACAGCACTGAAGGGGAATATCTTGGAAGCCATCAACATAGCTTCGACACAGTTTGCCAACGACTTTGTTGACCGTGACCTTATTCGCACCGGGATCTCAATAGTGGTCGTCAGTGCCGGAACCGGGGTTTTCGAGGTCGACAGAGATCTTCTCAATTTGACGTCGCAGAATCTGACGAACAATGGAGTTGGAATTGACATTGTCTGTCTGTCCAGAATGCCTCTTCACTCTGTGCCCTTGTTCAAATATCGTATAAGCGCCTCCGAAGATTCTGCTCAGTCTTTACTCACCTCCAACGTCAATATCAGTCCTCGAAGGTCTGGTTCTGGCCCAGCGTTATACGATTCCAGCCAACCGCGTAAGCTATCGCCAGCCTTATCGTCCATCACGTCAAACAGTCTTCGACACCTTACTAGTTACATTTCTGGTGAAACACATGCCGGCGTACGCGGCTGGTGTTTTGGGATTCCTCAATGGGTTGATCTTTCATACTGGTCTGCTGAAGACGACCAAATCGATGCACTTGCACGAGAAGATGAGCCAAAGCGAAAGAAACGTCCCTTTGTCCCACGGGTTCGCATGTATGAGATTCAAATGATGGGCCTCATGGAGCTGGGACTGGCGGACATGAGAATACCTTTCATGAGTGAAAGCCAGACCTTGACCCTGGGAAAAACGAAACACTACAAGTATAAGGACAGACGTGCAAGTGCAGCTAGGTGCTTGTCCCACTCTCCAACAACCTCACGCAAAACGGGGTCAAGGTTAGACCCAAAGATTCATTACCGAGGACTTTTGTCAACGCATGCGAAAGCATTGGGAGACATATTTGAACGTATGGAGCGGTATGACTCAATGTTGTATCGCTCGAGACCTGGACATCAGCTGCTGTCGAGCAGTCTCAAACAGTCTTCGAGCCTAGAAAAGAGTGCAGCTTTTGTAACATCAAAACTCGATAACGAAAGTCAAGCGCGGATTGGCGAGTCTGTCACGGGGCCAAAGTTGACGAAAGTGACATCCCGCAAAGCGCCCAACAGCGTCTTTCGCCCACAACTCCCATCCGTATTGTCAGCGGACGCATCGGAAAGATCTTTTGTGAAACAAAGTCCGGCAGTACCAAAAGTGAACCGGAATTTAAGTTACTCTTTGAGAGGATTGGCGCCTCCAGTAAGATCTGTACCCAGCACAGAAGTAAACACTACCAATATATCGGCTCAGCCATTGATGAGCATGCTCGGCAAGTCAAAACCAACGGTCGCTACATCCGCCGCTAGTATCCGATCGGTCTCTACTAACAGCCTTGCTGGAGATAGAGAAACTCACCTTCAGCATCGATTCGGAAGTCCAAGGACGACATCTTCGAATCGCGCCAGCGGTATGCCATCGAAGCCAATCTCGATCAATACTCCATTTCGAAAGCATCACGATGATAGGATTGCGCAGTCGCTACGGTCAAACTCAACTTCTCGGCACGTGAGCCATGATGTGGAAGATCCCAAAAATGGCTATGAAACAGAAAGAGAATCAGGAAGTGACAGATCTGCAAGTTCCGCTAGCGATGAAGATGCGAACGACAGTGCTGAAGCCGCGGACAGCTGGATGGGAACATCGATTGCGAGCTCGGTCCCTCGAAGCAACCTCCCATATGTGCGGAACGTCAACGCCTCCAATCCCTTGAAGCGACATCCAGAGCGAGAGTCGTACTACGGCAGATGGCAACATTTATATCCACGGAAGCCTCGCGCCGCTATTGTAAAATGGAGGTCGTTGTGCACACCGGCGTCGGTTCCTTTGACCACTTCAGATTTTCCCTCGAAGCAAGACCTCGAGACGGAGTATGAATCTACTTATTACGATGTCGACCTTAGAGTGCCCAACGATATGCTTGAGGTTCCCGAGTCTCGCGATACCCTCCTCAGAGAGATGCTGGCCTTAAGGTTCTCACATGGCTACCAATTGGTAGTAGGCCCGTCTTTAGTCGATTCCGTGGGGCCTGGCACTTGTGATAGCTCGTCATTCTTCACTCCCGGGCTAGTGAGACCTGATGGGTCTTTTATCTTCTTGTCTATGGGAAACACCATACAAAAGTTGTCTCTTGAGAGATCAGATCGTATCCGGGTCACGCGGTATGTCCGCAAGCAGCCCACGGTAGAGCCGCCATATCCTCAGCACGTCAATTACTACCCCAACATCAAAACAATTCTCTCCGAAAACTACATGATACGAGACATGCAGTTCAAAGGATTCTCAGAGCAGTACCCCTGGGCTCAAGCAGATAAATACCTCTCCGACATGAGGCAGCACGCAGAGGCAGACACCACAGCCCTTAGATTCTGGCGGGCTCGGTTCGTTCTAATTCCAGTGGAGCCGCCTCATACCGCGCGCAGACCGGCGTCTTCCGAAGGAGAGGAGAATGAGGAGGAGATCCATCTGCGCGGTATCAGAGTACTGACTCAGATGTGGCAGAAAGCTCGATTCGTCCCGCTTGACGAAAGGAGACCTGCTCATAATCGCCTAAGCACGATGAAGCGGAAAGATCGCAACCCATTGCGTATCAATCTTGAGACCCTGAATCCGTCCGAGTTGGTGGCTACCGAACTAGACAAGCTCATTGCTGCGGAGGAGGCTGGTGAGCTGCAGCCTACTCAGTTGTTGCCAGAGGAGGAACAGTTCGATCGTGACAGTTTCAGCCTTTCGAAATTGGCACAAGCATTGCAAGGCGACAGAGGAATCGAGATCAAGACCAGACGATGGCATTTGAGGCTACATTATAGCTGTTTCATGGGTGAAGACTTGACCAACTGGCTGGTACACAATTTCAGAGACATTGAAACAAGAGATGAAGCAGTGGAAATCGGCAATGATCTCATGAAGGAGGGCTTGTTCGAACATGTAAACAGCCGGCACAATTTCAAAGATGGCAATTACTTCTACTCCATCAAACCGGAGTGGCGTATTCAGAGACCAGAGAACAAGCCATCATGGTTTCCAACAAGTCGAAGACCAGACCGGTCGATTCCAGCAACCCCCATCAGTGAGCAAACTCCGCGCGAGACAACCACAGGCCGTACGCGTTCAGCATCAAGCCTTGCGAACCAAGCGCAGATCACCTCGGAGCTCGCCAAATCACTTGGTGACAAGAAGAAACGAGCCATCACGCTGAGCAAGATGATCCGGATCGACGTGGACATGAGGAAGCGGTCTAACCGGCCTGAGATTGTCAACTTGCATTACGATAGGCTACACAATCCTGAGAACTGCTATCATCTCGAGCTGGCCTGGCTAAACGTGACTTCGAAGCTGGTTGATGATGCCATTGTCAACTGGACGACCCAAGCAGAAAAGTATGGGTTGAAACTCGTCGAAGTGCCGATAGCAGAAGCATCTAGAGTTCCAGACCACGAGCCTTTCCGTGCTCCCTATCGCATCAAGCTGGCGGTGGAGCCTCCCCAACGGGTGGTGGCTAGCAATGTGTATTTCACTGCGACGTCCTTTGGACCGCAGGCACCACTCAACTCGGACGTGCACCTTTACCAAAAAGCACTGCTGAAGCGTTTCAATTTCGTGCTCGACCTTGAAGCCGCGTGTGAGTTTCCGGAGAATGTGGAGATAAGGTACTCCTGGGGCACGCTGGACTATCGATATACGCAATTCGTGCATCGTTCCGGCGTTTGCCTGGCGCAGATTACCGACGAAGGCGACATTATATTACTTGCTAATCGACTGTACAATTCCAGACTTGCATCTGCCAAGGATACTTCTTCGAGGATGGACAGCACGAAGAAAGAAGTAACCCCAAGCGCTGCTGCGCCGTCTTCGGCGATCTTGCGACCTACACCGTCTATGGCGTCCAGCGCAATCATCAACAGCAATAACAGCTACAGCCACAACCACAACCACGGCACCAGCAGCTCAGTCCCGAGTATGCAAGCGTCCGGTATCATCGGATTGAACGTGGCGTCCCCGAGAACCGCGCCGCATTCATCGCCACTGATGCGACCGCTTTCAAACATTACTCCCATGGGTACCCCTGGCGCGGGTATGTCGACACTAAGTCTGTCCTCGATGTCCATGAGTGCCAGCGCCAGTGCCACGGCGACTTCAGCATCCGGGTCCAACGTAACGATACCGCCTCCGCCAGGCGCGTTGCCGCCACAAGCCACAGCCGACGTGCTTGGACCAAACCGGCAGTCTCTCCTGCTCAGCGGGGCCGCCGCAGGCCAGTACATCACGCCCGAGCAGATCAAGGACGACATCGAGACCTTTTGCCACGACAAGGACACGCTAGAGGCCTTTTACAGGGACGTCAGCGCCACGTTGCCGCAGCTCGTCAACCAGCGCGAGAGGGAGAGGGAACGCAAGACCGGCGGAAGCACCGGCGGCGCCGGCGGAACGAGCTCGAGTCTTCTCCGGCCCGTGAGGGAGGTCACCGTCGAAGGGGAGCTCGGCATCCCCGAGTTCAAGCTGCCCGAGGCCGTGACGGGCCGGAGGACGTCCCAAGGGTAGTTGGTGGGTGACTTACATAAGTGGGGAGGGAGGCGTGTATGTGCAATAAACACGTGTTATATCCGCGTGTAAGTACTTGTCTCGTACTTGTAGTACATTTCCAAGTCCAAATCTCCTCAAGCATGTAGATTGACCATGTGTATGTCCCTTGTCCCTCTCTCTACCAACGTCTCTGACACGTAGCTGGAGATGGAGAAATGATTCCGCCTACGATACTTTAATTTCGTTTTGAAACTCCATAGTCCAAAACGTCTCTGATAGAAGAATCAACTCCACATGGCTCGAGCAGTACTCGTACAGACACCAGAAATCCGATGTTACTTCTCCCCCCTTCCACAGTAGCGGAATATGTTTCATGAGATACCTACTTACATCTTACAACATATCTTCAATATTTGACGCCACCAAATCCCATGACTAGTTAGTCTGTAGTTGCCTACCTATACAATCAATGTTCGCGACCAGTTCCACACATTTTCCGTGCCCTCAAACATCCCCCCACGCAATAATGGGTATTGAGTTGAACCTACACCACGTGTACTTTTACCAAACTCCGAACTAACTCCAAAAAGAAAGAAGCCAAGCGGAAGTCTCCGTAACGGTCATCATGCAACTCTTGACTTCGTTGCCGTGTGCATTATATTATATCGTTGCGTTGTAGTCAGACTCACTTTCACCTAGTGGGGCTGCCACTCCTGCTCTTCGAACGCCCACTGGTGGCTGTTGCGTCTACTCCGAGTCGTTCACAACTCTCTGTTCTTACAACCAGCCCCTTACGATCAATGACAGGAGTCACGCTTCTGTCCAGATGTCGACGGCTACTCTGTCGGGAAAGCGGAGGCTTGCCCAGGCTTGATCCAGATGCTGGGCGGGGTGTGCCCGGGAGATCGTCGTCTGAGCTAGATGCTGAAAGGTTTCCGAGCTCAAAATCAGTCGGATCATATAACCGTGACGATGTGCCGTCTTCAGGATCACGATCATACAGGCTGGCTTTGGACCCACGGTGGAGGATTTTCTGGAGGAAAGTGAGATGGGGTCTTGAAGACTTGTGTGACGAGATGAAGTAATTATAGATCCTTGACCTCCGATCGCGTCCACAAAGATAAAACGCTGCGATTATGACGATCAGGAGAAAGAAGATGAAGCCGGGCAATCGATGCGGTGCGTCCGAATGGAACAGAGTATCGTGTATATGATCGGTTATGCTCTGAGACTCTGTCTTCGAGGGTGAGCCGGAATCTGCAGGGTCGATCCCCTGAAGCATGCCGCCGCTAGGGTATTGGAAGTCGTTGGGCACTCCTGGGACATTGCTGCCGAAGCCAACGGGCAAGTCATTTTCGTGTGCAGGAGGGACGTCTGCCGAAGCGTAAAGGATCATTTTGCCCAGTGTCCAGCTCACTTCTGTGGATCTGATCTCGTTGACGGCCTGGAAGGGGTCGAGAAATCCCTTCTCTTTACTGCTCTCGAGAAGCTCTTTTGTTCCATTATGGGACGAAGTATTAGTGTTTTCAATGCCAACTCTGGGTATCCCAATACCGTCATGAAGCATGTTTATCAACCAGCTGGCTTTGAAGCAGACTTCAACTGCCGTTTGTTCATCAACGCCACCACCCCACGCTTTATCTGCAATGCCCTCCTGGATTTGTGACCAGTCTTGTTCGCAAAAGTCCCTAACTCGAGTTTGATATGTGTTGAAGTCGTATGCCTTGTCTTTATGACCCATCTCGAATATTGCGTGGGTCGTGTGCCAGTACTCGCTTATACCAATAAAGTGGTTGACCTCGAAGTCAATGGCTGGGACATGTACTCCATGAACCAGACAAGGCTCATCAGGGCATGGGGCGTCTTTTTCAAGTAAAGGGAACGTGCGCCGTAAGCATTCATCAAATTTACCTGTACCCAGAAAAAAACGCTTGGGGTTGGTCGCCTTGGACGATGCGAGGAGCTCGCCGTCTTCTGTCAATTTTACCCCTCTGGGCAGACACGGGTCCGGCATCTCGAGGAGGCCGTCAATACCGTATGTATCCTCGAGACCGTCAACATAGCGCCTTCGTGCCTCGTTTGCGCCGAAACCAAGCCATGTGGTCACGAAAACCTTGTATTCGTGCGGTACACCATCTATTGTTCTCAAACGGAGGAGGGTTAGATCGTTGGCGTGCTTTTCTGCTTCTGTGGCATTGGGCGCAAATGCAATCTGGGCCGAGGCACCACCCATGTCGAGAAAGCCATATGTGTGATGACCTTTGCCATGGTCGTGGTCTTCCGACGCGTCGAATCCTCCCAACAGATAATTTGCGGCTAACCAGCCATAAAGACCTTCAGTTTCACCAGGTATTACTTGTACATGTAGGTCACAGTCAGGAAGCGAGAAGTCGGTCTCGGAACGGATGTAGGAGCATACACTGCCCAGAATGTCTTTTTGTTGCTGATCTGGTAGGAGCCGCATGCCGGCCGTGGCAAGGAGGAATATCGGAGTTTCAGGGACAGCTTTCTTGGGAACATGACGGAGCGCATGGTCGAGAAGTGGTTTGAGGTGATCTGGACCCACGGAATCAGGGTCTTCACCGAATGTCGACACGCCTGGCTGAACTTTCTTCGTCCATTTCCCTTTTGTTTCTAGCACAGGAAGAGTTTGTAGCGACGATGTGTCGAGTCGAGCAACGGAATTCTTGGCCCATCGGTATATGTACACCCTGGTGCCAGACGAACCCGCGTCCAACACAACTCCATATTTGCGATCAGCCTTTTTAACCATATTAGAAGTCTCTCATTGCGTGTTCGATAAGGGCATAGGAGTCAAGCGCAGTCGGAACCAGCGACCTCAGAGGGAGGATAGGAGATGATGAGTCGAGCGATGTTCCCAGAGAAAACGAATGATGAAGACTTCGCCCGACAGCACTGACAATGTTGTTGGGGAGAGAAAGAGGGACTGAGGAAATGTCCGGCATCTGCACCGTGCAGAGGCGAATGTTGGCCTCTTTGGCCGGCCGGAGACTACGTAGTATCACGTGACAGGGGCGCATGCAGTAGCCTCTTGCGGTTTGGCGTAGCCTTGGGAGCTTGACGAGGCTGCACGTACGCAGTACTCGTCCTCGTACTGCTATCGCAAACTAGAAAAGTGTCTGAGATAAAGAATTGGGATGGGCCTTCTGACCACTGCAAGACACAAGAATCGGCCGGAAGCATTGTTCAACCCACGTCCGGCCCCGATTTTGAACTTTGCAAGGTACCTCGTTAGGCGACATACGAACCAGTAAAGGTGCGCCCCTACCTATATCCAGTCCAGACGTCTCGGCAGCCCTGGCTGGGGACCCGCAGTCGAATTGTCTCTACACGCCACACTCTCGTTGTCCTTGTGTCAATGGTCCAATGGCGGGTGCAAATCTGCTTTTGCGTGTATTTGACCCAAAAGACCTCCATGATCAGCCTCTCCTGCTATCTCGACTAATGGTCATGCTCAACGATGCTTACAGCGAGATTGACGCCCCAGACTCGTTTCCTCGGGTTTCAACCCCCGACGCTCTGTGGGAAGAATTTGGACCGGATGGTATTTGTGCAATAATTCAGGATTCGGCGAATGATGACATTCCTGTCGCCATAGCCGGAGCGAAACGGTGGCACAAACAGGCTCTTGGAGATGGAATAGACGAGCCCCGTAATGAATGGGAGGTCAGTGCGGTTGCGTCCCAGAATGATCTTCGATACCGAAGGCGTGGTTTGGTCGATAGATGCCTGAATGTTCTGAGGGAGAGACTGTTGCAAAAATTTCCCAGGCAATGTGTTTGCTTATGGGTCAGGGCTGAGTCAGGCATTCGAGTTGACTACTGGAGGAAGAAAGGCTTCGTAGTGGTTGGTGAGCCGTGGACTATACCTGTGGGTGAATGGCATCGTGATCTCAGTTTTACTGGCGTTACTATGAGGAAGACGATCTCGAGGAGCACAAGTGATGCCGCACCTCTCGAGTCCAGCTTTGGCTAAGCTGGCAAGGCGGGTGAGGATACGACGCTGGGTTCTTCTGTTTTCTTTGGGAATGGGCAAAGGTCAGCCAGGCGGTGGTTGTGGCTTGTGCCTCGGTTGGATCAGATGTGGCTGTGCGGCTGATGTGGCGTGAGTCTGGGGAAAGTGCGGAGGGCGCCGTTTCCTCGCAAAACAGCGCGAAGTTGTTGCTTTGTCGCCCTGAGTCAACAAGTGGAAAGCTGTCCTTTCCAGACGAACACCCGTCAACCGTGCTAAATTCTCGCGTTCCTGACCCCGGCATGGGCATCTTCAGTATTTCAACCCAACCTCTCCATACTACCCTGCAGTCCTTGTAGACACTCCCTCAACTGCAGCACAAATGTCAGGACTGGTCCGGTCAGAGACCGGCATCCAAGCCGACGATGAATCCACCGAGCAGAGCATCCTCACGCGCATGGCGAGATTTCGAAAAAATCCTTTCAATTTTGCTCATGAGATCTCCTTGTTCGTGCGAGGAGTGGGATGGCGCAGCTATAATGACATTCTTGGCCAACCGGTCTTCTATCCAGGCTATACCGCAAACATCAAGGCTGCAACCATGAGCTCTCCCCTCCTGCGGCGGAAAGTGGTCGAATTGACAGAAATGCGACTGGAGAGAGAAGAGCAGGAAAACTACCTGGATCAAAGCAGTCCAACATATTTACAAGAGAGGGAGAAGCGCAGACATGAAATCACGTCTCAACTAATCGAGATCACGAGCAACATGGTGGATAACATGATATGCAAGATGGAGAGCAAGCCATACATCCGCGGCGCATTCTACATGACGACGCAGCTACTCACCCGAGCTTACAGTGCGATACATGTGTCCGAATCTGAAGTAAAGCGTCTACGTGAAATTGCAGCACAAGCAGCCAAGAAGAACCAATCGATCATCTTTCTCCCCCGACATACCAGCCACATCGATTACGTTACGTTACACTTGATATGCTATCGATTAGGACTGACGCTGCCAGTCGTTGTAGCTGGAGATAATCTCAACTTTCCACTGGTAGGTAATTTCTTGCAGAACTGTGGTGCCATGTGGATCAGGAGAAGCTTCAACGATGACCAGCTCTACGGTACTGTCGTACAGGCATACATTGACACCCTGATGCAAAAAGGGTATAATCTAGAGTGTTTCATCGAGGGGACACGAAGCAGAACAGGGAAGCTCCTTGGGCCTCGGTTCGGCATATTGAGCTTCCTCCTTGATTCGGTTTTATCCGGGAGGACAGACGACGCGTACATCTGCCCAGTGTCGCTGCAGTACGACAAAGTCATTGAGGTGGATTCATATGTTAATGAGCTGCTGGGAAAACCCAAGCAGAAGGAGAACCTGGCTGACTTCCTGTCTTCCTCCTCTGTTCTTTCGCTCAATCTAGGACGAGTAGACTGCAGGTTCCATGAGCCGTGGAGTCTGAAGCAATTCATTCAAGAACAGAAGCTGCGGCAAGACCAGCCAGGTTATGAGGACCTGAGTTCAAGTGCAGCGGACTCCAACTCCAGGATTCGGTTACTGAGGACCCTTGGCTACAAGGTGCTTTCCGACATCAATGCGGCTTCGGTCATCATGCCGACTGCTCTGGTTGGTACGGTTCTACTGACGCTTCGTGGTCGCGGTGTGGGCAAGACTGAGCTGATACGGCGTGTGGACTGGCTTTGCGCAAGAACAAAGGCAAACGGCGGAAAGGTGGCAGACTTTCATGGCATGCCGACAGCGTACGTGGTGGAAAGAGCTCTCGAGGTCTTAGGTCCCAAGTTGGTCGGCACAATTGATGGACTGGCAGAGGAAACATTCTACGCTGTGGATCGGTTCCAACTGTCATTCTACCGAAACATGACAATACACTTGTTCATTTCCGAATCGCTGATTGCAGCCTCAATATACACCAGGGTGAAACAGGGCGGCGGAAGCGCTAACCAAAGGATGAAGGAAACGGAGCTTATCGACAAGGTTACCTTCTTATCCCACTTGTTCAGAGGCGAATTCATTTTTCCTGCTGGGCAAGGCTTGCGACACAATCTGGAAGCAGCGATGCAAGGTCTTGTACGTGACGATGTGCTGTCAGTCTCTGGAGACGCCGAGCGGTGGGTCGGCTTGTCAGACAACGAACGCAAACTAGGTCGGGAGAACTTCGACTTCTACTGCTTTTTGATCTGGCCGTTTGTGGACGCAGCCTGGCTTGGTGCAGTCTCCTTGTTGGTCTTGGTCCCCCCAGTAGGCTCGACCACGACTTGGATCGATTTGACTCTGGCACAAAATACAGCTCAACTGGCCGGCAGAACGCTATACCACCAAGGTGATCTGTCATATTTCGAGGCTGTCAATAAGGAAGCCCTCAAAAATGCGTACAGTCGCTTCCAGGAGGAGGGCATCGTCCTCTTGAGCAAGAGCAAAGAATCAAAAGCCTCGACCATGATTCGACTTGCTCCAGAATGGATGCCAGAAAGAGATCCCACTACAGGCGACCTTACTGCGTCTGGCAAGTTATGGGATTTTATCGAGAGCATCGCTCTACATCGGCGAGAGGGGAAAAACCGACGAGATGGGGCAGCGGTCTCCAGGCGTGTTTTGTCCCTTGCTGCCACGTTGAACAAGCAAATCTTTGAAGAGGCCGAGTCGCCGACCAGTGAAGCGGTACAAGCTACTTCCAAAGGGCGAAAGAGGAGGTCCAAACTATGAAGATCCTCGAGCTGTCCCGGATTTGATCTCTTTTCATTAATCCGATGCCTCTACAATCGACACGATGAGTGGCAGTAGTGCTTCATTACAGTAGCAGATCGTCCAACTATCCATAAGCCCAGAGTGATATTTTCCGAACATGAAATATTGTCGAGAAACTAAGCAATCTGGTCGTTGATACCCACTTACAGCGTCGAAGGCGTCCAGTTGGAGACTGTCAAATGCGATTCTACCCTTTAGGATCGAGACTTGTGGTCCTCATGAGACCCGAGGCTCCGAGAGCGAGATTCGAAATGGGACATTTCCGGTTCCTCCACTCCATCCCACATCAAACAACCCCCCATCCACCTCTGGATTACTCGGTTCAGTTTAGCCTCCTCCGCATGTCCCACGGGGTTCGGCAAGTTCGTCGACCCATGCTTTCGCCCACAAAGTTCTCTCGAATTCACCAAAAGGTCGAGCAGCCCAGATCACTTTCTTTCCTCCGACCGACTCTGTATACCATTCTTTCAGTTTCAACATGCAGAACTGGACTTGCTCTGAGACGGGCTGCAACAGGACTTTCCGCAGAAAGTACCATCTGACTCGCCATGAACAAACCAATCATAAACGGATCCGGCCGTTTACTTGTTTTTCATGTGGGAGACCCTTCTCAAGGAAGTAAGTCTTTGAAACACAGAACTCCCTCGATATTCCATCTAGGATGATACTAATCTTCCATCTCAAGGGACGCGTTGTTCCGCCATGGGCGTCTGTACCGCCACGCAACCACTGGCATAGCGAGGAAGAGGAAACCAGAGACTGCATGTCTCATCTGCCAGTCCCAGGAGATTGAATGCGATGGGAATTCTCCTTGCTCCGGTTGTGCCGAGTCTCGGTCTGAATGTGTCAAACCGCACCACGACCCACAGGGCTTGACGGCGGCGGAAAATGAACCCGTTCAATCTAGGGGCGGGATTGATCGAAAGTTGTCAATGTCGGATGAGGATGATGGCCAAACGCATGATGCCATGTCGACCATCTCGGACAGATCTTCTAAGACCTTGTCCACGATTTCTCCGAACTCCCAAACCCTCCAAGATGCTTTTTCTATCGAGCAGAGGACAGCCAGAATATGGCAATTTGGCAACCTGGAAGCATTGAACCTCTACCAGATATCCAGGCGGGATAACGAACACGCGCTGATATCTTCGGATCACGAAGATACTGCGGCAGAGCGTCTAGATGATTCGCTTACGATTACGACCAATGGCGCGCTTCATACTAACAAGACAAATGAGCTCGACATGTTCGAGCAGAATGAAGAAAGCCATGGTATTGTCAGCACAGTGGATTTAGAGCCGAAGAAGCCCACTGCAATGCCCTACCCCAAAACTCGAAAGGCGACAACTCAGATGTGGTGTCCATCTTACCTACTACGCAGTTTTTCACCACGGACCCTACGCAAACTTTAGGTTCACAAGCGTCGGAATGTCTGAGCCCCAGCCTGATAAACTCACCCATCAACACGAACATAAATATAGACGAGTTTACGACACTGGCGGAGCATTTGGATATAATCAAATGCATCTTGACGAACTCCAACATTGACCTTTATTTCAAGCACTGGCATGCCAGATGGCCACTGCTGCACGCACCTTCTCAAGGCAGTGAGGACGTACCGCTGGGATTACAGTGTTCGATGGCATTATTGGGATCAATGTTGAAAAACGGCGGTCACGTTTCCGACGAAGCTAAACAACTGCATGATTGTCTCTGGAATGATCTAATGCAAAAGATACCATTGGTGAGCGCCTCCGAGTACATCATGGATGCTGCATCAGTCCACTGACAATCTATTTACAACACGCAGTGTATGACCGGAAAGTCCTGCTTACCGCTCTATCAACAAGCTATCCTTAACATTCTTCTTGCGATGCTCATTGGAGTATGTGAACATTTGCAACTAGGACGTTGATATCGAGCATAAGCTGACTACGCGCTCAGGAAACCCCTCTGCTCAGGAACGCCTACCTTCTTCTAAACACACTTGTTTCTACGCTCCGCCTCAATGGATCCTTTTCGTTTGCAAACATCGTCGCGCGATACAGTGACATAGCTCCATCAAGAAAGAATTGGATCCAGAGAGGACTTGTCGTCCAGTAAGGGACTCCCCGCTAGCCTTTTATGCTTACTGACTGTTGACCTCAATAGACTCATATACAGTTGCTTCCGACTTGGATGTCACCTCAGCTTGATTCTGGACCTGCCACCGTTACTCAGATTTGAGGAGATTAACGTGCCATTTCCCCCGACTAACGCTGCTTGGGATGCGCCCGACTCGGATTGGGTTTCAGCCCTTGCCAACGAACCACCTCATCGCGCCCATGGGCCTTTCAATTTCTTGTGTTCACTTGCAATGTCTCGCCTGACGGCGGTCGATCGGCTGAAGTTACCGGGCTTCTTTACGCCTCAGGATTTCGAACTTGGCATGTGCGGAATGCAGTCACGGCTGTGGGAAGAGACCCAATGTCAGAACATCAGCGCGAAACTCGCCTTGGCGCACACAAAGTACGAAATCGACGAGGCCGATGAGCAAGCTTCGGGGTATAACCAGAGCTGGCCTGTGCTGATGGGAATCTGGCGCGTCACCATGGAGCAGTTTAGGCAGGCCGGCTTCCACCGTTCAAGCCCCGAATGTGAGAAGGAAGCCTACATCAGCGGCATGACACTCCACCATGCCGGTTTGATCCGCGTCTATTCCGACCTTCCCCTGATCCGACAACTTGTTCAGGGTCTTTGTGACGGCAGTTCTCCAGCTCAAGCTCAATACATTCGGCAATTGGAAGTCCAGGTGCAACAATGGGCCAGATCCCACGGGGTGAAAGAAGCATTGTGGCACGCAGCACAGATTGTATTACTTCTTGACAAGGAGATACAGGGTACAGACTCCTCGGAACCATCTACCATCAGCTTCGTGGCGACAGAATGTTTGTTCAGAGCCGCTCTGGCCATCTGGGCATACTCCCGGTCGAACATGATCTGCGACTTGTGTGGACCGGCGGCCGCGGTACCCCAAGACCTGCATGGCCGACCTTACTCGACGCGCGATCGGGAACAGTTTGAGCTCACGACGTTGAGTGACAACTCGAAACGGTACGAATCGTGGTTGAGAAGGGGAGGTCGGTCATCGATTGAAGGTGTACTTGTCTGCTCTTGCAACATGCCTCGTTTGGTGAACAGGTGCTGTGACCTTCTTTCCAAATGTGCCGTGATCCCAGGCGGGTGCGACAGATATGTCAATGTACTGAAGATTTTGGTTCTTCACCCCTAGATAAGTAGATGGCTACCCTGGGTAAGCAGCATACCGTTTACAAGTGAGGTGGATGTACTCTTGGATACATACCTACACAAGTGTACCTACCAAGAGTTCTCTTCCAGAGTAGTAAACTACAGGTTTGAAAAGTGAACTGTGTTTGTTTGTTGACGCATCAAGGCTGCATACATCTGAGATAGATACTAGCTAGGTAGGTTAGTTAGTTAGCCCACCACCGCCCGGGTCAGTCAGGTATCATCCATCAATCAGGGTACGTCGGCAGTTCACTCCGTAGCAGGTGGGTGTCTCATACTGAGATATAGAACTGTAGCTGGGGACACTTTTGTACATGACGATGGCGCCATTATACTGTACCTTGACTACTGTTACGCCTGCGGCTATTGCTACTTACTACTTAAGTTAGCGACTGGAGACAGATAAAGCGTCTCAAAGTTCGGTTTTTATTTTCATCTCCAAGGAAACAACAAAAAAAGTCCAGAATAGATAGCATCGTGATTGAGTTTTTGATTTCAATTCAATTCATGTGTATTAGCTATTACTATCCTAAACTTGCAGTTTGCATTCGCACCTGGCCATCAACACCGTTCCGTGTCAGAGTAGACCGGACCACGGGAATCCGGGGGCCAGTATGTCTTCAACAACGGGGACAGGTGCTTCCAGTTTTTCACATTGGAAAGACGAACGAAAAGGGACTAATAAGCCCTCGTCGTCTCCCTCTGCCAAGGTTTTCTCTCTTTCTGTTCATCCAGTAGACGCTTTGCATTTGGGGGGGTATCTCTCTTCGTTAAGAACAAGACTTGCCGAAGTGGGTATCTGGTACTCGAAAATGCATCAACCAAGAAAAAGCACAACAAAAACAATCAGTCAACCAATCTAATGGTGATCGGGGTATCCTGGAAAAACCAACAAAAACAACAATGACGGAATGAGTGGTGTCCGAGTTTGTCGTCAATCAGTGCAGTGATCCTGAGAGATCAATTTCTCAGAGCGAACAGCGGTTGCAGTTGCAGATGTAGACGCCAACTCGGGACGTGACTCTGTCTCACCATGTCGTGCCACCTCCAACGACGAGGCCAGAGGGACGAGAAGGGCTGCGGGGAGGTATCGGCGGAGGGCTGTACGTGTTCTCGTCCCACCACTTCTCAAACTCAACTGGACTTGCTGCTCGAGACAGTCGAGACGGATGTGACAGAGAGGTGCGTGGAGTTTTGTCTCTGGCCTCGTCGGACCTTCAAGCAGTTGCCTTGACTTCAGGAGCCGCAGCAGGGACGGCAGGCTCAGGCTTGTCGGCGACGAGGTCCGATGGGACAACATCGCCCTTGATCTCAGTTTCGGCCGTCTCAGGGACCGCTGCTGGAGCCTCGGTGGTCTCCTCGGCGGTGGGGGCTTGCTCAGGAGCCTTCTCCTTCTCCTTGGGGCCCTCAGACTTCACCGCCTTACTAGCACGGCGGACGAGGTTGCCAATGAACTTGGCCGGAGTGGGAGACTTCTCTCGCTTGGGCTCCTCAGCGCCCTCCTCAGCATCGCTGGCCGTCTCGCGCTTCTTGTTGAAGAAGAGAGAAGTGCGGCGCTTGTTGTCACGAGCTGGGCGCTCTTCCTTGGCGGCAGGCGCCTCGGTGGCTGGCTCGGCGACAGCGGTCTCAGTCGCTGGTTCTGCGCTGGCAGCAGGAACAGGATCCTTGGCAACAGCCTCATCGGCCTTCTCCTCTTTGGTTTCTTCCTTGGCCTCTTCCTTGTGTTCCTTCTTGCCCTCCAGCTTGGCTTCGGTCTTCTTGATGAAGCCTAGCAAGCCGCCCTTCTTCTCGGTCTTGGGGGCGGAGGATTCTGGAGTAACGGCTGCGGGTTCCTTGGTAGCTTCTTCGGCAGGAGTCTCGACGGCGTCGACAGGAGCGGTGACTGCTGCAGTGTCAATGGGCTTGTTCTCAATTGGCTCCTCCAGCTTGGGGGCGGTTTCGGAAACGGGAGGAACATCAGTGCTTCCAGTGGCCTCCTTCTCGGTCTTCTCGGTGGTAGGGCTGGTCACGTTCTTCTTGAACAGGGTTCCGAAGACAGAGGCGCGCTTGTTCTTCTTCTCGGTGGGAGCAGCAACTTCTTCCTTCTCCTCTTTCTTGTCAGTGGAGGCGGCAACCGCAGGCACTGTACATATGTTAGCTTGAAATAAATACCTTCCAGAACCGAGGTACACTCACCAGGAGCGACCGCAGCAGCCTCACCAGCCTCGCTGGGCTCTTCGGTAGCTTTGGCTTCCTCCTTTGCCTCGGCCTCTTCTTTCTTCTCCTCTTTCATCTCCTTCTTCTCAGCATGCTCCTCCTTCTTCCCGATGAGGGAACCGAAGATGCTGCCTCGCTTGCGTGACTGAGAGCGCTCCTTGAGTTCCTTCTTGGGTTCCTCGGGGGTTTCGGTTGAAGGGCTGGTGCTCTCGGCAGCAGGAGTGGTCGCGGCAGCGGTGGCCGCGTTGACTTCAAGGGACTTCTTGGGCTCCTTAGACTTGGAACGGGTTGAAGCGGCGGCGATGACGGCAGGTTTAGCTGGAGTTGCATTAGCCGTCGATCATGGGCGGCACAACATGGGTCTCCACAAGTGTGGACAACTTACAGTATTCCTCGACGCTCTTCTTGTAGCTTTCACGTCCGGTGATCTCTTCCTTTAGAGCCTTGGCTTCCTCGACCGCCTTCTCAACAGCGACGACCCAGCTATCACGCTCCTCGGCCTTGGTGGCTTCAAAGCGGTGTTGGTGGCTGCCAGCCTTGAAGGAAAATTGGTTGAAGCCCTCCTTCGTGACGTTGGAGGCATCGGCCTAGTTCGATGTCAGTTGGTGGTGCAATACACGACAGGTACAATGCCTACCAGGTTGATGATGCCGACTGGGGAAGCCTTGTCCTCGGCACGCTTGGCGAAGAAGAGCAATCCCTTGCCAGTCTCACGAGCCCAGGACGCAGATGCGTGCTTTGCGTCGGCCTTCTCAGAGCGCAGGAAAGTGGCCAGGGATTCTGGCGTTGATGCTTCCTCAGAGAACCAGAAGAAGTGCTTTGTGTAGAAGAATCTCCTGTCAGGCTTGCGTTAGCTCTTACTTCGGTCAACCACGCAATCATTCTTTCACGGTCACCTACTTCAATGATGTTGGCTCCTTGTACCCGAGGACGCCCTCTGAAGCTGGAACAGCCGTGACGACCGTCTCATCCTTCTTCAGTTCCTCCGTCGCTGGTGCCGCCTCGGTGGTCTCGTCAGCGGGTGCTGCAGGAATGGCTTCGGCAGCAGGCTCAGCAGGGGCGGTCGATGGTTCAACAGGTGTTTCTGGCAGAGTCTTCGTGGTGGGCTCGACGACAGGCGTCTCCTCGACCGGCTTGGGGGCTTCGACAGACATGTTTGGTGATATTACGGCGGAATAATAGGTAGGAAAACGGCGGATGGAAAGTTCTCTTGAATGAAGATTAAAATGGTGAACTGCGGTGAGGGAGTGTCAAGAAGAGACGAAACACGTGTGAAGACGGTGTGTCTGAAGGCTGGAAGTGAAGCACGGCTTGGGTATTTTTGAGTACCACAGGGAGGCGCGTGTCCAATAAATGTGAAGAGAGGATGATTGGAAGAGTGGAAAGCAGCAGACCAGGGACTGCAGATTAGAAGTATGATTGAGCAAGGAGGAAAGGGATTGGGGTGTTTCGAGAGGAGAGCGAGATTATCATATGAGACCAAGATTTTTCTGTTGTTTGGGGCCTGTAAAGGGTTCGCTGGCGTTGTCCAGTCGAAGGCGCCTTTTAGCAGCCCAGGGAGATTGAGAGGCGCGCTAGGCAGCCCGTCTAGGCGTCGCAGCCACTCAGCGTTAAGGGCTACCGGCACCCACAGGCGCTAAGCGCCCCCGCCGGCTCTAACTAAAACTAGACCTCAAACACCTGCTCTGTGCTCCACCGCGCCTCGTCGAGCCCGCCGTCGATAGCCACAGCAACACAAGCATGGCCCAGCTGATCACCGACCGCATCTCGCTTGTCAGAACATGCTCGAATCGACTCGAACAGCCATCTTGTCGCACGGAGTTACGCCATGAGCTTCGACCTTGGTGCCGCGAAACCCATCCCACTTGGACGGCTACCAAGAGGCGGTCAATCCGACATGATTGCCCGCTACGAAGTATGTACGGAGTAGAGACTCCTCGATCTCCCGCTGAAGGCAGTCAAAAAGTATTGCCGTCTCACCGGTCACCGAAGTAATAGGTATCTAAGCTGACCGACACTTCGTTCCGGACGCCATACGGAGAATATTCCCACGGAGAATCCGTTGCTTCTACGGCATCTCTCTCTCTCTATGTCTCTCTCTCGCTCGCTCTCTCTCTTTCAAGCGCCAACTCGTTATCGCAAAGTCGCAGGTCACTACCGTATTGGTGAAGACGATCCCCGGCATGTTCGAGGATCCCCTTTGCACGCATGCACGCTTGCCCAGGATGGCTATGCACGAGAAGCTCGCTCGACCCCTCTTTCCTGCGTGAAAGGAAATGCTTGCGATAGCCCATCTGACCACAAGGCAAACCCGGTCTCAAGAAAGACGGCTGATGTCTGGGTCATGCGACACTCATCGGTGCGGCCTGCGAAAATGACGTGCGCGTCTGCATGCATGCATAGCCCGGCAGGACGGACATGAAACCACGAATCACGGCCAACATCACTCTTGGTGATGGAGGAACTAGTCATCGTCGAGAGAAACTGTCACCGTGTTATTAGAAAAAAGTACGGAGTATGCAATCGTCGCCTTCAATCACGAAAAGTAAGCGACGACGCAGGCTGCCTGAATCATCCCGTCTTCCTCCCATGGATCCAACCAAGAAGATGTTGGAATCATGGATTACTGTACATTTTTGGCTCCCGTTCGGCCTCAGCAGCCTCACCACAAAACCCTCGTTTCGCATTCGCATTCGCATTTTGGCGCCATCATCGCACCATTTTTTGCAAAACGTGTAGCAGCCTGTACAGTCATAATTATTGTCGCCCGTATCGAAATACTCCGGTATGCGTAAAGTCAACTTCTATTTCTGCCGATGCTCGCCTCCTTTACCTGAAGGCTGGCTAACACGACAAGAGACTTTTTTTGGTTGACGGTCCAGCGGTGGATATGACATGGACCCATAACTGCATTTTATTTATCCGTAGGTCGGACTGGGCTTTAGTTTTTTTTTCTTCCCTCGCTGGCTTCTCCATCGAAATATGCGCCGTCGATCTCCTTTACCCTACGTGGATCTCGTAGATGTGTCGTCCCATCTGCTCTGACTGGGTCCCTTTCAAATCGAGGATCGATCCGCCTCTGCATTTGGGCCTTCAGACGGCCCCCCTAACAGAAATACTGTAACAATGCGCCAGCCAATGCCACTGGCACCCATCAAATCGTCACAGTATGTATTCTGATGACACGATCAGCGATGGGATGCCATCGTTTCAATAATCAACGATCCTTCCTGTGAGGGGGCCCAACCGGAGCCAAGAAGAGACTTGTCTCGGTTTAGAATTTGAGGACAGTTTGCTTGATGTCGGGTCGCGGGTCATATTATTATGCTATCCAAAGCCTCAACATCCCTCGTTTGCACTCTCGTCGGACGCCCAGGGATTGATTAATCAATCAGCGCAGGGGAGAGGGCAAATGTTCCTTCAACAATAGCCCCCAAAAAAAAGTCCAAACTCCACTTGTTACAGCACCCATAACGCTTGCTGCATGACCCAGTCATTCCCAGACCCGCCAGCATGTGACAAAAGCCGTGGAAACAGAATAGAAACATGACACCCCGTGCACTTTGGGGTCATTTTAGTCATCCAAAATATCTAACTATACAGTATCGTCTCGCCGTGGTGTCCTCATCTCATCTGGAACTCATGTTGAAATGCTTTCGCAAGCCGGGAATCCGAGTCAAAAAAAGACCGATTACATTCGTCATCAAACAATATACCACTCGAGCCACCTCGGCCATATGAAATATCCAAACACAACATATATCAGACTTGAGGCGAGTGGAAGGTTACTATTCTTGCCGCGATCAACCAGCGGTGGTCAGGATGTAGGATGTAATCGCATCCATTCTCTCCTTGGTGAGTTTGAGACTGATGATCAGCAATTCTCGTGCGACGTCGGGATCTCGTGCTTGCATCTCGTGCCATCGTTGTTCATCCAGCAACCACAGAACGCAATCCTTTTCCGCGACCATGGTCGCGGTCCGTGTCGTCTGCGAGAAGAATGGGAGTTCGCCACAAGGCCTGCCTGCCACGATGAGTTCAGAGTACTTCCCTTGCGGGAGGTCATAATCCGCCCGCAGCAATCCTTCCTCTAGCATGTAAAATGCTGAAGCTCGGTCTCCTACACGGAAGAGTACCGAGCCTTGAGGCCAGGTGGCTCTTTCAAAGTAACCCATCGCACGGAACCAGAAATCTTCAGTCTTGTCGGATACATCTGCGAAAATATGCAACAAGAGAGGTAGCGGCTGCTTAAAAGATTGCCACTTGTGCACGCTCGTAGTATCTTCATCGAGAGTGGTCTGCGCGACCTGATGGAGTAGGTTCCGACGAGGGGAGCTACCCATAAACTCAGCCTTGTAGGATTGTGAAAGCTCCTGACTTGCTCGGTTGCGTGGGACGTCGAGATGCGAGGCACTACGTCTAGTGCGACGATGCTCCTGTTGACGATACAAGGCCGTCAACAACTCGTTTTCGCAATGCACGAGCGCATCGTTGAGATCTGCGAAAATTTCCACCTCTGAATCTTCTGCGAACAGCCCAACATTCCGCAGGGCTTGTCCCACCTCACCCTCGACATCCAACCCACTGATGATAAATCGAACTGCACGTTTCTGCAACAATCTATTGATGCGGGTGAACGCTTCGGCGGCTGAGAAGTCGATACCGTTGATCTGTCCCATGTCCAAAATCAAAAATCGTAGAGGGCGGTCTCTGAAGGCATCGTCGGCCAGAAGTGCTCGTATGCGATTCTCTACTCCCACAATGGTGCCGAAGAAGAGAAAGCCTGCCAGTTTCAGGAGGAAGATCTGCTGGCCAGTCTCCTTGAGGAATTTCAGCTGGACCGGTGGCCTCCGGACAAGAGATTTTGCCACCTGGCCGGAGTATGTTGCTCGTATGGCCGTCCTGCGTGAGGTCTGCACGACAAAGCTGACAGCTGCAAGAAGTATACCCACCAAGATGCCCACCACAAAGTCCCAGACACCCATCGTGACCACAATGATCACAATGGTGGCGTATTCCAGTTTGTGCACCTTACCCCAAGTCCCAACAAGGGCTTCTTCAAGCAGTTCGATGCCCAAGAGGAAAATCAATGCCCCGACTACCATGATAGGGATGTAACCAATGATGGTGGGCCCAGCCAAGAGAACTCCAAAGGTGGCAGCTGCAAGCATCAGCCCTGCGAGCCGATCGCTGCCTCCACTGTCCATAAAGAGCAGGCTGTTTGTGTATACGAGATAGTTTTGCACACTGCCAAACAGCCCACTGATACAGTTGGAGACACCGTGGGCGATAAGTTCTCGATCGACATCCAGGTTGTCCTCGCCCGTGGAAATGCCCAATGCTGGCACGTTGATCGGCACATGTAAAATACCGAAGAATGTCAGGGCAAACATGGCGGGAATGGTGTCGGCTAAAGCACCCCAATGGACCGCCTTGAGATCGTAGAGCGTGTAGAAGTGGTACCAAGGATTCCCAGCCGGTGGTGGGTCAAACACCCATCCCTGAGAATGGAATGTGTCCATGGGGATCCCCAGAGCGAATTTGAAAAAGTAGAAGATAGCAGCCACCGAAATGAAATAACCGCCCACCAAAAGATTGGACTTTACAAAGCGTTGTACAACGAGCAGAACAATGGCAAGCAACAATGGGATAGTCCAGAGGAGAATTGTGTCTCCCCTGAGCAGTTGTTTGACGGTGTCAAGGTTGTACTCGAGATTTCCTGCTAAACGGGCAGAGACTTCGACGCCGGTTGCAACCAGGAACCAGCCCACACCACCAATGCAGCCGATGAGGATATGTCGCGGGAAAAATCCAATCAGAGACCCTAGCCTGCACGCACCCATCAGGAAAAAGACAGCGCCGGTAAGGACGGCACTGATCGAAAAGGACAATATAGTGGTGGCCAACACGGATTTTGGGTTCTCCTCGCCAACCTTACTCAGTATCGTGAACGCCATTTTGTGAAAGAAGGGGACGACCTCGATCATTTCTGATCCAATGCCGCCTCGAAAGATCGACCCACCCGAGGAGTAGACGACCTGTGCCACAATGGTGCTGACATAGAACATGGATATACCATCGGATCCCAGGCTTTCGAAGACTGCGTGGCCCAAAGGGAAGAGAATCATGCCGTAAGACAAGGCATCCAATATATTTAGTAGCAGGCCCAAGAAGACGGCTGGCAAGAGACTGGCCGGATGGACTACGACCTCTCGATATATCGTGCGTGGGTTCCAGGCCTTTGGGTGAGAGAGCAGATACAGACACGACCGTGCTCGTGCAACTGAGCTGTGCCATTTTTGTTGCAGACGTCGATGGTGTGTCTTCTGGCTTTCAATGTCACTGAGCTCTCCATACTGTACCGAACTCTTCCGATCTCCGAGCAGCGCGGTCTGCTCGTCGGGCGGGGAGACCCTGGCCATACTCGAAGAAGCTGCTGGATCTTCGTGAGATCCCTGTAGACCGTTCTGATGTTGATGTTCCACCTCGTCTTGCTCAGCGTAATTTTGTATCAACATCGTCAGACCGGACTGAGTTGCTTCATCAGCCACCATCTCATCAGAGCCTTGCGGTGAGACGGGCTCAGAGACTTCCTCAATAACATCAGGGTGGCCGTCATCAGAGTAAGATGCGTCGCTCCGAGGGGAGCTTCCTAGGAACGAGATATTGTCAGAGACAGCAATCGCAGCCAGCTCCGCAGTTTGGTCTTTGAGGTCAGCGGAAGAGGAGTACTGGGCGGGATCCAGCTGGCCATGGAAGGACCGACGAAAGAAGGACCGTGCCGGTGTCCTGGAGGCTGGCTGGCTAGATGCAGAGCTGGCTCTACTCCGTCGTGTAGTATGAGGCCGATCCGAGACGGCCAGAGGGCTGCTCTCCTCTATACTTCGATCGCTCTGAGAAGCCCTCGAAGGAGAGGCAGGCATCGGGCTCGGCCGAGCTTTTGAAAAGTTCGAGCTGTGGCGAGCGAGTTGCTTGCCAGGGCCGGTTGTCGACATTTTGCAGGCTCATAAGCTTATTATCATGTCCTCCACTGAGGCCGCGAATACCACAACACCAGCTCTTACGGGAGGCGTCGAGGGGAACCTCTAAATGTGGGCCATCGTGTGTGCTTCGAGTGACGCGAGAGGAGCCGGGGATGAGGGAATCGACGCCGTAGCGAGAAGAACGTTTCGGGAGTGAGGGAGGACCCGGTTAAGGGTGCGAGCACAAGAGAACGACGCGGGTTGCGGAAGGATTGTGAAGAGGGAGCTTGTTCCCTGTTCATGCAGGCGAGCACATTTTGACTTGTGCCACCGACAATAATGCCAAAGCACACTCACTTGTTGATGGTTTTGTCGTGACATGCAACTATGGAGCCGCTGCGGAGGAAATTTCTGCGTTGAGGTGCAGATCTCGCCGTGCACCACGGCGATGGGGATCAGCACAAGCCATGAGGCAGCATCCTTGGGAGAAGATGGAGCAGAGGTGGATCACGGCACCAGAGAGCCTGAGACACCATGTTTTGCCTGCCTAGGTACCGATGGTCCTTGTCCTCGTATTTGCCCTGAAGCTTCAAGCCACCAGAACTGTGAGGACACGACGGAAAAATTTGCACCAGCCCAGTGACCTGAAAAAAACTTTAGCTGGATGGTGAACTAGTCGAGCGTCTGGAACGGTCAACGATGACACGCATGCGCCATCAACACCATTGATTGGAAGAGAAGCTGCAGATTTCCTTCGAAGTCGTCGACGCTGCAGAGAATGCATAAGCCCCCCGCTTTCTCGTGTGGCCGAACGCGCCATCAATCGCTCTATCAGAGGCTTAGGGTTCGTGTCCGCACCGTTGGGCAAACTGAACCAACAAGCGTCGTATCTCCCACCATTTATGACCACCAGGGCACTTAAGGTCGAGTCGGTATAAACCAACTCCGTACTGTACACAACGGGTGGCCCGGAAAAGAATGGCATGACTCGCCTGCGCGCTCGATCACTTGACCTCCTACCTCGCAACCTGAGCAGGACGAGACATGACACGCCAATTAGGGATAACTTGAGATGAGTACTTTGCGTTCTTTTATTGTTCTGGCTTTTGTAGCTTACTCGGCCTCGGTCACTTCCTAAAGGTGTGGAATATGATATGGTATCCTGCCAAAGTTCCCGCAGCTGAAGACGTATATCAGTATCAATACACTTTTCCCGACAAATGCTTGGAGAAGCCGAGACCTCTGCTCCTGTGGCAAGCATCTGCGTCCAGCCTCACAAGGGTGACACAATGGTCTCACGAAAGCTATACATTTCCCCGCTGTGCATCGAGACGAGACTGATTGTCCGTCGCTCGCTAGACCGAAGTTCCGCTTCCAGAGAGATTGTCATCTCAAGATTCCCCCGCCTAACCAACAGCTTCTTCACTGGTAGGCTTGTGAATCCAAATAAAAAAATCCAGGGAGTTTAGTACTGGGAGCGCAAGAAGAAATAAAGGCACGATCTCGCCTAGCCCCCAAGCGCTATCTTCAGCATCAAGAACACCGTAGGAAAGAGCAAGGATCCGATCACACCAAATGCTCCGATTACCATAGCTAAACCAGAACGTCTGGACGATGATAACATTGAAGACCTCGCTGGAGACAATCCAAAAAATATCAAGGAGCGCTAATCTGATGTATGAGACGCGCCGATTGTCCCTCAAGTAACCCTCGCGCAATGAGAGAAGCCGGTCCCGCCATTTGTCTGTATCGTAGTACAACGGGATGATGCCTCGAGCATAACTGTAAAACAGCAGTAACCCCCATATGAGCATATTCTCCGCTGCACTACCGCGAATGTAGCTTGCAGAGCGGTTCACGTCGTCAATCAGGCACTGGGTGGGGTGGTGGAAGTTCGAATACCAATCGACATGACCTCGATAGAAATTGGCAACGAAGAGCAGCACAAAGGTGCTGAACATTCCGGCTGCCCGCCAATGTTTCGCAAGAGGATTCTTCCTGAAAAATGCACGGAGCTGCCCGACGGTGAGAAGATGGACGTCAGAAGACATCCATGCCAGGGCGTTGACCATCTCAAATTGATAGACTGTCGAGGTTTTGCGATTAATCCATCCTGCAACTAGTATCGCGATCCCGGTGACCAATTGCTGGTCGCTGAGAGTAAGAAGGAAATCCTCGCAGAATTTATAAAGACGTTGGCGTTCTGATTGCGACAATGTGCCGTCACGACGGACCCCATTCCTACAAAAAGCATACCTGAACAATGAATAGAGATATCTCAAAGTAACAAGGACGGCGTTCTTGATAGTTTTCGAATCAACGGCTGATTCGAAGGTTTCAGCAGTATGCCTTGCCTCAAAGAAGTGAATGAGTTGCAAGCTGAGAGAAAGGTAGGCTGTGACCAATGCAAATGCTGCGCTTAACACAAACGCAATAAGGACCTGCACCATACGCTCTCCGTTTAGCACTCCCCTTGTCGTCATGGTAGAGTTTCTTACCCCCAGACCGATAACATCCGAATCAGCTCGTATGCAGAAATCCTCCTTGACTGGGCAATGGGGATAGCGCGTTACGGCTTCGGCACAGAGGGAATACGTTGAGCAGTTCAGGGGGATGTTATCGAGCTTCACACATTGCGTTGAATCTGGCGCCATTTGATAATCTTTGATGGAGTGTTTGGGTCGAACCTCTAGACAATGCTAGATCAATGAAGGGCCGTCTACGGATTTTGCGGTGTGGATGGGGGCAGAGTCAAGGACCAGCTGTTTTTGATGGCCTCGTGGGCCATCGAGACTTAGTACAGAGGGAGTGTGCTCGCATATACTTACCGCTCTGCCGGGTTCCAGTTTCGACCAGGAGGCTGGCATCAGGCCCAGCCACGTTTCCCCGCGGGAGCGCCTAACGTTTGTAGGGACTTAGAGAACTGGGAGAGTGCAGCTTCGTGTTCTCATTGATCCCTGCAAGGCTAGTTCGGTGGGTAGGCTTGTATGATATGTTGAGCCTGAGTCGCAGACATACAGGCAGAACCGCAGACGCAGATTTGCAACTATTCAACAGCATCGTCGTGTGAATTGTTTGCGTGTCGGGAAAACACGACCAGATTGTGCAGTCCGCAGCTTCGCTTTCGTGACCACCATTGGACTCTCGAGTACAGAAAAATCCTTTCCTGGCTCCAGAGCAGCATAGTCTAAGCTTGACAGGCCGCTGGAGGCCTTGTTGGCGAGAGAAGACGGTTGAAAGGGACTTGTATTCGTACTGTAAGGTGTGGTAAGGACCTACGTAAGTCAAGTAGCGAGGGAGAAGGTCTACTGATGTAATCCATGCTATTCCAGGATGAGGAAGTTGCGCGAAGCACCCAAAAGAGGGAAGTCGCCCGAGGGATCAACACCCGCAGCCCTGCAAGGTGAAGCGAATACGGGTTCTAGACCAGGCTTTGATGCATGCCAGCCTGATTGAATACGATAGTCGCGGAGAAGCTCTCCCTCACGACATTCAGCCTGACTGTTACCTGTGCTCCCCTTTCATTCCAATTGGCCCCCGTTTACAAACAGTCCAACGTGTCAGAAAAGCCAGTCTATGACCTCTCGTTTCAATTTCTATTCAAGTACTACGCATGACCTCGTCACCCGTATCGGACACTTCATCTCTGCTACAGTCTGCCTCGCGCTTCCAGAGAGTTCTGGAATCATCCAGGAGAATGGATACGGGTGGCAGGTCGAAAGTTATTGCTAGATCCACCGACACTGGTCGTACTTTGACACTCCACAATTTCTAGCAATGGCCAGGGTCCTCCGAAGCCCTGAAAAAATATAAGACGCATGGACAAAAGGAGATATCGCAGAGCTATTTTTATGTCAATGTTCCAGACTGCAGAAACGGAAAGTAGGCCTCCACATACATCCCTGCCCTCCCCTATGCACGTGGCGGTACCTTTGAAGGCACCGGGACTTGTATCAGAGCACAATGGTAGCAGCTCATCGCGACGCGGACGATCGCAACGCCCGGACGACCGCATTGAAAGCTCACTGCCTCCGTGGTATATCGAAGAGCCAAAGGTACACCAGACAAACAATTCTGCATACCTCAATTTCATCTTCCGCTACGGTACGCCACTGTCACACATAGACCACGACGACTAGAGATACATAGCGGATATGGGTGGGGCCGTTCCGTTTGTTGGTGAAGAGCGGCGGGGGAGACTGCATACAGCCCAACCACCATTCTTCGCTTCAAGCCTTGTTAACACTCTGCTGGGCAATGCTTGTTACAAGAGCCAAGACCTGTCAGTTGACGGCACCTCTCCCGGTTCGTGGAGGCGGTATCCGTACTCGAACTTGACGCGAGAACGTTGCAATACTACTGGTGGTGACCATCATGATAGCACTCTGGCACGCATCAATATTTTGGGGAAACTGCGATCACCGGTCAGAGATGTGAAGCCGGCCGCAGGTTGCGGCCGAATTGTCCAGCCATCACTCACCTCCACCCGAGGAAAAGGCAACTTCACTAACTAGTACCTAGACAATGGCGACATAGAACACGAGCGCGCCGCCGAACAATTTCTGAGTCGATAACGTCCTGCTAGTGGTCAGTATTGCCATCCCTGACCTACTTACTAGTAGGACTCCCGTATTGCAAGGCATGCGGCAGGATATCCGAACCAACTCGCTCAATACCGCCCTTCCCGATTAAGACGTCAGGGCCGTGGCGCGAAGGTCGTTCCCAAAGGTACTAGAACTTTGCCCGGTGCAATTTCCTACTCGGGAAGTGAAGACCTCGTGTCTTGACATAGATTCAGCCTTATGGCTTCAAGCCGCCTTCATTCATGTGGTCTTCATCTTCTGAACCTTGTCGGTCTTGAGACTCAGCCACTGCATGCATGCCGCTGCTTGATACGAAGACAGCTAGGCGAACCGGTCTTGAGGCCGACTCAGACAGGTGATGTGTTTCTTTGAACCGATGAGAGCAAGCTTTGCCAGGCATGCTATATTACCCCTAATTTCCTCTGCCTCTCCTCTGCCACCTCGCCCTCTTTCCTTCAGCCTCATTCCCGCAGCAAAAGGAATATCAAGCTCGAATACTCTTGGCTTGAGTCTCGAGCTTCATTCACTGTTCGTTCGCAATGCAGCTGAATATCATCACCATCTTTCTCGTTCTCTGTCTGCTGGGGAGCAAGGTAGTAGCAAACTACAGGGTGTTGGACAATTCCACAAGCATCATTCCCCGTTATAATATTCTCGGTAAACGATGTTCGGGTTCGTGTACAGAGTGCTTTGGAGCAGGGAATGTGCCGTGTGTCGGATTGACTTGTTACAATCCCAGTGCCGGTGAGGTATGTACTTGGTCATTTTCATGGCTTGACTATCATCGACTCATAGTATGATTTCTCTTACAGTCCTGCTGCTCAAACGGATATTATTGCCCGGCTGGGCAAGTCTGTGCCGACATTGAAGGGAACTGTTGTAACGCTGTAAGTTCTCGAGTACTTCTCTTACCTTCTTACCAGTTGCTATCTAACATAGTTGCTACCTCTCTTGCGCTGGAGTGCTTTTTGAACAAGGCTGACCTGAGTCATGTAGGGACAAAGCTTACAAGACTGTGCTGCAAGTCTTGGAGTCTCTCTTCCCACGGCTACTCCCACTTCTTCGACCTCTTCTTCGACCTCCCCTCCAGCAACCAGTTCGGAATCGTCTAGTGATAATAGCAGCATAGACAATGCAAACAACTGGATCTCACGTCATAAGGCTATCATCATAGGGGCTGCTGTTGGCTTTCTGGCATTACTCGTGCTAGGCGGATGCTTGCGGCTCTATCAACGACGAAACAGGAAAAAGGTTGTCGCCACGGTTGTGGATATACCAGCTGTGGTTTATCACCCTGTCAGGCCTTGACGATACACCTACTTAGGCTCGAGGCACCAGTATGCGAATAGCGGAAGCAAATTATCAGGTGGTGCGAGCTCTTGCTAGTCTAGCAAGTAGACGCTGCAGATTGTAAAGTTAGATAATGATTGTACGAGCTCCTTTGCCGTATTAATAGTATTGTACAGGCTATGTGAGAGTAGCTTTATCATATCCGTTCGGCGGTCCTCAAGCGATTGCATAATACCCATCCTATCATTCCCAGCAGCTGCTCAGTGTCAAACTCTCTGAGAGGTGAGAGATTCCCTCTTCTCCGTCAGAGGGTTTTAGGCGCTGTCTGGAGTGAATCTCTGGTGGCAGGTCTAGTCTCGTGGGGGCGTCACCGAGCCGGGTGGATATGCGTTTGTTTCCATGAGCTCATACTGCTTGTTGCTGATGAAGAACGGGGTGTTGCACGAACCCGATGTCGTCTTGACTTCGATGTGATAGTTCACCGGAGTCGACGACGTCTCGGAACAAAGCCAGCCGGGACAAGGGAATATCGTCTTTTTTCGGAGAAGACGCCTCAGCTGCGCACAACTGCCTTCGTACATGATGTCCGACTGTTCACGCCCGTGCCAGGCTGCCTCAGCGGCGTACTCTGGAAGAACGTTTACGTGGTGGCGGATGGAACTTTGCCAGTTGTCGATACCGAAATCTGTTACTCCCCAAGCTTTGAAAAGTTCAAATACCTGGTTCGTCCACAAGTCAGCGAGATCGCTTGCCCCGTATCGCTCACTCTCAGGGACTTACATATAGTTCTCCCGCGGCGCCCATGCGGGTGTTCTCTTCGAAATTGCCGTATCCGGTCCCGCCAAAAGCTCGACGGAACGCTTCGTACTCCGATTCGTCCAGCGCCTGCATTGTGTCCAGATCCTCGTTGATTTCTTCGAGTGATCGCTGCCCGGCCCTTTGAGGTGGTCGACCTTGCTTTGCTTGGCGTATCACTTCTCTCAGTAGCTTTTTGTACGGTTCCTCTCGTTGGCGAAGATTTAGCTGTGTTTGAGCTGGAAAAGGGACGCTTTTCTCAACACCGAGATTTTCCGCTGTGCTTCTGTGATCGGCCCGAGTGACGACCTCATCTTCCTCTTCTTCCTCTTCCTCTTCCTCGTCGTCATCGTCATCGCAGGCGCCATCGGAGTCAGCTAATGATGAACCAGCAGACGAGACGACCGTTGGTGACATGGGCGTTGAGCTACTGCTGCGAGATTCTGCATCGTCCCGAAGGGCGAATGGGGTTTCCTGCAGCAGAGGTGGATACTTCTTGAACCAGGAATACTCTGGTATGTCTTCCTCCCTCATGATAGCTTTCAGAGGTCTCCGCTGGTTATTCAAGATGCGATATATCGCCTTCACCGCCAATTCCTTCTCGAGTTTAAAAAGAGAAAACAGTGCCTCCGGGAGCTCTGTTTGGAAGTAGGAATAAATCTTGTCCTTGCTGCTCGGCATGCAGATCTTCAGCCCTTCGTCAACGAGGCCGACATCCGCCACAACTTGATCACTCGGAACAATGATATCCTCCGCGTCCTCCGGGAGGGGGAGACAGAGATTTGCCCACACCTTGTCGCAAACGAATACTTTTGCAGCCAACAATGCCTCATGCATCCACGTGTTTCGATTATAGTACTCACCGCTATTGTAGTACGTGGCACAGCTAGTAAAATGTCAGGAATATTCCGGTCGCGTGATAAGACGCAAGACTCATAAAACTCACCATGACAGGGCGTATGCGCGGTCTCTGATATATTGTCCAAGAGCTTGGTCTAGCTTTGGGTCACCCTCAGTCGTCGTCTTACCGTGATATACAAGACCTGATATATAACGATCCTCTAGATCCAGGGTCCAGAACAGTCGATGCAACTCAGAGATCTGCTCATAGCCAAAGGCTACGATATCGGCTCTATTTTCGAAGAGCTCGCCGTATCGTTGATGGTCATTGATGGCAAAAGTCTCCTTAGACTCTGGAGAAACCAGTTTCAACCCGCCAGGACCACTGACGGGCAGCCACGCGAGTTCATTCAAGGTCCTCTTTTGGTCCTCGTTGAGATCTTCGTTGAGATCTATCGCGTCATCTGAGGCCAGCAATTGGCCTATGGCAAGGATAATTTGCTTGACCTTCTGGAAGTCAGTGCGCTGTTCCTCCACCGCCTTTACAAGGTCTTCGATCAGCATATCGATTTTTAGAGGCAAAACCTCCACTTTGTCCACGAAGAAGTTCTGAAGCTGAGGGAACATCTCGTCCAGTGGTACACGCCCGGGGATGGTGACTGTACAGTTCCACAGGCATTCTGTAGATTTCCGCCACGTCTGATCAGTATAGATCAAACTATGGTCTCTGAATTCTCTCCTGAAGTAGCGTGTTAGAGGAAGAGGCCAACACTTTTCTCTCAGAGACGACTGTACCGAATTGTCTCGACTATAGGCTCAGAGATTGCTATCCCCGCGAGAGCCGTATAGATTTTTTCCGCTCTGTCCTTCGTTGAGTGTGGCCCGTCTCTGGCTTCTGTCGCGAGAAGTTTGAGTTCGTCAATTAGGTCGTCATGATTCACATCTCGCATGTTCAAAATGTTGGTGAAGAATTTGCTAGCATATTTATCGTCGCCATACAGTGGACCCAATCGCTGCTTGGTATGCAGAAAGGCGGGGCCTTCCCAAATACAATCACTCGACTTGTACCATCCTTCCTTCATTGATGTCGCACGAATCAATGACTGCTCGGCGAATTTTTGCTATGCCAAGTTAGTGATGTCTCTCTATATGAGTGAGATCAGCATGTTTTACCTGAATAGATTCCGTTTCGTTGATGGACGCTGTTTGTGCAATGCCCCCGTAGATACTGCCACAAGTCTGTATCACATTCATCTCTGCTAAATCAGCCAAAGATTCCAGAGCTCTCAGATAAAATTCGAGTTCAATTCCACAAATAACGCCAAACTGTTTCAAAAAGAACCAATCATCAGGTTGCTTAGGGTCAAATTCTGTAGGTAGTTTCAGAAGTGGTAAGCGCCTTTCTAGGTTCAAATCTCGACTCTTTCCCCTTAGCTCATGAGTGGGCAGAATAGTGCGGCGAAGCACTTCCGTAGTGTTGTATAAACACGGCACTTGAATATCCAACAAGTCGTTTGTAATTCTTGATGCTTCTTCGCAGTATTGAGACCAATGTGCGTGGAGGTTTGCGACAAAGCTGTCGGGGTTATCCCTCGCAATCAGGGTCATCAAAGGATGGAGCTTCCATCCAGAGGAGTCCTTTTGAGTGAGATCAGGGAAGTGTTTAACCCCACAGTTTTCCAGGTAAGACATCCAGGTCAACCCAGACTTTATGCGACTAGAAACCTTTGATTTCATGTACTCCTCGTGAAGTATCCCGTAATCACCCCACTCTCGGTGCTGAGTCTTAGCAAGAAGTTCCTCTGCGTCGAACTTATCTTTCGAAGGAAAGAACAAGAAGTGCCCGCGATATAGCCTCTCATTTTTGCTGACGAGTATCGCGCTGTTCTTGTTTGGCATTTCATTGAACCAAAAAAGGATCTCGAGATCCGTCTGAAAGGTGTGCACGACTCCGTCCCCCTCGCAAATCACCCTCTCCCAGGACGCGTGCGCATGTAGTATTTTCTTTGTTACAACATCAGGGGGGCAATCCGAGATCCCTAGATGATTGTAGAGCTTTCTACGCTCGCCATCACCAGCAGCCGTCTCGTGAACTTTCTGGAGTCCAAGGCCGTCAGGTATCTCTATCTTTATGTTGCCTTCGTCGATGAGATAAGGGTAGTACACGGGATTCTCATACCGGGACGCTGATGACACCCACTGACCATCTTTCAAGGGAATTATTCGTAGATCCTTCACTTTTTCCTCGGTATCTGAACATTCGAGCAACTTCTCCACAAGTTCGGAGAATGCTGTATGCCATGGGTCATCCAGTGGTTTGTCGTGAAACGGGATGGCCAGCTTTATTCTCCTCAAAATTTGCGTTTGCGAGATTTGCTCGAGGCCGAGATTCTTCAAAATTCTTGTATCGGCAGATTCATACTTCTTTGACAAATAGATATCATCGCGTGTGTCTGCCACGAGTGGCTCATCCTCAAACATGAACCATGAGGGTAAACTCTTCACATGCGCAATCGTGTGCAATTTACCCTGGGCTGACCGCAAAACCTTCTCGTCCTCGAGAGTGAGACAGACGTCTTCCCATAGATGTTCCCAAAACCCTGTCATGGGTGGTTTAGGGAGATAGCGCATCCATTTGAACTCCAGTGGGTCGCCGCGGGTTAATACTTGCTTCACCAAACCAGCGAACGAGGCCGAAATTCCGCCTTACAACGCCTCATTCCTGGCATTGCCAATAACGATTTGCTCTCGGCTAGCCGTGAGGACAAAGTCCGCGTTGATGAGAAACTGATTTCGTTAGCATTAAACGGTGAAAAATATACAAGTCACGTACAGGGAGTTGCGGAATGGACTCCACTGGAAGACATGCAAATACATGCTGTCCACTGGTCGTGATAACAGGCCGACCAGTATGTCCAACTTCGAACGCCACGGTAACTTTGTTTTTGGGGTGTCTGTTCTCACGATCGTCACAGGGCAGATCCCTGACCTTGGTAGTGAGCAGTCTGAGCACTGTTGTCCCCGATGTGTGGGCGCCAAAGTTGCCCTCAACAGTGGTCTCGATACGCATTTTATAAGGGTATAGATGCCTAGGCTTCTCAAGTTTGAGCCGATCTGAACGACCATCGACGCAATCCACGAACACCTCCAGTTTCTTGAGCTGGCGCAACGCGAACATAATAGTTTTGGGGATCTTTTCAAACTCGGAGACGAGGCGCCCAGCAAAGTTGGTGCTGTGATCAGAGTACCGCAGTGTGAGTCTTGTCCCGATTCCTTTGGACAACGGAGCTGTGTCATCAATCCAGAGTGGTGCAACCATCCCCAGACCATCTTCGCCTTTTCTGTGTTTAAAACCGAAAGACCAATGGCCGGATTTGATGTGGGCATAGTCAGCAATACCAAAGACCGATTTAAAACCCAGCCCTTTCTCACCAGTAGTGCCAATGACGCGTGCCTTGGAACTCTTGCCGACACTGCAGATAGAAATGACGTTCTCCAGTGTGAAGCCTTTTTCGGTGGACTCGACGATCAACTGTCTTGGTTGGATTCGAAATGTCACAGAAGGCCTGACATGCTCCGCATACTCGGAGTCATCTACGTTCTGAAGTAGTTCATGAATGAATCGGAATTTGGATGAGTAGAGTTGCTCGGAAACGCTGCCGACGTTAGTATATCGAACTCCGAGGTATGAGGATTGAACTGACGTTTTCGCATGCCCGGCACTTGATTCTCTGAGACTACCCGCCATGGTACGATAGTTTTTTTGAGGCCTTTCCTCCCACTGTCGAATTTCCGCTTCATCGTCGTCGCTGATAATGCCATGCTTTACACGGATGGCTTCAATCTCCCTCTTGGCTGCAGCGGCAGTAAGAGGGCGTTCTTCATCGTCAAATCCAGGAATCCCCATGTTTCTGTGGCAGATTGGTGAAGATGCAATGCCTCGTGAGCGCAGACACTTGTGAAGATACAATTGGCATTCCACGCAGATTATGTCGACTAGCCACCATATATGGTATAACTGGAGAAGATACACCTCCTGTACTCTCCACAGCTCCCCTGCTCCCTCTCGGCATGGTTAACTACAAGCGTGCAGTTGAAGTAATGTGGCGTTTCCATCATACAAAGCGTCGCAGTAAACCGGTGATGCCCTACTGTAAGTAAGGCAAGAATTGGGTTGCATTCCATCGAAGCCGAAATTAGCACTGGGTGCGCCTCAAGAGAGTCACATAGAACGGTGTGTGCACCTGTACGTTCTCTTCAGACTAGCAGAGCGCCACAAATGTGGTTATCAAGCTGCTGCAGGGGTTTGAGACGCCCGGTGCTGCAAGCCCCTTAATGATAAGTTGAAACCCCACAAAACCTCTATCAGAGGACACGGTGCTCATCGAAAGCCTATACTCCGAATCGGAGGCGTACTGGTGTGATATGAATCGGGAGCGCAGCAACATGTAACAAGTTGGACAGGAAGACATATGGGAATTGGGACCTTTCGCGGGGTGGTGAGGCGAGAGAGAGGGTTCGGCTGTTGGCGGATCAGTGGATAATGACTCCATACAAATTACAATCCCGGAAGCAGCGGCACATCAAGCCGAGTGGAGAATACCTAGGTACGTGTGGACAATTGTACTTGTGAATGCAAAAGTACAGTAAGGGATCTGTACAATATCAATCCTACAGCTACCCCTGAAAGCCCCATAGGGTTTCTAGCTTCTCCGTACGTCCAAGGAGACCAAGATAAGGCTCCCACGCCATATACACAAAGTTACAATAGGTTGAGTTTTCCTCCATCTTAGGAAGAACCTCAGTCCCTCCGGCTCCAACCACATGGATATACCAAATCGCGCTTCGAATGTACCCTGCCACTTCCTGTGTCTTATCATACAATGTTGTTCACCTTGAGCTCCTGTCCTCTGCAGCTTGCGTGTACAATACAGCACTGTCTATGTCTAAATCACTGCTGATAACGCCCTAGCCGCCGGATGATCTTGCTCAGGCTCTAGGACAAGATCCTGAGTGGCCAGCTGCAATCCCATTGCATCCCGAAGAGCACGGAGCATCAATGCAGCAGACCGCCGTTGATCCGTCCTTGCTACCGGCAAGAATGCCAATAGTCGGAGAGGCCAGAGCAGCCTGATCCCATCTGCCCAGAAACTCGCAACGCTCAGGCTCGACCAGCTCTCACAACCAGCCTTGTCCAACATATTAGGGGCGGTTGCGAGAATTTCATCTGCAGCAGTTCGTATCTCGGCGACGGTCTCTCGGTATTTCAGGTGTAGATTTTCAAGTAGACTCCCCGAAGAAAGTCCCTGAGCTTTTCTCAAGAGTTCCCAGCGACACAGCAGAAACTTGAGCTTATAAGAACAAAAAAGAGTTCGAGCAAAAGTCGTTCGTGGACCTAGTAGAGGAATGGTTCTTGGATCGGTTTCGGATGTCGTATACCTCTCCCCCCGCGGAATCGTCTGCTCGTACGACTCCGTTTGAAGATCTTGGATTTCTCCCAGCATCCCCAACGCTACCGACAACGAAGTGGAGTCCGTATCGTCAATAGACTTTCGGACTCTCTCACACAGCGCGGCAGCATGACAGCCGTACAATGACATTTGAAGCACTGGAATGGCAGCTTCCTCGACATGCTTCTCTAACTCCCCAAGCCAGTGAAGGGAACCTGGAGGACATGAACTGCCAGTCACGAGACACTGGATTTGCTTGTACGTGGTCAGCCAAGAATTGTCACATTGCTACCGCACCGTACTCACCACAGAGCTAAACAATAGCCAGAACAAGTTGCGTGTAATGGGCGAGTTGAAACCTTTCGTGCCACGCAATCGCAGCAAGGTGGCCATGCCCTGGGTATGGACACTCCAAGTTGTCGGGCCCAGGTTTGACTGAGGCGGTGATGATCCCACAATGAGCTGGAGGAATTGTCAATGTCCACACGCCAAATCTTTACCCAGAGTTGAAGGGCTAGAAGTCAAGAGGGCTCTATTGCTAACCTCGTATAGGCTGAGTAGCCAGACGGCAGTGACCGTTTCGTCCCTGGTTTGCAAGGATGGCTCTCGCAGAGCTGCATTGGTAGCAGTCAAACCTCGACCATATATCATAGCTCGTTTCGACATGGCTAGAGGGTCATCTGTCCCGGTGCAGCGAAAAGCATATGAAATCGCCTGGAACACAAGTCCTACGGGAGAATCGTGGCCCGTTGCGACGACCATGGCTGGCAAGAAGGTCAAAAAGCCGAAATTTGTTGTGCGCTGCATCGCCGGAAGTACGACATGGGAAAACTCAGAAAGCACCTGCTGGATCCATTCGTCACTTAGAGGTCGAGAAGGCTCATGTTGCATCAGTGCGATGTGGGCATCTGCAGAGATCAGCTTCACGCGATCGATGGTGATGACTGTCGACCGTACCTTTCTCATTAGGTGGAAGCACCACAGTCACATCATGGGCTGAGCCCAGGGTATGCGATGCGGTATTGTGCCTCTCGGAGTGGGCGTCTTAGCATCCCGCCGTCGACGACGATCTCGGCTCGCGCTTGCACCAAATGATGCTTGGTCTGCAACACGGAACAGGAGCTCGGATTCGTCGCGATAACCCGGACACCTGCGACCGAGTTTGGCACATCTTTCACATTCCGGCTGCCTCAGATCACACTAGGCGCCGTTAACGGAAACCCTTTCCTCCACATCTCGAATGGACTGCTCACTTTGACACGCCTTTGCCTGCACAGGTGGCAGTCTCGACTTGGTCTCCCAACATTGGGCATTACTGAACTTTCAAACGATCAGCTCCTGGTACCTCCCCTCGGATAGAGCTCGTTTTCAGCATCAATGGAAGTGCCGGGGCTTTTATGGGCGTTTCCCGCCCACAGCCTTCCTGTTAACAAAAGACTCCTTTCTTCATTGCCGCAATGCGAGAAACGAGCTGGATCTGAGCCTACTTTACGGACACCTCGTGCTCGAAAGAGGTCCGAATGCCTACGTTTCAGGCCTCCCACGCGAAGCTTTCTTCGTGCGAGTTACGAGCCAAGTCGACTATGACGCCCACTGCTTCGCGAACTTTTCCCCTTGAGGAAGTCGATTCGAGGCTAGCGAGGCTGGCCCCCAGAGCCCCATGTGGGTCCAGGGCGGTGCTCGCGAGGCTGAAGCTCACACATTTCTTATGTAACCTCTAATCAACGTCCAGGACCCTTGCCGATCTTTCTCTCAATGCTTCCGTTAACCCTTTCCGCTTGTTTCGTAAGGACATCCGCTACATCTTCGCTCTGCGCGGTAGCTTTGCCATTGCTCCTCTGCTATGATTGCATGGTCGTCCCGCGTTTCCACAACCTCTGTAGCAGGGGCCGATTGTGTAGAATCTCAGCCCTTCGCGAACTCCGCCAATTTCAGCAAAGTGCCTGACAATCTCGAGAATGCTTGAAGCATGAAAGAGTAAGTCGATAGCTAGGTATGTCAAGTGTGCCTATATAGTTCCTGTGTACTTTCGTTCTCGTCAGTCCATCACAACTTCTTCGCTACTCCCCAAGGCCCCTTCGTTCGCAATTCAACATCAACAAAACCAGCTACCTTACCCCTCACAACTTCACAAGACTCATCCTTTCACAATGGGTCTCTTCGGCCACGACAACTCAAACCACACATGTGACACGCCGAAGTCTTTTGTCGCAGGTATGCTTCCAAGATCCCCTCCAAGGAAACGGGTAGACGCTGACAATTTCCAGACGCGCCTGAGCCTTTAGTTGGCAGCGTGACGTTCCATCAGCTCAACATGGCCATCTCTGGTGGATGCGTGGCCTTCTCAACGCTCTCAATTCTGATCCTCATATTCAGACATGCCACGCACTTTAGCCGACCGAACGAGCAGACCAAGTAAGTCTTTGCTCACGCTTCATCTCGACTCATCCGACTGCTAACAAAGGTGAACAAGGATTTTGAAGATCTGCACCCTCATTCCAGTATATTCGATTGGCTCCTGGATCTCGATCGCGAAGCCGAACAGCTACATATACATCACCCCCTGGCTTGAATTCTACCAAGGCATAGCACTCGGCAGCTTTTTCCTTTTGTTGTGCGAATACGTCTCGCCCAGCGCTGCATCTCGAGACGTCTTCTTCGCCGCGCTCAAGGTGACCGAGAAGAAGCGCAGAGGGCAAGACAGTGGAACCGGAGTCGACGGTCTAGAATGGTACAGGAAGAAGTGGTTCGCGGTCTTTCAGTACCCGGTCATCGCCCTGCTTGTGGCGATCGCTACGGACGTCACACAAGCCGCGAACTTGTACTGCCTCACCAGCCACAATGCGCACTTTGCTCATCTTTGGGTACGTCTACCGCCCTTCCAAGTGTTCTACTTCCGCAGAGAGCTGCTACCTAGCCACTCCTGAGAAGCTTCAGCCACAATACTAACTATCAATTGCCCGCGCACAGTTGAAAATCGCAATCTACGCCTCTATCACTATGGCCGTCGTGGCCGTGGTAACATTCTACGTCCAACTGAAGACCGACCTGAAACAGCACAAACCTCTCGCCAAGTTCCTCGCGTTCAAACCTATCATCGGTCTCACATTTCTTCAAAGTGTAAGTCAGAGTGGCCTTTCCAGTCTCACTATCCGTCTCTGTGGGTAGTTTATCTGTCGCTGTGGTCAGAGGATTTCAATTTCACGAAACATTCCCAGCTAACGTACGCCTTTTTTGTTCAGATCTTGTTCACCATCCTCCGCTCCACGAACGTCCTCAAAGAAACGTCCAAGCTGACGTGGGCCGACGTCAACTTTGGAATCCAGACAATGATCATATGCGTCGAGATGGTACCCTTTAGCATCTTCTTCCACTATGCATACGACGTCGGGGCGTACGACCTGTCGAAACCCAGACCGCTTCCCCTGGCTTACATGGGAGCTCGCCCCTCTCCAGACTCGGACAGCGAGACGACGTACGCACCGCAACACATGCAGACGAACAGCCACAGCCACAGCCACAGTGGTGAAGGGTACTACGGCGGTCCGCTGGGCGTGTGGGCGTGGATCACCGTCTTCAATCCCATGGATATCTTGAGGGCCATCGTCTTTGGATTCTCGATGAAAGCCGAGTCGAGAAAGAGAAGAAGAATGGGGAATATGAGCGGTCAAGAAGATGCCCGGATGCCCGCTTACTAAGGTATTGTTGAATCGGGCAAACGAGAGGCGTGGCCCACGGGTGGGTGGGTGAGTGGGTGGATGAAGATGAATCCAGGTGTTGGAATAGAAGTCAGAGCCTGAGCTGGAGGTTCGAAAGTTGGGAATTTCTTTTGTTCGCATGAGTTTTTGCTTGCTACTCTCGTTACTCATGGTCATGTACGGATGCATGATACCGTGCCGGTGTCGACGAGATATGTGTGGTTTCACAATTGGCATTAAGCATGGGCGTAAGAGGAGCCGTAGCGCTGGGATGGGTTCAGCATGGCGTTTTCAGGAGGGACGCACTTACATAGGGCATGCATTCACATTACAGTATGGTCACTATAAAATCCACGATTAGTCTACCAGACAGATAGACGGATTGTCGAGAGAGATCATGTTAGATCGATCTGCAAGTAGATCGATTAGAATGATGATATAGTTTGTGTTATTTTCTCACATATAAACACTACCGACATGGCATGGCGTTGCTGCATAGAGGACTTGGTTGACACCCCCTTCCTCATTTGCGCAGAATGTATTGTAACGAATCAACATGGAACATGACACAACAACTGCGTACGTTTCAATCTTGTGTGACTTGCGTAGGGCGTACCCGGTGTCTGGGTAAGTTAGAGTGGCCGGTTTATATCTAGGTACACCACAGGTGGTATCGCGCACGCACCAGACAAAGTTATTCTGGTACAATCAAACAACGATAGATCAAGGCAAAGATCAAGGTACTGGCATGCCCCTTCCACTTTCGAGATCGGGTGGACTCCTTGCACTTATACCTCCTCAACCGGCACTCTCTCATCGTCATCAAGTCGAGAACCATCCTCGTTCGTCGTTGTTGCAGCCCCCGCGCTTGCAGAGTTCCGGTGCCCACGTGGCGAGTGATATAGCGTCCCTCTGTCACGTCGGGGCGTATCATGAGAAACACGCGCGTCCGGATCAATCCTCTTCTCGACGCCCGTGGTGGGATCGAACGCCCTCGCGGCTTGCACTGTCGCGTCCTGCTCCGGGTTGACAGTCTCGTATTCCAAAGCCTTGATGAACATGTAGAATCCGCTCGCGAGCAGAGATCCAAGGGTGGGGCCGACCCAGTAGATCCAGTGGTACGAGTAGAACGAGTGCAGGACCACGCAGGGACCGAATGATCGTGCCGGGTTAAGACTGCCGCCTGTGTAGTAGACTCCCATCAGCTCGGCGATGAAGAGAGACAGGCCGATTCCGACCGGGGCGATGAATGTCGCTCGGTGCTTTTCGGCTGCCAGCATGAAAATCTGCGGGGGGTACCTAAGGTCAGTCTCGGGGCTGCGACACAGAAGCCTTGCGTGCTCAGGCAGAGAAACAACTCACGGTAAACACGAGTTGGGCTGTAAGGAACATCTGTGTCTGCGTCAGGATATGATGTCGAGAGCGCGCGAGAGTTGGGATCTGGATATCAGGATGAGAGTACATGCCTCGATGAATAGTCCCTGCACGACCGACGTGCCACCGCCCAAAGACGTACGTACGTTGAGAGGTCCAGGCAAAAGACACGAAACTACCGCTGCTGAAGCGATACCGCCGAGGAGTTGTGATACGATGACAAGACAGCCTCTAACATACGGGACTGCCCCAACAATCATCATTCCTAGACTGACCTGGTCCGGGATTAGCTTGGGCGCGGGTGAATGTACTCTGGACGCAGTGGCAGGTAACTTACAGCAGGGTTGAACAGACCGCCACTAATTCGGAAAAACACCCATGCGTTAACAGCAAGCGACATACCAAAACACAGCGATATGAAGAGTAGTTTGGCGGGGTTTGCTGCGAGATCGATCGGCTGGCCCTGCTCCGGTGCTGCATTGACGACGTTCGTGCCACCAAATGCAAAGAGTAAGAACAGGAATGTGCCTGCGAATTCTCCCATCATGGCCACGAAATGGTTCTTGACGCTTAGCGGAAGATATCCGATTAGCGGGACCCGGCGAGAGACCGTGGTCTCATCGTCGTCGGGGAGGATAGCCTCGCGACTTTTCCATGGCAGGCGAACTCTTCGAGCAGGTCGGTCGACATTCATAGTTTGGCCGGTGGAACGCGTCAAACAGCTCCCCTAAGATGTAGAATGGTTCAGACGTGAGTTCGCAAGGTCAGGACGACGCGCGACGTTCCTTATAAGGTATCTCAACATCACGGAAGGTTTTGTTGTGACGGCATGATACTCGCCATGGAAGCCTGGTTACCCGAACTGTGCGACGATCATGGACCCTAGACTAGCGGAAGCGATCTTTGTGCAAGAATGTGGCCCGATGCAGAAGGTCTGTCCCTGTGTTCTTCAAGAAGGCTGTTTCTAGACCCAGCCTGTCAATTGTATCGCCCTCAGGGAGTCTGTTTGGACCAATGACGGCATCTCTGAGGAGGGCGGGTACATGGAAATGGTCAAGACAAGATTTTGATGACCCGAAAGTGGCATTGCAGCGATGACCTCACCATGTGCTCTGGAGTCGTCGACTGGGTAGATCCTTGCTTGTGACCGCTGTCACTTACACAAAATCAACAAGATAAAGTTGTGGTACAAGCTCAATTCGAACTATATGGGTAGATCGCCGACCATCGCATTGGAGCTCTCTTGGCCTTCGAGCACGCAGGCTGATCAAAACGGCCTCTGGCCGGTCTAGAGCCTCTGGTTGCATTTTACCTGTGTCTGTCCCAGGGAGTGCTGAGACGTGGAAATAATGGCTCTCCACAGCTCAGTGCAGTCTCTCATATGAATTGGAGGCTGTCAAACCGCAGAACGAGGCCGGAAGACGGTCGTTTGCAGACAAATTTGTACCAAACAACTGGAGAAAGCGGCAGGGAACGAAAACGGTGACGTTGATTGTGTTCGATTGAGTTTCATGGGCGGCAGGATTTCCCCCGCAGAGAACCGAATGTATTGCTCTTCGTAAGTATAAGGAAGATGTGAGCCGATGATGAAGACCATCGAGTAATCTACATTGGTGGTGGTGTTGGCGACAAAACTACGACGCCGACTGACGATGGCGGCGGCGAGCTGACATAAGCAAGGTCACGTGCAAAGGTAAACTCAGACCGAGGCATTTGTCGGCAAGAACGTGTCTCACCCTCGCACTCCCGACCATCACGAAAAGACCGCGGTGCCAACCACAGCATGGACACGAACTGATCGAAATATATAATAGAGTGTCAGTCAATGCCAATCCGTTGAACATCTCTCCTTGTGCCATCTGTGTGATCTATATCCGTTCCTTACCATGTCGTCGCCCAACAGCCAAATTCCCTTCTCTGAGCCTTCCTGGCTCGCAGGCTTCCCTTCTCCCTACTACAAAGAGACACACAGGAGATGGCAGAAAGCTTGTCGCGCGTTCGTGGAGGAGCACCTGCTCCCATATGCCATGGAATGGGAACGCGAGGAGACAGTGCCGGACCACCTGTTCCAGACCTTTAACAAACACAACATGCTGATTCCCAACATGTCATCCCCCCTACCTGTGGACTGGCTGAAGAGATTGGGTATTCACGACATCCTGGGAACGCCCGTTGAAGAGTGGGACTATCTACATAGTGGAATATACTGGGATGAGATGTCAAGGTCAGGGCTCGGTGGCCCTGGTGGTTCAATGACAGCTGGACATACCTTTGGTGCGAGCCGTTGAACGGGTTGAGGCTGTCTTCTGCTGACACACCGCTAGGCATCCCTCCTTTACTCAAGTTTGGCAGCAAGGCTCTGCAAGAGAAATTTCTCCCTGAATTACTTCCTGGCAAAAAGCGTACCTGCATCGCCGTCACCGAGCCTGGGGCAGGGTCCGATGTTGCCAACATTGCAACCACGGCTGTGAAAACGCCCGACGGCAAGCACTACATTGTCAACGGGGAAAAGAAATGGATCACCAATGGATTTTGGTCTGACTATGCCACCATGGCCGTCCGAACCGGAGGGCCTGGTGCCGGAGGCCTCAGTGTGATTGTATGTCCACTGAAGGGCTATCCAGGCGTGACAATGCGACGACTCAAGGTCGCAGGTCAGATCAGCGCCGGAACGACATACATCGAGCTCGACGATGTCAAGGTTCCGGTTGAAAACCTCGTTGGTGAGGAAGGGATGGGCATGAGGTATATCATGACCAATTTCAATCATGAACGCCTGAGTATCGCCGTGGGAGTGACTCGAACCTCCCGCGTCGCGCTCTCCGCAGCCTTCGCATACGTGATGAAGCGTGAGGCGTTCGGCAAGACACTCATCGAGCAACCGGTCGTCCGACATAGACTAGCCAAAGCCGGCGCCGAGCTTGAAACGCTTCAAGCGTGGGTTGAACAATTCCTGTACCAGATGACCCAGCTGTCTAAGGACGAAGCCGACATCAAGCTGGGAGGCCTGACCGCGCTGGCCAAGGCCAAGGCCGGTATGGTGCTCAACGAGTGCGCTCAGACAGCGGTACTTCTCTTCGGTGGAAATGGCTATACCCGGACAGGACAAGGTGAGATCGCAGAGCGAATCGCCCGAGAGGTCGCAGGTGCTCGTATCCCTGGTGGCAGTGAGGATGTCATGCTGGATCTGGCAATCAGACAACTTGTGAAGAACTACCGCAATGCCACCAAGGCTCTGGAACGACCAAGGGGAAGTAGTAAGCTTTAATATTTGCTAGGCTGTAAATACAGGAATTGTACTCGGTATGAAGTACCTACTGTTAGAAGCTCGACATTGTATCCTCAACACTGAGTCGTACATGTCCTGGGTATCCCTCTGCCTCTACAGTTGCTTCTCGGCGGAAGATGCACCGACCGGACTTCCCTCCCACCAGAGTGTCCGGCGGGGATGCCGGCCGAGATGCTTGGGGAACCGGCGATTTACCCCGCGAACTGCGGTCCATTCGACCCCGAACTCGGCAACCATCGGCGAGAGTCAAGTTGACTTGCTGATGATTCTGAACGATTCTTCCTGCGCCCTTGGGTGATTTGGCAGCGTAGTTTCGGTTACGAGTATTGTGGCCAGCTTCTGTTTCTATACATCTTGTACCTCAGATCCCTGATTTGAGTCTGCGTAGGCGTTCAAACGTCCCGACTGAGACCAGAAAGCCCAGTTCACATTGTCCACCGGTCTTGCAGAGCCAACCAAGATGGCGAAGATAATGAACAACGCCAACACCCTGCGCAAAGCGCTCCATACAGGATCTGGCCTCTCCTTTGGTGCCTGGCAAATGTTGCCAGGAGCATACCTCTCCAGGGTCATCGCCAGAGCCGGCTATGACTGGGTCTGCATTGATTGCGAGCATGGCAACATCGCAGGTAAACATCCCGTCTTGTTACTGCCACGGCCACGAAGTTGAATTCTTGACACGTAGACAACGAGATGCACGAGTCTGTCCATGCCCTCGCCTCTATAAACGTCAGCCCCATTGTCCGCATACCTGCGAACGAGGGTTGGATGGTGAAGCGCGCCCTCGACGCCGGCGCGCACGGAATCATTGTCCCACTCCTGACGAGCGTCGACGATGCGAAGAAGTTGGTTCAGACTGCCAAATTCCCACCGTACGGAAAGAGAGGATTCGGTAGCCCATTCTCCATGGGCTCGTTCGACATCCAGGGAAACCTCTCCGGCTTTGATTACATGACGAACGCCAACGATAACCTCCTGACAATCGTACAAATCGAGACGAAGGAGGCGTTGGATTGTGTGCGTACAGCCTTTTCAGGTCTTGCTCAAGAGTAGGAATTTGTCTGACGTGGCTGCAGGTCGAGGAGATTGCCAAGGTAGACGGAATTGACGTTTTGTTCATCGGTCCTTGGGATCTGGGAAACAACATCGGACACCCCGTCACGGGAGATTTCAGCCCCGAGCTGCAGAAGGCCATTGCCAGAATCCTTAAGGCCGCCCAAGATGCAGGGAAAAAGTCGGGTATTTACTGTCCTTCTGGCGAGTTTGCCAGACGATATGCGGACATGGGTTTCCAGATGGTATGGTTCCGACCTTCGAACTGGGTTGGAACTTCATTCTGACGATGCTTCTAGATCTCCGTGGTGAACGATATGACTGCCCTTCCGACATTTGTAAGTCTCCCCGAACCCTCGAGTAAAGGACAGGCACAGTGCGCATATTCCAAGCAAGGCTCAGTTAGCGCAAGCGCGTCGAGTCTTGCTACATCGCTGCCTCTTCTTTTCTGATCCCGTCGACATCAATTACTAACGACTCTGCAGATGGCGGACTCCTTATCGAAAGCAAAAGGGACATATGGCCATGCCGCCGCACAAGCCGTTAAGGGAGCTGCATATGGTGCGGCCAAATTAGCGACTGGGGAGAAATAAAAGCGCCCACAGGCCCAAAAATTACATCGTCGCCTGTTCCACCTCATCCACAGCTTTTGTGACTTCTTCGGTTGTGAAACGGTGCATGAGTTTCTTAGCTGCATTGAGTGTAGGGGCTCTAGATACGTCCTTGTCGATGTGTAGAACTGGGACGTCGTAGTCGTAGACATTCTTCCATTGCTTCTGCTCGGGTGTATCAATATTGATCTCGGAATAGTCGACGGTCCGTTGTTGACGGACTTCCATCAAGCGGGCCTTGGCCACATCACAAAGTCCGCAATCTGGTCGAGTGAAGAGTGTCAATCGTAATGCACGTAATACTGGTGATGGACGCATATTGGTTGTGTCTGTCTGCGTTGGTTACGCGGGTTGTGTAGAAATAAATTTCTTGACCACAACGGAAAAGGATGCGTGAAACTCAGAGGGAAACGCGCGCACGTGGTTCAATAGTTCACCCTACACAGTGTAGGGTGAACCATATAATTTGCGCTCGCCATGCGTGATTATGAGGACGAACTTCTCGTACACTTCCCCCCATCCACCCTTGCTGGCCTCACCACTCAACGATGGGACGTACGCGTTCCGCGCAGGTAAGAAGGCAGGACGAAATATTGCTTTATTGGTATAGACGACTCGCTCATAATTAATTCCGATAATCCCAGTGAGAAGATGCTGCTCCGACCACCGAAAATGAGCTCGCTCTCAACCCTCGCTCTCCGAGGCTTTGGACCGAGGACAAGTGCGACACGTATTGGAGGAGATTGACTACATACCTAGGTGTGAAAGCCTATAAGACTGGGAAAATTTTCTTCTCAATTGTGCTGGTTCTCCAGTGTTGAGCGTTTCACCCCTTGCGGCGTTGTGTCACCTTGCTGAATCGAATAGTGGAGTGGCCTGTACGCCTAGTCAATCTCTCCTTGGAGCTCCAGATGAGTGACGGTGCTTGATCGTCCCCGGAAAAATGACTCAAGAAACAAAGAGGCTCACCGAGCCAGATCCAATCTTGACGGGAATTCTAACGAGTCCCGCGTCCGAGAAAGGGAACGAAAATAACAACGAGCAAACCTCAGTACCAATATCACAGAGACAGAGAGATCCTGAGATCGAAAGAGCAAACACAATTTCTGGACCGCCCGATGGAGGATTACAGGCCTGGTTGCAAGTTGTTGGCGGCTTCATGCTGTTCTTCAACACTTGGGGTCTCCTCAACACCTTCGCAGTATACCAAACATACTACGAATCAGGGGCACTCTTCACCAAATCCTCATCTGATATCTCGTGGATTGGGTCTCTCCAATCTTTCCTGCTCCCTCTTGTCGGTGCTGTTGCTGGACCGATTTACGACCGAGGTTACCTGAGACCACTGCTTGTCGTGGGAAGCTTCCTGGTCGTCTTTGGCCACATGATGCTCAGTCTCTGCAACTCATACTGGGAAGTCATTCTGGCTCAAGGCTTCTGCATAGGGATAGGCGCAGGGTGTCTTTTCGTGCCCTGCGTCGCAGTGCTGCCACAATGGTTCAGCAGCAGACTCGGCATGGCACTGGGACTGGCCGTCGCCGGGTCATCCTCTGGCGGGATTATCTACCCCATCGTCCTGTACCGCCTCGTCGATCAAATTGGGTTTGGCTGGTCCGTAAGGGTTCTGGGGTTCCTCGCCCTTTGCACACTTCTATTCCCGGTGTTCTTGTTGAAGATGCGAGTAATACCACCCAAGGCCCGAGCTATCATTGACTGGTCGGCGTTCGTGGATGTGCAATTCATGTATTTTGTCGTGGCGCTGCTGATAGCGTACATGGGCCTCATCGTCACTATCTTCTACCCTCCCTTCTCGGGACTCGACCGACACATCCTGGACGATCGCATGGCATTTTACGTTGTGCCCATCTTCAACGCCGGGTCGTGCTTTGGTAGGACGATCCCCAACATCCTCTCGGACAGTTTGGGTCCACTCAACCTCCTTGTCCCGGGTGTACTCATGGTCGGCGTTTTGCTGTTCTGCATGATTGCGGCAACGACGGAAGGGTCGTTGATCGTGGTGATTATCCTGCTCGGGTTCTTCAGTGGGGTGATTATCGGTCTCCCTCCCCTTGTGTTTGTCTCTTTGGCCAAAGACAAATCTAAGATCGGAACGAGGGTAGGGATGGGCTTCAGTCTGGCTTCGGTTGGATTTCTCGCCGGTGGACCGGGGGGAGGCAACATCCTGGGCCAAAACGAGCCGCTAGATTGGACTGGTCTGTACGTCTACGGTGGCGTCGTGTGTTGTGTTGCTGCTGTCATGCTGACTGGGCTGCGATGTTATCGAACGGGCTTCCAGGTATTTGTGAAAGCTTGAGCGGTTCGTGTTTCATAGATTTGCTTCGACCCTGGGTTTCGGCGTTGAGCAGGAAGATCCGGACAACGAGAGAGACCTGGCCTGACGGCACTGGAACAGGAAGACACAGCGTTGACTTGTGAGTGAGTATTGTACCCGATACCGAGCACATGTACGTACGAATTAATTCGCAGAATGAATATTTCATCGCCGTCGTAACATCGATCTAGATGTATTTTGTGTCTCCGTTATCAATAATGTCATGACACCCATGTATCTGTATACGGCGCCTGTCTGTTCGAGCTCCCTTAAGCCACATTAACATCAAAATCAACCCACACCCACCACTTCATCCACCGAAAGCCGTCTTCCACCCGGCCGATCTGCTTCCTCCTCAGTCCCTCGCCTGGAGCTTTCCCATCATCCCCGACGAGCCCCTTCGTCTTCATCTCGATTCGGTCAATCCACCCTTCCATCTCGCAGCCGACCTCGACGCCTCGGATCTTGTCTCTCCACGCATCCTCGGCCACCACACCCTCCCACATGTCCCTCCAGCTGCGTTCGTCGTGTCTGAACCTCGAGCCTTTGCCGGTCAAACGCGCCACTTCGCCGGGGTTGACGTTTCCGACCTGTCCTCCGCAGAGCAGCACCCGGCCCCTCCGCGGATCGAGAAGCTTCAAGCACCGTCTCGCCATGGCCCTTTGCGCGGCGAGGTCGAAGAGATGGAACACGGCGCTGATGTGCAGAATGCCCACTTTGCCGTCGCACTTGGCCGCGAGCTCGGTCGACGGCGAATCGTCAAACACGTCGGCGGGCGCGATGAAGTGCTTGTCGCGGGGCAGTTTGTCGGCGTCCCGGAACAGCTCGTAGCCGGCGTCGATGAACTCGGGCTTCAGGTCCGCTCCGTACAGGCGCGACGGGTCGGCGCCGTCGTAGATGAGTTTGCGGATGTCCTGGCCCAGACAGGTGCCGAGGTCGAGAAATATCCATGAATCGCGACCGTCGTCGTCACCGTCACGTTGTGGCTTACCCTCAGACGAATGGCCTCGTGTGGGGATGAGGGGCGCCAGAACGTCGCTCTGGTACAGCGGGTGGGAAGAGAGGTCGAGCTCGAGAAAACGCCATCGGCCCAGGCATGGGTAAGGGTGCGTGGCGTAGGCTTGGTCACGGACGCGGACGATGTGGCTATTTTGTTTGTCAGGTGCGATGCCAGAGTACGATGAGAGCAGCGCCGACACGTCCGAGGGCACGGCGTGGAGGTCGGCCTGGTAGAGAGGGATCGGTGTCACCTTCGTAGTGGGCTGGTCATCTAGTGAGTCTGCCATTGTTCCTTTGTTTGGATGTGTTTGGGTGAGATTTTAGGGAGCGGCGAGGGGTGAAGACGAGGGATGTCGCGATACATAGTCTATGTGTTGTATACCCACCTAGGTATATCAACCCCGGACAATTGTCCTTCGGGCCCGTGTGGGCTGTCTAACACCCGGCCCGCTTGCTCCGGCAATCACCTCTACCTTATGTAATCGACTCACTCCCACCACCGAAGAAGCCTTTTGGCTAGATTTGTGGCGGGGTGTGTTTCTAGATCAATTGGCACTCGAGGACGCTGCTCGATTGCAGAATCTCGTCCTCGAGGAGGTTCTTCGACATCAGAGTCTGACGGAGAACTTGAAAGTGGCTGCCCTGGGTGACTACCGCTCTGGCTGTGTGCCTGCCCAAGCCGGTCTGTGGATGGGCTTCCTGCAACCGGCAAAGAGCCACTGCTTTGGCTGCATTCCTGATCACCTTGCTCTCTTATTGATCTACGCGCTTCCACTCCAGGGTCGTGACGCGGAAATGTCCTTCCTCCCACTTTCTTGTAAGGCTTGAGACAGCCGGCAATCACGCACAGCGCCACTGGGAGGGGGATTTGTATTGCGTATCGCGGCTCGCCCATGAGCATGAAAATCTCGGCATCAGTTGGATCGATTTCTTGCCCTGTTAGACGTTCATCGTGATCCAACAGGACACCAAGCCTTGCTAGGTCCGATGTCTTGGGTAGCCATTCTGAGTCCGGCAGCACCAACGCCCAACCAATCAAGACATTCATGTGCTCAATCGTTCTTATGATCAGTGAAGTGTCAGTATCGAGCCCTTGATACACGCGGTCGCCGTCTTGACAGGGGAGAATCGAGAAGCCGCGAGACCGCGTCTCTGTTTGCAACATTGGATCACGAATGTTCGGCACGATTTCAAACACGATGATCGGTAACGAGCTTGCACCAGGAATTAAGTTCTGCTCTGGAACATCGATCATGGTCGGATTTCGAGCGGTGCCTATTGACTTGAAGTATACTGGCAGCTGAGATTGAAACGTGGACTCTTGTGCCGACGAACTTGCAGCTCTGCTGCTCTCTCGTGTCCGAAGGTATTGTAACAGACCAGGCATTGACAACCCGAGGCTTCGAAATAGGGTATAGCCAAATGTGGCGAACGAAGTCCCCCAGGCTTCATGGGTTGGGGTTCTGCAGAACGCGAGAACTTGGAAAAAAAGCTCTTCAACGCTCTTCGAATAGTCGACTCTCACCGGATGGCCTCCCTCTCTTGTGTCAGCCGCCATGGCCAATAGGGAGAAGATCTTGTCTCGAGGCTCACTACACTCTTTGTGAGCATAGTCGAGTAGGAGGTCAAACAAGCGCATTTTGCTGCCATGTGCGCCTTGCATAAGATCAGGCTCGTGCTTGTAGTGAGGTGGCTCGAATTCCGCAAGCTCCTGTGTAATGTGCCGTATCTTCTGTATGGCAGATTCCTGATCTGCTTCCGGATCAGGAGGCAAAGTAAAAATGTCATCGCACAGCAGAGGCAACGTCGCCGATCTGAGTGACCCTGCAAGCCGACTGTACGGGACAGATTCCTCCCCACACATCACATAAATGAGACCTTGTGCCAGCGCAACCTCTTGCATGACCCAAGCTCTGCGCCAATACGGCCGGCGAGTGATTGCGACCAAGGCTTGCCACATGGGAAGCTGGTATTGTGCACTCCTTAATTGGCTGCTTTCGGACGAAAAGTCTCCAGAAGACAGGACTCCAACTATCATGTCTGGGTCCAGCGCGATATCGCTGTGATCTGCGGCTTCGCCTAACCACGCAAGAACAGTCCATGCCGAAGAGTAGATTGTGCCCATGATGGCAACTTGTTGCGTTCTTTCCGTCGTCCTTTGCTGATTGATACATATCGCATCGGCCCAAAACCAATTTCCTTGTCCTCGCCCTGCCAGGCGCTCCCTCCATCTCAAGCGCCAGAGAAAATCCCAGAGATTCTTGCGGATCTCGAAAGATGCACCATTGACTGAGATATGAAACTTTGGAGTTTCCGGGCCCCACGTATACGATAAAGCATGATACTCTGCCTTTTCTCCACCCGGCTGCGAGGCTTGATCCGTTTGCAGCGGCTTATGCACCAATTTGAGAGAAAGCTCGCTTTCATTTGCGCCTGGAAGGATTTGAAATAGCCGGACGAAGCCAGCCTCAAGGTCTGAATATGCAAAGGCCATGACATTTACCCCTCGCGGAGTAGTCAATCATGAGAGGGGAAGGGGTATCAGGAAAACAAGGGAGGGGAGAGAGCCGTATAGCACGGCGCCGTTCAAGGTTCCTTACGATGGAGATTCCTGGCCAGCGGGCAGTGTTAGGCCAGACATTGCCTCACTCAAATACGAGATCTGGCTCAGCCATCGATGCTCGAGATGTTCAAGGCAGCAGGTTTGGGTGGTGAGGCTGAAAAGAACGAGGTCCATGGGTTGAAGCTGGGCAACTGTAGCCGAGGGCCAAAGGAGACTCGTGAGCTTCACCAGTCTGATCTCGTGTTAATATTCGAGCATAGATCTACTCTGTTTTCTTTTTGAAAGGAGATATCTAGCATTCCTGCAAGGCAAAGTCACTTGAGACGGAATGATCTGGGATTCTTGTTGTTGTTGACAAGCTGCGGTTGCATCTCTCTCTGCGGGATATTTGTACCGCACAATCTTAAGTTCATCGATACGAATCACGGAGGAGAGAGACCAGTCGCGGTGGCTCTGTGTCGATCTCTGCAGAAGGCTTGATGAAAACGGCAAATCAAACATGTATTGAGGATACCAACACCACGCCATCATCGCGGCGTTCAAGCCACAATAATCTGTCACACCTCAGGCCTCGGCACTAGTTAGACTCACCCTTATCGCCAGACGGGGCGGCATTATCATGTCCTTATCAATGCCTGAGCGCAGATCTGAGATTTCCCCCCGGAGATGCAGATCTCAATTGGCTGCCAGATTTCTCCGCGGGCGCGCAGGTATCCAAAATGACCTCAAGCTTTGCTGCTCCTGAAACTTAGAGATATCAAGCGCGACATGTCTCTCTCTCTTCCCGGGGGGTCCCAAACCCTTCCTGCAGCGTCGTCGCCGCTCTGGTTAGGAGACCATGGCATCCCAACATGAAGAATTGGCGGATGAGAGATCGCATCTCCTCTCACATCACAGTCACAATCGACGGCTAGGGTCTCTGGTCGACGAAGAGGACGTTGCCTCGATGATTTCTTCCCACATCAGCAAAGAGGAGCAGGCACTTGGTGAAAGTCCAGTTGGGGAACGTCTTCCCTACAATGACTACACGACCATCGACTGGTTGCATGACCTGGTAAGAGCAGAGCAATGCTGAACAAAATCTCAGCAACCCCTGGCGAGGTGGACGTTAATCCTGATTCTGATTGTCCCCACAGGTCAAAGATTCGTTCAGATATCGCTCTGTCCATGACGCCAAGGGCATACGGGGTGCCATTGCGTCTTCATTTGACTCTTCCCAGGGATGGATCGCCGCTGCTATTATCGGCGTATTAACGGCCTGCGTCGCATTTCTTGTCGACGTGAGTGTCGCGACCGTCAGCGACTGGAAGACGGGATACTGCAGAGGCCGCCCGTTCGCAAGCAAAGAAGTATGCTGCACTGCCAAATCGCCGTTCACTACGCCCCTTCAAGCTGAAACTGGCGAAACTTGTTCGGAATGGCACTACTGGACGACGAGCTACTCGGGCGCCTTTGGTATCTATGTGGCCTGCGCGCTGCTTTTCGGTGTCATCAGTGGCACTGTCACGCTGACAACGAAGAGATCGCTACCAGCAACTGCCCCTGGCGTTGGAGACCGGGGCCCGGTGCAGAAACCCGGCGAAGCTGCGAACGATCAGACGTCTCCATCTTCCGCTGCTGCGACCGGAAAATCCATCTATATGGCGGCCGGGAGTGGAATACCTGAGATCAAGACGATTCTTTCCGGCTTCGTTATTCCACATTTTCTGGATTTGAATGTTCTGGTCGTGAAGGCTGTGGGCTCCGTGTTTGCCGTGTCGACTGGTATGTGTCTGGGAAAGGAGGGTCCCTTCGTCCACATATCGACATGCGTGGCCTATCTGGTCGCCGTCCGCTTTCCAAAGTACCGAGCTAGCGGCCGCAAGCTCCGAGAGCTCCTGGCTGCTGGTTGTTCGAGCGGCCTGGCCGTGGCCTTTGGAGCACCCATTGGCGGTGTTCTGTTCGCCTACGAGGAGATTGCAACCCATTTCCCACGAAAAGTACTCTGGCGCGCATTTGTGTGCTCCTTGTCAGCCGCCATGACACTCAAAGCACTCAACCCTACCGGCACCGGAAAGCTTGTGCTTTTCGAAACGAACTACGGCACAAGCTATGAGCCTTACCACTACCTCGTGTTTGTCTTGCTCGGGGTTGCCGGCGGAGTGTTCGGAGGGGTGTTCTGCAAGGCCAATTTTCTTTGGTCGCGAACCTTCCGCAAGTACAACATCATCAAGAACTACCCGGTCTTCGAAGTCTTCCTGGTCGTGCTAGCAACGGCGCTCCTTCAGTATCCCAACCCCCTGACCCGAGAGCCTGGCGATGTCATCCTCAAGAATCTCTTGGTCGACTGTACCGACAGTTCACGAAGTGCCTATGTCTGTGTGCAAGAAGGAGATGGTGGGTCGTTCAACAAATATCTAGGCTGGCTCGGCCACGGAATCCTGGTCAAGCTGGTTCTCATGATCGTCACCTTCGGCATCAAGGTGCCTTCGGGCATTATAATCCCTGCACTGGACGGCGGGGCGTTCTTCGGGAGATTGGTCGGACAACTGCCCTTTCTCGCGCAGACCATATCCCCCGGAATTTTTGCCATGGTGGGTGCAGGTGCGTTTCTTGCCGGCGTCAGTCGCATGACCATCAGCCTGGCTGTCATCATGTTCGAATTGACCGGCGAGCTGGAATTCATCATGCCCAACATGATTGGCATCATGGTCGCGAAGTGCGTGGCAGACGCACTCGAGCGCGAAGGAGTCTATGATCTCGCACAAGCAGTTCTGGGTCATCCGTTCCTCGACCACGACCACAGCATGAAGATCGTCCAGAGGGAGAGCCACCTTGTCGAAGAGCTGATTCCGCCTCCTCAGACCATGCGCGAGATCACCGTCGAAGTCCCCGACAGTGGGCTGGTCCCACGTCGTCTGCTGACAGAGAAGCTTTCTCAACTCCGCCGTCGAGGCCTCATGGATGCCGGTCTTGTCTTGGTGCAGAGGTCGATGCTGCAGGGCTATCTGGCAGAAGGGGAACTGGAGTTTGGACTCGAGACCCTTGGCCTAGCCTTTCCAGAGGGCTGTATCGTGCGTCTCCTCCCCTCAACGACCGGGGGGCCAGGATTACCAGCAGATGGTGACCGAGAACTTGACCTACAGCAATTCATCGACCGCACCCCCTTGACGATTTGTGCCAAGGCGCCGATGGAATACGCGGTCGAGATGTTTGGCAAGCTGGGATTGAGGCACGTGTGCGTAACTGAAGAAGGTACTGGGAAGCTTGTGGGAGTCATCATCAAGAAGCGTCTGGTAGTTTGGCTGGAAGGTCTGAAACATTGAAAGGAATGAATCATCATGTCTTTGACCGAGGCCCCCCCCCTCTTCCCCCGGTTAGCTTTCTTTAAGTTCTTAATCCCACGGCGAGCTAGTCAATAACGCCTACAGGTAATGCAAATACGTTCAAAATCCTACCCGAGCCGGTATAATACCAATATCACCACAAGGGCCACAGCGAGGTCTGGTGGAGAGACCCTGCTCGAACGCTGTCTCTAACGGGCAGACTGCTGGACTCGAGAAAGGCACTAGTTAGTTGAATTAACTTAGGCAGGCGCTGCGAGTTGCATTTGGGGGGGTAACGAGGGTTTTACATGAGGCCGTGCAAGTACTTTCTATTCTCAATCTATGTTTCAAGAGTGGTTGTCAATGGTCAACCTGTTGCCGCAGCCGGGACGCCACGCACAGCCGCTGAACTGGTACAGACAGATCCAGGATACAGTATCAGCCCGCGAAGTCAGGCAATACCCAAATCTGCTTGTTTCTCGGGCCAACACCCGCCCATCTTTGCTTCTTGCTCAGTCCAAAACCCACATCTGCTTCTTACTCCGTCCCTTCTCCGATGCCTTGGACCAAGAGATCTCAATGTCCAAGGACCTCTCTTGCCCCTTCTTCTTCAAGTAGGTAATTTCACCGGCGATCGAATCCCCCTCGGTAAACTCCTCTGCCTTTCCGGGATTTTCAATCAGGAAGATCCCCTGCTGCCAGTGGGTAGCCTCGGTTGCAGGACCCGTCGAAAAGGCGACGAGACCCGACTTCTTCGCCTCGGTGGCCGTCATCCCCGCATCAACATTCTGCTTCCGATCCGTGGCGAAGATAATGTCGAACCACACCACGAATCCCTCAAGGACCTTGAACCCGCCTTTCCATTTCGCGGCGAAGGGTTTCGTAAAGGTCAAATCTGCCACCTTTGTGTTGTGCAGATCCAGCTCGAGAAACGGGACACTTTCGGTGGCCAGCTCGTTCTTGTCCATTACGCGGACGATGACCTCCTCGTGCGCCCGTTCCAGCATGGGCGTCATGTCGAAGCCGTACACGTCCCGCCAGAAATCTATATGCGATGCCTTGAATTCCGAGTCGGCCAACGGCGCGATGCGCAAGCTGGCATGAGACGGCACCATGAGTCCGTCCGGTGCAAGGTACCTGTCTCGGGCGTAGAGGACCGAATCCAACATGGACTCGTACAGGAGGCAGTACCCCATCCATTCGCTGACGATGATGTCGACCTTTTCAACGGGCAGTTGGACTTCCTCGATCTTCCCACGCAGACACTTGACCGTGTCTTGGAGATTGTTGGTGTAGACGTGCTCGCGTGCCTTGTCGATGATGTCTGAGTTGTCCACGGCGATCACGAGCTTCGCCCCAGCCTTCGCACAGAACATGGACAAGATTCCCGTGCCGCACCCGACGTCGAGGACGACTCTGTCCTTGAACAAGTCCTTGTGGTCATAGATGAAGTCTCGGTACGCGTCTGTTCTAACACGATCCTTGATCATGGATTCGTGGATCGAGTTGTACGAGTACGACTTGAAGTAGTCCTTGTCGAACTCTTCGGTGTTGTCTTTGTCCGCGGGCCCTTGACGGCTGGTTGTTCGCGCGGTACTCGACGATTCTGGGTTACCTTCTTGGACATCTAGTCTGTCAAGCATGGCGCTCTGAACTTGGTCCCGGTATGCGGCGAATTGAGACTGTAGAGTGGCCAGCTGTTCCCGGAGTTGGTCGACTTCGCTGGCTGGCGCGGAGTTGGCAGCCTCGTCATCAAGGAAGACATCATCAAGACTATACAGGAGAGCGTCGTCCTCCAGAACCGGCTTTAGGTATTTGTCGTCGTCAAAGACTGATTTCGAGGACACGGTGGGGTGTGCGTTGCCCGCGCTGACCTCGGAGCGGACGTAGTTGACAAGCTTGATCAAACCAAGGAAGTCAAGGCCTGTGGCATCGCAAAAATTGGTTCAGTATTGGTCTAACATATCTGATATTGTTGGGTGTGTTCTTCTTACCTAGGTCTTGCCGCAATTTCCAGATATCAAAGTTCTGGCTGTCCCGGCAGTATGTCAACATACTCGATGCGTCAGGAAATGTCTTGTCGTCGAATAGAGAGACCACAGTGATGGGCTCCTCGTCTTGTTCGACATCTTCCCATCCCTCGTCGTTTGTTGTGTCCAAGGGGTCTGACGACGAAGATGAGTCGCTGACAACATCGGGGTCAACGTTTGCTGGAGCCATGGTGCAAAATTCGGACGTGGATTCCCCGATGAACTGGCAAGGGCAGAAGCGTTGAAACTGCTGTTAGATCGAGGGAAGACTTCTTTTCAGTCCAGAATTTACCATAAACAAAAGCGCATTTGAAAATCTGGAGATCTGGAGAATCTTTATGGTCTAAAGGTGAAAATCCGATATGCTGAATAAGAAACTGAGTCGGTGGCTGAACTTTCGGGTGCCAAGACAAGCATGATATTTCAGCCTCCACATACGGTGCAGTAGGTAGAAGGGGGTGAGAACTCACGCACTCCTGCACAGAATCCCTCCGGTTTCTGTAAAGAGACAAGGTCAAGGATCGTATGGATGCTATACGGGGAGGATAGCTGGAGTATGTGTCCAGCCAGTCGCACACACTTACAGTTCGTGTCGGCTTGACCAAGGAAGCTGGATTCGGCCATGTTTGTCAGCCAGTTGATCGGCCCTAACGGGGGCGACTGTGCCGGAGCGAGCCTTGTAGACGAGAATCTTGACCTCGCTGAATTACCCAATAGCAGATGAGTAGTGATTGACCGCCGTGGTTGGGATGGTAGGACAAGGAAATCGGCCATAGCAGCAGAAACTTCGGCCGAATGACCGGTACAACTTGCTACAAGCGAACCTCATAGCCACAACCTACCACGCTCCAGAGTTCACTTGGCCTGAGCCTTGATGGAAACTAGTACCACGTATCCGGACACCCTCGACGGAAGAAGTATATCTAGACTCTCCCTTTCCGTTACGGGATGAAGAGATCTCAAGTTGGGAGTCTACCTGACAACAGGACAGTATCCTCACGCCGACTCGTTCCCAGCGACTGCCAATCCCCCTTGAGAGTAAGGTTTATTAACCTGCAGACTCGAATATACCAGACTCGACATCACAGTCATGAACCCACAGATATTCCTGATCGGAGCCACTGGCCGAACCGGCAGACTTGTCCTCGAAGAAGCCATGACCAGAGGTCACAGCATCACTGCCCTTGTTCGAAAACCTAGCAGCAGCCTGCCTTAACACGCAGACGTTCACGTCGTCATCGGAGACCCATGTAACGCAGGCGACATCGAAAAGGCCCTGCGAAGCACCATGCCCAACGTCCCCGTAGTAATCATCAGCACGCTGGGCCAGACTCGAACCTCAGGAAATCCATGGGCGGCACCAACCTCGCCAGCACGATTCATGGACACATCGGCCAAGGCTGTACTTGCCGCGGCGACCAAGGTGGTCGAAGAAGGCTCAGTGCAAATCGACAAATTCGTCATCATGTCCATGTTTGGTATTGCCGATTCGTTCAAGAACCTCAATGTCCTCGTGCGCTGGACGATGCGCCATTCCAACATGGTCCAGACCATTGAGGACCAGACACTGGTCGACAAGACCGTCAGAAGAGGCCACTTGCCTTTTGTGCTCGTCAGGCCGGCACTGCTGACAGACGGAGACGCTGCGCCCGCCAAGGTTTACCACAGTTCAGCGGAGGGGGTGGGATTCATGCCGAAAGTGAGCGCGAAGACTGTGGCGAAGTTCTTGATGGACGCTGCGGCGAGGGGAGACTGGGATGGGACAGCTCCTGTCATTACGAACTGATATTGCCAAGGAGCCGTTTGTGAAGTTGTTGCAAGATGCTGCCGACAATGACAATGGTCGCTAGCACAACCGCGGAGGACCTTGACGGGGAGAGGGGTACTCGCTCTTCGCACAGGAACGGCGAGGAGATCAATCATGCTTCAGATGAAGCGGTCAATGAGCAACAAGCCGTAAGAGAAGCAGAGAGAAAAGAGAATGCTCAAGTTGTCACTGTTTGCCGAAGAGGTCACACGAGGCTGGTATGCAGCCTTGCCTCACACAACCGTGGCCCCACCAAAACACCATTCACTTGTTATGCGAGTGCTATCAATTAAACGCGTGAACTTTCTCATCAAATCACCAAGAACCCTAAAGTGATGGCTCAAGTTAAAACTACATGGGCGGTGTAGTGGATGGCCATTCACTCAGGCGAGGTGGAAAGCGAAAAAGGGCCCACGTTCGAATCCCGACGACAACACCGATAATCGAGAATTAAATTTGGGGGCGATACAACATCAGAACCAGGTCAAGGTTGGATCAAACCAGACGGGCTTGTCTGGAAGGCGTCTTGACTGTGGGCGGTGGCAATGAAAGAAGTCTAACAAACTTCACCTTAATTTTTTTTGAGACCTTTAACTCATTGAGTATACCGATCTTGCCTGACTATATCTTGTCTTCCTTCTCTATCTCCTCCTTTTCACCTTTTTAACTCTTTTTGCTCAAGATATTTGTAAGAGTACACATTTTTCGAACGATATCCTTGGGACGAAGATAAGATTAAGTAAGAAATCTCACCCAAGATAGTTAACACTAGTCAAGAAGAAAGGGTCATAGATGTTAAGATCCGACTATTAAAGTTTACTTAATCTCGGCCGCAACACACACGATCAACGTTGGTGTAACAGAGACGTTGTTGATATTTAGAGCCAGCTTCCGTTTAACCCATTTCGCTAACAGGACCTGAGGTCTCCATCTTCAAGATCTTGAAGAGGTCATGTCTAGCCCACCAGCTCCTCAATCTCTTTCCGTAGATATAGACCGGAAGACCGAGCAACGACAAGAACACAGACGTACCACCAAAGACGTACATGATCTGCTCCGGACCACTAGAGGCGACCCAGTCGTTCGCGAAATTTGAGAGACCGTAAAACATAAAGTTCTGACAGATGTTAGCCATGGGAAATTCACGTCGCGGGTAGGGAAAGACAAACCTTGAAAAGCATGTTCATGATGAATATCTCGTTGCTCTGGCTCCGGAAGGAATCCAAACCATAGGACAACGTCGAGAAGATTCCGATCAAGACGCCAAACATCATGACACCTTGGAAGAAAGCGCAGAGCTCAGCGGGAGATCCGACCTCCATGGTATAGCCGAAGAGGAACATCCCAACACCGCAAGCAATGCCGGTGGGTATCATGAAGACGAGGCGGAATTCAGGTTCGCTGTGATAGCTCGGTTAGCACCAGGGGAATTGAAGATTAAAGCCTGCACACTCACTAGACACCCTTGTTCCTGCGAGTGAGGTATTTGATGACATGGTCGCCCCAGAATCCGGTAACGAGAGAGCCAAGGAGGCCTCCAACGAATGGACCAGCACCGAGGTAACCAATCTGCGCCGCGTTGAATTGCCACGGCGGCCCGGCAAACACGCCTGCGAGGATAATTGCCGACCCGACATACCAACTGTTAAGCAGACCGGAAGCGATGACTGCATAGCATCCAGCAGGGTTCAGAAGCGTAAGGAAGGGCCCGAACAGGAATTTGAAGATGCTGTCTCTGGAATACACACCTGTGAAGACAGCAAGTTCCTGGACAAAGGTCTTTTTCTTCGGCACGACATAGCCGGGTGAGTCGCCCTGTCCTGGCTCTCCCGTATGCTCCTTGTGCGAATGCTCGATGGTAGCCAGTTCAGTCAGGCCCTTTTCGTCTACCTCGGCGGACTGATCAGTGTCGTAGTGTGAGTCTCTGACGTACGTCGTCTCTGGACAGAAGAGGAACATGAGGACGAATTGAACGCAACAGAATATCTGGAACATGTGGAACAGCCATAGCCAACCAAGGTTCTGGAAAACCTGGCCGCATATGATGGACGCCAGACTGGATGCCGCGTTGAGGATGAAGTTGATGACCGAAATGCGGAGACCTCTCTGGTGGACAAAGTACATGTCACCGACGGTCGACACGATCAGAGACTCAAACGCCGAAGTTGAAAAGCCCTGGATTATACGCGCAGCCAACAGGTACTTGTAGTCGATCTTGGCCTGGCCGACGGCAGTTCCAATGATGTCGAAGAGCGTCGAGACCAGAAACACGGGACGTTTACCATATTTGCGACTGAAAGCACAAACTTTGGACCATTAGCCCCGAAGTTTCATCGGAATCTAGAGGGGAGGGATCGCACCAAAAGGGCCAGAGGCTCCAGCAGCGAGAAGGTTATAACCAGAGACGAGCACAACCGTCGTCAAGTCCATGTTAAGTTGCTGGGAGATTTGGAAGTAAGATGCATTAAGAAATGGACCCTGAGGATAGTAAGCCACTTGGTCTCTAAAAGCACTCACGTCTCAACTTACGTTTGTACCAGCATTCAACATGGCCCCCAAACACAGGATGGCGGTGATAACTTCCTTCTTCCACATCGGCCAATTGAGGGGGTCATTTGGATCCTCGCTGGGCTGGGGTGATAGGACAATATGAGCGTCTTTGCCCTTGCCGTGCTTGAGGCCTTCGGTGATGGCCTCTTGGTGAGCGGCTTCATCGTTTAGCAAGACCGTCCCCGGGACATGGTCGAGCTTCTTGTCTATCCCGTGTTAGCCATATGCCAGGAATGCGCGTGTTGGGTGTTTACCGTCTTGCACGCCGAGACCCATCGTGACGATAGGCTTTGGTTGATTCCGTGAGTCTTAGGTTTCCTCTTGCTCTTCGGAGATGATGTGAATGGAGCTTTTGATGGCAGTGAAGAGGGAAGGGAGGAAGTGGACGACGGGAAAGGAGTAGCTGTTATCCTTTTTAAGCTCGAGTCCGGGGCTCGGGTTTGGAGTCGGTGGGTCTATTGCCCTCCATTCCCCAAGAGTCCGGAAGCTTTGTACTGGCCCCGGGGGATCCCAGACTCTGCATATGGAGCTCGAATCATTGACCCAGGCTGCCCCGTGGGGGAGACGCCGTGCCCGGAATTTGCCCACTGGTACCGTTTGGGCAAGGGCAGGGCGCTGCGTCTCCTCAGTAACTGCCTGATGGCGCCTGAGATTAGGGGCTTTTCGACAGTCATGTTGCTCTCCTGTGATATACTCTGACCAGTTCTTTCGGATTGGAAATTCAGTTTTCAACCACGTCAGAGGAACACTATTTGGCTGAGCCGCGCATTCATCCACGTCCAACTCAGCCTTTCGAGGTACGGCTGAAGGCTTTGGTCTGCATAGTGGGTAAATGCCACTGCCCCACACACAGCGAGCTGTGGGTGATTCTGGAGTCTGTAGGTGGCCCAAACGGTGCCTCACTAAAGGCGCCGCTTACCATTGGCCTTGCGAGGCATTGAGCAAAAACGAGACAATCTTTGAATGTCTGATGACTCGGTCCGGGACCGTGCTGAAACTGTGGTAAATTCCCACATCGAATCCAAATTTGGCCTCATGGGTGAACTCCCCGTCAACGTGGTGACGGATATGAAAGCCTAAAGCCTCTCGCTCGCATACTCAGAGGCCCATGACCATGTGGGCTACAGCAGGGACGCGTCCGGATCCACGAACCTGGTGCAGGGACACAATATTGTCTGCTTGGCAATTCCAGCACTGGATCAGTGCTGAGATCGCAACGCTGACTGCGCGTGACTCACGAGCCTTTCACCTTCGGCTCACGCTCCATTTTATCATTTACCCAGAACGTAACAACTTGGAATAGTCGGGATCATAAAGAAGAAGCACCTCACTGTGACTCGTATACGGTACTCTGGAAAGAGAACTTCGGATAACGGGCACGTAAGATGCCGGGAGGCAAAGCACAATCAAGCAGTCAGGAAGTTCTGATTAGTCGGAATTCGCCCTACTGGGCCCTGCTGAGATCGCTTGATCGGCAATCTAACTAGTACTCTTACGCAGAGGCAACCAACGGTCTGGAGCAGCAGTTCATGGCCGGGATACGTTCCAACTGGAGAATGGTGCCTTGGGTGGTGTGGTACGTCGTAGATACGTACTGACAAATCCTGCCTGGGGATAGCGAGAGATGATTTGAACCCTCGTAAACATCTCTCGGCGTGTCAGCACAGGGGATTCACTTGCTGCGATTCTCGGCAAGGTGATTGACTGCGAGATTTCGGGGTGTCATTTCCTTTTCCTGTGGGGTCAGGCACTTCTGGCATGCCATGGATTCGGCTGAGAAAGATTGCGTAGATTGCTAATCAATCTTTGACCATACACGGATAGATGAGTTTGTCCCAGCACACATATGCTGGGTAGCATTTCGCCTGGCATTGATAGCCTGGTGAGAATGTCTTTTGGACCATTCGGTTGTATTTACTAGTGTATGAATCACATCCACTGGTAGTCGATCGTCAGCGCGAAATGTACAGACCAGGTTGCCTTTCACCCCTGCTGGGATTCTTATATCATTTCTTGTACATAGGGTAAGGTGATGTGGGGTCCGGAAGGGTCCTGCTCCCATGGAGGCCGTAAAGCGGTAAACCCCAGCTTTTGCTATGAAGCTAGTTGTGAGTTCCGTTAGCATGCTTCCTCTGTTGTGAAGCAATGGATCAGGAGACTTACACTTCTCCAATTCTCGACTCGCCGACCGTTTGGCGGCTCAACTCCTCTGCCTTGATCTAGATTGCCGTCAAGCCTTGGGGATCCATGGCAACTCCGTGAATCTTGGCCGCCCCGTGGAGAGAATTTGCGTCTGGCTAAACATTGAGCCATGAAGTCTGTCTAAATTGATCGGTTCTGGATGCCAAAGTTATCTGGATCCTCTTGAGTGCCAGAATCTGAAAGCCAACGAGACAGACGCCCTTATGGTGCTTCTTCGTGGCGCAGCGTGTCTGTGTTATGGACGCTGATGAAGGTATCCCCTTCCAGGGACCCGATTATCTACCCGAAGAGACAACTTTCGGACAGCCTTGGTAAATTCACATTCAGGTTCGCCTGATGACCTAATTGCTTTCTTGATGTACCAGCTCCCCAGGATTCTATTCAAAATCCATCAGCAGATTTTGAGCTTCGAGCACCTGAGAGCGACATGTTGGATTTTCACACCTCAGCCGTCGTGCATGTGTCTTGGGATTCGCCGAAGGAGGAGGAGACGCCGGTATAGTGTGCCAAAACCTGTTGTCCTCAACGCCGTCTTCTGGTAGGTATCTCTCCACGCTGATTCCTAGACGTGTCAGGTAAATTCAATCTATATCTGCCCATTTGGGTTAGATCGTGTGAAGCATCCACTAGGCCCCATTCGGGTTGGCTTAAGAGCTGAGTTTTTATCACTCTCGCATTTATTCACCACCTTCTCTGCCCGCTGTCTCGCAATGGATATGGGGCTTCGTTCCCTCAATCATTCCAGACAGGGCAGTCGAGAGAATGAATGCTATATGTCAGATGAAACAACTACGATCCCACAGTTATCGTTCTCGGGCGGGTACAAAACGTGCAGATGTAAGTGCCCAGATCATCCAGTCAAAACCAATCTTGCAATCTTCTCCGAACTGCATTTGCCTAGAGAGTCCTGGCATGCCCTTACAGCGCCTAGTGAGACATATAAAATGCGATGAGGCAGTCCAATTCTGTCGGCAAGGCGTCTGATCTGACAGATTTCGCCGTTATCTGGACCATGCTACCAATACACCGACCACCAAGCACGTCGTGTACATTATTCCTGGGACGTTTGACCCCTCTACAGCAATCACATTGCATGAGCGTCGAGCTTTGTGGCACTTCCAATATTGGATCGCCTATCAAATTGAAGGCTCCCTCAGACTGGCTTTTGATCGACGATCGTGCCGCGACTGATCTAGGGTGATGTGATGGTCCAGGAGGCAGTAGTGGGGTTAAGTGCTTCTCATGAACACCACCTTGACTGTGCTTTTGCCTGCCCATGCATTTCCGACAATGCACTCCACTTGTATCAGAAGGAGCGTCAATAAGTGATCCAGCTCGATTCTCCCGGCCTTTTTTTGACTTGATTATGTCCGCCAGGATCATACTTTGCTTCCCGCGATGCCCTGCTTGGTAAGTTCGGAGTAGTGAACCGACATGCTCTGTCATGTATGAAGATGATTGCAGATTGGGGTGACCGTACTTCCACGTCAAAGCATGCTTGCGTTTTCGAGTCGTTTTGACCAATACTTCTCCTAACAATTCAGGCTCAACTCATCGAGGCAGATGTGGACGATGTCGAAATAGAACGTCTTGGATTGGTTGAATGACTGCAAGAGATTCCGGATTGGCTTTTATCTGTGCGGCCGAGGCTTTTCCACACCTCCAAAATTTCTCAACCCAGGTCTGAGACCTTTTTCGATGAGCTTAGGTGTACTACGAGCACAACATCCGGGTGCCTTCAAGAGTACGTCCACAGTTTCAACCTGCGTACCATGCGACCTGTGCAAATTATGGTACATGAAAAGAGGCTATATCTATGGTATGGACCCTAGAAGGGGGACAGATAGCTGGGCCAGGCGGCCCTATCCCGGGAATACCAATTCGGCCACCGGCTGTGATTGATGTGGCCGTCAGAGTCGATAGCAACGATTTCATTCGACTGAGTCGCATTCCTGGGAGGCGAGGTGTCTGACAAGATTACCTGTCCGAGAGACGGATAACTCTGAGCGTCCCAGGTATTGCTGTAGAATGCTTCCCAGAAGACAACGACGAACCCGCAAATCCGTGGCCTTTGGCTGATCAGAGTTCTCAGCGGGAAACACGGTAGTGAGAGGTCGCCTGATGTGTGTTGTCAGTCGAAGCACGGAGAAAACAGACCAAGTCCGTTGTTTCCGTTGAAAGACCGAGTCGTCTCATGACCGCGATATCGTTCATCCTCTCGGGGCCTTTGGCAAGTCTTTAGCATGGCCAAGAAGTCGCTCAATATCACGCATGCCGCGCCATGGCCTTCATCTTGCAAATAGCTCAGCCAAAAAGAACAACCGCCTTACTGCGGTTGAGAACTGTAGACAAAGCTCACATTTCAAGACCTCATGATCAATAATCATGGATGGGCTGGATATCGGCTCGTGAGATCCACCTGCCCTTCTTTCTTCCGCATTTCTTGGAAGCTTGGGGAAGCTTGGGATACCGAACCCTGCGCGAACCTCTTGTCTCCGCCTTCCTGGCATTTATAAACTCCCGAGTCCTCTTTTCTGATTTCTCGGAAGGAAGGATCCGCAACTTAGTAAGATGTGGGTATTCGGCTGGCGCTTCTACAATAAGATTGACTGGGCGGAGCCGCCAGGGTTTTCGGCCTCAGCGGCTCAATCAGCAAACTAGCTACCTCTGCCCTGCAATTTGGAGAATGTTCTTGCAGAATTCCAACCTCCCAACAAGTGGCCGACACGGCGGGTTTGACCGCCATGTTCGTCCCCTACAATGGCGAGACACAGCGTTTCAATGTTCGTGTATCCGACCAGCGCAGACACAGCGCGAAGGCATTTCAACGGCGTAGACGCGAGAATGCGATCAGATTTAAGCAACACCCCGATACGGAAATCATCGGGTCGCCGGCATCTACGCAGATATCGAGCACATCACCAACCTCAAGTGAATTGCTCTCCACGGATGATGAGAGCAATGATTATGATGACCAAGACGTTGAAGAAATTGCTACTGCAACTCTTGAACATCAGCCACCTGTGTCGACGAGCACAACAACCCGCTCCAATGCCGGAGACACACCTGACAACGGCGACCACCAACCTCAGCAGCTCGGCCACGATCAATCCATGACGCTGTCTGTTACGCACAAACTGAGAGCGATATCTCGCAGCGACATGACCTTTGGAGGATTTCGAGTGGATCCTTTCAGATCTTATCCCATCAAATGGCGAGAATATTTCCCTGCAGTCACCGACTTTTGCAGGATAGTCGTCGCCCCCAGGCCAAACTACTTTCAATTTGTCATGGAGAACGACGTCTTATTTGAAGCCATCGTAACCTACTGTCTATGCGTGATGCCCGCAACGACTCCTCAGACACAGATGGCGCTGATGTACCACTATGGGGGCACCATGTCAAAAGTGAGCAGGTTTCTTTCATCGGGCTCCAAAGAGGCAAGCGATGCGGTGATTCTCGCCATATGCAACCTTGCTGTTATTTGCGTAAGTGTGGTTTGTTAGTTCCATTTCAAACTGTGAGTGCTGAGGCTCGTCCTAGGCTTATCGTGGTGATGACGAGCACTTTCAAACACATCTAGACGGCATCCACCAACTCATCAAGTTACGAGGCGGGAAAGATGCCTTTGAAACGGAAGGCTCCTGGGTCAACATGGCGTTGATAGCGTGGGTGTCACAAGAACCTTTTAGCTACCGTGGACCCTGTTTACTGACACCACCACCACCACCAGCATCGAAGCACTCGCCCTCGTTCCATCGCGCAAACAACCCAGAACGGCAACGGTCGAAACAACTCTGACTGAAGTTGAATCCAAGCCCACAATCCATATCAGCTCCAGAACACCAGTCTATCCAGAACATCCGTTTTCTGCTGAACTCTGTGCCCTCATCTCAAGGCTGCCTGAAGGGTTTCGAGAAGTAGCCTTGACTGGCCGGGTCTCAATCCAGCTGATAAATAGACTGGAGATCACTCGGAGCCAGGTGGTGCATTTGATGGCCACGGCGACAGATGATGAGCGGGATAGGGATTGGCAGGCCTTGATGCTTGCGTCGAGCCCACTCGAGCGAATGGGATGGTTTGCAGTTCTGGTCTTCCATCTTCGCAGCTCAACACATTACGACAATTGTAAGAGCCTGGCCAAGGCAGTCTTGGAATGTGCTCAGCAGCGCTACTATACCGTAGCTGAAAATGAATGGATCCTCTGGGGTGCCTGTCTTCTCATTGCGACACCTGACCCAGAAAGAGTTCTGACAGCGCAACGGCACAATATCATTGCATGGCTGAAGCGACGAAAGGCGCTGCTATCCTACCCACGAATGAATGCTATCGCCAACAAGTTCTTGTGGAGCGATGGTCTCAGCGACGGCTTGCGGACAATTATCATGGATAGGCTGACTAGCTAGTCCTGGTCCAGGAAAACATCCAGGAGTCCAAAGCATCCTGAAAAGTAACGGTGCCGGTGCATACGGACACCTGATGGGGCCCATCGCACAAATCCACCATCAATGTAAGGCAGGATACTTTACGAGAGAATCGAAAGTATTAATATTAGGCTCTTCAAGGCAGTTCTACTTGAGAAGAGAAGAGATGAACGGTCGGTGGTTGTGGGCGCAACCCGGCGGGAAACGCGGCACCCGAAGCTCTCCACACGCCAATGTGTGGGCAACGGGGCAGATGCCGCAATCTGCCACCACCGATATCGTCCGAGAAAATAGGACGTACTTAATTCGACGCTCACGACGACAATGTCTATTTTGTTCATTCTTTGATAGCGCGCCTTTTGCTGGGATTAACAGTGTTTGGATTTTGCGGAAATCGAAAAAATTGAAAGCAAAGGCGTTCACTACAGGTCAAACACAGATCAATTAATCATCCATTATCTGGCCCGCACTCAAAGAACGAGACTCGAAAGGATAAAATGTCTCCGAAAGGGCCATACAAGCTGGTCACAGTCAACACAGCTCCCGAGCGAGCAAAGAGACTGGTTGGTCGTGTTGTTGAAGATCTCAAGGATCAATACACCATTCAACACGTCGCCAACTGTGAAAGTACGACATCCCTGTTGCTCCTGGTAGTTGTTTGTGGATGATGCTGACACCGTCGCTTGTAGCCATTGACGCTGTCGAAGCAACGGTGAAAGAGATCAAACCCGACATTCTGGTACGTGTGGTTGCATGCTGTCGGCCCCCCAGCGGGGGACATTTTCTCACCTCTCCAGACCGGCCATGGCAGACAGGTCGCTGACTTGAAATGAAATTGACAGTTCTGCGCCTCGATGTGGACGCCCGAGGAAAGCGGGCGCATTCTCCAGATAGCCAAGGACAACGTCCCGGGAATCAAGACGCATGCTATCCCTCAAGGCTTGCAGGTCGAAAAGGGCCCTGACGCAGTCGTCGCACATCTCAAGGAGAAGATCCCCCTCATTCTGGAGTGAAGAATTTCTAGAAAGGAGAGACGAGTCGTTGAGAGCATGGCCAGTGTCCTTACGCGATACACGTCAAGAATCACCTAGAACCTAGACTAGAACTATCCAATAAAGATCACAGCCAGTCAAGTGCTGTCGTGTGATATGCTGGAATGAGCATGGCGGCCAAGGAGAGACGCCCCGGTTGTGAGTGCGGCATGCTTGTGCTATTCTAGTGCTAATGCTCGCCTGAGCGCTGATGTTGTTGCTCATCTGTGTCTCCATACCCACTATCAGTTCAATGTCCATCCACCTCTACCAGTCTTGATGTTGAGCCTCATTTGGCTGGAGCTACGGTGTCTCATGCTCACAGCACACTGTCCGCAGTCCAGTCCACGGCCACAGCACCAGCCTCGACTCCCGCCGAGGATACACACCACGTCAGTCGCCTCTTCTCCTGGTCAGTTACTCTCCTGCTGTGAGGGCGCAAGTCAGTGCTCTCTCTAGTCTTCCGGCGTCGGCGGCTTCATCCCCGCTAAACCTGCCATGTGTGGCCCTTAACTATGTAGCTGGTTCGCTCGCTAAAAGAAATATGTCCGATGATCGGGTGTCACCAATTGCCTCCCTCCAACTCTCCCACTCGCCGTTGCTCATCGGCAGTGTAAACTGCCGAATGGATTGAACAGAAGTTACGAGTTCGTACTTGAAACTCTACAGCTCTACCAGCTTGTGTGCGGGATGTCCTGTCATCGTGCTCCCGTCATCCCCGGCCTCCCCGGCCTGTCCAGTCAACCGACCGACCCCACATACAGCCGTGCGGCAATCGATCTCGGCTTCAAATTGTGGCTCACCTGGGCACACTTTTGCTTGCTCGACCAAGAGATATGGTAGAATAAACACTACAAAAAATATTTGTTCGCCTCGTAGTCACGACGGACGTTGATTAGTCTTGGCGATACACCAGCACCACAAACCACCATGCATCCAGACGTACAGTCGTTAAAGATATGCATCTTGGGTGCAGGCATGGGCGGGCTCACGTGTGCCCTCGCCCTAGCACGCGCCGGGTTCAACAACATCACCATCTTCGAGGTGGCATCGAACCTCGGATTTGTCGGGGCAGGCATCCAGATGGCACCCAACATGGCTCGGATTCTCGACCGGCTAGGCGTTTGGGACGACATCTTCAAGGACGCCGTGGTTCTCAACGAGACCAGCATCCGCCAAGGATCTACAGACACCGAACTCGGACACGTCGACCTGAGATACATCAAGGAGGCGTACCAATACCCGCACACAGTAGGTCATCGCGCGACCTTGGCAAGCGAGCTGTACAACGGCTGCAAGCGAGAATCCGACAAGATCAAATTCGAGTTCGGCACGACGTGTGAAAACGTGAGGTTTGGCGCCAAACCCTCCTTCACCGCGGTCCCTCGCCACCAGGGCGTCCCCTACGAGGTGGAGTGCGACGTCCTCCTGGGTGCCGACGGGGTCAAGTCGAACACGCGCGTTGCGATGCTGAGAGAGCTCAACGTCGAGGCCGAAGTCAAGGACACGGCGCAAGCGGCGTACCGAATCATGCTCACGCGCGAGCAGCTGTCGTCGGACCCGGAACTGCTCGCGCTCATCGACGCGGACAAGGTGATCCGCTGGATCGGCGAGAAGCGCCACATCATCGCGTACCCGGTGTCGTCGAAGCAGATCTACAACCTCTCGACGACGCAGCCGGACGTGAATTTTGCCGCCGCACCCTCGGCGACCTACACCACCAAGGGATCCAAGAAGGCCATGCTGGACGTCTTTGGGGACTTTTGCCCCATGATCCACCGCATGCTGGACCTTGTGCCGGAGGGCGAGGTGTGCGAGTGGAAACTGAGAGTGCACGCGCCCCTGCCGACGTGGGTTCACGGGAGCGTGGCGCTCGTCGGTGACGCTTGCCACCCGACTCTACCTCACATGGCGCAGGGGGCGGCCCAGGCGATCGAGGACGCCGGTGTGATAGCCGTAGTGCTGGCGGCGCTCCCGTCGGGTGCTGGGCCATCTGAGATCAACCAAGCGCTGAAGATTTACGAACAGGTTCGCAAGGAGCGCGCAGAGACACTGGTCGAGTTGGCCGCCGCGAGTGGGAGGGCGTTGCATCTCGGTGAAGGCAAGGCGAAGGAAGAGAGAGATAAGCAGTTCGCGGCGTTGAAAGAGGGAAAGGGTCCTGTGCCTGATAAATGGGCCGATGCAGATATACAGAAGATGGTCTACGGTGTTGACTGTATGGAAGAAGCCGAGAAGATTGTCAGAGGATACTCCTTTTCGAGGGATTCTTGACATGACTTGACATGACTTCACATCATATATATCGTATGCTGTTCAGGACAAGTTGGTACTCACGTACGAAATGTTGCAAATATGATACAAAGGATGTCTGTTTGAATCTCGCTTCGTACCTACCTAGTATAGGTTTCAATTTAAACGTCTCCGCAGCTCGATGTGAAGGTCCTGGTGACTACACTTATCACTCTGATATGAAATGTGAATATGGTTACGATCCCCACAACAAGTCTCCACCGCCGCCGCCGCCGCCGCCGCCACCGCCTCCACCACAGCACGAACTTTGTAAACATCAGAAGTCCCCACGAATGTTCTGGCCCAAAATCCAGTTAGGTACAGTAATGCGCGGACATGGCCTCAACTTGAGTGTACACAGAATTTTACGTTCAAAATGATCGGTCTGGAGGCGCAGGGCCTGTGAGGAGGTTTCTTCGATCACAGACTTCGCTGCTTTAACGCAATCGGCAGGGAAATCTCCTGTCGGATGCGGCGATCCGTGCCGCCGCTTTGAAGGATTTCTAAGTCAGGCAGCAAACATCCTCCGATATGTGTACATACAGCGTCTATCCGCCCAACTTCAGCCTGATGATGTTGCTCACTTAGTCCAACCTTCAGCCATTCGAAGGAGTGAGGTTTGGATGTCATTATTTTCCTCTTCAAAGCACGACGGCCAGGCCAGCAAATTCTCGGATTTGAGATCTAATGGCTGAAGTGGTCGGCGTCATTGCCAGTGGTGCTGCAATCGTCAGCCTTGCCCGCGAGATCTTCGAAAGTGTGTACAAATTGCAACGTCTCTTGACCGCCATCCAAGATGCTCCACATGAACTGAAAACCATTTTGGAGGAAATCGCTATTGTGACAGATATCCTCGTCCAGTGTTCAGAGTCTCCACACACTCTCCCGACCGACCCCAAGCAGCACGTGGCGAGAGACCCAGCTCTCCTCCATTGTGAAACAGCGTGTAAGCACTTACACGCCATCATATCTGAAATAGAAGAGGGGACGAGGGGTTCGAAATGGCGCTCTAGGTGGTCTAGCGTCGTAGCGGTACTGAAAGAGAAAAAGATCGCAAACCTTATGGCAAGGCTGGAAAGAGCAAAGTCAACTCTTGCGCTTGCGCAAGTCCTACGTCTCCAGTAAGCTCCTACTCCTTCAGCAAACAGTACGGACTGACAACTACAAGGACTCTTGAACAAGAGAAGCGCGGCCCGAAGGAAGGACCCTGCTTGACTCCTACCGTACAAACACCTCAGCTTGTCAGCAGTAGCATCGGCATACGTCAAAATGGAAACAAGGATGTTCATAAACCTTATAGCGAGACACATTTTCACCTGGGTATTGGGGTCCTCGTGGTACGGCAGTCGAAGACCACCAGAGCAGTACCTCTTTCTTCTCTGGAAGGAACCACTGAAACCATGGTCCAGTTTCGCTTTTCAGATTGGTTCCTAAGGTGGGGATTCAAGATTGCCGTCGGTCGAGAGTTTGGGGCTTTCAAAACCACGATAATACCCCAGCGCCTTGTACCCGAGGACTCGGCCATATTCCAAGCCTGTGCCCTCGGTGATGATGAGGCTGTAGCAAGACTCATCCGAGAAGGCAAAGCCTCTCCCTTTGATACCACCAGCAGTGGCGTTACTCCCCTCCTGGTAAGAAGGCATCAAATATGCATTCCTCCTTGAATCCCCATCGCTGGAAGTTCAGTTACCTGACGTTTTGATATAGGTGGCAGCTGCTTGGCTTCATCCGAGTATCAGCAAGCAGCTTTTGGAGTATGGCGCGGATGATTCCGCGTCAATCCAATACTATGATTTTTCTTTGTACGCCATATCTTTATGCCGTCACCTATACATGACATACTGATAGCAACTGCCTAGCAATCCTCTAGTTATGGCCGTTGAGCGCGCTGGCCACTTCCGCTATTTCCTGTTCCCAGGACTGGAAGATTATCGCCTCGAACCTGAAAGATGCCTTGTCCGGATGCGCGAGACAATGCGCGTACTCACTGAACACGGTAGTGTCGACGTCCATCAATATTACAACCCTGACGAAGATGGCTATTCTGCCCTGCACCATTTTCGAGGCTCTTCCGAGGACTTCTCGTGGCTGATCAAACGTGACGATACGTTTATGACTGCCAGAGACTGGGACCACCACCTTGCATCCATTGTCTTACAGCAGACTCAAATGTTTCCGAATGACTCTTTTCCGGCAGCCTTCAGCAAAGTATCAGACATGAAATTTCTGGCAGGATACAAAGACTCTTCTGGTTCAAGTCTATTACATTATCTACTCGACACAAACTTCGGAACAAAGCCTGGCTTTTGGCATAATGGCCTCGATATTTTCACGTTCGTCAGGCCACTCCTTGAACATGGCGCTGACCCGGGGGCGCGCAATGACCGAGGTTACACTCCGTTGATGAATTTTGCTCGAACTATTCGGCGGCATTGGTGTATGCTCCTGTTGCCCGATATTCAAGTTGTGACCGAGGTTTGCTCTGAGTTTTTTGCACGATGGGTTGAGGTTCTCAAATCTTGTGATATCGATCTTCATCATTATCGTTCCCGAGAAGTTGAATCTGGGGCAGAGAGATTCGCGAGTTGTCTGGATATTCACCAGTTCCAGGAACCCAGCTACGCTTTCAGTGGGGCTAAGCATTGGTTCGTAAGGCTTGTTTTTGAACAGGTTGATCCGCATCAAGAGCTTCAGATCAAATTGGAGTTAAAATCCAAAGATAAGGACAAGATAATGCCCGGAACTTGGCCTGGTGAATTTCTGGATACTATTTAGTATAACAGAAGGTCATTGAATCGCACACTACAACAGTGAATCCCGGTTTGATCAATCTGGATACTGCACTCACATCTACCGTCCATCTACAGGCAGGTGTTGTACTTGTGATAGTTCTGACCTTTTTTAATTTGTTTCGAACTCTACGCAACGCCCGCAAGAATGATTATAACATTAACCTTCGTGACTCTGCGAAAGATGAATACGGCTGGCGGGGGCAGTGCAGTATGTTTGTGATGATTTTTGTGTTTGATAATTACCTAGATCACTTTGTCCTTGAAAATATACCTCACTGTTTCTGAGCCAACGAAATCCTTCCCTGATCATCATAGACAATCTCCCTCATCCTCACGGACCTCAGGTGATCGACGCCGTTACTCAGCTCGCAGTCGTGGTAGAAAAGGTACCATCTGCCCTTGTACTCGACGATGCTGTGGTGGGTGGTCCAGCCGACGACGGGCTCCAGAATGCGTCCGGCGTACGTGAACGGGCCGTAGGGGTTGTCCCCGATGGCGTAGACGAGGTAATGCGTGTCGCCGGTCGAGTAGCTGAAGTAGTACTTCCCCTTGTACTTGTGCATCCAGGGGGCCTCGAAGAAGCGGCGGTCGTGGTCGTCGGCGACCAGGGGCGCGCCGTTCTCGTCGACGACCTGCACCTGTCGCACCGGCTCGGCGAACCCGTGCATGTCGTCGGACAGCCTGGCGACGCGGCACGAGAGCGCGGGGACGTCAGAGCCCTTGGGTTCTTGCGGGCCGGACATGGAAGGGTCGAAGGTGTCGTTGTCCTTCCAGCACTGCAGCTGCCCGCCCCAGATGCCGCCGAAGTAGAGGTACACCCGGCCGCCGTCGTCGTCATCGTCGACGAAGCTGGCCGGGTCGATGCTGTAGCTCCCCGGGATCGGGCTGGGGTCGGGCTTGAAGGGCCCGCTGGGCCTGTCGGACTCGGCGACCCCGATGCGGAAGATGCCCTCCTTGTCGCGCGCCGGGAAGTACAGGTAGTACCTCCCGTTCTTGGTCGCGGCGTCGGGCGCCCAGAGCTGTTTGGAGACCCACGGCACGTCGTCGGCCTTGAGCACCACGCCGTGGTCCGTCACGGGCCCGTTGAACTCGCTCAGGGACAGGACATGGTAGTCGGCCATGTCGTATTGGTCGCCATTGTCGTTGAATTGGATGTCTGTTTCTCGGTCCTGGGTACAATGACTGATAAGCAACGGCGACGAAGGAGAGGAAGTATCCCGGTGCCACGCTATGCCATGCTTTGGGTTTCCCGCCGTGCCAGATGTATGAGGCAATGGAAGAAGGGAAGGGCCTGAGAGTCGTGACTCGTGATGGTTTGATTGATTTAAAAAAGCGATGAAATCAACATGACTTGCTCAATGCCTCCCACTCGGACGATTTACACAACTGAAAAGAAAATACGAAACTCACATGAGATGGATAGACGTATATCTTGCCCTCAAACACATGCGCCGATGGATCCGCCGTGTAGATGTGGGTCACTAAAGGGTCGGATGCCATGACGGCACGGCAGTCGGGCCTTTTTTGTGTGTGTGTGCTCTACGATATCAGACCCAAAGAGAAACAGAATCGAGAACAGGACGGCAAAAGTCAGTCGCGGTGATTTTCTGTCCTTTTATGATAAATAATGGCAGTCCTTTAGGTTTTATTCGCGGCGAGTGGTGGGCGTCGAGGGTATTTAAGTCGATTCTATTTAGCCAGATTTAGCCGGGGAGCCGGAGGGACGGATAGTCCTAAGTACCAGTTAGTGAGCCCTTTCTTCGACGGTACGATACAATGTCTAGATACGAGGCCCTTAGGATTTCTTGATGCTTACCTACTAGCGGACAGTACACGGAGAATCTGGTGTTGGGACTAACCTCGCTATCAACGGAGTGCATTCCCCTTGAACATCTTCGTTTGGCGTTTATGGGGTTTGAAGTATCACTGCCACGGCCGTAGTTGACTATCACTATCGCCATTAACCAGTGAAAGGGCTGCCAGGCCCAAGGCTTCAGAGACAAGGCTGGACTAGCTAAGGTAGTTACGTGCATACAGATAGGTACTTTGTAGTTCTTAAGCCCCCTTATGGGTTACCTAATTGAAGTCGAAGATGGCATTATATAATACCTTCTGCGACGAGAGATACTCCGAAACGCAGCCAGCCATAGGCGCCTTCGGTACCTTCACCTCCCCCCTCCCCCGTACTGGCTTAATTTATGATTACTGCTCCGAACCAGATTCAGCTATAACACCTTTATCTACTCCGTACCAGTTAATGATTACTAGGTAAATTGCTCGTTGCGTTCTCGGGGTGCCTCGCGCACGCCTTGCCCGCATTAGTGCACATGCCCAAAGAGGCAATTTTGACTCTGCCTGATCGCACCACCTGTGGCTGCGTCGACCGGAGTGATTGGTACGGCTTCTCTGCCAAGGGGGGGCGGAAGTGGCACAAATGTCACTCCTCCCTGGTCTCGATGGCCTTGACCCTGCAGCAGAGGGCCGGCCGACGACTATCACGAAGATCATAACTGCACATACTTCAGTTGACCGGCCCCGTTGGTTTTGACATATCTGCCATCTTCGAGTCTTCATGCTGCGCTCTCCAAGAAAGCCCCCATGTCTGCTGGCAGCTGGCAGCTGGCAACTGGTCAATTCGTGTTTGACGTTGACAAGTCACAATGATAGAGATCGACTTCATCCAGTATAACCCCTCGCAGGGCCCTCGACAGCGAGACCTAGACCGATTGCGCGCCATATCCCACGCCGCCCGGGTGACCCACGAGAACCGCAGGCGGTCCACCAAGCGCCATGTCATCGCCCTTAACCGCGGCCAGTCCAGTATTGACCGTCATGACAAAACCGACCGAGAGGAGGAAGACCGCTATGAAGAAGTCGTGGGAGAGCCAATTCTAGTAGTCTCAGCAGCCTTCCAGGGCAACTCGGATCCATTCTCATGTGTCGCAATCAACATCACATCGGAGCTGAACAGAGTCCTCACCTTCGCCAGAGACGTTGTTCTGCAGGCACATTACACCCCTTTCGCGATCCGCACAATGTCGTACCAAACAGCCAGCCGTTTCGAACAGCCGACCGTTGGAAGAGCCTGGGCCGACATATCCGCGAGCCTCCGCGACGAGGGCACTGCTCTTGCTCGCCTGACGACCTACAGCCAGCTCCTGAGCAACTGCGTGGCTGACCCCAAGGAGTTGAGAACTTTGGTGTTGCGGATGCGCCAACGAAGTCTTTACCTGCTGCGCAAAAAGCTGGAAGGTCACTCGAAACTGTCTGAAGCTGAAGAGAGGGGCAATTTGAAGCGGCACATATTTGGACTCTTCGACGCTGAATGTTTCTGCGGGGACACGGAAGCCGCTCTTGTTCATGGTAAGGCCTTGCAACAGCTGACGAATGAGAGCAACACGCTCGACATCCCTCTGGCACAGAGGCTGCTCTATATCATTTGCCACACGGCAGCCTCCAGAGGACAGAGAACCCTGTCGACCGTCAGTAAATGGATCATACAAAAGTTCGACGTCATATTTGAGAGGAGCCTGCCATCCCAGCCCCTGGGTGTCTTGAAAGTTCCATACGTCCATACGAATGTCACCTTGCCCGAGTTGCAAGATGTGTTTGTGGGAGTCAGGTATTTAGCAGAGTGGACCTTGCGAGAACCACAGACAGACGACTCAGAAGCCATTGATTCTGCAAAGGAAAAGGAGGCGGCTTTCCTGTATGCAACGGTGCAGGCTCTGGTCAACATGAGCCGCCTCAACGACATGTACCACGACCTCGTCGAAGCCGTGTGGATGGCTGATGCCGGCGATGGCGAGAGATACACTCAAGTAGGACTGGCTGTAGCTCTGAACTACATGACTCGGAAGCTGTTTGGCGACTTGACCATCAACGGTGTCAACGTGCGGGATTTCTCGGCTGTTCATATGGAGCAGCTGAAGTCAGCCTTGCAACTGGCATACACCTCTAGCAGCCCCGAGGATTACGCCTTCTTCGCACCAGCACACTTGTGGCTTCTATTTATCGGAGCTTCATGCGAACACAAGGGGAAAGAGAAGAAGCCGCTTGCTGACATGTGGTTCAGTCCACTCCTCATGTTTCAGGCTAGGGCCATGGGAGTGGTGAGTTGGTCACAAATGCGTGCGCTGGCTGAGCAGTTCTTATACACCAGTGCACTTGAACCGGACGGTGGCCTCTGGTTCGTTTCCCTCATGAAGCGGTTGGAGTACTCATCGCCTCAAAGCAAGCTGGCTATGCTGGCCAAATTTCCCTGGTTTCTCAAGCACAAAGGTGGACTGCGTCGAAGCGAGGAAGGCTTGTTCTAGACTGAGGTCGATAATAGATGGTAGGAGGACATAACGAAGTCGTTCCATCCCGGATCGTGGTCGAAATGACTCTTCTCAGAGGTGAGCTTATCATATCAGGATTTAGGAAACAGTGCTATCTATGTCTCTTCGGGATCATGTGCCAAGCATAGTTCGCTCCACATATGCCGTATCCAAGGCTAGGTCAATGGATATTACATGGATAAAAGAGTCTGCGAGATGGACAAACCGCCATGTCAGATGATGAACAAGGTGCAATGGAATGAAAAGCCGAGCTTGATGGTGTGAGCGACATCGGCAGCTTCTGAGCGGGGGTTGTGGCTCGAGTTAGAGACAATTGAGACGGCGAATCAGGAGCAGAAGCGCCGGGGGCTCTAGGCACATTAGACAGGTCTAAGCCCCTCAAGTACCTTAACTAGTTGATGAAATACTTGACCTGATGCCTCCGAATCGACACCTCAAGCAGTGTACCTTGACACTGGACGGGAGCTGAGGCATCTCAACTTCAAATATTCAATGCTGACGACGGCATCAAATACTTCACAGCAATGAAGACCGTGTTCAAGAATGCTCGCATCTTCACCGGCAGTTCTGACAGTGCCGACCACTTCAAGCACTCTTGCATGGTCGTCCAAGACGATGTGATTGAACATGTCGGGTCATGGTCTGACCCCCAAGTAGCAGCTGCGCAGAAAGACGGAGCTGAAGTCTTTGACATGGATCAGCGTACCTTGGCCCCGGGCTTCGTCGACGGGCACATGCACCTGTTGATGTTTGGTTCGTCGCTGCAGAAAATCAGCCTCGACCACTGCAAGACGCTCCAGGACATTCAGGCCACAATCAGACATGCCGCGAAGCAGGACACAACTAAACCCCGGATTCTGTGCCATGAGTGGATGCACTTCATGACCGACTCCAAGGCGCTGGCGAGCGACCTGGACGGACTGGACGAGCTCAACCGGCCCATCTTCGTCGACGCCAAGGATCTGCATTCGACGTGGTGCAATTCGGCAGCGTTGGCTGAGCTGGGCGTCGAAGACATGTCCGACCCTCCAGGCGGGCAAATCCACCGTGACGAACAGGGCAATGCTACGGGGCTACTTAGTGAGGCCGCGGCGATCACCATCGTGTGGCCTCATCTCGCCAAGGTGGCGTCGATGGAAGAAAAGAAAACCGCAATCAGGAAGGCCGTCAAGACCTACAATGCGGCGGGTTATACGGGCATGGTGGAAATGGCCATGGACGAAAATGCATTCGCCGCCTTGCTGGAACTGAGGGCGCAAGAGCCATTGTCGATACGTCTGGCCATGCACTGGCTGATATACCCATCGGAGACCAACGAGGAGAGTCTGGTGCAAGTGGACCGGGCGATCGACCTCTGGAGGCAGTACAACTTGACCACCTCGCCCGACTTTCGCATTGCCGGCATCAAGGTGATCGGGGACGGTGTGATCGACGCGTGTACAGCAGCGTTACTACAGCCGTACGCGTCCAACGGTGTCAGCTGTGAGCCACTGTGGAACGCGGACCACCTGAAGGCAGTCGTTCAAAGGGCGGACGCTGCGGGCATGCAATGCGCACTGCATGCCATTGGAGACGCGACGATCAAAATGGCCATCGACGTGCTCGAGACGGTTGCATCCAGTGGTCGACGGCACCGCATCGAGCATCTTGAGCTTACCTCGCGTGGGGACGCCAAACGGCTTCAGGAGGCTGGCATCACTGCTTCCATCCAGGCAGTCCACGCCGACCCCTCGATACTGCGAGAGTGGAACAATCTTCTGGGAGAGGAGAGGCGGGGGCGGGCATTTGCTTATCGGGAATTTCTGGACGAACAGGTGCATCTGGCTCTCGGTACGGATGCTCCTACTGCTCCAAATCTACCACTGCCAAATCTGTATACTGCGACGACCAGACGCTCGGCCAGAGAGCCGTCTTCGGATGAGGTGGTCAATAAACACTTCGCCCTGCCTCTGCTGAATGCATTTGCTGCGGCCACGCACGGCGCGGCGTATTCGTGCTTCATGGATGAAATCACCGGCAAGCTCGAGCCTGGCAAGAAGGCAGATTTTATTGTTCTCGACATGGAGTGGTCACCAGACGACTTGTTGCGGGCCAAAGTGCTGCAAACGTGGTTCGGAGGGAAAAGAGTTGCACATTCATAAGCTATACCTATCTCGGGGTTGGTGATGGCACATGGTAGCATCCCGTTGCCAAGGATCGCGAAGGATCCGTTGAGGCATTGCCAAATTCATCGTGTCCTTCATCAATCAAGACGACGAGGACGAAACCCCTCTCACCTTTTCGTCACTCTGCTCTGCGAATCCTCCTGCGCAGTCTTTAGCATCTTTGGCTGTCTCGTTGGACGCAGCCCTGGCGTCCTTGCTGTGCTCCTCCACCACGCTTGCTAGGTCGGCCTCGATGTCCTTCGCATCGTCCGTGGCTGCTTTCAGTCTTTCCTGATGGGCCTCGAGGGCATCTTTTGACGCTTAGTTTCGTGAAGCCAGCGTGGGTCTCCTGTGGCCTTACCGGTTCTCTTACCCTCGCCCGATTTGTTGCCCGAGGACATGCTTCCTACCTTTCCTGCTCCGGCGCCGAGAGCTCCTCCAGTAAATTGTATAGTCCTTCCAACGCCGTGACCGACTCCCTGGACGGTGCTGCCCGTCAAACTCTCACCGAGTGGTCCGAATGGTTAGCTGAAGTGTCAACCACGCCTTTGAGTCCGCCGCCGACTGTACGAGAACCACCGAGGGCCAGGACGATGCTTTGTATATGCGAGGTAATCCCTTCGGCTTGGTCTTGAGGGATCTTGTCCGCAAGAGGAATTCTATCGTGTCATAGTCAGCATTCTGGTCCGCCGTTTCGCCGGGGTCTAGCTTACAGGGTCTGCTCTGCGAGTCTGCTGGTTGTTGGGTCACTGGATCACCTGGAGAAAACCTTTAGATCAATAACTCGATTTTCTGCGGCTTTTACCACAGTGAGCTGCCAAGGTTAAGAAAAGAGTATCACCTCGAGCGTCCAAAACGCAGGCGAGAGCACGGGATGGTACGGACACGACATCATGTCGCGGCTTACCTGCTGCTTGATGGTCGTGACGTAAAACCATGATGAGGCTGGTCATGACGATATCTCACAGCGGCGCCTGAAGGATTTCCACAGGCGGAGAGAAGACAAGCAGGGATCACGGACATGAAAGGAGAGCTGATTCCATTGGTGTCATTCACTGCAAACTGCGGGATGCGGAGAGACAGAACAGGCCCCGCCAAACCTTCCTCTTCAGTCCCTTCCATATATCGTCTCCTTCGCCTTGATCGCGATGTCGACTCAGACACGCTCAATGAACAGTCTGCACCCTCGTCTTCTCCTGCTCAACTTGCTTTTCCGACATAAAAGGCGCCGCGAATCCATATGTCTTGTACCCCTGAGAATAGTCCTTACCTTCGACGCGTTCTGCACCTCTGATTAGCTTACGCTTCTCAGACAAAAGGCTGTAAGTCATCTTACCGCTATCAGGGGGGAAATTCTCCCTTCTATGCTTGTAATATTGCTGTCGGAGATTCTCCCCGTCACTCTTCCCATGGTAAGTCGCATAGATCATGCTTCTGCTGGTGTTTGTTCGATTGGGCCCGCTCCGATGTGCAAGGTGACTTCCGAACAACAGCACATCACCCGGATGCAGTGGGACTTTGGTCCACTCGTGGCCATCTTGCCACGCTTGAGAAATGGCGCCTCCGTGTGACAGCTCAACGTCCATCTTATGGGACCCTGGGACAACTTCGATACACCCGTTCTCTGGCGTGGCTTCGTCAACGGAGAAGTTGGCCGTCAAATGTTCAATCCTGCCGATATGGTCATATGCAGGAGCATCGAGATGTGCAGCGAACCCATTTCCAAAGGGAAGCTTGTAATTGATCTTGTCCTTGAACAGGAGCATATCCTGCGTTAAAGATTTGTCAGTTATTTCAGCCACTTTGCCTGCCATCACTCCGACCCGGCCTTCTCATGTGGAATCAACTCACTTCTCCAGAAATGGTCTTCAGTATCTGCGCGATCGCATCACCACACAACAGCTCTTTAAACTCGGGGTGGTAATCGACAAAGTTCTCCGTCCTCATCAACTGTCGTTCTCCACTAACATTCACCTCGTGATACGGCATCCATTTCCCCTTCGCGGCGGGCCACTCTTTGACCTCTTTCGTCCACAGCTGCAACTCTTTCGGGTCAACAAGACCGTGTTCCTCCGCTCGGAGCAACAAGTACCCATCACGGTGGTACTGCTCTACAAGAGCCTGAGTCGGCACAAAGGAGGTCATCTCGGACACTCCGCCAAGAAGTGTTTAAGGTATGGGTACAGAACGGTCACCTGTACTAAACAGAAGAGTCTAGCCCGGCTGATCTCTCCCCTAGTACGGAGCAGGCACAACTCAATATGTGTCACTTATCGCTATCATAGTGTCTCACGCCCGCTCCCTTGCTGTGGTTTAAGTACAGCCAATCCGCCGACTTCTCCTGGACGACCGGGCTTCGTGCCGCAACTCCACGTGACTCCGCTTTCGACACCCATTGGATGACTCCTTCAAATCACCATATCGACATTCGTGCCGACACTGACCATACCATCGGCACTGGTCCGACCAGACATTGCTCATCCTCTGTCACATTCTTGCTCAGGGTATGTTGAGCAGAATGGGGGCGGAGAAGGAGCCGAGTCCACCACCACGGAGCTGGACCCAGGGAGTATGGGTTTCTTTCTTTTCGGAGTTCTTGGGCGTCTCGAATCCACCCGCCCAGGCAGGGCGTTTCCTCGATCAGTTCGTGCGACGCAGTCCGACTTTCTCGGGTCGCAATCCGCTTCCCCAGCCAGACGCACCTCTGAAATCAAGAAGGCTCACAGGCAACCATCAACACTCCAGCATCAACAAAGAGGCTCAGGACGATCGGCGAACGATAGAATAATATATATTGGAACGGTGAACCCTCTGGCTTTTCAAATCTCGCCATTCTCCCATTCCACAAGCACCCAAACCACAAGCAACAACGAACGAACGCACGCACACACACGCCGCCCCGACCCGGTACAACAGTGTGCATTGCACGGCCAGTACCCCCCCAAGTAAGCAAGTACAATTGAGTACAGGTTTAAGTGCAGCAAACTGCCCAACACAGCCCACGATGCTCTCTTCAATCGAAACCCACGCCGAATTGACGATCCGTCACCTCTTCGGCTTCATCACCGCCCAAGGCCACACAGACTACATAGGCGAAGCGGTGTCGCAGCTCGAGCACTCCCTGCAGTGCGCCCAACTGGCCGTCGAGGCCGGTGCTGACGACGACACGGTCCTCGGCTCCCTGCTCCACGACGTCGGCCGCTTCATCCCCGCCGCCGACAGGATGCCCGCCATGATCGCCCCCAACGGCACCTACGTCGGCCGCGAGTCCCACGAGGCCCTGGGCGAGAAGTACCTCCGCTCGCTCGGCTTCAGCGACAAGATCTGCCAGTTGGTCGGCGCCCACGTCATGGCGAAGCGGTACTTGACTGCCGTGGACAAAGACTACTACGACGGCTTGAGCCAGTCGAGCAAGACGACGTTGAAGTTTCAGGTGAGTTGAGGGGGCGCTAGCCTTGCCCTGCCTGCCTACCCTATACCTATCTACCTACTTACCTACCTACCTGGTGTTTCTATTCCCTTTATTTCATGTTTTGCCGCCCGTGTCTGGGGTTTTTTTCTCGGTTGCCCTGCGCTATATGTACCACAGTGTGCGGAGTGATGGGTGACAAAAGACTTATCATGCCTACAATTACGCTAACGCTTGCTCCAGGGTGGGACGTTTACCGAGGACCAAGTCCGCGAAGCAGAGAAAGATCCTCTTCTCATGGCCAAACTCGCCGTTCGGAGATGGGATGACATGGCCAAGATTCCTAACCAAGAGACTCTCCCACTAGAGTACTATGGAAAAATGGCCACCAAAAGCTTAATCGGTAAGCCTAAACAAAACCCCCCAACCCCAGTCTTTTACTACGCCCAAGTCTTGTGTCATTCATATCATGTCCTCATCAGGCCTTATTAGAGTCACGATCTGCATTTGAACTCCACGGCCGAACATATAAACTCCCTACGCGACCATCGGTGGCAATCTGCATCGATGGGTTCGACCCCGAGTATCTGTCACAGGGCATCTCCGATGGTATCCTCCCCAACATGGCAGAGATGGTCAAGTCTGGATTCTCGACAGTCGCAAACTGCACCATGCCATCCTTCACCAACCCGAATAACGTCTCCATCATCACAGGTGCACCAACCTCCAAGCACGGTATTGCCGGTAACTTCTTCCTGGACCAAGTCACTCGTGAAGAACACATGGTTCTAGACGACTCTCTACTCCGCGGATCGACGATCCTCGAGCAAATGTCAAACCGAGGTGTGCGGGTAGCGGCTGTCACGGCCAAAGACAAGCTCAGAGCAATTATCAACCACGGTCTCGACTTCAAAGACGCGGGCGCTGTCTGCTTCTCGGCACAGTACGCCGACAAATGCACCCAAGAAGCCAACGGCGTCGAGGACGTTGAGCAATGGCTTGGCCGGCCCACGCCAACTCAGTATTCTGGTGACTTGTCACTTTTCGTGCTCGAAGCCGGAATTAAGCTTCTCGAGGAGGACAAGGCCGATCTGTTCTACCTGACATTGTCGGATTACGTACAACACAAGTACGCTCCTGGCACCAAAGAAGCGAACGAGTTCATGGCCGGAATTGATCGATGCATCGGGAGACTCATTGAACTCGGTGCAGTCGTTGCAGTAACCGGCGACCACGGAATGAGCGACAAGTGCAACGAAGATGGCACTCCCAATGTCTTGTTCTTGGAAACGGAATTGAACAACAAGTTCGGCAAGGACTTTGCCAGGGTCATTTGTCCCATCACTGACCCGTTCGTGAAACATCACGGCGCGCTCGGGTCCTTCGTGCGCGTGCATTTGAATCCGAATGCCACCGCTCCGATTGAAGAGGTGCTCGAGTTCACGAGGACCTTCTCACAAGTTATGCTTGCTCTCGACGGCAAGGCGGCGGCCGATCAATTTGAGATGCCGCTGGACCGCGAAGGCGACTTTGTCGTCGTCTCAGTGAAAAATGCCGTGATAGGCAGCCGGCAGGAGGAGCACGACTTTGCGAATCTGAAAGGCCACCGACTCCGATCGCACGGCGGTCTTTCCGAACAACAAATTCCTTTGCTGAGGTCTCTACCAACCAAGAACCAATCTGGTGATCGACAGTGGCACAACTACGATATTTTCGACATTCTCCTAAACTACTGAGTAGATCGCAGGAAATCTTAATGTGTCTGCATTGAGTTGAAGTCGAAGTCGAAGTTAAATTCCGCGCCAGGAGAGTACAGAAAGTCGTAATTTTCAAGAAACATTGCATCCGTCGGACTCAACCATTGGGTGTCGGGATTGAAGGAAACAGATGGGCCAGCAGGAGCCACAGGTTGTTCTGGGACCTCTCCTTGTGAGAAGCGCTCCAGGAGCTTTTGCATGCTGCTCGCGATGCTTGTCAACAAATGCCGAGGGTGCATGCTTGCTGTAATTTTCTTCAGCACTGCCACCAGGCTTTCCAGAGTCTCCATGATGGGTTCTTTGTCGATTCGAAGGCTCAATGGGTTTTTGATGGTAACTTTTAATAGGAAAACAAATGCAAATGCGATCATAGTGTCGAAGTACGCAGGCAGTCCCTGAATGTAGGATTGGATTTCCTGATCTGCAACGATCACAGCTAGGATTGAGGTTGCAGAGTGGATGGCCATGTTCGCAAATTCTTCCAGGTCGGAGTCGAGATGGAGTTGCTCGTCATTGGGTGAAGGCGCCCGCCGAAACACATGTGAGCACAGATATAGTTTTGCGAAGTGGTAGTGCAAGCCAACTCCTTTGCGGGGGTAGTTACCGACCGAAGAATTGTACCCAAAGCGTTCCTGCCAGTCTGCTCTCCACGTATCCAGCGCAATACTCAGCCGTCTAATGTGTGGGGTCAAATGCCCGGACAAGTGAGCTTCGGGGTCGAGGCTGAACTGGTCAAAGACGCGAGTAGTGATGGTCCAGATCTCAACCTGGCTCACCAGTCGAGAGTCTTCCTCGGTGGCAAAATCGGATTTCAGGAATTCACTCGGCGGAGTGACTGAGCCGAAGTCGCGGGTCAGGGGTGGTCTCCCGTACGTAATGGAGAAATGATGGTCGCAGACAAAGACGAGGTAGTAGAGACGTGTGCGGAGGTAGCAAGCCCTTTTCTCATGCGGAGATTTGGGTATACATCGGTGTAAGTTCAGTTCTCCAGCAAGACGGGCGGCTGAGGGTGGTCGCTTCAGTCAGCAAGGCTTCCATGAGGTCAGACGCCTGGTGGGACAGTGGGCGCCTACCTGTGCCAACCAATGTCCACGAAATATCACTCAACCAGAATGCACCAATGCAGAGAGCCCTCACGTCATCATGAGTGTTCCTCTTTGAGAACATTCTTGTCGAAGCCAAATTGACAAAATGCTGGTAGCATGCTTGATAGTGCGAGGACGGAGTGTGAAGGGCTCCAACGGCACAGATTGCAGCCGTCAGAAGAGGCGAGCTTTTTCTAACGCTTGCCAGTGAATCATGTTCGTCCAGGATCCTGTAAAGGAAGTGATCCAGCCGTTGATAGTACAGCGTAAAGAAGGATTCGGCATCGACCATGCTGATCACCCCGCAATGGATGATGTCGAACTCACCAGCCATTTGGGTTCGGAAGGCACTCGGCGAAGCGTCGGAGACCTCTGAGACGACGGACGCAGGCACGACGCCGGGCCCTCTGTTCAAGTCCATGACAACTTCCCAGCTTTGCTGATTATGTTGCTTCTCCTGTAGATGACGGTGCTGCGCTGGGGCGGCTATGGCTCCTCCCATGGCTCCGTGGATTTGAGCCGGTGTCGTGCTTTCCTGAGGACTGACATATGTCGAACCATTTGACGCGGAAACATTGCACTGTTGGTTGAGCCTGCCTATGTTGTCCTCGAGTTGTCGTAGCTTCTGTTCAATGGTGGCCTTCCAGCTTTTGGCACCGGTGTCAGTCCTGAACGAACTATGCGGCCGGGTTTCACTTACGCCACATCGCCCTCTAAGAGCATCTGTAGACTCCTGTTCACCACACAAGACAAGCCCCTTTTCCTACATCGCGTACATGGCGGTGTGCCATCGGTCATGTGACATTTGATCTTCTGTTTCCGGCAGGCCACACAGGCCGTGATCTTCCGGCTGATGTCGATGGGCTTGCGGTCACCGAAAGACTCCCTCAGCGCCTGTGCGGCGGATGCGCCGACCTCTATGTCGGCCTCCATTGCGATCCGGGCAGAATTAGCTGTAGGCGCATGAGACGGCGATGACAGCCATGCCTATGAATGTGATGACTCGGACTTACTCGTGGCGGGATCGATGAGGTGATGATGTTGTCGTCGGGCGTTGGCCAATCACCAGCCAAAAATCCAGCCCTGCACGTGCGAATGACCCGACGCCCATTGGCCCAGCGGAACAACTATTTTCCTCCACCTCCGGGTACCACCAACACCAAGATTGTCTCTATTGCCCGCCCTGGACGTCGCTCGACCTCCGATCTGGAGAACGGAGTCGACCGCAGCGTGCAGGTCTGGACTGCGGGCTTCATGCCGCAGAAAACCACGTCTCAGTTGTTTCACGTTTTGCCTTCGATCTTCTCAATGGTCTCCCTCATTCAACAACCCATGCACGTGTTGAGCATCCAAAACTCCATTCGTTTTGGTCTTCGTTGCTCGCATATCAGCCATCTTCTCTATTGAGATCTCATTATGCCGCGACGGGGCTTGGCCCGAGGTCGAACAAGGCTGAGTGAACCCTCTGTATGACAGGGAGCTGGTATATCTAGAGTCAGTCAAGCCTGAGAAGCTGCAACTCGACAAGGCGCTTCAGCAGAGTCGAGTCGAGACCAGCCGCGATCTTCGACGGAGAACAGATCATAAGAAACAACATTCGCAACTTGCCACTGTCACAGTACACCTTACATCACCGCCGAAAATGCAGGGCTCATCGTACTTCTCTAAGTTGAAATTCTTGATCGTTGCCGGCGTTGGCCTCTTCGGAGATGGATACTTGAACATCAGCATTGGACTTGGTGAGACTTTCATCGTCCCTACAGTGAACCCTTTCTGATCCATTCCAGTTGTCCCAATGCTCGGCTACCTCTATTTCGAGGATGAGAAAAACAAAATTCCTACCCTATCAGGAAGTCTCATCAAGTCTGCCCTCGCTATCGGCATGATGTGTGGTCAAGTGGCTTTTGGAGTCTTTGGCGATGCTCTCGGACGCCACAAGATCTATGGAAAGGAACTGATGTTCACAATCTTTGGCACTCTGATGGTCATTCTGATGCCCTGGGGCCACATCTCCCACCAAAGCGTGCTTGCATGGATGACTGTCTTCCGTATTGTCACTGGCTTCGGCACTGGAGGAGGTAAGGTTTCCGTTGGTGGAACACCCGCCGCAGCTACTGATGCGTCGCAGATTATCCAATGACCTCGTCTCTGTCTGCTGAACACACACCGATGGGCTCCCGTGCGAAACTTGTAGGATCAATCTTTTCCTTCATCGGTCTAGGAAGTATGGCTTCAAGTATCGTCTACCTGGTGCTTCTAGCTGCGTTCAAGTCCTCGGTGCAGGAAAACATCCGCCACCTCCAATGGGTCTGGCGATTGCTCTTTGGCATTGGCCTCGTCCCTCCCCTCTGTACCTTGTACTTCCGCTTGACAATGCCCGAGAGCAAACCATATGAAAAATGTATGCATGTCACAATCTGCCCGTCAATTGTCAGCGCTGATGAGTCTCCAGATGTCGCGAATGAGACTTCACTGAAACAAATTGGTCAGCGTGGTCTTCATCAGCAGTGGCGAGATTTCAGAGAATATTTCTCCGAGTGGAAACACGCCAAAGTACTATTTGGTGTCAGTGCAGCCTGGTTCCTCTTGTGAGTTTGTCCCTTGGAAGAGCCCTTAACGAGATCCATGTTTTGAACTTCCATAATAGCGACATTGCATACTACGGGATCAACCTGAACCAGTCTATTGTGTTATCAAAGATTGGCTACGGCAAAGCCGCTACGCCGTGGGGCACTCTGTGGAACACGGCCGTCGGCAACATCATTGTTTCTTCTGCTGTAAGTTCCCCAAGCACCAATCGACCGGCACAACCGTCTGCATACATTGAGGCTGATGGCGTTGTGTGTATATCAGGGATACCTGCCTGGCTTCTACGTCGGCATCTTCCTCCCTGACCTTGTCGGCAGAGTCAGCCAACAATTCTGGTGCAGCGTTGGCGTAGTTATTTTCTATGCTATCTGGGCCGGCGTATCCAACCACACTTCCACCGGAGGACTTATCACCATTTTCACCCTCTCGCAGCTTGTTCTGAACATGGGTCCGAACGTCACGACCTTCCTCTTGCCCGTCGAGGTCTTTCCCACTCGTGTTCGAGGCACCGCCCACGGCATTGCTGCCGCGTCAGGGAAAGCCGGTGCGATCGTCACATCGTTCGCGTTCGGCTTTCTGACCGACGCCATCGGCCTCCCAGGCGTTCTCGGCTTCCTCGCCGGTATCATGGCTCTATGCGCAGCTGTGACTTTGTTAATCCCAGAGACCAAAGGACGAAGTATTGACGAGATTGAACGTGGTGTTTTGTATGGTGACGACGACGGCATCAAAAGCGTCGGAACCCCAAGTTCTGCCGCTTCTCCCGAGTTGGAAGGCCGCGATCAGATCTTCCCCAAGACTGTCGAGGTTTAAGAACTTGGAAGACGACATGATCATATGTCGGTCGTCTGAAGCAGTTGACAGCTCTTGGAACGGGGTTTTGAACGGAATGGGAACGGAGGGTAATGAAGATCTCGACGCTCGTACCTTCCCTTGATGGATATCTCTGAATATCATTGCTTTGGATATCAGAAATGAAGATCAATCATCACGTTGAGCGGCGTACCGTCGTCGTAGGGCTGTTGTTTTTAATCGTGCCTTCGAGAACCATGTAATAGACCAGTAGAACTGTAACGACGTATCTCTATAATCTCTTCGTGCGGCGATAAAATTTAAATTCACTTCTACTCTGCGGCTGCTGGTCATTCTCTGGTAAAAAAAAAAAAAAAAAAAAAAAAAAAAAAAAAAAAAGGAGCGAGATTGCAGTATCCTCTACAAGTGAGGATGATCCTAGACTTGATCACAACTGAGCTGTCATGATGGGAGCGTGTGGTGGACGAATGACCTCTGAAACGAATGTAAATTGATCGCAAATTACGAATAAAGAATACACTAAAAGCGCCGTAGTAAGCAATAAAGCAGAAGTCTTTTTCGGGTCAACCCCTTCCGTCGAACATCCGTGTCCTGCAAGCAGTCTGCGGTTCGTTGTTGCCGTGTTCCTTGAGTTGTTTTACCCTCCAACAATGACCCTTCAGCCACCCGCTCCCAATTCATTTCCGTCCCAACAATATCAATGTCACGTCACCATAACCGGAATGAATCAGGGGTGTTTATAGGATCTCAATAAGCCCGGGACCGGCAATGGTGACCTTGGCGACGTCCTCGGCACTGGTGAAGGGGCCGGCGCTGCTCGTCAGCGCGGCAATGGTCAATCCGTTGAGCAGGTTCTCCGAGTAGGGGAAGAAGGCGTCGAAGGTGGCCACGCCGTCGGCGACCTGTGCGTTCTGGATCTTCTCGACGATCGGCACGTTCTGGCTGTTGATGTACACGAGGCTCAGGCCCGAAGGCGGGCTGGACTTGTCGACGGGGACGCTGAACGAGAGAGTCTGGTCTTTGGGCTGGATGGGGCTGGTGTTGACGGTCAGGGGCAGGAAGATGGGAAGGTCGATCAGGTTCTCGTTCGGGCACGTGCCGGGGACGACGACGGCCTGGTTGAGGACGCTGAAGGCGAATTCGCGGGTCGAGCGGGTCAGGAAGGGCAGCTCGCTCGGGATGAGGCCGCCGAAGAGGCGGAAGAAGCCGTTCTGTTCGCCCTCCTGGCCGATGACGGAGCCGATGACGGGGACCACGCCGTCGTCGTTGTTGTTGGCCAGGTGCAGCTGCACGTCCTGGAGCGTACCCAGGGTGACGTCGGTGAAGGTCTTGGCGAAGGCGATGGCGTCGTCGAGCGAGGCCGACGGGAACTTGTACTGGCACGCCTGGATAGGGGCCTGGCCGTTGGCAACGAGGATCTTGTTGGCGTTGTCGGCGTGTAGTTCCTCTTGTGCTTGAATGGCCGTGATGGCGTTGATGACGAGCTGGCGGGTGTTGTGGTCGTCGATGGTGAAGCCGGCCACGTTGTTCGTGATGTTGAACAAGAGGTCGGTGAAGAAGGCGACTTCGAAGAGCTCGTTGAACGCGATGAACCTGACACTCGTCAGGTCGTCGGCGGCGAGACCGGTCGGGGCGCCGCCATTGGGTTCGGTGCCATGGGCTTGGATCGCGGTGGCGTTAAGTGCTCCGGGGCTCAGGTTGGGGAATCCATTGGATAGAGGGAAGCTGAAAGGGTTTCCTGACTTGAGGGGTGCAGGGGGACCGGCGGGTGGCGGAGCAGGGGTGCTGCTGGGTTGAGAGCTTCCTGGACCGTAGCCACCACCTGCGCCATTGCCTTGTCCCTCCCATTCACCCCAGCCTGATGAAGCGACGGGAATGGCATAGGCAGCTGACAACAAGCCAGCGCCGGCTAGGAGGCTTGTTGAGAAACGCATTATGGATCTGTAGATCTTCGTGGAATGCAGATATTAGACAGTGGTGAGCAAGATGGATGTAATAGACTTGTCAAGCGAACGGGACAAGTTGGTAAAGAGTGGCTTAGCCAATTATTAAAATTTGAAGTCTTGGAAAAGAATGTCCAAAGGAAATAATGCTTGAGTTAGTTGATGCAATATGGAATGAACATGGTCAGTTGAGAGCAGAGAGCGACCGCATTATACGCGATTTCACCAAGCCTACCTTTAACCACAACACGACATTGATGGTATGAGTGGCGCATGCTGACGACCCTGATGGATCAAATTGGTTGCTGTACCTATCCCGTTACTGGCAGTGTCTGAGTACTTTCAGGCCATCATCCCAGGCTTCCCGAGTATGTTGTCATTCAGAGCAGAGTCCATGGGGCAAAGCCGTAATTGGAAGGATCAGGCAATATACTCGGAGGTCAAGATCGGTTATTCTGCCACGCTTTCTGTGAAGCTTGTCTGGAGCGCCGCAGTTAGTAATACTGGCTATCTTTGGCTCTGTACGAGAACGGTATGTGCTCAGCGGAGCTGTAGTTTGCCCGCTCGTACTCCGCATCATCACTGCCGAAATCCTCAGCCTGGTGCGGGAGCTCGAGTGCCCTTGCGCCCCCACAATCCACTTTCTGGTCAGCAGAAACGGCGGTGGACGAGTCGATTGTCGGCACTGGGGGTATGCAGGTGAGGATGACTGAACGAAGACACACCGAACAGCCCACCATCGTTGGAATCTGATGGGAACACCATGTCGTCGATATTGTGTGGCCGCAGACTCCCAAGTCGCACACCATTCAGAAATAGATGTCGGGCGAGGAAGAAGCAAACATAGACCAGATCGGAACACCCGGTAGGAAGGAAAATGGCACTGGTCGTTTGGTAATGCAAGGCCACCCAACCTTGTGGGATATTTTAATTGACCTGCTAAGCCGAGCCAAGCTCACATAAGCTTTCTAGCCTAATATTACAAGGGACCAGAGCACCTCGTTCACCCGCAGAGATTCTGGCGCTCCCGGTGATGACTCCAATCCGGTCGACGGAATCGCAATCATTCCTTTCTGTGTGTACCATGCCTTCCTGACGCATGGTTAGGCGTGATCGGCCAACATTAGAGCCGACTCCCGCTTTTCGCGAGCAGCGTCATTCCGTGTCAAGCGACCTGGAAGTGTTGTGTAAACGAGGAGTGGAAAGAATAGCGTGCAGCTGACCGAACTTCTGTCGGGTCCCGGAATCAGCTAGCTGTCTGTGCATCTGGAGTGAGCAAACCTCTCACCGCGCCGTATGTGTCTAAGGCAGGAAGAGCTCATTTCGAACTACCCTCACAATGTCAGCCGCTTGAAGCTGAGAGACATAAGTACGACGGTTGGCAACTCTCTGCCCACGGGCTGACTGATTGCTGGCCGTGAAGGCTCTAACTAACTGCAGAGCTGCGTCCAGGCGGGGTTTCGAAGCAATTGTACTGTCCGCGTTTTCCTCGAATGGCTCCGGCAACATTCCCTCGCTGTCCTCCACGGCCGAGAAGATCTTCAATCGCAATCTTCCCTGATCTGAAAGCAGGCTATTCCTTGTATTCCATTCAGTATAGCTTCTCCGCCTCATAGATTCGAGCAATCTCCGCTTGCTTACATAGACTTTGTAGGGACGGTGTGAGAAGTCTGGAGCATTGCATCGTGTCGAGATAACGCTATCTGGTTGGCAGGATAGAACGAATACAGGAATTCAAGGAATCTTGGATTTGGCGATATGCTTTCATTCCAACGGTCGAGTTCGAAACAAAGCCCTGGACGCATGGACCAAGGATAGGTATGGCTCCTGAATAGCCGTGGCTAACGTTGAAGTCTTGGACGAACCCGATACTACATAAGACCAGGTGAGATATCAGAGTCCTCGGCGTCTCATCGGTTCCATCCACCTATAACCATATACGTCCGCGGCCGGTACTAGTCCAATTTCACCGGTCTGCTTACTGTCAATAGACCGGTACATCGCTGGTCACGCCGCTGGAAAAAGACCCGGTTAGCCCAATGTGAGAGGATCGACAAGCTTCCGGTACTCTGGTAAACTCATTTGGCGTGCAGACTCGGGCAATTTGTCGCGTCGATTTTTCTGAACTGGTGTATCTGGCATATGACGACTAGAATTCTCCCTTGGACGAGTTCTGTCAGTGTCTGGCTCGTGCAATAGCAGAACTCCGGCCGGCTACAACATCGAAAGGGCTGAGATAGCCATGCAGATGTTAGCATTCAATCTGGCAGATATTGGCACAAGCGATGGTTTTAAGCGATTGTAGATTGCGCTGAGTGGGCAGAAAGGCTTAAGCCTGGAAACTCCAAACGTGGTTTTGAAGACATCGAAACTCTTTGCATGTGGTGTACCGCCCAGTTGTGCAACCTTGAACTTGCATAGAGAAGAGAAAATCAGACATTCGGTCGAAATGACGGCGGATGCACCTGCTGAGAGGCTTCAAACCGTGTTCTCATGGGTGCAGTCGTTGAGGTTTTCGAGCATGTGAGGTTGGTTTGGTCAAACGCACGATCCGAGACAAGAGAGATTAGCCTCACTAGCCCCGTTTTAGTTAGGCCATCATGGATGCTAATAACGGCCGGAAGATTAGCCCGATGCGGAGTTTCTGGAGTCTGGACCGCGCCATCGAGATCATTAACCTTCGCTCCATCATCACCCCTTTGTTCGACATTCTATCACTTATTAAGCAAAGCATCGATATCTTTAGAGCTCTACCAAGTTAGACACCCTAGCTCAAGTTCTTCCTTTTCGGTGATTTCGAAACACTTCCACAAGACCTCGGCATCTCTTCTCAGCCTTGTGCAGGACAACCAAAACAAACGGTTGGTGGGAACCACAATATCGGCCGTGTCCAAAACACGTTTTGAGAGCTCCGGACTTTGGCAAACAGTGACCGTTGGTCGGTTAGGGCATTGTCAGGGTTGACGGAGCAGTCGGTCATGGCCTCGCCGGCCATGCACCCCATAAGACCGGGCGTCGTCGACCCACGGCGTCCGGGAGAGTACCCTATCGTCTTGGGCGACAGCTTAAAAAAAGACGGCAATTCGAACAGCTTCATTAACATACGCTACAACTGGCAGCCTAAGGCCGGCTTCCAGTCACGAGACAGCACGTTGACCGAGTCCGGCGACAAATACTCACTTGTCGTGCAGGGGGAGGACTCGGATGATGGAGAGTATCGGTACAAAGGCACTCTTCAGCCTCACAAATCTGGCACCAACAAAGAGCCCTCGACCTCTTTAGCTCTTGTATTTGACAAATCCAAATCAGCATTCGTGCTTGAATCATTATCGGCATCTCTAGATATGAATCTCAAATCCGGCCCAGGTCAGCCGGCCAAGGACGCTCGAGAATTACCTCAGCTATCTTCGGATAGACAGCCCTCCAAGCACTCATCACAAGCCAACGGCGACAACAGTGCACCTCCATCACCTAATGATGAAGGACCAGATCCCTCAAACCCTTACGACTTTCGAAACTTCCTCGCCGAGGCACGCGAGAACATCGACAAATCCTCGCAGCAACAAGGGAACTGGACGCCGAACCCGGGCGGCATGACCCCCCTTAGCGGCGTATCCACGCCCGTACCAGGCTCCAGCCGCTTCAAACCCACAACACCACAATTCCGGCCGACCACCAAAGCACCGCATAAGGCCAACAGAAGCCCTGAACGTCCTCGCGCACGCGCATCGAGTGGTGCATCAAAGACGGTTTCGAAACGCGACGCAACCGCAGCGTCGGCGACAAAAGCATCCACCCAGCAACCCCTGAGCAAAGCGCGGATTACTGATTCCGACGAGGATTCCGACGACGACGACAACACCACAATAGCCGTGTCCAGAAGCAAGAACCCGGCCCCGACTTCGACCACCAAAACGGCCAAGTCCTCCGCCCAGCCGGCGCGCAAAGCTCACCAGCAGCACTCGCGCAATATATCGGCCGCAACCGACGCGTCGCCGCACATCATCATCAACGACAACGACGGCGACCTCGAAATCGACATGGGCAGTCCACCGCCCGAGGACCACCGCGCCCGCCGCGCACGTGTTGATCCCGAGATGTTCCGCAGCCACACGGGCACCCCGATCGGCGGGGTATCATCCAACGCCGCGAAGCCGCCGTCATCGTCGACTAGAGGGTTGCCTCGTTCGAACGACAAGGACAGTGCCCACGGTCGCGCCGGCACCGCTGCCGGAGCCAGGGACAGGGACGGGGATATGAGGATGAAAGACATCGAAGCCGACTCGGACGAGGACGGTGATGTCGAGGAGTTCGAACTGGGCAGTCCGCAGGAGAAACAATCCAGTGTGCCTATCGGAGGGGATGTGTCGAAGCTGGGAGACGACGAACGACGGCAACGGCGACAGCAACATGATTCTCAACAATCACCACAGCATGCGACTGCAACGGCAGCAGCGGCAGCAGCAGCTCCTCCCCCTCCTCAGGCCGCGCCAGAAGATGAAGACGACGAAGGGTTCCTCGAGGCCGCGCTCGAGGCCGCATTCGGCGAGGAAGACGACGAACAAGCCGGACACGGTGTCGGGTTGGGCATCGGCATGGGTGTGCAGGATGACGAGAGCGAAGTCAGCGAGGAGGAATAGTGGGAGAGAGGGAGAGAGCCCGGCGCCTGACCTCACCTCACTTTACATTATTAACACCTGCGGTACCATCGGGCGCGAGCAAACCATTATCCATGCCACAAGACACAAGCGAACCCACCGCGTCGAAAGTTCCTCCCTCGCAGGTACCTACCCAGGAAAAAAAAGTCGTGTCTACCTACCTGACCTGATATAGAGTAGATGGATTTTGCGATCGGAGACCTCAAACTCATGGATTTTGGATACGTGTTGGATAGAGACGAACCGTTGTTTGGATCAGGTAGGTAGACAGTTACTCTGCGTGTGTCAGGGAGGTAGTTTACTTGTCAGACCAACGTGACTGGTACATACATGCCTATCTATAATGCACTTTTACGATCCCAAAGAAAACCTACCTGACCTTGGGTGGTGTCTGTCCAAAGTTACACCACCTACGGTGTGTACACTACCTGTGTACCTTACTAGAGTCGAGAAGTAGTATTCTGCGAACGCATGTGCGCAATACTTAACTAGGTAGGTTTAAAAGCCCTACGGTCGGTTACCGTCCTGGGTACCTTAGGTTTAGGTAGGTAGGTAGGTAGGTAGGTACCTATACGTGACTCGACACGACAAGACCAGATACATCATCAGCCCCTGCAGTCCAGGTCATAGCGAGACTCGATCTGGATATTGTTTTGGACTCTCTCATACCCATCGAGTATTCTCGATTTTCAAAAGGGTATACACAGGTAGCCTAGGTAGGTAAATAGGTAGGTAAGGTACGTGAGCAGGGTTGGCCTGTCGTCTTTTTCTTTCTCTTCTAAATTCTTTTTATTCACGATGAAAATGCACACACGCGCGCACCCGCGCACGCACGCACATATGTGATGATGATGATCGTACAGAATCATATGCCCCTTGACATCACGCCCAATTTCGTGGCGTGCCAGTTAGTTAGTCTTCGCCACCAGCGCCCGCGGACAGTCCGTTTCCACCAGCTTGTTGGGCGCTCTTTGCGCTACAGATATCGTCCACGCGCAAAAGCAAGCACGCGCTCTCCACGGCCGTCTTGATGCTCTGCGTCTTGACCGCCTGGGGCTCCCACACGCCGTACTCCTTCATGTCCACCACGTTGCCGGTATCGCCGTCGATGCCAAAGCTGGATTTCCCTTCAGCGTGCTTGGCGCGAAGTTGGGTAAGTATGCGGATCGGGCTGGCTCCGGCGTTTTGGATCAGTGTTCGAGGAATGACTTCCATCGCCTCCGCTACGGCCCTGTAAGGCCATTGCATGACGCCCTCGACGGACTTGGACTTTTGGGCCAGGCGGACCGACACGGCCATTTCTGTCGCGCCGCCACCGGGAGACAGTCGAGGATGGAACATGACGTTTCGGGCGACCGACATGGCGTCCTGTAGGTTCCGTTCAATCTCGTTCAAGATGTCTTTTGAAGGTCCGCGGAGGAGAATCGTGCAGGCTTTCGGGTTTTTGCACTTTGTGAGGAATGTGAAGTATTCGTCGCCAATCTTCTCAATTTCGAAAAGTCCACAACCTGTGCCCACGTCTGACTCTTGAAGGTCATCGACCCGGTTCACGATCGTGGCGCCCGTGGCTCGTGCGATACGGTTGTTGTCTGTTTTCCGTACTCGCCTCAATGCCGTCACGCCAGCCTTGACAAAGTAGTGCTGGGCCAGATCTGACACTCCCTTCTCGGTGATGACCAAGGTAGGCTTGACGGCGAGGATGGCTTCGCACATCTTCTTTACTTGCTCTTCTTCAATCTGTAAGATCTTGTTCCATGAATCCTCGTCGGTGATTTCGATATTCGTTTGTGACTCCCCCTTCTTGTACTCAAGAGGACAATCCAGCAGAACTATTCTGGGGTTCTCTATCCTCCTCTTCATGGAAGCGTGTGTGATATCCTTGTTTAGCATAACTCCGTCCAATACTCTCGAGTCTTCGATCTCTCCTCCTGGAATCTTTTCCACTCGCGCGTATCTCTTGATGTCGATTTCCTGTGATCTTGTGGCGTTTGTGGTAGTGGAAGGTTTGCTAGTGCCGTTTGTCTGAACACTGCTGGAGAAAAAGGATTGATCTTGCGATACGGTTCGGACGGCTTTCAGGGCTAAGGAGCACATGAGTTCGGAGTATCGGGAGATGGTCTTTGTTCCAATGGAGGACTCGATGAGAGAGATCATGGACTTGTCGTTGGATGTGTCGACTGGTACTGATATTTCTTCTACAATCGCCAGAGCGTCTGTGAGGGCCTTCTTGAATGCTTGGATGATTACGACAGGGTGTATGTTCCGTTCCAGTTGTGGGATGGCTTGCGCAAGCATCTCTCCGGCTGCGTTCTCGTCAGTACAGGGAAACAGCCATGGAAGTTTGACGACATACCCAAGATGATCACCGTGGTCGTCCCATCCCCCACCTCTTCATCCTGAGTTCTGCTCAATTCGATCATGCTTTTGGCTGCGGGGTGGGCAACTTCGATTTCTCGCAGGATGGCGTGGCCATCGTTGGTCAAGACAATACCTCCCATAGGGTCGAGGAGCATTTTCAGCATCGCTTTGGGTCCGAGACATGATCTTATAATATCCGCAACACTTTGACGGTCAGTATGAGGGGCCTCCGCATCATGATATTGCGGTCACTCACGTCTTTGCGGCCGTGATATTGGACATCTGGGCCTTGCGTCCGACTTGTCTCTCACCACTTCCGGTGTCTAGTATCCTGTCAGCTATGCGCTCAAGATATTTCGTGCTGCGTCGATTGCTCACTCATTACCACTACTGGAGCCTGCATTTTGCCTGTGCTGTCGGCCTGTGGCCTCGTTGAATGCGGACGAGGGTCGGTTGTTGATTAAACGTAAAGTAGTGTCGACTGGAGTGACCTCTGGACCCGCTACACAGTCCTGATAGTTGTTAACAAGGGGCACGAGTTGGCAGACTTGTTTGCGTGAAAGATTTCCTGGCGATGCAATAATTCCGCATGCTACGGAGGAAAAAGACGTCATTTGAAATTATATACCAGATTGTTGTCGTTGTTGTTAGAATTACATAAGGCTTGGCGGCGAAGATACAACTCGACTTGTTCAGTTGATTGAACCAGCTCAGCGTCAAAAATCACTCCCATGGTGAGGGAGAGATAGAGACCGAAAATCCGAAGCCCGGATGTCACCTAGATAAATCAGGTGGTAGAAGAGCTTCGCATCTCTGAACCGCTCAGAGTGAACACCCGTGAGTTCCAGCTTCTCTCTATTCACGCGGGCCCGGACCGGGAGTTCGAGTATGAGAGGGTCCCAATCTATGTCAGCCGGAGGTTACGGCGAGGCTTATTCTCGAGTAGACCATGAGTTGACGTTGGTGGACACATCCAGTCGAAGCATAGCAATACCTTTCCAGATGCCGTGCTCGAGTCAGCACCGACAATGCATCGACCTGACTTGACCTCCAAACCTAACGAGACAATCACCAGGTAACCTGGACTGGTAGATCTCCTTCCTAACATCCCACGTCCTCCTACACGAGACATCTGGAAGCTCGCGATCCGCTACAACAACTACAATGGCTCGCCGCAGCCTGGTTGGAAGGTTGGGAACGCTGAACACAAGCTGAGAAGCGAGCATCTGACCTGTCCATATATCTTCAACGTTCATTATGGATGCGGCTTTCAGTGTCTACCAGGTAATCATCCGATCTCCATGACTTGACTGTGCCGGCCAACGTATAACAAACCCTGAGGAAATATCATTCAACCTCTTCAGCGGTTTTGGAGCATACCACAGCAATCCCTTGACGAGGTCCTCCTGGTGGGCTCGCAATTGGCTTGCTCAAGGATGTGCTCAAATTGAGAGGCTCTGGTACGAGTCTTGTCTTGGAGTCGGATAGTTCAAAGGCCTCCAGAGCAGACGTCAAACTCAATGCTTCGATCATCTCCCGCGGTCATGGTTCTAGAATGGCCATTCTGAGGTCTTTCTAGCATTATCTCAGAGGGAGCTGTATTTTATAACGCGGAGACAAAGAGTGCACCGTTGACATAGATTTTCCGAACGCTGTGATGGGGGAAACAGACGATGAAGCCTTGCACGCTGGACGGAGCCCAACCATATAGGCGGCGCAGTCAGTCGGCACTATGACCAGAGAGATATCACTGTTGAGCTGGGAGCATTGAGCTGTGCACATGAACAGATATCGAGGAGTGAGAATGTGGCAAGGCTGTGAGCAATGTAGGTACAGTACGTGGATTGAGGCAAAGCAACCCACATACGATGCAGGGCATGATGACTCAGCAGAATCCCCGAACAGGCGGTGGCTTGCTCGGCCATTGAACGACCTCATCTCCAAAGTGAGGAAATTGAGCAGCGGCATAATATGACATTGTGTACGTATGGCAGGACATCTTGCCCACGGCAAAAACATCGCCGGTTTGACTCGTGAAGTGGTGCGACAGTCGTAGAAAAGCTTCGACATCGGCCGAAGCACAGAAGCGGGCAGTGGTCGCAACTACATCTCTGGGATGCGGTTCTAGAAATAGCTTGCATCATCCTCGCCGAGAAGCAGAGAGATCATCGCCTCTCCTAGTCATCATCATTATCATCATCATCTGCTTGTTCAACCAACATTTAACTTAAGACCGAGCAGTCACAATCGTGACGACTCGCGAAACTTACAAACTAGGTGCCTGTTTGTCCGACTGCGTCCTTCTTACGGCCGACATGCGAAAAGACCGACGCAGGGTGTGTAATTATATAAACGGTGAGCAAAAATGTGGACTTCCAAGTTCTACAACGAGCACGAAAACGACCAATTGCTGTCTTTGTATTAGAATTGCTATTGTTCTTTGACCATCAAGTGGCTAAAAAAGTGTAAGTGACACTGTGTCGAGCTGACCATTCCCCGCGCTCCCATTGGCCAGTCTCCGCTCAGGAGGACACTGTCAAACCCAAAAACGATTCACCGAGAGACACTAGAGTTCAATATATTACACGAGGCGCGACCTCAGGGAGTCGCCGGCAGTCACTTGTACAAAGACCAGTGTTTCCTCGAAGAAATCCAACTCGAACGTGACGGTCGGTTGATTGAATCCAAGTCGGAGCGAGGCCATTATCATACCATCATGAACCAACAACGACAACTGGGACAGCGGGAAACTTTACCAACCGCGCCCGATGTCGAGGCCAACCGACCCCTCCTGTCACGAACATCAACCCTGCAAGGCTCAGTCGGCTCTGCCGAAGGTGATCATGTACCGACCTTCTGGTCCGACAAGTATTCACAAATTCGCACAGGCGGATTCTGGTCACGGTTGTGGAACTTTAGAATCGACGCGCGCATCGTATCGGATGCCATCCTGGGCCTTTCAGACGGCCTCACAGTACCCTTTGCGCTCACTGCCGGCCTGACGGCTTTGGGAGATACCAGAGTTGTGATCCTGGGAGGTCTGGCCGAGCTGATAGCAGGAGCCATCTCCATGGGACTTGGCGGATATGTCGGAGCCAAAAGCGAGATGTAAGTAGTCCCCTCACCTATGGCTAGCATAATCACAGAAGCAATTGACATGTCTCCAGGGAGTCATACAACGCCGTTGATCGAAGCTGCAGCAAACTCATCCTGTATGAGCCCGACGCCGCCAGAGACTATGTCCAGGAGTACTTTGAGCAGTTTGGATTGTCCGACGAAGAAACCAAGAGAGTGGCCAACCACATCAAGGCTTCGGCTCCCATGTTCAAAGAATTCCTCATGCAGAACCATTTCCAAGCGTCGAAGCCCGACACGGCACGACCTTACCTGTCAGCACTCACCCTAGGCATCAGTTACTTTGTCGGCGGGTTCCTCCCACTGATTCCATATTTTATCGTGGCTCAAGACAATGTTCTCGGCGGTCTGTGGTGGAGTATAGGACTGATGGGAGTGGTGTTGCTCGTTTTTGGATACGTAAAGACTGGCGTTGTACGTGGCTGGACTGGCAGAGACAACTACCAGGCATGCACCGGCGGGGCAGTGCAAATGTTCGTGGTCGGCGTGATTGCAGCTGGCGCTGCTGTGGGATTGGTGAGAGTAATCAACCAGGGCTGAACAGATTTCATGCTGAATGGTAATGTACGATAACGGATAACGAAAAAAAATCAAGCCTGCATAGAAGTCCCGGTGCGAATTCCAGAACATCGGTTTGGCATTCGGCGTAGCATGCATACTGGTTGATGCCGCGTCATGGGCTTATGCTGGTTCTGCGTGTATGTTCTGGCACGCTGTCGAAGTGGAACAATCTGTGTTGACGGAGAAATTCTGGAAGCGGCCATAGAAAAACCTTCGGCACGTTGCAGACGCTGATGAGTTATCTTTCGGTATTCGCCGACTGCTTTCATGGCCAGGTGCTGGATCTCTGGAGTGGGAAGGTCGAAGGCGAATACGAGTTGCCCAGGAACGTGGGTATGGCCGAGCTACTTGACATGGAATAGAGGCTTTCGTCTGTGCCTGTCCAATGAACTGTGCATGACTAGGTACTGGTATGGGTACGCACAGTGCTCCAGAGTAAAAATCACTTGCAGTCGCGAGCGTGCACACAGCGTGCCGGCGAAGAAAAGTCTGTAGGTGGAGTGGGTGAAGTCTGTGCCGAAGGAAGAAGGACCTTAGAGGACAGAGTCAGCAGAACTGACTCCGTAGCAGAGTGGCCCCCAGTGCCTGGTAGTGCTTATAGTAGGCTGGTAGTAGGTACCCCGAGGTATCTAGAGGTGCCTAGAGACGCCTAGAGGTACCTAAGGTTCCTAGGCACAAAGGTAGAGTCGCTGGTACCTCGGGCGAGTTGCCTCCGGCGCTGTCGGTGCTGAAAACTTCTAGGTACTTACAATCCTGGCACTGTGCGGGCGGGATTCGGCAGAATCCTTTGTCCGAGAGTCAAGCCAGCCAGTGCCTTCCCTCGTTCGCGTCTGTCCTGCTTCCTTCTCTGAACTCTCGTCCAAATTTTCACGCCTCGTACGGAGTACCCAACACAACGATTGCTCTACGCCACCTTTATTCGTTCGCCATCTGGGTCACGTCTACTACGAGTATAGGAATCATTCCGAGTCGCTGCTCCATTGGCATCTGTGTACTCATCCTCCGAGCAGGCCCAAGCTCGCTGGTTGCTGCCATGGCCAGAAATCCTTTCACTCCCTTGGCCACTGTGCAGCTGTTCAAGTCCTGCTCCACTGCTTCCAAAGGCGTTGGGAAAATTTGAACTTTACCTGACCCTTGCTTGCCTTGCGACCCTTGTCGACACCCCAGTCGAATTTTGATCCCAGAGTGCAAGAACCGATGCAGAAGATTCTCCCGTACTGATGAGTCGACACATCGTCATCGCCTCCCGTCTGTGACTATTCTTCGGACTCGACGCATTCGGGCAAAGCAACCGCACCTTTGCCGCTATCGGGTCCGACTCCTACGAAACGGTCCTTGTACGATATTCCACCGCCAGCCCGCCGCTTTTTCCCGTGCGAAAAGAAAGTCAAGCTTATTTCTTCGTGCCAACCAATCTCGTTGTTGTTGCTTTGTTAGAGGAGCTCCAGGACGCCGCAAAGCTCACTATTGAATCTTCGACTTGTAAGTGTCCGGTCTGTATACTTTCCTTCCCCAGCTGGGCGTCTATCCTCGAGTCTCGGTTCCAGCCACTTGGTCCTGACAGACATCTACCAAAAATGCAATATACTCAACATGGCCGCTTTCTTCAGCAGTCCCGGACAGCTGTAACAGTGCTCTTACAATGGGATCATGTGCTCAGTTGTTACCTTCGGGAGTTTACACCTGACATCATGCTCATCCATTTACTTTGATCTACATGCCCCCCGTCACGTTGTCGAGCCCGCATGCAATTCCTTTGCTCCGTATCAAAACACCATTCCCTTAGCCTAGACTGGAGGTGGGTATATTCATCTTTCCTACTGGTCGCATATCCGGTCAATGAACTACTGGCACTATTGGGGACTATCTTTGCGACTGTTGGATTTTGACATTCTCCATGGGTGTGCCACGAAGGCCAATCGCTCTCTATGTCCTCTCTTGGTCGTTGTTCAACTCATGCAGGCTTTCTTGTTCTAGTCTATCACAACTATGCTCTCAACTACCATCCCCTTCAAAAGCCTGGTCTTGATAGCCGCTTGGCCTTCTGCCAACCGAAAGACTACCGACATCCGAACGAGAACCAGGTATACAGCAGCCATCACATCCTGCAAGGGTGTGAGTACGCGATGTGACACAGGTGGTCGGCGGCATGGGGTGCCACCCATGCACCACAGACAATCTTGCGGACAGTGTCCTGTGCAGACCCTGGAAATCACGAAATCGGTGCTCTGTGCTGGCTCTACAGCCCTCCCAACGGCGTGGGTTCGCCCGTGCGCCTTGTTGCTTCGCGTAATTCCGATATGCGCCGCAGGCAGTCAAAGTATTGACGGAGGCCTGCGACCAGGGTTTGCCATGATCCGTATGCAGGCACTTTACACGTTGACGCAAAGGTGGTTGGCGCCAATAGACGGATCGCTAGTCCTGGTACCCTCCGTACCCAGACAGGCGACTGCGGTTGTGGATACCGGTTACAACCCGGTACATACATTTGACGCTAATTCTCTATCATGATATATCCTACGCGGGGTGAATACGAACAAAGTTATGTTGATAACAGTTTTCTGGCCTGGTGCCGAAGAGATGCGCATGAGAATCCAAGCGAGGACGCCCGGCTATGGACCAGTGAAGGGCATGCAGCCTGGTCCTCGTAGGAACGTTGGGCCACACGGGGGTCTTGCCCCAATTGGGGTTATCACGCTGTAAGGAAATGTCGGCCTGGACAACTGACGTATGGATTGGGATACAATGTACAACACTCCGCGAACGTGTGATACTGGCGGCCGCTTCTCTCCCACCCTGAGGCAAACCCAGAGAATTTTTGTCGCCATGGGGGCTTCGTGATTTTTGCAGACATGTGGCGGCTCGCAACTCGACAGATTTACGGATCCAGTTCTGCAAAATGGTACAATGCGACAGCGCAGTCTCAATAACGGTGATGTTGACCATCCTAGACTTTTCGGCCCCAAAGTTGCTCGGCAGCACTGGACAGACCACCCGTTCCCGTGCGTACACGTGGGAAGGGATAGCCGAAGAGCGGAAGCCGGTCGGTGGTGTGCTGGTTCCTGAACGGTGCCTGAAGCCTATCCCGGTTACGCTTAGTGACCATGGATTGGGCGGGTCTCTGGCTGCGGTATTTTTCGGCGGCCGTGCTGAAGTGTGCCAATCGGTGCTCGTTGGTACCTGAAAGCACTTCTTGGTCTGGACATCCTGGATTGGCCCAGCTGTCTCCAGCATGGCTGCATTAGCCCAGGAACCGTCAGGGGTGAGGCGTTGCGCTCGTGCCTCTATTTGGTGGCTTGAGCAGGGTCCAGCGTTCCGCCCATGTCAATCCATAAGAGATGCGGCACCCGGCAGCCAAGTTGTATTCCGCCGTTGTTTGTCGCCCAGACTTGCATATGCTTTCCGGTCTCCCAAAACTGGTTCCCCGTTCTCACTCTGACACCAATGGGCCATGGCCATCGGGCTGAACTTTGGACCACGGCTCCACGGTGGGCAAATCCACCTCGTCCTCTGTTGACGGCGCTAATGCATCTGCGAAAATCTCTGAACGATGCCAGGGAGGATCCAACTGTTGGGTCCAGGGCTCTGGAGTAGACCACCTTTCGGGCGCCTCGAACGTTTGTTGACGGTGGGTAGGGCATGGGACACGCACTCACTCTTATGATACATATACCACCTCCCCGACTTGTTTGTCTACTTCCTCTTTTCGAAACTATCGTGTCAATCCTTTCCAACTCATTCCCTACACAGCTTCGAGCAGGTCTCTGTGATCAGCATCATTCTTTTGCTGCAAGAACCACTGTCGACGTATACACACACAGAGCCAAACCTTCCTTACCCAAACTACTCATCACCACCAGTCTAACTAGACTTGAAAACTGTCCTTATCCAACAGGAAAACTCACCAATCAACCAAGAATCAAAATGCAATACAAGAACATCGTCGCTGGCGCAGCCGTGCTGCTTGCCTCTGCTCAAACCGCCGTCGCCCTCGGCACCGCTACTGTCATCAACAACTGTGGCTTCCCTGTCTACTACTCATCCGTGGGAGGAAGCAGCAACCCGAGCATGGCTCCGCTGGAGAACAGCTACAGCCAGGGATACTCCAGCCCTGGCACCGGTTTCTCCATCAAGCTCTCCCCCAACCAGACTACATATGGATCCGTCTCTCAGTTCGAGTTCACCTGGGCTGACGGCAAGATCGCTTATGACCTGTCCAACATTGACGGCTACCCCTTTGTTGCTGGTGGTATGGAGATTGTTCCATCCATGCAAAACGACCCCAACAACCCGACCTGCGTTCCTGTGACCTGCCCTGCTGGTGTAGCCACATGCACCGCCGCCTACAACGCTCCGGACGACGTCCGAACTATGGTCTGCAGTGACGAATCTGACCTCACCCTCACCATCTGCCCTGGCGGATCCTTCAAGCGCAGTGTCACCTACGAGGATGGACACATTCACTACCGTGTCCACGCTCGTCACATGCCCAAGCTCGCTTAAAGCGCGACAATGCAGAACGCAGCAATCTATGATCAATCTGATTCAGCGACACGAAACAAGTTCTAGGCATGTAGACCTGACTTGCTGACCATCAAGTTATTGATAAAGTCTCCGCAACCTTTTCTTTTGGCGCAGCTTGGTTTCTGCCGCCTCTACCTCCCCGCTGCCTGCAAATACATTCTCTTAGCTACATGTTCCATGAGTCGACACATGGATATGTCATTGCCCCTGCAGGTTTCAGTGCCCGGTCTCGACGACCACTTACACCATCTTCATGGACCACTTCTCACGCGGAGATTTTACATGACTTGAGTCAGCGACTCAGTTGTTTGCTGCTTGGCTACGACAACATACCATGATCAAACACACCTTACGAAAACAATAAGATCATGATCTACACTGACATGACGACGACAACGGAGCTAGATCTTTTAGACACGTTTTGGGCGTGAGAAGTACTCTTCTTTCATGGGCCCCTTTGGGTCATTTTTCTTTTTTTCATCGACACTTGTTTCGGCCTGACCTTTACCCCCCTTCTGGGGTGGTTGGTGGTTGTGATGGCTATGAATTGAGTGTGCAGATGGTGGGAAAGGAGGCTATTTGCACTTCACACTGTACCCTCGGTGTGTGTGAGATGGGCTTGTTTTCCCACTTTTGACAAGCAGAACAAGATTAAACCCAAGGCTTGAAGCAAAAAAAGTTCACAACAACCTTCGGAACTTGTTTTTGTTGTTCTCTGCCTGCAGCTAGGGAGAAAATTGCTATGCAAGATTAATTTTTATCATGTTTATAGACTTTTGACTTCTCATATAAGAAACCTAGGGACATTCATTGGAATTGAAAAGCTATTAAAAATATGCCTTTGATCTATTGAAAACTCTGCTGTCTGTCGACTCCTATCTTACGCCTATGGTCCAGTACGGAGTGTAGCCCTCTGCTTCGCCGGACTTGCCCTGCTGGCAATTGCTACAGTGGTTTGTTGTCACCGTGAGAGATGGACTCGGAAGACCCTCAAAGCTACCCACGAATGAGTAAGGTGGAGCTAGAAGTGTAGATGCAGGCAAGGAGTGTCTGGGGGTTCAGAGAGAGGCTGGGGTGTACGGACACTCCTCACGTCTGAGGAAACTGACTAGCTACGATAGTAGTTGTATGGTGACAAGACTGACAGTTGTGTGGCACCCAAGGTGCAGCCGGAGTCCAGTTGTGGCTCAAAGTAGGCTGGGTCAGTGACACGGGGGTCCGTCCGTTATGCGTGCATGCCCAGGGCGCACGCTCTCAACTGTGTGGTCTTGGTGTAGAAACCCGTAGGTAGAGTTCGGATACACAGTACGGAGTTGGGTGTTGTGTTTGGTTTGTGACCTGGTGGTGGTGGTGGTGGCTGGAAGGGCTTGGGGCTTTGACAGAATTTTGGTCCCGTTGTGCGCCGCGGATGCAAGGTGCGCCTTGCGCCTCGAGCCTTGCAAAAGTGGCCCTCGTCGTCTTACGAGCGAGGCTAAAAGCTAACAACCATAACGGAATACATACATTGTAATAATAAGCATGGGGGCCACGCGGACGAAAGTGATGTATCCTTACGGAGTATCCGTACTGTAGTGGTTTAGTAAGGGGTCAAGCAAGGGAATGCGTGTGCCTCATGTCAAGTACTGGTAAAGTATCTGTACTGTACGTAAGCGCATTTCAGGGGTAACTTCGACCCTTTGCATCCCCACCAAACTGATGAGGCTACCGTAGGTTGAACAACCTACGGGCTACACAGTACGTACCGACGCACCGGACCGCGAATGGTTCCCTTTACAAGTTCTTGTCGTATGTACTCCGTACGGAGACGGAGCACTAGTTAGAGCGCCTGGGGCTACGGAGTTCAATTTTATACCATGGACGAGACATGTACGGAGTACTGTACAGTAAGTACGGCCATGGGGGTACGAGTATACATACAATGAGTGGGCCTTTGGGGCTATGGTAGGTACAATACTAGCAGGACAGATCGATGAAACACATGATCGGATGTAAAGCGCGCTGTGAGTACCGATTGACCACTGACGACTGACCAGCGACAAAGGAACAAGGATTGGAAATGACGGCTCGCTGGATCCGTGCGTGGCTGTCGATTGCGAGTGCAAGTACACGGCAGAGAGGCATACGTATGCAGTCCATATACGGACGGAGTGCGGAGTCCTCTGTTCTCTTTCCGTAATAGGGGGCTATCATGGCAAAAGGGACTTTTTCTTTGATGCTTCTGAAACGTTGACTTTCGAACTTGGGGATTTTGCCTTTGTTCTATCGCATCAATGGGGCGGAAGCGAAGCCCAAAAGGGGACCTTGGAGCCTGGAGGATCCCGGGGAACGTGGAAGAAGGATGCTGAAACACTGGATCTTGCGAAGCGAGCGGAAGTTGGATCGAGCATGGAGATAGTAATACAGATGCGGACCAGGCAGGCACTCAGTCTGTGACGAACAAGATCAAAACGCACGGTTTCTGGAGTTTTTTTTTTTTTTGGAGGCATCGTTTGCGCCAAAGAGGGCGACTGAGACGGCGAGAAGTACAGAGTGCAGTATCGACAGTACAGTCAGTAACCAGAAGCGAAATCTTCTTGGGTACTCGCGTACTGTACTGCATGGACAGCGTTGACATGCGCTTACGACGTACTTTATTTTGATGGGCCGAGATGAAACAAAAGATGCAAGGGTGAAGGGGGCGATGGGAAGATTGAAAGGGCGAGGATGCAAGTTGGAAAAATATCATCGTTTCAGGATGAGCTGGGTGAGTCTCCGCCGCCTCGGAAACCTTTAGGCGGGTCGCCATGGTACAGTACTTCTACCCTAACTAGTACAGTATTCACCTGTAAGTAAGGCGTACTCTAGGGGCGCGGTATAGGGGGCGCGTTCGACGATTTCGGCAATACGCGCGTCGATGATATGGAGTACTCCGTACGGAGGACGTCGAATGCAGATACACTTGGGTAATGTGGTACAATACTGCACCCTAAGGTTGACGCGCGCATGGAGAGGGAGTGTATGATCACTTGTCGTACTGAGCTCTGTGAGGAGCACGGAGTATCAAAGCATACATACAACATCTTCTCAGAGGATCCTCAGGTAATTTGTTCCCATTACGGTACGGTGTGACATGGTCATATTGTACAGTATGGCAATCCCGACGTCTACTGAGTACTCAGCTGGCATCATCACATCCAGCTTCGTTTCGGTTGCTGCATCACCATCAGCACTACGGAGTACCACCAAATTAGTCAGAACTCGTCGCAGCGCAAGTCTTCGGATCGAAGCTACGGACAATGCAGCTCCGTAGTTGTGATGGAAATGCGCCATCTTATGTACGTAGGAGGACTTTTTCCTTTCGGAACGGCTTGAGGCGCCCGCAGCCCGCAAGCCTCGGTGGAAATACATACAGTAGTCCGCATGTCAGACACGTCAACTTGTCTGTCTGGCCGACACGAGAACGTGTGACACTGACGTGGACACTAGGTAAATCCAGGTGGCTGGGCCTCTCTCTGTCGTGTCCGATCTTTCGATCCAAACCGGAAAAATGTCTTGTGTCCGCCGAGTCTTTTGGTCTCCGGAAAAAGGGCAATGAAAATATTGTGACAACCACGGATGAGCCATGGGGTGTAATATTTGTTTGTTTCTGCCCTGGACAAAAGGGGGGATTTGAGACATGCATATGCAATCCCACCAATCATGGCCATTTCTGCAAGGATTCATGGGCCATGTTGATCCACGAGGCTGCGGCGCGACGGCTGGGATCATGGCATTTCATCACATTTCCCATCCATCCTCGGGCCAAGAAAGTCCCCACTGACATCTGGGGCTGATATTTCGCCTAACATGCGACGATCTCAGGACTAAGGAATCCAGGATGCAATGCTCCGTACAATAGTGTGCCGTAGCGTCCATCGACGATCTGCGAGACGAGAACAAAAAAACGTGAACGCCGATCAAACGGTGTTTTCTGGCCGATCGCATATCAGTAGCGCTGTACTAGCAATGAAGTGTCCAATGTATGATCCGATGGTCGACAAAACTTGCAATATCCGGCAAGAGAGTTTGGAGTTACGGAGATAGAGTACTTGAAGGCTCCAGAGAGACGGCAGGCGTATACATCGCACGATCAACACATACGAGGCTAGAATATCAACCAACGAAGAGATCGGACAGACCTGCTGCGACAGTTTCGATCGGCGCAATTAGCCCTGATAGTCCGCATGGGGAGCATGGTTGACGAGGTTTCCAAACGTCATGACTATCAGCGTCGGTATGAGAGATACTGTGGTGATTCGAGATATGGAGACTGACCAAGGCATGGAAGATGACCTTCATTCTCCGTGGAAGGTGAATTGCAATCCACTGCATGCCTGTGTGGGTTGTCGGTTGAGTCCAATTTCTCCATCTGGCGTGGAGGATGCACGAGAGAACGTTGGCCGCCCCGAGTTGCCATGATCAGCCATGATCAGCCATCTCTCACCCGGCGACTCTGCAAGGCTCACGGAACGCTGGACATGGTCAGCGGTTCTGCACAGGTCAAAAAGTACCTGTAAAGGCTGAACCTTTGTTGCTTGCTTCTCGCCCGATGATCCTGATGATCTCGACGATCAGAAGATAGCGACTTGTTGATTGTACACATCTCGGTTTGTTCCCTGCCTGGTCCTTGATGGTCCACTCTGCTCTCTCAATATCTCACTTGAGCGGTTCGATCCGTCCAGAATGGAATGTCGCACTGGGATCATGCCTGTATCCAGCGTATTCATTGTGCTACGAGACCGGTGTGAGATCAACCTGGAAGGCGTCTGGCCTCTCAAAGATGCTTTCTGCCAACCCCGGCCAGAACAAGATGATAAGGAGTCCTTCCCTATATTCTTACAATTATACGTTGAAGACCTGGTAATGATGGCGAAAGGACCTAGCTCCAGGCTCCCGATGCGATTTGGACCTCTTGTGGACGATAATACTGCTGCTATCGAGAAGCAATGGCTGGAAGGTGTTGTGATGCTCGGTGTGTTGCGGCCTCTGTGGAGTTTTGGACGTTATTACCATGGCCTCGCAGACACCACAGACAATAGTCCCACCAGCTTTGGTTTTATCAGACACGGCGAGGGACCAACCGTAGACGGACACAGTCGATGGACATATTGAGAGCGTCGACGTGAGGAGATCAGGATAGTTTGCGTGGTCGTTCCAAAGACAGCGATGACGGCCCGATGATGCAGGATTCGGAAGAAGATCGGTCTATGAGATCGTAACAAGGAATCCCGGGTTGAGATCTTGACGCGATCCCCATGGTCGAGTGATTTCGGCTGTATGAAAGTAGTCGTAGTTGAAGAGATATGCAGTTGTACGAATACGAGTACGAGGTCTTTCTGTGCTCACAGCCTTGTCACGTGCGAGGCTGCCCCTCCAGGTTACATAGTCACGTGCAGTCCTTGATCCCGCGCCGAAACTTCCAGGCGCAAGATTTCTTTCTAACCGGTCGATTGTCGCATTTGTCACCCAAAGCCGGCAATATATTAACAACGACTCCCATCCTTGAGCAGTCGCAATACTTACGTCCCAAATCCCATACTTCCACGTCCCTCTCGGCCTCAATAGCAGAAGTTTCTTGAAGTCGCAAACTAGAACATGTCTGGAAGAGAAACTTACCAACCCCCCAGCTACGGCGGCGGATTCGCCTCAGGCGTCGCAGCCAACGAAGCCATCGGCGGTCCAGCGGTGCAATATGTGTGCGGTGAATGTGCTGCCAAGGTTAGCCTGACGAAAGGCGACGCCATCAGATGCAACATGTGCGGACACAGAGTCCTCTACAAAGAGCGCACGAAGAGGTATGTTGTCGCCGCATGAAGGCGATTTGGGTGCCGTGCCAAGATGGCTGACTTTGTTGATATCAGAATGGTGCAATTTGAGGCTCGATGAACAGACCAAAATCGCAAGGGGCATGATACCGATCTGAGGATACCACAAGCGAAGAGAAAGTGTTGCATAGCGAAGGCGTTTGAATCGGGATTTTTTGAAGAGTGGTCTCCTCAACCGTTGTGTGGATGCACATCCAGAAAACACAAGGAGACCAGCGAGAGTAAGAAGCGAGAGAAGAGAACAAAAAAACAATGATTGGCACACAGGAATGAGAAATGCAAGTGAGAATGAGAACGATACCAATAAACCTCAGGCCAAAGAACCTGAAACCATTTTTATTTCCTCTTTCGCCTTTTCCATCCGACACACAGGGGAAATATCTACAATGTGTTTGTGAACTCGATGAACTTTTCGAATTCCTCCAACGCTTTTCCGCTCTCGATGCACCATCTTGCTTTACGTATGCCTTCTTTCCATCTTTCTCCTCCAGGTCCTCGTTCTTTGATGACTTCCCCGGTCGGGCAAGTGTCTGCCTCGCAAACACCACTAACCACAAAGAGCGCAGCGACGTTCATAAGAACGAAATGGAGAATCGGGTCGTCCCGCGGTCGCTCATTGCGGAGGATGCTCATCAAAACTGCGGCATTCTGTTTGGGCAATTTCCCACCACCGACCTCAGATAGTGGATGCGAAGGCAGGCCGAAGTCTGCTGGTTCGATCGAGAACGTCTCGATCTTAGCTACATATTTGGGCGGAGGCTCGTCATCACTTGTCTCGTCGTCGTCGTCGTCGTCGCGGTCACCCCTGTACTCTGGGTTCTCTGACTCCCTTAGGAGCCAGCAATTTGTCTTGCCAGCACAGCTAATCTCATCGAGATCCTCTTGTCCACAGACGACCATGGCTTTCGTAGCCCCAGAGAACCGCAATGCTTGCGCAAACACTGGGCCCAGCTCTTGGTATGCGACTCCGACGACTCTCGCTTCGATGTGGTCCTCGACCGGATTGGCCAATGGGCCCATGAGATTGAATATTGTTCTCAACCCGAGCTCTCTTCGTACTGTCGCGGCATATCTCATACCCGGGTGGAAGTTCGGAGCATACAAGAACGTATAGTTTGTGTGTTCATACGCCTCGGGCAAGTGCTCGGCGCTGAGAGCTTCGATCTTCGGCGCCTTGGGGGCAATGGCATTCAACACATCAGCGGAACCCGACATGGAGGTCTGCGCTCGGTTGCCATGCTTGGCCATCATCAGTATGGGGCTTGCAATAATGCTAGATGTCGTGGAGATATTGAATGTTGAGTGCGAGTCGCCTCCTGTTCCGACAATGTCGCAGAGACCACCTCTATATTTTCCCAACTGTCGCTTCCTCTTCCCAATGACTCGTTTCAGTCGTTGTTTGCTGATGGGTACGGCAGCATCGCGCATACTGGCAGCGCAGCGGGCGATGACATCGGGATGTCTGTCCTTGCCAGTGGAGTGAAGCAGGGTCAGGAGAGCCGAGAGCTGGGTGCCATTGAGCTGGTCTTCGAAGGTTCGCGAGAATGCAAGGGCAATGTCTTCAGCTTTGACGCTGTTGTCAAAAGGGGCAGGTGCAGAAAGTTGCTTCAGCAGAGGGGCTATGGACACATGCCGGGGAGGTGGACTCGACATGTTGACAGACTCGGGCGAATCTATCAGAGAGTGTAGGAATGTAGGTGAGAAGTTGAGCCTTTGGTGAACGTGCAGCTTTCTTATTGCTGAACGTGAATTCTGAGTCAAACTTGATGCGGGGAAAATGGTTTGCAGCCTCGTCACGTGAAATGGATCTCAGCCTTGTCGGGTTTGAATGATTCAATTGGTCCTCGCATTCTTCCTTCATTCTGCTTCCCAGTCACCAGGCCTTGCAATAGCTATGGCTGGGCGGCCCATCGAAACATTGGCAGATCTTTGATCTCATCATACTAGACACCCCAGTGCCGTTTTGGGATCTGGACAGCGGGTGACCATTGCTACACAAATCCACGCTTCTTGTGATATCACGCTTGTTCCTGTTCACGGGCACTGCATGGCTCGCTTTCATCGGCACTGCCTTTCTTTTTCTCCCCACTCATTGACATAGATATGATGAATTCGAAACTTGCATCAGATTCGAACTCCAGCTCCTCGGGCTTGGGAATGCCTCTCCACTGCACGTCGCAGCCTGATTACGCAAATGAGAAAGTCGTCCAGAGGAACAAGCTACCTCCGAGGTCGTACCATCTTCCAGAGTCGTCCATATCCTTGAACGGCACCTGGTACTTCCATTATGCGGCTACACCTAGTCTTGCTCCCTCTTGGGATGACTTTGGCAGGCGGCAGAACTTCTCCTGGCATCGAATTCAGGTGCCCGGTCATTGGCAGCTCCAAGGCTTCGGCAGACCTCAGTACACCAATATAATATTCCCAATCCCGGTTTGTCCGCCGAACGTACCGACTGACAACCCCACTGGAAGCTATGTAAAGCATTTCTCTGTTCCCGAAACCTGGGGGGCAAACTCTCAGATTCGCCTTCGTTTCGAAGGAGTTGATAGTGCCTTCCACCTCTTCGTGAATGGTCAAGAAGTCGGCTTTTCTCAAGGTAGTAGGAACCCAGCAGAATTTGACATCTCCACGGTTGTCAACCGGGTGGGAAACAACCAAGTATTGGTGCAGGTATATCAGTGGTCTGATGGATCCTACATTGAAGACCAAGATCAGTGGTGGCTCTCTGGTATCCTTGTTCATAAGCTGATTTGTTGGTTCAGGGTTGGTTGACACGAGTGACAGGTATATATCGTGATGTGTACCTACTTGCCTTTCCTGAAACTGCTCGAATAGATGATTTCTTCATCAAGACTGAACTCGACGATACTTATACTGACGCTCAACTTGTCGTGGAGCTTGATCTGTCTCTGCAGGAAGCTTGCGACCTCAAGGTTACTCTTCGATCTCCAGACAAAGATGCCAACATCTTCAGCGATCAGGTAACCCTCGAAAGTCATCACACTCAGTGGCAGAGAAAGTATCCGGTCAAAGCACCACAGAAGTGGACTGCAGAGACGCCGATACTTTACCTTGTCGGATTAGAGCTATTATCAGAAGGAAGGCCTATTCAATATATTCAACACCGCATTGGATTCCGGAAAGTAGAGATCAAGCAAGGCCTCTTGAGAGTAAACGGAATACCCCTTCTCCTCCGTGGTGTCAACCGACATGAACACCACCCTGACTTTGGACGCGCAGTTCCAGTAGACTTTCTCCGACAAGACTTGATGCTCATGAAACGACACAATATCAATGCCGTGCGCTGCTCTCATTATCCATCTCAGCCAGCGCTGTACTCTCTTTGCGACGAGTTAGGACTGTGGGTACTAGATGAAGCGGACCTCGAATGCCACGGCTTTGACGCCGCGACAGTACAGTCTCTCAACGTATCCGAAGAAATGGACTACGGACAGAGAAAAGCCTTGACATTCGACAATGCTGCGTCTTTCACCTCTGACAATAAGAACTGGGAATCAGCATATCTCGATCGAATGACACAACTGGTACAGAGGGACAAGAACTTCACATGTATCATCATCTGGTCTCTCGGCAATGAATCGTTCTACGGCCGCAATCACAAAGCCATGTACGAATATGCCAAGAGGGTCGATCCATCACGCCCAGTACACTACGAAGGCGATTCCAAAGCTATTACTGCCGACCTGTACAGCTACATGTATGCATCGGTGCCGAAGTTGATTTCCCTGGCTGAAGAAGAAGGGGTTTCGCCAGACGGATCGTATGAGAAACCCATCATCTTATGCGAATACGGCCACGCTATGGGGAACGGCCCTGGTCTTCTAGAAGACTATCAAGCCGCATTTCGTGAGTATGAGCGACTCCAGGGGGGCTTCATCTGGGAATGGGCCAATCATGGCCTACGGAAGGTATCTGATGAGGTTGACGGAAAGCAGATTTATGCCTATGGTGGCGACTTTGGCGACGTCCCAAATGACGGCACCTTCGTCATGGATGGGCTATGCTACAGCGACCATACACCCACACCTGGTCTGACAGAGCTCAAGAAGGTGATTGCTCCCATCAGAGCATGGATCGAGGGGAATGGTGGCGAAATCACGGTGGAAAACGGACATAACTTTAAAGGTCTCGAGGAATTTGCTGCACACTACGAGGTCGAAGCCTTTGCGGACAGGTGAGTGAAATGTCACCATGTCCGGTAGTGTTCACTTGCATCACTGACTAAATTCATGTCTGATAGTCGGGAGCTTCTTGCCTCCGGCGCGCTGCAGATCCCGACGATAAAGCCAGGATCAACAGGCACAATCGCACTCCCTGAGCCCATATCCCGGTATCTTGCCTATGAGAAAGCCGAATGCTGGCTGACTATCAGGTTCATTCTCAAAGACAACTGTGCCTGGGCAGACGCGGGGCACGAAGTCACATTTTTCCAACATCATCTCAACAACAGAAATCCTCCCTCGGACAAACCTGTCATACCACCGAAGCTCCAGAATCTGAGCGTGAACAGCACTCACCAGTATATCAGCATTGTAGGCCCCGATTTCGCAGTCGCTTTTAACAAGGCTCACGGCCTGATTCAATCATGGACTGTCGGCGGCACATCTCTCCTCCATAAACCTGAATGGCCTGCTGCTCCTATCCAACTAGGTTTCTGGCGTGCTCCAACCGACAACGACGCTGCATGGCAAACGGACCAGTGGAAGCGCTGGGGTCTGGAATCGTTGACCACGCAGCTCCGGTCTCTTGACGTGCATTACCCGACCGGCAACGAAACGATCAACGAAGTGCAGGTTAAAACGACAACATACGTCGCGCCTCCGATATTGGCATGGGGGTTCCACATTGAAAGCACATATAAAATTGGTCCTACCGGCACGATCTGCATTCAAACTCACATCAAACCCGTGGGTTCGGCACCCGAGAATCTCCCCCGCGCAGGCTGGGACATACAGCTGTCGAAAGCTTTTGAACGCGCAATGTGGTTCGGTCTCGGACCCGGGGAGTCATATCACGACAAGAGGTCTTCGAAGAAGATTGGAATTCACGATGCGGCCATTCCGTCGCTCCATACACCGTACGAAGTCCCTCAAGAGAACGGAAATCATGTGGACACGCGATGGGTCAAAGTCCTCAATGGGCGCGGTTTGGGCATCAAGGCTGCATTATCAGGTGCAAAACGGAGCCCTGGGACCTTCCACTTTGCCGTGTCGGAGTACTCGGCAGCCGAGTTGGAGCGCGCAAAGCACGGACCCGAGTTGGTGAAGGGCGATGCGATATACCTGCGTCTTGATGCGGACGTGTCTGGCGTGGGGACGGGGGCTTGCGGACCGGCCATCAAGGAGCAGGATCTGGTCCAATGTGAAGAGATGAAATTCGAAGTGGTGCTTGAGCCGGTTCTCACATTGGCATGATAAATGCAGCCAGGTGCAGTAGTAATACATCGGGCGGAACAAGAGAGAAAGAATCGATGGATGCTGAACCGTTGGCGACACAATTTCCAGAATCACTTACGCGTGTCCTCGTCCCTGTGTCGTTCAAAATGTGCCTCGTCTATGCCGGTGGTATCAAGTCTGCCGGTTACTCGAGGATCCTCAGACGACGGTTCCATGTCGTGACGAACCCGTAGGTTGCGTGTCCGCCGGATAGGTCTTCCAGCGCCATGTTGTCGGCTCTCCTTTGCGCGAAACAGAGAGCTCTACCACCACCACCACCACCACCACCATCATAGACACGACTCCACTCCACTGCCCTCGGCGTGCATCTGGCGCGTTGGCCGGGATGAATCGAATGCACAGGGCCGACGAGACTGTGCAGGGATCCCCGAACAGACTCGCGGGTTGATGTTAGACGGTGCCAAAAAAAGAAAAGAAAGAAAGAAAGAAAAACACAGCTCTACTGTTTAAAAAGCAGGCACGCACAGTTGGAAGAGAAGCTTCCCGCGAACTCCGAACGGCCTGATTGATTGGGCCCATGCCCAAACTGCTTGCTGACAGTAAATTAATTACAGTAACCATCCCTGACCTAAACTTCCATTTACGGCACGGAGAGGCATCGTCTACCACGCGCACCAAGGCAAGCCAAAGTCAATGCCGTGTTCGAATTGAACCATTTAAATAACGCGAGTATATGTCAGCATGTACAACCAACTACCTTTCATTTAACTCCTGACCTTGACCAAGGCCTTCAACGCATGTGTGTGTGTGTGTGTGTGTGTGTGTGTGTGTGTATGTATGTATAATGATACCTATTTTAGTGACGCTCAACTTGATCATCCAGTCTCAAGGCTCTCAAATTCCCGACCCAACTCCATCTACTTACCCATTCTAGCCAGCAGCTTGGTTTGGTAGGTAACACCTACCATTCCAGCAGCTGGGGAAAGCTTGATTTCCTAGAGAACTTTTCCAGACTCGGGCTGTTGTCGCTTACTCCGTCGAGGATGTCGCACAGGGCCTCGGCTTCCGCATCGACGTCGGTTGTCCCCGTCACCCGAATTGCCGGCTGCAGCTTCTTCTTTGCCATCTTCTCGCTCCTCTGATGCTGTGCGAGAATTGCGAACAAATCAATGGTGCGCCCTGGGGGGTGAGAAGGGTGGAAGGATTAGCATATCGATCACACTTTTTGGACAACCAAATCAACAGGGTAAATAATGACGCGGGCGGTCACCACTTGACCTACCTCCACACTGGTATGCAAAGTATGAGCCGGCGGCGGGCGGTGAAGCTTGGGTCTGGTCGGATTTTGACAGTTGCATCAGCTCCCTTTCCAGCAGCCACTTCCACCTCTGTACTGCGTTGTTGTTGTTGTTGTTGTTGTTGTTTGTCGGGGTTTGTTGATCACCTTGCTTGGCGTAGATGTCGCATCTGACCACAACCTCTTGGGAGGAATGTGGGAGCAGTGTCAGGGTGCACCACAGGTCCTGGTCCAGCTCCTTGACCAGACTGAGAGGGCCGAGAAGGCGTGCCATTTTCGGGCGACGGAAGCCAGAGAACCAGCCAAACGGGTTCTGGGACCATTGTGCCTGGCTTGAGAATTCGTTCGCTGCACGATTTCGTTAGAATAACAACAAGGACGACAGAGAAGGAGGAGGAGGAAAGAAAGCAGATATTTTAATATGTTTTTCACCACGGCAGTGGTGATGATTGACTGATTGACAGATGGATAGATGGATGGTTGATGGTTGATGGTTGGATAGATTGTTGGCTCACTCACCGAGCTGTTTCCAGTTGGCAGCACACGTCACGTCCATGCCGTCGACCCACGATCGACTTCCCATGTCGACGTGAGATTTGACGTTGTTGAAAGGCAGGTTCATGGTGCTCGCGTCGAAGTTGACAAACACCAGGCCTTCCCTCGTCACAATCAGCTTCACCTCCCACAGGCCATTGTCCTCGGGGTTGAAGCCGGGCGACTCGTCGAACTTGGGCGCCTTGACCAGACGTCCGGCATCGTCGTACTGCCAGCCGTGATACTTGCACGAGAAGCGCGTCGAGGTTCCACAGGCCTTCCGGACGACGGTGTAGGCCCGATGGCGACAGACGTTGTGGAACGCACGGAGCCTCGTGTCCTTGCCGAGGACGACGAAGAAGGAAATCCCCGCCACGTCGAAGGCGTGGTAGTCGCCGACCTTGTCGAACCTGCTGCGGTGTGTAACGTACAGCCATGTCTGTGGATAAGAACGAGAACGTTATAAAGTCAGCAAGCATGATCCCCGAGACCGAAAGACAAATTCCAAGCCTCATCTCAAATCGACGAGGCCATGTTGGATATGAGGCATAGCATAGCATAGCATAGCACAAGTCTCTCGCACTGGGGGGGCCGCATGGCGTGCATACCTTGCTGAAAAAAGCCCTCTTCTCCAATTGAAACACCTCGTCATCCGACATGCCCTCGGGTCTTTTCAGACTTCCTTTCTCCGCCTGATCAAGACCAGATGAAGTCCGATAAGAGTAAGGGACGCTCTCTACTCCCGCGCCCAAGGTGGTAGCATTGATGAGTTTCACGAGCCTTGGGCCGAAGAGATAGGCCAAACAAGAGACGATGAAGAGGTACGCGGGAACCGGCCAGTGCAGATGCAGCAGGTGTTGAACGTCCATTGTCATTTGTCGATTCACGAGTCTCTTTGAGGTTTTCGAGAGATCTCAGAGGACGCGCGAGGGGGTGAGCTGAGGTGGGTGAGGCGGATGGGATGTACTGTATGCAAATAGGATGAAGGATGGGTCTGGGTTTGGGTTCGTGTTCGTGTTCGCGAATTCTGGAAAGGCAGAGGCTGCCCCGTTGAGCCAGGGAGGGGGAGGGATCTTCTTTTCTCAACGACCAAACAACGAATGGGTGGTATTATGGTGGTATTAATGGGCTCTGCGAGCAGGAAATGGATATCAGGTATGGATTGATTACCCAAAGAATCGTAGATTGGCTCACTAGCTGGGCTGGATGGCTGGATGGCTGGCTGGCTGACAGTGGTGGGAAAGCGGGAAGCCTTCGGTCTTTGCGTATTGAACTCTTATCAGTAGCCCGAATCTTCGTATTGATTGATCAATTCCCCTTTGCGATCCTTTCCAGCCTTTTCTTCCCTCCAGTCTCACAGAAAGCAAACTAGGTACGAGTAGATGACACACGAAAGGAGGGGGGGGATCAGAGATCCGAAAGATGCTTTTTGGCCTATGCCAGACACGGGATTACACCATGATAACGAGCAATTATACCAACTCTGGTCGAAGCGGCGATGGGGGGGGAGTGTTTCGGATCCGAAAAAGCGTTTCTGGGCTCTACCGTGCAGTAGTAATCATGACAGCACGCTTTCGTTTTCGTCTCATGCTAAATTACACCCAGGTATGGGGATGTGATTCACGATGATGATGATGATGGTGGTGGTGGTGGTGGAGATGGAGATGATGGATTGATATCCGCCGTGCGTGCGTGCGTGCGTGCGTGCGTGTACGCGCCCTGCCATGAGCCAGCCCAACGAGCCCGATGAGCCCGTTGAGTTGCATGAGTTCGATCAATTCCGTCCGGCGACGCGAAGATTCATATGGAGTTGACCGCACACCGCGAATCGAAACGTGTCGACGCTCGATTCGGCAATGCGATCCCTCCCTCCGGTTTTCCCGTTCGCAAAGGCTCCTCGTCACTTTTTTGATGATTCGGTGCTCGGTAGAGTCGCGGAGGGGCAGCCGATGTACATACATACTGCTGTACCCTCGTAAAAACTCAATGGATCGATTGATTGACGCACACCCACCCTGGTTCGTGGTTCCGTGCGATTCGCCGACTTCTCCAAAGAATTTAATGATTTTTTTACCGTTTGCAGGGCATCTTGTGGTGGCGTCCGTCAAACGGTGTGGTTTTGGCAGCACATGCACATGCTCGGTTCGAGTACGAGTTTCTCACCGACTCTCTACTGGAGGATTCATGCCCGTCGTTGTCGTTCTCGATTCGTGGTTGCGCGTGTGATAGGAATCGAAAAATGTTGCATGATCCTGTCGCGCGGATTGAACAACTCGTAAAGCTCCCACGGTGTGATTGTGATTGTGATTCGAGCAGAAAAATCAAAAGTGTCTCCGGGGATTTTTACCCTGGTCTCCATAACGAGGTATGTAGAATGTTTCTGTGCTCTACAGGGTACTGTACCTAGCCAGGTAGGTATTCGAAGGCTACGAGCAGACAGACATACTCGGTAGGTCGGTGGGTGCGTAGCAGAGGCGAATGTGTCACCGCCCCCACCCTCGCAAACATCCCCCCTTGGGAAGAACCATCCCACGCTGTACTGTAGGAACTCAAGGTACCGATTCCTGTTGACCACGGATTGTATACGCCATGCCCAGGTACTCGGAGTCGTACTCGTCCCTGTGTCTGTCCCAAATCAAAACCCCCCCGCGCGCCCCGTGGATCCCACACCTCGCGAGGTGGAAACCCAGTCTGTATTCGAATTCCTCTTTCGGTCATGGTGGCGCAGGTTACTCGGTCACTCACTCGCTCTCGCTCACGAATTGATCATCATTTCATCCATGGTCCGGGCTCAAGGGGGCGGCACGGATACTGTATTCGTAGTAGTTGGGAAGCCTTTTCTCGAGTTTCCCTGGTTAACTTAGTCCTCCTGACCCCCTACTCGTACTCGTAATAACTAACCTAGTACTCACTATCACCGATAAGAAACTGATGGATTCAATCGATCGATACCTCTCGAGTTGACCAGACCACCAACACCAACGCCAACGCCACGACAATATCATCATATCCTTCCATACTGCCACAACAATGGAACCCACCAAAACCCTCCCGGCGTCATGGTACACGTCTCAAAACCTCTACAGTCTCGAACAGCGCGCCGTCTTCTACAAGGCGTGGTACCTCGTGGGAGCAGTCCCTCGGTTCGCCGTCGATCGTGAGGTCGACTATGAATTCGCCGGCGTGACGGTGACGGTCCATCACGACGGCGAAGAGAATTTCAAAGTCATGCGAAAGTCGGACGTACGTTCCACACACCCACACACATACACTGACACAGATATTCAAGCATGCGTCCGACGTGATGATGAGATGTCTGCAGCGTGTGTGCGTGTACAGCCCGGCTGACCAAAAGGACAAACCCCCCCCGTAGGCCCTCGAACTAGATCACCACCTGACACCGACCGGCCTCCTCTTCACGACAATCGACCCTTCTGCACCACCGTTCGCAACGTGGTTCCCTCCCTCCCTGCTGGAGTTGTTGTCCGGCTACAACTTCCGCCGGCTCCCGCACCGTCGGTCCATCAAGTACCCTGGCCGCTTCAACTGGAAGACCATGGTCGACGGCTACCAGGAGTGTCTGCACTGCCAGTACACGCACCGCACCTTCAGCGTCAAGTACCCGCCGACCTTTTACGAGGTGCACAACCACGGCACCTACAGCCGGCACATCGCCGACCCGACGAAGCCGGACGACGGCCTGTTTCTGTACTTCTACCCCGTGTGCACGCTGAACCTGTACGGCGGCGGCATGAGCAGTTTCCGCGTCTGTCCCGGCGACAAGGTAGGCGAGACCCGGATGGAGTTCGATTATTACTTCGACGACGGTAGCGAGGGCGGAGGCATGGAAGGCTTCGAAGACTATTTCAAGTTCGTGCGCAAGGTCGCCCTCGAGGATTTCGAGCTGTGTGAGGTCGCCCAGAGTAATTTGGAGAGGGGCATTTATTCGCAAGGCGTGTTGAATCAGAGCAAGGAGAGTGGTGTATTGCGTGAGTCGTCGCCAAAAGAAAATGCTTCTTGTTCCTCCTTGTTCCTTCCTCCCAGCCCGCCCGTTCTGGTGGCCCTGTCCTCACTTAAAAAGTGTGTGCATGATCCATGAACTAACACCTGTCATGCCGCAGATTATCAACAACTCACGAGAAAGATGGTCGTCGAAAAGTTCAAGGAAGAAGAAGCCGAAAAGAACGCACTCACACCAGCGAGTAGCAGAGCTAGTCATGGCTATGCCTCAGGACAGGACGATGTCTCTGTGTCAGCTTGATCGAGCGTGCCTTTTGCAATCCATCAATCAGTCAATCAATCATTTATCCACCTCTGCCTTTTCTGGAGTGTCCTCCTTGGTGTCTCCTTCTCGCTTCTTGTTCTTATTCTTCTCCTCTTCTTCTGCCAAGTCAATCTGTTTCAATATGAATGCAATCGTTGCATCCCGTGCTTTGTCCAGTTGTCTCAATCTTTGCAGAGGCATTTCGCTGTAGTCGATCTTCTTGGCCGGAGACATGCTCGGTTGTGTTGTTGGAGTAGAGGTAGCTTGACTCGAAGTCTCACCGCCCTCCTGGAGCTTGGCTGTCTTTTCAGCGAGCAACCCCCTCAGGACGACGATGCTGCTGTCCCTTTCCACGAGTTGCTTTGCAAGTTTCGCTTGTTGGTGCGCCTCGTCGGTTGCTGACGGCCCTGAGACGCTTGGAGTTTCCTGATGAGAAGATGCAATCGTCTTCTGTCTCTTTGCTTGGCCCTCCTGTCGTGATTTCCATTTCCCTATGGCCTCCCGCGCCACCATTTCAATATGCGTAAAACGGACCGGCCCAAGCAGAATACCCCCGTACCATCGCGCTACAACAACAACTCCCTCGGCGTCGAGATCTATCAACACCCGTTCAAGTCGTTTGCCGGCGTACTTCTCCCCGTCGTCATCCGACCCGACCGTGTAGATTGGCTTCGTGGCCGATGTGGCGGGACCGAGCCCGAGTGTGCGCTGCGCTGATGGCCGACGCCATGCTACCATGCGGTGGTCGGCCGATGCAAAGTCTGCATGAGATTGGAAGGCTTTCACCGTCGACGTCAGAGATGCTTGCTTCGTTGCCTGACCTGGGGTCGAAGAAGTCGATGAACTCGTGAGCGGGTGGAAATGCGCCACAAATGTCGAGGAACGGTCCAAGATGGGCGAAGATGAGAAGATATCACCGTCGTCACCGGTTCCGTCAGCTGGTGACAATGGACGCTTCTGAGGTCCTGACATTTTTGCTGTTTGGCGTGGCTCTACCGGCCGGATCGATCGTATCGTCTCAGGAGAGAACAAACGCTGCAGCAACTTGTCCGGTCGATCCGGTCCCTATATGTCCGGTACAGCATGCCCGTCCACCATGTCATTGATGGAATAGCCCGGTTGCTGCTAAAGGCTGACCAGATTCCAAGTGAATTGCCGAGCTAGGGCGGTGGTTTGACCTCAAAAGCATTAGAGGATTTTCAACCTCCGGCTAAAACTTAACCACCGCCAGCTCACTAACCGCATCCTCTACGGTCAAGAATCTCTATTTAACCTTCTTATCAGACAACTCCTACGCAACCTTTTCCGCCTTGTTTGATCCTAGATATTCGTGTATCAACAAGCCCTTGGAGCTATCTTGTTACTATCTTGGTTGCTTCGACTCAAAGGTATTAGGAGTCGGCTCCCTGCCTGTTTCAAAGCAGCCTGAAAGTCGGTCTTTCAGCAATCCATCTGCTGCTTTGATTACAACACGAGCTCATTGAGATCTTCTTGGTTTCCATCTTTCGTCGTCCTTGCTTTTCTCCCATGTCGTGTCTCTCAGCTGGCTGTTGGCATCCTGCGCACCAGCACCCTGTCGAAGACAATATCTTCTTGCAACCTCTCATCCTTGATAGCACGTTGTTGAAAGAATCATAAAAAGCACTTGGCGACACCGAACCGGGCCACCTTCTCTTCTGAAGCCCGAAAACCTCATCCAAGTACTCTTGCCCGCCTGCAAGGAAAGCTCGGAGATATCTCGTGATTAAACATTACGCAGCGCGGTCTGCATTTAAGACCTTCCTGTTCAAGATCTTGGGATTAATTTGGTCTTTCGGTTTGAAAGATACTGATTATGTGTAGTCGTCGTAAGCTCAATCGTCATTGTTCAATATGGTTGTCCTTGGACTTGTGTTGGGGGAGTGTTGTGGTTCAACTTGGTCTTTCAGATCACTCGTTGTTGCACCAGACCACAGAGGTGGCCGTGTACTGTGATCTGGGTGCCGAGTCAAGTCCGTACCATTGGCACCGCAGGGACAGCAAACAGTGTCTCGGTAGAGGTTGCTGACACCATAAACTCGCTCTCAACCTGTCAGGAAGTTGGGTTCGCGGCGCAATTATTCTGGTTGTCCTTGCGGTATGCGTATTCTCTGCCAGCCATGATTTGTTGTGAAGCAGACGTCTGGCCCTGAGCAATTGGTTCAGGCAAAAACTTTGGTCCTGCATGTTCAAGTTCTTTCTTGCCGAATTTGATGGTCGCCTGGTCATGTTTCTCGCAAATGGTCGGTTTGTCAGGGCCTAATGCCCTCTTTGGAAAGCCGACGCGGGCATTGCCATTGCGATCCGAAGCTTTGATGGTCTTCGAGCGATGGACTGCTGCTCTGCGAGTGCCAGCAGCACGACACTTGGGGGCCTTCTCCGAAGGAACTATGCACTTTCGAGTCACCGCGGGCTTCACGTTGGCCTGAGCCTTCGAAGAGGTTTGCTGCTGTAGACCACCAGTGAGATTGCTGTTACCACCACCAAGCTCGAGCACATCGGCCCACTCGAATTCGTCGTCGTCATCATCATCAGAGGCGACCGCACTCTCATTGTTGGCGTTATTGTCGAACTTCAGTGCCTTTTCAATCTTTCGGTGAGGCAGAGCAGGAATCTCCTGCACTTCGCTGATGACCGCCAGGGGACTGATCGAAGTAGTGCTGGCATGGCGTGAGTATTGTCTCCGACCAGAGGGCCGAGTCCCCCTTGGTGGGGAAAAGCGAATGACTCTCGGTGGAGGTGAGACAGCAGAGCTCTCCCCATCAGTACTTGGACTTGTCACGCTAGCCTTGGACAAGTTCGAGTCTCGTCGACACTGGCTTGAGGAGTCTCCGAACGAACTTTCAGCACTTGAAACTGCTGAAGGAAAGAATCCGCGGCTGATCTTTGTACCAGTGGTTTCATCAATTGAGGTGGAACTAGTCGTGCTCACAACACTGTTGCTGCGTGCGTGCTCCGCCTTGAAGCCACGCCACACATCTGCGTCCATACCTGCAGGAGGACAGTCTCCAAGGTGGGCAACGACAGAGTCCTTGAGTTCATGCAGAGTGCGCTGTGCATACTGCATTTGCCATTCTTTTGGAGCATTCACAGACCGTCGATATCTTCCGAATCCAGTCATCTCCGGTAGATTTATGACAGGATGGTCTGAGTAATCCCAGTCTCCCTTGTAGCTGTTGGTTCTCCTCATGGGGAGGTTGCCAGACTCGCATGCAGGCACATCTGGAGACGCAGCGTGAGTCTCTTCGGAAAACTCTTCGGGAAACTCTTGGGGAAACTCTTGGAAAACCGAGGCGATGGTGGGAGTGGACATGGATCGTTGGCAAAGAGACACTACAGGCACTATCAAGGCCTCATCTAGGGACTTTCGTTGGTTTGGAAGAGAGGTGCAGTGAGGTGACTGCGGCGCTCCTACGGTCTCTTAGTTATCATAGCACGATCACGACTGGCCATGATCAGACACTCACGGGCTGGAACTGGTATGATGGCTTCGTTTGTGACCTCCTTCACAGCGCGGAGCGACTCTTCAACTGCTTTGTACTGGCGCTCAAGGATTTTCTTCTCGCTCTTTTCTGCGACAGCTGCGCAACATATATCAGCTTGAGTCGCGACGATAGCATCAGACAACCTACCACGGCCGACAAGCCATTTCTTGATTCCGTCCCAAGTCACCATGTTTGTCGTCCCTGTCCGTCGCTACTAAGTGCAGGGAGTTCAGGATATCGGTAGCGAGTAGGAAACTATTGGATGAAGGCCAGTGACAATGAGGACTCGTTTGAAAGCGAAGATAGAAGACGTCGCATAAAAGGTCGTTGACTTGATCGTCAAAGACAGTATTGATCGCGATCGCGGCGAGATGTTTCGGTGAAGGGACATTACCATGTAACAAAATTCTCGAGTGATGAAAACAGTAAATGGATGACTTGTATGCATGCCAAAGCTACAACAAACGGGCAGTGAAACGACTGTGAATACCAAAAGGAGACTGAAGCAGAACGAGTAATGGTTCCTCACGGCCTCATCCATTGATTCCTGTATTCGCAGTCGCAGCTTGAAGCTCAGTGAATAACTTCCTGCCCCCTCAGCGCGATCTCCTTCAGGAACCAGGACTGTCCTCTCACTCTTCCTTCACCTCATACAAGCACAGCAAGAGTGTCGTCGCAGATAACAGATCAAGTCTCACTGGCCGAATGATAGTGGTCATCGCCGTCGCGTTCGCCTTCACCTTCACCACTCTTCGACACAACGATGAATGCCAAGTGACTGAAGCCGTTGATGAATGTGTTTCCCGGTGAATCAAGCAATATGAGGGCAACGCCAACGTCAATAAAACCACCTTGGATTGTCGGCAAGGTACAGGGACAGGACTTGGGTGAGAACAAAGAAGGACTTGGGTGCAATACTTATCGTCAGATTATCAGTCAATCACACAGACTCAACCTCACCAATGATGGAACGTGTCGCACAGTCGCACAGCTTCCCTTGCAAGGTGTGAGTATCACGCATCTGCTCTTTGTTTGGCACAAGCCAACAACAAAACACATCGCTTATAAGTTATACCCACCTACTGTTCACGGTACCGAGACAGGAGAAGAAACGAGAAACAGGCATCTGCCGCCATCATTCATCAGCATCTTCAGGTTACACGTCAATTCGCCATGAGAACCACATACCGAGTTTCATTCAAGCAAACACAACTCAGCGTATCCCGTTTTCTCTATGGCTGGAGAACCGGATCTATCAGGTGCCTATATTTGGCCATCGACTGGTGTGTGGCTTTAGCTGAACGCGTTTGAAATTCTTGTCCCACCCTGGACCAATTCCAAATCGAGGGGCTGCACCATCTTGCTCAAATTGTGTCCGCGAAAACAAGATCTCTAGAAGCAAACAGCACCATGGTCTTGAGAGTTGGATTTTGGGCATCCCTTGTGCCTCAAACAATACAAAAAGGGCCCTCGACATTCCCATCATGGACGAATTGGCCGGCTGAGATCTCATGCAGTTCGTAGCGGACCATCCACTACGGCAGAGACCACTGCGGACGAAGATTCCAGAAGGTAGATGGGAGAGGATGGCTTGTAAGCAGAGAGGAACCCCCGTCACTCGACATGGCCTTCAAAGCGAAGAGAACGGTCAATGATCTGGTTCCAGTCTGCTTCCAACACCGCCATGAATCCACGATGCAGCCTGTTTTGGCAAACCGGGGGTCGGTGAACGCTGTTAGCCGTCGCACTTGTACTCCCGACATGATCCCCGGGATCCTTGAGCCTGCAAATGCCGGGGTAACATCGGCCAAGCTGGTTGGGAATAGTGACAGGTATGGTAGGTATTTGGCAAGCTGCATAGCGAGAGGCCCGTTGATAATGCGAATCTAACAGTCTTCAGATAGCTAGCTACTGTACCCAACTAGTTAGTTAGTGCGTAGGTGGCATAGGCACTGGTAGATTAATTGGCGTGTCATGACACTTGTGTTCCAGGGTCTACCGCTGTAGAAACCGGAGCACTCACGGCGATACTTTATTGTCAGACGAAACTATTCCCCAGCGGCAAAAGTCCAGGCTCAGCCTCAGGCTCGGCAAAGTTGCAATTGGCGGTGGGAAATTGTAGACTTTTCAATGTCCCAAGCACGTAATTGCCATGAAGGGAAAATTCTTGACAAGACTCACCTCAAACATCTCTTTCGAAAAGAATAAACTAGATCTATAGGCCCTCTGAATTTCTGGGGTATATACGGAAAAAGCGAAAAGTAAACGGAACACCAATAAACCATGGCAACGTAAGTCCAACAAACTCCTCTGGCCGCATCAAATGTGCACAAGCAAGACCAACTAGTTTCATACACCCCCCCCCCCCCGGTTCCCCCTAGCGCCGATGGATGTATCGACTCTATATTCACTCCCAAGAACAATGCAATGTGTATTTTACTCCCAAGCAACGATACAATGTTTGGCTACCTTTTGAGCTGGGACGAAGTCAAATATACGTGACTCCAGCCAGAGACGGCCTTCTCCCTCCCCCACCCTCACTCACCATTGCCCACGCACATATACCCATACACGCAGATATACACATGTCCACAGTCATCACTGCAAGGTCCCCAAAGCTGACACGAGACCACCGCACAAAAGCAACATCCACTACCACCCAACGCCGCTGACGCCCAGCATCCGCGCGGGGCTGCGCCGACAGTCGGGGCTGACGATCTGGCTCACGGGGCTGAGCGCGAGCGGCAAGTCGACGATCGCGGTGGCGCTCGAGCAGGCGCTGCTGCGCAGGCCGTACAACAAGGCGGCGTACCGGCTGGACGGCGACAACATCCGGTTCGGGCTCAACAAGGACCTCGGCTTCTCGCCCAAGGACCGCGAGGAGAACATCCGCCGCATCGCCGAGGTGGCCAAGCTCTTCGCCGACTCGTGCACCGTCGCCATCACGAGCTTCATCAGCCCGTACCGCGGCGACCGCGACCTGGCGCGCCAGCTGCACGAGGCCGACCGCCCCGGCGGCGAGCCGGGCGTGCCGTTCGTCGAGGTCTGGGTCGACGTGCCCGTCGAGGTCGCCGAGCAGCGCGACCCCAAGGGCCTGTACAAGAAGGCCCGCGAGGGCAAGATCCCCGAGTTTACCGGCATCAGCGCCCCCTACGAGGAGCCGCTCAAGCCCGAGATCCACATCCGCTCCGACAAGACGAGCGTAGAGGACGCCGTCAAGATCATCGTCGCCTATCTCGAGGAGAAGGGCTATCTGAGTGCTCCGGCCGAAGTGGACGACGAGTCTTAAGACAGACAGACAAGATATAGCGCTCCCCTAGATAGATAGGTAGGTAGATGGGTTGGCAAGGTAGCTAGCTAGGTAAGGTAGATAAGGTACAGTAGATGGGTGGATTGGTAAGGGGTCGGTAAAAGGTGGCTAGCTAGGTAACGCTAGAAAATGTCGTTTGTGACTCCGGCATAGACGAGGAAGAGTACATCATACGCCCATGACGGGTGCACGTCAGGAAAGAGATGGCGGTGATGGCCAGTCAGGAGGATATCATGGATACGATGGAATTGAAACATGCAGCAGAGGGGGGGAAAAAGAAGTGCAACACAGCAACAAATAGAGATATGGAACAAGAGGTGTGAGACGACGCACGACATGGTCTGGAACGATACTCCGATATTGGAAGTTTTGGTCATGTCTACATCATCCTCCACCACCGTGCGTGCTTCACCCATGATCCTAGACATATGCAAACAGCCACTCACAGTACCGTCTGTGTCGGTTGATGCCTTTTTGTATATCGAAATGTATTAACGTCATGGACCTCGTCGTCTTCGTTTACTGCTGGATCTGGTCGTATCCCACGAGACGAGCGCGGGTACAGGTAGAAAGAGAAGCTGTGGAGAGGCTCATGGCTCATGGCTCATGGCTCATGGCTCATGGCTCATGGCTCATGGCTCATGGCTCATGGCTCATGGCTCATGGCTCATGGCTCATGGCTCATTGCTTCTTTCTTCTCTCTTCTTGGTCCCTTTCTTCACCACCACCACCACCACCACCACCACCACCACCACCACCGTCCCTCGTTAACCCATCGACGCCATGTCCCCAGTCTCCAGCCTTCTTTCCCCATTTCATCATGCCCCAGGCATGTTGCCATCCGAATTTCGGCGGAGGGGAAGTCGAAGTCCGAAAAGGTGATGCACCATGTCTGAACAGTGCATCTGTCTTTACATCCAAGTCGGCGTCTCGCCCTTCACGAGATCTCGTCTGCCCCTCCGCCTCCTCCTCCTGCTGCTGCTGCTGCTGGTGGTCTCTCATAAATTCTTCCACGTCTCGGAACCGTTCCCACGTCCTCCCTTCCCGCCCTATCGGTCTCCACCAATCAGCCACATCTCCGTCCTCACCTGGCACGGCGACCCTTTGGTCCCACCATCGTCGACCGCACATCTCCCAGAGACGACTGCGCGCTCGTTTGTACGCGAACCGCTCGTCCTCGCCGGTCAAGGCGCTGGCCGTCGTAAAGTCTGGACCGGACGCTTGCTGTTGCCTCAACATTGCCTCCTCCGGTCCATCAGCGCGACCCACGCCTCTCCCTCGCCCGTTTCCGTAGGTTGGCCCGAAATCCGCATCCTCGTCCGCGAGCACGCTCCGTCTCGATACGTCTCTCAGACTAGCTGTGAACGCCACCTCCGGCTCGGAGCTCCTCGTGTTTCCTTCATTGTAAATCGACACGTTTGGGCGAAACGGCGCCGTCGAGTCCTGATAGATTTCGGAAAATGCCTCGGACGTTATGCTGTCGGTCTCGTCGTCGTTGTGGTCACTCCTACCACCCTCGCGGTTATCATCATGGATGCCGGCCTTTCGCGCTCCCCTCATCTCAGGAAAGAACAGCTTGTCAGGCGGTGCTTCTGCCTCTATGAGCACTCGGCATTTCGCTTCGTACAACGCGTCAAGGAGCGTGATGAAACGTCGCGCTTCGTTCTTCTGCGTCAACGTCAGTACGGGTACATCCGTGAGCACCAGCGTGTGAAAGGTCGAGCATAGCGACACATAGTCTGCCGGACCGAGGTACGTGGCACAGAGGGCAGAGAAGGACGACTTGAGAATTCCCCGGTACGTGTGTGGGAGGTGGATTTGCCGCGCGTAGATTGTGAGGGTGGTGGGTGTCCATTCGTCGCGCGGGTTCAGACAACGTAGGTCCGTCTCGAAAGACGACGAGGGTGCCGACGGAATCGTTACGTGGTAATGGGGTGGCGAGTCCGAGGACAGCATCGTTTCGGCCACCATGTCTGTCGTCGAGCGTGCTGCGACAAGACTCGCTTCGCCCGTCGTCGGGATACCATCGACGTGGGCGTCATCACTGTCAGCGATACCACCACCGCTTCTGCGTCTTCCGTTCGCATTGACATTTGCTAGTTCTGACTCTGTGGCGTCGCTCGGGTTAATGATAGTCGCCGCCAGACCTTCATCTCCAACATCGTCCTCGACCTCTCTCCTCCAATCCCTTTCCCCTTCCATTTCCCAAACCTCGCACCTCGCCCTGAGGACATCCAGAAACAACCCAAAATCTGTCTTTGCGCTTCTCTCGCCTTCGCTCTCGCGACTCATTCCCCATCCCAGACCCCAGAAGCCTCCTCGTGCCGGTCCGGCCGCACCTCTCCGCAACGCCGCGAACTCGATCCCCGCAGCCTTGCTCAGCTCCTCGGGCATACGATTGCTGCTCGCCACGAGCACGCCTCCAAGGTGGAAGAAACTCGTGAAGAACGACCCGACAAGCTTACTCGCCGTCCGGTCGGGCATCTGGAACTCGTCCAGGAACAGGATCGGGCTGTCGCAAATCGTGTCCCTCGCCAAAGTCAGGACGACATGTTCGTGCTCCGACACGCCGCCACCACTACCGAACAGACTCCGTCTTCTCCCTCCCCCAGGCTCAGCAGTCGCCGGCGACGACGACGCCAGACGCTCCATCCTCTCAAGCTCGATGCGCCGATACACGTCCAGCATGAAGGTGTTGAAGTGCCATCGCCGCTTCTTGCGCGACGGCAGGCTGTCGTAAAGGAGGTCGAGAAGCATGGACTTGCCACGGCCGACCTCGCCGTACAAGAGCAACCCGAGCGGCGAGTCGATCTGCAACGCCGACGCGTGGAGCGGCGTCGTCGTCGTCAGGGCGAGACTCGAAGGGTCAAGACGAGCCGAGAGCACCGCCAGACTCGACAACCAGACGCCTTTCCCCCGTTTCGCGGCGGAGGCGGCGGCGGCGGCGGTCCGTCCATGCTGAGTGATCGGGGAGGAGCTCTCCCGGGCGCCGCCGTCGCGGGTGGGACTTTCTTTCGTGATGTCGCTCCACGACGACGACGACGAGGTTGAAGGATTATCGGCTGCTGCTGCTGCCGTCGTCGACCTCCGTGATCGTCCCACGCTTCGCCCGATCTTCTCCAGGCGATACCTGTACTCGACCTCGGGAGAGTAGTCTTTGAGCCGAAAGTAGAGCTTCTGCAGCTGTAGGGCTAGCCTGTGCTGCGCCGGGTCCGGCCTGATTTTCTTGGTCGCCACGAGCGCCCGGTACAGGACGAGCGGGTTGGTTATACTCAGGCTCAGATTCTGCGGCCGAGGCGGGGGCCGCGGTGGCATTTGGCGGCCCTTGTCTCCAAGTGGGTGCATACACAAGGTAACCTGTCCTGGATGAGACACCTGCGTGTAGGTATTTGAGGTCGATCAATCGATCAACACGATCAATTCGTCATGTGAGAAAAAACCCCCCCCACCCACGTTGAACAAAAAGCTGTCTCGGACAACGAGCAAAGTCGTATTTATAGTGGCCGTGACAAGAAAAAATGACAGAAACACAAGGTGGCCCAAGAGGAAATCTATGAGACGAGATACAGAAAGGTCAAAGGGTCGTCAAGTGTCGTAAATAATCATTCTGGTATCAATGGAATGAATGAATCAATATCCCGAGATGAGCGTTCTAAAGCCGGATGCTCCACCGTAGTTCATACATCATTCCATTAAAGGAAGGCCCACGCTCGCTTTTTCCGTGTCCCAGCAGAACCTCAACCCACCACCATAGAGTTTTGCACCTTGCTGATCAAAGCAGACCATCGTACTTGTACTCGGAACTTCCGAGTAGTCAACTTTTGTATTCCCACGCTGACCATAACGCCCAATATCCGAAAGAGGGATCCCAACCTCGCCTTGAATCCATCTTGGCCAAACGAGAGACTTATCCATGCATCAATTGACCAGTTCAAGACTGCCCATGCACCCTTCGAGACCCGGACCCGCGTTCTTCTTCTTCTTCGGCTTTCGTTTCGCCCCCGATTTCTTTTTTGGGCGTGTGCCCCCGTCTGAGGCACGCGGCGGGGGGGCGTTCAGTATCCATCGCACGATAGTTTCGGCTCGGACAGGTATGAAGGGATTTTCCTTCCCTTCTTCCTGACGCGGTATTTGCCACCCTACTTGTCCATCATCGGCACCTGGTTCGTTGGTGGCATTGTTACCGGCAGCTTTTCCACCGCCACATTCTTCCTCCTGCACATCCTCATAGCCATGAGCCACCGGTTTGTCGTCAGCGTTCTCCACGCTCAAGACTTGTTCTATTTCCATTGCTGCTACGTCTTTACGCCCGAAGTCCTTGGGTGCTTGTGGGTTTGGACCTTTCGGGAAAGAGTTGTTTCCAGTCGATCCCGCAGACGGATGGGGACCAGTAGCCGTCACAGGAGTACATAGATTGTCCCAAGTATCACTCAGTCGGAGCCAATCCTTCGACTGGCGGAGAATCTCGGCCCAGTCAGCTCTGGCCGGAGATCGAGCACTTAGGAACAGGGGGTATCCGTCAGAGATCCTCGTTATTCGTGCTACCATATAAGCATGACGGGCAAGCTCCTTGGCCGACGTCTGGAGCAGGCAGTGACAGAGTAAAAGGGAGTGAAGCACATCTGAGAGCAGAGGATGATAAGTGACGACTTCCGTGAAGTTGGGCGTCGAGGGATCGTCATCTCCGTGCTCTTTACTTGCTTCGGGTGGAAATGACGGCACACCTGCCGGAGGGACCGCGGTGAAGAGTGTGTTCAGCGTATAAACTGGCGGCTGAGGGAGTTTGGGAAGGGACCAGTCCTTCTGCCGATCTTTGTGAGGTCTTCCGGGGCCACCAAAGACACCGCTGCCATACCGAGCGCATGCTTCGAGTATCTTTTTTCTGCGAGCCTGCCGAGTGTCACCGATGTCCGCAGCTTCTAGTCCCTCGACAAAGGCATCGAAGTCGGAGGGTGTGAGCCCAGGTGTATAATCCAGGTGCGACAGGAAAGACATGTAGTCTCGCAACGCCATCTTAGCATGTGGACGAACGAGTTTCCGTGCCTCCTCGCGGATGTCGACTGCTTGTTGCTCCGCTTCGGCTGCAGCCTTTGCGTCCTTCCTGAAAGCCTCCTCGTCGTCCTCGTCACCATCGTAGAAAGCCCACATGGCGTTGTCACAGGCCAGTGTCAGACTAGCGTAGCCACGAAGGAAGAGGAGCTGAAGTTCCAGACTGCTAGGCTGATCCTCCTCCTCCAGCCGATCACACGACCCAGGACCTCGACCAGGCTTTGCGGTGTCTTCGCCCGGAGCCGATTCCCGTTGCTTTTCCAGGCGATGCGAATGGTATAGCCGGAGGACTGACAACCCATCTGTACAATCCCTTATGGCACTCTCGGAGTGGTTCATGAACAATTGGGCTACAGCCCTAGTTCTGTACGTTGACGCCTCCGTTGGCAGATGGCGTAGGATGTCGTCCAACGGCGCGAGGCTTGTGTGCTCTACGAATGCCATGGATGGGATCTTCTCGTGGAAAAAGTGGACATATTGTGCGTCAGGGTCATCCTCGTTCCTCTGTAAGACGTGTTTTGCCACATCCTCGAGCGCTGAAGCTCCCTGCATCACAGCAACGCTGGAAGCAATCTCGTCCAGGCGGTAGGCTTGGGCCAATTTCTGTGTGGCATGTTCTCGCATACGATGTCTGCGTTCTCGACTCAATTTTGCGTTTCCAACCCTTGTTGGTCCCAGGCCGAGAGCTTCTGCGTCTGCTCCTCTGCTGCTGGAGACAAGGAGGGAAGAAGCGGCAGTGCCATTGGCAGCGCGCACGGAGAGTGTTGTTGCATCGTCGATGAACCTCCGAATCTTGAGGACGTCGAAGAAGACAGAGGGAACGATAGGCCGCGGCCGCACAGCGTTGTAGTTGACGTATGCGCACCGTTCGAGTTCGTCTAGGGGAGCGTTGAGCCAGGGTCCGTGGTAGGATGAGATATGTCTCCAGTGTCTGTGGGCTCAATTAGTCTGTAGTAACACTCGAAGACTCTGCTCATGGAGCCGTCGACCAGAATTTACTTGTTGCGACAGATCAAGAATGTCGGAAACGCTGCTGGATCCTGCGCGGCCTCGCTCTTTGGAGGCTCCTGCGCACTCGCCTTTGCTTTCTTTCTGGGCATGATATGAAGGGACTCTGGTTCCTCGGTGATTCTGAGGGAAGCAGCTGTCCAATGTTTGTGTGTTCCAGCATCTGAGAGACAGGCTTATTCAAGCGACGGCCAAAGGAGATTCTCTTGTTCGCAGGCAATGTATCTCCCGTCCTGAGGCTCAATGCGCGTAGAATCGTCGAAGCGATCACATACCGAACCGATGCCGATTAGACGCACCAAGCTTCGGCCCCAGGATGATGCGGCCAATCGGGAAATTCAAGTCTGAAGGGCTCTGGGGAAAGTTACAATTATCCTAGCGACGGATCTTCAAGGACTCTTCAAGGACTCTCTGCCTCACAATGGTGATATAAGAGTAGGCAGCGGGGTAGAAAGATTGCTTCATTATCAACAAGATCCGTGATACGCTTGATCATCGACTACGAGTCTGGCCCTACTCTCACACATTACCGTCGTTGACTTCAACAGCCATTACTATATAGTTGCTCTAGATTGAGGGCAGCATCTTCTCAAAGATGAATAAAACAGCGCATGCAAGATTATAGCAAGTCGGCACCTTTTCAATACTCGCCGGCAAACCTCATGTCACGTCCACGGGGGAGAACTGCCAAAGTTGGGCACAATGCGCGTCGAACCAGTTTTCATACCCCAACGACCTCGGTGTATTCTAGTCCACTTTTCGTGTGCTGCATATCTCACAGCAGTGTTCAAGGGATGAGCAGTCTGCTTCGTGGATTACCAGTGTAGTCCGCTGGAAACGGGTGCCTCGACGGCGGGAAACAAGCTGAGACAAAAGAGTTTCGCTTGTGAAGAACAGGAACCCAAGTGAGGTAATAACAGTTGAACATGTACATATTAAGATCATCCAACTGTGGGTGATCTCGGCATCGTCAATCTTTTCGATATACTGTCTGTTGCTGTACCACAGATCCCATCAAGTCCGAACTCGCCGTATCGTCGCATATGCATATTAGGCAGAGATGTTTTTACTATGGGAAGTGCACAAGATCTGTTCATGCCATCCCACCCAATACACCGAACATCGCGCCAGCACCGGCAGCATACAACAACCCCGGACAAGCCGTCTGCCGGGGACCATCTCCAACCTGTACAAATCCACCAGAGGAGGCGGCGGTGGTGGTAGCTCCAGTCGCGCTCGGGAACTGGCTGCATTGGGTCGATTGCAGGCCATAGCAGCCCTGGGAACTGAGAGAGCTGCAAATACTGCTCGCCGAAGAGCTCGGTATTGTTCCCGTTGCCCCCTGCTGCGTTACGCCACCCCCAAGCCCCGAGACTGTGACCCCGTTGCCTCCTGCGAGTGAGGCAAAACAAGAGGTTGATTCAGCTTGACATATTGAATATGCACTTGTGCACAGCTCGAAGTTTGCGTACGATGTCGGGATGTAGACGAAGGGATAAAAGGCGTTCGGGACGGTAGAGCCACCGCCCTCGACTCCACTCGTGAAAGAGGTGATTCCGGGTGCGGTTGCGCTGGCTGTGCTCGAGGTTGTTGAGCCTCCGAGCACGAAGCCGGAAGTGCTCGAAGTCGCCGACTGCGAGCCTGTTGCTGTGCCGGCTATCGTTCCCGTGCACACAGCATTTGACGGACAGCAGGCAATATTTCCCGCGTCATCCTGGGCACAATTGGTACCTGGTGGGCAGCATACATCGTTTGCCCCGAGTCCCGAACACGAAGTATAGCCTGACTGGCAGTCGTTCTGCCTCTTGACCAATTGCCCACCGTTGGACAAGCCTAGAATGGCATTCTGAAACGGCGTATAGTCTTCGGTGCTGACGGCCTGCGTCGTAAGAAGGAGGATTTTGAGGATCACGGGCGCTATCGAGCGCATGACCGGTAGTGGCCGAGCAGCGGGGGTTGTCGCACGGACGAGAACTGGTGCAGGGTTCACCTCGAAGGCATGGGCAACACCGAGCCAGACTAGTTGGAACGCTGCCGTGCGCGGGGATCAGATCCGTAGTATCTGTGCAGGCTGTGCAGGCTGTGGCTTTCGCAAAGAGACGCTTTTCGATGCAGGATAATTGTCCAGGAACCAGAGGACCAGGACCAGGATCCGAATCTTTTGGGTAGACAGAGTTGGGCTGCGGCGACGGCGGCGGTGAGGTGACGTTTTTGCGACCTGATGGTGCTGGCAGGGCAACCAACCGGGCCGATCTGGCTTACGGCAGCCTTGCACAGCCTTGTATGCCCACCCCCCCAAGAGCTTGGGGGTTCCCGATATTGTACACTTAAATTTTCTTCCTTCGACTTCCACCCCCGAGATCGGTTTTTCGAGCGAGACGAGAGATCAATGCACTACACATGATTCTTTATGCAACATGAGACGACGTTGCTGTTGATTCCACGCATGTAAGTCCACAGCCTTGCCCGCTGCCCTCCACATCTGAAATGATGATCGAAAAAAAGTGAATTCTGCAATTCTGAAGGCTTGCCAGCCAACAATGCGGACAACCACATTACACTTGATCTGATCTGCTTGACACCCAACAATGTCGTACTCGATACTTTCATTTGAGGATCACTATGCTGACGCAAATGACGGTGGCTAGGCTTTCGGGTACGTGTTTTGTTGTAGATGCGACTTAACACACGTAGAAGCCTCAGGCGGGCCCGGTGTAAGTGCTTGCTCTAACTATTCAACTTACTTTTCTCCCAATCATCCAATTACTATTCTTCTCGACCAACTAAGCGGCTTCGCCTGTGTGCTCTCTCCTGCTTGTAAGGTGACCGCCCACATTCTGCCATTATCAATAACACGTCTTGGTGCGTGCCTCGTTTGGAGACTCAGGTGGTCTTAGTTTCCGATCTGCTCAATTTCTGTCGTGCCAAAAAATGGATTCGATGGGTCGTATGGCCACTTGCGGACAACGAGGTCACCACCGTGGTAGTCGCTCAGGTTTGCGACCGTATTCGACTGATTAAGGATATGTCAGATGTCTAATTGCGATCGAGGACAACTCGATTGTGGGCTACAGCTTAGGGACAGACGTACCATGTCATATGTGCACACAGCAGGTTCGCTGCCAAACTTTTTGATGCCTGTCACGGCCTGAGACTCAAGATCATAGTTGATCTCAACCTGCTGAATGGTCTCTCGAATGGGGTTCTGTAGGAAGTAGTTCTGCGGCGAGATCACTACAGTGGATTGTGCGGTCTATTCGATATATTAGACACGGGGGAGGTTCATTGCATAGTTCAGTACGCTTTTGTCCAGGCAGGATGCACAGGAAGAGGACGAAAGAGGCAACATACCGTGAAGACAGTGTTGGGAAGATCCTGGGTATCTGGAACATGGTGCATGCCCAAGTTGAAGTAGCTAAAGATCAAGGTGGTACGGTTAGATTCTATGCTGCTAGGTGAATTATACGGCAAACAGATCTCAAAGGTAGGACAGCTCAAGCGTGGAGTGGAAAACTCACAGCACAAGATCCTCTTGATCAAGGGACTCTCCGTCGAAGAACTTATCGAAGTCGACCACCGGGTTGGCGGTATCCAACGAGTTGAAAGAGTACGCACTTCGAGGCTCTGTGTCCTTCTGCTGTACAGCGTATAGGTGATGCTCAGCGAAGCGCGCACTGTTTTTCAAGTCTGATGAATTCACAATGGTAAGATGAGCTGTGCTTGCAGTTGCCGGAGAGATTCGATATCCTGGGTACTCGCCCCACTTGTTCGGTGTATCCTTGTTAACCACTGCATACATGGTGGAAAGGTTAGGAGCCCAGTCGATCTTCGAATCATCCTCAGTCTCAATGAATGACCTCTTCAGCTTCATGGTGTTTCGCGGCTGGCCGTCTGCCCAAGGATAGCTGCAGAAGGAAAGCAATTAGCCATCTAAAAGACGCCGTTGGCCGTTGGTCAGTTGGAAGACTTACACTTCTGTGGTGGGAACGACGTCGAGCTTCATCAGACTATTCTTGGTGCCATGAATGTCCAAGTCGAGCTTGTAGTTTAGTACGTGGTCGTGCATCGAACCCGAGACGGTGTCTTCGATGTGGAAGCCGTAGTCGGCATTGGCGGCCCAGAAGGCAGCTGCAATGTAGCCAGAGGCACGCACTGTGATATGGATCGATCCGTCGTGGAAAAAGGCATACTCGAACATGTAGTCGTAGTTACCGAGGGTGCTTACGCTGCGAACGACAAGATGGACATTCTTGGTCGTGTAGACATAGTTGACCGCGGTGTGGCGTGCCGCAGGATAGCCTGCATCAATTTCGAATATGCAGATGCTGTTTTCGTGCGACCGTCTGGCTTCACGCCAGTAGAATGAAGTGTTCAGCATGGTTGCGTGGGCAGGGCAGTCGTATCCCTTGACTAGCTCGAAAGCATTCGGACCAAAGCCATAGTAGGAGTCAAGAAACGCTTGAGCGGATTCGCCTGGTCCCATGCCTGCGTAGTGTGCCACCGCCTCTTGCATGCCTAATTCGTACACAATTCGCTCCCCTTTGTACTTGATGTCGAAGAGCCTCATCCCCGTATCGCGGGTAAAGCTGATAAAGAACGAATAGTCCACTAGGGCCTGTTAGTCAAGCGAACAGGACTTTTGAGGCCCAAAGAACACATACTCCATTCAATGTACTCTTCCTCGGTGTCCACTCCGTATCGAGGGCCGGCAGGCTGGACGCTTACGGGAGGAGGAATCTCATCTTGAGGGAGCACGGGGCCGCTTGGAGCAGTTACACCCCAATCTCCATCGGGTTGAGGCTTGATGTAGTCGACGGTGCCATTGTTGAAAGCAGCCTTGAGGTCATCCGTGGTCTTGAAAAATTGCCCGATGTAGTACCACCCCAGCACTGACCACTTGGAAGGATCACGACCGGTTAGATCGGTGCGGACAGCCAGGCCACTTCTTAGAAGAGACCCAGTACCGTACAAGCCTGTCGGCGCTGGCGAATATTCGTTCCAAGTGGTCACAGCGCCGGTTTCGTCGTCAATCCAGAGAGGGTCGCTAGGCCCAATGGTTACTACATCATCCGGTGAGTTTGTGAAGGTCTAAAACCAACGATGTCAGCCGTGTTCGTATTCTCTCAAGTGGAAAAGCAACAATACTGACCCCGCCAAACATGTTGATCAAAATATCTTCAATTGATGTAGAAATATTTACAAGAAATTGAGAGTATTCATCTGGATCGGCGTTGTGGATCTTCTGAATGCCAACGCCTTTGTTGAAAGGATAGTTCAAGGGTTGTAAAGTCGTCTCGTTGGATACGGGTAGAGGACCAACCATGAACTCCTGAATGTATGGCTCTAGCGTAGCTTGGAACTGGATCGTTGCCTTTGAATACCGATGTGGCTTTGGGCCCTCGCCGTTAAGATATGGCAGTGCATCAGATTTATTCGGCTGCAGAAGCTCCACAAGTACGATAACATTGTCCCAGCTGTATCAGATTAGCAACAGTCAACAAGGTCAAGTGATAGACAGTTACGAGGTTGCATTGACATTGGCCGTGAGGTTGAGGTCAGACTGTTCATGAAGAAACTTCGTCACAGAGGCCGCCTCCACCTCGCTCAGCGCTGAGAAGATATTGTCAAGGGGCGACTTCGTCGTTGACAGGGTGCTGCTAGCATAGCATGGGCCAGTGGTATTCTGATTGTTGTTTTGAAGGACAGCATGCTTGTATTGGGCTGGCATGCTTATCGGCTTCTTTCCGGTGGCAAAGTTCTTCATAAAGAATGGCGATGCAGAAGTAACTGCTGCTAGACCACTGACGGCCAGCAAGGCTGGAGAGGAAATCCTCATCCTTGGTTCGAACTTCGTGCTCCGGTCGAAACTTCTGCAAAGGCGGACAGAATGGTCTGGGCTTCACGATGGCGGGTGAGATGTGATGTGTTCAGTGTCCATGCTGGGAAGACCGTCGCTCTTCTTATAGGTTTTCATCGCGAACACACAGGATCGAGCTTCTTCGCAACTCTACCTCGAACTCGCCGAGCACCCGCAGATCCATGAACGAAACCAATCCACCGAGAGGCTCTTATCTCTGGGCAAGTCCGCCACATCCGACTGAGAATGTCATACAACACAAAATTACTCACTCCTTCCTACCTGTAGAACTGCAGTTTCAGTGGAGTTTGCATTGTATACCTCGACGGCGAGGCTTAATGAACAATAGTGTGGTGTTGCAGACGGTGTAAGCTTGAAGATAAGTTGGATGCGATATTCGTGACTGGCTGAGCAGAGAGAGCCGCATGCTTGGCAAGTGCTTGGTGCATCAACCCACATTCGTTGCCTGGCTATCGGTACCTTTCTGAGTCTAGTATGGCCGACCCATGGAGGACCATATCCAAGACGGCAAAGATACACTGTTGACAGCAGTGCGATATCTCATATCTTCAAGCATCAGGTAAGAGTGTGACTACGGTCATCGACAACGAGTCACTAACTCAGTTCCCGTCTCGGGGATGTTACGGTGATTCTTTCCCTTCTTTCGGAATCATTTCCAACCTCGTCTGCTCACATGCTGTCTCTATGCTGTATGTACACATGTTGGCAGTGGAGGGGAATTGGTCAGCGCAGCATGCTACCAAGGCGTGCATCGCGGGACCGACTGTCAGACAGGCCACCTGCGCGGGACAAGAGGTGAGAAAGGCAAACCGGCTTGATAGGGATGTGATCGGAATTCTCTGGTCGTGGCTCTGAAACCTTCTTCTGAACCTAGCGCAAACTGTTGGCAGATAGATCGACGCAGGTAATGGCCTCCCAGCCCTCGCACGCTCATAAAGAAAATCCTCTTACTCGAAGTCGAACTCATAAGCTGGGAGCCACCTGCGGTAAAGATGCTGATGCATGTAATTCTTGAACTCGCAACGAGCCAGAGCGCCAATCTCATCTGTGGTCATGGCACCATGATACGCAAGTCGTGGCCAACACATGCCATCGAGCGCTGCTGGCTCACTTTATACTGGTCACCATAGCGGACGAACTTCCGATGAGGCTCTGTCAGCTTTGATCGATCGAGGCCTCGATCAACAAGTTCTTCCGGCTTAGGGCTCTCCTCTCGCAGGAGTTGCTCGTCTGGTCAATGGTGTTGTGGCCGACGGCCATGGTCGGTTCGTGTGTTCGGCGGCCAGAAGATCAAGGGCTCGTCTCGGACAATTATTGCGTTACGAAGCCAGTGGTTAATGCGTTTACTATTTTGCGGCAGACGTGGGATGATGACAGAGACACTTTGTTTGGAACCGTCGGGGTCGGATCTGCCAGAGCTGAAAGATAACCCCTCTGTGCAATTTAAAAGCGACTGCCTTGTTCAATGCATTTAGCCAAAGAAGCCTTGAAACATTGTGATCACTTCTTTAATTCGAGCAAGCGAAGGTTGAAATTGCACCACAGAGGGGGATGGAGGGGGTGTAACATGCTGTAAGAGCAGCACTTCGCCGCCTCCCAATCTGGGAAAATCGCGTCGAGCCGTCTGGATTATGAAGCGTCTCCAGGCCAGGGCCTAGAACCCAAGCGACTCAAAGGGCACCAGGCACCGATATGACAGCTGCGCCCGCCCGGCATTCCCGAGCGATCAATCGCCAGAACAGCCTGTCAAAAAAGGACCGGGGTGCTGCCTCGAAGAAATCGACCTAGCGTCTGCAGCTTTACGTACATTTTTACGCCAGGAAAACAGCTTCCCTTCGCCGACATGCCCTTGTAACACGCTTTGTGCGAGCTGAATTTCAGCAATGATTCACTTATGCGAGGGTGTTCAACATGAAGTCAAGCGATTACCCCAGAAATGCCCTGCCAGACAAAGTGGGCGTCTGGCAAAAGTTCCATCATGCTCCGCTCCGAAGCATCAGTTCGTTCTGTCCTGCTCTCGAAGAACCCTAAAAAAGGGGCTGTCTGGGGGAATTGGAACGCCTCTGGTCCCGGGTTGCATAGCGTGGCATGATAATCCAGCCTGGCTACGCTGTGGCTTGACAAGTCAGTCACTAACTGAAATCACCGCCGGCTCCCCGACAGACCAAGAGCACATCGCCTCCAGTGATTGGTGACGGTTCGACCGTTTTTGAGCCATGTGAAGAAAAGTTCGCGGGTGGCTTGAGCACAGGAGCTTCGTGAAACAGGCCGATTGCAGTTCAGACCGCATTCGAAGTGCTCTGGTCTCCAAGCTGCGAAATCCTGTGGCTTCAAGAAGCAAGCCACATTCTCGAGTTCCCACCGGGCTGCATCGAAAATCGATGCAACATCAAGTCGTCGCCGAGTCTGGGTATTGTCCCGTGTCTGGCTTCTGCTGGTTATGCAAGGATAGCCAGGTGGAAGACCGGTTTATTAAAAAGGTGAGTGCTCTTTATAGTCGTGTCTCACACTCTGTCTGTTGTGCCCACTCCACATCTTCGACTCGACGAACAGCACAATGCCATCCAACTCAACCGTGTCACTCTCGACGACTCTTGACCCTCTGCCACCTGTCTTGCAGCGCGGCCTCGTGGCTGTTGCCTTCTTCGGCATACTATCACTTGTCTCCAGCCTCGGGCTGTTCACTTTTTTGACCTACCGCTTGTGTGCGTGGAAGATTCGAGGTCAACTCAGAGATGGCGCCAATCAATTCCTCATTCTCATATACAACCTTGTTTTGGCAGATATCCAGCAAGCCATGGCTTTCTCTCTGACGTCCTCTTATCTTGCCGAGAACAAGATCGAGGTGGAGAACAATACAACTTGTTGGGCGAACGGATGGTTCGTATCAACGGGCGATCTGGCGTCTGGGGTTTTCATTTTCGCCATTGCCCTGCACACATTCTTTGCAGTGGTGAAGGGTCGGCGGCCAAGCAGTAGGGTATTTTATTCCTGCATCGCTGGCTGCTGGATCTTCATCTACACCATGGCCATCATCGGTGTTGGGATAGACCCGAAGCTATATGTTAGGGCCGGTGCCTGGGTTTGTTCATGTCCTTCTCTAACGATCCACGCTGACTCTCTGCACTAGTGTTGGATTTCCCACCGACATGACCCATTAAGGCTGTGGCTACACTACTTGTGGATATTTATCTGCATGTTCGGCACTGTGCTCGTGTATGCACTTATTTTCCTCTCGATTCGGACGCGGTCACGACTGCGGCTGAGCGCCAGAGATACTGCCCAGGAGCACGACCCTGCAAGCATGAAGCGAGCTGCAAAATATATGATCATCTACCCCGTGGTATATGTGATCTGTACACTGCCATTGGCGGGGGCCCGAATGGCATCAATGCGAGGCATAGTGGTTCCCTACTGGTGGTTTTGTCTTGCCGGCTCGGCCATAACTTCTTGTGGGTGGCTGGATGTCTTGCTCTATGCAGTAACTCGCCGCGTTCTTGTCTTCGGTGATCGTCCGCCGCCTGTAGATGACCTTGGTCTAGACACAATTGGTTGGAAACATTCAGGGGATGGATTCTGGGGCACTACCACCACTGTCACAGGGCCCCTTGGCCCACACAACGTTCGAAGACGTGGCAAGACGGCGGGACTAGGTCGGCTTACGCCACGACTTCGGCATAGACATTCCGACGAAGATCATCTGGCAAACCACCCCGAAGGGGTCATCACAACGAAGACAACGGTCGAGGTGCACACTGGAAATATACCTTTCTACTCGGAGTCGACCGAGCTTAGTGTGATTGAGAGCGATGATAAGATCGAGGGCACCACACATTCAGTGAGGCCAAGTACGTTTAGAGAATGATGTGTATCACTTGATAGATCAGCCAGGGGTGTTTCTGAAATGGCGATGTGAGTGTCACACGCACCCAATGTCCAAATGTTCATGGAGAGTGACGCGCGAAAGTTGTCCAGCGTCCGCACCGTACTCTTTCTCTGAAGGGATATCCCTGTCGCGTCGGCCCCTGGTGACGAGGCTGTGCTGAACTTGTGCCAGAGAGCTTCAGCATTGCGATGCTACGAGAGCTCTTCGTCGTGGACCAGCAGAAGCTGATGATTTCGGATTCTTGGGCCTTTTCGTTATTGTGTTTCCGCATTGGCACAGCTTTTTACTCGCTAATGTTGTCCATCTTTGAGCTCGGGTCAACGATCAGCATCCATTGAGATGGATCGTTGAGTTTGCGGATGACGAATATCCACCTCGCCCGTTTTATTGGCCGCTCGCATCATTCCAAGATTCAACACATACAAAAATCTGGCTTCTTGCCTCTACCACGTCACTTACCCCAGATTCTTCTCTGCATCTCGCTCACCTAAAACTTTCCCATGAGCAGAGTAAGTAACTAGCTCGAGAACGCCAGAAAAAAGCGGACTGGACCACCTGAGGCCTTTTGAGGTCCGTTGACCGCCATGTCCTTCATAGATACACACAAGGACTTGTCGGCTCTCTTCGCCAAACAGGTCCAAGCCACGCCGGACAATGTGGCATTGGAGGACGACAAGAACACGTACAGCTACTCTCAGCTAGCAGAGAAGGTCGCCGCGCTCGCTGGTCGCTTCCGCAAGCATGGCGTCGGTCGAGACAAACTGGTCGGCGTCCTCCTTCCTCGAAGTGCCGATTATGTGATTGCTTGTCTTGCTGCTCTGCAAGCTGGAGGTGCTTTTCTTGTGCTTGAGCTTGCATATCCTCCCGACCTGCTGGCTGACGTTATTGATGACGCCAAACCAGCCGTGGTTGTCACCTATCGGGCGGAAGTGGGCAAGATCAAAGGCCAGACGCCCATTATATCCCTCGACGACGAAGCAGAGACCGAAGTCAATGGTGAAGATGCCGGCGACGCAGGTCCCCTCCCTGCTGATGATGACTTGGACCGATTGTCTTTCGTGGCATACTCCTCGGGGACTACTGGAAAACCAAAAGGAATCGCCAACCCACACAGAGCTCCTGTGCTGTCCTACAACCTGAGATTCGGTATCAGCGACCAGCACCCTGGTGATCGAGTCGCCTGTAACGTCTTTTTCGTCTGGGAAATCATTCGCCCGCTGCTCAGAGGTGCCACCGTTGTCGCCGTTCCCGACGACGCAAGTTATGACCCGGTGGCTCTTGTGGACCTCCTGTCAGCGAAGCATGTTACGGAGACTTTGATGACTCCAACTCTCCTGGCGGCTGTCCTTTCTAGACATCCAGAAATTGGAAGAAGACTTCCAGAGCTCAAGACGCTTTGGCTCAATGGAGAAGTCGTGACCACCGACCTGGCTCGCAGAGCATTGAAGGCTCTTCCGAACACACGACTACTCAATTGCTACAGTGCTTGTGAAACACACGAAGTCGCTTGTGGTGACATCCAGGAGATGCTCGACGAAGAATCTACCTACTGTCCTGTTGGCCCACCACTCGATCCCAAGCACACCTATATCCTTGACGAGGGTGGTCAGAAGGTGGAGCCGGGTGCAAGTGGTGAATTGTTTGTTGGGGGTCGACTGCTTGCCCGAGGGTACCTGAATCGACCTGAAACGACGGCGAAGGCTTTCACACCAGACCCTTATGATTCAACTCCCGGCGCACGCATGTACAGGACAGGCGATCTGGCTCGCATACTACCCAATGGCTTGCTAGAAATCACTGGCCGTGTCGGTGCCATGATCAAACTGCGAGGCTATTCTGTTGTTCCAGCCAAGGTTGAGTCTGCCATTATTTCGCATCTTGCAGTCAGCCATTGCGCTGTGGTTGCTCATGGTGAAGGCCTCGATAGACAACTCGTTGCTTATGTCGTTCGTGATAAGGAGCAGTCGGAAGAGCGTCCTGTTGTGGAAATAAATGATGCAGGTCGCAGCCCAGGGGCGCGAAAAATACTATCGCCCTATCTTGCTCACTACATGGTTCCAGCATTGTGGGTAGAACTGGATGAGCTCCCGACTCATGCAGTCTCTGGAAAGGCCGACCCCAAGCGTCTGCCTCCACCACCAAGCGAAAGTGCCGGGCAGGTGAACGGACACAAGAAAATCGAACAACAAGATCCGATCTCGATTGAGTCGATTGCTGAGGTGTGGGCAGCAACCTTGAAAACCTCGCCCAGCAACATTTCGCCAGAACACAACTTCTTCGATCTCGGTGGACATTCGCTATCGCTTGCAGACCTGGCGTCAAGACTTTCTCGAAATTTTGGCTTTCGCATCCCCCTTCAGCGACTTGTTGATCCTCCTACATTGAATGGTCACCTTGAAACAGTCCGAGCAGTGAGAGATGGCCAGGTTGCCGCGGTGCAGGCCGATCTGCCTTCCGTTCTGCGTGCAGATTCTGTGCTTGACAAGGATATCGTACCGCCGAAGGCCACCATCTGCGCTCTCAACAAAGCAAACACGGTTCTCTTGACCGGAGCCACCGGTTTCTTGGGCGCATTCCTTCTCAGCGATCTGCTGGAAAGCACGTCCGCGCAGATCATATGCCTTGTCCGTTTCAGCGATCCTTCACAAGAAGACAAACCAGGGGGTATCGCTAGAATTCGAAGGAACATGCTCGACTTGGGTCTGTGGAGTGATGCTATCATGGAACGGGTCGAGATCCTCCCCGGTAATCTTTCTCGGAAACGACTTGGCCTGTCACACGAAGCCTTTGACGAACTCGCTTCTCGTGTCCAAGTGATTATCCACGCCGCTGCGACTGTCAATCTTGTCTATCCTTACGCTGCACTTCGAGCTGCCAACGTTGGTGGCACGAGAGAGATCTTGCGGCTGGCAAGTCGTGGAGGTTCTACGGTTCAATACATCTCGACAAACGGAGTACTTCCACCATCCCAGAGCGGCTGGCCTGAGGGTACAATGCTCTATGTTGATGAAGTTCCCGAGAAGCTACACGACGGATATGGCCAGACCAAATGGGTCGCCGAACAACTGGTTCTCGAAGCCGGCCGGCGCGGTTTGCCTGTCAAGATCCATCGTGCAGGCACAATCAGTGGTCACAGCCTGACAGGTGCTGCAAATGCATGGGATCTTTTGTCTGCAATGTTCGTGGAATCCATACACCTCGGCTACGCTCCAGACGTTGAAGGCTGGCGCGCCGAGATGACGCCGGTGGACTTTGTTAGCAAAGCTATCATCCATCTATCTAACCAGACACACGCCAAACAACTCGTTTTCCACCTCGGCGATCCAGACCCGGTTGACACTCGAATCGTGTTCCGCGACTTGGCCGAGTTGGGCTACCCTACCAAGCCCTTGAGCTTCGATGAATGGGTGGCATTGTGGTATGAGAAGAGAGGATCCGCCAAGGGAGGCGATGGCGCTTTCACGGTCGACATTCTCCGCAGCGGTATGCCCAGCGTCGACTTCCTCCAGGGGATCGTCGTGCTGAACAATGCCGCCACTCGGCCCTTCCGCTCTGTGGTGGAACGGCCCAAGGTCGACAGCATCCTCCTCGAAACCTACACCCGCCACTGGTTCGCTCGTGGCTGGCTTCCTCGACCACCCTCAAGCCAGCGATCACTCGGCGGATCTGCACGACCAATCCGCCGTGGTCCACTCGCCGGCCGCGTGGCAGTCGTCACAGGTGCGTCGTCAGGCATCGGCGCGGCCGTTGCAGTCGCTCTGGCTCGAGAAGGGTGTCACGTGGCGCTTGCCGCTCGTCGCATCGACGCTCTCGAGTCTATTAAGCGTCGAATGGTGGTCAGAGAAGGGAAAGTGATTGTGCGCCAGACTGATGTGACGGACCGTAAACAGGTCGAGAGTCTCATCAACGCCGCGCACGGCGAACTTGGTCCCGTGGACATTCTCGTCTCGTGCGCCGGAGTCATGTACTTTACCATGATGGCCAACGCGCAGGTCGATGAATGGGACCGCACCGTCGACGTGAACTGCAAGGGCCTTCTGAACTGTCTGTCGTCCACCGTGCCGGGCATGCTGTCTCGTGGAAGTGGACACATCGTCGCCATATCCTCGGACGCTGGACGTAAAGTCTTCCCTGGTCTGGGCGTGTACTCGGCCAGCAAATTCTTTGTCGAAGCCACGCTGCAGAGTCTCCGACTCGAGACGGCAGGCAAAGGTCTCCGCGTGTCGAGCGTCCAACCGGGGAATGTCGCCACAGACCTTCTTGGTATGTCGACCGATAGTGAGGCCATCAAGAAATACGGAGAACCGACCGGGGCTCAGATCTTGGATCCTGAAGACGTCGCCAACTCGATTGTCTATGCGCTGAAACAGCCAGCCCATGTCTCTGTGAATGAGATCCTCATTGAACCAAGAGACGAGCCGATATAGTGAGATTGCCCTCCCGCGTGCTAGTCGGATGGTCGAAGGAGTGGAGGAGTGGGAATGCAACGGATCCAGATGGCGGTTCAGCATTAAACCAGGGTATACATACACGTTAGGGAAAAAAAAGGCCTCGGTATAAGGGGGATAGAACGTCACAGGGCCGTCGATTGATACTTGGTGTATATAGCAAGTCAATCAGTTCGGTCTTTCATCGACCAAGAGCCTCGCTTTCTACGTATCTGACCTTCCATCGTTGCACTTGTTGCTAGTGGACTGAGATATCCTACTGCTTGCTAGTCGCCCAGACTCGATGCCGTTTCTCCTGTACGTGCCAGCGCGTATGGAATCACTGCCACTCTGCCGGGCCCCATCACCTAGTAAACTCACTGCTTGTCGCCCTCCCCCCCTTTACAGACCCACCCCAGCATTCACTGTCCAGGTGCCATACTCTGCCTCGATTCGTCCGAAATCAAATGATCCCTCATGTGTTCGGGTCGTGAAATTTTCTGTCAACTAACCTTTTACAGGGAACTCGATTCAACACACCGAACGAATTCTTCAGCCTCGATGGTGCAACGGTCAAGGTCGCCCTTTTCAAGGGGGAGGGGGGAGTCAAGTCTGGACAAAACTGGATGGCCATCCTGCACGGCAACTTGACTCTCCGCGGAGGATGAAGAATTTCCAGCAAAAAAAGTGTGAAAAACAAAAACATCGACATCTCTCAGTCTCGGCACTCAACACGACACAATTTGTGGACTCGGAGCAAAAGCTTTGGGCGGCAAAAAGGTCGACAAAACAGTACAAACTGAGGGCAAGGACGACATAGGAGGAAATCGAAATCCATGGGGGCAGAAAAAGTTGCGAGCGCTGCGGCAGGGGAGATTCCAGGGCGAGTACCATCATAACCGTTGCGACCTTCAGTGGACCCGGGATGGGAGGCCTTCGGGGGGAAAAAATCCCTACACGGCTGGGGTTTTCTTAACTAGGCTCCCATGGGAGATAAATCCTAGTGTAAGTTTTTGCAGTTTTGCAGAAATATACAGTGGCGTGTAGAAGAGAGTGTGCGCAAAAGAACTCGAACAAAGTAGTAAAGTAGCAACCAAGAAATCTTGTATTAGAATAGATTATCTCGAGATAAGATCAAAGTACATCACACTAAACACCAACTGGCTAAAGCGCTATAATATTTACTCCATAATTTCTTTAACATCTCGTGAGTCCAAGTACAGTTACCTTGATACGGAGTACGAAGTACTTACTGCTTTATTGCTTTGATACTTTACATTTACTTGTATTGTTAAGATCATCGCAATCACTCACTACCGTTATTATCGTCAAGGTACTGCATAGCACAACGCCACCCAAGATGCGCCGCAGCAGAGCATCAGCATCTCTGCTCAGCAGCCCACGGAGTCTCATCTCCTCCTCCTCGACCTCAACGTCGTCACACCTCCTCTGTCGCCAAACAGTCTTCCGCCTCAGACCACGGCAACAGCCCTCGCAACCACGACATCCTTCTTCCTCTTATTCCACAAGCACGTCTCCTCCTCCCGACCGGATCATTCGACCTCTCGTCCCGCCTCCGCGCGAAGGAAGCGGCCCTCTTCTCTCTCGCCGACCCGACCGCGCGCTGCCCAACATCTCGCGCACCTCGGTCTGGATCAAGACGCTCCCGGTCTTCGTGGCGCTGGTGGGCCTCTCCAGCCTCGCCATCTTCAACTACCAGAAGTCGTCCAGCTCGACGGTCAACAGCATCCTGTACGCGCTGCGCACGAACCCGCACGCCCGCGAGATCCTCGGCGACGAAATCTACTTTGCGAGCCAGGTGCCCTGGATCCGCGGCGAGCTGAGCCCGATGCAGGGCGCCATCGACATCACCTTCTGGGTCAAGGGGACGAAGGGGACCGCGCAGACGAGGTTCGTGAGCATACGGAAAAAGGGCGCCGAGTTTTTCGAGACGCTCGAGTGGAGTTTGAAGACGCCCGGCTCTGGCCCCGACGGAGGGAAGACGGTGCAGTTGCTTGAGATGGAAGGGACGAGGGATCCGATTGCGGGACAGAAGATGTGATTTTTGTTGTGATCCTGTCTCTCTCTCTCATGTAATACACCCACGGACGTACACCCACGGCCTCTCTCACTCTCTCTCACTCCAGTGCTCGCCCTCACATTTGCACTCCACACATTCGTACCTACACACTCCCGCCCGACACCCTGAAAAGAATCACCGACGGAAGAAAGGGACGGGTGAGAGAAACGGAGCCCAGTGAGCTGAGCTCTCGCTCTCTGTGCTTGATCGCATGTAACCGTCAGACATACGTGGCACATGCCTGTGTGAGGGACAGAAGAAGAAAGAAACAAGAAAAGAGCAGCACGGCACGGCACGGCACGGCTGTGCATCGAGAACGAGAACAAAAAGCCAGAAAACCGAACTGGAGCTGTATATTACAACCGCTGTAGCTGTAGCTTAGCTTAGCATGACCTCGCTCTCCTACTGTTCCGTACTTGTACAGTATCCAAAAATAATGGAAAAGAAAACAGCGTCTTGACACATATACACACTCGCCATGGCTTGCTCGTTCGTGGCTGTCGTGAAGTTGTTATTGTCGAAACTGGCATCGGTTGAGAGGAGATGCTCAAGAACAAAAACCAAAGATATGTCGACGGAATGACGGAGTGGCTGACTGTCATTCTCCATTTTTTCCCTTTCTCTTGACCATCCTGCCTGTTTGTTTGCTTGCTTGCTTGCTTGCTTGTTGGATTTTCTCGCCTGCGTTCCTGCCAGCCTGGTTGCATTACCTGTTCGTGCTGCGCCGTCGCAATGTAACCCGTGCCAAATGCCCCGACTAGCTTTGTATACTCTTGGTCGTCTATATCAATCGTCGCTCTTGACTTTGGATCCTTTAGTGTTGACTCCCGCGGTGCCTGAAGAACTTCCACCACTAACTCCCTTCTTTGGCATTTTTCCAATGTTCCACCCCCAGCCTCGTAACGTCTTGACGACCTTCGGAGTGACCGCCGCCGTGAGAGGGACCCGGACGAAGATGAAGGATTTGTGAATCGCATACGCCAGCGCAAGTTGCGTCCATATACCTGTGTGTCGCGCCCGTACTGTCAGCAATCCTCGATTCGACTCGTTTCGGATCCCCATCCGCAACGCCACGCCGTTCCACGCATAAACATAAATCAAACCATTGCCGAGGGATGATTGAAACTCCGGACCGCAGCGGCCCAGAATATGTGAGTGAGAGAGAGAGAGAGAAACAGGGGTGTCTGTGTGCTGCGAGTGCGGGAAAAGAGAAAGGCTGACTCACTGGCATTACTTCCGGCGTTCGCCTTCTCGGCCTCCTTGTACCCATGATCCTCGACCTCGTTCTGTTGGCTTGGTGCTCCCTCCTCCTCCTCCTCCTCCTCCTCAAGGAGCCTCTTTTGCCCTCCCGCCTCTCCGGCGACAGCGGCTTCCGCGACATCTCCAGCCGCGTCTATCACCTCCTTCTGTCTCTGGGGGAGCGGCCAAGAGACGACGCCCTTGATCCAGCTCAGCGCCACGTGCTCCCAGTGGCCGATGCGGTCGGTTCCGAGCATCCTGACGGCGAGGAAACAGAACGGGAAATCCAGGGCCGTGAGCGCCAGGTACACGCCCAGCGCGGCCCATCCGTATTCGCGTGAGAGTTTCTTCATGCGTTGCGAGAACGACAGTCTCTCCGTGGACTTTCCCGACGAGGATGACGAGCTGCTCCATCTCGTTCCGCGCTGGTGTTGTGTCCCGCTAGAACTAGAGCGAGGTGTTCGCCGGATGTTTTGCGCGATTCCGGAGCCCACTCTTCTCGAGCTCGAAGAAGACAAGGGAGAGCGTTGCGTGTGCATTGTTCTCCTCGTGTCATTCCGGATAGACGATCGTATGGCTCTCGTTTGGAAGGAGGGCTGAAGAGGCGACTGGCCGCGTTCGAACTGCATCAATGCCCGGCGAGCAGATGGCCGCAGATTGGCAAGTTGGCGCACGGCATGAAGCTCCAACAGGCGTTGCATGCTGTTCATGTTGCTCGCGGGGGGGGAGTCTTGACTACCGACGGAGGGTGTTGGTCGCAGGATCAACGAGAGTTACTTTGCGCCGGTTGAGTTTCAAGGCGTCTGTGGCCATCTAAATAATAAATATCCATCCAGCCTGTGAGCATGAGATGGGAATTATTTTGCCTGCGCCGCACGCGCTATGTCATTCATAGCTTCGTCTTCGGACTTTACGGGAAGCGGGACGAGGAACCGCGAATAATAAATACCGAGTACGCTAAATCTTCCCTTGTCCTCTCACAACACCTCACTCGGAAACTATTTGCAGAGTTCAGAGAGAGCAAACTCGGAATGGAATCCTATCATCAATTAATCCTGTGAATGCTATCGCTCTGTAGTTGCTGGGTATACCCTGTAGCTCCGCCTTGGACACAACTCTTACATCCTAAACAGGGCCAAAATATGGCTGCTAGCTCTCCTCCAACCAACCAACCCCTAAACATCCGCTCCAACCATAGCAAAATGGCTTCAAAATCTCGTTCCATGCAACAACACCTTGAGCCAGAGTCAAAAGACATACTTTGGCGGTCTGCCGCGCTTTTTGGGAGTAGGGGGCTTTATCGCCACCCCACGTGTCGACGTCTTTCCATTTACACTAGTCCATCCTGGTGCCGGCTTTCGGGCTGATGGTCCGTCATCAGAGTCACTCTCCCCCCAGTCGGCGACTGAGGCTTTAGCAGCAACTAAACCTGCCTGGTGCTGAGTTTGCGCAGCGTTGGTGTGGCCGTTAACAACAGTGGGCTGTGCCGGAGGTCTCGTAGCCGCAGCAGATTGCTTCGGGAGACTAGCCGATTTGGCCGGGAATGAATCTTCCGAAGATGAATCAAAGTCGTCAAAGTCGTCCAAGTCATTCTCGATATCTTCAAAAGCCGCCATCTTAGCTCGCCGATTGGCCTGCGCAACTTCTAGTGCCCTCATACTGCTGCTCGTAGTGAGAGATGGCATCTTCCCTGCTGCTTTCCTTGGTCCAGTGTCGGTAGGTGGTAGCATGGACTGACTTTTACTCGCGGAAGGTACGTGGTTGTTACGAAGCGCGGACTGCTGAGGTGCTGCCGGCTTCGATTTCAGCGCTGGATCTACGGCCATCTTGACAGGTGGAGTTGGCTCCGAAGTCTCGAGATCATCGACACTCACTTCCCTGGTGCCTGAGTCACCATCGGAGTCGGAATCTGGCTCTTCAAGTCGTACAACCTTTGGCGTGGGTTTAGTCCTGGTCTCTCTGGACAGTGGAAGGACGTCATTGAACTCCTCTTCGTCCGGTTCCTCAAAATGGATATTCAGCATTCTCGTAGTGCGCCTTGTAATTTCAGGATCTGCCGACGGCCTCGATGCTCCGTCTGGTGCAGACTTCCTACGATCGCGGGAGCGGCCAGGAGTGAATTCTTCATCGACATCAACGATTGTGTGTTCAACACCCCGATTTCTTTTGGACGTCTGTTGCGGGTTTCCTTCTGCGGCATTGAGGGCCTGTAGATCCGACCCAATGACAGGCACTGGAACTTCCGGTGCTCCATTTAGGGCTTGCTTTGCAACATTTATCATTTGGTCGACTTGATTGAGCTTCTCCTTGTCGACAGGTAACTTAACGATGAGTGACTTTCTTTGCTTCTTGTTCTTGATCGCGGGTTTTCGGTACTTCCAGGGTCGATCTCCATCATCCACCTTCCGTTTCCGCTTCCGTACCACCATCTCAATCTCCGCGGATTCATCGGCCACGGCTGGCGCATAAGCTGGAGGTTGACCATTCTGCTCTTCGTCGGTCGGAAGGGTCAGGTGTCGGCCAAGATCCGGATCCGGATAGTCATATGTGATTGCTTCTGTAGGATCATAAGCATGCTCAGAATCACGGATTACACCACCAGCTGGAACCCAGGGCGGTTGATCTGGAGGTGTTGCGTTGGCCTGTCTGAGGCCCTCAGGATGCTCCTCAAAGATATCATCATCGTCAAGCAGGGATTCGTCAGGCGATGCGCCCAGACCTAATGCCGGGTCGATAGGTATTCCTTCTTGTTGGGCAAGTCTCAGGATTCCGTCCTCAACGGCATCATGATCGACAGCGTCGTCGACATAATTATCCCCCAACTTACCGCTCTGTGGCGTGTCTGCCAAAGCAGCGTCTGCCTCGGTTCGGCGTCTCTTCATTCGATGTGAATCTAGCTTGCTGTTATCTCCCGCTTTCTGAATCCAGCCAAGGTTGGAATAGCTGAAGTCCACGAGACTCTCAACGGATCTGGGATCGGCTACAGCTCTGGTGTCGTGCCCGAGAACTGTGCCTGACGGTATGTATGGCGTATAACCTGGACGTTTCCGGCAGACTCGGCAAGCACATATGTTGCGGCAGCTTGGACACTGCCAGTCTGGATCCGCCAGGATCTGTTGAGGCTGCATATCATAAGCGCGGAATAAAACACCATAGCAGTACTTCCTGTCGCAGGTTGAACATGATGCCTGCTTCCATCTCGGCTCCCAGTGCCCGTCAATGTGGCATCGAGCATGTTGGTTGAGATATTTCTTGGAGCGAGCTTTCTTCCTCTTTTTGACATTCCCGTTGTCGTCAATTTCGGGCTCTCCGGCATCATCATCCTGCGGAGAAGTAGGGGACGGAGGGCGGTGGATGTCATTGAATGGTCTTCTTGCAAGCTCAAGCTGACATATTTGAGCCAAGGTTCTCTTGTTTCCCAGGCGATCCAATTCCGTCTTAAGGGAGACAGGAGACTTCTCTGTCACTCTGCCTTCATATTGCAAGATCTGATGTCGCCAGTCCTCGTGCTTTCGGAGCAAATCTGGCCACGACCACTGCTCCACAAACCTTAGTTTGGAAATGCAGGCACAGCTCCGGCCCATTGCATAACAATCCATGCATATGTCGTACGTGTCTTCCTCACCGTTCGGAAGTTCCCCCACACAGCTAGGGCATGTCAGGAAGCGGTTGAAGATATTGCACCGGCAATAAGAGCAAGTGATGTTGCTGTCGTACGGGATGAGCTCAACCTTCTTTTCCTGCTTGTCAGGCAAAAAGGTTTCCGAGACGAGAATCCCTGTGTACAGCTGGTGAAGTCTACGGAAATCCTTCTGCAACTGTCGAACCTTGGTGTCATTGGTCATCTTATGCTTTAAGCCCATTGCTCTCTGTTTGAACTTCTCAGCCAACTTGAGCAGCTTCGAGTACTTTTGCAAGGTGTAGTAGACGATGGCTTTGTTCTTGTATTGCTCGTCGCGGCAGACCAGCCTTGCTCGGGGAAGCGCTTCACGCATGGCCATTTCCAGCGTTTCCACTGTCGTTCTGTTCCAAGCCACTTTCATGGTGCGTGTGCCCCGATTCCAGACTTGATGCGGTGCCAAAGGAGGAATTAGGATAAAGTCTCCGGGGTTCTGTTCAACAACATAGGTCTTGAAGGGGGCACTCTTCCAGGCATTGATCTGTGCAAAATGGTTTTCAATTTCAATATCGTGGCCGAGCCTCGACAACCAGTACTCTGAAACCACTGCTCTTTCTTTACTTTCCGTCATAAACCATATCGAAGAACCTTGTTTGGTGGGTTTGCCGTCTTCTGGTGCTCCAGTCGAGGCCTCAACCATGATGTTTTGGCCCAGGCTAGCACACATTTCTCTGTGAGCAGGAGTGTATGTTCCTTCGTGACCGATGTAGCACATCATGTTTTCCGCACGCATCTCCTTGGGCAAACTGCTCATCAGGTCGCCGGATTTCGCGATTCCGCGCCCTTTTCGCATCCCGGGCCTGTTAGGGTCATTTTCGTCTACAGCACCGAAGCCTCCCACATCGCCTGTGCTTTCGTTCAGATAGAATAGAGAAGGTGGAATCACATCTGCTAGCTTATCATGCCAAATTTGGGGACAATCGATATCCTTGAGGTACATGCGTTGCCGTTCGGGATCTTTGTAATTTCGGGGTGTCCACTGATTTGTGAGTAAGGCCATGTTGTTCAGGTAGTGACCGATGGTGAGTGGGACATTCAGCTTCTTGGTCAGATCTCTGGCATGCTCGACCTTGGAGCCGCAGTTGTCACGCAGCCACTGTAGCGCAAATGTCCACTTGTCCAGTCGTGCCTCGTAGCCTTCGACTACCAGTGGTTTTCCGCCCAGTATGACATGCATCAGCACCAGCTTTTCAAAATCCTCTAGGCCTCGGTGATCTATCATGTCGCAATGGATGCGCACAACCCACTCAAAGTTCGGCGTCGACTCGACCAAGGCTTGAAGATCGAAGTCCGGTGGGATCGGCTCGAAGGCCGCGCATGGCTTCGCGGAAGGCATTTTGGACCGTCGAGAGGGTTTAACGGCGGCGGTCTGGTACTACGTTCGACATAAACTCCGATAGGACCAGCGTCTCTTCTTATCGATTCTCATGGCGTTAAAAGGACAAGCGGGCGAAGCGAGAAGTGGTATGTCTGGACGAGGTTTGGTGACCACCGCAGAGAGCGGCCTTCACCAGCACTTCATCATCAAGAAACAGATCGAAATGAGGCTGGAGTGAAAGATGACTGGCTGAGGGAGTGAATGAAATAAGGTCACCTTGTTTGAGGCAGGAAGTACAGGGTAAATGAACCGTGGGGAGTACCCTCTAACAAGCGAGTTGCCTGGAGAACAGTGACTGGACACGCGACTTTGCGGAGGAAGATGTTCGCGACTTGTGCCCAATTAGGAAACAGCGATAATTTATTTGGAGCTCCGACGAGTTGTTGAAGGAAAGCGAGTGTCACAGGATTTTCAATCTTTGCCAGACTTACGGGATAATGAGAGCGGTTTCTGCTTGATGGTAAACGCCATTCACAAGCTTTGAGGCTGGAGAGTTGCAGGCGGTCGTTGGAGCCATGACACGAGGCTTAGTGGCAGCTCACGCAAGGCTGGCTGGTAGATGTTTGCAAAAGAGTCCTCAACAATATCCCTCGGCTTCATGGTCATTGACGACGTCTTCACGAAGCTGGCCAAGGTGTGCAAGTGGTCGATATGAGAGAACGAAGTCTTTGCGTCTCATTCCTGTGAGCCAAATACGCTTCAAGTCAACAGGAACCACAGAGCCGCCAGTCAAGCCTCTGCCGATTCACGAGCTGCCTACCACGTATAGGCCACCGACGACAGGCTTCATATCCAAGTTACCAGCCTCTTGGATCCCATATGCCGAGTTAATCCGCCTCGACAAACCAGCAGGCACATACTATCTCTTCTTCCCATGCCTGTTTTCAACTCTTCTCGCGGCCCCCATGGCTGCGCCTATGGCGACTCCAGTCGAAGTGCTTACCACAACAGCTTTGTTCTTTTCTGGAGCTCTTATAATGAGAGGAGCAGGCTGTACCATCAATGATCTTTGGGACCGTAACTTAGACCCATATGTCGAGCGGACAAGAATGCGACCAATCGCCCGGAGAGCAATTTCTGTCGAAAATGCCATTGTATATCTAGGAGCTCAGCTATTTACGGGTCTGGCGATACTTCTGCAATTCCCTCTCCCTTGCCTCTACTACGCCGTACCAAGCCTTCTCCTGGTCACTACATATCCCCTGGCCAAGAGAGTCACTCACTACCCTCAGTTCGTACTCGGCTTGACGTTCTCTTGGGGTGCCATCATGGGCTTCCCCGCGCTGGGCATTGACCTGGTCTCGAATCCCTCCGCAGTCGCGGCTGCTGCAGCACTCTATTCCAGCTGCGTATCTTGGACCTTGGTGTATGACATGATTTATGCATATATGGACATCAAAGATGATGCCAAGGCAGGCATCAAATCGATCGCCCAAGCCCACGAGCACAACGCAAAAGCAGCTCTTTCTGTCTTCTCTGCCACCCAAGTCGGCCTGTTGGTAGCGGCCGGATACTTTGCCGGAGCGGGTCCTGTGTTTTTTGTTGGAAGTTGCGGAGGTGCTGCGTTGACTTTGGCCACGATGATCCGACGAGTCAACATTAAGGATGTCAAGGACTGTTGGTGGTGGTTCAAAAACGGTGCGTGGCTCACGGGCGGTGTCGTTTCCTTTGGTCTGTTGGGCGATTACCTCTATCGCCGTACGAGAGAAGAGCCCAGCACAGTCGTGCATCACGCCGTGCTTGGTTAGGTCACCCTCACTGACCATTGACTCCGTCTTTCTGTACCACAAGATCTAGATGAGTTTCGATATGCTGTACAATATTTCTCCAGTCCATCATCGCGCCATCACCAACGTCTCCACAAGCCAGTTCCTTCTCCATGGGTCTCAGCACTCTGACCCATCCATCTTGATCATTTCCCCAGTCCTGTTCCAGCACCTTGATCTGCTTTCGCGTGATCGGATGCCTCCACATCGCGGTGTTCATGGCGGGTGCGACGAAGATCTTCTTCTTTCTACTGTCGACCAGGCCGGTAGTATCCCATGCGCGCATCACACTGAGCAGAAGGCCGTCACTGATGCCGTTGACCATCTTCGCCATAGTGTTGGCAGACAGAGGTGCAACGAGCATAACATGCGCCCATCGTCTCAATTCGATATGCAGTATACTATCACCCCGGACCCAGGGTTTCGACCATTCGTCTTCATCGTGGTATATGCCGTCCACATTTGGCAGTTTCTGCAGGGACTCGAGAAGAGGTTGTTCGGCCGATTGGCCTTGTAGGAATTCCTCCGCCGAACGGGTCAGCACAATGCGGATTGACACGTCGGGATGTCGAGACAGAGCCTGTGCGATGTTAGGGATCTTGATCGTAGCGACGGAGCCGCTGGCCCCCAGCAGGATGTGATGCTTTCCATCGTTCGCGTGCGGTGCCGCAGAGAAGCGATCGGAGATGGTCACGGACGCCATTTCGAAGTCTCAGTAAACGTATGGGATTGAAGTCCGGACATAGAGCAGCGCTCAAAGGCACAGGACGAGACAACTTCCCATTGATATAGTAAAACGAAGGCTTTCCCGTTGGAATTTCCAATATATGGCGCAGGCTGGATGGAACTGGCTCTTCTTCCCCGACAAGACGACGGGATCACTAATTTGTCAACATTTTGACATCATCCCCGAGCATTTTCCTCGCCCGCACTGTATCGTCTTCACCTACTTACTTACACATTCACCTCACTGCGAGTTCTATTTCTGCATTTTCACACTTCGTCAACATGCTCCAACGTTCACTTAGGACGCCGGTAAGACTCCAGCCCTACTGATCAAGTGCCAGTTTCTGGGCTGACAAGCTTTGATGCAGGCCCTCCGCGGCGCCCTCGCCGCATTCTCTCCTCGCGCCACCTCCACCACCCTCCTACCCAGGATTTCCGCGTCGCTCAGCCAGACCCGACTACTTTCTCAGGAAGTTCGCACCGCGATCGACAAGGCCGTCGCGTCGGCGCCCGTCGTCCTTTTCATGAAGGGAACCCCAGAGACACCCCAGTGCGGATTCTCGAGAACGTCGATTCAAATACTAGGATTGCAGGGCGTAGATCCCCGAAAGTTCACGGCATTCAACGTGCTTGAGGATGAAGAGCTACGGAGTGGTATGTTCACGAGCGCCCCCATCCCTCGCACGACGAGAGACGCCGAGGAAAGATTGAAGTCCAGGGGCAATTCGCTGATCAATGGGACCCTAGGTATCAAGGAGTACTCCGACTGGCCGACGATTCCACAGTTGTACGTCGACAAAGAGTTCGTCGGCGGCTGTGACATCCTCATCAACATGCACAAGGACGGCAGCTTGGCCGACCTACTGGCTGAGAAGAAGGTCATCATCGAGGACGACGCGAACCCCGAGACAGACTCCGAAGGTCAACAGGCACAGGCAGCGCGAGAGACCACAGAGCAAAGTACTGGGGCTCGGTCGAAAGATGCAAAGGGCGAGTCTTCATGAGCAGCTAGCTAGCGAACCACTGTACGATATGTTAATACCAGGCTCTTACGCCGAAAGATCGCCTATGTACAACCCAATGCATCGCCTTCTGTGACGGTCTTTTTTGTTTCATGCGACTCAATTGTGTTCTGGTCATGCTACGTGGGTAAGAAATGCTCTATCTCGAAATCTAAAGTTTCTTCACGGCATGCTCCATCGCAAGGTGGCCTGCCTGCATTAATATATGTGAATCCATTTTCCGCCCTGAACTCCTGCTCCCAGAACAGCCGATGCTGTACGCAAAAACGACAACGTGTCCCACTTGTTCTCATCCCCGATTCATGAAACCGCAATATCTCTCTCCTGCGCTCATCACAGCTCGTCAACCACAACGCCCCACTCGTGCTGGACACGTCCGTACATGATGCTCTTCAATTCGTCCTTGATGCCCATTGCAAAGTCGGCCCTCTCTCCTTTGCCCAGCGGAAACACGACATCGAGGCCTCTGAAATGCACATCGGACACGGGGGCGATGAAGAAGGCGGTCCCGGCGCCGAAACCTTCGAGCAATCTGCCTTGGTCCGCGGCGCGGACAATTTCGTGCATTGTGAACTTCCTCTCGACGACCTTGACATCGCCCCTCGCCCGGACGAGATCCAGCACGCTCGCCCTCGTGACACCTTCCAAGATGGTCCCGTCTCCCAGAGGAGCGGTGACGAGCTCCCTCTCGCCGTCCTCGTTGAGCCACAAGACGAAGAAGTTGCTTCCGCCGGCCTCGGTGACAAAGGCCTCGTCTCCAAACAGCCACAGGATCTGATCGTAGCCTCTGGCCCGGGCCTCTCCCTGCGCAATCAGACTCGGCCCGTAGTTCGCGCCGACTTTGGCGTTCCCGAACCCCCCGGGCCACGCACGTATGATGTCGTGCCTCGACGCAAGCAAGCGCATACCCTTTTTGTTGTTGTTGTTGTTGTCGTTGTTGTTGGCTGTCGTCGTCGTCGTCTGGAGTACGCCGACAGCACCGTGTCCGTGTCCGTGTCCGTGTCCGTTACTTACACCGTTCATCGCTGGGCGCGGCGGTCCAGCTGAGCTCGTCGCGGTGCCGTCCGGTGTTGGCGCCGCCAGCCCCGTCCTCGGCTCGTCCAGTCTCGGAAAGAGCACGGCAATGATGTACATCAGGGCCTCCTTGGGCCTCTGCACGCCGAGGGCCGGGGCGGTCGCAATCATCGTGGGACGGAGGTACACGAACCTCTCGTGTTCGGACGCCGGCAGCCACCTCCTGGCCTCGACGCCGACGAAGCGCTCCAGACACTTCCGGAACTCGGCCGTCGAGAAGCCCGGCAGCGCGATGCGCGTCGCGCTCTGCAGGAACCGCTGCGCGTTGCGGTCCGGGCGGAACAGGCGCACCTTGCCGTCGACGCCGCGGTACGCCTTCATGCCCTCGAAGCACTCGGTCGCGTAGTGCAGCACCGACGCCGTCGGCATGATGGACAGCGCGCCGTACGGCTTGATCTCGGGCGCTTCCCACCCCGCCGCCTCGGTCCAGCGCGCCGTGAGCATGTGGTCCGTCGTGCACGACTGGGAGAGCACTTCGGGAGAGTCCAGCGCCGGAACCGGCTTAGGGCTCGCGGTGCGTGTGACTGTGCATTTTGACGCGTCGAGATCTGCCACGACGGCAACGGCGGGGATTTTTCTGCTGTTGTTGTGGCTTTGCGTTTGCGATAAGATGGACTCGGTGCCTGCTTTGGTGAGTTTCGCCGTGCTGTCTAGCGTCGGTGAGGACGTAGATGTGCGGGCGATGGCTGAGGGAGACATCGTCTTTCTTTCTTTTCTTCTCGAGGGACCTTGCCTCCTTGCAAGATAGGGGAGCGATTCAAGGGGGCTGTATATATGGATAGGTACTTCAAGGTGCCTGCCACAAAGGGGGGCCTTTCACACAAAAGGGGAATGTAAGTGTTAATGGATTTTATTCCTACTGCAACAAAGTACAGCATTCAGAGAGGAGACAGAGAGAGAGGAAGAGAGATGGATATATACTACCTGTATGCCAGGCACTTACTTGCTGGGCAGGGCTACATCGTGACTCATGTAGGAAAGTATTTACTGGCCATGTCGGCTCGAGTGGAACAACAATCTCAACGCCATGATCAAAGTGCGCTGAGGGGGAAAAAATCGAAATCTTCGGTACAATACCACAAGTTACGTAGGTTGCCTTGGACAAGGACGTACAATAGTGGGACCTCGCTTCATCTGCTGGAGAAAAGACGGTCCACGGCGACAAAGTGGTCATATCAGAGAGTTGTAGGACATCTGGGGATTCCGAGTTAACCTCATTCTACAGACCAACATGCGCGCCTTTCGAAGTACATCATCGCGGTACGTGTTGCCCCCTCGTCTGTAAAATCGCTAGATAGCCGTGCACATGAGCGGCTCGCGAACGGCCCGTCCGATAATCCTGGGTATCCTTCTGGAAAACAAAAGGTGCCAGAGATAACAATGTTACGCCTATGGATTGGAGAAGTGGCAGAAGCGGATGTCAATCAGATCCACTGCGGAAGAGGACTCGGATTTTCCAGCCATTTGAGCGATGGGTCGGTTATTCGCGGTTGGGTTGGATACCCTCGGTTGAGCATAGCATAGGGACTGTACAAGTCGCAGACACATTTCGCTTCTGCTCGGAGTCTGATCATTGGCCCCGAGTCGAGTTACTTTGAATAGAGCAAGTTCACTCAGAAAGCCATCCGAAGGAGTAGTGATGACATGGACTCCCACCGGTAGCGGACGAAGCCTTGTGCCCCTCTTACAACGCGGCGAGAAGCTCGATGTGTCGATGTAGCCCTTTGAACAGCTTGCTTTTCTGTGTATTGTATTGCTGTGGCAGAGTGAGCGAGATGTACCATCGGTTGCAAACCCCATACTCACCTGCTGCATTTCCACGACAGTCTTCTCAGTCTTGGATGCGATTTGACCGATGTTCTCCTCGAATGCTCCCAGGTGTTGCTGCAAACCCTCCTGATGTTCGCGCTTCTTGTCAAACAGTCTCTGAGCGTTTGTAAGCGTACTCTGCAGCTTCTCTCTCTGACCAGGTTTCAGGTCCTCGTCTCGGACTTGGGCAAAGGTCAACGCATCCTGACCGAGAACTTCCGCCGCCAGTCCTATGAGTTGAAGTTGTGTGCCCTCCCACTCTTCCCAAAGCCTGCGCAGTATCTCCTCCTTGTCTGCCCTCAGCTTCCGAAACGCGGCGACTTGATCTTGTAGCAGAACTTCTTGCTGTTGCTCATCTCCCTCTTTGAGGATGCTCAATGTCTCAGTAGCAAAAGGCTTCCCGAGGGGCTCCTCGATGCTAGTCAGCTTGCCAATATGGTTGTCGAAATCGACAGAGAGCTCTTCGAGGCTTGTGAGTAAGTTCTTCTCGACATTGTCGAAATCCTTTGTGACTGCATCGTGAACACTGCTTCGATAACGATCAAGCTGTCCTACTCGTTGTCAGTGCAAGAAACATGTGGCTTCATCTTTCCTGCCTGTAAGGTTGTCCGCAAGGACAGAACTCGGGCTGGGGTTGGTGTCATTGTCTTTCACCTTCGAGATTCGGTGTGAGCCGCGTTTAGCAGAGCCACGTCCGCTTCGATTGTGGTCGTGACTTGTGAAAGAGACAGACTTGGGGCTGGCGGGGTTCCGGATGTCATCAACAGAACGATTCGATTGGAATGTTAGTGGGCGATTTCGACGGTTCATAACAGGCTTCTTCATTGTGTCTCAGGAGGGAGGGCTTATCTGAGCAGAGGAGGTCGAGTGTTGTGAGAGGATGGTAGAGTAGAGTCTAGTCGGATGGGAGGAAGGGAAAGAATGCAACTTAACAGCTTCTGGGCACCTCATGTTGATTGTATGCGACTCAACTTTGTGTATTTCCTTTTCATTCGGCCATCGATCTCGACACAAGGTCATCGTGCCGTTTCTTATGTTGGAGCAAACCTTCTCTTCCTTATGAGCTTTGAATGTAGGGTAACCCGTACGCATCCCAATGAAGGTCACTGCTTAGATAATGGAACTCCTACAGCTGTGGACACGCACAACTGGGGTCTAAACCCTCCACGAGTACGAGATATGAGTACGAATACTCGCTCCCTTCAGCAGCTGCACAGCCACAGGCCAGTGTTGCCCGCGAAAACAATTCCCTGCATCACTGACCCAGATCGACTCGCAGACTGTGGCACCCAATCAAGATCGCTTTGGAGGTCTCGATGGTGTGCTGGACAGTGACAGAGATCGAGATAGAATCCCTGGCACAAACAAAGCTATGCGTCAGCCAAGCTTGCCGTCGTGGCGTGTTGCAGGGATAGTTATTGGTTGACGCCGGCGACGTTGCGGCCAGCCTTCTCGACATGATCGAAAACCTGCTTCTCTCCATCCTCTCTAGCATGGGACCCTGAGTATAGCGCACTATTCTGCCATCCTTCGAACGTCGACAGGTGTATCTTCTTCCACAGAAATGACGTCGAACCGGTCATACCTACGACGATCAAGGCAGCTCGTCACTCCAAAGGTGAGCAATGGGAGAATGATAAAAGACCGAGCAAGTCTGCCACTTTCGACAAACTTATCTTTCGTTTCCCCGACATCCCCATACTCATAATCATCATCAGTTCTACTTGGAAAGAAATATACCCGTATCCAACTCAACCTAAACCAACTCAATCAACATGGTTCTCGGGCTAGGCAAGACACGAAGTCGCCGTCATCCAGGCGGCACTACCGTGACAACCACTACCACAACGACACACCACCCCGCTGGCACTGGCGCTGGCGGCGTAGCTAGAAAGCCTACGCTCATGCAGCGGCTGAGGGGAAGAACCACCCCTCGCAGCACCGCAGCCACCGGCCGCGCTCCTCGTCGTACTCGACGCGCACGTGCCGCCGCCCCAGCTACACACCACAAACGCAAGACCAGCATCGGCGACAAGGTCTCAGGAGCAATGCTCAAGCTCAAGGGCACCGTCACTCACCGCCCTGGTGAGAAAGCCGCAGGGACTAGACGTATGCATGGGACCGACGGCAGGGGGAGTCGACGACGATACTACTAGGCGACCCGAAGATTCAGGCCAGGACTCGTATCGGCACCGTGCAAGACCACGACTCGGTGATCGAGATTGGTCCGAGTCACTGCGTTCAACATGGCGAGACAGAGAGTCTCTTTTGAACTTGACGTATTTGTTTTAACGAGCCGAATGAAGCCAACAAAGGACCTAAGTACCATGGCTTTGAGGCCATGGGGCTACTTTTACTGTACAATATGTTCTTGTTTTGTGTTATGAGATACCACCAGTTGCAATGACACTTTGATGTTGTTCTATGAATTCTTTGTTGGCATGCTGATGCCATGAAAAATAATTCTTTACTGGTCTGCGAGCACCATCTATCTTCTTCGTTGCACTGTGTAAAGGAAGATGCCCTCGCGCTGATCCGCCTCTCGACCGTCGTACTGGACGTGCTCGACCGCAAACTTTTTCATCATGGCGCGGATGAAGCGCATGTCGGCCTTTCGTCTCTTCTTGAAACAAAAGTAACACGTAGTCGACGGGCCGATCAAGTCCTGCAGCGTGGTCAGCAGCAGCGGGAACGCGGGTTCAAAGTAGACGCAGTCCGCGGCCAGCACGACGTCCGGATACTGTCCCGGCGCCAGCATGCCGGCGGGCGGCGGCGTGCCCCAGTCGTAGACCTCGGCCTTCACGCGTCCCTGCAGATTGTTCAGCGCAATGTTCTTCTGCATCAGCGCGAACATCGGCACCTGGTCGGTGATGTAGATGGGTTTGTCCGCGTCGACCTCGCAGCCCAGCGCGACGGCCAGACCCACGAGGCCGCCGCCCGCGCCGATCTCCACGACCGACTTTCCCCGGAGCGTCTGTGTCTTGTGGTGCGTGAGCATGTACTTGGAGAGCACCATGCCCGCGGGCCAGAGCTGGCCGCCGCAGCCCTCTTGCAGGTCTTCGTGGAGGAGAAGCGGTGCGCCATGGGCGTAGGAGGAGTCCGCGGTGCCACAACAAGGGAGGATACCGTCAAAGGTGATGCTTGTGGTTCCTGCGACCTTGTTCTCCCGCGGCGGGATCAGACTGGTGTCTAGCGAGAAGACATCGGTTTGCTCCTCTGGAGACGAAGACCGTGAGGGTGTCATGGCTCGAGGCAGGTCAGGCAGAACTAGTCTTTCGGATCGGATGGGTAGAGGGAGGGAGGCAGGGAGAGAGATAGTGTCTGTGTGTGTGTGTCTATGTGTGTGTAGAGAAAAAGTGGTTGTGCGCCGTCTGTCGTTTCGTTTGGACTTGATCAAGGCTGGTGGTGATGCGATGGCATTTTGGTGAGAGCGGCGTGGCGTATGCGCATGCCACTCTCAGAGTTGCTGATGACGACTACTACTCATTTTCGTATTCATTGCCTCTAACTGGGCCTTCGATATAGGCCGCTTGGGCTGTTTTGGTGGCAGCGTGATATCGGGGTGTCGCGAGGAACAGTACCCAAGGTAGGTAATTAGACGGAACAAATAATGTGTTCTATGTTCGACGGGTTTCTGACTAAGCCGACACCATAAAATGCCCCTCTCAGTTTTGTTGACTCGGCCCAAAAGCAAGGGCCCATAAGAGTGAGTACCTTAGGTACCTGCGTGCCTACCCAGGTGCCTGGAGGTAGATTATTTGGAGTTGAAACGTCGACTCCTAATAAGCTTCGATGCTGTATGGGACTGGGGATATAAAGTAGCAACACTCCCTACTTCGTATTTATGGAGGATGGACGTAAATATTACATACAATAAATTATATTCGGGGAATATCATAAACATTGCAAGGCACTAGTAGATAGGTAGGTGCTTCACCATCTAGACCCTTCTTTACCCAGGTAGTAAATGGTCCAGAGCATGCAAGGGGCTGCACTACTCGTTCCCATCTGCCCTCATTCTTGGTGCAGACAAAGTGCCGATTGTCCTTTTTCGCACTGATAAGTCTTGACTGATAAGCCTACAGATACCAGGTCCCGGGGCCAGAGAATTGATTGGATGGGATCCACGGATATCGCTGCCAGGAATCCGGGGGGCGCATTAAAAGTACCTCGTACAGATGGCCGATTGCCCCAGCTGTCGATACTTCTATATACATACATAATATATGTACTCGCATTGTCCACGTATGTGGTGGTATCGAGAGCAGAAGGAGCGTCCCAGCGTCCTCGGGACAAAACGCCTCGGCCTGGGCAACTCACTAGAACTGGAACTGGCTCGAATCAGGTGCCACTTCCCAGCTTCAGCTTTGTCCTTCCTCGACGCCGGTAGTGACGTCAATGCGGAAAATGGCCCCGTCAGACCACTCGGTACCGGTGCGCCAGCCTGACATGGGTGGCTCGATTCTGTCAGACGCACCCGGGGCTCCCCACTTTTGCCCTGTCGTCATGGCAGGGACAGGAAAGCAACAACCGTGATGATGGATGGTGTCGTAACTTCCACCGTTGCTTGATTGAGTCCTTCCCCCTTGTCCTGCATATAAGACTCGCAGCGTCCCGATCTCCTCCCTTTCTTCCGCGACGCTACCACACAAACTACATCTCAGTTCCTCTCAACGACAACAACCACAGCCTCTTCTTCAAACCCACACATCTCAAATCCAGTCCACAATGGCCACTCTTCACTGTAAGTCCCTTCGCTCCTCCCTCCAACCACTCGATGAGCACGTAGAGAGCTCTTTACGTCACCGACGAGGAGCTTGGAGCTTTCAGCAATCAACGCCCTCCTCTTCCTGAACCATCCGGTTGACAATTGGCCCGTCGGGCTTTCATCTAGATCTCCCTCCGGTCAAGCCTTCGGCCATCGCCCTCGGTGTGGTCTTCAACCAAGTCGCTTCCGCGGGTGTTCTCGCCCCTCTGTTCGGTGACACCTACCACCGGGCCAAGGCTGCCGATAGCAAGGAGGAATTCTTCAAGAGCAAGGAAGCCGCCACTGCTGCCGCAAGCTGGGGTTCGTCCCTTGTTGGTTCCGCCGTCCAGACCTACGGTGTTGCCGCCCTGATCAATGCCACCGGTACGCTCAGCTACAAGGGCGCCGCCTATCTGGGAAGCTTGATCTTTATGGCGACATACTCTCCATCGGTAAGTCGCAATCCGTCAATCCAGGCCTGGAAAATCCCACCTCGCTAATTCCATCTAATAGCTCATCTCCGCGCTTGTCACCGAGAACCGACCTGTAGAAGTGGTTGCTGTGGGCGTTCTATCTCGCCTAGCAGAGACCGTCGGCCTCAGCGTGTTCCTTACCTACTGGGGCACCCGAACCAACCCATTCGACTAGACTACTTCATTGGGATTAGGAACTTGGGAAAGGGAAAATACTGGAATACAAGTTGCATAGTTGACCTCGATTGAAGCTCACCACTTTGCGTGGCGGGAGCAGGGTGCTCACGTTTGCATTTTGCAAACTGTGACCCAGTATGTATTCATAATAGTACAGTCAATGAAGCAAAATCACCACGCAAGCTCTTCTGTTTGTTGCCTTTTATTATCATACACACTGCAACTCTGATGCTCTTAGACCATGGCTCCATCATCGAGAGCTTTTGCCTGTGCAGTCATTGTTTAATCATGCTTTGTTCAAATTCTCTTCTTGCAGTTCCCGGTTCGAGGAGTAGTTTGTCGAGGAATTCCCCAGAATTCTTTGTCCAGGCAACAAGACTTGTCTCCATCATCCAATTCTCCGTATCTCAGGCATGTTTCTTCCACGCCAATAGTTTATGTTCTGATGGTATTTTCCATCTCCGACTTGGATTTTGTTATGTGGTTGGTCTTCTGAATGTGTGCAAAGATTTGAGCTGGGCAAAAAGGTCCAAAAGTTTTCTGTATGCACCATCAGTCCATTGCTTCATCTCAGGTGTGATGTTCCCACGCCAAATCAGGTTTCGTAGGTTGTGTTGATATTCTGCTGAATGTGCAGAGATTGAGCCGGGCAAAAAAGTCCAATCTTGTTAATGTATGCAGTTTATGTAAAGCACCATTAATCCAATAATGCTTCATCTCATATGTGAAGTCGAAGTAGCCATTGGCTTTCTAGCATGCTGCTGCTGTTTGAATGTTTTTTGAATGTGTGCAAAAGGATTTGAGCCGGGCAAAAAGGTCCAATCTTCATGTCTGCATCTTCCATCCAATAATTCTTCATCTGATTTGTGAAGTTGAAATAGCCAAAGGCTTTCTCGCATGATGTTGCTGTTGCTGTTCTCAATGTGTACAAAGATTTGAGCCGGGCAAAAAGGTCCAATCTTGAATAGTATGTACGTATGCATCATGCAATTCCCAGTTCCCTACTTTTTGGTCTCCATGTCAAGGTCGTTCTGATGGTATTCCAGATTCCGCCTTGGTTGGTATTCTGTTGAGGTGATTGTTCCGTATGTGCATTTGGAGCAGGACGGTGAACGAGAACGAAATCCTAATTCGCTTCATTTGCTTCCTTTTCAACAGCGGCTTCTAAATTGCCAAGTAAGTCGACTTCACCTTCTTTCGGTTCATCGTCGCTTTTGTTTGTGGTTATGGGTTTGTCTGTTGGTTCAAGAACTGTAGGTGGGTTTTCGGGTTGAGCGGGAGCTTGAGCTTCGACTTCAACTTCAGTACCAGCACCAGGTTCAGGTAGAGGTTCGGTTTGAGGTTCGACTTCAGGTTCAGGTTCTTCAGGAGTGAGTGGTTCGACGGCTGGTTGAGGAACTGGAGCGCTGATTGGTCCGACGACTGGTTGTGCAACAGGAGTGATGACTGGTTCGACGACTGGTAGAGCAACAGGAGTGATGGCAGTCTCAATAGCAGGTTCTGGGACGGGTCCGGTGATATTGTTGGCGGCAGCCTCAACAACAGTCTGAGTAATAGGCTCCGGAACGAGATCAGGTTCAATGAGCTCATCAGTTGGAGGTTCGAGGGTAGTTTCAGTTTCGATAACAGCTGCTTCAACGGCTTCGGATGTGAAAGGGACTTGATCAAGAACATCCAAAGGTTTGATCTCGCTGACAGTAGCATCCTCACTGGCGCGAATGTCGGTTGTTGTGACTGTGGCAACGACTGGATCCGTTATAATCTCAGTTGAAACTTCAGCTTCGCTTTCGGGTGCAGGATTGGACTCAGGTGCCATCAAAGAAACTTTCTCAGTTGTTCCCTCTTGTGCAGTTTGACTGTCGGGTTGAGAGTCCATTTGAGTTTCAGGCTGAAGTTCGATTTGAGTGGTTAAAGCGTCAACATCCATGACTTCGCCCTCTTCACTGCCTTCACCTTCGCTGTCACCTTCCTGATCTTGCTCCTGTTCGACTGTTGGAGTATGTGCTGCTGGATCATTTTCATTCTCCATGACCGTTCCTCCTTCCACCGGCGCATCAACAGGCACAGCCTTGCGTCTGCCAGGGCCGCCCTTGCGTTTCTTGCTCTTTCTGATGGGAGGCATGTTTCGTCGTGGAGTGGGCGTTGCAGGCTGTCCAGATCCGGAGAGCACACCTGTCGCATTTCCCAGCCCAGCTCCATCACCCAGATCATAGCCAGGGCCATTCGAAAGCCCAGCTGCGGGCATCGGCCCAAGGGTGCCATACCCATTTGTTGCTTTGTAGACACTCGTGTTGCCATAAAGGCTGGGCATTCCTGGTCGTCGGTCTGCGAGGTACTTCGGTTCAGACATCTTTTCAGCAACAGCAGCCGGAATCGGCACCCATTTTTTGATTTCAAAATAGCGACCCTCGGTCGCGGCACCGGTCTTTCGTCGCTTTTCTGGCAGGCCGTCTGCATCCAGGAGGTCGTCCTCCTCGTCCTCCTGGTTGCCGTTCTCGTCGGCGGGGTCCTGTCGACCCGAGCCGCGAGAATCAGAGGCATCGGGCCTCACCCACTCCTTCTTCCTCCAGTCCCAGACGGCTGGCTTGACCACCCGAGTGGCCATTCGCGCCGCTCGGACCAGCTTCTATTGAATTGTTAGGTTCTGGAATATGATAGCCAGAAGGACTTTGACGCGTACCTGATTCAGCTCAGGGAGCTGATTGAAGTAGTGAGGTAGGGGGAGTTCCTGCGCGAACAGGTCCTCCTCCCTCCCCTGCTCCTCCCGGCCCGCGTCGAGAGGGTCTAAGTAAGCGTCTTGTGAGACGCGGACGCTGTCTAGTCGGTACTTCTTCACCGGCAGGCCCTCCGTCGGGTCGAAGTCGTTGGCCCCTCGTCTCGCCACCGAGTGATCTTGGTGACGAGTTGTCCTAGAGGACCGCAGCTGGCAGCCCAAGAAGAGTCAGCTAGTTGTTTCTGGGGACCACACCAGGGCAAAAGCGGCCGGAAGGGAAGACTATTGACGGGGAGGAGAAGGGGGAGGAGGTGGTATCCAGGGTGGGAACCTGAATGAAGACAGCGGCCGTGCCATCAACTCCTCAACGCGCTGTTGGATAGCCGCCGTTTGAGGAGCCGATGGCACGGCGGAGGACGCTGCTTCACCAGGCACGGGAGGGTACGTCGGCGCCGCCGTCGGAGGTGGCAGCCCGGGAACCAAAGGGGCAGGCGGTTGCGGGGGCGGAGGAGCAGGAGCAGGAGCCGGAGTAGGACCAGGACCAGGAGGAAGGGGACCAGGAGGAGCAGGGGGAGCAGGGGGAGCAGGGGGAGCAGGGGGAGCAGGGGGAGCAGGGGGAGCAGGGGGAGCAGGGGGAGCAGGGGCAGCCGTTGAGGCGGAGGGGGTGTTGGTTGACAACGGCAACGCCCAGGAACGGTCGCTGCCCTCCAAGTCGTGGGTCTTCCGGCAATGCCGGTAAAGAGAGGTTGTGAACGCATATTCACGGCCACAAAAGGCACAAGAGAACTGAGGTTCGGCCATGTTGTTGCTGATGGATGATGGATGAAAGAATTCAAAGGAATTGAGGCGGAGGTGCTTGAACAAGATAGGCACAACGTGGGTGTCCGTGGTGCCAAGGAGTGCAATTCAATATGCACACTTTCCATATTGGGCCTCACGTTTTGCAGGAACCAGGTGGTGAGAGGAGTGAAGCAGTAAAAGCCCATTGCCGCGCGATTGATTGAAAAGGAGACTAAAAAACGTACCGGAGCCATGATCACGACTGTCCTGCCTGCGCAGTTTTTATGATGCCTCAGAAGAGGCCAATTTGGTCAAAATAGAGTCGCAAAGAACACACAAGCCAGTTGGAAGAGAGTAAGAGGCGTGCGACAGAGAGTTGTGGTGATGGTGTTGATGATATGGCGACGAGTAAGTGAGAAGACGCGAACGAGAGATGAACAGATGCTTTAACAAATCGTATAGGGCAAGTCTGCCGAGATGTTGTTCTACCAGCATATGCCAAGCGGCAGGCTTAGGGCGGCGGGAGAAGCTGAGGGCTCGGAAACACGATAATCCGAGCCCGGTGAGTGAGGGCCGAAACATGAATAGAAGACCAAGACATCCGGACAGGAAGGGGTTACAATGAAAAGGGGTGCTCTCAAAAGGAAGACATAACAATCCGATCCTCAATTGGGGAAGGGAGAACAAACCTGCAGTTCAGGTTGTCACGAACACCAGCTGGGACCGCCGGCCATTGTGTGCATGGAATGGTGGCGGGACAAGACGAGGGACCAGGACTGCAAGCATAGCAGGAAGGAGAAAGGACGAAAGAAGACCCAGGAATCAATGAGAATGGTTATTGGAGGATTGGACAGGCGTTGTTATTGAGATCACAAAAGCGACCTGCTCATAGGACTTCTATATGACTTTTGCTCAAGATATTAGTAGCAGATACTGTACAATGCGCTGGGATGGGAAGATGATCTAGAGATATCAATCCCATCTGGAAACAAAGTCAGCATGGAAGAGAGGATGACAAGCCTGGAGAGGAACAAGCTTACCCTGTGTCTTTCTGTCGCACTATTCCACCATGCTTGCCCTTTTCTTCGCCCTGGTCATCAAAGTTCAGCAGATGTACAAATAGAACAATGGGAGGTAAACGTACCGTCTTGCCACCTTCCACGACTAATCTGTCCAGTTGATAAAACTGTGACACTATCGTTTGTCGCTGCACAGCACAGTCAGTCTCCGTCTCTCTCTCTCTCTCTCTGTCTCTGCAGTAAAGGGAAATCCCATTGTTGAAAACGCTCTCGCAGCATCTGCGACATTCTCGCCCGGAAGCAAGGGTTCTCAAGCTCGATACAAGTCCTCAAAATGCAGCGTGAGGTATTTTTGGACAAGCAACATACCTTCATCATCTGCAATTCCTTCAAGCCCTTCTGCACCAGTTCCTGTATCCTCCTCGCGTCCGACTCGTGCTGATGTTCATGGAAAGCATCCCTCGTTCTCCGCCGCGCGTACATTCTGAAATTATAATTTGCAAACTGATTCGACTGCCTCAACAGCAACCGGTACAGACTGCGGACACTGAAACCCGAAGTGTCGGCCGCGGTAGCCAGGGCCTGCGAGGCCATCTCTCCTCAGATCGGGGTAAAAAAAAAGATCCGGGGCCGCAGCTATGCTTCACGTGGAGCGGTCGATCGGGATCGCAGGCGTGGGGAAACGACGCAGGCTAGGCAAAGGCGTGCGTATCTCAGGATACTAGCCCGTGGTGGTGTCGCAGGTGGTATGTTGGCCTCGAGTGGTGGTGTGATAAGTCGGGTCAGAGGGCGGACGAGCAGAGACGCAAAGAGAGAGATGCCGCGGCGGAATTTTATCTGCCAGCAGCCGCGTCAACAAGGCACCTGAGGTATCGGAAGCTCCAGTATCTATATATCGACGAGTCCGCAGGGGGTTAGATTTGCAGAGGCGTCAAACAAGTAGTAGTAGACCTGTACAAGACAGAAAACTCGAGAGAACAGTATCAGATATGACCGCAATGCCACAGCTTTTCAGGTCTTCGCAGGCGGCGACACGATTTCTGACCATTGCGTCAATCGCCGCCGTCGGCGCAGCCGCATCCAAACCCCGATACGACCGACCCCGAATTCCACAGCCATCGCAGCCTGCTACTGAACGAGAAGTTGAGCCCGAGCGACTCGATGCCCATGCGCATGCCCGTTCCTTCGACAAAGCTGCACTGGAAGCCAGAAGCTACGTGAGACCGATAGTCGACAAGTCCTCTCCCCGGAACCTCTTCTCGAGACTCGTTTTCTACGAGCTGTCCCTCTGAAGTCTCTCGTCCATCCGGAGCGCCATGAGTAGCACACATCTTCCCTCCCCTCCCTCCTCGAGACCAACATCTCCAATACCAGCGACCAAAGACGTAAATATTGCTCCTCGCAGAGAAGAGAAGGAAGAGCACGAGGAAAAGGCGCTATCAGAGCGCCTGGACGACCTTCTCGCATCATACCTAGCGCTTCTTGACACGTACACCAGTCTCCGAGCGCAAGTGTCCAAGGACTTCGCGTCGGGCTTCTATTCCCTCGCACAGGCAAACCGAAACTCGACGCTCGGCCCAGGTCGACGCTACGGCGAAGAAGGCTACGATGAGCGCATGAAGGCCTCGAAAACAGTATACATCAAGCAGTCCGGATCACAGTCACAGCCCACCACGAAGCAGGTCAGACGGTTGAAGGATGAAACTCCTCCCAACAAAGATGCGCCAACACAATACCAAGACCCCTCCAGAGAAGACGAACACTGCAAAGATACCCAGAAGGCCGGCGAGGACGATCAGGCGAATCTGAAGAAATCCGTTCCTCCCTCCAGGTCTTCCTCATCATCAAATCCCATACACGCCACGTCTCAGCCAACTCCTTGCTGCTACACGTATTCCGTCAGGAGCAACAGCAATTCCACCACGACGACCAAAGACGGCACTGCCTCAACCTTGGCATCATCATCGTCCTCATCCTCATCTTCTGCACCACCCACTGCTTCCTCCGATGAGATCGCAGCCTCTGACGCACAAGATAAAGACGAACCCAAACCCAAAACCAAAGCCGAAGCCATCTCAAAAGACCCGCTAAAATGGTACGGTATTCTTGTCCCTCCGGCTTTGCGTCAGTGCCAATCTCATTTCAATGCCTCGGTATCTTCCACAATCCCTGAGCTCCTGGGCACCATGTCAGCCTTGCAACAACTCGAAATGAGCATCTGGGAAGTTCGTCAAGCTCTAGGCATAGTCGAGGAGTACGGATATGGGTGGGACCAGCTCCCAGAAAAGCCTGCAGAATCGAAAACCCGAGACAACCGTGCCAGAGCCAAGACGGAGAACGAAGTCTCCGCGTCGGGCTTGACCTTGGAACAAGGGCAAAGTAGGAGGACTCACCCTGCATCAAAGTCCCCTTTGTTACTGTCTCCCTCGTCACCGGCAAGCCGAACAGAACCGCGGTCCCGAGTGCTAAAACTCGACTAATATATCAAGCTGCATGAAATCATGGGAACAGACATGCCAACCGGAACATCCGCATCAATATGGGCTCAGCTTGACATGCTCTTCTTTGGGTCGGTGACGTAAAGCTAATATGTAGATGAACAGTGTATCTTCAATCTATTCAGTGTCCGAGTGCGGTTTCCATCCAAATCAATATTCTGGACGTTTAGCCATACATCCACTATTTGGTCGTGTTGGCCGTGTCTATCTCCTCAATCCCCTCCACGCATTACCGCTCTCAGCCTTCCATGGCAATATCGCCTTGAAGATCGATGTTCTTCCGGGCGGGCATTGGAATGCCTTCAAGAATTCCCAGCCCAGTTTCATTTTCTTCGCCCACATCGTCGTTCTGACAGCCGACTTCCCCTTTTTGTGATCTCATATCAGCTTCCTTGATTGGAGAGCTAACGACATGCCTAGCCGCCGGACTTCGCATGACCTCCTTAAGATCTGTGTCCCAATAGCTTGGTCGTCTCTTCCTCCGGCTCTTGGGAGGTCGATGACCCTTCCTCCATTGCATCACGTTGGGGCTGAGGTCTTTAAGGCCTCTACTAGCGTCACTGCCATGGGGATCAATTGTGGTTCCGCCATACAGACTCATTCGAACTGCAGCTCTCGTCTCTTCGTCAATCTCAATGATATCCTCACCATCCTCAAGCTTTAGTCTCGGATCCATTGAAACGGCTTCAGTCGAGATGCTTGCTGGAACTTCAATCGAAGGACCTTCAAGCTCTCGTGACCGTTGTCTTGGCTGAGTGGGATATGCCTGATCTGAATCTGTGGTGGACCTAGGAGGACTGCTTCTGAACCTCACTTCATCTGGCAGTCGTGTCCCGTTTGATCGCTTTTGATGGAGAGACGGCCTTGGTCCATATGACCGCCCATAATACTTGCTTACGCCTCTGGCAGTGGCGATGGCTGCGACTCCGTGCTTTCTGAACCTACTCGGAGGTCTTGCCAATGGTGTTAAGGTGTCGGTCCTGTAAGAATCCCGAATCATCGAATCTGGAGCAGCATCGTGTCCAGAAACCTTCCCAGCTGCTGTTGAGAACGAGTACATTGCCGTGCCAGGCTTGGTCAGAAGATCTGGACTATCTCTGGCATAGTACCAACCTGGCTGGAAATGTTCTGTCGCCCCTGAGAGGTAATCTCGCGGAGGTAGGTGTGGACGAAGTGGATGTCTTGGTGGCTGAAGCAGAGTCGAGTTAGGGTGGCGATTGTCATAAGGAGGCCGTCTCAGTCCTGCTGGTGCCTTATGTGCTGGTTTCATCCTCAGTGCAGGCATTGGGCTCCCTGTTGCAGTGGTACGATTGAATGATTTTGGTGGGTTAGAGACCAAGTGGTGTTGATGGTGACTACGATGATACTGACGGTCCTTATTCCTTGGGTGCGACCGATGACTGGGGGATTCTGGGGAGGAGCTGAAGTGCATACCGGGATCTGGACAAAGAACCATTGGGGTCCTTTCGTGTAGCAATGGATCAGGACATGGTGTCACGGCGCTCTTGCTCGAGTTGGAAGAAGATGCATCATCGTCGTCGTCGTCGTCGTCGTCTCCCTCGGTAGTCTGAGGTTTTGGGAACCGGCTGCTCAGCATTCCGCGCCTGAGCCTTGCTGAGTCTGCAGCTGCCTTCGCCGATGGAGGTAACAGGATAGACCCTGTCGAATCTGACGAACATTCCACAGTAACTTGTACGTCTGCCGACTTCCTCTTCAAGTGACAAATTATAGGTGATTCTTCTGTCCCATCTACGTTCATTTCGTTATCACTACTGACTTGGAGGTGTGTCATTGGTCGTTCTAGGTCATCTGGTGATAGATACTCCTCGTGTGGGATGCAACGGTTCTCATCGTCACTTCGGTCAGTGTCCGCATGCGGTGAAGGCACAACGTTTTCATTTTGCACCGGATTGGCGACGGGGGACGTGAAGCCACTGCTTGGTGGTTCCATTGCCACTGGCCTCCCTTGGTGTAAATCTACCCGGGGCAGTTGTGGCAGTTGTGGAGAACCCTCTGGGAACGGCTCTCGCACGTCAAGGTCGAGCTCTGCAACCAACTTTGGCGCTGTGGAATATCTCCAATCCGTCTTTGGTGTTTCCATCAACGCCTCATCGGATTGTGATGGGGAGCCAATTGCATAATGGCCTGTCTCGGGACTTGATGGAAGTCTCGAGTCAATCGACCCCGTGGCTGAAGCTGCAAAGCGGACGTCGAATCGTAAAGATGCCTTTGCTGTCTGAAACAGCCGCTGCATTTGTGCAACATGACCTGGCATGGCTGCCGAACGCGTTCGGGGAGATGCCATTCTCTTACGGCCAATGTTTGGACCCGGCATTTCGGGATTGTCCTTACCAATGGCTCTTGTCAAGGTCGATCCGGGAGTTCTAGGGGAACTAGCATGCTGCAATACCTTGGTGAAGAAGAGGGAAGACCGTCTTCGAGGAGGTTCGAAAGGGGCTAGAAGCATGAAAGCATCAGTATGTCTGTTTCGTGCAAGACCAGTGAAGATCACACAGTTCAATCGCACATACGTTTTGGTGTTCCAGGAACTCGGCTAGAGTTGGACGACTTGCTGGAAGACTTTGCCGAGGGGACTGAGACTGGTGAAGATTCCATGGCGGCAATAACACTGTCTCGATAGGGAGAGCAAGGAATGAATCAAAGTTGAACTGCAGGCTGAGAGCAAGACATGAAGCAACGAGTGGACGTCTGCAGCACAGCGCAGACACGATATGAAGGGTTTCCCAGAAGTAATGAATCACGACAGTCGAGAGGGCATTTTCTGATAGCAAAAAGACGCTGGAAGGGCCTCCCAGAGAAGGGATTGACGAGCGGTTGAGAGGCGGCATAACGGTAGGTACGACTGAATTGCACCCTGCAAGGATAGCAAGAGCGACAGCGATGTCTTGTCCTTCATCAGGTAGTGTTTTACCGGGTCACAGAGAGGCAGAGAGGCAGAGTGTGAAGAATGTTGTAGTCGACGTCCCGCAATCCTCGAATCTTGTCTGCTCGGAGGTGGCCTGATACACCTGTCTTCAAACCTAGATGGTGCATATCATGGCAAAACGATCGCACACCCACCTGTCTACCCAAGTCATGTGCGCTGAAGGAGCTTGGGGAGTCTGCAAAGGCCATCGAGAACACATAGTCCGTATCGAGAGCTGACAATCTTCTTCCACGTGTAGACACCCTGTCCGGCGCACTCCAGTTGTGCAGTAGTGTGATGTATGTGATGTATTTGCGTGATGTGCCCACCTTGTGCGTGTACGACAGGAATGCTTCATTTGAGTCTTAAGCTCAATTTCGTGCTCTTGTGTAACTTTTCCACGGCAGGCAAGTCGAAAGATCTGATCGGCTTCGATGAGATTGACGTGATCTTGGAAGTGCTGTAGGTGGAGAAAAGAGTCATTCAATGGCTCGAGCTAGGACTGGGCTCGAGTTATAGTTCTCGGCCTGCTGTAAACAAGCCCCCATAGCTATCTAACTGAGGTTGTACTCCGCACGATACGTGGCTTTGAGATGGATAAAGGTGCCTTAGGCGTAGGTCCTTATCATTTATGGCGTGCAGATGCTAAAATTAACCCCGGTTTCTCCTTGTGTTAGGCTCGCTACACGGTCCTTTTAGGCTCTGCTTGGCTTGCAGCCACCAGGCCAGCGGTTTTGTACAGTAGCATACTGTAGAGCACTTATACTTGGTACAAGTACTCCGTACTACGCTAAGTATGAATAAGTCGTGCATAGGCCCTTTTTTGACTTGTTACAGGGGAGCATCGACGGGAAACATGGCGTGAGGTGCAGGACTGTACGAATCCATCACCATTCTCTCTCTGTGACTGTCTCCGATCAGTGATCACCGTAGCCACTCGGGTCGCCTGTCAACGAGCGGGCTCGGCCCTTTTGGTGGCCACAGTTGGCCTCACCACGGGCCATTCTGGGGTAGAGGTGGACGGGCTTTTGTACCTCGTATTCGAGACCTCCCTAGGGATTTAAGGTAGACCAGACAGGCGGCTCGTGGTCATTGCTCAAAATCTGAAGACTACTTCCATACTGTTTAAATGATCTGCGTCTGCATTCCACCACCTCAACAACATTGGTAGATCCATGACTTCCACGCCTGTTCTTATTGAGGGCTTCTCTTCGCGTGCCAGCAAGGAATAACTGACTTAGCGCGTGTCGGCGTGTATGAGCGAGAAAAAGGGCGGTGTTAGTGTGTGTTTCAGGGTCCCAGGCTGGTCCTTGTCTAGCCCGTCGAAGCGGTTTTTGTATGCAAGCGAGTGTATCAGCGGAGGCCAATGATGCGACGGCTGTACCTGAGCAAACATGGGTCTCCCGGCTGCCGGAGTGCGAAATCCAGGTCGACGTGGACGTCGCAGGCAGCCCATCGCACTCCTTGACATCTTTGTTACACCACCACCAACTACCTTTCCGTCAGGCACCTTTCTTCCCTGCCCACTCGTTTTCGTCCTTCTCTCCTCTGGCAGCCGTATGGTCACGCTTCCATTCCTTCTCAATTTCTGCCCTTTCCCTCAGTTGCTCTCTCGTCGTCTAAGGACGCTGGACTCACCGTCACCTCACCTCACCTCATCGTTGGATACGACAATTTCCCCGGCTTGGAATCATTGCAGAGCAATCGACCACACATTCTTTACCGATTCACGTTCATTTCGCATCCCTCACCCTGCAGTTGAATTTGCAACAAAGCCACCCGAACCTCCCTCAGATTCACACTGGCGTACCTGTCTTGACTGTCAGAATTCTCAATTCACTGCCTCCCACGGAAAGTCAGTCCATTCCGACCTTGCTGGGATTTCGCATACATCTCCGCCTACACCGTCGCGACATAGTACAGGGTTGTCTAACGTACGGTCACACACGATCACACGATCACGCAGTCAAGTGTCCTCAGAACGAGAAAAGAGGAGAAAGAGAAAAGGATCGGGCACTGCTCGTCAGGATCATGCGCACGTCCTCATAACGGGTCCCAGACCAGTGCGGCCGATTACAACTGCGCAAGCTGAGATCTTGCGACGCTGTTGAGCAGCTCATAACCCTTCTCTAGAAACAATGTCTCACGGTCGGCCGCCTAGTCAGCCGAACCGTTTTCACTATCCACAATATGCGAACCAACAACAGACACAACCGGCAGCTGGCTATGCTCACCCTTCACAGTATCAACAAACTCAGCAAGAATTCCCTCCACATCCTTCGGTGAGGCTGCCACCAAATGCCAAACTCAATGCCCGGCAACAATTAGGAGTGGGTGTCTCTCCGCCGCCAGCTCGATTTGCAGGCCCTCAACGGCCCTCACAGAGACCTGGAGGTTCCGGCGTTCTGGTCCAAGATTTCAAATTTCCGACTGCACCTCCGGTCCCTGAAAGTTCTCCGGGAAAGGCAAAACAAGATGCCTCGCCATCTCCTGGCAGAAGATCCAACGTACATGAGTCTTATATGTCATCAGTGCTGGATGACTTTGCTACCCCTGGCACTACTCCCGGGTCTCGGTCGAGAGGCTTCCCGACGCCAAAAAGATACTCCGGTTCGGTGTATGCGGAAAGTGAAGCCTTGGGTGTTGACGAGCGATATGACCAGGGCATCGCCACCCAAAATAGCAGCAGATCGACCTCACCAGAAAACAGCCCTCAAATTGTCCGTCAAGCCAGTCTTGGGAAACGAGCCAAGCCTGCCATGACCACGATCAAGAACAGGAACAGCCACTTGAGCCATGAGATTCCAGAAGAAGGTGCGGATCATCTTAACCCAACGAACCGTACTGCAGCAATGAATGCACTCAGTGCGGCGGTCGCTGCCGGAATCACCGCAAAGCCACCACACTTCCAGCCCGCAAGCTCTGAATCGCGCAGCTACACCCCAGTCAGAATGCCTTTCGATACCTCTCCGCCAGCATCGCCTTCTGCTGACAGAGAATATTTGCAAACTCCCAAATCCCTAAGCACCGTAACCACCACCAAGCTTTTCGAGGGGCCCCCCGGCTCATCGCACTCGCGCAAGTCAACCAACCCTCTGCTCGGTCTAGGCATCGAACAACCTTCGATGAGTGATAAGATCCCTCCCAATCGAAGACCTCCTAGGCTAGATATGGACGCTGTCAAGGAGGCCGAACAACGTGGCAGCACCACCAGCCTCTCAGACCTCATCAGACGAGCCACGAGGCTAGCCGCGAATCTGGACAGAGGGAAAACAGCAAGCAGACTAGGTATGCTGGACATGTGGGGAAGTTCTGATAAGCTCAGTAACAACCGACAATCAACTATGTCGGACATGATCTCAGCTTTCCCTGCTCCCGCCGTTGGTGGTACGCCCACGAGGGGAAAGGACGGAGCTTGGCCCCTGACTGAAAAGGGTGAAGTCTACGACTCAACCACGGATTTGACAAAAGACCCATCTCGAAAGCAACGGCGGAAGTGCTGTGGTCTAACATTACCCGTTTTCTTTGCTATTCTCGTGGTCCTCATTGTTCTGATTGCCGCTGCTGTCTTAATCCCAATTTTCCTAATCATTGTACCGAAACAAAACTCGAAAGACCACTCCTGCGCTTCCAGTCACCCTTGCGCGAACGGTGGCACAAGCATCTCCAGCCAGGATACTTGTGTCTGTGTCTGCTCTAATGGCTTTACCGGAAGTCAGTGCGAAACTCCCGGTGATGTTCAGGACTGCACGATCGCCACAGTGACAGAAGGCTCCAACCAGTACAGAAACGCGACCTTGGGATCTTCGGTGATGCCTTCTCTATTGCAAGCCCAGAACCAGTTCAATATCTCCCTCAACTCATCAACAATCCTGTCTTTATTCTCGACCAACAATTTGTCATGTACCAGTGAAAACTCTCTGATGGACTTCAATTCGACTTCCCAGTCAACCAAAACAAGAAGATTCATTATAATACCTGGCCTGGAACCACAAAGCAATCGACTCGCCTCAATCGATGAGGGCCTTTCCCCACCCGTTGTCAGTAAGCGCGCTGAAGCTATCGGTGGATCTCGATTCAGACGAAGAGACGACGGTGTGACTGTGGGCACCTCCAACGGCATTGTCTTTCAAGCCACATCTGCCACTATTGTTGGTGCCGTGCCTACACCTTCGGCATCTAAAGAGAGCGATGTATCTACCGTCACAAGCGTGACGGAATCAAGCAGCCCAACATCCACGGCAGCTTCGGGATCCGAGTCTGGCAGTCCAAGCTCCACAAGCAATCGTAGTGCACCCAAGCCAACCTCTACCTTGACGGAGAAAGACATCAACTTTGCTCGCGTTGTAGTCCTGTTTGTGTTGCAGCAATCAAGAACGTTGGACGTAGCAGTCAATGCTCAGCAGAAGATGGAGGACTTTTTCCAGCAACAGCAGACACAGGGCAACTCGTCGACGAAGGTTGATGTCGGCGAAGGCAATCAACGGTTTTCGGCAGACTTTGATGCGTTCAGTATCACGCTAGGTAACGGTCTAGTCGTTGGCGGAAAGACTACCAACTGAACTACCAGCTTTCTCCATCAATCAAAAGGCAAGGTGCGAGACTGTTATGATATTGCCTGGTTACGAATTGTTTTTTTCAGTATGGAGTTGAAGCGTTGCTGGGAGCGAGCGAAGCCTCCTTTTTTCACAGGCTTGAGTGGCAGCTGCGCATAGCCTCAATGTTTCTGGATACATATGCACGAGGCATATTCTCTATTCCATCTTGTTTATTCACACCCGTCAAAGAAGAAGATCAGAGTTCTCTATCTAAACCCTACCACCCTGGTCTTGTGCTGCTTCTTTTAAGGGCTTGTTGGCTGTGGCCGTTTGTGCTTGGGAGATTCGATTCCAGTACAACACGTTTCCTGTATTGTTAGTTTTCTTTTCCTTAAAAGGAAAAACCCCTCGATGTATGTCACTTTTAGCAAGCGAGCAAGGCAAAACCTGGCTTCTCTAGCCTTTTTAGTCGGACACAATCACACAAAATGAACAAATTCAATCAATCAATCAATGATGCCGAAAAGTCGAAAAGTCGAATCCCTCTCCACAACGCACCGACTTACGTTGGCTAACTAGGTGCCACGACCTACATGCCCTCAGATGCCTGGTAGGTATATGGCACCCGAGGTAGTGAATGAGTGCCCCGGGTGCAGTGTGTCCGTCTGTCCACACGGAACTTCTAGGTACTTTGTTTCAAGAACGACGCGCAAGGTTAGTCTCGGTATGAGTGCCTCATGTGCCTAACCAGTAGGTAAGTCGTACGGCTTTCGTCTGTCGCCATACCAGGGAGGTAGAGTGTGTACGGACGTAACCTGGTGGGGTACACACCACCTTGCCTATCCATCTTGAAGGCCAGCCAAAGGGCCACCAAACCCCAGGGACAGATAGACGCTGCCGTTTCCCAGGCTGGCTGGCAAGAGCCCGCCCGAAAACCAAAAAAAAAAAAAAAACAAATCACGGCGTAAACAGTACGCTCGACGAGACTCGAACACACCCCTCCCTTTCTCTCTGCTTGCTTTCTTCCTCTTCCGACAAAAAATCCGTGCCAACACGATTGTTGGCAAACCGACCCGCTGGGGAAGTCTCGGATTTTTACCCCTATGCCTTCCTTGCTCACCAGTGTACCACACTTTTAAATCGGTCGGCAAGCTTGGGCAGTCTTAGGGGGAAATGTGTGGTACCCGATTGTGAACGAAATTTGCAGGGATTAAATATATCGACGGTGATTGTCGAGGGGGCAGTGAAGTGTGCTACCTGTAGGAATATATATACCGCGTAGCGGAGGTTTCGCCAAGGTGCAGAAGAAAAGTACAGGTATCGGGTACGGATACTCATTTCTCTAGGTATGCTTACGTAGCTACATATACTCTCTAGCGATGCGGATTAGCAGGCCCAACGATACTCGTGCTCACGAGTCACAACAGCAGATGCTGCCAATCGCCTCGTCATTCGTTGGGGCTCAAGTGCGTTCGCGTATATTCGCACTAATTTCATAATTGGCGTAGTTTCTGTTGGTTTCCTTCCCGTTGGTATACTCTCACAGACGGACTATCGACCATGAGTATCCATATCCTGAGTACAGAGAACTCGTATATCAATCTCACCTGGAGGCGTCGCCTCTAGAATCCTCTCGACCAAGTCCTGGGTCAAGAAGCGTTCAGTAATTCCTGCACTTCCTGCTCGGTCAGGCCTAGGAGATGGACCAGGTCAAGCATGCTCTTTCCGATGTTCAAGCGCGCCGGCGCCTCCATTTGGACTTTACTCTTCGCATTCCACGCAACACCCAACCCCGCCGTCTTCAGCATGGGGATGTCATTAGCTCCGTCTCCGACGGCCATGGTCTGCGCGAGCGGAATGTCCTTGGTGCCCGCCAGGCTGATCAGTAGATTGCGCTTGTGCTGCGCGTCGACGATCGGGTAGTCTGGGTTGAGCTCGCCTGTAAGCGTCTTACTCTCCGGGTCTACGACAAGGTGATTGGCAAAGGCGTGGTCTAGACCGAGTTCGTGGGCGAGCCAGTCTGCGAGTGGCTGGAAGCCACCACTAAGCACCGCGAGCGTGAATCCGAGCCGCTTAAGACACTTGCAAAGTTCCCTGGCGCCTGGCGTGATGACAATCTTTGGCTTTAGATGTTCGAAAACGTCCGCGGGTACACCTTTTAGGAGGGCAACACGGGCTTTGAGAGAGGCAGAAAAGTCGAGTTCACCATTCATTGCGCGTTCGGTGATGGCAGCGACGGCCTTCTTGACACCAATGAAAGCCGCAATCTCGTCGATGACCTCTTGCTGGATCAGAGTAGAGTCCATGTCAAAAACGCAAAGGCGCTTGTGGCAGCGAAACACCGTCGATGGTTGGAGAATGACTTCGCAATTCCATTCTCGTTCGAACTTATAGATGGACTCGTGTTTCGTTATCAGATCGAACGGGAGGTATTCTGGGTTTGGAGGTGGGCTGAAGGTGACCTCGACAACTCGGGGCTTTGCTGGGTCAGGCGACAGGCACCGGTGCGAAGATGTCAGCCTTCGTTCCTCTGGCTTGTTGTGAATGAGAAGGGAGTCTAGAGTAGCCAAAAAATGTGTCAAGCATAGTTGTGAGACGTACGCGCCGTAAAGATGATCGAGGGGCTCGGGTTCAGGAGCAGGCGGTTCAAGCGGATATTCAGATATGCTTGTAGTCGGAGCAGAACCCTCGGCAATTTCTGGCGCGGGCAGAGGATCCCTAGGGTTTGCGGGAGGCGACTGGTCGGGATGGATGTGTGGGTGTCGCGGAGACTTTGAGTTATAGAAAATAGTAGCTACAATCCGACGAGGATCGCCCAATTGAGGTATGCAATTGGTATGCGACATTGTATGAACAGTTCCACTCTCTTGAGACACTATCGGCGAAGGCGCGATTGCGCTGACAGATCTTCTAGATGCCAGTGAGGCACTAGATATAGTGTTACGGGGACTTCGTGGAGGCTGTTGATCGAGGATGCCATCAATGCTTGTCGTTGGGCCGCTTTGATGTGACCTATATTCGAGATGGTCATCTAGGTAGCTATTACTTCTCCCCAAGGAATTCTTCCCTAGGCTAGGCCTATTAGACCGGCTTGGTGAAGGCGAGGAGGCCATCGCGACTGCGGGAGTCCGGGGCACCGGGATCTTGCACACGAGGCTCTGTGCCTGGGAGCACCGTGAAGCTGAGAATGTCGCAGGGGTAAGCAAGCAAGCAAGAGCACACGGAGCGAGAGGAAGTCGAGAAGCTGCAAGGCTACGTCATCCGAGAGCCAATGCAGGAACAGCGTTTGAGGGTGCAACTCGAACAAGGAGAATGAGTAGCGGATGGACTTCTGCCATTGTATTGGCACAGGTCGAGGAGATCGACACAGACGTCGCCTTTCCCTGGGTGCGCCAAAAACTTCGCCTGGCCTGGGCCCAGGGATGATATCATGGTCGAATGCCCTGCCTTAGTCATCAGTGGCGCACGTGATCAAAGTCACGTGCGGGCTGAAGAGTTCTCGGCGAAGAGACTGACGAAGACTGACGCCTTGACGTCCACTTCTCCCTTTTGAGCAATAATGCACCAACATCCTCGAGGTCAACTTCGCCTCCGGATCACGACATTTACAGGCATGATAACGCCATTCCCGGGGTAACCTTATGGTCTGGATAATACGATAATACGATGACGCCGGAGATTGTATTCGTTCAGGCAAAGCTCGCCACTCTTGGCCAAAATGAGGTGCTTCGGCCTCAAACGTCAATCATGATGCGTGGAGGAACCCAAGGCCGACTCTGAAGGCGGCGAAATCACCCCTGGTGTCAGTGCCGAATCCACGCAGTGATGTATTCGACACACCCTTTGGGCACTCCCTGCGAATGAACAGTGCCTGAGGCTTCACTGACGCTCCGTTGCCGACAGTCCAACAGCTATCAGTGGTCAGTGATCACGCCATCGCACGTGACTCCGGGCTTGATGACTTTTTCATCTTTTTCTCTGCCGGCAACAAGGCTCTCGACCTTCTAGTGCGCTCCACAGCTGAATTGCGTGCTCGACGATGATATTGCGAACAATGTGGTTGATTTGTAAAAGACGGTGGGTGTGTTCCAGTGCTTTCAGCACTTCTCTTGCCCGGGTATGTGTGCTTTCATATTTTGTGCCTCCTTCTCTCCTTCCCAACTGCTTGCATATACGCCACCCAGACCCTCCAAAGCAACAAACACCTCAGCTCAAGCTTCTTCACCATGTCTGCCACCAGATCTCAGTCCCCCTACAGCAGCCGCGACGAAAGCCCCTCATTGAGGGGGGCTGATTCGGGCTATGCCAGTGCCAACAACAGTGAATGTGGCCTGCCAGAGGTATACTTTACCAAACCACATCTGCAGTTCTTAAACCGGCAGCTGCAGTTCCTCGAACCTCAAGAGATTCTGAGATGGTGCATTACGTCGTTGCCACACCTCTTCCAGACTACGGCCTTTGGCTTGACGGGTCTGGTTACCCTGGACATGCTTTCGAAGCTGAAGATTCCTCGTCCTCAGATGGTCGACCTCATCTTCCTTGACACCCTACATCACTTTCCCGAGACTCTAGAGTTGCTGGATCGAATTCGGGCGAAATATCCTCTGATTAATATCCATGTCTACAAGCCAGAAGGCGTGGAGACAGCGCAGGAATTCGCAGAGAAGTATGGTGACAAGCTCTGGGAGACCGATGATAACAAATACGACTACCTTGCCAAGGTTGAGCCAGCGGCTAGAGCTTATCGTGAGCTTCAAGCCTACGCTGTCTTGACTGGTAGGAGGAGGAGTCAGGGGGGTCAGCGAGGCGACCTGGACATCATCGAGGTTGATGAGGCGGGCTTGATCAAGATCAACCCAATGGCCAACTGGTCTTTCCAGCAGATTCAGCAATATATCAAGGAAAATGACGTACCTTACAATGCTCTCTTGGACCGAGGCTACAAGAGCATTGGTGATTGGCACTCCACGAGCCCGGTCAAAGAGGGCGAAGACGAGCGGGCCGGTAGATGGAAGGGCCAGCAGAAGACTGAATGCGGCATTCACAACCCACGGTCGAAGTACGCACAGTTCCTGATGGAGCAAGAGAAGAAGAGGGAACGCGAAGCCCTGGAACAAGCCTTGCAGCAAGTTACGCTGGAGGCATGATTGTTCTGTCGTTAGAGGTTTCGTGTAGTTCAGCATAGCGTCGGCGTTCGGGAATCAGCATCAGCGATGGCTTGAGAGATCTGCATGGTGAGTGCATGCAAGGGCAAGGCCTGTAAGTTTACGTGATACGATATGAACCTAGCATTCACAGGAAGGCCGCGGATTGGGGGAGACGGCAGCATCAGCTATACTCGTACCGTTTGGTTACGGTAAAAGTTTGGTGTGACAGCTTATCTAGATGATAGAATGCGATGAATCACTACCTAGATGTTCTATGAGATTGTTGTGCTTAGCTCGAATACATATCTTGACGAGCCCTGTCGTGTAATTTAGCCCCATCTTCTACGCTGACCGCCATTTTGTTGGTGTTCCCGTCTGCTCATGGCGTTCCCCGGGGGAGGGTTGACCAGCAACAGAGAGTAGGACAACACTCACTGCTTCACGTCGTTTCCTGCGCGGTTTTTCTACCCTACTCATGCCGCGTAGGAACGAGGGGATAAGTAGTGGAGATCTGAGAGTGCAATTTTGCCTAGAGATCGCCAGTTCACCGAAATATAACTAGGGGTCATCTAGACATTCTCACCTGCTCCTGTGAAGAATCATTTTCGTTTAGGTAGAAGAATGATGACGGGCGGCTTGTCGGCCACCATGAGTGCGACGCGAGTGCTACGGTGCACAACGCAAGCGGAAGCCTGCCCACTGGCAATGCTGGCGACAGGCATAATAGCCCCTGCGTGCCGACGTGCCATGGCGCTGTCCATGCTAAAGACCGAGGGGCAAATCATTGACGGAGTGGGTTGAGCACGCCATACTTGTTTCCGCACGAAAATTTGTTGCCAGGCCCGCGTACAGCGGAGACTGCGATAGAGTGCCAGATGGAGTTCTCCTTGGCCATATTGATTGCCGTTACCATCTGAGTGGCCATATAAGCCTAGGAAACTCCAAGCATGGGGCAGGCCTTCTTCTACTTTCCCTAGTATATCTGTAACTCCCTGGAGCGAGTCTGTCCGAACTGGTCGACCTAAAATCTCAGCAAGAAACAATTCTAAACATGGCCAACCCACCTCACGGAGGCGTCCTCAAGGACCTCCTCGCTCGAGACGCTCCTCGTCATGACCAGCTTGCTAAAGAAGCAGAGTCACTACCCGCGGTCATTCTCACTGAACGCCAGTTGTGTGATCTCGAACTCATCCTCAATGGCGGCTTCTCCCCGCTCGAAGGCTTCATGAACGAGAAGGACTACAACGGGGTGGTTGAGAACGTCAGATTAGCGGATGGCGCTCTATTCAGTATTCCTATCTGCTTGGATGTAGACCAGCAGACGGTTGAACGCACGAGCATTAAGCCTGGCGCAAGAATCACACTACGAGATTTCCGCGACGACCGTAACCTTGCCATTCTTACTGTCGACGACGTCTACAAGCCGGACAAGAAGAAGGAGGCGCAAGAAGTTTTCGGAGGAGATCCAGAGCACCCGGCCATCAAGTTCTTGTTCAATACCACAAAGGAGCTATATGTTGGCGGAAAGATCGAGGCAGTCAACAGGCTCAACCACTATGACTATGTCGCTCTTAGATACACCCCTGCGGAACTGCGAACACACTTCGAGAAGTTGGGCTGGCAACGTGTCGTGGCTTTCCAGACCCGAAATCCCATGCACAGAGCCCATCGTGAACTGACAGTTCGCGCCGCTCGTGCCCGTCAAGCGAACGTCCTCATCCACCCGGTCGTTGGCTTAACCAAGCCCGGAGACATTGACCACTTCACCCGCGTTCGTGTCTACCAGGCGCTCATGCCCAGATACCCCAACGGAATGGCCGTGCTCGGTCTTCTCGGTTTGGCCATGCGTATGGGTGGTCCGCGTGAAGCCATCTGGCACGCGATTATCCGAAAGAATCACGGTGCCACCCATTTCATCATTGGTAGAGATCATGCTGGTCCTGGAAAGAACAGTGCTGGAAAGGATTTCTATGGTCCATATGATGCTCAGCACGCAGTCGAGAAGTACAAGAGCGAACTAGGAATCGAAGTCGTGGAATTCCAAATGATGACCTACCTTCCTGACACGGATGAGTACAGGCCAAAGGACCAGGTTCCAGCTGGTGTCAAGACTCTTGATATTTCTGGTACCGAACTCCGCAGGCGCCTGAAGGTCGGCGCACCCATTCCGGAATGGTTCTCTTACCCAGAAGTCGTCAAGGTTCTGCGAGAGTCAAACCCTCCCCGTGCTACGCAAGGCTTCACGATTTTCTTGACTGGGTATCAGAACTCCGGCAAGGATGCTATTGCCCGCGCTCTCCAAGTCACCTTCAACGAACAAGGTGGCCGCCCTGTCACACTCCTCTTGGGTGAGACTGTCCGTCACGAGCTGTCTGCCGAACTTGGCTTCACAAGGGAAGATCGAGACACTAACATTGCTCGCATCGCCTTTGTCGCCGGCGAACTAACAAAGGCCGGCTCTGCTGTCATTGCTGCTCCAATTGCGCCTTTTGATGCGGCGCGAAAGGATGCCAGAGATACCGTTGAGAGATTCGGTAGCTTCTTCTTGGTCCACGTGGCTACACCTCTGGAATACTGCGAGAAGACGGATAAGCGTGGAGTATATGCAAGAGCACGGAGGAACTCGATCAAGAACTTCACTGGCGTCAACGATCCTTATGAGACCCCGGATGATGCTGATCTGACCGTGGACTGCTCCAAACAATCTGTACGAAGTATCGTCCACGAGATTGTCTTGATGCTGGAAAGTCAGGGTTTCTTGGGTACGTCGTAGATAGAATTCGACAGGCGAACGGATACTAGATTATGAGGGTTATCCTGGATAAAAGTCATGGTTTGACGATGGGATGTAATAGATAGACGGGTTTGAGCGCTTAGACATGAAGAGCCAGATAAAACAGAGTTCCTGATTACTCTTTTAACAGGTCTTCGCAAGGCTGGACCGACGAGGCTGTCCAACCAGGCGCCAAGGACGCGTCAAGCCTGGAGCGTTTGTAGCACCTTCGCATACTCGTTATGGTACATTTGATCATCCACTCCCATCTCAAGCATTTACCCTTCATCTACAAGGCATCGTCTCTCTCGTTGACCGATTCTCATCCATACGCACATTCTCGACGACTTGCTGCAATGTCTGACGGCGCACTTTTCAAACCGGACAAGGACTTCAGCAAGGATGCGGACACCATTCTGCCGGAGGCAGAGTCCTTAGCAAAGGTACTGCGCAACGTACTTAATTCAGCCATGAATCTAACATCCGAGTAGAAAGACCTCCAAAAGGGAATTGATAAAATCCTCGGACTCGAAAAGCAAGCCAGACAGGTAATCTTCATTCGCCGCAGGCGGACTACTGGCCTTTCTAACGAGAAGCACAGGCATCAGATCTCGCCACAACCTCACGATGTTTAGTTGCTATCGTCACATTATGCAAAGAGGCTGGAGATTGGAGTCAGATGAACGAACAAGTGCTCTTACTGTCAAAGAAACATGGACAACTCAAACAAGCTATCACCAACATGGTGCAGGTGGTTATGGGCTTCCTGGATGACACTCCCAACATGGACACAAAGCTTAGTGTAATTGAGACATTACGGACGGTCACAGAGGGCAAGGTATGTAGCACGCGGGCAAGGTGTGAACGCTGGATTGACCCTGGCTAGATCTTCGTCGAAGTTGAACGTGCCCGAATCACCCGCATTCTATCCAACATCAAGAAGGAGCAAGGCGACATCAAAGCAGCCTGCGACATTCTGTGCGAACTGCAAGTCGAAACTTTTGGATCCATGACAAGAAGAGAAAAGACAGAGTTCATCCTAGAACAAGTGGCACTGTGCATTCAGAACGGCGACTGGACCCAGGCAACAATCTTAAGCCGGAAGATCAGTACGAGATACTTTGCTCGAAAGCCCAAGAAGACGCCTGAGCAACTGGAAAAGGAGAAGAAGGCGGCCGAAGAGAGGGAGAAGAAGCGAAAAGCCGGAGAAGATATTCCACCCGAAGAAAAGGAAGACGACGTAACCGATCTGAAGTTGCGATATTACGAACAGCAAATCACTCTAGCGAAGCACGAAGAAAAATACCTCGAAGTGTGCAAGCACTACAGACAAGTTCTCAACACCGAGTCGGTAGAGAACAACCCCGAACAGCTCCGCGCTGTTCTTCAACGGGTAATATGGTTTGTTCTCCTGGCTCCATACGACAATGAGCAGTCTGACCTACTACATCGAGTGTACCAAGACAGTCGGAACAGCGAGGTGCCAAAGGATGCCGCGCTGCTGAAACAATTCACCATCCACGAACTCATGCGTTGGCCTATGGTTGAAAAGCAATACGGCGAACATCTCTGCTCCACAGACGTCTTCTCCAAGACGCCCGATTCGAGTGATCCGAAGGCCCATACACGATACGAAGCGTTGAGGCACCGTGTGATCGAGCATAATGTGCGTGTTGTGGCGAAATACTACACCCGTATCACCTTCCCACGCTTGACGGAGCTCCTGGATCTCTCGGAAGAAGAGACGGAGAAGTACATTTCCGATCTCGTGACTAAGAAGACAGTCTATGCACGGATCGATCGACCCGCGCGGGTGGTCAGCTTCGAGGTTAAGCGTGGACCGGACGAGGTGTTGGACGAGTGGTCGGGCAGTATGAAAGGACTGCTGGGACTGTTGGAACGTGTTGGACATCTTATCCAGCGGGAGGAGATGATGGCCAGAATCCAACCCAAGGAAGAAGTCAGCAAGAAAGAATCGGGCAAGAAGGTCCAGGAGAAGGTCCAGGCATAGGATGCATACGACGACAGTTTAGAAGGCCTTATCTTCCCGGCGTTCTTGCGACCCCATTTCCCAAATATCTGGAGTCCAGAAGACAGCTCCTCTGATTCAGAATCAGGTTCACCTTCACCTTCACCGTAGACGGCATCTGATAGCGAATGTCAGGTCGGGTCATCATGTATCAATATCGACATCGAGGGCGGAGGGTCACCAGATTGCGCGAGCCAGATGCATTTGCCGAACTTCGTTGGTCTCGGTCGCTGTATTCTCTGTTCCCTAGAGCTTTAGAAGGTAATGGGCTGGGTTCTTGAGGAGCAGGGCCAAAAGCGAATAGAAGACAAGATATTTTTTAGTCGTGGCTGGCGGGACAACAAGTGCCAGAGCTTTTGTATCCTATACACTGTGCTAAACTTGACTATGAGAGTGTCAGAGTGTGTTTTCACGAAAATGCAGCCTCAGACGTTCGTCCTTGTTCTATGGAGTACGAACGCACCTGTTCTCTGCCATGGGAGCCTCACTTTCTGGCGATGCTCAACCGTCAACTAACTACAGTTACTAGTGAGTCGGTGCCTAGTCTTGTGTGTTTAGATCATTGCAATGTCCCAGTGGGGCGTCCATTCTCTCTTTGTTTTCCGTGGTCATAGAGTAATAATACCTACATGCCTACCTACATACATACCCATCTACCCAGTACCTAAAGCACTAACGTGCTTACCTTGCCCCCCCTCCCCCGGGACCAAAATACAACTTAGGTGGAGTAGCTCAAGGTAAGGCACATAGGCAAGATCCGTATACTTGCCCCCCGCAGGAGTCCTCTATGATATATCGAAACGAGGAAGACAGAATGACAAACATAAGTAAGTACGTAGCTAGCCAGCCTACACAGTCCCACGAGCCAATACCGCCTCGCTTCCAGAGACAAGGGCGGACTCGCCGTAGTAACCAAAAATAGAAAGAGATAGCTAGCTAGCTAGCTAGCTACTTGATGTGTATAAGATAGGTAGGTATCTTGGAGATGGGGACGAAATGCCGAGGCGTTCGTTTGCTGTCGTCGTCGTTGTCGTCGTTGTTGTTGTTGTTGTCGTTGTCTTCCCTTTCACATGGCATTAAACTCTACCTATATCTGGTATTGCGCCCGAGGCTTCATATCAAGCCCAACCGCGATCTCCGTGGCGTGGGTGGCCGTCTCGCCGTGCTCGAGAGCCTCGTTCCCACTCCCGCTACCGCTTCCACTTCCACCGATCCGCCAGGCGCGCGCCAGGACGAGCACGTGCAGGGCGTAAGCAAGGCTGACGACCCATCCCACGGCGATCTTGGCGATGCTGACTTCGTGGATGCCGTACATGAAGTGTCCTCGCACCTGGGCCGGACAGACGGCCTGGCCGGCCGGGTTGGAGTTGAGCGAGGGGAGTTCGCAGTGCATCCAGAACGAGAGCGTCGTGACCCACCCGGCGACGAAGAGTGCGGCGGACGGCGTCAAGACCAGAAACGCCGCTTTGGAACGCAGATGTCGCGGTGTCGCGTGGTGCGCGGTGAGCTCGAAGCAGAGGTGCACCAGCGACATGCACGGTGTGAACAGGGTGTAGAAGAGAAGCGCCACTTCTGAAGTGCTACTGGTGCCAGTCGAAGCGGCAGCATTGTCTCTCGTGGCGAGAAGATGAGCGTCGGAGAAAACACGCAGACTGCCGCTGCGCCTGAAGATTGACCCGTTGGCTTCGGCCGTGGCGTCCTTGGAAAGTCGTTCGGCGATGTCGGTGTGCGGTTTGGCGACGCAGTACGCGTAGATGGCGTTCAGGATGAGCGTGGTGAAGACCAGCACGAGGAGCATCGGGAGGCCAATGGTGCGGAACTCGTGGAGTTGGTGCAGAGCCCGATCTTGAGGACGACGAGACGTCCGCGATGGCGCAGGAACTGGCGGTGGTGGGAATGTCGTTTGAAGTTGAGGCCGCGAGATGGCGAACCCCGTGCCTGTGCTCACACGGCGTGTCGTGAACTTCATCGTTGTTTGGGTTTTTCTGGTCGCGTGTTTCCTCTTCTCTAGAATCAAAAGACGTCTGCTTGTAGGCCGTATATGTGTCTAGGTTCGAGTTCGAGCTCGAGCTCGATCAAAAGCGTCAAGCGTCAAGCGTCAAGCGTCAAGCGTCAAGCGTCCAGCGTCCAGCGCCGCTGTCTGTAAGGGCATCCAAAGAGGAGATCTTTATTACAGTGGATGATGTACGGGAGTGTCAGTAAGGCGAACCTTTGGGGGTAATGGGTTGGGAGAAAACAAGAGGAAGATATGGAGGGCCACCCTGACTCGTGGCTTGCATGGTCGAAGGAATATGTATAAGTCTTACCGACACACGAAGTATACCTTGGGCCTCCATCTCCAGCCTACCTACCTTGATCTGCCTGCTGAGGCTGCCTTGCCGCGGTCAGCGGCAGATGCCACAGACATCGACGGCTTGGACTGGGGTCTCTGCCGCGTTCGTCGATCTCTGTTGGAACGATGCGGGCTCACCAGGTCCAGTCCATGCTGTGGCCGAGACGATGAATGAGGTCGACATTGAGGCTCATCAGGTCGGATGAGGTCAGGAACTCCTATTCTTAACAAAGAGTCGGACGGAAGACAGCGAAAAGAAGCGTCGACAGCCAATGGATGCACCTGCGTATGCATAACATTCGACAGGCGCTGGCGGAACGGCGAGCGAGTGGGTTGGGCGTCTAATCGTGGCAGTGGGAAAACGTGGTGTTTGAGCTCGTGTTTCGAATTGTCCCGGGGCGTCTAGACAGACTGCGTATTGTAGTATCGATGCAACCACGGTGGCTTCTTCGTAATATCGTGGTCCTTTGATAAATGTTGATATCAATATCGACATCGCCTATGCGACCTTTGCAATGAACTCTCAACTTCTGCTTTTCATTTGAAATCACCTCACGGTCCACGTCGCCGGCGTGACGGATTGGAGCAAGGCATTATTAATGTCCTTCTCCGCTCATTCTACTGTGGACCGAGAGTTGATCGGTCATTCCGGAGGCTCCAATTACACAGCGCCGCCCATGGACTCACTCGTAGGGCGCAAAAAGAACGATTAGTGAACCAGCAACCACTGACTGCTTCACTGCGCGTCGCATACGATTGAAAAGTCCGTTGCTTACCAGAAACATGCAGCACAACGAAACTACCGGTCTCGGACAATGGTCTTGTAAGTTCTCGGGGAATTGTTCCACGGCTATTCGGCACCAACGACGCTCCCTAGGCGAGTCACCGCGTCTCATTGTTCATTCACCCTTGGCCTTTCGTACATCACACAGAGGATTGTGAGTCAATGGGCAGAATTGCACCATATGAAGTACGAGAAAGAGACCCTGTTCAGGACATGATGATTGCCCTGTGTACTTCCCCGCCTTCATTACCGACCACACACTCATTCCAGTTACTACGCCCTCGTACACATTACCTGATCCATACTCCACGCCCAAATTTTTCTATGGGCCGTGAACGACGTCCACGCTTCTCTATAAATCTCTGCAATTGTCTTCCAGCCCTATTTAGCTTCTCACTATTGCTGTGCCATGCCAATCAGGTCTAATATTCAGAAATCTATCTCGGTGCCAACCGTACTTGGGCCCTGTGCATCTCTCGATACATTTACAATCCACTCCTTTCTGGCTCCAAACACATACTCAGCCCATCTAAATACCTTGGCTTGACCTGCCAGCCGCTGCGGGGAGCAGAGGAGAGAGTGACAGCCATGAGCTCTACGACCGGCGACTTTGATGTAGAAAAGGACCTTCAAGCCGACAGAAGCCGGTATTCCTCCAGAAACCGACCAAACAATGCTCTCGACAGAACCGAGTCCAATATAAGCCGAGCTCTTGACGCTGAAGCGAATATTGACACGTCTACACCTGAAGAAGATACCGCCCATCATGAGAACGGAAAGATCAATGAGCCTGGCCCTCCACCCAACGGGGGCTTTCACGCATGGCTCCAGGTTCTAGGATCTTTTTTTCTCTTCTTCAATTGCTGGTTCGTCCTCCCCTGCCTCTTTGCCCCAGATCTGTCTCTGTTCGGACCGTGATATTGGCGTTGAATTACCTGGTGCCTTGGCCTCAACCAGACTGACTAACTCAATGCTCTTGCACCAGGGGTACGGTCAATACATTCGGCGTTTTCCAAACGTACTACGAAAATAATCCGCTATGGCACGAATCACCCAGCAATATATCCTGGATCGGGTCGATCCAAGCCTTTCTCCTCCTCCTAGTCGGCGTCATCACCGGCCCAGCGTACGACGCCGGCTACTTTCGCGCCCTCATCACCACAGGCGCGGTCCTCATACCGTTCGGCTTCATGATGACCTCCCTCTGCAAGGAGTACTGGCAGACGATGCTCGCGCAGGCATTTTGCATCGGCATCGGCAACGGCTGCCTCTTCATCCCGTCCGTCGCAATCTTACCGCAATACTTTTCCACCAAGAAGGCGCTGGCCAATGGACTGGCCGCCTCGGGCTCGAGTTTCGGCGGTGTCATCTACCCCATCGTCTTCCGCCGGCTCCAGCAGCAGATTGGGTTTGGCTGGGCCACGCGCGTGCTCGGATTCATCTCGTTCGTGACCGTGTGGTTCTCGGTGTTGGTCATGAAGCCTCGCCTCATGCCCAAACAGAAACGCCACCTGGTCGACTTGTCCGCCTTGACCGAGCTGCCGTACGTGCTCTTCTGCATCGCCATGTTTTTCGGCTTCCTGGGCTTCTACGGACCGATATACTATGTCCAGAACTACGCTATCCAGAAGCACATTGTGGACGAGAACCTGGGCTTCTACCTCCTCCCCATCCTCAACGCCGCAAGCATCCCAGGCCGGATCCTCCCGAATTTCCTTGCCGACCACGTGGGCCCGCTGAACGTGCTCATACCCTGCTCGATGATGACGGGTATCCTGGCCCTGATATGGATCGGCATCCATAACCTCGGCGGCATCATTGTCTTTGCGATCCTGTACGGCTTCTTCTCGGGCGGCTTTGTGTCCATGCCCCCCGTGGCCATCGTGGCTTTGACCAAGGACATGCGTAAGCTCGGCACGAGGATGGGTCAGTGTTTCTTCATCAGTGCATTCGGTTTGCTCGTCGGCACCCCCGTGTCCGGCGCCATCCTGGGCGATGGGGACAACTGGCTGGGCGTTCAGCTGTTCAGTGGTGTCGGAATTGTTGTGACGGCGCTGTTGCTGCTGTGGGCTAGGGTTTCCGCCGCTGGGTGGAACTTGATGAGGAGGGCGTGAGGAGGAAGAAAAATCAAAAGGCAAGACGAATTGAAATGGGAATTCTTGTACCTTTTGTTAATAAAGTTTTTACCAGCATCAGCATCAGCGTCAGCGTCAGCGGTAGCATTTACGATATGGCAACGCGGAGTGTACGGATAATAGATAGCCTGAATTGTAACAACATTGGAACTTTCGTGCCCACACACGAGCCGGAACAGCGAAACACCTTGGGTGCATTTCCTCTCGCTGGGGATATGACATTTTTCTGATCTCTATCCCGTTCATCCTGACCGGCCCGGAAGTCTCTTGTGTTGCCGCGAGTACGCTGCTCTTGTCTGTCTGTCTAATTTCAGATACGTCTTGGTCTCTCTACGCTCTGAGAGGGGGTAATCCTGGACATGTGACGATGGCATCTCGTCAATCAGACGGGTGACGAGGTATTTGGAGGCGGAACGTCATGTAGCTAATGCAACTGTGAAGATCTAATCTTCCCATCATTCATCGTCATTGTCATTGCTCCTCGGAGTAGGCTATACTACCGTTTTCACCAAGCGTCAATGTCCAGCATGGACAACCAGTTCAACACGCCCATGGCCTTGATCAGATTCCCCTTCAGGTCCAAGTGGACACCGTCGTACTTTGTCGCCTGGATACTCATATTCCACGTTCCCAGGGTCTCGACGCCGCGCTTGCCGGCTTCGACGTGGACGCTCTCTTCAAACACCATCAGGGCTTTGTTTCCCTGACTCACGAGCCACTGGTCTGGTTTCTGTGGCCCGGCGGCGTTGGGCGTGACAAACAGCCGTGGCCAGAACGGGGGCCCCGAACCGCTCGCGTAGCGAGTATAGTAAGGCGATTGTTTGATTGTTTCTTCCAGAATGCCGTCCAGCCAGTGCATGCTCGCTTTGAGGTCGAGGTCGTTCCAGAGGCCGTGGCCGAACACGAACGCGTATGGCTTGTGTGGTTTTCGGGGGGACAGCAGGTCTCGGAACCGCGCCAGTTCCTCTGGGTCCAGGGGATACTTGAGCATCATTTCGATGACCAGGTCGACGGGCTGGTTGGGCGGACACGCTAGACTCGAAGGGTCGTGTTCGAGAACAGAAGATGTGGAAAAAATCCCCTGGACCGAACAGGACTTGACGTCCATCTGGTGGTTGCAGAAGCAGTCTCTCCTGTTTGTGTGTGATGTTGTTGTTTGGCAGTCAGCGATCAATAAATCACGTAGCGTCTTGAACTTGGAAGGGACTTGAGTAAGGAGAAGAAAAGAACGAAAACGAAAACAATCGGCAAAATATAATGATATGATCCTTACAGTTCCTCCTCGTTAAAGTTCCAGTTTGTGACGGCGCCGTAGCCAAGGTCCCGACGAAGGAGCACGTTCATTGCGCCCACTACGTGTCTCATCATGCTGTCGCCAATGACAATCACCTTCTCGAAGCGTGAGAGGATCTGGCACGCCTCTTCGGTGGTGAACCAGCGTATGTCACAGCCCAGGGGGAAGTAGGGCCGATCAAGCCCGATTCTGCCGCCGCCAGAAAAGGCTTGCAAGAGAGCCGTTCGGTTTCGACACACGGCCGACGAAGGCAAGTGAAGGTCCAGCGAGCTTATCTGGCACGCCGTGTGGTTTCTGTATTTGTAGCCCGCAAACGTGTCAATCGCACTCGACGGTGCCAACGGAGAAGAAGTATTTCCATGGGGCGGACCGGTCAGGACAGAAGGCGTTGTCTCTCCATGGTGCTCTCGATTATTGCATGCGCTGTCACCAAGGTAGGTGCTAGACTGGAATGTTTACATGGTCAGTCGTAGAGAAGGGCCCATTGGAGAGGTATCTCGACACAAAGACTTACGGAGAAGCCACTGTGTAATACTTCAACTGACATGAACCACACAAGACCGGCGGCCAACAAAGTGTAGGCGACTGCACGCTTGAATTGCATACGAATGAGACGTCGACGATACTCCATGCTTGAAAAAAATGCGAATGGTGGAGAGGAGGCTTGACAAGAGAAAAAAAACAACATCGTCCGCCGGCAGTAAAGGGGCCGGACTGGAACAACGAGCTGCCGATGATGAAGCCAGGAAGCCAAGTACCGTTACTGACAAAGAGCCCTGGATATCGAAACGAAGAAGGCATGGTGCACACGACACTCATAGAGTTTCCATTAAAAAGGTACCTTCGTCGTCAGCTTCTCACTGACCTCCGCTTCATCAAGCCAAAGATGACCTCTTCAGAACCATCCTTGAGGCTGTGGCTTTATAGGTTGTGTCAGAGGCAGAGTCTTCTCTTTCCTCAGCTGGATCTGTACATTCTCTTCCTCCCATCTTGCTTTTTCCTTTTGAGCTTCCGCGATCCGTTGTGCTTTTCCTAGTCCAAGGCCGAGCCAGCCAGATCCATTCTCAGCTTCTTGTTCCTTCCTGGCCGCTAGGCGTGCCATTTGTCGCGACATCTCTTTCCAATTAGTCAGTCCTGTCTCGAGGCACTCTCGACATCGTTCTCTCCCGTCATCCTCCTTCTGCTCCTCCATAACCCACAGGACTGCTTCGGCAGCTTCGACACTGTCTCTAGTCCAGCTGAGTCCCTTTTCTCGTTCGCTGTCACTTGTGGCAAAGAGGATTTCACCAATATAAGTCATCAAGCCAACTTCTTCGCAAGCTTCCTTTAAAGTGTGGTATGGCCTCTCGTTCCCGCTGGGCGGTGCCTCCGGAAATGGTCGTTCAATGATCAAGTCTTTGAGAGACGAGATATATGGCCATAAGCCTTCGTCCTGTGGTGCCGACTTTTTGCGACCGATTACACCAAACGGTGACGGTGGTAGATTCTTCCTCACCCTCAGCACACTGAGGAAAATGGGCAAGGCTTGTTTAACATTCCCAGCCCTGGCATGATGAACAGCATACGCTGTGCACACTCGGAGGACATTCTCGCTGACTTCATCTTCTCTGCCTTTGGCGATCATCCCAGTCTTCATGTCGATAATGTCTGCCGCACCTCCTGGCAACCCAGATTGAGCAATATCCATAGCCCAATTGTATGTGTCCTCAGCCGCTTCAGTCAACCCTTTAAAATCGCACCAATCGGCATATGCCATCGCTGCGTCCAGCCGCTGCCCCGTGTCGAATCCCTTCGTAGTCAAAATTTTCATGTAGAAAACTTCCGGTGATGGGAAGGCATCCTCCACTTCATCTTGCGTTGGTGGCGTCTCGTGCCCTCTTTTCTTGTCCCAGGGAAGTGGCTTCGGTCTGGGATTATCTGGTCCAGGTATGCTTTCCCTAGAATAGACTCGGCCAGCTGGGTCCTCCTTTCTCCGGCACATTCCATCCAGATTTTCCGCTGCTCGTGCGGCCCCCATGAGCGCATCATGATATCCCCGCCTCCACTGGTCGCTTTTGGCACTGATGTCGAACCCTGCTATTCCCAAGCTGTCTGCGTATGTCCCGGTAGCTTCGGAGGGAAGCAAGAATTTTCCATCGTAGTCTTCACTCTCCAGTCTTTCCAGAACCCCTAGATAGTATCGCCCAGCTTTTGCCCAATCGGTCAGCACCTGGCTGACTTTAGCACCCTCGCTAAGTTCGGTGAATTTTGCGTTGCGCAAAAGCCATCTACTCCAGAAAGACCAATCTCTAGGCGTAGGGTAATCTCTTTCAAATTTTGTTTGTTGGACGCCTATCATTATGATAGTGACGAGGAAGACTGACGGCCAGAGGTAGGCATGGAACCGCAGTTGACGCCAGAGCTGGGCTTTCCATCTTTGCTTGCGTTCGGTGGATATGAAACGCCCAACATGGGCTTGAACAACATTTATTCGCGTCGCCGGATGGAGAAACGGTAATTGAGGTCGAGGTATTGGACGAGCGACTAGCAACAGTGAAGGCTTGTGGGTAAAGGACCTGGACCGTGGAGGTTTCGAATAGAAAAAGTCAAGAGTGGATGTTCGCGCGAGGCTTCTTAATACCCGCCGCGGGATTGCTGAGGGTAGCTGTGCTTGCACCATCCTCATCATCTGCTGCCGCAAGCAGCGAAAATCTCAAGGCCGAACAAGGAGTGAGAAATGTCTACAGCACTCTTGGTCTGAACATGGCGACCGATGAATGCGGAGAAGCACGAAGTCGTGTCACACACACTTGCTTGATTACTAAGGCTTTGCACGAATATGGTGGGCCACTAAGCTACATACGTGTCTACATATTCAGATTCATGGAGTTCTATGGCTTCTTCGTCCATTCCATGCCCTGTGAAGTCGTGTTAGTCGGTCTCAGATAACAGCTCAGATCGTTTGTCTTACCTCACCCAGCACCCTCTGGCCCTTTGCTAGCATTTTTGATTGTTCTTCACCCAGCCACTGAGGCTCGAGACGGTCGATATTGTCTTCGATTTCCCAGGCCCGGCCACCTTCGACATAGAAGGCCTTGCCGTTCAGTTCTTTTTGACAGGCAACTCCAGCCACTACCCTAGCAACATCGGTTGTTGACTGTATGGGCAGATTGGCAGCTTTCCAGCTAAATACAATTCCCTCAGTCATAGCGGTCGGAACCATCCAAGGGCAGATCGCATTAACTCGGATTCCAGTCGTTGGGGGTAGATATAGCCGGAGCGAACGCATCAATCCCAGAATGCCATGCTTGGTCGCCTAGAGCACAAATAAGTCTCGATTCAAGGCATCATATCACTTGGGAGAACGTACCTGGTACACGAACAAGCCCGGACTCTCTTTGAATCCAGCTACCGATGAGAATAGAATTAAAGCTTTGTCGTCTCCATCCTTTCGTCCCTGCCGAAGGTATACGGAGGCGATCCTCGAAAAGTAAAGGGACCCCAGCAGATTGACATCTAGCACTTTCTGGTTTGGCACCTATATTTCCCTTAGTGCTTGTATTCGTCAGGAGTAAGATGTTTGTTCTCACCTGGCGAATTGTGGCTAAGTCCAGGCTCGGATCAAACCAGTTACCAATCTCGATGATGCCAGCACATGATACTGCAGAATCAACCCTCCCATATGTCTGTAAACAGAGGTCGAACAGTTCAAGCAAGGACTGATATTGAGTTACGTCTGTAGCTTTGAAGCACGCAACGGAAATTCCACTGCTGGCCTTGTTGACCTCCTCAAGCAATGCTTTTCCAGCCCTCTCGTCCAAATCACCAAAGCACACTTGGGCGCCTCTTTCCACGCAGAACTTCACCAGTGCTGCACCGATTCCATGTGCTCCGCCTGTCTTGAATGAGTTTAAAACCGTCTCCTCGGGTCTCGTTTACTGCACCTGTAAGTAAGACAACTTTGCCCTTCAAGCGGTCCAGGAAAGGCTCTGGCTCAAATCGAGACATGGTTATTATTTGATGACTGATTTCTGATCCAGCCTGATGTCGCTGTTGTGTGTTCTGTGGTCTTGCAACACACAGCAGGAAGTCCGTTCAAGAAACGATTCACGCTATTCGAAAAGCACGTATATTACTGCATCAGCTGTGTCTCCATCCAAACTTCCATCCCACATTACCCCATGGGGATTACCTAACTCCCAAATTGTGGGATAGAGAAGATGTTTGCCGTGGAACACATCCGGGGGGTTAAGTAATGCCCACCACACCCCAGTTCTTCTCCGCAACGACATATATCATGGCGACGCGCTCAGAAGATCAAAGGTTAGGCAGTTGTACTATATACAATCCCGGGACACCCATACGCCGATACCGAGTCCAGCCAGGATCGCTACACCACCAACAAGATGGCCCCCCTGCAGTGTTTCTTCCGCTCATCAAGCGAAAAAGGCTTGTCCAGTGTTACGACCCTAATCGTTGGATCTAAGGTTGCGATTCTCTTCGATCCTCCCTTCTTGATACCAGATGCAGAAGCAGTGGTCAAATGGACGAAGGAGACAACGCCGCTCCCTGTCAAGGCTGTCTTTATCACCCATCACCACCCTGACCACTATTTCTCTGCCAACCCGATCCTCGAAGCCTTCCCAGAGTCTGTCCTCTACGCAGCTCCCTACGTCTGCGCGGGTATAGACCGGGAATACGATGATAAAATCAAGTACTGGCCGTCAATCTTTGGCAAGGATGTTCCCGAGCAGCCTCGGAAGCCGACGCCCTTTACATTTAGCTTTTTGCAGCTGGACGGCGACCCGAATTCGCCCATTGTCCTGCTAGGGCCCTTACAGGGCGACTCTGTCGACCACACTGTGTTCTGGCTACCTCAAGAAAAGGTCGTGATCTGTGGTGATTCCGTTTACGCGCGGAGCACACATGTTTGGTAGGCCGAGACTCGCAGGTTCGCGATAAGTGCTGATCATCTTCAACAGGGTCGAGGAAATTGAAACTCCACAGATTCTGGAAGCATGGCAGAAAACCTTGGACGTCATCGAGAGCCTTCAGCCTCTCAAGATCATCCCAGGTCATCTAGAAGCCGGCTGGGAGCTCAACGCCAAAGAGGATATGGCTCATATGCGGAGGTACCTGAATCTGTTCTCTGAGAAAATCACACATGCACCAGCGAAACCGCAGGTCAAGGATCTGTACACGACGTTCAAGGAGGCATTTCCACAGGCAGACAAAAATCTCGACTTCTTCCTAGGCCATCTGTCAAACCAATTCGGGGAGGGCGGCGAGGTGTGGGAGGAGAATAGGCATCATAACGTTGGTGCCCGGACCAAGACAGACTTGCTTGGTTTCCTGCTGGCCTGAAATACACCACCAATGCCAGGTTGTATATGTTATAGTTCTAGGTATAATGCAACGTCGCTTTCCATGTAATTTCGAATCCAGAAGCATGTTAAGCGGCCGGCGGAGTGCACATGAGGGATTACTAAGCTCTTCTAGGGACGGAAACCCTGGCACCCACATGCTTCGGCATGTCCATCTTCCTCTTGGCATGGTGTCTCTCTTCATCGGTTCACCTGAATACGGGGAGCATAATGGGGGTTGACTGGCTGTTGGCTGCGCTGGACTCGTGAAATACGAGATTTCCGCCGCCCGAAAGAAGATTGATAGCTGTCGCTGGTGGTGGTGATGTGGTCGCTGGTGATGGGGATGGTGAGGGACAAGCGTCATTTTGACGCCTAGCGAGCCTTACCTGAGTCGCAAGGCCTCCCTGTGCCCCCGGGCTAACTAGGCCTAGGCTTCACATGGCTCGCTAACTTAGACCTGACTAGCCTCAGAAGCCTGGAAACCCCGCCTCTAGGTGATCCCGTTGGCGCTCCCACACCTGCTTCCTCCTCTCTAACTTAGGCATCTTACTTCTGTCTGACCACGGCATCATCACAAGACCGAGCAACTCCCATCACCGCGGACAATGTTTCCGAACTCTGGTCGAACAACATCCTCTCATACTTCCTCCATGTAGTACACCACTTCGCTCGGTATCTGTTCGCGTTACGTGTATCTTTATGCCAAAATGCCCACGACAGATCCTGCCCGACGCCGTCGACAAAATTGTGAGAATCAAAAACGATGGCGACAACGACAGCTCGACAAGATCCAGCTTCTTCAGGATGAGTTAGAGCATACCAGGGCTCGAGTGCGCGAGCTCGAAGGTGAATCTTACGACCTGCGCATCCTGCTTCGCAATTCTGAGATGAAGTCTGAAGCGCAACAAGCAGCGCACGCCACTCAAGCTGCTGCGTCTCTCAATCCAACGCCACCATCAATTGGCACTGAAACCGGCATGGACAGGTCTCAAGATCTGGACTCAAATCCATTCGGGTCTATTTTTCCTGCTCCAGGCCTGGCTAACCTGCCTGCTGGATCAAGCAGCTCCGACGGCACGTATGAAAGTACTGCCACTCCGGCTGAAAAAGGCTGGGAGTCTCTTCCTGACTCTAACAATTTAGCGTCTAAACCTAGACAACGATTCCCAAACGCCATAGACGCCACTTCTGAACCTTCCGAAGAAGACTGGGCGAGTATTGTTATCACCGGAAGTGAGGAGGGGACGAGGGTCTCGCCACCTCTTTCGAGCGAGCAGGCCGGTTTCACATCCAGTTCAAAGAATATCCCACCCTATAATCAGTGGTTTGATCCAAGCTACTGGGTAGATGGCATCCCATCGGATGACGTGGTCGAGACGATATCCACCCCTTCTGACAAAACTAAAGCCGTGGGAATGACTGAGCAAGCAGTACTACGTGCCGCCGGCCTTAGTTTAATGCAAATTCCAACTTTGCCGGTGCGAGATCGATCGCCCAACTGTCTGCCATGGGCCTATGAAGACAAACAGTTTCAAGATGAGCAATCGACAGGCTATGGGGAAGCCAGAGGTCCGGTCTCATACACAAATGACATCTACTTTAATTGGCCAATGTATTCGATCATTGGAGGTGCAAGTGCGATTTGGAGGAACATGGTGAATTTCCCTGACACCACACACATCTCTCAACATATTCTGGCTTTTCAAAAGGTTCTCCACGATGCTTTCCGTCATTTACTTGTCAAGTAAGTGTCCCTTGTTCTGATCGTTCCCTCGACAAACAGATCTGCTCTGTCGCTGTTGCTTACATGTCGTAAAGACCTCCAGATTTTCGGGAAAAAGTGGTGGCCGAGGCCTTTTCCTGGCTGATCGAATCCGCTTGGCCGTCCAGCGAGAGTTGCTTCAAGATGATGGTATGGACGACTGTTCTTGACCGCCCCACCCCGGACACGCATCGTTGAGCTGACCTGTTCCTCTTATATCTTTTCACCAGACCGTGTACCGTCACATCTTCAGCTTCGAACTCTTTCGCATTTTCCCTTGCCAAGCGACCTTGGAAAGGATTCACCCGCTCTACCGACCCACGGAGCTACAATGTCTGGTTCCTCATTCTCCGGCCATTGACTGGCTGCCTTGGCCTGACATCCGCGAGAGATGCATCAAGATGCAAGACAAGATCAACGTGGATCAACTGTGCCAGGCAAGCCTGGAACATACGATAGTCGAGCCAGCCGCCACTTATGCAGTGAGGAGCAGCAACAGCAACCAGTCCCGATTAGCAGGGGGTTCTACTTTCCGCATTTGGGACATGTACCTTCTGGAAAAGGCCGGACGTGGGAGGTTTTCGATCTCGAAATCGTCCATGACTTATGACCCGGCTTCGCGGGACTTGTTGGCCCTGGTACACCAACACAGCCTGCCTATTCAAAACATCGAGCATCTGCGCATTGCTTCGCCATTCTACGACCGCTACCCCGACTTTAAGATTGGCAGATGCGAGTCCAAATATCCAACAGTCCCACTCCATGTGCCGCGCGAGGAGAGGCTGGGATATCCGTCAAAGTTCAAACCCGAGTCGCTGTCGAGTTTGCAAAGTCGAGTCAATGCTTTGTTGGCGGAATGAAGCTTTTCAGCATAGCCTTGATTGACGCTTGGAGTAGAGTCCGTTGCCATCTGTCCCTTGAACTGGTCTTATGCTTGCCGCGGCGCCATCAGCAAGTGGCAAGGAGGATGTGTGGAATCAGTCAGGCGTCGGCGGTTGGACAACTTTGAGGCAAGACTTCAGGGTTACATGGCATGGCCAGCTTGTTGCGTCCATTGCGGCATTTCTCGTCAAGAATCACCTGATGTAAAGTCCTTTTCGAAGAGCAAAAGTTATCAGGTGAAAGGGAAGAAAGCGACACGAGCTACAGTGAAGTTCTACGCGAGAAACGAAAGAAATCAACCCCCCCGGCCTCTGGATCGATGGGGAGTGTGAAACCCATAGGCCATAAACTACTGCGCGCAGAGTACACAACGCGATGCTGAGGGGGGGATACGGGTCACTTGTACAGTGTATGAGGTCTGAGTTCAGGCACCCAGCAAGAGTGCGTGCCATCAAGACCTCGCCTGGTCTTGTCGTGTCGCGTGGGCCTCGGTCCGAATGAGACCGGCCCATCCTTTTCTACTGTGCAGATGCAGTGCCGAACGTGTTTTGTTGGGGCCAAGTTGTCTGCATGGGCATCTGCATCTCTGCAACTACCTTGCATTGGGAGTACAAAGTACATCCATCCACCACACAACAAAGGCGAAAGGCGACAGCCGCCCGACTATCTCCCAATCAACGGACTCGTTTTCCAATCAATGGCTCTTCTCAGAGCCGCCGCCATACCCAGTCCACAAAAGCAGAGCGCTCTGCACTAGTTAAGGTAGTTGGCGTTCCGCGTCCTCAGGGCCACAGATCTGGAATGGCTGTGTAGTAGTACGGAGTACAGAGGACGTGGTACAGAGTACACAAGCCTGCGCAATCCATTCCAGTCGTGTGCACTAACTAGGCTTGGTGTCAATATGTCTATTGCCAGTATCATCATTTGAGTGACAAAGGGCTGAACTGAGGGTTACTGGCAGTTTACGGGACTCACAGTCTGAATGCATCCAAGGGGGGGCTTACCCCGTATCAGGCCACGCACAGAACGGAGCGGTTCATCAAGGGGGGAAAGGGACACTAACCATGTTCTGGATACTTGTTTTCCTTGCTAGTTTAGTGAGAAACTCCCATGGGATGTGAAGGTGGAAACCTGTGTATGCTCCGTCACTTTTGTACATGTTTAATATCATCCACCACCCCTACTACTAGCTAGAAGGCCAACGGTTGAGACGGGTCTACACCTGGATTCACCATGAGGACATGAATGCATGCATGACACGTGTTGTTTCGGCGCTCGAAAAACAGGGCTGTCCTACTGTACCCTGTTTATGCCCTCCCGCTCTCAGGTCTTAGCTGGGGTATGTCCACAACGCATATTCCGGACAGTAAACTAACTAGTATAGCACACACACACACACACACACTCTCTCTCTCTCTCTCTCTCTTTCTCTGTCTCACTCACACACACACACACACACACAGACACACACACACACACACACACACACACACACATCCCCTGGACCTCGGTGGGTTGACATGCCAGACAGCTCAGGGTTGCGATAAGATCGGTTCGGTCGTCGCATCGGACCAGAGTGCGGTTGTGGGCCCCTCAAGTATTTCGTCCCAGTACAGATGGCGTTTCAGCATGTCGGTGAAATCCCGCAGACTCATGAAGTCCCGATTGCGCCGATCATCATCAGTACTACTGGTACTGGTACCACCACTAACGGCGTTCATGGATTCTCTCAGCCGGTTGCAATACCAAGCTCGCGTCTGTGGCGAGGTCGACGTGACTCCCCCCATGACCGTCATCCAAATCATCAATTCGGGACAGTCGATCTTATTATCGTCGTCGCGAGTAGTGGCCGCTGCCTCCTCCTCCTCCCTCCTCCTCGTCCTCTTCTTCTTCTCGAGTTTCTTCAAACACGTCTTCAAATCGTTACTCACGCGGGTTCTGAGAATGTACGTCTTCGCCGACGGGAACAGGACCAGGTCACTGTAACAGACGAGACTGAGACGGACGCACTCCCGGAGGATGGCGGCGGTCCGGTGATCCACTGCCTCGTTGTTCCCGTGGTCGTCGGGCGGTGTCTGAGGGGGGACCGAGCACAGCATGTGTTGAAAATACAGTGCTCTGTCCTTGATGGCGAGAAGCCTTCCCATGTTCGGTTCGCGTGCGTGTTGGTATTGGTAGATGACCATGGTCAAGTGGCATGCCTCTTCGATGACATGCTCGAGCGGAGCCAGCAGCGCCTCCGGGGACAGCAGTGACGGCGCCTTGAATCCCGCGCCCAGGTTCTCGGCCAGCGCGGAGGCCTGCACGTCGTAGGGATCAACCGGTATCGTCGGCGCTTCGAGAGCCCAGGGGACCCGAGGCGGCTCACCGAGATGCGTGGCATAGCCAACGTCGATCCTGTGACGGTTTTCAGCACAGTAACCTCATTTCTTGAGACGTCTACACAGATCTTTGTTCTTTTTTTGGGGGGGGGGGTTGTGGGTGCTTTTTCGGTTTTTTCTTACATCTGAAGAATCCCCACCACGGCAGGGTGGACGTTTTTTACACCGCCCATGGCAGTCACGATGAATATGGCCGCGTCGTAGTGGAATCGGAGCGCGACGAATCGACCGTAGAGCTTGATGGAGAAAGCGTCGGACAGAGGAGCCGCTGGGAACGACTGTTTGAAGTCTGCCTCCAAGGTTGGCCCTCCTTGACCTGTGAGCCTCAAGACACTCATCAGAAGTTCATCAGTCGCGCGCCACGCCGGCTCCGTCAACACCTTCCGAAGGGCTTCGATCGCCCGGATCTGGTGCTGCAGGCGGACCTTTATCAGAGCGTCTTTGACCGTGGGATTATCCGCAAGCACGACGGCCGTCGTTGCTGCGTTGGAAACTTGACAGTGGAACTCCAATTGTGAATGCACTGCCGCCGCTCTCCAGGCCATGCGCAGCGCTGTCAAAGCAGGCCGCTTGAGGGTGGGAAATGTCGAAGGCCAAGTGGTTTCGTAGGCATATTCCAACGCTTCGTGCATGAGAAGAGGCAGTCGGCGGGAATTGTCCCCGTCGAAGGGGTCGACACCGGACTGGCCCAGAACTGTACGCGGACCTGGGACCGGGAGAGCTGTGTCTTGTTGCTGCCGTTGCCTTTGATGTATGACGGTATGAGTAAAGTTACCGGTACTTGTATGTCACAGACAGACAGACAGACAGCCAGACACCTTCATGGGCACTTCCTGAAGCAAAAAGAGAAAAGGGGGGGGGAAAAAAAAGAAAGGCTCACCGCGTCGTCCTCCTTCGACCGTCTGCATCGACACTTCTTTTCTTCCGTGAGTGGGAGACCCTCGCAGCATGGGAACGAGCGTCTGCATCCACCAGCTCGTCGTTCCTGGTCTTGACCTTCTTCGAGGGCTGAACGACGATGATTTTCCAAGGGTCCATGTCGCGACATGTTTTCTGAGAACAAACCGACGTCTTCCACTGCTGTCTCTTTATATCCACTCATCATTCTGCTCCAAGTTGCGCTATCAGAGACGTAGCTTTGCTCCAGAATGGAAATGGGGTGGCCTCTGCTCTGGCAAAAATGTCAGCAATTACGAACGGCGCATTTCACGAAGCCACTGGCTCGTCTGTCTGTGGTTATCTCCTGACCCTCATTCTAGACAGTCGGATCCCGTCGTGGTTTAGCCCCATCGAGGCCTTCAGCGTTGGGCGTTCTAGCCTTTCCCATTCACTTGATTTTGATCTGTTCCATGCACATCGTGAAATGCCGCCATATCGGGGTTGGCGCCGAGCGAGCCTGCGCCCGCGTCCTCACGAGATATTTTCTTCATCAATCGTGACCTCACGGTTGAGATCCTCATAACCGGGCACTCGCTCTTCCCAGAATCTCTCTCCCATCTCCTCTCTACTCAGTTGTGGCGACGCACCGAAAAGAAGTATGGTTGACATAAGCCTTGAGGGGGGAGCTTAGCCGTCTAGGGTGCGAGGCTCCTCGCCGGGATAGCTCTAGCCGTCTTATTCAGCGTGACTAGCTGGAATCAGCAAAAGCTCGGTGGTATTCTATATCTTTCCCTGGTACGGTACTCCGTATGATACTCGTGATGGATCCTCGGTTTCTTGTTTTGCCATTCTTGCGGGACACCGGACTACTGGGTCTTTTGCCCGCAATAAGTATCCTCTCCATGACCTTTGTTTCCCCGTGCGTTCATCACTGACTGTGGAATCGCTGTGGACTGCTGCGTCACTGTCCCCATGTATGTGTATGCATGCATACATAAAGTGTAGCCCTCTTCTGATTCCTGACTCGGCTGTATGCTATATATCCACGCCAGCCCCCACTGGCCACAATGATGCCGAGGTTCAACACTAACCCGTATACACAATCATCGAGGTCCATAATCAGCCCGTGTACAAACTGATACCCAGGTCCAAGGGTTCGAGAGTTGAGCACTCGAATCCGACTTGCTTCGGATCGTAGTCGCGTTCTCTCCGGCCTTTGTATCAACCACCGTGATCACGTCGGGTCTGTAATTTGGAGAGTCTGTCTTCGCATCTCGCAAGGACGGGGCGTGATTGAGTGAGTGAGCGAGCGAGTAAGACGAGTAGTCGTCGAAAAAAAAATGACAATATGGATCCAACTGGCGTTAGCTGACTGCCCTTTTCTCCATCAGAACAGTCATCACGCCGAGAATGAGACCACTGTCAGACTCATGCAAGTGAGAACCCAAGCCAGTAGATTCGACCGACTAGACATATACGTGAGAGGAGCAGCACCATTGGACGACTGGGTTGAGAGACTGCCAGCTCCACCTCCGCCGCTAGATCCTGACGCTCCATCATCGACAACCTTCAGACAGGACATGTACGCCTTGGTATTGATATTGGCATTGGCATTCGACGAAGCCGAAGTGGAAGAGGATGCGTCGTAGAAGACACTGACGACCGGGGTGATGGAGTAGAAAAAGGGTGTGTGGTCGCTGGACACTTCCTCGGACCTGACGGTCTGCGTCTCGATCAGCGCGACATTGTAATCCTCTCCCCCAAGGGTGGGATGACATGATGAGCTTTGGAGCGGTGGTGACAACGGGGCATTGGCGCCGGTAAGGTCTGAAAGAAGATAAAACACGGCGCATCAGTCCCAGTCCCAGTCCCATCATCAGTTCCGACCGGACGTTGTTGACATACCTTTCGCGACAATACTCCCCCACGTAACAGTTGCCAGCCCCCTACAACTCTGCGGCGGGTTTCTCTCAAGTATATCTTGTAGCTTGGCACAAGCATCTTCGGCCTTCAGCAGCGTCTGGATCTGCGTCTCCGCCTGGTCGAGCAAGTCGGTCGCGCACCCTTCACCCAAGGCAGCGCCGCACGTCATGCTCCCGAATTCGCTGTTGTTCAATGATATGCTCCGCGCGATCCCTTCAAAGAACAGCGCACATCCCGCGAATGCGCTTGTGCCACTCAGATCCAGCGTGGGCGGGTACCCGAGGTAGAAGTTCTTGGTAAATAGGGTGTTTGACGTTGATGACGCTGTCGAGGAGAGAGCGCCGACCGTCCACGTCAATTCTACCGATTCGGATTCAGGCGACGACAACGACGATGTGGGAAAAGTGGCGTTGAACGCGGTGGCTCCAAGAAAGACGTTGGTCGCGTTACCGACCGTGCAGCCTGTATTTGATGAGCAGCCGGGGATCGAGGTACATCCGACAAGAGTGCCGTCGGATTGCTGTTGCGCCGTGGAGAGGCATACTAAGGAGGAGAAGGTGACGATAAGGCCGAAGGCGTCCTTGAGGAGTGATGACGCCTTAGATGACGGTGATGCCATTCGTCTCAAATGTGAGGTAGGCATCATGCTGGACACGCCTTACATGCACGGCGATTTGATGGTGGTGATTGATCCACTGTGCCGTTGTGCTGTCGATCTCGACGGAAACCGTCCTCAGCTCAGGTCCTCAGCTCAGGTAAGAAGAGTCAATAAGAACAGGTCAGAAGAAGAGGTAGAGGCAGAAGAGAGATGTCAGGTCCAGAGTATGTACTCTGTAGGTGTGAGATAGTACCGAGTATGCATGTGCCTCATCCACACACCCACACGCTCACTCACACGGGTAAAATGGCAAGGTAGTGAGTAGTAATAATAGCTCCAAATCTCATTGCTTGTTCTTGACGCAAGATGTTTGCCATGCGTCTATCTCAACTTACTTAGCACCGACTGTACCCTTGTGCCTTGATACCAAAAAGGCATACAGATAGATGGGTATCCATACCCGTCTCCCATGCGCCGACATGCCGGGCCTGATCCAATAACAGCCGTTCCAGCCCCTACCTAACACACCCGACAACTGGAGCTTGACTGCCATACTATTCCCACACGGGAGTAGAAGTCGAGATAGAAAAGCGGCTCGAACATACCTGCTACCTACTCAGCGAATCGCAAGGGAGGCCACTTGGAAAGATCAAAAATAACGAATCGATATTATTAGTATAGGACTTCGTGGCCAGCGGCGCCAATGCAAGTAATGCAGTAGTTGGGCAGGGATCGTCTTTCGACGCGTAGATTCTGCTCGTCAAAGGCGAACATTCGCCCGTGACTGGCCACTTCGAACGTGATGCTGGCAATGAGGTGCCAGGCTAACCGGCTTTTGGCGCCTTCGACAAGGATGTATGAACGTTGCTACATCGTTATTGATCGATTGACAAGCGCCGAGGTGGGAACCAATTGTCTAAAGATAAACCCACGCCGGTTCCAGGGTGCTTTGGCGTCGTTCTCGTCTTTTACCGAGCGCTTAGAGAGATCTTCGGTCCACGGGAACGCTGTCCAATATTCGTAAAGAATCGTGAACGGAAGCAAATCGAATCGTCTTGTGCAGCTAGATTTGCACGTGAGAAAAGATGAAACGCTCAAAAGTACTCGTAGAACGACCTAGACTACACTAGGCTGTCGAGGGACATCCTATCTCCTCCGTACTCACAGGCCGGGTGTGGGATGTGGAATAAATGTCAGCAAAGCTCTTGCTGGCATGAAATCCTTTTGCTTCGGACAGAAACGACAAAATACCTCAGGTCATTGGTGACAGGAATTACGCCTCGGCCTTTCGCCTTTGCCTCTCATCCGAGTCATAGAATCGAAACAACTGCACGAATGAAAGTATGGAGTACGGATACCAATTGCTGATAATGCTGCACACTCGCTCAAGGATGCTAACCTCTAACGCTAGACAGATCAGGCCTATTGCGCTACTGCTGACTATCACAGCAAGACCCCATGGTCGTCGGAATATCCATACCATGAAGCTAGATAAGTCAATACCGAGAAGAGAAGTCTGGCTTCCTGTTGCTCACCCACTGTGCCGCGTTCAAACTCCACGCTTGCTTGATGAAGATCCTCCTCCACAACAAAAATGATGCTGTAATCGACTATTCTCTCTCCAGACCAAAACAAGATTATCCCATCCCAATGCGTGCGGCTTTTCATGCGTCTGCTAAACACCATCTTGAATCATCACCAATGCTGGAAACCCCAATTAAAATGTTGTACCATCATCCCGCCAACGTACATCTCGTGTTCTTCATTGAGTCATAGTCACATCTTGATCGGTATCTTCCCTCGGCGCGTGCTCGTGTTGTTCGACTGGGAGCTCCATACTGGGATCCACCGGCGTTGCTGGAGTCCTCACAACGCGTTCCATCATCTCAGAAGGCAATAGTGGCAGTTCACCTTGTTGATCCGAATCGGTTCGAGGAAAATCAGGTCGAAGTTGCTGAGCGGCATCTGCTTCAGCTAGGGCTTGTAACATGGCTTCCCTATGTGCCTCCTCTCTTAGACGTGATCTTTCGCGACTCCGTGCCGCTCTACTAGTCCGGCCACCTGAGTCTGTCTGACTAGGTGGTGTCGACGCGTAACTTCGTGGAGGAAGTAGCAAGTTCCCCAGCCTTGATCGACTATTGACACGCGACACTTGAGGACTATTGGATCTAGAGCCATGTCGACTCCCAGACCGGCTTCCAGGTATTGTCGACATGATCGCCTCGTGGTTGGCGTCAAAGGCACTGAAGCCAGGTTCAGGTCGAAGGTATGAAACTCGTACGTCGCCGGGATTTCTGAGAGCGGCTCCAGGCATGGGCCGCCTAGAACCCTCCGATGCGAAAAGGTGTACGTTTGGATATCCTTGTTGTTGTGTCCTGGAATCCTCTATACCGAAATAACTTGCTCGTCGATCATGCCCGTAGCGACCACCCCCAATGTCCATAGGTCTGGAGCTGCCCTCACCGTACCCGTGCAACGGCACAGGCGGTGGGCCAAACAAGCCGTCAGATGATTCGAGGGTATGTCGCCTAGACGGTGTTCGCGACGAACTTCTTGGACGGTCGCCGTATGGTAGGGCAACAAACAACGGAGATGCTGCTGGACTTCGGGATCGACCCTCCATTCCATCTTGCTGGAAAAGATTGCCCGTGTTCATCAGGTTGAGGCTGGTGCGATCATCGTGTCCAAAAGCTACTCCTGGCGTCCACGGTCCTACTTGTTCTAATGGTACGAAAGGCATCTCGATGTGATAGCTCGGGAGCTCGTGCAAGCTTCGAGGACGTTGCTGCCGGGACCGCGGCGTGGTCGTAAATGGTGCACCATGACGATGGGGATTCAGTACTGGGTCCATTAGTTGGTCGTTTCCATCAATTGTGCCATCATCCGAAACGGTATCTGCTCCAGGACTGTCCACTCCGTCGAGAAGGCTGTCATCGATAGCCTCACGACCTTCTCGCTGAGCTTCGTCCATCGCCATGCGCAGCAAATAGTCTCGGAGCCGCTGAACGCCTTCCCCTGAAAAGACGCAAAAGACGTCACGCTGTGGATGGGTGAATTCAGCGGGGGCGTCTCGACAGAACCGAGTCAAGTCTTCGCGAAGGAAAGCTTGCACACCCGTCAAGGATAGATGAGTGAGTCGGGGACAATTGTGAAGCAGAGCCGTGATGCCCTATGACTCAATTAGCACATTCGAAATTCAACTCCATCTGCGTCTAAACCATACCTTGAGTGTGAGATTGACACAATAACTGAGGTGCACCCGCTCGAGGGACACAAACTGTTGAGGGACACCAAGTTTGCCAGTGGGGCTGAACAAAACCGGACCATGAGCCAAAGCCATGATGCTAGAGTCGGTCAGATTTTGACATTTCACGAGCCCAATTCTGCGGAGTTTTGGTAGTTGCGCCAGGTGACGGACACTCGCGTCGGTCAGTCGTGAACAGCAAGCTAGATCAATATACCTGATTCTATTGCAGGCCTTGACTAGTTGGATGACCGCGTTATCGGTCAGATTGACGCAATGTCCGAGGTGGATGTAGTGTAAGTTCTTGGTCAATTTGCATATGGAAGCCACAGCACGATCCGTGATATGCCGGCATTTGGCCAAGACCAAGTTTCGCAATCGTGGTGCTGCAGGAATGATTCTCGCGATGGCATCGTCACGAACCTGCTCGCAGGCCGTGAGATCCAATATGCGAAGGGCGTCGAAAGATAGTCTCGGCGAGAGATTGGTGAAGGCAGCATCATTAATGTCGATGCAATGAGCCAATCTCAACTCCCTCAGATGGGACAGATTGGACAGCAGAGCTGTGACGGACTCAGAACTGATTGAATGACAACCGGCCAAGTCGATTTCCAGGATTGATCGACAATTCCGTGCGACTGCGGTGATGGAGGCGTCTGTTGCTCGAACCACGCCGTTGAGCTTCAGTCGTTTGAGCTGTCGACAGTGTTGCGCTATTTCAATCAGAGACTCATCCGTGATGTTTGAACAATTGGTGATGTTGAGGCCTTGTAGTTTGGGACAGTTTTCAGCCACCACATGCAGCGTCCGGTCCGTCAAAGCATCAATGTCTGTCACGTCTAGGGCTTGCAGCTTTTTACTTCCGTCAACTAGTCCTGCTACGCCAAAATCGGTCAGTTTGGAGCAATTTGTCAGCGTGAGGCGTTCAACAGCCTTGCAATTCATGAAAGGCTGAACCGTTCCATCATTGATTTTATCCGCGATTGCTGACAGATTGAGTCTCTTGACCATTTCATGATATGGAAAATAGCTTCTTTCGCCCTGTCCGAGTGCTGAAACCACGTTCAACAGGTTCGACCATTTGTTGCATAATGGCCTATGCCACAGAATGCCCACGGCATACAGCGCCCAGTGGTAGGAGACCAACATGCAGTTTCGTAGATCGGCCGTACTCGTCAATTTGGCCAAGATTGCCATCAAGATCTCTGGGGGAAGTTTCGAGATGGGCGACATGCGATGGATCTGGTCGAGATCAATGTCATCGTCGCAATCTCGAATGGCCGTGACTGCGCCCAGGGATGACTGGGAATCATTAGGATGAGCCATAAAATAGTCTGTATCCTCATCGTCCCCAGGGCAAGGAGAACTGTCCGAACTGTCGGATTCGACCGTGACAGAACTCATATTTCGGGTGTGAATTGGCGATATTCGGAATCGTATATCGTCTGCCATTGTGTAGGGAAACGCTGCGTTCGACAGATCGTTTGAGGTAGAGGTAGGACGAAGTTATCTCTAGTAGGCAACGAAGAGAAGTCTTTTGTTTTGTTTTGCGAAATCGCATCCAAGGTCAACGATTCAGTGAAGAGGATCGAACACAACAATCGACGTGAAGACAGTCATGGCGCGGGCGTCAACCGGGAATTTCTGTGCTTGAATGTTCCGGTTGCGGTCGGTTGGAAGCTTTGACCTGAACAAGGACGATCTCGTTGACGCAGCCACCGACCGTGTAAGGCTCTGGCTGGAAGAAGCAATTGTTCGAGTTGTTGTGTTGTGGTTGGGGTAACAATACGTGAGGGTAGGAGAATAGGAGAAGCGGGAGGCGGCGGTGGTGACAAGGAAGACGATCGGCGGTGGATTGGGGGTTCGTTCGTCTCGGACAGGAAAGGAGATGGGATGTCGAAGGGTGATGCAGTAGAGGGTTATGGTGATTGAGGATTCGACTGCAGGTGAGAAGACAATGGGAAATGGTGGAAGATCAGCAGGCGCAGATGGAGTATGAGCCGAGTTGCGGTGGTGTCTGTGGTGGTTGAGACAGCCTCTCTGCCTGAGTTAGTAATGATGATGATGATGGGAAGGAGGCGGACGACTGTGCCAAGGGCTGTGATAGCCTCATGCTTTGGCCTCAGGTACGGAATACGCAGGAGGGACCTCGTGGCCGATGCCCAACTTACCTGGTACCAAGTGATCAAGATGGTAATAGGTAATAGCCCCAGCTAAGGTTTACAGTAGGTGCTCAGGGAAATTGACCAGGCGCACGGTGCCTGGGAGTATTGGGCTCTAGGGGGGTGTCAGTTTGCGCTGTTTGGGGGGTCGTTGCGCCTACAAGGATTAATCCAAGCCACCCGCGCCCTCTGCAATGGGATGACGTCTAGTGTGTCCTCGTGCTCCATCCCCGCCACCTTTATCTACCAGGACACATACTGCTGAGCACCTTGCACTTTTCTTCGATCCGCAGCCTCTGGAAGGATTTGACTGCGCATTATTTCGATGCTATTTTGCTTTCATCTATGGAGCATAACTTGGCTCACCCGATAAACTATACGCAAACACTCCTCACACTCTCCCACACGCTTCCTTATCGCCAGGGATGACGGCTGCATGCGTCTATGCTCCTCTCCAACCGATCGATCTGGTTGGTATCATTGGGAGATAACGTACCGCTGAAGACTTCTGGTCAACCCACAGCGCATATAGCACGAGTACGAGAGGCGGACATGCAGATCTCGAATCAGAAGCGAACGGTGAATAAGAAGTCAGTCTTTCAACTTCTGTTGTTGAATATGTGCGCATGATGGATCCCCATGACCTCCGTTCCAATAGACAGATGGTACGTCGGAAGGGCACTTTACAGACCCATTCTCCTGCAGATGGGAGCCGATACTACTCTGTAGTACGGAGTACTAGTATTGGTGATGAAGTAGGGTCAAGATGATGTATACGTTGTAGGCGACCTACTACCCACCTACAGTATTGGCCTAGACTAGTTTGTACGCTGGTCGTCTTCTCCGTCAAGGATCTCGCAACATGTCTGACCACATGCTGAGCATATCCATACCAGGATTCACATTGCGCATGCCTGGCGACTTGGGAGTTATCCCTCGAACAAGGCGAGCTCTGACGACGGCAAGTAATCACGCCGACATTGCATTGCCGGTTCTCTTGGTGGCTCGTGCCTACAGTATCTCGCAGTAGACTATCATATTGTACTATTGGCCTTTCTGCTAGTTGGCGGCGTTGGAAAGGCCCGAGTCGCCGACGCCGTGCTCATTCACTTCGGCACTCCGTGATTGACGTTCGGCTCAGCCTGAGAGCTTGGGGACAGCGAGCTCTATGGTTTCAGTCTTTGTCAAAGCCTTCGAGTGATACCAAACTTGCTCAACGACACTCGACTGCCTGGTGCCCACGATGACTATGCGCGTTGACTATTCAACTAACATGTGGCCGGTCCCAACCAAATCTAGTTAGATCCAAAGAGCCGTCAATCGATGTTTGGCCACCGTAGATAGACAGAGCAGAAGAACGAGCAGCAGTCGCAGCTTCACAATCTCAGGGTAAAGAGTACCTAGGATTTGAATCTGAAGGGATTTGGACTGTGGCGACAAGTGCAATTGCGACAGACATATACCCGTAGGTGTTGGATATCGCCCGAAGATTTCTCCCGTCATGTTCAACATTTGAAATGATCGGCATTCTGGAGCTTGATTTCAACTGGCATGAAATATCAATCGGACAAGAGAAAACAGTGACAAGACAACAGGCCAGGAGAGTCTTTGCATGACAATCTAACGACGCACTCGGCTTCTTCGTGACCAACTACGTGCAGCCATCTCAGCAACTCACACGACATCAGAGTAGCCGATCTGGAAATTTTTGTGTTTTTGCCCCAAGGACATTCCTAGATGTCCAAAAAACGTGCAAAATATGCGTTTGGTTGCCAATCAGAGATAACTTATTTGTTCGTGCTGAGCCCGGTCTTCCCTTCAGTACCTGCTGATTGACGACTGATTATCCATCGCTCCAACATTGGACTTTGTTTTCTTCTCTTTTTCTTGCAACTCGTCAAAATGGAAATACTCCGCGCATAAGGTAGGAAGGAGGCTAAAACCTCTATCGGAGCTCGTTGAATCGTTGCCGGGAACATGTAACATGAGACCCAAAGTCTTCTACACCCAGATGCCATGTATAGACACGCTAGCTAATTGCATGTCATCCCAAGACTTGACCCCTAAAAAAGGAAACTGTACAATGAAGGAATGCCGAGAGCGAGCCACCGGCAAGAAGCCAGAACTCTACTCCCCTCCCCTTTTCGCACCCTTCGCCCAGTCCCTTAGTATGTTTTTGCGGATCTTTCCAGTACTCGTCTTGGGGAGCTCAGGTACAATTTCGACCTCGCGTGGGACCATGAATTTACTGATTCCAGGATGATTTCGCGACCATTGGATCACATCTTCGCCAGTCGTGTTCGAGCCCGACTTAACTGTTATGAAAGCCTTTGGCCGCTCTCCCCAATGGCTGTCGCTCACCGCAGCCACTCCGCATTCGAGAATGTCAGGATGAGTGACGAGGAGGGACTCGAGAGCAACGGAAGATATGTTCTCACCGCCTGAGGTATGTTAGGTATTGTACTGGCGCCGATACGAGAACTGAACTCACCTGAGATGATAATGTCCTTGGCTCTGTCAAGAATCTGGATGGCACCGTCCTCATGCCAAACAGCCAAGTCACCTGAATGTAGGACACCATCTTGGAATAACTTCCTCGTTGCCGCTTCGTCCTTGTAATATCCTCTGGCACAAATGTTGCCGATGAAGACGATTTCGCCAATTTCTTGGCCGTTCTTTTCAACGTCAACAACGGTCCCAGGGGGAACCTCGGTCTTGATCACCCGGCAAGGCAGAGAGGTGATGAAGCCATGACCTTGACGAGCCATTTTGGCGTACTTATCTTTGACGTTAGGATATTGGTGCCATTCTGGCATGATGTACCCCTTGGTGATGGGCCCGTATGTCTCGGTCATGCCGTAAACATGCACCGGCTGAAGATTGAGACTGGTCATCTGCTCAAACAGATGTGCTGTAGGGGGACTAGCCGCTACAGTGACTCGCACCGGCTTTGGAAGCGGCGCGGCGTTCGAGTCCGCGCAAAGAAGAGTGTTGACTGTTGGGGCTGCACAGTAATGGGTGATTCCCTCATCTCTCAGTAACCTCCATATTTCGGGGTAGTCGATCTTTCGGAGACAATAGTGTGTCCCCCTCGCTGCTGTCACGGCCCAAGGGAATGTCCATCCCATGGCGTGAAACATGGGTAAGGTCCAGAGGTATTTGCAGCGCTCTCCATCGTGGTATGAGAGACCCGACTCGACGACATTGCCCAAAGCGCCCAGGTAGCAACCGCGGTGGGTGTATTCAACGCCTTTGGGTCGAGCCGTCGTTCCAGAAGTATAAGCTAGTGCGTTAACTGAGAATTCGTCCGGGGCTTGCGACTCTAATTGATCCCAACCATAGGCGCCCTGCTCTTGGTCATACTGAAGCCCTTCCAATACGGCTTCATCGAATGGCCCACATAATTGGCCTTCTATGGCATCTGTGTCTGTGTCGATGATTACGGGTACTGTGGGATGTTTCTGCTTATAGTCATCGAGCAGTCCAACGAACTCGGCATCCACGAGGATGGCGTCCACATCGGCATGATCGAATATGTACGCAATGTCGTCCTTTTTCAGGCGGTAGTTAATAGCAACGTTGATCGCACCTGCAGCGCCAATACCGAATATAGCCTCGAGAAAGGCCGGTGTGTTCGTCGCTAGTATTCCCACTCTCTTGTAACCCTTCTTTTTGATGTAGTATGCAAATCCACGGGCACGGTCTGCAAATTCTATGTATGACCGCCGTAGGATCTTGTTGTTCGCTGTCCGGTGGTAGATGGCTTCGGCGTTTGGCTCAATGGCTGCGGCGCGCGGGAGAAAGAAGCAAGGAGAGAGTGTATGATGATTGTACCATGAGGGGCTCCCGACTTTCCGGTTATCGATTACCAGGTTGTCAATGGGCAGACCCTGAGAAGGTGTAGACGAGGAGGGAAGAAAGTGCCCGACCAAATTCGCCAGGCGAGACTTCGGGATAGACATGGTGGTGGACCAGCTACAGAGACAAGATCATGCCGAACCTGGACGTGGAGAGGAGAGGTAGAAGGACTGCCCAAAGGTACAAACAACTGCTCAGAGTTACGCCAGTGAGAGCCATGGGACAGAACTATATATTGCGTCCATCGAGACAGCGAGGAAGGAACCTATAAGGGACGACCAGTGAGGCCCAGTGGGCTCGAACCCCGGCCAAGATGCCCACCACCGCTGAACCGAGGTTTTTGCTCTGTCTGGGGAAAAGCTGGGATCGGCGACGGTGAAGGGAGGATCAGCTAAGGGCTTCGCTAGGGGCCTTGAGTAGCCCATCAGCCCAGTAAGAATCCAGCTTCACCAACTAGCCTGGCCCCCTTGGGAGTATCTATTTTCCGCTGCAAATCACCTGATCTTCGGGCTCCGGCCAAAAGGACCGTCCTGCCAACACCATCCATATTACGGATCCGATATTCGACAACCTTCTCGGCCACAGCTCGGAGACGATCGTTCCCAGATATCACGGACACCATACCGTGACCGCCCGCCATACACCGAATTGCTTGCTTCCACACTACTAGACCACAAGCTACCGAATATCGGATCCTTTGATTTATCGCGATTGAAGCTTTGCTGAGCCTCTGAGATCAACGGAGGATGGGCGCAGAGCCAGTACAGGCTCGGTACTTTGGCAGATCTTCGCCGAGTTCCTACTATGTCGATCTGCCCAGACAACTCGACAGAATGTCTTCTTCGAGCCCTTGTCTCTGAGGTCAATGCTAGCCGTGCCTTGCTAGAAGACATTCTTGACTCTACCTCTCATTTCAACTGGGACCCCCTGAATTTTGCCTTTACTGCAGCCATTGGCGCACTCGCCCTGATTATTGCTTGTATCACCGTTTTTCAAAGTCTCCTTGCGGCTGGTCCCGGACGGATCAAGGCCAGTAAACTTGCCATCGGTCCTTATGCAGCGAGCGCGAAATCACGTTTTGACTACACCGAGCTTTCGGTAAGCTCGAGACGTCACCCAATCCAGGTCTCTATCGTTAACGCCATGAATAGCTACGCACAGTGGTCTATGTGCCTTCGATCAATCACGTGAATGAGATATACCAGGTGGATAGAGCCATCCCCGACCACGCTTGCTGTAGCAAGTATGATCCATCTGCCGGCAAAAGCGAATCCTCTGCGTCATGGCTTAGACTTCTCGTCGAATTGGGTCTTTCAGACCCACGGCTGTGGACAGTAGTTGCGCGTCAAACTGACGTTCTCCCAGCAGACATATCAGCAGCGCCTGCGGCAGGTTCGGTGCGCTTTCTCGCACATTTGGCCGCCGTCGCGGATGAAAATTGCACAATCGAGCGACATCCCAATGGCCGTTTCGTCACAGTTATCGGACAGGCATCGCAACTCACATTTCGCGACCATCCTGTACTGGGGTCAGTCGCTATGTACGAGACCTATCGAGAAAGCCCGAGCTATGCCCGAAGGCACGTGAAGAAGACGATGACAGAGTATCGCCCCGTCACCGGCATACGTGATCGGCACAGTATTGGGATCATGGAAACAGCCGGTATGCTGAATCTTTCCCATGGCCTTGTTAAATGCCGTCACCTTGGGTATGCCGTCACGGAAGGATTGATACAACTCAGCTTTGGACTGTTGCTGCAAAGGCTCACATCGCATTGCACACATGGACATCTGAGTGACAATCCTGCCTCTATCCTCTTTGGCAGTCGAGGCACAAATGGAGTCAGGCGCGCCAGGGGCTACATGTACTTTTTGCTCTTCTTCACCTCTGTACTGTCTGTGGTCCGCGCATTCCCTTCGGGACTCCTCAAGCTCCCAGAAGCAATTCGTGATATCAGTCGCCTCATTCCAGCTTGGACCACCTCACCGAACGATGTCATTTTTGAGATCAACAACGTTGTTCGCACATACGGCGGTAATTTCCAGGAGATACCGATGGCAGCATATACTTTCTACATCCTTGGCGCAAGGGCGCGGCACTATTCTCATTCTGAATGGCTTGAAGATCCTCCAGGCGCTGGATGGTGCACTAATAGCATGCACAGTGACTTTCGCAAAGATGAAGATGATCTCGTGTACGGCGAGGAAGTCATACAGTTGTGTTTCCAATGGGCCAGCCTTATCAATGTGCAGAACAAGAGCTTGAAGGAATTCCTACCCGAAAAAGAACAGCTCCTGGCGTCTTTGTATCTCGTTGATGACTGGCTCCGACGTCGTAACAAGGATGACATTATCTGCGCCGCACTGTTCTTAATACAGGACACTGCAGTAGAACGAGAACTCCGGTCATCCCAGCTGTCATCTCCGGCGATTGACTTGAGAGCTTCCCAGGTTTCGCAGAACGACATCTCGGAGCAAGTCGATATAGCAAGATTACGTCCCATGCAGGTCATGTTGACATATCGGGCAATTCTACTAGGGGCTCTTCTCGAACTCAGTACAGACACCAGCTGTATCGTGGACGAAAGTTTTCAAGATACAATCGTTAAGATTCTTTGATTTTGAACAAGGACATTTGCGTCAATTTACAACAGATTATGAAACATTTATGCGTATCCCAGGGACCAAAACGTCTCGATGTTCTTTCCAGTATCCTCGTCAACGTATGGAGGCGGCTGGCTCAACGTCACGTTGTTGCCGTGGATCTCAGCAACCTGTCCGGTCAATGATGGATCTGATACCAGCTGTTGAACGCCCCGAGTCAAGGTCGACATAGGAGTAATGATCATTGGCTTGAAGAGATCTTTGCTGGGAGCGATGTTTGTTTCTGCAGGCTCAGAGTCAGCTGCGCTCGCACTCGCAGCCATAGGCTAAGTGGATAGACATAAAAAAACGTACCTAGCACAGCCGGAGCCAGTGCGTTGATTTGGATCGCCTGCTTCTCGAGAGGTCTTGCTAGCGCTCTCACCAAACCGATGACACCGGCTTTTGACGTTGCGTATATCGGGGCCACAGGGAAGGGATACAGGCCGGCATTCGACGCGGTGCAGATGATTGATCCCTTGGACGCTGGTGTCGCGCCGTTTACGGTGGCGTTCTTTCGGATGTAATGGATGGCCAATTTCACCGCTGCCATGCTCAATCAGCATATTCTCTTCCTGGTTGAGGGTATTTGAGGGGCCCGTGGGAGTACTTACTATAAATGGTGCCCGTAAGATTCACATCCAGAGACGGCAGGGTTGGCTTGGACGGAGTTTCTTCGTCCACGATAAGTGATTGTTCCCTGGATATTCCGGCGTTGGCCATGACCACGTCGATACGGCCTTGGTCTCGGTAGATCTGCTCGAACGCTGCGGCTTGCTCGTCCCACTTTGAGATGTCGACCTTGTAAAATGAGAAGCTGGCTCCTGAGAATTCTGTAGACAGCTCCTTGACGATGCTGGCGCCGTCCGGGTTGACATCCAGAACGGAAATGTGTGCACCTTGTTCTGCAAACGAGCGAGTGATTCCCAGGCCGATTCCGCTCGCACCACCTACGAGCAACACGCCAGGTTAGAGGAAATGCTCTGTGCCATTGACGCACCGCGCGAGTATCACAGGACGGGTGTCGACTGGAGATGCAGAGTACGTACCGGTCACGACGATACTCTTCTTCTGAGCCATCTTGCTGATCAATGAGGGATCGTGTCGGAGTGGTTAATAAGAAAAGACTTGGGTCGTGAGTATATCAGGCTCAGGATGGCTGTCGATATGTTGATGAGTTGAGCTTGGAAGAAATAAATGCCTGGGACGGATGATCAGCCACAGTACAAGACTCGCTCTCCCTTTTCTCTTACGCCTTCGATGGCTTGTCCGACCCTGTCGACTTCTCCGGCCAACATGTTGCCTCGTACTCACATCGACATGGACAACGTGGCCGGAAATGCCCCACGCCCTCCCACCCATGAACCCACGAACCCATCAACATCTCCGTCTCCGGATCGTGGGGCAAGAATGCGCAGCCTCGTCGTTTCCCCATCCTTTCGCACAAACTGCCAATCACCACTCGATTCTTGACGTGCCGAGAGGTGTCAGAAGAAACGGGAAAAGTAAATTGTGCCTTCCCCCCCTCATCGGAAGATGTACTTGTATGGGGTTGACCACCTGCTATTTGGCCGCTGGAACAACAGGCGAAAGGCGAGAACTTTCTAGGTTCGTCGTGTAATAAAGGGATCCACATGTGTGGTTGAGTTGTGGGATTTTGCAGAGTGGACGGATGATGGACCGATGTTGATTTCCGTGTCAACGAATTATTGTCTCTCTTCATCGCGTATTGTGTCTGTGGCACTCGTCGTCGTGGATTTCTGAGGGAAAAGTTCCCTACAATATCCCAGGAACCCAGCTGAAACGCACATCAATCAATCAATCGCCAGAGACAAAGACCACGAGAATCTCCTCCCCCAAATTATTTCAAAAATTTTGATAAAATTAAACCATGGCAGAAATAATAATCGACCAAGCTACACTCGACTCCGTTAAAGGCAAAGTTGTGGTGTTGGCCGGTACGTCTACGTTTGCATCGTTCTTCACCCATGTTGATTTGAGTATTGTTCCCCTTGCTAACATCTCATCTCATTCTCTCTCCATAGGTGGCGCTCAAGGCATTGGCGCATCGACCGTCAGTCAGCTCTACGGGTCAGGGGCGCACGTCTTCTTCGGAGACTGGGATGACACGAAAGGATCCAAACTCGCCGAAGACCTGACCTCATCGGGCGACTCTTCCGGCAGCGTCACGTACCTGAAGGTCAATGTGCGCGAGTACCAGTCCCTGCTGTCACTTTTCGACGCCGCATACAACAAGCACGGCCAAATTGACATGGCGATATGCTGTGCTGCGGTGACGGAACGGCCTGGATACTGGGAACCGAACAAGTTGAACCTCGAGAGTGTGAGAGAGGTAGGTGATCACAACACTCATCTCCTGAATCAATTTTCCAATTACTTTGCTGACATCTCGGCGTTAAAATGAGGGCAGACACCCACAGGTATCACGGATGTGATTGACATCAACCTGAACGGCACGATATACTTTGCACGTCTGGCCGTTGCGTATTTGAAGGAAAAGCATAGCTTCGACTCGAAAAATACGACGGCCGATAAGATTACGTCGGCCAAGTGCATCACTCTTGTCGCATCGGTGGCTGGGTTCAAGGAGTCCCCTGGCCTCTTTGCGTACTCGGCCGCGAAGCACGGCGTGATCGGCCTGATGAGGGCCTTGAGAGGGTTTATTTCGCAATTGTACGGCTTGAGAGTCAATGCCATTTGTATGTGTCTCTCCATTTCCCTCTCCACTGCTCCCTCATTTTCCTGTTCAGTCTGCCATTGCAACACTCTCGGTATTCTCGCGAGCTCCTGTATGGGCCCGGGATAAAAAAAACCCCCCCAGCGGGGCAACCCAAATTTTGTAATGATTTCAGTGCGACAAGGACACGGGCATGGACAAGCTAACCAACCACAACTGTGGACACAGGTCCGTGGGCAACCGACACCCAGCTCCTCTCTGGAGTCCGTGCAGAGTGGACAAAGAACAACATGCCCATGAACACGCCGAGCGATGTCGCCAAGTACATTATCCAGGTCACGGCTGACCAGACGGCGCACGGGAAGGCTCTGTTCGTGACGGGCGGAAACGCCGTCGATATCGAAGAGGGTCTGAACAGGACCGAACCGCAGTGGCTCGGGGAGAAGAACAGCCGCGAGTTGAATGAAGGTCAAGTCATTCTCGGATTGGTGAGTTTCTCCCAACACACTTCGGCAGATTGTTATACTTCCTCCTCCTCCTCCTCCTCCTCCTCCTACCCCTAGTCCGTGATTTGATTTGAATGCCACGGAGAAATGTGTGGATGTCGAAGCACACGCACGCGCGCATGATGTGCGTTCTCGTGCATCTAAAGTAGTGGTGTGTGCTAACTTTGATGATTGTCTAGGGTATGGATTGGGGCCATGACAAGTCCTGAATCACCAGTTGACCACGGTCCACGGTCCACGGTCCACGGTCATTCTGGAGGGAGAGAGATCAAGAGCCCGTCAAGACACGGCAGAAGGAGGAGAGAGTGTAACTTAACGCAACGTGATACATTTCGGAGATGGGATAGGATCAATGATCTATGATCTAGAAGAGACAGGAAAAGCTAATTATATCGTGGTGGGATTGCCGTTTTTCCCAACCTACAGTAGGACGTATTGCAATAGTAGCTGGCCATGATTCTGGGATTTCTCAGCTAGTCAGTTTGTGCCATATATCTTGTCTATCCATGTATGATTCTCTGGTACCATTCCTTGTTGTAAGTATGCACATCTAGGTGGAACGCTCATTGCCATAATTTTTTTAAAAAAAAAACAACAGGTGCGAGAAGCACCAAAGAAAAAAAAACAGAATCAAAAAGAACCATACCACGTGTCGCATGTCACATGTCAAAGTCGTATATGTCACCTGTGTAACGTTGTGTCATCCCCGATCACTTCTCTTCTTCGTCTCGCTCCGTCCTCGCGGTCTCGACCACGGGAAGAACAGACACGGGACCGCTCGTGGCTTCGGCGAGATTCTTCTTTTTCATGTCCCAACCGCCCTTCCAGCCGATCCAGCCAGGCTCGTAAGGCCCCCTGGCAAGACAGATCAAGAAGGTCAGAGCGACGAAGGCGACGCTCAGGCTCCCGCTCGCGACCCAGCCTCCGCGGTCGTACAGGTTCGCGCCGGCGCTGGTGCCGGTCAGCTGGCCGGTGAAGGTGAGCAGCATGAAGGCGGTGTTGACCCTGTTGCGGGCGTTGGGTTCGATGGCGGCGATGGAGGCCCGGTTTGCGACCTGGGTGATCTGCAGGCCCATGTCGAGCGTGAAGGCCTGGATGATGGGCCCCGCGACGGTGTGTCGGCCCGAGTACGTCCCCACGAGGACGCCCGTGAGGTTCGCCGCGAGCCCGACCAGGCAGCTGAACATGGGCGCGAACGGCTGGATGATGTACCTCGCGTACAGCGGGCCGAGGCCGATGCCGGCGATGCCGATCAGGCCGAACAGGCCGATCACGACCGGCGTGTAGTGGTACGGCGCGTCGGCGAGGAGGAACGTCAGCGTCGTCCAGTACGACGTGAAGCACGCCGACACGCAGTACGACACCAGCCCCGCCTGCACGAGCACCGCGTGCTTGCGGTACAGCAGGATAATCCCGCCGATCATCTTGAAGTAGTTGAGCCCGTCCGGGTTCGACGACGGGTAGTCCGGCATGAAGAGCCAGAGAGCCATGAACACGCAGTACTGCAGCGCCAGCGCGATCCAGTAGATGTTGCGCCACGACGTGTAGTTAGTCACCACCCCCGAGAGGATGCGCGCCGTCACGATCCCGAGCAGGTTGCCCGACGTGACGATGCTGAGAGCCATGGCGCGCTGCGTCGGTGGTGCGAGCTCGGCCACGAGCGGGAGCATGACTTGTGGGATGACGGTGGTGATGGCGCAGATGTAGCTTATTGCGCAAAACGCCGCGAACGAGCGCGTTAGACATAGTCCGATCCTAGAGGGAGGGTAGTGTATTTGTGAGTATCTCTGACGATTGTTGTTTTGCGGTTGGAGGAGATGCAGTGTGTATGGATGTAAGCGTACAAAGGTACATGATAAGGGGACGTTTGTCTGGGCATGGTGAGGCAAGGTACAAGATTGGACGCGGGAAGATCGGGGGGGGTTTTTGCGGAGACAGCGGCTGCTTCGGCTATGTAGCACTCCGAAGGGAGTAGTCGAAGTCGAGTCGAGGGAGTGGGAAGGGAGTCTGAAGCATGCATTCAAGACTTACCACAGTGTTGCTGTGAACAAGATCAGACCCAGCGTCAACGGACGCCGTTTCAGCAGGTCACCCAGTGGGCAGACAAACAGTAACCCCGTGGCATAGCCGGCTTGCATCAACGTCGGGATGCGTGATACTGTCTCATAGCTCACGTCGAAGTCGTGAGCCAGGATATTGAGAATCGGATGGTTGTAGTAGAGATTGCCGACGGTGAAAGCACCTGCGAAGGCGAAGAGGATATTATGCCATACTGAAAAGGTCGGGGGCTTGTCTGGATTCCACCGACACCATGTTGGCGTGTAAGTGAGGATGTTGATGATTTTGTCCCATAGCGACGTGTCCGGCGAAGATGATGACGACGGGACTTTTACTATTTCCTCGTCATTGCGCTCGTCGACGTCAGCATCGTCCTGGCTATCGGCAGGAGACCGTGCTGGCTGCTCGATTGCCGTCTTCTCGCTCACCATGCCCCAAGCTGATCCTGATGTTGTCGTCGCTGGGAACGGAACGAAAAGAATAAGATTCGCGGGAGTCGGACGGGAAGCCAAGTCGACTGCCGAGCATAATAAAGGAAGTTTGTCATGGTGCGAGACGGTGGATGTCGGTCTGCCGGCCTCGCTCGGGGCAGGACGGAGGAGACTCGATAAGAGAGCCTCTCTTCGAGACGATAAGAGAGGTTCTGGTGATGCTCGGACCTGGGCTTGTTAGACTAATAAAAGTAGGCGGTCCACTTGGGTTTCCAGAGGTTGTACGAACCCGCGGGACACTTTCCTTCGGCCATGCTCGGATAAGTACCTATGATGTAGCTTCCCATACAAACTACGAGGGACGGTACTTTTAGTCTACTTGTAATAACATCGACTTGGATACACGTCAGCAGAGTGATGCCCCCCTTGCTCACCCCAAACTCGTGCACTCATCAGTGATCACCCCCGTCTCGCCGACCGTGAGGGGAGTTAGGCGGTTCATTGACGACTCAACAATTGTGTATACAGTGGCATAAAGTCATGTCTATGCGCAATGAAATTTGATGTGTTTGGTTTTATCTGTTATTTTCCCGTGTTGTTGTTTGGGAGGGGGAGAGCTGTTGGCCCTATGATTAAGGTATGTTAAAAGCTATGCATGTCTCTAGACCTTTTCATTATTCGTTTCATCCTTGACTGCACCCTTGGCTGTACCCAATCTTTTCCATTCCATGCACAAACAGCAAATGAATGCGGCGCCGCACAAAGGAACAGCGGCGATGAAAGCAATTCGGAGTGAGTCGTTGTACAGGGAGATCAGGGCCGGCAGGTCCTTGACGGGCACAGTGCGTCGGAATTCTGTCGCACCGAGTTCAAGAGCGGCTCGGATGTTGACGCCCGGGATGCTCGCGGCATTCTTTTTGTTCAACAAGTGATTCTGGAGCAAGGTATTGCCCACCGACACAAAGATGGCCCCGCCAAAGGACTGAGACGCAACCACCGCGGCAGTTCCTATCGGCACGTCCTCGACGTCCAAGAGAGCCTGCACAGCGCTGAATCCTTGTTGGATGGCCATGCCGAGTCCGGCAGAGATCAAGACTTCAAAGCCGATCCAGCGCGACGAGGGTGTCGACGGTCCGATCGTTGCGAGGAGACCCGAGCCAACGGTGCCGATGGCGCAACCCACAACGGCGGGCGGAGCGAACAGTCCGTTCTTGGAGACAAAGATTCCAGCCAAAAGAGAGAACAAGGCGTTTGCGACCATGTACGGGATCATGTTGACACCGGAATGGATGGCCGAGGTGCCCTTGATTGCTTGAAACCAGATCGGGAGGTAGTATGAATGGAGAAGGAGGGCACCATATATTAGGAAGCCGGCGACACAGCTGGCTGCGACGGTTCTCTGGCGCACAATCCGAGGGGGTATCAAGGCGGCGTCGCCTCGATACAGCACCCACGCGATGAAGATCAGGAGGGTAGCCCCAAAGCCGCAGAGAAGTCCGACACAGCGTGCAGACGACCAAGAATATCGCTGTTCGGAAAATTGCAGCGCCAAAATGAGCATCGTTGTCCCTCCAAGGAGGATGATGTTGCCGATAATGTCCAGCTCAAGGAGCCGTGATTTGAACGAACGTCGGGCACTCTTCTTGACCTGCAGAGAATTGTTCTTGAAGCAAAGAAAGACCGTTACAAACGTCACGCCTCCGATAGGGAGGTTGACCCAGACTGTGCAAGAGAAGATCAGAATTTTACTCAAGAAGAGACGCTGCGAGGATGACTTACAACACCACCGCCAACCAATGGTGTCCGCAAAGGTACCTCCCAGAAGTGGACCGCATAGCGCGCCGACACCATAGAGGATGCCTACGGCGCCAAAAAGAATCGGCCGATACCTTAGTCGGACTGAGTGAGTTCCCACGACGAAGGCTCCGGTGAGTAGACCTGCACTTCCGAGACCTTGGATGGCGCGGCCGATGATCAGGCTATTTGAGGAAGGGCTGATGGCTGACACAAGGCTTCCAAGTTCGAAGACAGCTAACGCGATCAAGTAGGAGGACTTTGTTGCGAACGACACGTAGATCCTCCCGTACAGAGGCTGGAATGCGCACGCGGTGAGTAGATAAGCACTCCCGTACCAGCCTATATCAGCAGAGGAATGAAACCTGGACGTGATGTCTGGAATGGCCTGCAGAGAGAAGAAACTCGGTCAGAATATCGTGCTGAACAAGAAGTTGAAATACAACAAGGCAGGAAAGACGCACCGTAGTAATGATGCTTCGGTCTAGCGATATGACAAAAACAGAAAGACAGATGCCAACCACTATCAAAGCCAACCGCAAGAGGCCTGGATACTGGGTGAGATCATTCTCGTCGTCAGAACAGGCTGCTTCGTCGAGAGCTTGTTGAGCTCCCAGTGGTTGAACGGCTGGGTGAGAGTCGAAGTGAGAGAATTCAGAGACGGTGGACAGCCGTCGGTCTCTTGGATCCGTAATTTCAAGAGCTTTATCGATCGTCGAGGCGGCCTTGACGCTGGCTTGAATCTCGACCGTCTTCTCTGCAATGCTGCCGCGTTTTCGTCCGAATCGAAGAAATCGTGTCGGAGCGTGTCCTGCAGGTGGGGAGCGATGGTTACTGTTCGATGAAGCGGTCAATCTTGGGAATCGAAAGTTGCGTGAGCCTTGCTGTGCCGATGGACTGCAGACCGGCATGTGGTGTGCTTGAGACGGAGTTCGTGGTGGTCTGGAGTCGTTTGACGGAGAACCCGCTTCTCTCACTGTGCGGTTTGGTGTCGCTGCACTTGGAAAGCAAGAAAACGACCTTGTCCGTTCATGTTGGAATCCTGAAGATCGCTGTTCCGGAGAATGGCTTCTGGCAGTTACAAAACTTCCCGCGTCTTCATCCTCTGGCGCCGCGAGGTTTCTCCCATCACCTTCCGCATTGGCGACGTGGGTTGGAGATGAACCATGGAGAGAAGGCGTGATGTGTAAAACGTCGTGGACTGTCTCCTTGAGCCACCCGTCGTTGCTTTTGCGCTGGTATACCGTGATAAAGCTCGTCATTGTTGAGTTAGAAAGAGCAAGAGGCAAATCGAAAGAATTGGTTCCGATCCTGGCGCTAGCCCAACACACACACGTACGGAATGGTCCAAGAGTGACCAAGAATCCTCTATGTATACTCCAAAGAGAAGACTAGGACGGCGAGAAGGCGCGCGGTGTTGTTTTGCAAAGAGAGGGGTCTGGATTTTGCTTTCCAACCCGGACTTTGGCAAATGGCGAAAGGGTGACGCGACGAACCCCTTGATCCTGATCTGTTGTGGATACTCACCAAATAGTGTAGTCGATATACTGACATTTCTGGCGCTCTCAATGCGTCCCGGTCATGTCCTACGTCGAACCGGCGGTCTCATCAGGGTCTACCATAGACCAACTTATCGTCTGAGCGGGCTAGAGGTTGATCCTCGGTGGGTCTTAACCCGCTGGGAAGAATCTGCCGACATGCGTCTGCGGAAATTCACCGCAGTCAGTCTCTGAGACATCAATAGCGCCGGTTGAGTGGTCATCATAAGCTGAATGAAAATCATTAATAAGTCGTGCTTTGTACTTATGTGCTGTACAGGACGAGGAGCGCCATCCGTCTCCACCTAAATCAGGGGTAGGGCGGAAAGCTGATCTACAATATGGAGTACATGCTAGCGGCTGATCGCGTTGCGCTGCCACCCAACCACCCCCGGATATCCCTACATCCTTGAGGAGCTGGCTGAGCTGTCAAAGCTACTCTTTTCAACGCCAAGTTCGACTGTAAGAGACAGACCGAAGCCCTGTAGCAAGCTGAGCACGTAAACCCGACACAATGTTTCTACTTTATCTCGGCTACAAAGACTCCGCTCAAATATTGATCCAAGAGGTCATCTCCCCAATGCCACCTACAATGGTGATTGCGGAAACCCGGGATGCGGATCTCCAAATATGGTCTTTGACAGACCTAGATGAGTTGATACGGTGAGATCTTGCCGAGTTGACCAAGAGTAGCCACAACTCCCTCGATGCCAACGCCGTCATAGTGCCTCCCCAACGCGACATCACTCGCAAATTCATTCTCTAACACTGTTTGTTTGGCTAGGAGATTTGCAATGTCCAGGCCACGGAGCCTCTCCGCCTCGATCTCTTTGAGGAGCTTCCATTTTGGAGCATTTTGGGGTTCCATTGTGCCCTCTGCACCCCCAGGGTGAGATGAAGGTAGTAAACCGGACGCTTCTAGTATTCTGAGGGGTGATATTGTAACTCTTCCATCTTTGAAGACGATTTTGCTCAGCGCTGATGCCGCAATCGGGGATCGAGCAGCCGCACTCGTGGTCTCTTTTGCGGGTCCTTTCGATTTCCCTTCCAAAGCATGGATTTTGTCGTTCACGCCTTCTTTTTTCACCATCACTCGGTCTTGTTGAGGATACAGGGAAGACTTTCCAGGTTGGATTTTGGAGCCTTTCTTGACAAAATGGGTGACAAGGTAGAACCATTTCTCGTCCCATGAAAGGACCTTTGTCCACATGTCGTACGTTTCATAGGGGAGAAGCTCTCTTTTGAAACAGCAGGATACTGCACCCAAGGCCACGGTAAAGTTGCTCCGGGGCTTTCCGCTGAGTCCATTCATGGTGGTGCCTCCGCGTATCTTGTCTATGCCCCTGCCAAACAACGTGGTGATGAGATGAACCCTCGCAACGTCGACGTCGGCAAAATATGTGCTGTTTGATTTGTGGCCGAAGACATCGATTTCCATCAGACACGCTTTAGAAGATGTGATGAGCGGTTGGAAAAGTTGTTCCGGGCCGACTTCTTTGTTGGGCCGCTGAGAGCGAAGGACAAAGCGAAGGGCATTGAGAATCCGAAGATGATAAATGAACGGAAGTGCTTTGAGATTGAGCAGAATGAGTGTAAAGGTCGACAGTTTCCAGATGTTATTCCAGGTGAAGACGAGGCGAATGATGTCCCAGACAGCGACGCCCACCTCCCCGTGGAGAATTGGCGAAGTAGAGGAGGGCAAGAAGAACGTGCCCGCTTCTAGAACGACCGCGAACTGTGAGGTATGATTCGCCATCCTGAGTAGTGGTAGCTGGGTTTTCTTGTGTTCCTGTCCAACGGCGAAATTCAAAGTATATAGAACTTGTGTGAAGGATTTGTCGAACTGGATCAAGCTCGGTTTTGCTGCTCCTGGCCAAAGATGTGTCACCTACTCTTAGAGGCAGCTTAGCAAGACGGCACAGAGGTCAGTAAGCCTTGCGTCGGCCTTAAATTTTGAGCGCAAGTGAGCGGGTCCAGTCGACATGCTTGTAATTTGTGCAGACAGAACCAGACATGTACATCCGAGCATGGAGATCACTGTAGTGCTACCCCTGGAACCTACCCTTCAAGAACAGGAAGTGTAATTAACCGAATTTAGTCTTGAGTGCAGCCTAAACCCATCTTGCTGGATCCAGCGGACCTTGGTTGCCGGACCATGTTAAGCGGAAGTTTGCTTTGATGTCAGGGGCCTCTGACTAGTCTTCCCGAGCTTTGTATTGATGATCAGATAAGCCATGTCCACCAGGAGCTGAATCGGAGAATGTGCTGAAACAAATGACGAAAGGCGGGCTCTGGGACCTGATACAAGTACATGAACAGGATCAGCAGCAGACAGGAGCTGACATGCGGGGTGGGTACGCTATCCAACGCCTGGGTGACTACTACGTCTACTATTGAAAGTGTCACCATGGTCGGTTCGCCGATCGCTCAGCATGCTGCGCGCTGAGAGACACTCAACAAGCGATCCGTACTTTCGGCGCGAGGCTAAACCCCTGGCCTAAGCCACAACTTTATTTCGACGGCTTCTGAGACGTTTACGTACATATTCTGTCACCATGTTCATCTTCACAGACGCTACAGGAGGGAATAATTTATGACAAATTTCGCAGTCCGAACAATTACCGCTATGTATCTGACTCCTGTGCCTGACCGAATACCTGTCCCAGGGCTTGAGACACACTCAATCCGCCAAATGCTGAAGGCTCCTCGATCGCCTGTGAAACGCTTCGGGCTCGTCGCAACCAAACATTATATCAATCCTCAAGTTTCAAGATATACAAATCTTCCACAATTCAGGCTATTAAGACACTTCGAGTAATTTCCATAAATACCTGCCATGCACCAACTCCTCTAGATGTTTCACACATTGCCCTGGTTGGATCAAAGGCTCACAGGATCCCGTACAACACCCAGGTTTCTGTCTAGCCGCGGACACAGCCGGTCTCATTCGTAGATGCAACAATTGCGGTGGTGGCCGACTTCAAGACGTCTGCAGCCAATTCGGAAGTTTGTGACACGCTGGGAATCTCCGTCTTGGATACCTTGCGTAGTGCCCTTTTGGCGGATGGCTTCTTGTATGTAGAGAAATAGAATAAGATGAAGAGAACCAGATAGGATGACAGGATGGCACATCCTGTAACGGCAGCGACCTCTTGTCGTTTCTGGCCACAGCTTCCCGTGTGCGGGAGCCATGGAGCATAAGTGTGTGCGAAGTAGGTGTAGCAAGCAAAATAAATGAAACCTGTACAACAAAAGCGTCCGAAAGTGAGTCAGATGTTCTTGCTGGAGGAGGTACAAGGGTTTCGTACCTAGGTCAAGGACAAACTGGGCGATTTGAAACATGGTGATGTACTGCTTCCACCACACCTTAACGCCTCGAGCAGCTTGAAAATAATACCTGGCATGTACGTTTAGCTTGACGGGCTCATACAACAGGGCAACGCAACCTACCAATACATGACCACATGAACTCCCAGGTTGAGAGTAATTGGAACCCATGAAACCGATGTCTGTCCGACGAGCTGAGTGTAGCAGAGGAGAGCTGTTGCCCCGTGATGATAGGTGTGAAGAAAGGTGAGGGGCTTCTTCTTCACGACCAGGAAAACAGTGTCGAGAAGTTCGACATATTTGGTTAGATAGTTGAGGTAGTACAGCACCAACAACTTCTGTGACCATCCTGACGAGCCGCAAATACCGTCGAACAACCCGTTCTCCCACAACGTAGGGATAAGTTGTTGCGCAAACAAGATCAAAAGGCCACCAGATATCGCCGTCAGAAAGAAGTTGTGGATGATGAAGAGCCGGTTGAGTTTCATTGCTTCCCGGTGGCGCATCAACTCCCGCCCACCAAAGATGACAGCATAGTAGGTTATGATAAAGACAGCTGCTTCTTTGAATGTAGACAGAGGAGTATGGCCCTGCACAAAGCGGAACCTGTCACTCGAGTGCCCAGTGAGTGCTGTATAGGCCTTTTCGAAGACGGTCCATGGATCGTATTTGACGATGAAGGGGGCTGTAACTGTCCCACCATATCCCTTGCGTAATGGAGCGGCGCTTGGAAGAAGCTTTGCAGCGGCTAGGTAGGTTGAATTCACAAACTCCATCTCTGAACTGAGGGAGAAAGTCTGCACAAAGATCTCAAGATGTGGCGCGAGAATTGGAGGGTTCGGAGGAAGAGAGGACGCGCACACGGGAGAATGAAGATTCCAGTGAGCCAAGGAACAGGATTTGAGTCTTTTACATCTCAGCGAAATCATCCAGCTTCACCTCCTGTGACTAGACATGATCTCGATGTCATGTCAGTCATAGACGTGTGCCATTGGTACCGGGATCGCCGCGATCCCAACAGAGAATTAGAGCCTCACCGGCGGGATTCCATTTCCCTGTTCGACGGAGGAAGACCTGCTCTGCGCAGCTGAACAGTCAATAGTCGTTTAGTCAACCAGGAGCGACATGTCTCTCCGGCAACGCTTGATTGTCGATCAATCCTTACTCAATTTGCGCTTGAGGGCTTTTCCCGGTGATCACAGTTCACTCCTTTCTGTCTCGAAAGTGAGACAGCGATATGGTACCGTTCTGGTGTGCAAATCTTCCAAGGCAGATCCACCATTCCGAAGTATCGGTACAAAATGCTGTACTAGGCACAATGTAAAATGTGATTGAAGACGACGGCGACGATACCTTTTGGCACTGGATTGTGGAGCGTATCCAGTGGTAGAGGCATAACTTTGGCATCAACACCATCAGCGTCATCCAGTCCGAAATCCCATCTGCAGGGGAACGACCAAATCATTCCCCATAGCCGAATTGGCACCACTGATCTGTCTCCTATGCATGTCAGATTACTTTACAGTCGCAAGATCTAGCTTGGAACTCGAAAGCACTATTGTTCCGGAGAATAATGTCCGGAGCTGTCAGAATGTGACGGAAGTGGGCCCGGTCTTGACCTCTTTGGGAAAGAGCGTCGGGGAGAGGACATATACCAAATGACAGCGTTCCACCTGACAGGAACCATTAATTCTGAGAGATATGTGATGTTTGAGTCAATGGAGGACGGCGCAGCAGAGAACCCCTGTAATTCATAATCATCCAAGTCCTCGTCTCGGAAGGTAATCTTCTTCGTTGGGCTGCCGACAGGGGCTCGGCATCATAAACAACGTCCGAAGTCTTTTGGATCTAAGAAAGGAGAGTAACAAAACTTTTCATTCATTCTTCTTCTCATACCGTTGGTGGTGCATCTTAACTCTCACCATATCATACACAGCTTGACGATGCCTCTCCAGATCTCCTTTCTGCCCTGTATAGGCCTTGCGGCCCTTGTCGCATGGGGAGCGACGAAGTATTCAGAATCTCTTGAAGTTTCGACGGCGCTCCAAGTCGCCTTACCTCTCGCTACGATACTGTATACGCTCTACTATAGCTGGATTTATCCATTGTATGTGTCCCCGTTGAGGCATATTCCCACCGTTCCTGGCTTTCCGCTCTGGGGTCACTTCTTCGCCATCATCACCTCCGAGTGTGGCGTCCCGGCGCGCAGCTGGCACCAGAACTATGGTCCAGTCGTCCGTTACTTCTTCCCGTTTGGCAGTGAGCGCCTTTCTATCGCGGACGATGAAGCAATCAAACAAATGACAATCAGAAACCCTTACAACTATCCCAAGCCCGAGCGTGCCAGGCGTTGGATGATGCCCATTCTTGGTGAAGGTAATTCGAGCCTCTTTCGTGTCCACTTCTTCTTGTGTACTGATTTCCACGCAGGCGTTCTCCTCGCCGAGGGCCAGGAGCATGTTGTCCAGAGAAAAGCCCTTACACCGGCCTTTTCCATCACCTCCATCCGATCCCTGATGCCTGTCTTCTGGGAGAAATCCTTGCACATGGCAAGACTTTGGGACTCGGAAATGGCCGCAGAGGGCACGACGTCGAAATGCTTCGAAGTCCTCGAGTGGTTGAACAGGACAACCTTGGATATCATCGGCCGTGCCGGACTTGGGACTGACATTAATTCTCTGGACGATCCAGCGACGCCTTTGAGAGATGCGTATCGACGTTGTTTTGACTTCGACTTGCAAGCTCGCGTCATCAACGGGCTTGCAGCATTCACGTCACTCGTGCGCCTACTCCCCGCCCGGGCCAACCGAGATATTCTCATTGCGCGAGACATCATTCTCAGCCGCGCGCAGAAGATCATTCAAGAAAAGCAGACAAAGGCACATATCAAGGATGAATCCCGCCAGAGAGACATCATTGGTCTCATCGTCAAGGACAACATGACTGCAAGCGCCCAGGACACCTTGTCCCTGGAGACAATGCAAAACCAGGTCATGACTTTCCTCGGTGCTGGGTAATGCGCTAGCCTAGTCCGGTCAAAAGATTCCTATAGCTAACCAGTCCCCTGTTGTATAGACACGATACCACAGCAACCTCTGTTGCCTGGACTCTTCTTTTGCTCGCCAAAAACCCCGACGTCCAAGTCAAGTTGCGCGAAGAGATTCGATCACACTTGCCTTTTCTCTTCGACCCTGAGGAGCGCAAAGATGACGAAAAGGTCGAACGCGCCGACGTCGATTTGTTGCCGTATCTGGACGACGTCTGCAAGGAATCTCTACGCTTTATTCCCTCGATCCCCATGACCGTTCGAAAGACCATTGCGGACGACACGTTGGCCGGATACTACATCCCTGCCGGAACCACCATCTACCTCATGGCCAACACGATCAATCGCCTTCCAATGTACTGGGGAGCTACGGCCGACAAGTTTGATCCTTCCCGCTGGCGAAATCTTCCTTCCACCTACTCCACCAACGCATTCATGACATTCTTGCAGGGTGCGTTCTCCCCAAATGTTGGCCTTACAATGGGCGATTGACTGACGTAGCAACAGGTCCACGAGGCTGTATAGGGCGTAAGTTTGCGGAGGTCGAGATGAAGACTATTCTCTGTTCCTTGCTCAGCAAGTTCAATTTTGAGCAAGACCTCTCTGTACAGGATCCGGAGGAGCTGAAGATGTGGAGACTAGTTCTGAGACCCAGGGATGGTGTCAGTTTGAAAGTGTCCAGACTGAGGGCTTAAATATGGTCGCACTTCTACATCACTGACCGAGCGTGTAATATTCGTGTGAACATGTACCACCGAACTTGCTATGTGATTTTTGCTATGCATGGCAGGTTCTCCAGCAGGCCATACACCACCAGAATAAAGTTGTACTACTATTTCTCGGATATACTCTACTTCATCTCGGAGAATGCTTATACTACTAGGCCTTCTCGACATGCACAGGGGTATCCTCCCGGCGTACCTCGTTTGCCTTTTCGTCCATGTACGCTTCATGCACTTCATGCATAACTGCGGCCTCGCTCTGGCCGCGTCGACCGATCTGCCACCACCGGAGTGTGAAGAGACGATCCATGGCCTCCAGGCTCAGGCCGGCCGTCTCCGGGATGAAGAACCACGCCCAAAACCCGCTGAAGGCGGTGAGGCTACAAAAGAACCACCACGTGCCAGCAGCGCCCATGCCACCTTCGCTTGGGGACAGCTGCATCTCCGGGACAGCTCGATTGGCCCCGTACTGGTTGGCGAAATGCAGCAGCATGATCAAGGACGACGAGGCCGCACGAATGCGCAGTGGATAGATCTCGGCGTTGAGCAGATACTGAATTCCGTTCCAGCCGAGGGCAAATCCGAAAGAAGAAAGATAAATCATGACGATGGCGCCAGTGCTCGCGGATTTCTGAGACGAGGTGAAGGTGGCCGGATCTGGGGACCCCACGATCGAGAGGAAGATGGTTATGTACAGCATGGAGAGGACCTGAATGCTGATCCCGATCGTCAGCGAGCGTTTCCGCCCGATAACGTCGACCAGGTAGAAGGCGCAAATCAGGGCACCGACGAGCTTGACGATGCCGAGGATGCAAGTCGCAAAGAGCTTCTCGTTCTGGCCCCTGACGCCGACAGACGCAAAGAAGTCCGGAGCGTACACGGTGATGGACTGCGCTCCGCACCATTGAACCATCAGCTGAATGGCGACGCCAAGGTAGACCCGGTAGAGGTTGGAAGGTATCAAGAACATCTCTCGCACGATGCCCAGCCACCCTTGGCCGAGGGTCGCAATTCTTTCTTCTTCCAACTGGGTTTGTATCTCGAGGATCTCTCGCCGGACGACTTCGTGGTCTTCAGGTAGGTTGCGGATTCTGGCCAGGTTCTGCTTGGCGTTCGCGTCCTTGCCGATTTTGACAAGGTACCGGGGTGATTCGTAATTGAACCACGAAAGGGTGAAGATAATGCTCGCAAACATGAGATGGAGACTCGTTGGGACTAGCTATAAGATGACAGATGTGTCAGTACTCGTATTCAGACCCGGTCCACCACAAGGAGGAAGGTGTTTTCTTCTTACCCATCGGGCTGAGGTGTGATCCCCCATGTGGAGCGACGATCCCCAGCTTGCAAAGTATGCCAACATGATGCCAATGTACACCGAGCCTGCGAACGTCGTCGTGCAGAGCCCGCGCACTGCTTTGGGGCTGACCTCGGCCAGATACACTGGAGCGACGACAGACGACTGGCCTATTCCCAGGCCAGCAATGAACCGTCCTGCGTAAACCATACCGAGGCTGCCGTTGTTGCACATGAATATCACAATCCCAAGCATCCATACCAGGCACAGTTGTCGTGTGGCCCAGAGACGGCCGATGCGGTCACATAGGATGAAAGCCCTGCTCGGCGTCAGCCGCTCAGTAACGTTCACTACTGCTTCCAGGTCGGAGAAGAGAAAGACACTTACAATCCAGCGCCTGCGACACTGCCGATCTGGACCATGGACGAGATGGTGGCCTTGACACTAGCATACTCCGAGGAATTAACGTCGGGCAAGTGAAGCAGGTTCCGAAAGTCTGCGGACGCGAGCGTTCCACTGATCAAACCTTCGTCCACTCCTAAATTGACATGGGTCAGACAATCAGGCCGCTGGGTGCCGAATGGTTGGAGAGTTTGGCGGATGGTCAGCTTTCATACCTCGAGCAGAGCCCATAATACCAAATGAGAATACTGCCAGCCATAATCTCCAATTGAGTACCTCCTTGGGGTCGTCGCCCCGGCTGATCTTGAAGATGTTCAAAGGAGATTTTCCTCCAGCCATCGATGCAGTTTTGTATGTCGTGCACGGCGTCCCAAGGTCACCAGCAGGAAGACTTGATGTAGCCACCCTTGACCATTGCTGCGGGAAACCTGGGGCATATAAGTATTGAGACAGGCCACCCCGGATTTTAGGAGCTGCTTCCCAGCGCGTGGCCGATACCAGAAGTTCGCACACCAAATTCCCGAATTCTGCTCTGATTCGGAACCTCGCCGGGCCGATCTCCTGGTCATTCCCCAGGTCCAAATGTTGCCGCGCAAAATGTGGGGGTGAAAATTAATCCACAAGGCTCCGCCCCCTAGCACCGTATTCCACTCAACGTCGCCTTCCCGAAAGAAAGTCACAGGCCAGAGATTCATATAACAAGTGATGGCAGGTTCAGGACTTGAACGAAAAGGAGGCGTATTTCTGCCATCGTTCTGCCTCAAGCTTCTGCGATCGTCTGCTCCGGCCCTTGATCAACCGCCTGTCCTGTCTCGGAATGTCTGATATGGAGGCACTGGTGGAAGCACTCTCGGAGTACTCGACGTACGTACCCCCTAGACAATTGTATGCAGGCCTGGAATCTCATATGCGCAGTTGTGATGTCTCCGATGCCCTGGGCAAACTCGGAGTCCCCCATAGTGGGTTCCTAGCAGGGCCAACCCTATGGTCACCAGAACGACAATGTGGAAAGACGAAGCTAGTCGGCCCAGCTTATACGGTGCAATATGTCCCTGTTAGCGACGAGACTTCCCCGAAATGTCCTTCGCACTATGTAAGTGGCCAATCCCCTACTTCAACAGGCTGAAGACCCTGCTGAGATATCACGCAGATTGATTCAGTGCCCTCAGGCGCAGTCATTGTGATCTCGGCACCGGCCACCATCAACGCCGTTTATGGTAGCTTGATGAGTACCCGAGCTCAGGCGTCGGGTGCCGTTGGCACTGTGGTGGATGGGAGGATTCGTGACCTGCAAGATCACCGAGACTTGGGCTATCCGGTAGGACGCCTGGCGAATGACCGAGGTGTCTCCCGCAGACTAACGGCCTGGTTTAGGTATTCGCCCGTGAAATAGGCACTGCAGCTCCGTATGGAGTAGCCCGTGTCAGTGGAGTAAGTTTGGTTTATTCTCAACAGCGCTTAGTCGAGCGACACCCGTGTAGCTAGCTGACTTGCAATCATAGTTCAATGTTCCGATAGACTTCAACAAAGAAGGTGGCACTGTGTCAGTCCACCCAGGAGACTACATCGTAGGAGATCTGAACGGTGTCGTCTGCATACCCGCGAAGCTGGCGGATCAAGTGGTCAAATTGATTGCTCCTCAAGTGGAAGCTGATAGCAAAATCGCGCGAGATTTACGAAACGGAGTGCCCTTCACAGAAGCAAGCAAAAAGCATAGAGCAAAGTTGACATAGACCTAGATGCACTGCTAGACACATTGAATCTCAGTATAACACGAGTTAGACGTCTAGCCAACCCGTGGTTCCCATCTGCTTCTGCTATTACCACGTCGGTCGATCTGGAAGAAGTCTAAGCTCATGTCCTCCATGTCTTACTGCCCAGTAATGATGTCTGAAATGGTTCAAGGCGCTTAGATCCGCGACGGACTTTCTCCATACCAAGCACAAGTAGGGACTACCAGGACAAATCTCATCTCTCGGCGATTGGGCCAGCGTGAGGTCGGAACGTCACCGGGCAACTTGCCGGGAGAATGGCCCTGCAAGGATGCGGGACCATTTTCATGGAGCAGACACAGACTAGATACCAGGAACCTCGTCTTGTCCTGTACTGAAACGTTTTCGATTCAACGTTTATGATCATAAGTTAAGCCTTTTCCCTTTCCACCCATGTCTGATAACTTGCTCAGACTCCGTCTTAAATGTCAAAGTCATTGAATCTACGAACATAATTCACGAAAATGGGCAGCATTGAAAGTCCAGATATCGTACTAATAAAGCCATCGTCGGCTTGTTCAGTGGTACATTCCATTCTTGTCGCACATGGTGTACCGCAAGAGCATGCCACCTACGTCGCCGATGCTCTCGTCCTCGCGGACCTTCGGGGGGTGGACTCTCACGGCATCAATCGCCTGCCAAGCTACATCAGCCGGCTAGAAGCAGGAGCTCTGAACCCAGCTCCAAAGCTTGAATTCCAAATGAAGACACCGATAATGGCACTCTTGGATGCCCAAAACACTTTCGGCTTCGTTGCAGCCTCAATGGCCATCGACAAAGGCATCGAAATGGCCTCAGCTTTTGGAATGGGTGTGGTGGCAGTGAAACATAGCAACCATTATGGTATGGCTTCAGCATACTTGTGCAGAGCTATCGAGCAAGGATACGCCGCAATGGCATTCACCAATTCCAGCCGATCCATGCCTCCATGGGGCGCCAAGGAACCTTTGTTCGGCACAAGCCCGTTCGCCATCGGTCTCCCAGGTGGTGATGAGGGCGACTTCATCCTCGACATGAGCCCTAGTGTCGCCGCTCGGGGGAAAATCCGAAAAGCAGCTCGTCGAAAGGAGCGTATTCCCGAAGGCTATGCTCTTGACGAATATGGCCGCCCCACGACCGACCCAGAGGCGGCCTTGCGTGGCGTTGTGCTTCCTATTGGAGGCCCGAAGGGAAGCGGGATTGCAATGATGATGGACATCTTCGGAGGGCTACTCACCGGGGCCGCGTTCAAAGGTGATGTGGTGGACATGAACAAGAACAAGACCGATCCTCAGAATGTGGGACACTGGTTCATGGTATTCAAGCCCGATGTGTTCCTGGACAGTCGAGCGGAGTATGAAACTCGCATGAACGAGCTGATGCGAGCCGTCCGAGAGTGCGACAAGGCCGAAGGCGTCAAAAGGATATTTACCCCTGGGGAAATTGAGGCGGAATTGGCGCTGCGGAACCGGTTGCAAGGAATCTCATACACCAGTTCCGAGGTTGCTTCGATAAACAAACTGGCTGAGCAATCTGGGTCCACAGAAAGATTGGTTTCCATGTGAGGCAAGAGATATGGCGCCACGCGTGATGGAAACGCCTTGTTCGTACCGCCCAGAGGCACTTGAGTGCCTAGTGCCCGCAAACACATACCCCTCGCCGGTTGTACTTGTTTTCTTAGACGTGGAGACACCAGTCGCCTATCTCTGTGTCAATGTGGTTTTCTGGGAAGCAGTCTAGAAATGGAAAACTGTTGATGTCAAGAGATCCGCGAGACTCCCATTGATCGACATCGAGAAGGAAATCATGGTTTGGGAAGGCAGGCAGATACTGTTGCGGTTCGGTCTCAACAGCGCTGTTGAGGGATCTAGATTGATTACGTTCAGGTGATCGCAAGCCGTTGTTGATAATGTCAAGGCTTCTTTGAACGAGTGGGCAGGTGCTGAGAGCTCCCTGAAGAGCGCGCTGAAATGTTCCCATACGCGAACTTGCCTCCACATCACCACCTCTGACGTCTTTTATAATAGCAGACGCACCGGTATAAACACAGTACGCCATGAGATATGTCAGCCGCGTGAATCCAAACGTTTTTTCGAGCACGAGAAGAAGGCTCTCGATGTTATTGGAAGCTTTCCGGCATGCCTCATGGTGTGCAAAATTCAAATTAAATGGGCGGTGAAGTAGGATGATGGTACTATAGTAGAGAAGGCTGAAGTTCTGTCAATGGCCAGAGTGGCGTACCCTGATGGAAGATATACTCACTTTTGAGCAAGAATATGAGGCGGCGGGCATACAAGGGGTGCATTGTCGCCATCGTATTTCAAATGAGAGGGAGATGCAGCTCGCCAGTAATCCAATCGTCTCTGAAGCGCCGAAAGCGCCTGTTCTGTGCTGGAAGACGGGCGATGCGAGTACAACTGCACCATGATGTCGTTGATAATGATGGCAAGCTTGCATGAATTCTCAAAGCACGATATGGAGTGTGCCTTTTGACGAGGGTAATCATGAACCGGGATGGAGCCGAAGTGTCCTGAATCCCCGTAGTACGGTACCCAGAATTCGTCTTCTGTGTGGTCATCAACTTTGCAAGGTCAGTCCTTGACAACGTAAAATGCACCAGGGGGCACCTTACAGAGGGTGGGGGCATGGTCCGAGGGTAAATCAGTCAATGTAGGCATCCGACCAAGATATAGACTGATGGCTCTAATAAGCACAAGGGTTAGCTGTGGATGTTAGCATGGGGTGGCAAGTCTCTCTCTCTCACTTATCCCAGAAGTAGCATGACCAGAAAAGTCTCTTCCGGATTTCTAGATCTTCGACCGTCAAGTGACTCAGATTGGACTCGCGGCCATTGCTATGGTGAAGGCCAAGGTCGCTCACCATCCGAAAAGCCATACCGCTGTACAGCCAGGCCTGAGATGTCGCTCCATAGGCAAGCTCGCGAGCACTCAGCTGGAGCAATGCCTGCGCGGTTGGGATAGAGCTAGGCTTCTGTATCTCGCCTCCGAGAAGGAGACGGGCTCGAGAGATGAGCATCTTCCCGAGTTCGCCACCTTGAAATCGAGACGAATGGGCACAGAGAACAGTGACGAGTAATTGCGAGCAGTATTGACCACCTGAGGCCATATCCCCTGTTCAAGTATAAGCTTCACCGGGCTATGGAGTCAGAGAAGACTGTCCTTACTCATGAAAGCAGGCCTGTAAACCCACAAGAACATTGGGGCTATCCATGCCCAATGCAGCTGTAGCATTTTGGAAACGAGCTCTTTGGGTATATCGATCTGGAGAGCAGCATTGCCCACTGAGAAATCCTCAAGCGACCTCAGTTCTGAAGCTCTGGTCCTTAGGAATCTGCGTACGTCTGCATCGGATCGAGGAGTATCTTCCAGCGTAACGGAAGCAGATGGTTCCTCTACTCGAGAAGGGTCGTGTACAGCAGACGTAGGACCGTGGTAGCACAGCTGATGCGAACGTTAAACATAAAGCACCAAGATGTTGACCGCCAACATACCCGACCGTGTTCGTCAATGCTTAGATCTGAGATTTGAGCCCCTGGAACGGCTCCAGCAGCTACAGCCCTTGGTTCAGGATCCGCGACTGGAGGAGTCGTCGGCGCAGGGACTTGCGTAGGGGACATTTCCCCTGTAACCCCCCGAACATGAGAATCTCGCGCCACCTCGACGAATGAGGCCCTGGATGCCGGGTCATCAGACGGTGTCGACCCTTGCCTGAGCTCTCCGATCAGTTGTTCATATTCCTGGAGCTTTCTGGCCATTGACAGAATGTGAGACAACGGCGGGATCTTTTCATAGCGGCAGGTATCGTGGTACACCTCGCATGTCTTGCAGCTCGGTTGCCTGCCATCACATTTTGTCTGTGACGGAGTTAGTACTCTGAGAAGTGTTTATGGGCTACGACAAAAGTTGACCTTACGAATCCGACAATTTGCGCAGGTCAGAGCAGTTCGGGCTTGTCGCCCACGCTTTTCCACGCGGTTCTTTGGAGTCGGAGCTGGGAGGCTAGAAGCCATTGATATCGCGTGACCAGATCGTCCTAGCTGAGATTGAGCCGGAGGTAGTGACGGCAATAATGGAAAGCATACGGGATAGTCTGACGCTCACCTGGATCTGAGAAAGGAGCAAGAATACTTGATGGCACCGTCTGAGGAGTGGAAAGTCTCTGGTAGACTAGGTACCTACTAGTTAGGTATACATTAAGATTGCTTAGGCAGGTGCCTGTAGGCCCTAGGCACCTCCATCATCATGGTGCGGGGAGTATTGATGGGGAGGAGGGGGGCCCGTGGTGGGAGGCAACGCCTAACTAACTATAGTGCATGCTGAAAGGACTTGTGAGAAGCAACCAAGGCCGCATCTGCAGACTGAGTCGTGACCCACCCATATTATTATGGCCTGCCATAAGCAGTCTCTCACCCGCACACAAATGAAAGACCAGACGAATACGCTAAGTTGGTGGCGCCGGCGACATCCCAGGCTCTTTTCCGGGGCCAATGCCCGAGATTCTTCGGAACGAGGACTGATACTGCACTGGACTTCTCCCACCCGGATCTTCGAGCCATCTCACTTACCCAAGATGCGGACTCTGGGGTACGTGTCTCGCAGGCCGGGAAAATGACTCGATGCGCCTTGATGGGGTCTTGACACGCCTCCGGGTGCAAAACGATATATGTCAGAAATGCTCGTCTGCATAAGGCCCATGACACATTTTGCACGACAGAGACAAAAGAGCCAATGCAATCTGACTCATCGGTGAGTTGAGGTTGAAGCGGTTTGCTATGTAACCCCATACCAGGGCTTTGAGCAAGCTCAACATTGGAGGGCAGGCCGCATTGCCTTGTTCCGGCCTCCACATTTGAATCGGCATCATGACTCACAACGATTGATATATTGCAGAAACCAGACTCGATCCTTCGAAGCATCAATACAGACGTTGTGTTCGTATGCCATCATGAATTCAAGCGAGAAGGACAAGACCCTGGTGAGGGAAGGCTACAATCAGATTGCCCAAACCTACCTGCAATGGACATCGGACATTGACAGAGACTCCTTGCGCACAAAATTCCTCGACAAACTTCTGTCCAAAATTGAACACCCTTCCACTGTCAAAGTACTTGAATTGGGCTGTGGTGCTGGTATACCGTCGACGAAAATCCTAGCAGAGCGGTGTCGAGAAGTCTATGCCGTAGACATTTCCGACTTGCAAATCGACTTGGCCAAGGCTAACGTGGCAAAGGACAATGTCAACTTCATCCGCGCAGATATGACTGGACTCAGCATTGAAGTTGGATCGCTCTCTGCCGTTGTGGCGTTCTACTCCATACTGCATTTGCCCCGGGATGAACAAATCGAAATGTTCAAGCTGATTTGGAGTTGGCTGGAGCTAGGAGGCTTCCTCTTGTGCAACCTTGGTGTCGAGGACAACCCTGGCAATACAGCCGATTGGCTTGGGACGCGGATGTACTGGAGCGGTTTCGATGAAAAGACCAATACTGCAAACATAAAGGACGCCGGGTTCACCATTGTCGAATCTGCAATCATATCGGATACTGAAGATGGAAGATTGGTGCCATTCCAGTGGGTCATAGCCACAAAGAATGGGCTTGGTGCGGAACCAACCTGAGAATTTATTATGATATATCATCTACAGATGTCCAACGTATCGACGGACTAACTTATCTTCACGCTCGAATCATTGCGTCCTGACTCGACAACGAACTAAGTGCATGTCTACTGTCTCAATATGTCCACTCGCAGGATGGTACTTGGTGTCAAAATTCTCTGCCAGTTAGCCAGCGCAAACGATTCTCACGACCGGCGGCCATTTTGATACCAAGTACCAGGAGGACCGTCTTCATGGGCTTGACCACCTGTCCCGATGAGGAGTGATGGGTGAGATTTCGGAATTAAGTCCATGTACGCCAACGAATGTATGATACGCGGATGATGTGATATCAATGTGCGCCACCAAGCGGTATCTTTGATTAGCCTCGCAGATCACCGCGGAGCCGTTTCAGGCTTAACACTATCAATATAAGAGAAAGTGGGCACAATATGACTGCAGGATGAAACTACAGTACGTCCCACAAGCATTTGAAATTCGGACTTGCACGACTCCTAGCAGCAGTCTACGAACTATCACCTTCTAAACATGGCTAAGCACCCCAGTGAAGGATCGTCGCTGTCTCCAATTTTCACGATAAGCTGCCCGGTCTATGTGTCCGAAGGCCATCTCCCTCTGGTATGGCGAAGGCTATGGGAACGACTACCTCCGAGGCTGCTAAGTTCTTCGATACTTCCTCCTACCAACGATCGCCAGTCTCAACGATGGTGACATTGCGGTGTATGACCGGAAATGAATACCCTGTTATCGTGTTTGCTATCTGACGACAAGGTAGGCCCCTCTATAAGTACTAATACAGAACCAGTCTTCTCGTCTCCTGATCTCGTTCACCGGCCCTTGCTGTTTCTTTGCTCGTCACTTGCTCATCACTTCTGCGTTGCGGTTGTCTTCGATAATGTCTACCGTTAGTACGATCTTGCCCGAAGGGGTCGGGTACGGCGTCGTCGTCGGTATTGGCTTCTTCTTCACGGCCGTCATGTGTGGGATATCGATGTTGCAGGTACGCTAGGGTCACCATGCCCATCCATCAGCTCAGTTGTGTCTAACTGAAGCAGAACAAATATACCAACTTCTCCACCAAAACCAGCGAGGAGTTCAATACGGCGAGCAGGAGTGTCAAGCCCGGCCTCATAGCCGCAGGTATAGTATCCGCATGGACTTGGGCAGCGACCCTCTTGCAGAGCAGCACCGTTGCTTATACTTATGGCGTTGCGGGGCCCTTCTGGGTAGAATGCAATTGTCGCTCTTTGTCGGGATACCTACTGACATCCTACAGTATGCCGCTGGAGCCACGGTGCAAATCCTGATGTTCTCCATCCTCGCCTGCAAGACCAAAATGAACGCTCCGCGATGCCATACGTTCCTCGAAATCATTCAAGTGAGATATGGCACTCTGGCTCACTGTGTGTTCATTTTCTTTGCCCTGGTCACCAATATCCTCGTCGGCTCTCAACTCTTGCTCGGAGGCTCTGCGGTTGTCACCACACTCACCGGCATGAACGTGTATGCTGCCATCTTCTTGATCCCGCTAGGAGTTGTGGCTTATGTGTTGATGGGTGGGCTTCGCGCGACATTCCTCTGTAAGTCTATATCACCGGTATCGTTAATATCTCCTCTGACTGTTTCCAGGCGATTACTCACACACGTTGATCCTGATGGTCATCATTCTATACTTCATGTTCCAGGTGTATGCTGAGAACAGCCTCATCGGCTCCCCCAGCGAGATGTTCAAGCTCTTGGGGAAAGCAGCTCGTCTTCGACCTGTCTCCGGCAATAAAGACGGCTCATACCTAACACTGAAGTCTAACGACGCTCTGATCTTCGGTGTCATCCAGCTCTGCTCCGGCAGCGGTACCGTCTTCCTCGACCAAGCGTACTGGCAAAGAGCAATTGCCTCTCGCCCTACCACGGCTGTGCGGGCATACATTCTAGGCGGCATGGCTTGGTTCGCCATACCTTTCGGCTTTGCCACCACATTAGGTCTTGCTGCCGTCGCATTGACGGACAACCCTGCGTTTCCCACCTATCCCAATCCTCCCACGTCCGATCAGATCTCAGCAGGTCTCGCAGCGGCGTTCTCTTCAAGCGCCCTCCTCGGGAAAAACGGTGCGGTGGCACTCTTGATCACTCTGTTCATGGCAGTCACTTCGTGTGCATCCGCTGAGCTCATTGCCGTATCGTCAATCCTCACCTTCGACATCTACAAGACCTACATCAAGCCAGCTGCGACGCCTCAGAACCTCATCTTCATGGCTCACGTCAACGTTGCCTTGTTCGGTCTGATCATGGCCATCTTCGCCATCATCTGGCACGTCGTGGGTATCGATCTGGGCTGGCTGTTTTTGGTCATGGGTCTGTTGATAGGCGGAGCCGTCTTCCCGGCCGCGTTCGCCATCACATGGAAGAAACAAAGCCAGACAGGAGCCATCGCTGGCGCAGTGTGCGGTCTCCTTGCGGGCCTGACGGCGTGGCTCGCAGAAGCACACGTGTACTATGGCGAGCTGACGCTAGCATCCACGGGATCCAACTATGCCACGCTGTCCGGAAACCTCGCTGCCATCATGACGGGCCTGATCGTATCGGTCGTCGTGTCCCTTATCAAACCGGACAACTACGACTGGAGCACGACCCGCGCCATCAACATCGAGCACGCCTTCCACGGGGTCGAGGGGAAGCAAGAGGGCAGCCTCGCGACCGAAGTAAAGACAAAGACTTCAGCCGGTCCCGGATCCGGCGACGACGAGACCCCCTCGCCTGCTTCTCCTGTCATCGCACCGACCACGGCAGCAGACGAGAAACATGTCGCCGTCGGAGACCGACGAGACTCGATCCGCATCGACGAGGAACGCCAAATGTCGCTCGACGCCGCCCTGGAAGATGATCCCAGCCGGCTGAGGTCTGCTTTCAAACTCGCGTGCTGGGCCTCGTTCGTGCTCCCGTTCATCATGGACTTTTTGATCCCCATCCCAATGTTCCTAAGCCACTACATCTTCTCCGAAAAATTCTTCACCGCGTGGGTGGTCATCAGTTTCATCTGGGTGTTTTCGTCGACCTTTATCTCGGTCGTGTTGCCGATATGGGAGACGAGGACTTTCTTCAGGCAATTATACACTGAGATCATGGGCGATGTCAGGGGCAGGAGGTAACAGAGGTCACGATGAATGTGAAGATCAGGGATTGTGGCCCACACGTCCAAGTCCGAGTCCGAGCCAGAGGGGGAGCCTGTGTGGCCAGAACTGATTCAGTCTCGTTCGCGATCAAAAATGAGAAGATAACGCATCCTTGGTTGTTAGGGCTTGACTGCGACGATGTTCGGCCGAGGAATCCAAGAGTGGCAGAAACTGTTCCCGGTGCGTGGCGATAGATATCGTAGACTGCAACAGCTATATCCTTAGAGCGTGATGGCAGATATCACAGACGCAGACGACAACACTATACCCTGATAGATCAGTTCGGATAGATGTCATGATGTCCCAAATATGTACCTTCTACGCAACCACAACTGACATATCCTGGTACATTTGCAATCTTCGTCGCCACCGGAGCATGCAATTGGATTGTTGGTCAATCACCTCCGACACGGTCCATCGTACAGAACGTCGTGTTCCGGGATCCTCCCATCCTTGAACGGCACCTGCAGCGCCACCGTTTCAACCTCACTGGGGTAAAAGGTCAAGTGTCCGGGTGATCTAAGATCGGTGTCGACGGCGATGATGAGTGGGTTGACGCCAGATACGACGAACAATGACTCTGTGGGTTCGTCATCGTCGTCATCGTCGTCGTGGCCGCCGCCTTCGACGTCCTGGTTCTGCGATGGATGTTGGTCTCGTTCGGCAGCCAGGCCCGGAAGAGCAGGAGGATATGTCTTTACGTGCGCCAAACCAGAGAGCAGCACGAAGAACCTAGAGAGGAGAACGTCACGTTGACGGGCACGCGTAAGTACATTACATCCGTTTCGGAAATTGATTCATTCTCGTTGTTCCCTTTTCCTTAAGAGGGACGGGATGAGAGTTGCAGAGACTACTGGATCCAAGGGAGGTAGGTAGGTAGGTAGGTAGGTAGGTAGGTATGTAGTAGGGACGGAGGTACTCACATGGGACTCGGTGGTCGATGCCAGCCTTCTCCTCCACGAGGCGGGAGAACAACATACGTCGCGTTGGCCGTGTCTCCCAGACTCAAGGCGCGCCCGGTCGTGGGATACGAGACGAACCAAGGAGATAGTTCCCAGCATTGTACGATGGCGTGGTAAGGCGGATCTGGTTCGTTGAGAACGGCCGAGAGACGGAGTTTCTTCTCACGCTCATGCTCCTCCCTCTCGTCCTCTCCAAGACCATGTCCATTACCACCATGTCCTGAATAATCGAGCGCACGTTGGTGTTCAGCCACTCTGGATCCGTCGCCGTTGCTCGCGGCGGCATTGACAGCCGTGGCGAGAACCGGGACGAGGAGTGATATGAGCGATATGAGTGACACGGTGCGAGGGATGGCCATTATCATGGTGGGCAACCAGATGGCTTTGGAGAACGAGCTGACCGGTGGTTGCGTATACTTCTGACGCGCCGCAGATGATAATACCTGTTATGTATGGATGAAACGAAACATCGAAGGGCCTGAAAGACTCGTGGTCTGCGTATCAAAATCGATAAAAGCCACTTCTCGTACGTACAGCACTCGGTTGAGAACGCAAGTTGCAAATACGAGTATAGAGAGACTGTTGTTGGTCTACGAGTTGGTTGGCCTCGTTCCGGCGTGACTCACAATAGCCCTACCATAGCTACGGCTTAAGGGCGATCGGTTGACAGACGACGAATCAAACGGTGCAGTAGAAACTCGTACAAGCGAAGCGTGCACTGGTATCACTTCGCCGATCCTGTCGATCACGTATAAAATAGGGCATACAGTACGACAGCAAACACCAAAACGGACCAACAACGACGTTCATGGAGTTTTGACAATGTTTATTCTCATTCTGTCTATCTCCAAAGACTGTCACCCTCATCAACCCCGGCCATAGCACCCATAGACTCATCCCCTCGTGCTTAAGCCAATCGACTGCGCCACATACATAGTACCTAGTCATGCGAGCCAGAAACCCTTGATGCATGTAGCCGCCACATAGCAAGAGCAGACCATTGTCTGCCTTGATTTTGATAATCCAGTAAACAATAACTAAAAAATGGTAAGAATGCCGTATAGATAGGCCGTCTGAAAAGAGTGTATCATCACTTCGTTGTGCTGAAGTCGCAAGTCATAAAATCATCTCGGATCGCAGATTCGGATGGAAGGAATATCGTAAATATCGTAGCAGTGTAATCATAGCAGTGTCATTGAACCGAGAGATGGACGGTTTCTCTGGGGTGAAAAAACAACCTTTGACTTCTGTAACGTGTAACCGCAAGAGGTTGCCCCTTTGTATATTCTCACTAACGCCAAAAGATTCCGTGGCGCCGGTGCCGCGAATCGGAAGAACTGTGTACAAGGAGGAAATTTTGCGTAGAACAAGAGCCTTCGGGACTATACAGTTTATTTGTGAAACATGTCGGTAAGAACTTTGATTAGGTTGCGTCTTTGTGGTGAGGGAGGAGGAGTGTGAAAATAACTTCCGCGGCCGGGGACCGTCAAGGCCCGAGGACGAGCAACCGACATAGGCCCTACGATCTCGCTATCACCCATCTCGGGGAATTTGCCGCTCTTGTCGTTAATGATGGGAAGAACCACCTTGCTGGCAGGGGTCTCCAGGGCCACGCTTGATGCACTAGATTCCTGCATCTCAGAATCGCCGTCACTGAGACGAGCAAAGATGGGGGCGAGCGCAGTTCTCATAAGATCGTGCTGTCGCCTCCAGACTTCATCAATAGATGCCCACTTTTCCTCGGTTAGTCTGAAGACCTTTGACGTCGAGCCGTAATGTTCGGCAGTACGTGCAACGTGCTTGGCATAATTCGTTCGAGCATGATCCCAATTGTTGCGATACTCCGTATAAGAGTCCAGATCAATACTCTCCGGCATGTATGGTTCTGGATAAATATTGAAATTGGCATGGCCAAGTCGGATCAACCACGGGTCAGGGTCAGAAAGTTGCAGAAGCGGGACGTCTGGAATGATGCCACCCCCCATTGTACTCGCGCGAGAACGGTTGTGCATGGATACAATTGACGGTCTAGTAGATAATGGCGGGGATGGTAAACTCGACTGGTTCATATCCATTGAAGTGCGACAACTCATGATGGAAGACGCGGGTGCGATGGAGGGGGACTGCAGTGGAGACTGGATTGGCTCTTCCTTTTTGCACATCTCGAGCAGAATTGGTGGTAACAAAGGCGTGGTAGCTAGGCGCTGCTCCTCTTCAACTTCATCATGCTTATGCTCAACGGAAATTGGTTCGGCGGGTATCTCGAGTGAGCTTTGACTAGTAAGTGCTGTGCCCGGAGAGGCAGGAAAGAGGCTCTCATGCTTGGAGATTGCACTTGATGCCGGAGTGAGAAGTTGCGACGAGTTGAGAGAGCCGGAACGAGAAGCTGGGTTGTTTGGATGTGTGATGATCGACAGCCGCGGTTCGGCCGCCGACCTGTTCCTCCAGCGTCTTTTCATAGATCCCAGTTTGCTGCTCAAGCGATTTGGGTTGGTGCTGGGAGGGGGGGCAGGTTGTTCCAGTGATCGGCGTCGTTTGGGGGACTGGGGAGCCTCAGAAGCTGAAGACCATTCGTTGTTTCCTCTCAAGGTCCATTCGAGGTGTACAGGAGAGCTTGGTGGAGAAGGCCCAGTATGGAGATCTGAAAATGCTTTTTCATAGTCTGCGAAGTCATACATTCTGCTGTCGTTGACCAGAGTGTAACCTTCAAACTCGTCTTTTTCATGAGGCTCCTCTGTCACATCTTCCAACCTATTGAGTCCTGCATACATGTCGAGCGATTCTTGAGGGATCGGCGAGGATGTGATCGATGAAGTCGAGCCAGAAGACGAATGCCCTTTGGAGAACGTGGACGCGGTAGGCGAGGAGAGATTAACTGAAGAGGTGGCAGATCGAACAACGGCTGGCGCAGTCGCATCCGTAAGATATAGTCTTGTATCGTCCATTCTCGTTGTTCGAGCAAGATCGTCTTGTATTATTCTCACAATTTCAAGTTGAGCGAGTGTCCGGGGTGTGAATCAACCCCAAGTGAATGCAAAAATCGAAGGAGACTGAGGGGGTCAGCCCAGATCGGTCACAGGCGGACAGCAGCGCGCATGATGGCTAGTGACATTCCTGGAAACTGATGGTGGTGAATGGTGTTTGCGGGTTCTGTACGTGTTCTTGGAGCCCAAGCTGTGTGGACATCGACAGGCCAACAGCTGGTCCTGGATTGTGCGGTCTCTAGCTGAGGCCAGTCAGGGAAGAAACTGGGACTAGGTCAGTGTTCCATCAGTCGAGCGCCATGTGTACAATTAAGAGAGGGAGATGAGAGAGTGACGAGAGAGTAATAGACTAGTTCTAGCCAGATAGAAAAGAAACTGGCAAGGTGCGAGAGCAGATGGCGTTGATGGGGTGTGAGTGGCTCAGAAGTGAAAACTTGTGTGCCGTGGAGCTGGTTGAGCATGCTCCGCCCAGGGACAACTTTTTAGTGCCACTGGGCCCCCCGGGTAGCCCAATAGTGCCTAGAGCAATAGAGGCTAGCCAGCCACCCCAAGCCTACCCGTAGTTTCTCTAGCGCCAAATGTTGCACCAGTTGCTTCTGCCCTGCCAGTCTCTCCCCCCAGCATCCCTGTGTCTCTCCTCCCCACCGAAGTGGCTTCTGTCCACCTCCACTGCTCTTCCGCCCTGTCGACCTCGCTCTCGCCTACCAACAAAACCTCTCGGTGCTCCGGTGCTACCCTGGGCTATTCTACCGTACTCGTCGTACCATCGCCTCCTACCAGCCGTTAAACTCGCTAGTCCAGAAGCGCCACTCTGTTTCTTCTCCTTCTCGCTGTCGTCCGACTTGCCTGCTCCTCGAATGGCCGCTGGATTGTTGGTGGATACACATGGTCTTTAACTCAAAGAGCAAACACTATCTTTGGCCATCTGGTCTCAAACCAGCAGGTTCTGACGAGGGAAAGATAGCTGGCTACTCTTGCGACATGTCTGGCATCTGTGAGAGCCACTTCCTGGGATGCAAAGGGGAGGGCTCATTATGACCCAGGTGGCTTGAAGGTCTTACCTCTGACGCTGTTGATCCATGTCTAGTGGCTCTCATGACTGCAGGCATGACGGCGCACACGAGGGAGCAAAGCCGTGCCGTCTGTACAATTCCGCAGCTCAAGGAGCACGTCCTCTCTATCCCGGCGGCTTACTGCATGTGTACTATTATGCGCTTCCATTACTCTCTGCTCCTTTGCCTCTTATTTGCGACGGACCCATCGACCTCGTGGCGTGTTCCACTGCATGGGAAAAACCTAACGGTACATATTTGCAATCCGGAGTTGCTATAGCTCAAAGCGCCAACTAAGAGCGAACCAAACGTCGTGGCACGACGCTTGTGCATCTTCCGTGCCGCTTTGATGCTTCCGTCCGGCTCTCCAATACTAGCTTGAATGCAAGGAACACAAGCGAACCTGTCAGGTTTCTGCAGGAACGGTATCAGATATACTCATGGCGGGTTCCAACCGATCCTACATTTTTTGGCCTGCCCGACGCTATTTCTTGCCTACCGCCTCGGTTAGGTCTGTCCAAACGCCTGGATGAGAACATCATCGGTCTCTCTGGAGCTTGAGCGTGAAAGTTTTACAGGACAACCTTATAGGCCACTATCGCGATGCTCTAATGACTATCTCTGATGTGCCTTCGGTCTGGCATCGTCAACACCACCGCGCGAACAAACATTTCCCCGCAGACACAGGACAGTTGACTACCTGTCACTTTCCCGGTCAATGCTTCTGCTCGTTACATGCACTATTCGCGGTATGGATTCGGTAGAAAAGAATCCCAGACGGCCGGGGTTGATCGTTGGCGCCGGCTGTATAACGTCACTGTTACCGGCGATCTGCACGGTTGTGTGCCGTTTGAGGTCCTTGACGTTTGCTTGTCTACTCGATTTCCTATGTACTTTATTTCCCAGTGAGAAGTTGGGCGCCGGAGTCTTTCACGGCTTTTCCAAGCTCGCCTCCCCTTGCTAGGAGAATGTTCGTGCAAGCAGCGCGACATCCCTTCCAAGGTGCGTGGCCAGGCTCGATAAGCCACGAGTTTTGTTCTTATCATGGTCACCACCCATTGTCGGACCGTTGACAGCATCGATAAGACCGCCACAATCGATAGCTGTCAAATCGGAAAGCCTAAAGCTCTCGGCCCAATCGGCACTTCTCAGTCGGTTGTCCCCAACATGCTATAACTGGAGAAAACATGCCATAGTGCTCATTTCGCGAAGAAAGTACTATATGGGCGACCGCAGCATCGCCGGCAATAGAAGCGAGAAGTGCTGCGCTGTGCATATATTGCTTTCGCATGCCACAACAGCCAAATTGCAGTTTCCGGAATCGTGAACGTCACTCTCAATTGTCGAAATCCTGGTGGTATCTACACACGCTCACTTGTTGAAGCATGCCTCGACGTAGGGACAGTGTGAAAAAGGTCGCTTGTACAACAAGCTCTCGAGCGACCACAATGGCGTCGGCAAAGCCACTCCAGCCACTCCATGCTTGCCTCCAGTCTAGATCATCGATGACAACAACGGGGTTGAACCATTTCGCTCTCAGTGCAGCGACGCTAATAATCGACATACTTTCTCCCGAGGGTGCAATAAAATGCGCGAATCTTCGCGAGTTTGACCAGCCTACGCATATTTTGATACCTAATAGTAGAACTGGTAATTCGTTGGCTCGGTGTTTTCTAGCACAGCACTGGTTGACATTGGTACATTGATACAAAAATTATTTATGGTGGCCGCCGGGAAGGTCTTGGGCTTTCCCGCGGAGGGAGATCAACTTTTGCTCGTTTTGTCGTGTGCTTAAGAGCATTTCTCATCTCAGGGTCTTGCGTGCATTGACCAGGACAGAGCTCCTTAGCGGCCCTGTGCGGCCATATGGTTGACGACGGAACCCGACCGCGTGGTTTTCGATGGGCGCACGTACCGCCAGACCATCACTGCGCCCCCGGGATGAATCGAGAGTTTCCATTGATGGATCCTGGACCCCTAACTCACTTACCTAGTCGTACGAGAGCGAGTACGAGAACGAGCAGAATTAGAGTATTTTGAATTATGCTCTTTTTTTTCTTTTTTCTTAAAACGCAATATCCGAAAAATATGATGGAATCTTACTAGATCAGCCCGATAATATTGAACCCGAGCTCAAAAATCGGTTTGCTTTATGGTGGCTGGGACCACGGATTGCTTTTCTTTCGGGACATAGATACCTCGTATATAGAGAAGCACTTGCCCTGCTACTAGCGAAAAACAAATTATTGCATTATTGAACCAACCGGTGGGCGGGTTTTCCTCGTATAGCCCAACAAATAGTCGGCAGGTTTATCTACCGAGTACGAGCTGTCAAGCAGGACAGCACCGAAAAGGGTTCGAGCACAACGTACCTTAGAAGGTACCTGACTGTGCATCCAGGACCTACCAGGCCGAGTGCGTACCGATCGATGTCTAGGTACCTAAAGGTCCCTGGACCAGGTATCAAAGAACCGAGGAGGCGGTCGCTGCGTTGTCGATTCATCGCTGTCCCCTGCGTAGCGTCCTCGGTCCGTCTCCGTGGGTATTATCGGCGGAAGTCTATCTCTTCTTGTCTCTCCAGGTCAGAAGGTGAAAACCGGTGAGCATCTGATGAGAGTCTGATGGTGACTCGGGATGCACAACTTTGACTACCTTACCTACCTACCTACATGCCCTAGGCGGGCGTGAGGAACGTACTATCAGTACCCCCGTCGATAGCGAGTGGACGGTCCAGGCGTGGTGCGCAGCCATCGGCGGGCATTCGTCGTGTGCTCGTGCAATGCCTACTCCGGGAACTATCTACTTCATGTGCACGCGAGTCATGGAGTCATGTAGTAACAGGCATCGAGAACTGGAGAAGAGTCGCGAGCGCCAAAGTCCATTGTAGAGGACAGAGGAGTTCCTGTTGGATAAGGCAGGTAGAGAAGCTGTAGCCGGGTACCCAAGGTAGGTACCCAGGTCGGTGCAGCATATTTTACCTACCTACGTAGGGCCATTCTACAGAGTACTCTGTGTTAACCGACATCAGTCGCCCGTCCCACTTTCCACATCAACTTTGCACACGTACCACGTCGAGACGGTGGCTGGTGGATGAAGAGAGGAAAGGTAGCGGCGCTAGATTCATATCGATTGATTCGCCGTCCAACTGCGAGCACGCATACTTGCAAACTGCACGATGGGTCTCGGCCTTGTGGTGAATTTAAGGGAGTGTTCCGAGGCAGATTAGGGCTCCAGCGTGCACGGACTATGGGGAATGCGCGGCCCTTATGGATTGGTACATAGAGTACGCTGATGGTCGATGCATCGTCAAGAGAGTGAAGACCCAGGCGGATCGCTTGTTGGTGATGGTGATGGCAGTGCTGGCAGTCGCCAGGTTGGTCGAGGATGTGGGAAAAGGCGCACAGTGAAGGTGCAGGGTAGTTCGGCTGGCAGTGTGGTCCTCGGTGAAGCCATGCGGCGCAAGAAAGAGCATGAAACCTAGATGCCGTCGAGAGCTAGTTGTCGCACTTTGTGAGGTGCAAGCCAGGCTATTGCTATTGCTATTCTCAGCCATTGGTTTGTACCGCTCTTTATCGGATGTGATCGTAGTGCCACGGCTAGCCTTTGTGCAGCATCACCCAACTGCTAAGAGTCTCTTCTAACATTGAAAGAGAATGTTCTGTTGTGTAGCTCCTGTGGTGTGAAGGGTGTGATCATGAATAGCGAGTGGGGGTGTCGAGGAAGGCGACAGAGTTAAAGGAGCTCGAGGTTGCATCATGTCGAGTATTTTGATACCCAGTATCGTGACCAGACCTTCTTCTGCTCTTCGGTGCCTTTGAACTGTTGGGTTGAGGTCAGCACTTGAACATTTATTTGGGACGCGAATAGCATTCGCTTCACGTGCCTCGAAATCAACCTTGTAAATCTCCTCAAACCCTTCCTTCAATGTAGGCTCTTGGAATCTCTGCACAAACGATTTGAATGCAACCCCAGGAAGCATGTCGCGCTTTTCGGGATTCATCTGATAATAGGACAATGATCATTAGCCTTCGGTAAAACATCAAGACAGCCAAAAACAGATGGAGAGACACGGGATGAAGTAAGAAGCGCTTTATGCATCTCAGGAGTAACAATATACATACGGTATCTGGATTCAATGCTCTCACGGCAGCGTTGTGCTCGGCTAGTCGAGTTGAAGCTGTGAAGCGAACACAACGGATAGGGACGTTGTATTCGCGTGCGAGATTTACCCAGTACCTTCGAGTCTCGACATTGGCGTTGGTGTTATCTGTCATTTGTACGCAAGGTTAGCAGAAATCTACCATGCTAGAAAGAGCATTGAGCAGGCGGTCTGATCCCTCGCATGCACCTCGAGTAACACATGGGTGGGGGCATGAAACCCCTGCCACCGCAGTCTCTGGGCGACGTAACACAAGACATGTGCACGTACACATGACAGACCGGGAACGGACGCGGGGAAATAGGACATGATGCAGGCCTGATATTGTGCAGCATATGACATGATCGGGGAGCGAGGGAGCAACAAGATTTAGGCCTGGTCCATCTGCCAAGGGTGACACCACCGGTAGAGAGGTTGGATGCGATAGCAATGTCGACCAAGACCAGGCAGCTTTTCTCGATCAAACAACGGTTGTACATACCCACAGCCACTGACATCCCTGCATCTAACAGGTCTCTTGCTTTCCTTATGCACTTGTCACGCTAGATGAAAAATGTGTCTCAGCCTGAAACCAGTCTCTAGATGACAAGGGGTTGTGGCATCTGTGCGCTGAAGGTTCACACATGGGGAACCAGCTGCACAGGTAAGCCAGAACATACCGTCTTGAGGATGTCTTGGTTGACCCTTTCGAATCCTAGTGGTTGCAGCACGTCCCAGTAGAAGGTGCTCTTTCCAGCTCCGGGGGAGCCGCAGAGGATGACCAATTCTTGAGGGCCGCTCTTGGTGAAGGGCGCGGTCACAGCATCCTTCTTCGTCTCATTGGCAGAGGAAACGGTATCAAGGAGCTTGGTTGGCTCAAAAACGTGTTCATACTCTTCAGTCGACTCATCCAAAAAGAACTCTTCAGGAGTCATGAATTTGATGCCAATATTTGCTGCAAGGTCCCTTCACATAGATGTAAGTTAGCTACGAGTGTTTGTGTTCTCATGCTGCGGCCGACGTACCTGTCTGAGGTAGCATGGTCCTTTCGACGCTTGTCGGTCTTTTCACGTCCAGCAGCATCGCCGATATAGAATGAGCTTCCCATATCAACTGCGCCCTCCGCCAACAGATCGTAGTCCTCGAGCATTGCCTGCCACATCCCTACCCTTGGCTTTCGGTAATGATCTTGATCTGTCGCAGCATAGATGCTGATGGGAAAGTCGAGCTGTTGAAAAATTGATCCAACCTGCTGTTTGAGGTTATTGAGACTAGCAGTGTCTTTCTGAAGAGATTTGGAGTTGTTTTTGAGGCTAATGTTCCCTTGGTTGCTGATAACCACCACGAGATAGCCTTCATCATGGAGCTGCCTCAAGCGTCCGGGCACCGATGAATCCCACCATTTCCAACTAGTAGCCGAACGAGCCCATTTACTTCCTGTATTCGGAACTATTATTGTGTCGTCTAGGTCGAAGGCCGCAACCTTGACAGGGAGTGTCCTCGTCTGTGGCGGCACATTTGGTAGATCATAGCGACCGACAATCAAACTGTTGTTGACAGTCCGCCAAATCAACTTCTCTGGTTCTTTTTGAGAGGTTGGCTTGAAGAAGCTTGCCACAGCCTTGTCTGGGACACGTCAGTAGTTTGAAATGAAAGTCTCGAGTCTTCATACTGGTCGTGGTTGACTCGACCTTGCGTTTGATTGGCGGAGGCGATATCGAACCGTTTGTGGGAGGAGCTGATCGTTTCATTGCGACGAACCTTGGGCGATACGCCCCAAGCCGGCGAAGATCACAGTGGTGGTACAACGTGGGATGAAAGCGCGGTGAGCGCAGCCAGAAACGTAAAGCCAGGGTCAAAAACGGCTCGTTACCTGGTGATGAGGTCTGCTCGTCAGCATGAGAGGTCAACAAGTCAAAGTTTAAGTGGTCGCCTAAAGCGATAACAATCTGGGGTTGAACGCGCTTTACGCGTGTCGAGATCTTGACCGGACAATCACGTGAAGTAATGAGTCAGCAAACTTGGAAGCGCCTTGAAGAAGTCTATCTACGCCCTGTAACGGGCACACGAGTATCCAAGGCCAATCTATCACCTGGAGTCAAGTCTACTGCCTGTTTCAATGCTTCTTTGTGTGCCAGTAACTGTCTGGTGCCCTTCTCTTTGAGTTCAGGGGCGTTACCATCAACCACTTCAACCGTTGTCTGCATAATATACCCACCAGACTGATCAAGATCTTTGAGCTTGGAAATATCCGAGAGAAAGGTTGTGTCGTTCATAGCACTCTCTGCAACAGCTTGAGGAAGCAGGACTACTTTGTGAACAGAAAGAGTAGTGTCTTGATCGTAGAAGTTCCAGCCCACTACCAAATATCGAGAGACGTAGCTTAGAACGAAGTCAGCATGAAACATTCATCACGAGAGCGGGTACATACTCATAGCCAAAGGCATTCAAAAACTGGACAAAATCTCCGTCTTCTAATGGTACCTTGTGAATTAGCCTGGTACTAACCGCCTGCTTGCCGGCTTCCGGGGTGTCCTTGAACTCGAATGTCCATTTGATTTTCGTTTGGCTGACGGAGGGATCACCACTCCCATTAGTTGTCATGGTCACGTCGCCATCGAGCTGATTCTTGGTATCGCCCAAAGCTACTTCACCAACCAATTGAACATAGTACAGGCTCCCATTGAGCATCGCTCTGATCTTCTGAACCTCTGGTTGCATAATGCCTTGTGATCCACCGGCCGAAGGGATATTATCCAGCCCCGGTGGTGAACGAGCTTTGAAGATCAAGTGGACCTCCACAACTTTCTGTGGCTGCATGCGTGTATAGCCAGCTAGCTGTTGGAGGACTTGGTGATGAGCATCTTTGCTGACCTGACCATAGAGGGCGAATTCATGCATGATGCCGTACTTTCGGCCGAGATTCGATACTTGGTTTGTGGCAGGTGGCTCATCGGCGATCTCAAGTGTGTCGGACAGTCTGGATCCGGGTCGGCAACGCAGAGTCGGTGACAAGACTTGTCGTGTGAGTGACAGGCTGCATCATCCGTGTGGTGTGAAGGCGACGAGGCCTGGGTACGGGGTGTTCCCTCGCGGGAGGGATCCGTGGAGGAGCGATGTCGAAGGTCATACACAGATTCTAGAATTTTAGGCCAAAAGAACGTTGCTTGTCAGGCGTAATGCGGCATTCGTCTTATCAGTCACACCACCAAGCCGCAATCTAGTTTTGATACTGTGTATCTGACACGCTTGATGCAATGGCGGAAGAAAATTGGGTATCGACCGACGGTTCTAGATACCGCAAGTGGAAAAATGTCGAAAAGTGTGGATGTCGCAATATAAGAAACCGTATGTACATCCGTATCGCCGAAGTCCGGAGTGCCATTTAATTCGCCCACAAGGTGCTTTGCTTGCGCATTTCAGCACGCCTGTCCCGCTAACCCAGCGCGCCTACGCTTGGTACCTCACAACTTGTATTCTCCCGTCCGAGTCCTCAGTGAATTGCTTCTTCAGGAACAACTGGGAGCTCAAGAAAAGCACTCACCCGGCGTCACAACTTCTAATACACGGGCCTCCCCAACATCCACGACGCATCCTCGAAATTCCTTCACTAGCAGTCTCGGCCACCTCTTCTCCGTCCCAACCTTTCCTCGCAGTTCGTCTGGACCTGCACCTGAAAGCTCCACCATCCGCGCGAACCGAACCCGCCTGTGTGGGAGGCACCTGTAGATATTCGTGTGAGGGAAAGGCGAGGCATCCTGCATAGCTGGCAAGCTCGCGTCTCGGCAGATCGACATCTCCACGGTGTACTTCTCAATCTTCTATTTTACTTGAACATCTACACTCAAACTGTTGTAAGAAGCACATTCGCCTGCAATACGACAAGCACTACACAATATACGCCGCCGCACGCCGATAGCTCTTGACACCGCAGTCCTCTTTTCTCACTCAACAATATGCGACCATCCCTCATTCTTCGAGCAACCCAACACAGGGTGCCCTTGATTAAGTTTCTTGGGAAGCGAACAACACCTAGTGAGGCAACCTGAATGGCAAGCTCTCCTGGACAAGATGCTGACCTCCCACAGAATCAATAGACCACACTCCCCACGCCCATCCAGCTTCACCAACGCACTCTCTCCCCGATAGCTTCGTTCAATATAGAGCCAAAGCCCAGCAACACGGTCCTTTGCGCGGAGACGGCGGCAACGCTCCTATTTCCTCGACGTCTTTTGCTGCAGCTACCTCAGGCCCAATGACGTACGGTGCTATTGGCGGGTCCGCCGGTGGTTCGCTGGGCTCTGTCCAACCCAAGGCTGGAGAATATTTTGACAGAAACGAGCTGCCAAAGAGATTCTGGCGAACTCAATGGTCAGAAGAAGAGATTGAGGCAGTTAGCAGTGGAGGAGCAAGCATGTTCGCGTGAAGTTCATGAGACAGACTTGCAACGCGATGCATACCTAAAACGAAGCATGATGGTCGACACTATTAGATCGCTATCAGTGCGCCAGGACGACGTCTATAAATAAAACTGATTGAAACGACGGTTGACATTTCGCAATATTGACCAGCAGAGCCACCCTGATTCGAACGACTGCCAATCCAAAGGCAGTACACAACTTCTCACCAGCAGACCGCTACCGTTTCGTGCTGCGGCTGGGAGATACCCGAGTGGCAGGAAGAGAAGGATTCTTCACGGGCTCCTGACCTCGCCGGTGTCTCAGAAGTGGGCGACCTATTTCCCCGGAATGTACATACTACTCTAGCAAGCGGCAGCAGATGGAACGTTGAAATATCCACCCCTCATCTCATTGTGCATTCGCCCTCATTATTGGTTTGATAGCGGCCTTCATACAGACCATGTTGAAAACAAGTATACTACACAGCAAGACCAGGAAATATATCTTCGAGCTCAAGATAAATTTCCCAACTCCATTTCGAGCTTCGCGCTCTGCTTTTGCTATGGACTTTGATCTGTAGTCTGGTCCTAGATTTCATATGGGCCGGTGGAATTAACGTTGGGCTTCACAGTCTAAGCGTACAACAACGGCCACACAAACGTGTATCATGGTTTTAATCGCGTTGTCGAGCCCAGGGAGCAATGTATACTTATCAAGGGACGACTTAAAGTAGGGTACCTGTAGGAGCCAATATGGTGCAGCCGTCCCTGAGCTAAGCCAGATTAGGATAGCGCCCTCGCTCTTTCCCAAAGTTGGCGTTGTCCTAAGAACTACCACAATTATAGGGGGTCGCAGTCACAGTCGTTCACCTTCATCCGGGGAAATTTCACATCACAGTCTTGTTTGCAGTTGTCTTTATTCTCTTTCGCATCGCATCACAGCTTCTTGTTTTCGTCCCTTCTCCGTCCTCTTGGTACACAGACAACCATGGCTATGGCAATGCCGCAGGGTAATGCCATCTTTCCTCGCTCGCATGTTGGCTTCGATTCAATTACCCAGCAGATAGAGAAGAAGTTGCTTAAGAGAGGTAAGCCCCAGGAATCATTGCTCATAACTGCTTCTCCCACTGACTCAAGCATGCAGGTTTCCAATTCAATGTCATCTGTGTTGGGCAATCTGGACTCGGAAAGTCTACCCTCATCAATACCATCTTCGCTTCCCATCTGCTGGAATCCAAAGGCCGTTTGCGCCCAGACGAGCCAATTCGTTCTACCACTGAAATTCAAACTGTCTCTCATGGTGAGTAGTTTTTCATCAAAGTCACGTCATAGCACACACTAACGGCGGTGGCAGTGATTGAGGAAAACGGAGTGCGATTGCGCCTGAACATTGTTGATACTCCTGGCTACGGAGATCTGGTGAACAACGATCGATGCTGGGATCCAATTGTCAAGTACATCAAGGACCAACACAGCGCTTATCTCAGAAAGGAACTCACTGCGCAAAGAGAGAGATACATTCAAGATACACGAGTGCACTGCTGCTTGTTCTTCATCCAACCATCTGGCCATGCTCTCAAGCCAATTGACATTGTCGTCTTGAAGAAGCTGTCAGATGTGGTCAATGTGGTACCGGTGATCGCAAAAGCCGATTCTCTCACACTGGAAGAACGCCGAGCATTCAAAGAGCGCATCAAGGAGGAGTTTGCCTTCCACAACCTCAAGATGTACCCCTACGACAACGAGGAGCTAGATGACGAGGAGAGGGCTACCAACGCCACCATCAAGGACATTATCCCATTTGCGATTGTCGGCAGCGAGAAGTCGATCATTGTTAATGGCAAGCAGGTCAGAGGCCGACAAAACAAATGGGGTATCATCAATGTCGAAGATGAAAACCACTGCGAGTTTGTTTATCTTCGAAATTTCTTGACCCGGACCCATCTTCAGGATCTGATCGAAACAACAAGCCAGATTCACTATGAGACGTTCCGTGCGAAGCAATTGTTGGCTCTCAAGGAAAGCAGCGCAGCAAGCGGCATGGCTGGAAGCAGGCCCATCAGTCCCGCCGCAGATCGGGAGTTGAGCAGAAGCTCCCAGCGCATGACAATGAATGGCTACTAAAAGTTTCGTCCTGGGGGTTGAAGACATGGGACAGCGAGATTCTGGACGGTGACTGATGCTTATTTTGTAACTGGAGCCTCTTCTAATGTAGCGTCTATTGAGAGCGGGATTCTCTTCTTTAAATCTGAGGCATAATTGATCCTCACGATATGTCAACCGATTTGTCTCTTGAACCCGTTACCACTTTTGCCGCTGTAATCCGACGCCCATGCTGTCTATTACGCTGTATTCCAAAAAACCAGAAACCGAAGAACAAGTAGAATCTTCAAGCCGAAATATCCTGCATTACCCACTCGTCGAGTTCACTAAACGTTCGGTCGAGGTCATCGTTGATGATGACCTTGTCATTTTTGCCTTCCTGCTTGCAGTACTCGATCTCATTCTTCGCCTGGGCCAGTCTTCTCTGGATGGCTTCCTCCGCAGTGTCGCCTCTGCCACGCAGCCGTTGCTCCAGAATCTCCATGCTGGGAGGCTGGATGAAGCAGATCCTAGGATTCAAGGTGCTCTTCTTCAGCTGCTTGACCCCTTCCATTTCAATGTCAAAGATGCAGATCCTCTTCCCTGCTGCAGTGCTACCGTCGATACTCTTGCCTTTGCCATCTGCGACGTCCTGGACCGCCCTTTTGGATGATCCATAGTAGTTGCCCCCAAATCTAGCATGCTCGACGAATGCATCTTCCGCGATCATCTTTTCAAAATTCTCCACCGTAGTGAAGTGGTAGTGCACGCCATCTTCCTCCCCGTTTCGAGGCTGGCGGGTAGTATGGGAGACGCTGAAGCCGAAGAGGTCGGGGTGTTTTTGGAACAGTCGCTTGATCAGAGTCGACTTCCCTGTGCCTGAGGGTCCTGAAAAGACGATGGGTCGTGCATCGGAAGGAGCAGGTGCCATGTTGACGACGTTGCGACGGACAATCAGCGAGAGGTATGAGGGACTCGGTGGGAGTGAGAAGCGGTATCTTGTTACTTGCTGTAATAAGAACACCTGTCCCATATCCTGCACCTCCCTTTGAGTCCCTCGAAGACCGATAACAGGTGGCTTAAAGTTAACAGCAAAGCGGTGGGGGATGTACTCCGTACAGTCTGCGCTTCTCCAATGATTGGGCCCAGGACCCGGACTTGGCAGGGGTTGACTTTTCGCGTATCAATCTTGCCCTAATCATCTGCGATATGCCTCTAATCCTTGTACGCGGCCGCTGTTTCCAGTCCATGGATCAGATGGACGCGCCACAGACCACAGTGGTGTCCAACACGACACCTGATCAACCGCAGGCGACTCCAGACAATGGCCAAGAGGAAATCGGAGCACCAGAGCCCGCGCCCATCAAGCCGAAGCGGCACAGAGGTCGCCAGGCGAAGGATCCCCTGGGACAGACCGTTCAATTCAAATGCAACAAAGTCGAAGACCTAGAGCAGCAGCTTCGCGACTATCTTGCTAGTCCTACTGGTGATCCTGCACACACCACCCTAGAGTTCTCGTTTCCAGTGACGGCCGCATTTCTCGTAGCACTGAGAGAGAAGAAAGGGAATAAGCCTGTGCACGACAAGACTCCATATACGTATAGCCATTTCAACAAAACTGCTGTCACGGTCATCGACGCCCTACAGAATATTCAAGACCCCAAGGAACAAATGCTCGCTCAAAAAGGCATATCGAAAACTCTGGTCGATGCGGTCCAGGAGGCCGATGGATACCATTACAGCTTCCACAACCACTGGATTAGCCGAGAGGATCAAGCAAGCAGATTTTCTTACTTCTGCAACGACTCGGTCTTGAATAAAGGTCGCGCGGCTAATGAAGGGTCCAAGTTCAAACCAGGTGTCAAAGTGAAGAAGCAGGTGTGGGAGTGCGATGGTGTGCTGGCCATCAAGTTCTCTTTGACAAAAATGAGTCTTCTACTGCACTACAAGCACATCCCACTCCATCCAACGTTTGACGAACGAGCTCCACTACCTCGAGCTGGTAGTAAACGTCGAAAACTAATGGAAATCTTCCACCCAGAGAAACTACAGCACCTAAAACGAGGCCGACCGAAACGAGCCACATCGTTATCCACATCTCGACCACCAGCGATAAGGAGCCCCTCTCACAACCAAGATATTTCAGCACCTACGCATCAAGTGTCGAACGGAGCAGCTGCTACAGTTACACGAGATAGCAGTTTGCAACCGCTCTTCGATTTTCTTGGCTCTGCGGAGCAGGCAACTACTACTCCGGCCGAGTCGGTCAGCTATCAAGTTGAGCATGGTGCTGAATCTCTGACCATTATTCCCCAAGCTGGTCGTGGCAGTGATACTGGAGTTGCAACGGCTTCCGAAGAGACAGATGTTGCTCAAGGCGGTCAGCTCCGGGTTGCTGGCTTGATGACAGGCGCTGCGTCTGGCGAGCAAACTATCCGGGCCCGCAGGGCGAAAGGCTCTACGAAAAAGAATAAGAGGACTGCTACTCTCACAGGCACCAATTCGGCGCCTGCGCCTTCAGCACCCGCTGATTCGGTGATGGACCCAGCAACAGAGCTGGAAGCGCTGAGGGCGAAATTACGAGAAGCGGAGCAAAAGATCCAGTATTTGGAGGCTGAGAGAAGTCGTGCAGCCGCCCCTTTGACCTGGACCGGCTCATCACAGTCACCCTCCACGCCTTTTCATGATCCAGCGCCACCGCCACAAGGCTCCATTCCCGACCTGAACCCCCAACAACACAGTCCACATGCGCTGCCTCCTCAGTGGCAACCTCAGCACGATCCCTACTTCTCAGCATCTTCCCAGAATGACTCTTTACCTCGATCTATGCCACCAGTAAATCCGGAATCAGGTCCTTCTTCTTATAGCCCTTCTCCTATCCGTACACTACCGGAGAACATCCCGTATTATGGCTTCGTTCCAGCTGTTCGAAATCCACATGATCCTCCACCTCCACGGAAACTTCAGCCCAAACCTCCAGCTGTATGACCTCAAGTACATTGACGGAATTCTCCTCGTTTCCACCCAGCAACGCCAAGGTCAATGGCAGGGCAATTTTGCAGTGGCTACGGCTTATGAAATGATGATCAGCATCGGATGATGGGAGCAGGGGCAGCGAATATGCCTCCTCTCCACACTTCTACTGGACACGATGTAGATGGACTAAGAGAACCATCACGGACACTGACGAGCCTTTAGATTGACGGTGCTCCTCAGCAGATACAGTCAGTCGTATGAGTCCCGATTCAGCATCGAATGACTACCAGTTTTTCATGTCAGTAATGTAACTACAGAGATATCGGATGGTGTGGTTTATTTATCCTTCTGTACGTAACCGACTAATAATAACGAGAGAGCTGGGAGAACAAATGGGCGCACAAATGATGTCTTTTTTCTTTTCGTGTATAATCCACTGACATTGCGAATGTACATTATGTTAGTATGTTTAGATACATGACTTTACTATGACGCCTTGGCTTCTGAGAAGCATTTTGCTCTCGTCTTGAGCTCTATCATTCGATCAGTGTGGCTGGCGTAAGCAATGAACAAACGACTTCCGAAGGAGGTTCATTCAGATCAGTCAACGTTTCTCTCCTCGCCTTGGGGCGCAACTTGCAGAAGTTGTCAGCGAGACCACGCAGAGCCTCAGTCCATGGCAATGAATCCTGAAGAGTACGAGACATACTCTCATTGCCCATTTTGAGGTGTATAAAAATCTGGCTTTGAAGAGCAAAGGGCTCCAGACAAAGAAAACCTAGTCCGCTATTGCGGACCAGCACCTACACATACTCTGTTCGCGTCGAGGAGGAAACGGCGCTGTTCCCGGATACATAACAACCCATCTAGAATGATCTCCGGTCATTGCAGTCAGTGTATGAGAGTCTAGCACCGACACAGTTATTTCTGTAAAATTGGTAGCATTCCTGCTTTGGTAGCGCCATTTCAATACGCATGAAAATATTCCGGAGTCCAACCTCTCTGCTTAGACAGGGCCTAATACGACCACAAGGTCAGAAAACCCGGGTAAAAGAGAGGGCTGGCCAAGGTAGATAGTATGTAGCTGAGGTAGGTACACATTGATAGAAGATTGAATAAAAATTGTTAGCATCGGTTGAAGTAACGATTGCCCTGTCCAAAAAAAAAGGGATTGAACGAAATGGTCCAAAAAAAGACATGCCTCCATTCAGAGTCGAACTGAAGACCTCAGCATCACGTAGTAAGGATACTAGTGCTGCGCTCTACCAACTGGGCTATAGAGGCTGAACCATAACGAAATCGCCAGTGCGGGGACCCGTGGCTGGTTCTTGACAGGAATTTCAAATATTTTAATTATGACTACAAAATTTACGCTGCTCCCGTTGTCTGTGAACTCTTAAGACCCTGGCTTCTTCCCAATAAGTAATTATATCATCGTGCGCAGGTATTAAGTCCATATTCCTCAGTCAAGTTTTGCAGAGGATATCTTGGAACTTGTTCCTCACCGAGACGTTCTGGATCCTTTAAATTTACTGAGTCAAGATGTATCAGAATTTCATTGTGACCACTGAGCCTTGCATATGTATGACTAAACTCCTTGATCCCGCATTTGTCTTCGAGATTTGTCATTTTCACTCACACTCAGCTATCTTTCATGACATTCTTGAATCAAGGAAGTATTGTCGATGCGCTCATGATTTGTCTTGATCTATGGATTCAGATGGAACTCGTGACTGCCGCGATGTGTTCCCTAATTTTGAAGGATGCCCTTCTCTCTAGACTCAACTTTGACTTGTTCAATCCACCGTGCTCGTAGATCCGGGTCCTTAATCTGCGCACACGTCGTTCGAAACACCACCGAGCCATCTTGTTGAAGAGTAATATGTTCTTCCGAAAAATGGATGGTCACCGGGCCTGAAGACTCGGACACCTTCCTCTGCAATGGCCTCCCCCCTCTCAATTCGAGACTTTCCTGGTCCTCTGACAGGAAGATCTTGAAAGAGCCTTTTTGGGTCACGGAAACACGCTGGCCATCCCAAGTTGGTCTGTACTCATATCCGTACCTCGCTACCGGTCCTTTCCGACCTGTTCGCACGGCGTTGAAGCCATTCGACTTCTGAATGGTACTGATTTTCTGGCCTATTTTGCCTTTAATTGCTTCTGCCAAGGAATCACCCCGACCTAGGATTACAAGAGGAATCTCGCCCAGGTATGTCACGGCCCAACTCAAGAATGCAGGTTGATACTCGTCTTGGGTAAGGTTTCTGCCGAGGGCTCTCTCCTGAGCTCTGTATTCATAAAGTTCTTGAAAGGGCGCTGCACCGGGAACTCCGCGAGAAATTGCCAACATGGTTTCCGTGAAGCTATTCGGCTGACCGTCCCGATGCTGAAGCCAGAGGAAGAAGTTCATGCTCGTATCTAGATTTCTCCCGACTCTCTGAGCTGAGGATGGTTGGATAAAGGCGGATGACGGATGAGGCACGTATATCGCAATGCGCCTAATGCTGTTTTCTTGAAAGTCTAAATCAATTTCAAGTTTGACAGCATCATCCAGCTCCATCGTAAGCTGCTTGGATAGACCCGACAGGGTGCGGCGATAGCTATGTTTTGCGCAGCCTCCACCGATTAATACCCAGGGTAGGGGGAGAAGTTCAAGGAGCTCACGTGAGAACTGGTCGTGGATAGAACGTTGGGCCGTTGACCATCGTGTTGTAGGACAAGACGTCTTGCCATGCCGCCGCATGGATTCTTCAGCACGCCAATGCCAGTCGAAGCCGTAAATGAAATCGGGGCTGAGACCTTTCTTGATGAGAAGCTGTATTGTCCTACTATCGGGATCCCAGAATTCCCCAACGTGTCCTTTGGTAGACTGACAATGAAGTATGACACCAAGTTCGGCATCCTCGGAGCCTGAAGGATATGCCAGTCTGTCCCGGGGTTCTCCACTTATCGCTACTTCATCTTCATGAAATGTCTCAATTTTTGAGCGAACATGTTCTCTTGGAAATTCTTGAGCTTGTCGGGGAGGCTTCCGCAAGAAGTGGATAAGATATTCGACTTCCTTCGAGTTCAAGGCATGCGCAGCAGACTTTGCAAACTCTAGTGCTATTTGATTGGGCGAGAACGTTGGGAACGGCATACCTGAAGTTACGCGATCGTCTACCTCTTCACCACCGTGGGAACTTTCACGGTCGAGATGGAGTGGTGACGACGAGGATGGCAGCGGCATCGCGTCTGGAACAGCACCCTGGTTGAAGAATGTGCGGGTGGACGATTTTTGGCTTATGTTTTGCGAAACTAGGCTCTCTGATATTCTGGTTAAGTGAGCTGGTTTTGGTATCGAAGGCATCCGCGCCATTCGGTGATGTAGCAAAGCGTGGTATATTCTTGACGAGGGTGAGTCCTCCTCGAAATCCTCCTCCCTCGTGAATGCTTCCCCGGCAGCTGTTGGCAATCTGCTTTGGAGACTGGCAGAAAGTGACGAGAGAGATCTGAAAGGTGACCACCGAATTGTCAGTCTAATGACGATGTCATCTTGATGATTGAAATAGGGGTCCATACGAAGAACTGGCAGCACGAGCTGCGATCGAGCTGCTCTCGAATTCCATTTTTTGAAGGGCGACCGGCTAGCTTATCATAAGCATTTGTATGAGGCAGGTAAAAGAACTAGACCCCGACGCAAAAGTATTGAAACCGCAACTAGAATTCGGCCTCGAATAAGAATGGGAAAGGCAGCATGAAAATCAGAATATGTGAATCCTGGTTGAATATTCCCAACAAACCTGGATGTGTTACTGCCAAGACAGGTAACATTCTTTGTCCGTCTGAGGTGTGAATATCCTCACCAATACACAAGGCAGCAAGAGGCAGAGTGTGTGTCGTATCTCAAAAACACTTGGGGGACCATGCAGGGAGGTTTAACATGCTCGGGAAGCAGTGATAGGTGCTCTGCAAGGTGAGTAACCCAAAGAAGACCTCCGTTGTTGACTGGTATACCGTCCATATTACCATTTATTCCAGAGCAGATCATGATCTTTAAGCTGCGAAGTAGCATCTGCTGTGAGGCACATGACTCTTTCGCCGTCTCATGTTCGTGTGCTTCTTTGCGGATTGAACGGAACTCTAACATGATAGTTTGACAGCAAGTTTGAGAATCATGAATGTCTCTGCTCTGATGCCTACCCAGGTAGCTATGTGCCTCATCATTTGGTACGGACGTCGAGTATTGAAACACCGTTTCAATGTGAGAGTGATAGATTAGGCATCGGCTTCACAATCTGTAAAGATGCTGTGATGCAAACCGTAGACATGTAGAGCCTTCAAGCCAGGTGACACATCTCTACTCATCTAATTTTTGAGAATGAAAGAGATGAATATACACACAATCAGCAGGAGAGGGAACCCAGCTCATTGCTTTGATGGCGTTCGCACAGTGCTTTTGAAATAACACAAGTGGGTCGATTTTGAACAGTTTGTCACGTTTATCAAGTTTATCAAGTTTGCTTGGCTTCCTACCCAAAAAAAAGTTTCATTTACCTCCGAAGATCCTGCACCAAGGTCTAAAGCAGAACGAAGTCTTACTTGATCCAAAACCATGTCCAAAATGGCTGGCACAAAACGGGCAAGTGAATCGGTGGATTCGAAGTCATCCAAAAAGTTCAAGCCTATCAAAAACTTACCGGACAAGCGCAAATCTGCCTCCAACGCAGTAGAAAATGAGTCTGAAGACTTCGCAGCGTTCGATGAAGAACCTCAGCACGATGGACCAAATAAGCAAGACACCACCCCGAAGAGACAAGGCTCAGGCTCCTATGGACGAAGCACGCACACAGCGAAGCAAGACACCTTTTTGAACGGTAAGACTCACCACTCTCTTTCCCTCGCTTTCTTTCTCCATGATAAAGCGTCTCCAAGGCTAATAACTCGTTCGTACAGGGAATTCGTCAAGAGAAGCCCATGCTAAGCAAAAGGCGCTCGCTCAAGACCGCAAAGCGGCAAAACCAAACGCCGACTCCATTGCCCGAAGTAAAAAGATCTGGGAAAAACTCCGTCGCAAGTCACACGTCCCCAAAGCCGAGCGAGATCAACTAGTCCAAGAGCTTTTCGAAATCATATCTGGTCGAGTCAAGGACTTTGTGTTCAAGCACGACGCTGTGAGGGTTATACAATGTGCACTCAAATATGCAACGCCGGCACAGCGCAGGCAAATTACGCAAGAGCTGAAAGGACACTATCGTGAACTTGCAGAGAGCAAGTACGCAAAGTTTCTCATTGCCAAAATGGTTGTTGGTGACGATGAGAGTCGCGATGCCGTTGTGACTGAATTCTACGGACACGTCAAGCGACTTATTCGACACCCCGAAGCAAGTTGGATTCTCGACGACATCTACCGGACGATCGCAACGAAGCAGCAGAAGTCGGTTCTTCTGAGGGAATGGTACGGGGCCGAGTTCGTACTCTTCTCCAAGAACAGCGCGTCGCAACAGGGGGAGGAGGAAGTTACGGCGGATCTAAGTGAGATATTGAAGGCACATCCCGAGAAACGGGGACCAATTATGCAGCATCTCAAGGAAATGACGAACCAGCTTGTTCAAAAGAAGACGACAGGATTTACGATTCTACATGATGCACTATTGCAATATTTCCTGAACGTCAAGCCGGGAAGTCCTGATCAGACAGAATTTCTCGAGATGCTGAGAGACGATGAAGATGGTGATTGCTACAAGAACCTCGCATTCACACGATCTGGGTCAAGGCTCGTCTGTTTGGCTCTTGCGTATGGCAATTCGAAGGATCGCAGGACAATAATCAAGTTCTTCAAGACACACATGAAGCTGCTCGCCGGTGACGTTTACGGGCACACAGTCCTGCTCACTGCTTATGAAGTCATCGATGACACGGTGATGACAGCCAAGGCGATCTTCCCGGAGCTGCTTTGTAAGGATCTTGATACTGAAGCACGAGAGCAGGAGCTCATGTCGCAAATCGAGCATCTCAATGCGCGGATACCACTTCTGTACTTGATGTCGCCGGAACCGCCGAAGTGGTTGATTCCCAAAGGTACCGACACCGAGAGTATCATCAAGGAGGTCAAGGAACTTCGAACTAGCACATCAAAGAAAGACCCAGAGACTAGACGAGTGGAATTGCTCAAAGCTATATCGCAGCCTTTACTGGACTTTATAGCTTCGCGGGCGGCGTTCCTTGCTCAGTCAATGCCGGGGTGCCAATTCATCACAGAAGTATTGTTCGGAGCAGTTGGTGACAAACAAGCGGCCCTCGATGCTGTTGCTGATTTCGCGGCCGGTGACGATACCTCGGAAGAGAACAAGCAGATCATCAGTATGCCAGCGGTCGGACGCATGCTGAAGTCGCTGGTCCAAGGTGGACGGTTCGATAAAGCGTCGAACAAGGTTGTCCAAGTTGATCCACCCTTGAAGTTTGGTGACTCGTTGTTCGAGAGGATCAATACCGGCTCAGGAGCCGAATCTTTGATTGATTGGGCCAATGGGCCGAATTCCTTCGTTGTGCTGGCGATGCTTGAAACCGAGGACTTTGGCCACAAGGATGAACTACTGGGTGTGTTGAAGACGCACGCTTCGTCGCTGAACAAAGACAATCAGGGTGCAAAGATCATTTCCGAGAAGCTCGGAGTTGGGCGCCATCGGGATCAAGATGCCAAAGTCTCCAACAGCAAGAGCAAGACGAAGAAAGATAGAAAGTCAAAGTAGCAGCTGGTTTCTAGTTCACGGCGATATCGTGCCTACAAGTTCGTGATGGTGTGGATGACGAGGAGCTGAATCATCCAGATGGGCTATTTACCCACTACTCTGTGTAATTAACACGGGACAATTCGACCTCCTATCCCTATCTGCATCCTTTTTCTCTGTGAATACCACCTAGATAGTATGAGAGATGGTCTTTGTCGCCCTGCTTGCGGCTAATCGTTCTTGCAACAGCCAAGATCAATCTACTGAGTGAATGACCTCATCCTGCTTCTATATGGAATACATTATGTCTCGGTGTAAGGTGGTTGGCTGTCCTCTGGCTTAGTATGGAGGTTGTTTGAAAACCAAACAAGATGTGGAGGGAATTGGCTTAGCATGGGCACTCGAGGGGGTTGCCGTGCCTCCCGAACACACGCTCTCTAGGCAGGGGCAGTGCCCAATCGACACTGGCTGTAGGCTCTCGGGGTCACCTAAATGCCCCCTCCAGCCCCAATCCAAGGACCCTGGGGGGAGCAGCCTTACTATCCTGGCCATTCAGCCTTCGCCGCGCCCAACACTTTCGCACTGTGCCAAGGCCAACCGCGGCTTCCCCCCTGACGTGGCTTCTACTCGCATTCATCCCGATCTGCCGCGTTCTCCAACTTCGCACATGCGAAATGTCGCCAACTGTTCTACCGCTCTCTGCCTGCTGCTAGTAACTCCTGCTGAAGCCATTGTTGTTGACCTGGCTTCTGTCGAGCGCTACTGACAATCAATTGCTCCTCATCCTTCTTTGTTTCCTGCTAATGCTGTGCAATGGGAGGACACCTTGAATCTGGTCCTGGAAATGGACATGAACAGCCCACTTCTTCTCAGCTACAGTACCTCGATCTCGCCTTTGACAGCAAAGACCTTGATCATTCTGCTCTCTCATTAGCCTACAGAATTCAGCCAAAGTGGCGGGACGCACCAGGCAAGATCGAAATCACCAAGTTTACCGAAGGCATCACCAATACGGTATGATTCTCAACTGCGTTGCGAGGACACGTGCTCAAACTAACTCTACGTTACAGCTTCTCAAGCTGACCAAACATGTCCCGGGCTATTCTCAGAGTCAGCTAGATCAGGACTCGATTCTCCTGCGTGCCTACGGGAACAATACCGAGATACTCATCGACCGAGACCGAGAAGCAAGTACACATGCTTTGTGTGCCGACCGCGGATTGGCGCCACCTTTGCTAGCAAGATTTAGGAATGGTCTGCTCTACAGATACATTCCTGGCCAAGTGTGTACTCCCCAAGACCTCATCCGGGAGCCTGTATGGCGCGCGGTCGCAGGGAGATTGGGCCGGTGGCATGCAAAATTGCCCATCAGTAAGGTGAAGAACGCTTCTCATGATACCAATGGTCATAAGGAGAATGGCATTCCTTCTGAGCATACCAAAGCTCTGTGCGATCCTGCCTCGAAATTGCCTACCCCAAACATTTGGTCAGTAATGCGAAGATGGATTCACGCTCTGCCACACGATTCCCCAAAGCACAAGGCCCGCAAAGAACTTCTCCAGCTTGAGCTCGATCGATCATTTAACGATCTGCAGAATGACCAAGGCCCGGGGACAAGCGGACTCGTCTTTGGTCATTGCGATCTGCTGAGTGCCAACGTTATCATGCTGCCTAAGGACCCTAGTAGTGACGCAAACGACAAACTTGAGGTGTTCTTCATCGACTACGAATATGCAGTACCATGCCCGGCAGCCTTCGACATTGCCAACCATTTTGCGGAATGGGGTGGTTATGATTGTGATTATACCATGCTCCCCACCAAGTCCGTACGGCGCCAGTTTCTGCAAGACTATCTCAATTCGTTCAAAGCCCACAGCGACAAACCTGTCCCAGAAACCATGCTTGACTTTTTGTGTGCAGAGGTCGATAGATACCGTGGTATGCCTGGTTTCTACTGGGGCGTATGGGCCCTGATACAAGCTACAATCTCGCAAATTGATTTTGATTATGCCTCGTACGCCGAAGTACGACTTGGCGAGTATTTTGCTTGGAGAGCAGAAGAGAGCGGCAGTCGGGTCAAAGAGAACGGAGAGATACCTCTGCGTGAGAAGAGATGGGCAGAGCCTTGACATGGGTTTTCGAGATATTAGGGGAATGCCAACATCTGCCGTAATTTTCATCAAGTACAGGCGATCACGATATTGTATAATTGAGATGTGGGAGAATCACACCCATATCCGAACGACGAGGCCGGGCAGTGCAGGCCTTGTAATACGACAGACATTGTCAAGAAAAGCTCCTTGATTCATGTTTGTAATCTCTTTGACACCGTCGTCATATTATTCAACAAATTATGCGATGAGAAGGAAGAGGACCTTTTTATAGCTTCATGTAGCTTTTCCCTTGTAATATTTTTTGTCTTCATTACCCACTCCATCCCACCTTTTGTGTCTTGAGAAGAGACAACTCTTTGAGGGTTTCTGAAATTGGTCACTGGCCGATAGCTTATAATGTGTTGTTCATGATTCATAAGGTACCACCGTCGCTATTGTTATTGCTATTGCTACTGATATTACTACACCACGTATGAGTGTCTGCCCCAGGCCGATCCGGAAGCCAAGAAGAGGCATTGAGAGTTACTCGACATTTTTTGTACCGATATACAAAAAGAAATAGAACAGAGGGCACGACTTTCGACGAGTAAACCGGATAAGTAGATCTGTGACAGGGGGAGGGGGTAATTTTTTGATCGTAACTAAGTCCTTGATACACTACGGAGTATGGAAACCCATAAATACAGACAGAGCATATTTAGTCGACCCTAGGTACCTATCTATCTATCCGTCTCTGATTAATCGTAAAACATCACCTACAAGGTACAAACTGCCCGCAACACAGACTGGATCTTGGCCGCCGGCAATCTCAAGTGCTCTGACTATCGCGTCCCCGACACTGCCGTCCGGTGCGGCTTCCATGGTGGTAGTAGATTCGTCGGAGACAAACGCCCTCGCCATCTCAAGCAGGGCAGACGCGTCCATGCTCTTCACCCACGGCATGCCGTCGACAGGTCCAAAGGAACAAGTCACCACGTTGTCCCCCGGCCTGAGCAGGATCGACAGGATGGCCCCGACGTCCTTGTCGCTCTTAGCTGCAAGGACCCAAGTCACTTTTCTTTTGCTTGCGGTCCGCTGCTCCTGCTCCTGCTGCCGGACGCTCTGGTCGACGTACGCTGCCAGAGCTTGTGCGGACTGCGGATTGTGCGCGCCGTCAAGTAGAACCCTGCACGGTCTCTTGCTCAGCATCGTCGTCGTCGGCTTCTTCTGCGATCCTTCGGGGATAATAATGTGATCGGGTATCTCAAGCCACTCGAGACGTCCTCGCAGCGACTTCTGTGCAGCCGTGACCAATCGCGGTAATTCTTCTGCTGTCTCTGTAACATTTTGCATCCAGTGCCCGCCGTCACCTCCATTACAATCCCCATTTATCGCGGTGGGACCGCTGAGTGCACTTTTGGACTTTAACTGTTCCAACTGCCGCTCCGCAAGGGTATACGCCGTCCAGGCCGTGGTTAGGTTCTGCTCTTGATGTTCCGCAGCCAGGTTGCCTCCTCCGTGGTCTCGACGCATCTTCTCAATACTCCGCGCCAGTAACTCCTCTTGCGCCCCCTCTAGCACGTAATGGACGCCTGGCGCGTCTCCATCCCCGAGCTCGTCCAGTTTCCGACGCACCACATCCAGTACCTCTGCGTCGTTACTCTCGTCCACGACCACCGGGACACCGGGCTTGAAAATGCCCGCTTTCTCCCAAGTGATCTTTTGGATCGTGTCGCCTAGAAACTCGGTATGGTCCAAGCCGACTTTGGCAAGGACGCTGACAAGCACGTCCTGGGTGCGAAGCACGTTCGTGGCGTCGAGTCGCCCGCCGAGCCCGCACTCGACGACGGCCACGTCGACGGCGCTGCGCGTGAACAGCTCAAACGCTGTGGCCGTCAGGATCTCAAAGTCGGACGCGCCGATATGTTGAGCCTGGCTGCGAACGCGCATTTCGCTTTCCACGGCGAGAAACCGGTCGCGGTCCACGACGCGCTGGTTCAGCGTGATGCAGTCCCATCGGTCCACGAGGTGCGGCGAGGTGAAGCGCCCCACGGAGTATCCTGACCGAGTGAGGAACGCGGACACAAGAGCCGCGATGCTGCCTTTGCCGTTGGTGCCGGCGATGTGGATTGCTTTCCATGGCAGGGACGCCGGGTGCGTGGCGAACAGAGGTTGCAGAAGGGCCGTGATGCGTTGAAGGCCGAGATTGATCATCGTTAAAATTCAAAAAAGAGACACGTCCACCAATGAATGGATCGCTCTGTCACCAAACCAATCCCCGAGATCAGGCAGACTGAGGATGATGTGGTCGAGGGAGAGATATCAAAAAGAAAAGGTGGCTGTTGTTGCAGCCTCGTCGTGTCACAGCCTTTTCTTCGCGGGGAGGTCTACCCAAGATGTGGCATTCTGTCGCTGTCTGTCGCCGGTCTAGTATCCCCCAAAAGTCGGATTCTGTATATGAGAAGCCGTCGTAGTGTTAAAAAGTGCACCGGAAAGAATTGCACGCGTCAAGAATTCAAAGGCCCTCCCCTCTTGTACCTCGTACTCGTACGTTGAAATCCAAACGCCAAGCAAACTCTCGCGAGGCTGAGAAAGAGAGACAAGGAAACCGGGTGATGCCCGCGCATGCTCAGGCTGATTGATCAGGTCTCGCTCAAACTGACCAGCCTCGCTCTACAATGTTCCGTCCAGTCTCAATTCTACAACATGTTTGATTGTTTATGCTTCAAATCTGAGATGTCTGATTCGGTCGAGTCCGAATCGGAAGCCCCAGATACCAATGACATCTGCATTCATTTCCAGCGTGGAGCTGTCTCAGCAGCGAGTGCGGGATACCGCGTGTCGCAGTTGCAGCACAATGCTACTACCTGCGACTTTTGTGCCGTTATGCTTGAAGGTCTGTCCACTGTGCTCGGAGCATCGCTGGACCCTGACTACTGTGTCTCTTTCAAGCTCAAGCACCAGGCCAATATACCCCCTCGCCTGACCTATGAGAAGCAAGACGACTTTTCCACACAGCAAAGGTTTGAGATTTCACCTGTTTCTGGTGAGCGATTTCACGTGGTGTTGATTGCCAGAGCCGTGCTCATGAATACGAAGAAGGCAGCAACCTTCCCCGGCCGCTCTCTAAAGTCGAGCCTTTTCTCGACATCGCGCCCGAGGCATCAAGCGAGGCGTGTGTGAAACGTATCCAATTCTGGCTCGACAACTGCCAATCCGTGCACGGGTTCTGCGCGGAAAGTTTGGAGTCCACGCTCCCGAGGCGGGTACTGGAGGTAGATACACTCGTACTTCACGAAACCCAGGGCGAAAAAGGCAAGTACATTGCTTTGAGTCATTGTTGGGGTTCTGGCGACAGTCTCAAAACGGAGAAGTCAAGTATCGGGCAGAGAAAGCAAGGAATCCAATGGGATGAACTCCCTCAAACGTTTCAAGATGCCATTACCATTTCGAAAGCTTTGGGTGTTCAGTATTTATGGATCGATTCACTTTGCATCGTTCAAGATGATCAGTGAGCACACCCCGCAACCTCCGCAATCCAGAACGCTAACGCGTGACGAGAAATGATTGGGAGGTCGAATCCGGCAAGATGGATCAGATATACAAAAACTCTTACATCACGATCGCGGCTTCTGTTGCCAAGGGTGACCACGAAGGCTTCCTGAGGCCCAGAACTCACTATCTTACGTCGATCGCCCGCGTCGAGCTTTCTAATGGTGTCGAGGAGAGCTTTAAAATCAGACCCCTGCCCGCGAAGCATTATCGACGAGACGTGGGCCCTCGAAACAGGAGTTGGCGACACAACATGACGGTTCCGGGCGCCCAGCCTCAGCCACTAGAAACGAGGGCCTGGTGCTTCCAGGAGCGCCTGGTTTCCAGCCGTCTAGTTTCTTTCTGTGAAGCCGAAATGGAGTGGGACTACCCTACTCTTAGTCGATGCGAGTGTGGAACTAGATTACTGGCACACGACGAATGCTTCAACAGAGTGTTGGGCGGCATGGAACCGGTGCCGGGGAAATCTTCCATCCGATCTCTATACCAGTCGTTACTCTGTATTGCTGCGATATTTGCTGACGACCCCAAGCCTGAACATCGAGATGCGCTGAACGATCTCGTGCGGCACCATTGGCATAATTTACTGATACCATCATATACCCTCCTGGCACTCACGAGGCCGAGTGACCGACTTCCCGCACTGTCGGCAATTGCATCTGAACTGAAGGAGATTCTGAAGGATGATTATCTGTGCGGTCTTTGGCGCCAGGGACTGACTCAAGGAATCACGTGGGTCGCTGGCTCTTTCGGGACCGACGGCCCCCAGCCCGGCGTGCTGCCCCAGGTATACCGTGCCCCTTCGTGGTCGTGGGCTTCCACGGAAGGGCCGGTGGACGGTGATCGAGCATTCAACTCGAGTGTGCATTACCTCTTTCGGATCACAGAGGCACGCTGTACACCGATGGCCGGCTCCATTCTAGGCCCCGTCACAGACGGATCTCTGACCATCGAAGGTGACGTGATACGAGCCGAGCTCAAAGTTCCCGCCGTCTGCCACGGAGATGACGAGCACAAGGTCGAGTACAGAATCTCGACCCCGGACGGGAAACCGTTGTCTAGTTCGTTTTACCCGGATACGCCGCTGGTGGGAATGGAAACGGAGACCGCCTCCGGAACAGTCCGTCGCTCAGGCCGCCGACTATCAGCCGCCAGAGACTCAATCGACGCGCCGGTGCTGTGCCTGGTGCTCGCCGGACACAGGACCCACAGACTGCCCACCTACATGCGCCGTCGTTTGCAGGAGCGAGAGGGCGAAGAAGAGACCATCGAGGGTGGCGGCGTCTTTGATTCTGCAACTCTCATGGTGCTCGGTCTTCCACTCTCGCCGGCCGACTTTTACCAACGCCTGGGCTTGGCAAGATGCAGCTGGTCCGACATCGTTGACGTCAAGGTCGGAATGACAATCGAGGTGGGATGATCAAGTTCGCGACAGATTTGCCTCGACACTAGTGGGCGAGAGCGCCTGGGTGGTCAGGTGGGCAGAAGACGGGCAGAGCGCGGTCTTGACTCCCACGCAAACTTGTCGCGAGGCTGAGAGCAGAGCGACACACAGACACAATACGACCGCGGCGTCAAACCTGTTAACACCATGGCCAGGCTAACTAAGTTCGAGCTTGACGTGGAAGAAGCACAACCCAAATACGGATCATCATCACAGTCTTGAATACTCATGTTGAATCGGTATTCAAAAGATGACCTAATAGCAATGTACCTAACAAGGCATGCCGTGCAATGTACAAGGATATCTATCTACCTTACTACAGGTATGTACCAGTTTCGCTCCCTCCCAACGACGAGCGCCTCGCTAAAAATCACTCGACAAGAATATGTGTGCCCGCAATGGACAGAATATGTCCCTGTAGGTTATATGCTACTGGACAGTTGCTCTCCCACCTCGTCAGTCAAGATGCAGGTGTCGGCGGAGGGCCAAATACCGCTCGTATCCAAAGAGCTTCAATTCGATCCTCATGTGGCTTAACCAGGCCCTGAGCAACGGCAGGAGATTTCGCGGGTTCAGGAATCCACCACGTTGCCGAATCTTCTCCTTCTCCTCTTCCCAAACAGTGAGACTCGCAAACTTTGCAAGGATCATCATGGGTCTCATGGGCTGCTTGGATCCGAGTGACTCGTCCAGGCTCCGTGTCAGATCGTTGGTCTTGAGGATCAAGAGGATGATTCGAGGAACGTTCCCAAGTAACTGCACCAGTTGCTGCAGGAGATCTTCCCCAAACACTTCGTTGATATTCTCCTTCTCTTGCGCATCACGCATCGACGTTGCCACCTTCTTGTTCGTCAACACCCGATAATCCCGACCAGTGATGGCAGAGGCAAACAGTGGAAACTGCTCGTCGGTGATCCCGGCGACTTCGTAGGCGTATTTGCGCATCTGATCCTCGTTGGCGTCGATAACAGCCAGCCATAATCTGGCATAGTCCCTCCTCAACTTGTTGTCGGGCATCCGATACAGCCCGTGGTCGTACAAAATGATATCGAAGTTGTAGGGGTATCGTCGGTTAGGGTTGTGTCGAACGGCAATGTTTCCACCGTGGGGGTCACAGTGAAGGGGAGCGTTGCTCTTAAAGATCATGACGTTGAATATCCTCGCCAGCGTTGCCGAAACTTCGTCCCTGGAGATGCGGTGCTTGTCGAAATACTCCGTATTGTCGACTCTCGCTCCTGTCACGTAATCCATGACCAAGATCCTCTTGCTCGCTGATATAACCTTCGGGATTATAAGGGGAAACTGGGTGTGCAACGAAAAGTACTCTCTTGCCCTGGTAGCGTTGGCACCTTCGAGGGTAAAGTCTAACTCCTGAGGTAGCGAGAGGTCCATCTCTTGACTCAACCACTCCATGTCGTACTCCGGGAACGCCCTTTTCAAGGTCCGGAATGTGAATCTGGTCAATGCCAGATCCAACGGCACCCACTCCTCCAGGCTGGGATGTTGTACTTTTACCGCCACTTGCTGGTTGCTGTCCTTGAGCCTCGCAATGTGCACCTGGGCCAGGGAAGCGGCCCCGATGGGTTCTTTGGAGAATTCTGCAAAGTCATCTTCTATCCGATGTCCCGTATCGCGAACGAACATGTCTTCGATCGACTCGTAGGAAGAAACAGGACACTTGTCCTGCAGAGGGATGAATGTTTCGGTCCACTCGGTGGGCAAGAGGTATCCCATTGACGACAGATGCTGGCCGAGCTTGATGAAGATCGATCCATTCTTCTCGAGTACTTTCAATGTCCGCACGGCGCACCGCTTGTGGCAGGCTTTGAGTAGGCGGCTTTCTTCTTCCGGGTCACCGAGCTCTTGTTTCAACGTTGTCCGGTAACTAGCTTCGTCAGTGTCTACGTCGCCGCGATGGTTGAAACGTTAATTTCTCACTCATTGATGTTCACGGTCAGGGCAGAAATCACCCGTCCTGTTCGTGCCGCGGCGTTCCACCCATGCTTGATGTCGTCGGTGAAAAAGAGCAGACTTCCACCTAATGCGCCACCAGCTGCGGCCCAATAAACGGCCCTTGTCGGTCGTACTACTCGAATGGGCCGTCTGTAGGAGCTGAATACGCGGCGGAGGGAGGACTTGCACTGAGCACAAGTCCAGGGAGTGCGGGATGCGGCGAAGACGCCGCGGTCGAGTCGCATCGGGAGTTACTGGTGATGAGACATGTGGATGAGAGGTCGAAGGGGGCTAGAAGACCACGAACACGGTGAAAGCTAAGTTGAAAGAGGAACAGTGGGAGTGGTGCAGAAGGTCGTCCACGACTATGTCGAAGTCAGGGAATGATGAAGGATAGATCCGTATCCAATATCTGCCCCGAGTAAGGAACGGAGCATCAGTCTATCATTCATTCAATCACCTTCTCGTCTGAGATCTTCCCCGACCGCAGTTTCTTGGTGGGACAAAATTTCTCCATTGGCGCGTGAGCCGTTGAATGACGTCGAGAAAAGACACGGTCGTTCGACCTCGTACTCGTATTCGCACCCGGAACATGAAATCGCCAGATATAAAACAATCTACCCAAACAGATCACCAACTAGTTCATGGATACTCCACGTCAATCATGCCTTTACTTCTGGCACCATCTTTCCATCTTCGACCCTGATCCTCTCCGTCGTCGCCGGTCTTCTCATATGTAGATAGTCCATGAGGAACGTCTTTGTTGGGCCCCAGACCTTGACGCGTTCTTTATCCTCGAATCCCAACTGTCGATACAGGCCTTCTCCCTTGGAAGTTGCTTCTATCCAACACGGCAACATGAGGGCGTCGGCGACCGCGATGCCCCAATTCATCAAGGTCCTGCCGTGCCCCTTGCGTTGATACTCTGCGTCGACGAACAACAAGAAACACAGCGCGTGTCCTTCCTTGCACTCACGACGTCTTCTGACGAGGAAATCTTCCATCAGTACCGCCGCATCGGCTCGCTCTTCCTCAGTCTCAAGGTACGAAAAGGCGGCCTTGCTGTTCGCGATTTCGGCATTTGCGTCGTTTGTCCTCTGCTGCTGCTGCTGCTGCTCTTCCTGCGGCGTTACATAGGTAGGATAAATCTTCCAGTCACTCGCGGCGATGATCCTCTTCCGCTTCTCGGTGCCGACGACATTGGCTTCGTCGTCGAGCACGTCAACGTCAACCTCTTGGTCCTCGTCTACGAGTTTGATGAAGACGTCTGCCGGATCATTCAGGAGTCCGGCCAGGAGAAGTTTCTTGGTGTAGGCCTTTGAAGCTTGAGACCCTCGACCGAAGAACACCTTGTTGAGGTCCTCTGTCTTGAACGTCTCGAACAGCAAAGGCACAATGGCATCCATGTCTTTCGGTTCGACGCGGGAAATGAAGAGACGCATCGCGATCTGAACGACAACTATATCTGCTTTGCTCGCGTTTTCCCCGGCTTCGTCTTCTGTGGAGGGATGGATGGGACGATGGTTGATAGCGTGTGTCCGTCAGTGATGACTACCCAGGCGATTGTAAGTTACTGTGTACTTGTACTTTGTACGAAGTCTGTATAGAGATGGTGTGCGTCTGCTCTTTTTTCCCTTTCTCGTACTGTTGCGGATGTGTAATCAGACCAGCCGATACCGATTGCTTGAGGAAGGTGCAGCACTCCCTCCCCGGGCCACGTTGGGTAGTATCGCGAGTTCGAGAGTTGCGACGCTGCTGACGGAAGGCCTTGCATGTACAGTATTGACCAGGGTGTCAACCGAGCCTGTTGAAACCTTTCGATCATTCGCGGTGGCCGAATCCCGACTGTCCAGAAGGAACTTGATAATTAACACGTCAACTGCTCGTTTGGGCGTGGCATCGCGGTGTGTGCGATAAAGCCCGTATCCCATGCCTGAGGTCAGGTAGTATAAGACCGACCTTGCTGGACATTGACTTTGATTCGCGTATGCACGGCGGTTTGTCATCGCATCCGAGGACGGTTAACGATGCATCCTGGAAGTTAGATCGAAAGCGTACATCGGCCGGCCAAGGGTACGTGTTACAGTACAGTATCATGGTGTGAAAAAAATGCGCTTGTCTTGATTCAATCCTCCCTCCCGTACTTGTCTATGTTCAGCACGCGATGCATACCTACGTCAAATCACGAGATGCGCGGTAGTTTTTACAACCACCGACATCTAAAACCCGCGCGGTCCAAAATTGCACGGAAGGATTCTTGTCATGATTCTTTTGATCAAAAGTGTTTTTCATATACGAGTATACGGAGGCCACCAATGCATGACGATGAAGTTCCTCGGTGCAAGGGTATATTTTCCGGTTTCCTCTTTCTTTTCTTATTTCCTGCTTCTGTTCCAGTTCCCATGCATTCATAATGTTCGTTAGAAAGATCCGCCACGACCGGACTAGGATTCTGCATATCCAACACCTGGCTGTAACATGCAAACCAAGGTCGTGAGGGGATCCAAGGGCTTCCCAGAAGCAGAAACCAAACCTACATCTTCTGCGCACCCCCCGACTTTTCAAAAGTCGATACCATCGCTTTCCTCCCTGGAAGTTTCCACTCACGTCCCCAAGTCCCCGACTCAAGACACGGAGTAGTAGAAAGGCAGAGTTGAAATGGGTGGTTCAGGCGGTCTAGTCAAACCACCATTGAATGCCACTCACGCGGCCGTTACCCGTTCCATCGGTGATGGCGTTGAACAAGGCGTCGGTGCAATCAATGGCACGGGCGACACAGCCCATACACTTGTCGCCGACTGTGGCCTTGACTGTGGTGCCCGACGTTGGGTTGTACAATGTCACGGAGCGTCCGCAGTAGGGGTTTCCATTCGATTGGGTGCCCATGAATTGGTAAGGCAGAGCAATCTCGAGATCACTGTTTGTGTCGACGTTCCAGCCGCACGCACCAAGACCTAATCACGACATGTTAGCACGGTACCACCGAACAGAAGGAGATGTGAACAGGACTTACCACCATCCCAATGAGTCACATCACCGACACAAGCAGCCCCGGTGCCCTCGCAGGTTGCCGAGGTGGAGGCGCTAATGTCCTGGGTTCCACTGTCTCCAGTCGATGCTGATGGTGATGGTGCAGGAGCTGAAGGAGCAGCAGTGGTGGTGGTGGGGGCAACGGCGGCGGCAGGGGAGGATTCAGCAGCAGGAGCTGGTGCTGGCGCTGGAGCTGGCGCAGCAGATGGAGCAGGAGCAGGAGCTGGAGATGGAGCTACTGACGCCGGGGCCGATGACACCACAGCAGCAGCGGCAGGAGGAGTGGTAGTTGAGGACGACGAAGGAGGAGCAGGAGCAGGAGCAGCTCCGGTGACGGTCGCCAGGGTCGAAGGCTCATACGCAGTTTGGGCAAACACTGCGGGAGCAGACGTTGTCGAGCCGTCCGCAACAACGACAGTGGTAGTATCAGCAGCAGCAACGGGGGCCGGGGCCGGGGTTGGTTCGCCTGGTTCAAGCCAGACAGTGGTAGTTTCTTCAACCGTGACCCAAACAATTTCGGTGTCGGTATGTGTGTACACACTCCGCGCATCTAGACGGGGAGCAGCCGTGGCGAAAGGAGTGAGTAGCAGCAATGCTGCGAGGGTGATGTTCTTGAGGACGGCCATTGTGGAAGCTTAGTGGTCGATGATCCTCGTGTGAAGGTCCTCCTCCGTAACGTTTTTGGTGGTGTTCTGAACTGGGGGTCGAGAAAGACTGGAGATCTGGCTCTACAGTTTTGGTGTTGATACTGTGAAACGGGTCACGCAAGGAGTGTCGAGCAGCGTCGAGCTAGAGTTTTTCTTTTTGTCGCGATGACAAGCCTGAGAGGGTTGTGTCGTAAAAAGGATGGGCAAAGGGACGTCAAGTCCTCAAGTGGTGAGAGAGAGAGAGAGAGAGTGCTGGCCGTGGGTGGGAGGGAAGAAAGAGAGCGAAATACCTACTGCCGACGGGCGGACAAAGGATCAAGTAGACGAAGAAAACGAGAGTGAGAGGCGAAGTGCCAGGTGAAAGGATCAAGGATGTGAAAAGAAGACAAAGAGAACGAAGGTCAGTGAGGTCGACGGATTAAAAGTCCAGCCCTCAATATGGAGCTCAGCTGCATTTTTCTCCCTTGAGCGAGGACAATGGACGCCGTCCACGCCCCATTGGCCCCGGCTACGAGTACATACGAGTCCTGTGTACGGAGTGCCTGTGGTGAGTGCGTACGCACGTCTTCGGTCTTCGGACGGATCCCCCGTGTCGTGTCCATCTTCTTACATGTTGAGAACCTGTCTGGACTCTGGAGTCATGTCAGGCTGGGCCACCGTGAATGATCTGTGTGGTGAGGTGTGGACAAACAACGCCTGCTGTACTGTACGCTACTGGTTCTTCGGTCCAGGGGCAGCATCCCATTTTTTTCTCGGTAGTGGGAGATTCGGCAGAAACACAGGATCAGTGGCTGCTCCAGTTGCCAGGGTCAAGCACAGACAGACTCCGCAGCAGCGCAGCTTTGACGGGGCTCGTGGAGTCGTGGCCAGGCACTTTGTCCCCAATGGCCGTCAATGGCCCCGGGGAGGCCATCGTGGCGCCCGCCGAAACCGCTGCCGCCCAGGGGTCGCAAACAGCATCCGGGCGGCATTAGTTGGTTTAGTTACAGTAAAAGCCATTCGGGGGCGATTGGAGGCGCATCCAGGAACCAGGCACAAGTCGCATTTACGGAGTCCAGAGCAGTTCAGGGCATCCGACCATGCAGCACGCCCGCATTTCTTCTTCCTCAAACCGGACAAGCGGTGATCAGATCTTCCCCCTGCGCCTGACATGCTCTCGCTCCATCCTCAGGACATGCAATGCTCCCTTTTCCGGTAAACTCGTACCTGGAGGCACGGATCAATCCGTGGCTCGTTTGCTGGGCCTGCCGGTGATTCTGAGCATCCCCTTCCTTCGGCTCGCTACCTACAGGGGACGAGTTTCCGGATAAGCACGAGAACCGACCAGGCCGACAATACGCGTCCAGTCAAGCTTTGGTTGAAAGCGACAGCGACAGATGTCGCTTCTGTCTTGAAAGCCGTACTCGGGAGAGTGCCGTAAAGAGCTTGCAGCCAACTCCGCGCAGCTTTGTTCGCCTGTCGCACCTTGAGGCTAAAAGAAGGACCTGCATGGCCACCACGTTTCCTGGCCGCCTCCTCCGAACGTGCATGGGAATAATCACGCCATTATTACTGTGATGTGACAAAGACAAAAGCTTCAGGGTTTTGCTCTCCCGGCATCATGACGGAACCACCAAGGGTGCGTTATAGCGTACTCCCGTACGCTGCAAAACTATCGGGTTCGTTCCCTCCACACAATTGCATCTTTTGCTCATGCAGATGCAGCAAGCTCTCTTTTTTTTTTCTCTTGCAGCTGGCATTATGCATGCATGCATACATGCATGTGGCAACGGGAAATCCTCGCAATGATACCTCAGTATCACTAGGCACTCGTCACCAGATCCATCAGCCCAGGCTCTCGCATGACTTGTTGGACTCGTCCTACTCGTACTAAGGCAAACGTCAAGTGCAGTTTTCATCACTGATTCAATCTGATTGATCCTGCACCCTAGTTGCGTTGGAAAATTTCAATCCCACCGTCAACAAGTGTCCCAACCGATGGATGCTTTGACCGACCAAACGTCTGTGTCTTGTTGTGCGCCTGCAGTGCAGACTCTGTTGAGGTCGACCGTTGGTTTGCAGGTTTCCCGCCAACAGAGGCATCTTCAACACTGCCTTCCCCCCCCCCCCCCCTCCTGATGCACGGCCCAGAATCCTTCTGTCAGTGAATGAAGCCTGTGCACGAGCTTCAGCCCACGACTCTCTGGGTGCTCTGAACCCACGCGTGCCATTTGCGCCGTCAGGTTCCACTGAGTCATCGGCCAACGGCTGCCCGTATGTTCCGTTCCGCCCTACCACTTAAAGCCCTCAGCGCTCTCCTGATATGCTGGCCGGCTTTAGTCTGAATGAACTCGACTTGAGTGTTCTCTAAACAGGCGGGATACATGCACTACCGGATAGCCGTTGACTTCTGGCAAGAGGGTTACGCTTGCAGCAACTGCAATTGATTGAGAGTTACAGGGTATCTGTATAGGTGAGGAACACCGGCTCGTTGTAGGCCCGAAACTACGCAAACCTTTCCGATCGGATACGACCATTGGACAGCGTATGGAGATCGTAAGACGCACAATTCCACCCATGGAAAAGGATGCGAAAACGGGATATTCTGAACGGTGCGAGCATGGCATCAGCCAAACTCCACAAGACGACGTGCCAGATGCCCTTGGGTTAAGCGAGATGGAGAATCGAGACGCGCGGGACATTTCAGATACAGACTGTACCTTGTTTGTTCATCAATTCATGAAGACATATGGTTCCCTTACTCTCTGGGCTGGTGAACTTCACCCACCAGATACTCATCTACAACTGCCGTCCATGTGTCCATTCTGGGGCACGCTCTTCATCCATCAGCGCATGAAGCCTTAAGAGGAGGATGAAGTTGACCACCTGAGTCTGGCCTGGAAATGGCTATGGGTGCTGGCCTGAATATGTGCAACGCACATTCAGACTGCTTGTCGTGATGAGACTTTGCCCTCCCGTCCTTTCCGCTTGTCGCCCATGCTTCTCTAGATTGGCTGGGAGCCGCGACCGGACCGTCTTATGCCAAATAGCCGAACTATCCCATACCCGCGAAAGGTGCAGATACCTGTGTCGCGAAACCGCAGATCTCAGACCATTTGGTCCTTCGGGGAGAGTTGAGGGACAATCTCATCGCAGCCACCAGAACCCCAGGTGAGGCGTCTATGGGAGGAAGTGCACAAGGCTCTGGAAGTACGTAAGGAGGAGGCCAAATTGCAGAATCTGAAACGCTTGACAGCCGCATCAATGTCCAGCAAATCTAATGATCTCATCAAGACATGCTCAAACTTGTCTCATTATAGTGTGGTAATCGTCCAATCCCTCACGTTGATGATGCCTTTCAGAAACCTCGCGCCCACAGGTGGTGTTAGAATCTTGAGCAGAGGCATCCTCAGACTCTTGTTGCTGCCCCTGGGCCCCCTGACCCGTCTGGCTGCCCTCAGAGTTGTTATCATCCGGCCAAAGCGCCAGCTGCCCCACGTAACCTTTTCTCGGTCCTGATCGAAGTGGCTGGCTGTTGTTGACCCGATTCGCTCCATCCGCGAAGTCGAATGTGAAGACAGGAGGCACATGAGTTTCGAGGCTTTCATCATTCATGCACTTCTCGAGGTGAGCAATTTCAGGGTGATTTTCAAGGTAGTTGGTCGAGGATATGCCTTGGTCCATCTTACCGTACGTCTCCACAGCCCGAGGATCTCGGATGGTATCGTCGAAGTTCGAAGTGTTTTGGTTCGAGTTCTTTAATGGGTGCCTGCGTGCCTTCGGCTTGAATTCAGGGTCAACCTGACTCCTGGCTGCGGGTACTAGGTTCAGGTAAATTGGAAATATCATTCCAGAGACTGCGGCAGCCAGTGGAACACTGTACGCGTATTTCGTGCCACGCGCATTAGAGACGGCCCACATGATGGGAGGAAAGACTGCACCTCCAGATATCGCAGCCGTCATGAATGCGGAGCCGGTTTTGGTGTGTCTGCCCAAGCCTCGCATTGAAGTGGCAAATATGTTGCTGAAAATACCCGCTTCGAACAGAAATGAGAGCATCGCAACAGATGCTGCAGCGTCTGTGACGAGGTGCATTTGCAGCCCCAAGCAAACAATGAGACCGACAAAAAGTCCTAGTAGCACCCAACGCGGTTTGAAGAAGTAATCAAGAAAGGCGGTCAGAAATCTTCCTGCCATGAATACAGTATGACCGACCGTCTCAAAGTCAAATGGGTCGAGGTTGGTGTGCGGCTTCACCAACTGGATCAGTGGCTGTATGGAAACACCAATGCACTCTTGCTGCCCGACATAGCACCATTGACTGAACACACCGAACGCAAGTGTGACATACACAACCTTCCAAGGGCCAACGGGTGCCCGATAGACTGCACTTCGATAATCTGCTTGTTCATCGAGCTGTTCATCCGTTGCCTCAGGGAGGGGAATGTAGAAGAAAACCACCGCGAGTGCAAAGTCGAACAAGGCGATGCCCAAATACGTCCACTGCACATTGACAAGTGATGGGGCGTTTAGTACATTGTTGAATAACACCCTGGTGGCTAACAAAGGTGAGCAAACAGTGCCGATTGCTTGAAAAGCTTGCGATATGTTCAGCCGAACTTCAGCATATTCCAGGGGGCCACAAAGTGAAGTGTATGGATTGGCGGCTATTTCCAGACAAGAGAGGCCCACTCCAACAATGAAGTTGGAGATAACAAAGGCTGCATACGAGGTCAGAACTGCTGATGGCCAGAAGACCAGGGTTCCACATCCATAGACGCATAGACCCGAAATCATGCAAGCTTTGAAGCCATATCGTTTGAGGATGAAGCGTCCTAGCGTGAGAGGGCCAACCAGGTACCCAGCATAATAGGCGGAATGAAGACCAACTCCTTGTCCGGTAGAGAGCTTCGCCACCTCCTGGAATCGGGAGTTCAGAGTGCTCAGAAACCCGTAAGCCAGGCCCCATAAGAAGAAGATCACAGTTATGACAGCAACCGGCCAGATGCTTTCTTTAGTCGACAGCCTCAGCATATTTCGCCGTTTATATGTCTTCACAAATCCGAAGTCGGAAGTGGCTGTCCTTGTGGTGCTCCTTCGTGATAACCTCGTTGACACTCGAGAAATTGAAGCGGTGTCTTCATCGGCGGGTTGAGCAAGCATGTCAAGAAATCCCATTTGATTGCTATCTTCAATTCCACGGTATTCTCGGGTTTGAGCTTGCCTGAAGGCAGCTGGATTGTTGAGCATCGAGATATTGCCATTGGGAACGCCGGCATTGACGACGCTAGTATTGTCGTCGTCATTCTGTGTATCCCCCGCGTCCCTCACCATGCGTGGAAGGAAACGCAAAAACAACGGTTTCAGGCTCGGCACGCATGCGCAGACAATTCCCGTGCAGACTTCGACAGCGGACCACATGAAACTTAAACTGGCATACCAGGAAAAGTCATTCTCCTCGACGATACGACTACCAGAACCTCCTTCGGTCTTGACTAGTTTCAGCCGGTTGAGGGCGGCATTCTGGAGGTACGCGATGCGGACCACGTCCACTGCCGCTACGAAAGCGCCGGCACTGAATGTTAAGAGCAAGATGAGTTTTTGTTTGAAAGGCAGTCGCATACCAGTGAGGATAGGCATGGGAAGGACCAATAGGGCAATGTCGGTGATAATGTTGACAGGCGCTGAGGAAAGATACAGCGTGACTATGTCGGCGCATTTTGCACCGTCTGACCTAGGATATATCCATGCCTGGGCGACAGGGCGACACTGGAAGATGTTGTAAAAGGTCAGCGCAGTACCGACAGCGTTGACAAGGACGAGAGTCAACCAGTTACACCATTTGAAGACGGGATCAGCATCCTTAGACATGACCGAAAGGAAGAACACGATAATCGATGTCTTCGTAAGCATGAGGGCTGGGTTGTAAAGAATTGAGAAGGCGTATTCCGCCTTTCGTAGAGAGGCAAAATGCTCGTCAGAAATATCATCCTTGTGCTTGCCCAGTCCATATTTGACTGCGATGCATATTGAGGCAGAGAAGCCAACGGCAAGCACCCATGCTGCCAAAATCCACCAGTCGTCGTGTTTGACAGATTTAACCAGCAATATCCTCGTATAGAAGCGACCCGCGATGAACAAGGTGGCCAGGGCAGTGATAAAGATGGTAACCGCCGAAGTTGTCGGTCCACGGTCTGGTACCATCGTCGACTAGATAGCTCTCATGAGATGATGGCCTAAATAGCATGCTTCATGTAGGATCGATCCTTTGACGATGCGCAGAACTCAAGCACATCGTGATGGTAATCGGCCGCTTTCCAATGTCCAGTGTTTGACCAAGACGATGGAATAGGCAGATGTGCAAATTTACAGCTGTTGGGATCGTGTGCCGCGAAAAGAGAAGCGAGAAGCTGACTGCGAAGAAGAAAGCAAAGAGTGTGGAGAGAAGCCCGCGTTTTTGCGTTAATGCTAGAAAGAATCAGTTCCTTCGGAGGCGAAAGAAAGAGAAAGCCTAAAAGCCAATCTTGAGCTGTTTTGGAAAAGAGAGTTTGCGACAGTGCGCGGTCCGTTAAGCATCGCTCTGAGCTTCACGAGACGAGAAGGTGAGGAGGCGTTTTTCCTCGATGGAGACATGTTCTTTAGGGCATCCCTATTCGACAAGGCGGGATCTCTGATGACAACTTCTCGGTTTGCTGGGGGAGAGGAGCAAGCTGCGAAAGATCTGATTGATGGCTGGAGAAAGTATATGATCAGCTGCAGCTGGCTAAAGAGGAGTTGAGAGCTGGAGTGTCTGCGGTTGGTGGGAGGAGGAAGGAAAAAAGCCACTTCCACCCCGGATTCGCCTCTGCCAACCCGTTTGGCTGATTCTCGTCGCTTAAGACCAGCCCATTCCCAATGTCGGCAAAACTATCCGTGTCGAGACGACGCTCCGAAGGCCGGAGGGCCGCACAGTGGAAGAATTGAATCTGACGAAGACTCGCTTCGTATTCCAGCCGACGTGTGTGCGTGAAGGTATTATCTAGTCCATTGCGCTTCATGGGTGTGGAACATTGTCGAGACCAGTGGCTACGTCTTCGGTTGTTTCAGTACGTGGCGAATTCGGATTTACAACAAAGGGATGCCAGAATGTCAAACATGTTCCTAGGTGGGCCTGTGTACAGCATAAGGCTGTGGATCTCGACCCTGATGTCCAACAACGCATCCTTCATCTGAAGAGCGTCTGTCGCAGCGATCTCACCAAGGAAGGTGTACCCGTTTGACAGCATTCCGTCTCCAAATGCATCATCTGCGCAGCCGGCGCCATGCCTAGATATCTCGTCCATTGCCTAAGCGCAACAGTTGTTGGTGCACCGCAGAACCCGTACACGACCGGGGGCGCAAGGACGCTGTCGGTGACAGACAAATCTGACTTCTTTCTCGTGGGATATCTGGCATTAGGAAGCGGCGGGGGATGCTGGACTTGTATGATGCTCCACAACGCGTAGCCCACGTAGCTGTAAGGTCTGTTCCTTGTCGTATGCGTAGTCTTTTTCCTCGCTTGTTCTGTTAAGCCTGCCCACGGCTATCCAAGAATGGTCCCAGTCGCAGGACTGAACGGCGTGCAGGCTTGTGAAGGACGATGGCTAACCAGCCTGTATCTTACTGTACCGTCGAGGTGGGGACTTGATGAGTGCCGGTCTTGCGCATGGAACGATGTCGATTCCATATACCGTCAGTGGCATGCGCAACTATTCATTCTGCATGACCATCCTTCGTCTTCTTCAGAGCACCAGGAGCTCGGAAGCCTTCCAGGATGCTTTCGTTGTTAGTCCGAGGCGTGGCCACCTCCTCTTTTGGTTCCGTCCCCAAGGGTCGAGCCTGTTTATCCCCCATGAATTTCGATTCTTGTTTCTCTACACTTCTTGCATCTTTCAGAAGCTGTAGGCTAGAAGTACCTTCGACCTGGGCTATCACACCGTGCCTGCGCAAGCTCTCACGTCGTAGGTCTAGTTGCCCACCGTCTGCTTCTCGATGAAGCTTTGCGTTTCTTTTCGCGGCCCTGATGGAAGTAATAGAGTAGGTATAGAGGAGGCCAGCCATGACAACTGCGGCAATTGGGGCTGTGATGGTCTCGTGTTGTGTGAGCATGGGGATTGGAAGAATAGGCGAGAAAACACTTACTCGGGCGTTCCATACGGAACCTCTGGGCCTGGGATTCGACATGTCAACCTATTGGATTAGTGAGAGAAGTCTTAGATTGGCATATCAGTCAACACGGTCACATCCCAGCTGTTGTGCTTGTCGCCCAGGGATCATCGTGGACATCGGCCTCCACGTTACGACGGCACAGCCAGTGGCCTGAGCGATTAAACCATCTGGAGATTGTATTATGTCAGCACAAGCTGAGGACGCGCAAATGCTCCTCCGTACATCCGCTGGGGGTGCATAAGATGTCTGCATACCCCTCCCTAATGCCTGTACCTGTGCACTTCGTACTCGCACAAAAACCCTGACTTCGGTCACTCTGACCCAGGTACTCCGTACGAGCGTACGTGCAATGCGCATTGGTCCATGCGCATTGGTCCATGCGCATGTTCCTTGCTGTTCCGCAGCGTCAAAAGACCTTCACTTGCTGGCCGCTGACGTTGATGGCTGCGCTGACCTCATCGCCTCACATCGCTGTCCACCATCGTTCTGCCGCCGTTGTCCTGCAATATCAAATCATCAGCTTCCGTGCGCCTTCAAGTGGACCGACTAGCAGTCATCAAGGCATAGCCAGCATCCGTCACTAAGCTTCCGGTTCGATACCATCAAGCACTCGTTGCGGCCTTCCGCCAAACAGGCTGCTTCTTTTCTGCGCCGTCGTGTGATCGCGCAGTCCATCCCGAGTCCAAACGCAAACTCGACCGTAAAGTGTCTAGATCCAACAGACTCTTGCTCGCGCTCACATTTGCCGCTTTCTGCTGGCTACGGCATAAGCCCTGATTCTTTATCGCTCACAAAGTCAAATGTAATCTCTTGCCGGTTCTTCCTTTTAGCAACACCAAAATACATCGAGTGCATTTGAAACTGAGGCAATTCTCTAACAAGACCGGAACCTTCGTGGAATCTTGAAGAATATTTCTACCATCCTCGCCGTCGTCACATCTACCTCCCCTTATACTCAAGCGAAGACTTTAGATATACACCCCCGCCACCACCGACCCCGAATTCCTCGATCTTTCGCCTCGGTGTGCAGAATTACACTGCCTGCTACACTGCCTACCACAAGGGCACCAGCAATACTAGAACGCATACGCATACGCTGAGAACCAAGGCAACAATATTCTTGAACATTCGACGTCAAACCCGTCTATATTATCACGCCTATACCTTATCTTCCTCAGCATTGGTTGCTCTCGACTGTTTCCTTTCACAGTAACCCAACCCCGCTTTTATCAATTTGCCCCAGGACAACCTATACACCTACATTGCAGAGTCAACCAGCAAGACCTTCATCCACCATGACATCACTAATATTCGGTACCATTTACATGGGCCACAAGGGCCTGGTCCATCACAAACGTGAAAAGCAACGCCAGAAAAATTACGAGCGCTGGGAGGGTCTGCGGGATGAGTACGACGAGCAGAGGAAGATCAACAGACAATCAAGATCGTTAGATATTCAGCGTACCGGCGCAGTCCCAGTGGACGAGGACCGACCTATCCTCACTCTGCGCGACCAACAAGAAGCCGGCGACGCCCGGACCGGTTGGCGTCCTCAAGAAGCATTCGACGGTGTTCAGAGTGTTCCTGCGACAGACAATAGGCGGTCTAGCGTCGAAGTCACGGCAGGCTCCAGCCTGAGACCATTGACCGGCATCAAAACAGGCACTACATGGGATGAAGGTTTGCCATCGCCATTGAAAGTGTCCCGCCGGAACTGGGACGACTACCAGCCTTCAAACAGCGGAAATATCAGTCGAAGCAGCAGTGTGCGCAACACCACAACCAGTAACAGCGCCACTCCGCACGACCGAAGCGCAAGCAACACGCCATCCTTGAAGTCAGCGGGATCACCCACGATCGGCTCTTCCACAACAAACATCTACCACCCTCATCCCTCGCGGATTGTAAGCACACCCGCAGACATCCCACACTATGGCAGCATCGATCCCATCGATTACAGCACACCAGGTGGACCTATGGCCGAATTAATCGCTCCTGCTCCTCCAAATAGACCAGCGCCAACGGCATACACCAACCACCAACCCCCACAGACATTTGCAGGATATCAATCAAATCCGTTCTTGAGTCTCCCTGCCGCTCCGGCCCCTACCCCTTCTCCGGTCCCTGCTCCGCTGAAGGTCCAACCTACATCCGCAGAATTTTGGGACAGACCATGAAAATTGAAGAAGTTAGACTCGGTTTCCACAGATCTAACTACGACACAGTCATGACATACATGTCACATACAGCGACTGCCTAAGTCTCTTTTTGACTTTGACTTGGGTACTAGTGGAAGTTTCATTTGTGTTTATTTTGGGGGTTCTCTGAATAGCGACGGTGTCGAAAAGGGCGTTGTGTTTCCTTACCCCTACTGGTCGCGAATTCGTTTTCGACTGGATCGAGGGGCGGAGATGGACATATGGGCAGGGAAGAAGACTCCCAAGAGTACCCTGAGTACTTTGAGTGGTTTTTCTTTCTTTTGCAGCTTTTTTGCAGCTTTTTTGCATCGAGCGAAAGTAGAAATCGAGTTGATAGATGGCAAGCGACTAGCAACGACGATTGTCTATGAGCAGTCCGCAATGGATGGATATATATATATATTGTTTCAGTGGACACCTGCAACCTCCCCAAAGTGATGCAGTACCCGTGCAGCCTCGTACGGCACTTCCCACTTTTGGTCAGGATCCCTGTTTCTGGGATTCTTCGATGCTCGATAAGCATGCTCTTCCTGCCTGGCGTTCAGGTGTCGTAGAAATGAGCATCGAGGCGTGCCTCGCCCAACTAGTCCCTGGTGCCTGGCACCTAGTGCCCTAGGAAGCTAGCTACCTGTACCTTAGTAGGTATCTACGGTATCGTCGGAACAGACCTACGACACCACTCGTAGGGACGGACGAATAGACCAGCTCAGCCGGCGGGTAATGAACCTCCTGACAGGGACCTGGTCCATGCATAGGTAGGGTTAGGTCGGAACCTAGGTACCTTGAAAGTCAAAACCTCCTAAAATGTGCACACAACACACAAACCTCCAACGTCAGACGGTGCTACTGGTATCCACCGCAAAGTCTACAGTAGGGAGGTAATGTGTCTACCTGATATACAGTACGGACCTCGAGATCCCTTCGACGCTGAGTTAAAAGAGACGTACTGCGTGCTGTTCCATTTGCTCCATCTTTCAGCTGCGGTACCGAGTCGCACCGAACCGAACCGAACTCAACAAAACCAAACCGAATCAAACCGAACCAAAGAGACTGGCCACGACGACAAGGAACAAAACAAACGCATCCTCTTCTATTGGTTTCGGGACGAAGCAAGAAAGAAAAAAGAAACATGCCTAGGCATGTCCAAGGTAATCTGTCATATAAAACATCACGTCAGAATTAAAAACGAGGCGAAGAAGGCTATCTCGTACAATGCTTCGTATTAGTGGTGGTGGTGGGTGGGTATTATCTCACGATCCAGACCTCGACGCCTGCCTAGCCTATAGACAAGCTACAAAACACAATATCAGATACGTCGTGATCCCTCGGGTTCCGTATGCTGCGCAAACCAGGCGAGGCCAGGCCACGGCAAGGGGAAGAGAAAAGGCACAAACGATGTCTTGACCTTTTTTTTGTTTGCCCAGCTTTGACATTCCAATAAACACCGGACTTGCGACCTTCTGCCTCCCCAGAATCGGCCATGATCGAGCCAAAAGAAAAAAGAGGTCGGGTGAGGGAGACAACAATAGTAAACACTCTTTCCCTGTTCCCATGATCTCGTTCTGAGGCAGGATTTCCTTTTTGTTCGTTCAAACCAAATCCATAATGTATCTTTTGTCTATCCTGCGTTGCCAGGTTTCTCTTGCGTGTCGATGTGCTATAGCAAAACACACGTCAGTCTTGCTCAAATCATGCCCAAGACGGAAAAGGAACAAACTTACCCAGACGACATAATTGGGAAGACCGTAAACCTTGTATCCGGCTCTCTTTGCCATTTTCGCAAAGCCTTCTGTCTCGGCTTGATTCTCGAATGCATAGCATGGGAAGTTGATACCTATGAGACAAGTGGTCAGCAAGCAGTAGACGTCGTAGGGACTAGAGCCAAGGGAGCACAGCTGGGTGTTCAATAACTTACCAGAACGGTGTACATCGGCTTTGACCAAAATATTAACACCACCAATGCCATCCAACTCGATCTCTTCATCCTTGTTGTTTCGCCAATCACCCATTCTAGCCATGTACGTACGGCCCGTGTCATATTCCTTGTATCCCTCAGCGAGGACTACGTTCTTGTCTAGGCTGTTCGCCAATCGGCGGCCTTTGTCGGACTCGATCCATGAGTTGTAATCGAAACGGCCTTCAATATCGCGATTGTTCTCGTAGCGGTGGAACCAGATGTCTGAACACACACATATTAGTTATCGTCCTTTTCTTCTAATGTGCAACAAAACCCAGATTAGATGGAGAAGGGAAATCGTACTTGGCACCAAAACATCCCTGTCATGAGCGACGAAGTCCTCAATGATCTTTTTCGGGCTGTCCACAATATCCACATCGCGCCAGTACACCCAAGAGTGCTCAGGTTTGAGGGCAGCATAGAGTAGATAATTCCTTGCTCTTCCCATGGCCTTACGCCTGGGACCTTGCGCAGCAAAGCCATGTCTTGACTCGACATCCATGCTGGTGGTCTCACCAAAATCCTTCTCGACTATCGTCACGCTGCGGAAGGGAATCTTGTCGGTGCGCTGTTGTATTCTGTTCACTTCAGATGAAAGAACAGCAAGGGTATCATCCGTAGAATCTCCAACAAGAAATGCGAGGTCGATGAGATCGTGAGGGTAAGTCAGCTCGTAGATTAGATCGAAGTACTTCATGAGGTAGGGGGCGGCGTCACGTAGAGGCGTCAGAAGGAGAACTCGTTCGCGATTGCTGACGGCCCGCGAGGTGGATTGGATTGGATTCAGGTCAATCCGCTGGATTGTGCTGGAGTTGACCTCGTAAGGTTCGTGATGGTTAAACAGCACAGGTGTTTGCAGGTGCTGATTCCATGCGACCATTTCATTCTTCGACATTTGCGTCGGAGGCTTCGATGGGCCGAAGCAGTAAAAACTATAAACATCATTGAATCAGTATGTATTCCTCCGGGACATCTGTCAACAGACGTTAGGGGGGCCTTACTTTGACATTTCTCGTGTTGATACAGTAATCCCCCTCCATAATAAGATAATGAGCCCCGTCAAGGCGACGGCAACCAGAAATCGTGTGCGTGTCAAGAACATTAATACTGCTTTCCATGGTGGCAGTTTAGCTTTGGCGGACTTCCAGTTCACGCCGCCTTTCGGTAGAAGCATCTCTGCAGGATATGAACAAGATTTTAGGGGAAATGAAGCGGCGAAAAGCAAGGCTAGCAACAAAACCGCCTCGCTAGGAGGACGTCGTCAAGGTCGTGGCCAGATTGAGGGATGTGGCAGGAGGAACGAATGGATGGCCTCCGCAAGGCCAAAAGGAGGAGAGGAGCGCAAAGACCAAGGACCACGGATAGGAGATGGTGCGGGTTTCGACCGATCTCACGATCAAGGCGTGGCGAGGAGGAAGCTGAAGGTCGGGATCCGATCACTCGATGGTGTAATGTTTGAGGTTGGCGGTGGGCGGGCGGTTTGTTGTGGCTTTGGGATGGTTGAGGATAAGGAAATGGTATCAACGAGACGCAGCCATTTCGACACCCAGATCAGATCATCCTTTTCCGCCGCCCAAAGGAGACTAGCGTCGCGGGCCCTTGGCGTACTTTAGTACGGAGTGCGAGGCCGGCTTGTTCCCGTTTTACTCCCTCTAATACCACGAGTACCATGGTCCGTTCGCGTCTTATGGGGGCCCTATGGGCAGACTCCGTACCAAGAGCACACAACGCGTCGCTGCTGGTTTCACAGTCGCTCTCCCAGAGTCGGACGGTTATACCAGTGTTCCAAAACAACCAGGCAACAGAACAGGTCTTCGTCTTCGAGGCGGCAACCAGGTCTCCCTTATACAGAAGATAACATTTACTATATTACTATCGATTCCAGAATGATACGTGGTATGGGGTATACGCGAGAAAAGAAGCCATCAGCCACCACAAGTCCTCCAAAACACGTACGAGTTTCCCCAATGTGATGCACACACTTCCCTAACAGAGAAGCTGTCATCTGCAAAATCATCAAATAAGGCATCAAATCATGCCTTCAGTTCGTTCAAACTCATACACCTCCCATATTACCGGCATCGAACAACTCTCTTGGACCCGGTCCATTATCAGATTGACCCTCCAGAAGTCTCCTTGATGCGTCCAGTCTTCTCCGGAGAACTTTGGCCGCATGCATTTCATGCTGCTTTTCGGCTTCCAGAATTTGATTGCAGATGCCTCCCACGGCTCGTAATAGGTCAAGAACAAGATCTTTGTCAACGTCTGCAAATGAGGTCGACCTTTGCCCGTCAGCTATGGTGAAATCTGGATGTGCGAGCTTGATGAGGCTCTCCATGAGTATTTCTGTATTCGCTGGGTGATCAATCATTGCGGCGTTCGGTGGTGGATTCTGGTGTCCGGTAGAGGCTGCTGATACTGTGGATACCATACTCGGTGATTGAGTTGGCGGCGTAGGAATACCATTAGTAACCACTGTGACCCGCTGACGAATCTTCTGAGTCGACCCGGTCTCAGGCTGCGAAGCTCGGCCACCCATAGGAGGTGTTGGCCAAACTGGTGGGGTCCTTTCTACCCCAGAGCTCTTCGGGAGCTGAGATATACCCGTGCCAGGCCCCCAGGTCAAAATGTCGGTCGGTAGACCATCATCACCTTGAGATTCTTCAGGCCCATCGCCCTCTGTCGCGGTGGCGAAAGTTGCACTAGTAGACACGGAATCCATGCTATTACTGCGAACGTTCTTCGTCCACGGTATTGAGGGTGCTCGCATGTACGCCATGGGTGGCGCTTGCGATAGGTGTTGCGAGAACTTGTCCACCACTGGGGTAGGGGTACCGCTTCTTTCTTCATCAGCTGACTCGGGGTATGCCTGCTCTTCATCCTCGTCGTCTTCGGCTGGTGGCGTGTTCTGCTCTGCTCGAGTCGTCCTGAGGCTGCTAGTATCGCTTTCACTCGGGGTCTCACTTCGGGTTCCAGTTCCAGTGTAGTTGCCTAGGGTACTGTGAAGAAACATGTTCTCGTAATCGAAAGCATCGTATCTGTCCTCATGTCTTCCTGCTGCTTGCTCAGATGCCAGGATATGCTCTGGGAGGTCAGGAACATCGGGCTCGAACTCTTCTAGACTCTCCTGAAGGACTTCATTTAGATAGATTTGCTCTTCCTCCGAAGCAGCAATTGGTTCTTCATCGTCCAAGGTTTGGGCGGCATCCTCATAGCAAGATTCCTGAATGATTGATCCAGACTCACCGACAAGGGGGGACAGGACATTGACAGACTTATGTAAACTGGGCGTATTTTTATCGGTCTTGACCGCACTATTGAGCTTGGATTCGTCTGTGGCTGGCTGATCGATATCTTGAAATTTCTGCTCCTGCGGGGTGACGGGAGTGACTTGTATTTCAACTGGACTTTTGTGTTGAGAGGGACTCCACCCCAGCCCTGCGTTTGTATTAAGCGGACTGCCTGCTTCTTTGTACTCTGGTGCACTTGTGTACCATTGTTCGGGAGTTCTGGCGTTTGTGAAGGGGCTGGGTGTACGAATGCTCTGGATGCTTCTTCTTCTGAGGCTGTCCGCTTGAGCTTTCTCCTTCAGCTCGGAGATCTTGCTTCGTAAATCCGATATTTGCTCCCGAATCTCCTTTGTGGAACGGCTCGACATCTGTGAAGGTGAACGGGCGATCGCAGTACTTGGACTGCTAGGAAGCACAGAAACATCTTCTCTGGAAATAGAGGCTAGAGTATTGATTCCCAGCCCTCGAGGCCCAAACGATTCTGGCGAGGTCTTGATTGTGCTAGGCGTGCCTTCACCCTCCTCCTCCTCGAGAGCTCGAAGGGTTGAATTATGACTGTGAAAGCTGGCAGGCGAGGCTCCCTCGAATCGTGGCTGGGGCGAGGAGTCTACCTGTTGCGGCGATTCCTGCCTAAGACCGTACTCCAGAGCACTTGCAGACCGTACCTCTGCAATCATTGATAATCGCTTCAGGCCGCCGTTGATTGCTGTATCGCTGCCACCCCTGGAATGCGTAGAATGAGCCCTTGTGACCTGAGTCAGCAGCCTAGGTTTGCGTGAACTTGCACCAGCCAAGGAGATCGAACGGTAGAGTCCTCCAGCGGGTTGATGAAGCTCATTAATATTTGGTGAGGACCGCGAAGATAGAAGAACACTGTGTCGCGCTTTACTCAGGTTGTCTTCCATGTTAGTTAAGCGTTTCCTTGCTTGCGCTAAGATTTTTTCTGCCCGTTCATTGAGCAGTGCCACTTCGTCCTCGGCGCTTATCCCGACGATGCTGTTCCTTTTGCTATCGCCCCCCTCCACCTTTTCGTCTGGTACTTTGGCCACGTCGGCGGCCAGTCGCTCGTTCATGATTTTTGAAGTATCAAAGTTCTCCCAGTCCCCCAAATCTGAACCTATACTTGACGAAGATTGCGTACTCAGTCTGCGCAACTGTCTCGTGTTTGCACCGCCGGGTGTAGGTGACGGTGGGTCCGATTGTGCAAAGTAATCAGTTGCTCGGCTCCTCCTTGATATTGGAGTCTCCTCTTCACCGATATCACTGAGCGGCGCTCCGTGTTCGTAGCCATGGTAGCTTGTGTCGATTGGGGTCACCATCGGGGGCGGCATTCGGACCGCTGTCGCAACTCCCGACCCTGTGGAAACTTCAACATCAGGTGAAGTTAACGACACGGCGGAATCGGGGCGTGCAGGAGGAGACGATGTCAGTAGTATGGGGGAGGACGCAAGCGGTATTGGGCTTGGATTTTCGAGAGGGCGGTATGGAAGGATCATGTCTGGGTTTGTCAAGACCGGCGACGGAGGTGTCTCCTGGGTGAAAAGGTCATGAGGAATCGGGTGTGAATGTGCGTGCGCCATGACTGCGTCTTCGGCGATTCTAGAAAGTTGCGATCGTACACATGTCAAGATATTGACAGAGGGTGACAGCTCGCGATCCAGAATCGAGAAGTACTGATCAGACAGCCCCTCAATGACCTATCAAACGCCGGATCTATCAAGAGGACCACACACTGGATGTGCTTGGGTTCAGACTTGGAACAGCAGCGTATTGCAACGGGAACTTGGTCAAGTTGCGCAAATGGCCCAGAAGGACCAGAAGTAGCGTCCGTTGCCGAAAGCCACGGCGTCGAAAGAGTTGGTCCACCTAGAAGCCTAGCGACACTGAGTCAGTCCAGATGCGCGATAGTTTGTTCAGCCACATCAGCCCAAGCTGAAGCCAAAGCGGAAAAAAGTTAACGCCCGCGGGAACTTGGACCAGGCGGTACAATATGTAGACACGATCAATCTGCAAAGAGGCGTACGGGAGACTCTGCTAGCACCCGGACGGAGTACCAGTATTTGGTTCACCGTTTCACGCTTCCCGGCCGTTTGGAGATCGCGAGATTTTGGCATTGCTAGGCCTGATGTTGTATAGCAGAATGGAGTCAGGCGAGAAGACAAGAGACCGCGAGAGGACGATGGGGAAAATGCTTACAGTACTAGACGCGGTTGGCGGCCTATTGGTCATAATAGGCCTAAAAAATACTCTGCAGGCATGGATTCGGGGCCTGGTTAAGTGCCTAGGCCCTGTCCCAGGTGAGTCCTCCAGGCATGGAGAGGCCCAGAACTCCAGTCGCCAGAGGCCACTCACGCCCAATCAGCCTAGGTAGACGCTTGTCCATGAAGTTGTCCTTGCCAGGTTTCCCCTGCTCGTCTTTCGGCACTTATTTCTTCGCAGATCTACCTTGTCCTGTCGTCTCGCCTCCGTCGAGCAACCACTTTCGCTTCAGCGTCAACTGAAATTAGGGACGAAAAGTTATCAAACCTCTGGCAGCTGTTCCTCATCTCCGACTAGTAAGTTGTAACTACCTGTTGCGTGCCTTGGACCTAGCTATACTTTCGGTCTCACTGAACTGGTGAGAAAGGATTGCTATCTGGACACTGTGCTGATCCTTGTAAAGCCTGTTTCGAGCGAGTCCAGCAATTGGAATTTACTCAAGTGGTCAACATGCCTGCCTTCGTGCTTCTCCCGGCATCTCCTTCTGACTTGGAGCGCATTGCGCAACTTCAGTTTGAGTCCTTTGCCAGCGATCATGGCTTCCCGGTTATTTTCCCCAAAGGTGCTTCCCCGACATCCCTCACGCACTTTGTCCATTCCTTTGAAAATGATATGGAAAATGATCCTACGTGCTTCATCATGATAGTCAAAGAAGCAATGTCAAGCGTAATTGTCAGCTACGCTGTGTGGCATTTCTATCCGCCGAAATCGCAAGATGAGATCGACATGGAGATGTTGGTCGAAAACATTCCACTCCCCGCGGATGCAAACCAAGAATTGGGGAACAGATTGATCCGTGAGAGCATCAGAAAGAAGCATGAAGTCGTGACGGCGGCGATTGGACCTCAAAAGCCCTATGCCTGTGAGTCCGTATCCGTGAACCCTATGGTGCAAAAATGGGGTTCTGATTGCAACAGTCTTAGCTGCGCTGGGCACAAGTCCCCAATATCAGCGGCAAGGAGCAGCGTCCTTGTTGATGACTTGGGGTGTGGAGAGAGCAGATGACCGAGGCGTTGCTATCTACGTAGAAGCATCTCCCGACGCCTCCAGGCTATATGAGAAACACGGTTTCCATGAAGTCAGCCGACTGAGGCTGGACATGGCACCGTGGAAGGAAGGCGATTATTTCAATACATGTATGATCCGGGAGCCGACGACGAGCTGACAGGCCCACGCGGTTTGGTATAATACATGAGCCTCGGTGCCGATGTTCTCGTGGAACCCTGGAACACACCAACCCACCATCCTCTTTAAGCCACGAATCAGTCTCCGAGCATCGAAGTGCTAGCCTGGCTTACGTGCCCCTGACTCGGGATCCGCCAACATTCGACTTCAGGCGACCAGCGATGGGTTTTGTGACGTTGTAGATCGACTTTGAGTGTACAGTACATCCTTGTGGCGTTGAACACTTGGTGAAGGCAACAGGCACTGGACTTGTGAAAGATATGTGACCTTTGTGAGATCACACCGAAGAAAGTCATTTCGTTTGATAGTAACGTTGCCATGTCTCACGACATCTACACAAAGGGTTCGTACGGCTGAGCTTTTACACCTCACACCATGCATTCCACAACGCGGTTTCGAAAGCAAAACTCATCATGCGATCAATGTCGCCGGTCAAAGCGAAGATGTGCCACACCCGACAACGTTCCATCTGATGCGGCTCGCACCTGTTTGAACTGCCTACGTCTTGGCCATAATTGTACATTTGACTTCGTCACATCTCGGACAACGCAGAGACCGAGGAAAGTATGCACTCCGTCTCCAAGTGACGCCGAATCCACCACCAACACTCTATTACTTGACATGGTGGAGGAAGCCCGGAATACTCATTCTTCAACATATTCTGAGATCGCCAATTCTGCGCTAGATGTTTCGCTGTGGCAGCAACTGGTTGGCTCAGACGTTGCGGGCGGTGATATGTTCCTGGAGAATCTTGCCTTGGAATGGACAAAGGTCATGGTCGGGAACCAGACCAGTGAGACTTCCCCTGCAAACTTCGAATCTGGCGATCCAGTTGAGACACCATCACCGGCTGCTGAAAATCACGGCAAAGATCCCGTGGCAGCCAGAGGCAGAAACTTGGTAGGCTCGTGGCAAGGGTCTCCGATGCGCCTCCTCAATTCGAGTGTTGAATTACTATTACTCAACCAGAGCTTGGGCGAGGTCTATGAGTACATGATGTCCGGAATTGCCATCAGATATTTGGACTATAACTGTAATCTTTTTGCAGGGTCGTATCGCTACTCCTTTGTTGTCAATCGTCCTGACAACCCACCGTCAGAGCCGGGGTCGATACAGGCTATGGCCAAAGCCTACACTCCTCCATGGAAACGCGCAACGCGGAGTCGCTCTACAGTATCAAGGAACCAAACCGAACTGTCACCCGAAATCTTGTCGAGTCAGACCAACAAAGTTACTATGATTGGTATTGCTAGATTTCTCGACAACTTTGGTTCTTTGTACGGGAACATCATTGACGCAAAGACACGGAAGCAGAATGATCGCACGTTGACTGCCGTACTCCAGGCATTTTCTCTTCAATTCAGCCCCTCTCGCAAGGATGACCCATCAAGCATCCCCGAGCCCGATCATCTCAAGAACCCAGGCTGTAGTACAACCTTTGAAGCAATGTCGGGAGCTTCGGTCAGTACCACCACTCACATTTTTGTCACTGCATGGTTGAATGCCTACGAGCATCTGATCGAGCCGCAACAATGCCCCTCTTTCCTCCGCTTCTACGCGGTCTTCCTGTTTATGATGACGACCGTTCCATCTGAGGCACTTGTCGGCCTGCAAGCTCCCGTCGATACTCTGAATATCCTTGATTCGGCGCTTCGACAGATGCAGGAGTTGCGGAAGTTGATAGACAGCCACTGCTCTCATCTCGATAACACTTCGATATACAAATTCCTCTTCCAATCGTGCTTGGACATATTTGGCTGGTACGCGTATCTGCGAGATACCATTTCGTCAGTGCTGAACGCACGCACATGTATTCTTGATGATGCCCCTTTGCGACTAAAAGGTACTTCAAGTCCTTCCAACCATGTGTATTGATCATGCACTAATACAATCGCTAGGTCTACAACCATCAGCGACAACAGCAACCAGAGAAGCTTCATGTGCCTATGTCTCTGCATTTGACATTAAAGTACCATCATGCTGTCAAAGTGCAGCCGGAGACCTTTTCCATTTATTCAGACAGGTGATCAGACTTAGAGACGCCGCGGACACCACTTCTGTATCAAATGTAAGCATTGATGTGGCCAACCTACAAGGACGAGTTCGGGAATCCATAAATACGATGAACGCGTATACCTCATTGTACGGTTCATGGCTCGAGCAGTGTATCATTTCATTCTATAGACTCTCGGAAGAGTCGAAATTGTCATCGGGTAAGTGTCGACTTCTGTTCGTATGGGAAGATTGGCCTGACCACCTTACAGCATTTTTGCTCCTTTTCTGGAATCTTGCCCGCTTTCAATTGGTTGAGCAGTTGCATATTGCTACAGACGTTCTACCCGCTGATGAGACATGCTCGATCCTGGAACAAGCCCAGGCACTTCAAGCTTCGGCGGTACAATCTGCCGCTGCTACAGCGCGCCGTATTGCTGACATTTCAGCCACGGGCCAATTCAGACTTCTAAACAGCACTCAAGCACGACTACAATTCGTCTGTCACCACGCCAACACAAGCCTTGTGGTCCTGTCCCTTGTCAAAGCTATAGAACATACCATTGATCTGAACGTTTCACCACAATGCGAAGATATGAGCACTTACAACCTATCGAGCAGTCTGGACTCTACCCGCGTTTGGATAGATGACATCAAGCCACTTTTGACTTGTCTTCTGACTGTAGCATCAACAATCTCCGGCTCATATACCGCAAGGCCTGCGCTGCAGCAACTAATGCAACAATATGGTGACATTCTCATGGACTGTTGGTCTCATGAAGAAGCTACGAAAGCCCTCTGAGGAGGGGCGTCATGAACGCGGGTGGTGGAAAATCGAGATTCTTCTTCTCGTAGAATCTGCTGGTGAAACCCACTGCGTGCTGACAAGTCTCCATGCACCAGTCCAGCAACGGCACACGATCGTCCTCGAGGCTGGTCTCATCCTCTGCGAAAGGACCTGTCTTTATATCTGCGTTCGATATTGACCCCTTTTGGAAGTCTCGGTGCATGTTTCATGTCAGACAGACATGCGGCTCCGAAGGCCGAGGTGCTGACTGAGTGGCCCCGAGGCTGAGGTCCTACCGTCTGAGACTCCACACGCTGACAGACATCCCATTGTGATCTACATTGAAACGATCCTCGGTGGAGTAGGTGCACTAAGGGTAATTCCGCAGAGTACATAACGCTTCTCAAGTTCAGCGAGGTGAACGCAATGGGCCTCATTGCAACCAAGTCCTCGCCGACTGCCAAAATACATCGTCACTGACCTATTTAAGAATCATGCCACACGCCGCAAGATGGGGGCTGACCCTGCCTGGAACTTCCATACCTTCGTTTATGTTTGGTTCTGCCGATGCTGCTCTAGACAACAGTGAAAGGGTATATGTCAATGCCAAACGCCCAAATGAACAATACCTCACTCTTCATGGTTATCGAGAATGGGCTAAACGTTTTGCTGCTGGGCTTCAGCTCTCGGGCCTGAAAGATGGAGATCGTGTCATGTTGTTCTCCGGCAATGCCATCTTCAATCCAATTGTCGTAATGGGATCGATCATGGCTGGTGCTATATACAACAGCGCGAATCCAGCATACACTCCGCGGGAACTCGCGCACCAACTCAAAGATGCTGAGCCGCGGTTTGTCCTCGCCGCAGACAATTGCTTTGACCGAGCAGTCGAAGCTGCAGACATGGTTGGCTTGGACAAAAACAGGATCTTCCTCTACACCAATCCCCCAATAGACCATACAAAACGCCTAGAAAGTCCGCAAACACAACACCAGCACTGGACGAAACTCGTCGCCGGGCCAGACGCCGGCCAGGCCTTTACCTGGGAAGATCCGATAGCGTCACTCTCAGCCTCCCGTACCGCAATTCTGATTTATTCCTCGGGAACGACAGGTCTCCCAAAAGGCGTGGAGCTCACGCACCGTGGGGTGATCGCGAATGTGCTTCAGCTAAAGCAGATGCAGTTTTCTGACGCAGACAAGAGTCCAAGACGAAACCTCTGCGTTATTCCTCTGTATCATGTCCTTGGTCTGCATTACTACACATTCACAGCCCCCAAGTTGGGAATTCAGACTCTCCTGATGGAGCGTTACAACCTTCCAGATATGTTGGATCACATACAGCGATTCAAAATCACAGACTTACTCCTTGTCCCTCCGATTCTCGTAGCCATGGCCAAGCACCCCTCCGTTCGTGATGGGACATGTGACATCAGCAGCGTGCGGAGGGTTGTAGCGGGCGCTGCACCTATCGGCATGGAAGTGACGAAGCAATTTGAAGAGCTGTTTCATGGGGAAGTGAAGGTACGGCAGGCATGGGGAATGTCCGAGTAAGTGCAGAACTATTCATATCTTGCGTCGCAATATCAGGTGGACTCTAATTCGCGAGCAGGACACCAGCTATCACATTGTGCTGGCATGACGGAGATCGTCAGGGTACTTCATCGATTTCCATAGGTGAACTCGTACCAGGCTGTGAAGCTATGCTTGTGAATGAAGATGGCCAAGAAGTGACTCGTCCGAGGGTGCCAGGCGAGTTTTGGATCCGGTCGCCCAACATGCTGAAAGGGTACTGGCGGAACATCCAGGCTACGAAGGACACAATCACTCCCGAAGGGTGGCTGAAAACCGGGGACATCGCGTACAAGGATGAGGGCGGTAAATGGTACATGGTTGACCGCAAGAAGGTAGATGCCACGGTGCCCACCCTTCAGGTCCATTTGGCGAGTTACTGACCATACTGACAGGAATTGATCAAAGTTCGTGGAGCACAGGTTGCACCTGCCGAGTTGGAAGCACTGCTGCTCGAACACCCTCAGATCGTGGATGCAGCCGTCATCGGAATCAAGACGTACAGTTTTACGATACCCTTTAATGAACCCATACTGAACAGACCAATTAGGCCCACCGATGACGAAGACCCTCGTGCTTATGTGGTGTTGGCTCCCAACGCCACGACGACGGCCGAGGATGTGGTGAAGTACGTCAACACGCGGGTGTCGAAAATCAAACACCTTACTGGTGGTGTTGTATTCATTGACGCCATCCCCAAGAATCCGGTAAGGCTGGGAAACAGATGTCGTCCTTTGGGGCTCGAAACTGAGAACTGACTTATTTAGTCTGGAAAAATACTTCGACGACAACTCAGGGACCGCGCTGCAAAAGGCGCATCAGCATCGAAACTGTAACTTTATCTTTACTCAGTGCATGCAGGTGTAAAAGTCGAAATCGTGTGGGGACGCAGATGCTTCGGAGGTCTGAGCTGGTTCATAGATGAGGGCCTTTCAATTTACCCAAACCCAAATGTTGGGCCGCCTGTCCTAGATGGTCGAAGCCCCAGTAACACTCTTCCTGACCTTGTGGATTGACTGCCCTGATCCACGGCACACCTGGAGAGCCGCTGGCTATGCATTGATCTGTGTTGTGCTTTAGTAGGTTCTTGACTTCTTCCGTAGAGCTCTGGAAGAACCGAACATATGTTAGTCTCGTCATTACGTTATCGATTCTCTTCCCCAAACTGATTTATATGTTGGAGCAAAAGTGCTTCAGACTCACCCTCTCTATGACCTTCTGAGCCGTTTCCTGGCCCAGGACGTCAGCGGCGATCGGCTCGTACACTTCAGACAGTTGCACGGCTTTCTTCTCCACCCAGAAAGCGTGGTAGAGTGCCGCGATCACGTTGGGGTACTGCTGCTGGCATTCCCGCGAGCATGCTACCAGGAATCTTTCGACTTTCAGCGTGGTAGATTTGAACGGGTAGTTCGCCGGCCATCCTGGTGTCCAGGGGATATCGTAGTCGCGGGCCCATCGAGTAATGTCGGTTGTCATATAAGACGGTTTGGCTGTGTGAAGTGGTCAGTCAACAGCTTGATTAGCAGTGGCACATTTTGGTCCACTGGGGGTGGTAAGGAGTTGGAAAATCAACATGGGGAAAACAACAACATACTAGGACTGCCCCAAGGTGGTTGGAGGCCCACCGCCTTGATGAACGCGACGAGTAAGACGGGGACGTACGTCACGTCGCATTGTTTGAAGACTGGAGAAGTCTGCGTTCGTTCAGTGTCATGGACGCACACACACACGCACACACACACAATGGATGCGTCGGTTCGGAGGATAAGGGGCGGGCGAAATAGCTGGGCGGTGAAGCTGAGAGGTATCTGTCAGTACTTACGTGGATCAAATAGAATGCCAGGTACGAGTAGGGGCTGTGGAGGTCGAAGTAAAGCGTGAGCCGTGGGCGAGGCATAGTCGGTCTGTTTGGCTACGATGAGACGAAGCTGCTGCTAAGGAAGGTGGATGTCCCTTTCAAAACTTGACGCAAAGCCATTGTTGCATTGTCGATGGCTTTGTATGAACATAGGTACTATCAAGAGTTGGCTTGGGGAGGGATGAGAAGTCTCGCGGTGACAAGTTATTCCGTTCCTCGGCTACTGCGGCTCCGATGTTTTGCACCACTACATCTTCCGCCTGGTTATCGGGTCGTCGGTTGGTGGTCTCGCCTCCGCATCTTCAGTTTAGAAAAGCTAGTGACGGCAGCACTAATCACCGACTCGAGATGACGATATGTGAGCTACGATGACTCCAGTCCACCATGACGGACGAAGACAATCAAGCCTACTCTCAACATGTGACCTGGATCGGAGAACAGAGCGATGGCTCTGAGAGAGACGCGCTTAGAGCCGTCGACCCCGCCGGTTTCTATATTCGGCCACCGCCAAAGCCTCATGAGCTCGACGGCGACGTGACGGATGAGACGCAGCTCTTCCAAACGATTCACATGGGAGCCGCGGTCGTCGACGAGGACAAGTGGAAACTCGTGGTGGACGGGCTGGTAGAACGCGCATTCACCGTGAACCTAACACAACTGAGAAGTATGCCCAGAACAACCATCACTTCCTTCCACGAGTGCTACGGCAGTCCAGTGGCACCTCCTACCACCGCACTGTGGAGAATTGGCAATGTCGAGTGGACCGGAGTACGCCTTGCAGAGCTGCTTCGACTGGCACGACCGAAGGCGCAAGCGACTCACGTTTGGTCCCAAGGCCTGGATCACGGCTCATTTGCGAATGTCGCTGCTGACAAGTACGAAAAGGATCTCACGCTGGAAAAGGCGTTTTCGCCAGAGGTGTTGGTGGCATTCGAGATGAACGGAGAACCACTGACCAAGAACCGCGGAGGCCCCGTGAGGCTCGTGGTGCCTGGCTGGTTCGGCACCAACTCGACAAAATGGCTGTGCAGACTGTCCCTGCAGGATGGTCGTGCTTCGGGTCCTTTCACCACGACGTTCTACAATGAGGTCGACCCCACAGACGCGACTGGGCAGAGAAAGAGACCGGTGTGGACGGTCGAGCCCAACTCGATGATAATCCGACCGAAACCTGAAGAGGTCTTGTCGGTGCGGCGAAACGTTGAGGTCTGGGGCCGCGCATGGGGCGGTCAGGAGATCGTGAAGGTTGATCTCAGTCTCGACGAGGGGACAAGTTGGACTCCTGCGACTGTGACGCCTCGGAAACAATTTGAATGGCAGCTTTGGAGGAGCGAGCTCACAGTAGATTCACCGGGGAGATATCGAGTGATCGCAAGGGCCACGGACAAGGATGACGTCGCCCAGCCGTTGGCCGGCAGAAGAAATCACGTACACCATGTGATTGTTGCATTACAATGATGGCTCGACAGTAAGCAGAGGTCTTGTCTAGACTCGGTGAGGAATGCGCGAGGCTGCTACCCCGTGTGATAATGCAAGAGTACAGGGTGCAGTAATGTGCGGAATTGGCGTCGGCCTGAGTAAACATGGAACCGACAGTAATAGAGAAACGTAAGCAGAGCGTATTACTCCTTCATTATCCGACCATTTCTCACTGTAATATATGGACTGAAAAAGCCCTGTATTTGAAGTAAAGAAGCTACTGTAGATATAGCTTCGCGCAGACTTTGGTACTCCAAACCACAACATGACCTATTTCGACCAGAGACCGCAGGATGGTGTGAATGTTGCTTGCCCGATAAGGAAGGATATATGCTACTTGCTAACGCAGCTTTGTCGTGCTACTCCAACTCCCTAGCCAGACTCAAGGCCAGTGTGATACTGTATGTTTGTTCAAGGAATAAACTTACAGGGATTTAATGATCCCATCTTTAGTTATATTCTGAGTCTGCGGAAAACTCTTCGTAGACGAGATTTGGTTTCCGTTGGTCTAATTTCGACAGCACATAAAGTTTCAGCGGACCCAGCTGGCGTGGATTGCAACTTCTCAAGTCGACTTTGAACTTCGAGATACCATCTCGAGGAAGGTCCTTGAACGGCTGCATATCCAGATAATGCTCGAGAATACATTTCTTTTGCCATATCCTTGCGCTCCGTCTGGGAATAGAGATCACCGAAGGCACACATGGTGTGTATCGCGGGTAGATATGACGATGTAAGCTCAGCACCAACGACCACCTTATAGCCTTGTAGAGCACGCCTATACATCTTCTCCGCTTCTGTCAGCTTGCCTTGATCATGATAGACGACACCTAAGTTGTGAACGGTGTCGAGTGTTGACGTGTGATCTGGTCCAAGTGCCTCCTCGAAACCTTGCAGAGCACGTATATACATCTTCTCCGCCTCTGTCAGCTTGCCTTGATCATGATAGACAAC